AATGGTCGTTGACCCACATGCCCAAAGGTTGGGTGTGATGGGTAATGGAGCCCGCATGGCTGGGACGTCCGTCAACCAGTTCAAGCGCAATGGGGTCCTCCTTCTTGACAAGTGGGATGCGGTGCTTGCGGGCATAACTTTCGTCGATGAAGCACGACATCGCACCGGTGTCGAGTAGTGCTGAAAGCTGAACTGGAGCTCGCTGGGCCGATATCTGCAGGGTAACAGGGTACTCGAATGGTGAGGATGGGCCCAAAGTCCGCATGGGTGAGGGTATCTCAGATAGGAGATTGACATTGTTGGTGGTCAGGAGAAGGGTGTTGCTGGAGATGCCAGGATCGGAGCAAGGTTTTGTGGCTTCTCCCTTGGCAGTACTTGCGTGGTGAGAAGGCCCAGGACAGGTGTTGCCCAGCTGCTCGGCCTTTACTGCAGCTGGACTTGGGCAAAATCCTGGATGGGTGCAGGTTCCTTAACCGCGACATTCGCCGTGCGTATCTTGTTCGGGCAGAGTTTGGCTATGTTGCCGGGTTTACCAGAGTAGAGGCAAAGTTTGTTTGTGATGCGGTGTTGGCGCTCTAGCGGCGTGAGGGGTCCTCGCGGACGAGCAGCGTCAATGATCATAGGGTCGTCTGGGCGGTTGTCGGGGCTCATGAGGGTGGGGCTAGTGGTAACTGGCACATATGACTGTCGGTTCCTGCTTCGCTCTAGACGGCGCTCAAACAATCGGTTGTCACATTGGATGGCCTGTTCCATCACAGTGTCGATTGAGGCGGTAGGGGGCATCGTGAGCACTAAGTCCTTGACGTCTTCTTTGAGGCCGCGACGGAAGGTGGCAATCAATGCCTGGTCATTCCACGACACATCGCATTGCAGCTGTCGAAATTCAGCTACATACTCTGTTGCTGCACGGGTTTGTTGAAGGTTCTGGAGCTTGTTTTCGGATGTGCGGATCCTGTCGCTGTCTCCAAAGACTGCTTGCATTTGCTGGATGAAATCATCCAGGTTCGTAAGGGAATGATGGTCTTGTTCGACAAGGGGCGCCAGCCAGGCCTGGGCGGTGCCAGTGAGGTAGGTGCCAATAGTTCGTATCTTGGTCTGATCGTTGGGGTAGCGCCTGGGTTGGAGGGCAAACATGAGCCGGATCTGGTTGAGGAACCCACGGAACTTGCTTCGGGTGCCATCAAATTTGTCTGGGAGACTGATTTTGGGTTCGGGGGCGTGGGTGGCAGGGGCAGTGGTCTGGGTTTGCGCTAGTTCGGCTTGTAGGGTGGTATTCTGTGCTCGAAGTTCGTCAATCGCATTGCACATGGCTTGCCAGGCTTCGGCCGTGAGGGGAAGGGCGTCGGACATGGTGATTTGGCGTGGAGGTACAGCGGCTGGGGGTTGTTGAGCAGATCAAACTGTTATGAATGGGCGGAGCCGATGGAAATAGAGGCGACTTGTGGTGCAGGTTGTTGACAGGTAATGGTATTCAGACCGAAACAAGAACTAGAACAAGACTAGGAAGAACTGGTGTTGATCTGCTGGGGGGATCAGGAAGTGGGGAGCTCAGGGGAGGCGGCTATTTATGTTTTTCTGGGAAGGCTGGGGAAGCGTGGGGAAGCAGAAGGGTACGGAATGAGAGGGAAGCCAAGAGAAGCGCCAAGGGTGGGGAAGCATAGAAACAGAAGACCGGGGATGGGGTGGCTACGCTGAGGCTGTGGGCGGGTACGTGGGGAAGTATGGAGAAGGGTTTGTAAGCGCCGAGTGTTGGGAGGTGTGGCTACGTGCGGCTGCGTGGAGAAATGAAGGCAGTGGCAGGTGTGGGGTAGCGCAGCTGCGTGCGGCTGCGAGGTTTGGCAGATGTCAGGTTTTGACAGGGAATTGACATTGACTGACTGTTGGGATGCTGTCATGAGGTAAGCGCATGGTATGGACGCGTCGTCCATAACAGACGTCTTCTTTGAGGCCACGGCGGAAGGTAGCAATCAGGGCCTGGGCGTTCCAGGAGACATTGCATTGTAGCTGGCGGAACTCAGCGACGTACTTGGTTGCTGCACGGGTTTGGCGAAGGTTCTGGAGCTTGTTTTCAGAGGTGCGGACCCTGTCGCTGTCTCCGAAGACCGATTGCATCTGACTGATAAAACTATCGAAGTCCTGAAGGCTGTGATCTTGGCGTTCGACTAGGGGCGCTATCCAGGCTTGCGCAGTGCCGGTGAGGTAGGTGCCAATAGTTTGGATCTTGATGATGTCGCTGGGGTAGCGGTTGGGCTGGAGAGCAAACATCAACCGGATGTTGTTCAACCACCCACGGAATTTGCTGCGGGTACCATCAAACTTCTCGGGCGAGCTGATTCTTGGCTCCAGAGCAGGGTTGGCGACTTGGGGACGGGTGTACATATCGGCTTGAACCTGGGCGGCGATGCTCTGGGCAGCTTGTGCGTCGGCTTGGGCTTGCGCTAGGTTGGCCTGCAAGTTGGCGTTTTGGGTTTGCAAGGCGGCGATGGCTTGGCACATATCGTTCCATTGCTTGGCGGTGAAAGGTACGGACTCGGGTTGGGACATGGCGAAAAAGGTTTGTCGGATGCAGGGCTGGACAGGTTCTGAACTTCGCAGTGTTGGAGCAGATCAAACTGTTATGATCTCGACAACGGGGGCGGAAGCGAAGTAGAGAAGACAGGGCGAGTGTGATAGGCGACAAGAGATTGTATTGGCGAAACAAGAAGCAAGGACTAGAACAGGAGATGAGAAGAACTGGTTTTGAACTGCTGGGGAGGAAGGGAATGGACGAAGAGAGGCCGGCTATTTATAGATAGGCAACCCAGCAGATCAGAGAACAACAACAACAAGAGGGGACTGGGGGGGCGCCAGCTATGCTCCTAGAGCGTGGGTGGCGAGCGTAGAGAGCATTGCTACAGCTGCTGGCTATGGGGAAGTAGTGGGGGGTGTGGAGAAGCCGAGGGGGGATTTGCGAAATGAGAGGAGAGAGGAGGAGTGGCGATATTGCGGGAGGATTGGCGAAATGAGATGAGAGAGGGGGAGTGGCATTGACATTGACATTGACACTGACATTGACACTGACATTGACACTGACATTGACATTGACATTGGCGTTTGACATTTGGCGGTTGACATTGGCGGCCGTCAGTAGGTAAGCTTACGGTATGGGCGCGTCGTCCGTAACATGCACCACCCCATACCAGATACACATCCAATCAACGGGCGGTCGAGACAAAGTCTCGGTACTTTCAAAGAGACATGCGAGAGCGAAAGATCAATGCTGGCATCGCTGAGATGGAATCACATATTCCATCGCACAAGAGCATGAACATCGAGGCGTTCTCAGCGTTCATTGTGGATCACATACATGCAGGTATGATGTATTATGCGCTGTCTTCAAATTTAGTAACACATGGGCTGACATCCATCCATATCCCAGATCCCGCCCTGGATGAGTTTTACCAGGATGAGATTCACGTTGCTCGCAGGTTCAAGGCGTTCTCACTGCGGCAAAAGTCTGAGAGCAAGCTCATCAAGAACATGCAACGCCTGTATGGAAAGCATCTTTCGGTCATCTTGGGTGATTGGAGCGACGCTGGAAAAACCATGCGCTTTCAGGAGTCATCGAAGACCAAGGGGTGAGTGACCATCATTCGTGGTACCTACTATGTATTATAATATGCTAACTCATCATGGAAATCAGATTCCGCACACTCTTTGCAAGGAACAGCATTCCGTGCTACTTGCTAGATGAGTATCGAACTTCTTCTGTGTGCCCAGACTGCCACGGCCGTGTGAAGAAAAACATCCGACAGCAGCTGTCATCTCGGCCATGGCAAGCTAGAAAGGGAAGAATGGAATACGTCCATGGATTGGTGGGTTGCCCCAACCCCGAATGTATCAACCAAGACTGGACAGCATTTGAGATTCCTGGAAGACGACCACTACGACTATGGATGAGAGTGTACAATCGGGACGTCCTGAGCACCAAGAATTTCCTCTCGATTGTGCGTTCGGTGGTGTTTGGCAATGGCCGCAGACCAGACGCATTCTCCCGTAACGGGTAGTCTAGATTTCACCCCATCCCATTTTCCGTGGTGGTTATCTGCCATCCACATCATTGTACCTCTGCCTGAGGCGTCGCCGATGAAGGCAACTTGTACTAATCAACACTATATATTCTCAAATATCATTTGGAATGTAACTGAATAGAGCACTGCAAACGCACCAGAGATCTGATATATACACATAAGCGGCTCACCTTGCCCAGACCCCCACCTTCACCCTCTCTCACAACTCCCCCTCCACACCCAGTCTCTGCAACTTCCTCCTCCCATCACTTTCACCCTCTCTCGCACCATTCGCCCTTGCCTTGATGATGTTCTTCCGGATATGCGATCAGAAATGCTCCAGCCCATGTTGCGCCTGCACATCAGGCTTCTTCCAATCGTCACCCGTGATCTGTTTGCGACATACGATATCAGATCAGATGATGCAGGAGTTAAACGTCCTTTCTCATTCCCAGCTAAGGCTTCTCCCCACCTCCGACGCACGATTCGCAAATCGTAAGTTTGCTTAATCCCACAACACTCCAGCACAACCCGTTCTAAATCACCCCTCCTTTCCCCTCTAATCTCAGACTCCTGTGACCCAAACGCGAAACTTTCCAACCTCCATATCATCCTCACTCGGCCCGTAAAGAAGGATGAGGAGATTATTGTATAACCTGGGGGATGATACAGATTATTGGGATCCGGCATGGAACTTCAAGGTGAGGGCGAGGCGAAGGGACATGAGTGTTTGGGTACGGGCTGAGTCACAAGATCTAAAACCCTGTCGATTGCTGTCCAGTGCTGCTGCGGATCGACCAACTGCCAGGGAGATATAGACCGGTACCGCAAACCCAAGGCGTGAAAGGCACGGACAGTATGACAAGCGGATGATTTGGCTCCAACGAGGTTGTTCGTGGGCGGGAGTGTGTGGATGATGGGTATCCGAGGGACTTTGAGACGATATAAATCAGCGACTGCCGCAACGCCAAATTCACGTGAGTGACCGACTTTGATTTCAATTAGAGGGGGTGCACAGGTTTATGTCCGTTGACTGTACGTCACGCGAAGAGGTGCAAAAGGGTTCAATTCCGCCCACCGAGACCATAGGCCCATACTGTGCTTACTCCGTTGGATTCGTATATGTATAAGAGCTAAATAAACCCATATATTGGGCGTCCGAGACAGATCTCGATTTACAAATCGAAGGTGTGTGAGGAGAAATGAAACTTGTTCAAATTCGCGGAGTCATCGGACGTGGTGATGAAGGTAGCGAAAACCGAGCTTCGGATCCCGAAGCATGGAGTGAACCCACCGAGTCCCGACGGGCACTAGATGTGCGAGACTGAGGTAGTAACGGCGGGGGTGTGCCAGTACGCAATGCTAGAAGATCGCAAAACCGTGTTACTGAGTGACCGGGAAGCGAATATGCGCCAGTCTGAGTTCTTACCATCTGATATTCTGTAATCCGATGCTGACGTTGGTCTTGAGTGCAAAAGAGAAGAAGACTGTCGCACGGACACGGTAGACCCGGTGAGCGACACTGCTGAAGCTGCTCTGATGCTTCTCGTGGAGCCCGGTTGCACGCTCTTTTGCATCTCTTCGGGCCCGAGAGAGGTCGTGGATGATCCAGGTGTCGCCGACTCACGGGCACCGGATAAGCGGCCTTCCGATCCGACGACTGGTCCCGGCTCCAGACCAAATGAATTTGGACGTGGTAGTCGTGGTGGGCGCTTTACATCGCCTGCTGATGCAGCACTTCCCAGGGGTTTCGATCGGAGTTGGGCTGCGCGCAATCGACCCCCTGGTGGTGCGCTTTGCGCCGGCCTTGCTTTCGGTGTACTTGGTAGGTCTCCATTGCCATCGGGTTCGTCATCGTTTTCGTCTTCGGAGTTCAGATCGTCCGAGGTGCTGGGCTGTTGTTGATCCACCCACATGACGCTTTTTCTCGATTCCGATGTGCCTCGCTTGAGAGGCGACTCTTCCATAAAATCACCAGCCTCTGACGGTACGGGTATGTTGCACTGTTCAAGTACTTGGCGTAAAATCTTGTTCTGGAGGGCTAGGTTGTTCATTTTCTCGACCATGTGATCGTTCACGGCTTTCTCGATCTTTTGTCCGGGTCCTGAGAGCGACTCATCCTCTGCAGTCCACTCCCGATATTCACTGTAAGGTCCCAGACCCTTCCGTCGCGGTGCTATAGCTTTAATGACCATTGGTGGTCTGGCTAATCGAGCCGATACAGCTCTTCGACGGTGGTCAGATGGATGGCCTCCGCTGCTCCTGTCACCGGCCATCCCGCCTGCTCGCCCGGTTTGGCCCACACCGCCTTTCTTCCGCTTTTCGTCCACCATTTGCTCCACCAGCTTGGTCTTCTCTTGTAGTTCGTTGAGGATGAGGTCAATCTTGAGCGCCTCGTATCTGCTAAGTCTGTCTTGAAGCTCCGCAATCTTGTTCAGATCGTTATCACCACCGACAGCAGCGTATCGGCGGCCACCGGCACCAGCGGAAACAGCCCGATCTTTGCTACTCGTGATTGGTGTCAATTGCCGAACTCTCTGTTGCTCCTCGCGGAGGTGCCGTTGAAGCGTGTCGCACTCCGCTTCTTTGCTGCTCAAGGTCTTTTGAGCCTTGGCAAGCTGCCTCCTCAGCGTACTTTCGCGTACTTCCGCTTCTCGATAGCTATCCCACAGCTTCTCTTCCGCGGACTTGCTCCCCTCAGCTAGTTTGCGCGTCTTTTTCTCGTACATGGAGCGCAAGGCTTGCTCCTTGATGATAAACATCGAGCGTACTTTCAGCAGGGTCATTTTCAACTCGTGGTTTTCTTGTCTCAAAGCCTGGGCCTCCTCCTCATGTCGGATCATCCACTTGGCACTGTCCTTCATGTTCGCCGGCATCTCCTGATTATCAATGAGCACGTGAAGCTCGTCCTTCTTCGCTTCGCTCATGATGCTCATCACTTCCTGGAATGTGTTTACGCGATATTCCGAGAAGCGGTTTCTAAGCACGTTGATTTCCATGACCAGCTCTTGTACGAGATCATCATACTCGTCTAGAATCCGATATCGGATTCGTCTCTCATCCGTTCGTCGTTGTTTCCGCAAATCGGCCAACTCAACGGATGTGGACGCTAGTTCCGTGTGAAGTTCGCTGCTGAGCTGGAATGCGGAGACTCTGACATCTCTCTTGTACGTCTAGGTTTGGTTTCAAGCGTCTCGTTACCTCAAGCCCTTTTTGCGCGTTCAGGGTGTCATGTCCATACCTCCATCCATTCCTTCTTCTCCTGCACCAAGTGCTTAACAAGCTTCTCCCCTGTTTTGGCCATCTCCATCATTCGGCCCATCAATGTGCCCATGAAGTGTTCTTGCTCCCCTCGCCGTTTCTCCTGCCATTTGCTCATTTGTCGAGCTAGCTTGGTGATCTGCGTTGTGATAAGGAAAGCATTTAGGAGCACATTCCAGATTTCAAAGACAAAGTAACTCAACGCACCGCTTGACCAAGCATATCTCTGGTACACGTAAAGACTCTTCCGTGCTCTAAGAGCGGATTGGGGCCACTAACAACCTTTGGCTGCTTATTGGCGGGCATGTTCTTTTCTGGTTCCTGGATCTCCTTCAGCTAGTTGACCGAAAAGAATGAGTAACCCTGAGGTAAATAGGACACAATGCAGAGAAAGGGCGCACCAAAGCTGAATTCGCTCGCCAGAGGTCCTTGACGAAATCGTGAATCATTGCGGTCTTAACAGCATAATCATCCTCAGTCATCCGGAATGCAAAGGCCTTGTTAGCTGTGGACGACGGAATATCCAAGCTATCGTAGACCCTGAACAGGCGGCCGGTGCGCTCGTCCGCCAATCGATCATAAAAGATTCGAGTTTGACGAATAAGCTTGAATGTGTATTCGCGCTGAAGCTCGGTTTGTAGGACTGCAACCTGACAGCGATCGAAGAGCTATCAAATCGTGAATGGTGTGAGATCTTGACGAATGTGATGCCAAAGAAAGTGTATCATAATTGCAGAACCCTTACCGCTTGGGCGATTCGGTTGAAGTCAAAGTCCACAGTAGCAGTTACCATCTCGTCCCTCAGCAACATCGCTGCAGGAAAGAAGAGTGAGCTTGGGAGAATTCACAAAAAGCTCCTATTATATCTTACGTATGCTGGCATTTCCCTTCGCTCCCATTTTGTGATAAAGACGTATGGCCGGTACCATGACTTTCATCTTGTACAGGCGAAAGAACTCCTGCAACTGCTCGCGAGTCTGTGAGGGGGAGATGCGTTGATATCAGTTCATTCCTCCGGCGCTTTCATTGCTCAAAGACAAAACACGTACATGGATTATGCCACTGGGTACAATGCCCGCTAAGAACTTGCGACGCAGCGCCAACAGCTTGAGGCCCGTAAGCAAGAAATCGCTCTGGAGACGGTTCACTTCGTCTGCATTTTCACCGAAGTTCAGCATCGTGGCTTGCAGAAATTCATCCAAGCATTCTTCCAGCTCTAGGATTTTCTTATCGCATAACCGCTTGGCATCAGTTTTGAGCCCTGTACCCCCAAAGATGTGTGGACTGGGATAAGGCGTTATGCGCGGCGTGAAACAGATCCTTCTGACTGTCGTAAGTTGCTGGAAGAGAGGTATGGAGTCCGGTATTTCTTCTTTCGCCAGGTTTTCCTGATAAGACAGCAGTCGCATATATGCGTATGGCTTGACTGTCATTCCCAGAGTATACATGGAGCAGCCAAGTGCCAATTTCAACTTCAAGATCCAAAGCTTCCATTTCGCTGCCAAATACTGTTCCACTCGCACAAAGTCTGCTTGTTGTCCTTGGTAAGACATATCCTTCTTGATGGCGCCAATGGTGTTCACGACGTAATCGGCCTCACGAACTTGGCGCACTGTGCAAAACGCAAATGCTGAGGTTCGCTAAACATATTCCAACTTTTTGAACTTGAGCTTACCTTGGACAACATAACGTCTGTTGTCTTGCAGCAAATGTGCATATGACTTGACGAACAAGAAGATGTCCAACAGCATAGACTGGATGCTGAGAGCTTTCCTAAATGTGCCGATATTGCGATAGACCCTCTGAGACAGATCAAACGGCCCTTTTGGGGACTTTTCGCTCGAGTTTGAGGTCATGACGATTTCGGTTACTGAGGGAAGAAACCATAGTTTGGAGATTTTCTCGGTTGTAACGAGATCCGTCTGAATGATTTCCTGAGTGGCCACGCCATCCATACTGAGCTGCGAAGGATCCAATTCCGCCTCTGCCCCGGATGGCTTATCCTGATTCGAGAAATAATCGAAGTGGCGCGCAACTTTCGTCGACCGAAACAGGAGACGTCCATAGGAAGTCTTTTGGACCGTATTGCGGAAGTCAATCATGATTTTCGCGTATTCTGCTCTCTCACACTCCTCGAGTGTGATCTCCAGCATGTTATTGTAGTACCATTCGTACAGATTGTATTTGTATGTTGTCGAGACTTGATCACGTTCTTCTTCGGTCATGTTTCCGCTGGTTCGGAACCCTTTATTGTACTCCGTGAGCATCATTTTGCGTAACGCTTTCTTTTTTGGCACGATGGCGGTAATGAGAAGGCGATAGTCCACATCGAGCGTTTTTTGTGTTGTCGGCGTTTCGCCATGGCGTTGAGGGCTTCGCCGCTCCCAACCTTTCGCTTTTTCAATCTTTGCAGGAGTGCCCTCGATGAGCAGCTTGGCGTGCACTTCCGATAGCAGCAAGTGATGCAGTTCAACGGCTGCCATATGCCAAAACTTCTCTACAGTCTGAATCTTCAAACTGAAAGCCATCTGCCGCATAGGCTCTGGCCGCAAGCTGGTATTGATACCGGAAACAGTCGATAGGTCAAATGGGGCCGAAGGAGTCGGCAGTGAAATCGCTGAAGCCAGATGCTCGTCAAGCTCGGCAACAGCTAGCGGGCCAAAGCGCAGGTAAGAATGCCCGAATTGCACTGCAGGGTCTCGTTCATCGTCCGACTCTGCCGCCACCTGTTGCGCATCATCTGGGCCACCGTCCGTGGTCTCCTCCTCATAATCTTCTTCCACGGCGGTATTATCTGCCACATCCGGGAAATCGAACTTTAACGAGTTCAATCTGCCCGTAAACGCATCTTTGTTGACATTAAGCTGCGGAAACTGCCCTTCGTAGATTCTCCGCCAGTTCTCGGTACTGCGCCATGAATAATAGAGCCTATCCTTCAGTACCACTAGCTTGATCAGGCGCTGGCAGATATGTGCTGCCTTCGGCTTGAATACCGGATCTGTAAATGGAGTGCGGGCAGCAATATGTTTCAGTTCGGGCTCCGCATCCGTTTTGCCGTAAGTTTGATAGTGGTCCATCAGAATGATATCGGGCATCAGCGGGTTCTCCATCCAGAGTTCCGCATCAATTCGCCCTATGAGCCGCCGGTTTCGTGGCTGAGGTATATGGAAACTGTGGTCATAGAGGGCCTGCCACATGTTGTGGAATCCCTTCCATACAGCACATTCCACCGCTTGTCTGTCGATTTTGGCAATCGGTTTCTTCTTACTGTCCACAAGGTTCGACGCCCTTCCCTGTCGAAACAACTCTTCTGTAACCCCAAACATCTCTGACGCTGCACTGAACGCAATCTTGTGAATCTGTATGATGCCATCCAGTGTGGGAACAAACTCGGTCATGCCCAGGATGACAGATGCATGGTGCATTGTGACGGTTTGTTTTTCACCATCCTCTTTCGGTGGCAAACCGGCAGAAATCGGGCTGTCCAGCTTCCTTAATCCTTTCGCGGTCTCGGCGTTCTCCCACTCGTCTTTGACAGTCAACTCTTGGCTTCCGTCAAGATCGTTTTGTGCCAGTGTTGGGTCCAAACGCCCAAAGCATTTCTGGTACCAGCTGCGGTGCTGATCGACCCCGTCTTTGATCATGTCAAGAATTAGCTGAGCTTGGATGCGGAAGGTGCGAGTTGCCATTGCGTATGCCCTCGAGAAATATGGACTCTAGATGACGGAGAACTTGTGATCAGTCATCGTTTCCATCAGCGCTTTTCGTAGGCAGGATAACTACCTCAAAGTCATATCCAGGGCGAGTATGAACGATGTTCGTTATCAGCTGGCCTATCTCCTTGATGCTCTTCGGATCGCTGGTGTGCTCATAAATCTCCAGATATGCATTGATCAACTGGAAAATCACAACATCGTAAATATTTCGGGACGTTCGAGGAAAAAGTTGGTTCGGGATGATGGTTACCTCAATTTTTGCAAATTGGAATTTGACTTCGTGGTCGTAGAGCTCCAAAAGCATTTGCATCCTATCCGCATTTGGGTTGAGAAAAGTGTATCTACCCTCGATGAATTGCAGAACCTCCGCTACAAAACAAGATGGGATTAGGCTCGCCTCCTCAGGGTGGAGAGCTACAGCTCGCATATAAAACTGAACTCACATTTTCGCTCGGCGATGCGCAATCGGATAGCTTCCCCATATGCTCGTTCAGCCTCCAAATCTTTGGCAAAAACTTCGTCGTCTTCCCTGCCCTCGCGACTTGCCCGGCCATGGTTGATATACATGGTGGCCAGCTTCAGAAGAATCGCTTCATGGCTCTTCATGTCCTCTATCGCCGCATCTGAGTTGAGAAGTTATAAGGTCTAGAAGCCGTTTGGAGGATTCAAAGCGGCTTCAAACTCACCGTACATGAGCGGAGTGCCCTTCTGATCTTTGATGATCATTTGGTTATTCCATAGCTGACGGATGTCCTCGGATGGGAGGATGGGTTTGGCTGGTCCAGACGCGCCTGCCGGTGCCCCACCAGGCCCTCCTCGCTCGGCATCAGGCATGTCAAAGAGTTCTTGCTGATGCCACATATGTGTTGCAGCCGCGGAAGCTGCCAAGATGTCGGGTCCTTGTTCCCGCGCACGGATCGGATCGGAGACGTCTGCGTTCACGCGGGCTGAAGTTTCATGCAGGTCCATCGTCAAGCGCTTCTCCACAGACCGATAAAAGTTGAACTGAGACAGCAAGGAGTTCCTCAAATTCCGGATGCGCACATGCCGTAGTTGCAGGAAAGACATGATCTCGTGTTCTGAGAACAACGCGGAGACCATAGGACCAGCTATCCTTCCAGCATTTGAAGCTCCAAATTCGCCGTCCCCTGCAACAGCTTGTTCCATCTTTTCCATCTCAGCGCTTTTACGCAACAGTACGCCATATGCGTGCTTTTTGCCATCCAAGACGCGGTAGTCTTTCGCTGACTCCATGTCCTGCGGATCAGGAACCTTGATTCCCAACTCGAACGTCTTGCTTGGCATGTTCGAGCTAGCGATGATAACCGCGGAACTGTCGCTCTCATTGGCTCGATCGTGTCCCATTTGATCGGAGTTGGCTCGGTTGAACCCGCTATTGCCGGGATTGCCACCCTGTGAAGAGGTTCCCATCTCATAGATTCGGCGTGCTGCCTCTTTAAGCTTGCTGACGGTGTATTCCAGATCATTCGATAACAGAACATCATGCTCGTATCGGAGCTCGAAGTCTATATCTATTAGCTGTTCGGAATAGGGTCGGTGGGTGTCCATATGCGGGGAACTCTTGCTCTCTCAGCAGCATACCTGTCCCAGAAAATCCAGCTGACCCTGCCTCCACACTTCTGGGTCTGAGAAGTAGCGCAGATTATCCAGCCAGTCCGCGTGGATGAGCCGTGGAATGTTGGCATCTACACCCGAATGCAAGTTCAGTTAGGTGTCACCACAAGCTACGCGACCCAACGGTTCTCCTCACTTTTGTACCCAGGATGCGAGAAAATGCCAGATATCGCAGCCAAAGATTTCGGCGGAGCAGTGGTTTGTGCTGGCCCAGGCGGCTGGGCTCTGCTAGCGTCTCCTGGAGGGGCCGGCCCATCAATATCCGAACTTGAGATGCCTTCATAGGGCGGAAAGGAGCTTTCGGCGGATTGCTTCGCAAAGGCCTCTCGGAACTTAGAGTCCGCCTCGTATGCGAAAGGTCTTCCATCTTCCCGGAAAATCGGAGTTTCCATGTTCCAGTATCCGACCAGAATATCGAACTCCGTCAGGAAATCCTCTATGGATGACCTTTTCACAGGGAGATTCTCAATGTAACTGAAAGATGTCGTGTTAGAGGTGCGATTGCGTATTTCAGTATTCACGCCGGAATCACATACTTGTTGATCCCTTCGAACGCATTCAGGGTGTTAAGCGATCCTTGGGAGGGTTTCGTGTTACATATCATTCGATAGTCTTTGATGAATTGGATCCGATCGCTGTGCACGAACATCTGTTTGAGCATAAGCGACACAAGCACAACTGAAGAAAGGGCTAAACTTAGATTGGATGTGTCGGACGCACCTTGGCTCTTTGCAAGAAGATCTGAACATGCTTTCGACCAACCCCATGGGTTATAGCCCAGCGTAAGAACACGACCAGGTCGCCAATGTCGAATTGTGGGTCATCACCGAGGTCGCTGTGACCCAGTCCTAGCCCATCCGAGTTGCTTGCGCCAGAACCATTGCTCTTCCCAGTATCTTGATCATTCGATACCCCAGAAGACTTGGTGGTTGCTCGACTCTTTCCTGACGGTGTTCCAGCCGGCTTTGCCCGCCCAGGAAGCAGGCCACGTCTCTCTTGCTCGATTCTGTCGGCTTCTGCTCGCGCCTACGTTCAAGGATTTGGTCAGGCGTCCCATACGGAAATATGTAATATGTGCCTTACCTCCTCCTCCCTCAGCTTTTGTAGATGGGCTTCGTGCGCCTCCGACAGCCTTTCGAACCTTTCTGCTGTGTCCACATATTCAGCATGTAGATGTTCTTGATACCGTTGGAACACAGGGAAGAAATTGGCGACGTCATGTGATGTTCGGCAGAAACGAGCCCATCTTGAGAGCATGAGGGCGTTTTGCTCCAACAGGAGAGATGCTTTATGCTTGAAGAAATCCACCAGCATTACGAGTAGCTGGTCGTGCGCTAGACTATCATCAAGTTGCCAGTAGGTATCGAGCTGCGCGAAAGAAATGTCAGGAGCAGCCAAAAAAGAAAGCGCTTGGATTCAGCACACATACCTCATCAGCTATGAGCTTGGAGGAGCTTGCAGCTCTCTCTGGGACGCTGGTCTTGACTATTTCCTCTATGCGCTCCGCGCGCATATGCTTGTACTTTTCGAACACACTGAGAGATGTTAACAATCCTGTTCAGGTTCAGGGTACTCCTCGAAGTGCATACCTTATGGATTGGAACGCAGCCAGCCGGTCAACTCTCCCACTCGTGTTTTGATAGTCCTTCGCCCGCTGTTGCTGTAAAACTTTGATATCGGATAACAGCTATCAACAGAAGTCATTATGACTCCCAGGTTTTCGCCGTATGCCATATGCATGTGGGAAACGGTACCTCATCCATGCGCTTATCCAGAGCAAATAAACTCTCAGGCGGCGGCTGCTCTTTTAGCTCGTCGGGTATCTCGGCCTCCACCCGCTCGTTTCCCATCGCCTCTTGCTCTGCCATAGCTGCCAGTGCTGCGGCTCCGGCAGCCAAGGCAGCATTATCGGCGGCAGCGGCGGCCATTTTCTCAGTGTTGTCCGCTCCCGATGGTTTTGGAATCTTTCTCTATGATATATTCGCCTAGGACCGGGATGTGCTGAATCCGATATTGGAGCTTCTAATTGCTGTTTTACCAGGTCGTTGTCCAAATTCTGATGAGAACTCACCTTCGGACACCAGCGCGTTGGAGTCGCGTCCACACGTAATCGACGCGATGCGCAGCCACGTTTGGCCTTATTGACTTTGGAACTAGCCCTTTTTCGCAACCAATTCCGCCTTCGCCACGGCCTGCATTCAAGGAAAGCGCTAGCAAAGATGTCGCTGGACCATGGTCCGCATTCTGGGAGGAGGCGGCGGTCGAAGGACGGTGGGTATCCTCAAATTGCTACAAAACTCGCGTATGTAAAAGTGGTCTGAGCGTTGTTTGTGTGCATAGTGATTAAGGTTCATGAACTGCAAGGTCAGCGAAAGAATCATATCCATGTAGCCATGAGCCCATCAATCATGATTTTGACATGCTCCTCAATAAGAAATGCTATCCTGCACCAATCCACAGTTGCGGATGAACGTAGTCCAGTTGCTTCTGAGCAGGATGAAACAGTCTTCGGTCATCATGGATGCGTTGCAACCGGGGAGGCCGCTGAGCACCGTTCGAACCGCTCTGAGCACCGTGCATCAGCTTGCTAAGAATGAAGAATATCGGTTGGTTCCTTGAATCTGGGCACGGCATCGATCCCCATCTGATCTAACAAGGAAACATTTAGCAAGGACCTCGCCCGTCGCGGCTTCCTCAAGAAGCTCGTCGAGCTCCTCCTATCGTCCACGGACCAAGACGTCTCCCGACTCGCGCTAATGGGTCTGTGTCGGCTGATCGACGGGAGCGAGAGCCGCGCTGTGCGGATCGTTCGATACGGTGTTATTCCTCCGCTGGCTTCCATCATTGCGCTCTCTGGTTCTTGCGTTGATGATTTGGTTCATTGGACTTTGGTGAGGCGCGGGTTTGATCTCATGCGAGATTTGGCGTTTAGCTGACTTTGAGTACAGCTTTTGGCGCATCAGCTTACTCTGTGCGGTACGTGAAAGGGCATGTGGTCGTATTGAAAGGAGTTCAGACAATGTCTTATTGCAGTGTTCTTTTAGAGGACGTCCAAATACGACTGCTTGATGCCGGCTTCCTCATGCACATGGGACGCCTGGTTCGCTTGACATATGGCAACGACAGTCTACAGCGGCTATGTATGCACTCCATCGTTCGGCTGCTGTCAAAGATCCCCTCGTTCGGTTTGGCTTGTATTATTACACTCACATTCACCGGGTTGAAGCTAACTCAGTCTTTCCAGAACTACTGTGGGAGCTCCAGGAGTTACAGAGCCTCGATTTACTCCCTTTGCTCGCCATGGGCTTACGGAGTGGTGCGCACACACGTGTTGTAATCCGTCCGATGCATCTATCTCACAACCCGTGTTAATAGACGATAACCAGCTAGTCTGTTGGTCCCTCTTCCTCATCCACGAGTTCGTCAATAAAGGTATGCATCTACAGTAAGTCTAGCCTTAGATGAGCAGCCAGAACCCCATATTACACATGTAGATATCGGTAAAGAACAACTGGCGTCCGTCCGAACTGTCTACACGTCCCTGAGCGCTCTCCTCGGCCATGAAGAGGACAACGTTCCTCGGCTGGCGTTCGGGACGCTGAAGCATCTGGCGAGTGGCAACTGTAAGCATCTCTTGACGTTTCGTTGCACGTCCTCGGGCTCATGAACTCCCAGCACAGATTCAGAAGGACATGATCGCATCGGGAATAGTGGGAGCGGTCGTCCCGATGTTGAAGACGGTGCCGGGTGGCAGTGCTGAGTCGGCCTGTTGCAATGCGTTGGTAGGTCCACAGTGCATAGCGTATTGGTTGCGATATCCTTTCTGAGGGTAGCTTCTTAGGCGCTCTTGCATGATCTTCTGGCTCACAGTAGGTGAAGGATGTGCATTCATCCATTCGATGTGCTCTTGACGTAACGCTATGTCCAGAGGAAGCCCATCCCGAGTTCATCGCCGCAAACGGCTTCTCACTCCTGCTCGCCTTTGATGCCTCTACAGATCAAAACTCATTGTAAGTACACCATCCTGCTTCAGTACATCACATACCACCATCCCAACTCACACTTCCTTCCTCCTTCAGACGAATCGTAGACATACTCATGTACTTCACCGGTAACCCCTCAAACCGCCCGCACATTGAAACTCACGACGTGGCCGGCACGGTGATGCGTATCTGCAGCTCTGATGATCCAGAGCTGCAGTATGCGGGATGTGCGTTGCTTTTGCATCTTGTTGGTGTTTCTGGTAACGTCTGGTAGCGTCTGCTTGCCTGCGCAGGCGTTTGGGTGAGATTAAGGTGTGCTGACTGCTTTCGTGGGAATAGAATTGACGAGGCAGAAGTTAGTTGCAGCGGGTGCATTAGAGCATCTAAACGCCCTCTTACTAGACGGCGAGCGAAAAGACGTTCAGGTCGTGGCCGCAAAAGTTCTCGAAACGCTTGGGCGAAAAGGTTAGTCCTCCCTGTCCTCCTTTCCCAACCCATCCCTCTTAACCCCTCTACTCCTCCAGACCCCACCCTCACGGAATACATCCTTTACACCGCCATCATGCCCCTCGCCGGGCTTCTCCGGCAAGACGGCGGCGAGTACATCAAGGAACGGGAGGTATACGCGCACGACACGCATATGGTTAGCCCGCTCGTGGAGGAGATTACTGGAAGGTTGATGGCGTTGGATGTCATTTTGTGCTCGGATGTCTTCACGCTGCCTGGGGAGTTTCCGTGGGAGGCGCTTGAGGAGCTTTTGAGGGATTTGGTTGGGGTGGCGGCGAGGAAAGATGATGGGTCATTGAGTGGGAAGGGCAGAATTAAGTCGGAAGAGAGGTTGGAGGGTTGGCATCGGGCGATACCGACCAGTGAACCCACCACGCCAATATCAGGGGGAACTGACGATCCATTCTCGACGGAAGCCGACACAGATGATACTCTGATGAGCCAATGTTTGAAGGTTTATGCGAAGATTGTGAAGCAAGGTACGTAGAGCATGTCCAACCATGTGATATAGGACATGGGAGCATGATGCATCAGGCATAGTTACAGCAGCTGGCGATGATGGCGCTGCAACTAATGCCCTCCTCCCGGATTTGATGACGCTATTGCGTCGGCCGACGACTCATGATGCAGCCGCCGCTCTGCTCTCAGTGCTGGCGAGCATCCCAGGTACGTCCCCACATGCCCAGAAGAGACCTCAGCCGCCGTCACTAATCCAAAAAATCTCTGGACGAAACAGCACATAAGCCCGCCATCCTCCCCTTATCCTCCACCTTCCTCAAACTCCCCCTCCCAAACGGCCCAACCCGCCTCTACACAACCGCATTCCAAGAATCAGCTTTCGATTTCACACCTGCCACTTCCCAATCTATCCTCCCCGAGAACTACATCACATTTTTTCGGCCACCAACCGCAACATCAGGCCTAAAGATCAGTCCCCAAGGCTGCGAGGTAGCTCCCCCAAACTCTCACCACCCGCATCATCTCACACATGACTCACCCCTTAACCCCCTCAGCTCCTGAACGACTCCTGGACTTTCGAAACCGCCTATTCCCGCACCTCCGTCAGCGGGTCGGGGCGGTACGCATACGAAGTGGAGTTACGGTCTGATGGGATTTTGCAGATTGGGTGGGCGGAGAGGGTTGCGGGGTGGGATCCTGAGGTTGGGGTTGGCGTTGGAGGTAAGTTTGTGGTTGATGAGGAGTTTGGAGGTTGAGAGAAGGGTGATTGAGTAGGGGTTCAGATGATGAGTATTCGTATGCGGTTGATGGGAATCGGGGGAAGAAGTGGCATGCGGGGGTTACCACGGATGTACGTTGCATCTAGCATACCATTTCAGCTATCCGATGCTCATACATCCGTTGGTTTTTCAGAATGATTACGGCGAAGACTGGTTCATCGGCGACATCATCACCGCCGTGATCGATCTGGACGCTGGTGAGCTGGAGTATTTTAAAAATGGGAAATCAGTAGGGGCTGCGTTTACTGGCATTGACGCCGATGTTGCATGGTATGTGCAGAGGCCGTGATTAGACGTCATCGACGGTTGTTTTTGATGATTGTATATCTTTAGGTACCCTGCAATATCGCTTGCTGCTGGTCAAGGGTGCAAGGTCCGGTTTGGAGATGGGGTTGATCCGATTTGGTAAGTCCCATACATGATGTACATCTGCCGGTTTAGGAGATGCCAACGCAAAACATAGCTTTTTACCAGATGGCACGTTACCCATCCCAGCACTAATGAAAAGCAAAGAGGGCAAAGATATCGTGGGAGGTCATGGCCCAAACCCCCCCGTGGACGTAGTGGAGCAGGGAGTGGATAGCCATAGTTGGATCGCATTGTTTACGCCGACGTCCTACTACGAAGTGCATATCGGGCTGCGAGGACTGAATTATGAAAGGTACGTGCATCAACGCCAGACATCAACGCTCAGACATCACCGCCAAAAAAGACGCAGAAATCTTAAACATCACGTCCAGCATCCCTCAAATCGGCATCACGACGAAATCCGGTACCCTCCTCATCCTCGCCCTCCCCAGCGGCCAAATCGCAACACTGCTCTCCATCAGAGGCGGTATACTCATGAATGATCTCCAATCACGGATCCAAGACATACTCGAAAACCCTGGGCAAGATGATTTGGTTAGGGTGCTGCGACAGTGGGATGGGCCTGCGTTGAGGGAAGGCGATGTCATTGGATGTGGTGTGGACACGAAGGAGGGATGTGTTGGGTTCACTCTGAATGGGAGGGAATATGGTGTGTGTTTTCAGATTGGATCATCCATGGGAAGCACTTTGCTAATAGTTTGGCTTGTGTAGGACCTTTGGTGCATGTGGGACATCTGGACGACGTTGAGACTCCGTATCTGTGCATTGTCCCCCGATTCCAATTTGTGATTGAGCCGCCGTTCCTGTGGCGCTCGGGAGTCTCACTGTACTCATAGCGTAGTTGGCTTGGACCTACTCCATATTTCCAGTAGTTTTGCAAAGTTCCTCGTGATCGAAATGGATGTGAACATCCTGCACCCGTTTTCTCGACCTTTGGTTTACAATCCTCCTCCACGCCTCACCATCGACGACCATCTGTCCGCTCGACCACATCTCCTGCAGACAATCTGTGCACATCGTGCTTGCCAATCAATTCTATTCAAGTCTGGGCCCGCAGGAATGGTATATACAAAACTGCGTATTCATTCGATGCTGACCACGCAACAGACCCAGAATCCAGAACGAAGAAAGTGATGAAATGATCGACGGTTGGTTTGCCTCCCAGATAATGATAGAATGTATTTCCCTTAACGGTAGGACTTTTGGTAACGAGCGCGGGCACCGGCACCTCCGAACTTCTTGGGCTCGCACCGACGAGGGTCAGCGACAAGAAGGGTACGGTCGTACTGGACCAGGAGGTCCTTGATCTCCTTCTTCGACGCCTCGTCAACGTCTGCAAAGAATTACACATATGAGATACTGTCCGCACCGTCATGACACCACAACTGGTGACTTACACTTCTGGTAGAAAGCAACAATGGCCTTGGCAATAGCCTGACGGATAGCTACATGCGGGGGAAAATAAAATGTAAATCTCCAGCTCGGTATTCGACATGCCGACACAACAGTGCTCATGTACATACCGTAGATCTGCGAAACGTGACCTCCTCCGGAGACGCGGACACGGATGTCGATGTCGGCGAACCTCTCCTTTCCGAGGATGTGGATGGGCTCGTAGACCTTGGTCCTCAGGATCTCGGGCTCGACCAGGTCGATGGGGGAGCCGTTGACCTTGATGAGACCATGGCCACGCTTGCAGTGAGCCACAGCAGTGGCAGTCTTCTACTCATTCGAAAAGAAAGGAGACATTGGGAGTCAGTGTCCCAATTCGACATGACCTGTCTGCCTTGAAGAATCTCTCGTCCACCATTGCCGTTCCATGTCGACTGGCAATCTCCATTCCTTTCCCCGGCCAATGCGTGCTGCTATTCCATCTATCCACACCCAAATTCGCTTAGGCTCGGTACCGTGTCGTCGATCCTGGTGGGAATTGCGAATGGCTAACTCCTGCCACCTCCGTTTCGACCATTCGCTTTGACTTGTGCTATTCTCCCTCGAGCCCACATCCACTCCTCTCCCGTTCGACCCTCCCTCCATAGACACCTCCCCTACACAACATCTCTACTCCTGCATTTCCGACATGTACCTTACGACCGTAAGTCTGGACCGCTTCCGTCATGTTGAGACTGTAAATCAAACGAGCAGAGGTTCTGTAAGCAAATGCGACGCTGCGAATTCACCGCCACCGCTGGGGACGACAGATGGATGGATGGATATGCGCTATGTGGATGGATGGATGGATGGATGGACGGACGTTGATACTTACTATGTCGTCGATGGCGTGCGAGAGGGAGATCAACCGAGCGATTGGCTTCAGCGGTGTCCAAATCGACCCAGTCCCCAGAGTCAGAGCGCGTCTTCTACACACCGTGTTCTCATGCTCTCTCAACGAAATCATTTACCTTCACGTGAGCGTCACGTGGATGGTAAATTTCTTTCCCGGCGCTCGCAGCTTTTGTTTCGCAAGCGCCAAAGTTCGCTTCTCTCGCTTTTTCTTCCCTTCTCTTCACGACCATTTGGACGACAGCTCTTCGTTTCGGTCATTCCACCCGCAGCAAAGATGTCCGCCACGTACGTATTCTACTCCTCCTTCTGTTGTTCTCTGTGCGGGGCGTTGACGGTTAGCGATGGGAGCAATTCGTGTGAGAGCCCTTCTCAACCGAGGGTTCTCGGAGAAACACTAGACAGGATTTACCTCCAAGTACAGCGCAAGTCGGGCCATCTGCCATCACCTCTCACTGGCGTCCTTCTTTGCTCACCCAGAGTCTGACGCCGTGAGGAATTGGAGGTCTAAGCACGTTTGTTCCTCACGGAATTAGTGCTTTCCTCTCAAAGTCATACGACGCAACGTTGTGAAAGGAGGCATACCTCCTGGATCCGTTTTGTGACCCTGCTATCTATCGCTATTCTTGTCTATGGGAAGATAGAGAATGGATACAGGGGCTCCCCCCACCGGTACCTTTTTGGCAGATCGGTCTCTGACGTTTGTTTGCCACCCACTCCAGCGCCGAGAAGAAGGTCTTCGTGCCCGAGTCTGTGCTCAAGAAGCGCAAGACCACCGAGAAGGTCGCCGCTGAGCGTGCCGTCGCTGAGGCTGAGCGCAAGAAGGTATGTATCTCCTTCAATCCCCTTTCTGTTGTTTTGGTGGAGCTTTGGCGGGAGGACACAACGACCGTGATGCATCGAAAGTGGATGATGACGCCAATTTTACCACGACCAACGAATCCGCTACTACGGAGATGTAGTTGTCTAAATACCATCTTTCGGGACTGACGCTTTCGACGCATCACATTTCGGGGGTGACCTGGGAGAGGGGTTCCGGATACCATCCCTGTGGAGATCTTCAGTTCCTAACACTCCCATCTCCTTCTATCTATCAGTCTGCCAAGGCTAAGCGCAAGGTCATCTTCAAGCGTGCGGAGCAGTACGTCAAGGAGTACCGCTCCAAGGAGAAGGATGAAGTTCGCCTTAAGCGTCAAGCCAAGGCCAACGGAAACTTCTACGTGCCCGCTGACGCTCCCCTCGCCTTCGTCGTCCGTATCAAGGGTGTGATGAAGATCGCCCCCAAGCCCCGCAAGATCCTCCAGCTTTTGCGTTTGACCAAGATCAACAGCGGTACCTTCGTCCGTCTCACCAAGGCCACTCTCCAGATGCTTCAGTGGGTCGGCCCCTACGTCGCCTGGGGTTACCCCAACCTCAAGTCCGTGCGCGAGTTGATCTACAAGCGCGGTTTCGCCAAGGTCGACAAGCAGCGTCTTCCCATCACTGACAACTCTGTCATTGAGAAGCAGCTTGGCGCCAACGGCATCATCTGTGTTGAGGACTTGATCCACGAGATCTACACAGTCGGCCCCAACTTCAAGCAAGCTAATGCTTTCCTTTGGCCTTTCAACCTTTCCAACCCGACTGGGTACGTAGGAAGCTCATTTTTGGGGTTCCTGGGGGCTTTGGAGCATCGCATTTGCCGCAATGTGGACATCATACTCATTCTTTCCCTTTCTCCTTTTCCAGTGGTTTCAAGGGCAAGAAGGCTACCCACTTCATCGAGGGTGGTGAGTCTGGCAACCGTGAGGACAAGATCAACGGTCTCATCCAGAAGATGATCTAAGCAGTGTAGACCTTTCCATCAAAATGCATTGTGGGGTCGTTTCAACATAAAGGAGTCTTGTATTTTATGTACACATTTTTGAATGCAAAGATTCTCGTCATGTCACTTCCGTTCTTCAACTTCCGCACGCTGAATACATAAGAGAGATGCGTGCTGGAAGCCACTCGAAAGCACTTTCGGGTATATCTTATGTCTCGCCGACACGCTTCACACAAAGAAGTCCTAACTCCTGCAACCCCGTAAAGCTTTTCCAATCGCATCACCCAAACGTCCCATACAATTCCGTCAACGCCTTCGACAACTCCTGCGCAACCCATGCAACCCTTGTTCTCTTCTCCTCCTTGAAAGCCTCCAACATCTTCCCAAACTTATCCGGATGCCAAAGCAACAGACTATCCTTCACCATCTTCCTCTTCTCGTCCCTTGTGAATTCGCAGCCTTCAAACAGGAACTGGTGTATGCTGTTGGCAGTGATTTTATCCTGGCTTAAGGAAGGGATCGGCAGGTCTCGGTCGTCGAGAGTGTTTGGCGGAGCGGCTTTGAGGGTGGTCCATCGCGAGCGATATTTCTGTCGGCCGTCAGTTAGGCGCGATGCGAAGGAATTCGGATCCCTCAAGGCGTCCGCGGCTTTGCGTTGGGCTTTTCCCTTCCTCCTTTGGTGTAGTTCTTCTTTCGTTCCCCTTCCCCAACTTTTTTCCCCTTCCGTTCGGCGGCGTGCGTAACGGTTCCTCGGCCCTTTCTCACGTTTCACCTCCATCCCTTCGCGTATCCCGTCTGCCCATGTATCGTAATTCTGCCAACGTTTCGGAACCGCGCCGCTCCAGGCCGCCCATTCAGCTTGGCGGGAGTCCTGCTGTTCGGATTCGTCCTTTACATCGCTCCAGAGAGATTCTTTTTCTTCTTTGATGGAGATGAAGTCGTCGCCGAAGTCGGAAGTCGGGATGGGTTTGTAGTAGCTGGATTTGGGTATCTTTGAGCTAGATTGCGGCGCGAACTGGGTTTTATTCTTTCCGTCGTTCCAGAGTGGTTCCTTTTTGAGAGGGCGGAAATGATCGGTAGGTTGAGACTTTGAGGCGCGATGCTGCGGTGGGGGAGCTGGCGCTGGAGGTGGCGAGAGCGGTCGTTTGCGCTTGAAGGAGAGCTTGGAGGTCGACATGTGGCCGGTTGTGAACGCCATGGTGGGCAGATTCACTCTCGGAGACGATGTCGGAGACGATGGAATTGGGGACGGGATTCAGACGGGATTGACGACAGCGCGAACTCCACGCGTTTTCATACTTGTGGTCATCCATACCATCGGCGACATAGACGACCTCCTAGACGACCTCCAAACCGTCGCGAAGAACCGAATAGCATGTGAAGTGTTTTGGAATTCTTTCTCACCTCAATGAAACTATGGGGCTTCCAATGGACTAATCTACATATGTATACATATATACAGCACGGAGCGCCCAAGACTTTGCCCAATGTTCTCCTTACGGAACGGCAATGGATGCATTTAGTGCGATCCAGCAGAGTAATTGCATCATCCCATTGGGTAACGAGTTTTCAAATGTTTGTAATGTAAAGCATGTGCGTAAGTCTGAGTGAACTAAACGGCTTTCTCCACATGCTTCCCATCCGACCCTCGTTCCCAAAACCGATCGGGATGAGTAACTCCCAAAACTATCCCATCACGTGCAGCCAGCGCAATGAGCCGGTCTGTTGCGCCATCGGCGGCCAGCATTTTCGAAATATACCATGAGCTGAGTAAGAGCCATGCAGCACCAGTTTTACCTTCCGCTCATCGCGAGGGATGACTTTCTCCACACAGAGTCTCCACCGAAGCCTAGCTTGGCGTCCTAGCCACAAACTTCACCGTACACTGTGCTCGTTCCATCAACAAGCGCGAGTTTTATCGTAATTTTGGTCGACGTCGAGTTTACGTGAGGAGAGTGTCAGCCGTGCGTGGCTTTCCTCCGCGGCGGTCAATTACGATTAGCGCTGCTGCAATTTCTCAGGGACCCCTGCGCTTTTTGGGAAGTTCGAAGGAAACAACAATAACCGTAGGCGTACGCGGAGGGTTACTTACCGTGTGTTGAGCTGAAAGCATCCAACGTTCAGGTCGATTGCAAAGATTAGAAGAGGGTCCCATCTTTGATATCACACTCGATCCATTACCAAGAATGCCGAACGCCCTTGAGGTGTTCCAAGTTCTGAGCCGTGTTAGAGAACCGCCGCTTCGCCGTTTGAGTCTTGGTAACGAAGAACAAGGGCTGATTTGGAAGGTCGACTCCAAATTTCCGGTGCATCAGCGCAGGACAGTCCAGCAGGCCGTGTATGGACTGTCCTGCGAGCTTTATCGTCTTCCTCGGCGAAGATCGAAGTGCCGTTGTGTGGGAGTGGATGCGGGTTATGGAAGTGCTTGGAAACAGCGTTATGGAAAGACTTGGAAATCGACCAAGTTCCGAGAAGCTCACGCGTTTGTCGGTCACGCAGGCAAGAGAGGCCGAATAGGAAATTTCTTCCATCGAAGGTCGGGGAGAGGACAAAAGGAGGCCGGCCAGTGATCACCCTTTGCCCCGTAGCACTTGCTTAACATCACCCAAGGCAAACGTCTCGCTTTCACAAACAAGCTAAACACACACTATGTTCCGCTCGTCAGCAAAGCTTGCAAGGGCTGCCCTCTCCGGCAGGGCCGCCACCGCCAACCAGGTCAGGCACTTTGGTGGCCACAAGGAGATCATGTTTGGCCAGGAGGGCAGGCAAGGTCTCGCTCGTGGTGTCGACATCCTCGCAAAGGCTGTCGCCGTGACCCTCGGACCTAAGGGAAGGAACGTCCTCATTGGTGAGTGAATACGAGGTCCCAGATCGGGAGTATTCCTTGCGATTCAGACCCATTAGCAGCATCACTAATTGGCCTCCCCACTAATAGAGCAATCATATGGATCTCCAAAGATCACCAAAGACGGTGTGACTGTTGCCAAGTCCATTGTCCTAGAGGACAAGTTCGAGAACTTGGGTGCTCGTCTTGTGCAAGACGTTGCTAACAAGACCAACGAGACTGCTGGAGACGGAACCACCACTGCCACCGTGCTGACCCGTGCCATCTTCACCGAAGGTCTGCGGAACGTTGCTGCCGGTGTCAACCCCACTGAGATGAGGAAGGGTGTCCAACAAGCCGTCGACACCATCGTCAAGGTTCTCCAGGACAACAAGCGCAACATCACAACGTCCCAGGAGGTCGCACAGGTTGCTACCATCTCCGCCAACGGTGACAAGCACGTCGGTGCGTTGATTGCTCAGGCTATGGAGAAGGTGGGCAAGGAGGGTGTCATCACCGTCCAGGAAGGCAAGACTCTCGTCGACGAACTCGACATCACCGAGGGTATGCGCTTCGACCGCGGATACATTTCTCCATACTTCATCACCGACACCCGCACCCAGAAGGTTGAGTTCGAGAAGCCTTTGATCTTGCTCTCCGAGCGCAAGATCTCGCTTCTCCAGGATCTTCTCCCCGCTCTTGAGGTCGCCGCTACCCGTCGTCGCCCTCTTCTCATTGTTGCTGAGGACGTTGACGGTGAGGCGCTTGCCGCATGTATCCTCAACAAGCTCCGTGGACAGGTCCAGGTTTGCGCCGTGAAGGCTCCTGGCTTCGGAGACAACCGTAAGGCCATCCTCCAGGACATGGCCATCCTGACCGGCGGGACGGTCTTCAGCGACGAGGTCGACCTCAAGCTCGAGAAGTGCACGCCAGAAGACCTCGGAGCCGCCAACTCCGTCACTATCACCAAGGATGACACCATTTTCCTCAACGGAGCTGGCTCCAAGGATGCCATCAGCCAGCGCTCTGAACAACTCCGCTCTCTCATCAACAACACCACCTCCGACTACGAGAAGGAGAAGCTGCAAGAGCGTCTCGCCAAGCTTGCTGGCGGTGTCGCCGTCATCAAGGTCGGTGGCTCCTCCGAGGTCGAGGTCGGCGAAAAGAAGGACCGATTCGTCGATGCTCTGAACGCTACGCGCGCCGCTGTCGAGGAGGGTATTGTCCCCGGTGGAGGCACAGCCCTCCTCAAGGCCTCTAAGTTCCTCGCCAACATCAAGCCCGAGAACTTTGACCAATCCCTCGGTATCGACATTGTCCGCAAGGCCGTCCTCGCCCCTTGCAAAACCATCGTCAACAACGCCGGCGAGGAAGGATCCGTCGTCGTCGGTCGCCTGCTCGAGTCCTACAACATCCCCGCGGAAGGCACCTCTGCCTCTGCCGACTCCTCGAACTTCAACTACGGATACAACGCCGCCACGGGAACGTACGTCGACATGATCAAGGAGGGTATCATTGACCCTCTCAAGGTCGTCAGGACCGGTCTCGTTGATGCTTCCGGTGTCGCTTCCCTGCTCACCACAACCGAGTGCATGATCGTCGACGCACCAAAGAAGGAGGGTGCTGCGCCTATGGGTGGCATGGGTGGAATGGGCGGTATGGGCGGCATGGGTGGCATGATGTAGAGAGCGTTTTCCAACATTTCATATCCATCCCTTCATCTCTTGCATCTCATCATCCCCGCATCGCATCACATCATTCCTTATCTATAATCGCGTCAATTGGGCGCCTCTTAGCTTCGAATCGAGTAGATAGCCGTCGCTGCAGATCCATCTAGGCTACGGTTTTCTTTACTACGTAGCAAATGGGTTGAAGAGTGGAGACGGGGCGTAATCATTTTGTATCATAGAGTTTTCTTGTATTTCAACGGCTTTCTGGCATCAATATGGCTCTATGGCTAGATGGCTATTATGCTTTGTTCTCGTGGTTGGATCGAAAGCGGTCTCGGAACAACTGAGCTCAGACCGCGTCCTTCAAACGATCTCCTTTTCCCCAAGTTCCCAGGCCTCTTCCGCACACCAATGCAACCAATCCTCCTCGTCAACAACGCTCTGCTCCCACATTGGGCCATCACGAACGACTCGGCCATCCGTGGCATGTTCCGCTGTCAAGGTAGTTCATCTGAAGATCCATCTTCATTCTCGCGATGTCTTCAACACGGTGTTTCCCACACAACCTACCGTAGACGTCACAATCTCTCGGAACTTGCCAGCCGTACGTTTCCTGGCAGTCACTGCTTTGTGAAGCCGGAACAACACTCACCGACTCCTGGCGACCAACAAGGATATCACATGCCCTAATTCATCCCTAGCGGTTCTCTGCGTCGATGCCTCATCCGCCGACCTCGAATCGCGTGAGTTTGTGGATGCTTTGCAAGACAGGTAACCTGAACGAAGCCGCTGCTTCAATATCTCACGCTACCTGCGTTTAAAATCCTATTCTCATCGCCCCTCCCCAGAGTCACTCGAAGCACTTACAAATTCGCCCACGTCCATCTCCTCATCTGGCTGCGCGAACGGGACCCATCACCCTTCCTCCAGCTGCAAATTCTCCTGTTGGGAACAAGCGGGATCCAGATGCATCCGGTACACTCGACTGCGGAGGTGCGGGATGTGGTGATGAAGATTGCGTGGTTGGCGAGTCAGGAGGCTGCGGGGGTTGTGCAGGGGAAGATTACTCAGGTATGCGCTACTGCAGAAGATACTGTTCTTTTACATCGGACGCACCTTCCACGAAGGCAGTTTAATTGTGACGGATGCAGATGATGGAGGAGCTCCCGCAAGTGAACATAACTTCCCAAGGCGCCTGGTTGCCGCTCATCACGCTCATGTCCGGCACAGCTACACGGTTGAAACCTCATGGTACGTCTCTCATTTCCCCTCACATTTGCGATATGTACCCTTTGATATTACCCTCCGGCGTTATATCTCTTCTGTACAGACTGCTTCGTAATCCAAGAAGGCGCTCAAACCTTCGCCAACATCGCCCGAGCGAGCGTTGCGCAGTTGCGGGATTTCTCGCTGGATAAGGGCACCGCGATTGCTGTGCGGGCGTTCTTTGAGGAGGAGACTGTCATTTGAGACGTGCAGCAAACCTATGAAGTGTGCGGTGGAGAGCAGCGTTGAGTAGTATGGTAGCCTGTGATACGTATATAAGTGGGTGGATTTGCGATGTCTTGTGCTGTGCGGTATGATAGGCATTTGGATCTATCGATAGAATATGTATGTTATGAAAGAATACACCCGTTTATCCTTCACACCCCGATTTCCAGCTCGCTTCCTCATCGACTCCGCTGCCCACTCTCTACTGATCCGGACGATTCCGGCGCCGCCGCACTCACATATCAAGACGAAAGAATAGGGGGACACTTTTTAGGTCCGGCGGCGCCATTATGATCCCCCTCGTTTCTCACACAGGAAGTGGTGCATGGCTGTACCTCGGGTTCTGGCGAAAATTGGTTGCATACTTCAAACATCCGATGCTCGACAAACAGATGCAAAGGAGCCGAACTTCAAGCTTTTTAATCCGAAGGAATTAAAATGCGCGATTTCTGACAGAACTTCGACAGTTGGAAGCACGATTGACAGTATTTGGCAATTTTTCGGTCAGAGACCTCGGTTCCTCGCCGCATTCACGTTCTACACTACATAAAACTAGTTGTCATGTACCCTCAACAGACGGGGTCCCCAACCCCCTCTATTTCGGGGCGGCATGTTTTCTTCAGAGTCCGTGGCGGGCAAAAGTGCGGGTGACCTGACCCTCGTAGTCATTCGATAGTTCCCAGCGTGTCCGCTGCCTGACCAAAACTTTATCCGAGTCGCCGATGCCCATGAGGCGCCGTCACAAGAAGGTTCCCCAACCAGCTATCTTTCCGTACGGCAAGAATATGTGGAGGCCAGGGCCGGCGGCGCCGGGCGCTCTGTCGGAGTGGGATATCTTTTGCGCTGTCCCGGTCTCGGTGCCTTCGTCGCCATACTCCACCTTCGTCGCCGTAAATGGGTTCCGGCTTCCCACCCGCACTGTTTGTGGAGCGGGTGCTAGGTTGGGCGGGCGGTGGACCTTGCGGGGGTTCGATTAACTTACATGTTGATCCGGGCTTTGCAAGAGCCCAGCGCATTACGATGCATGATACCCTATCGAGCTTTGCTAGAGCGTAGTTGCGGAGGAAGTAAACTCGGCGAAGGATGTGGTTGAAGATGTCCAATCCATCCACACTGCTTCGTCGGCTATAAAAGGAGGGAGGGGTGCGTCCAGATTCCCTTCTCATCAACCCACCAACCCACCAACCCACCAACCCACCTCAACACCTCAACAAGAGCAACCAGTCTCATCCAATCACAATGCGCTTCTCACTCACCGCCGCCCTCGTCGCCATCGTGGCTGTTGTCGCTCTCACCGCCGCCCCTGCCCTCGCCTCCCCCGGCGATGCCTCCGGCACCACCATGTTCAATGGCCTCGACTTCAGCTTCCCTGAACCCACCTCGGCCCTCACCACCCGCGCCGGCAAATGCGGCTGGACCGAAGGCATCCACTGCGCGGTCATGGTCGCCGCCACCGGCGGTTGCTTCGCCGCCGTCGTCCTCGGCACTTTCGCCACTTCCGGCGCCGCTTTCGCTGCTTTCCTCGGATGTGCCATTGTTTCTGAGAACGGGGTCAAAGCGTGCTTGCCGTGCATAAAGAAGGCGTGGAACAAGCTCGTGAAGCTTGCGCACAAGCACGGCAAGCGCCTTCCTTGGGAGAAGCGCCGTAGGGATATCGGGGCGCCCCGCAAGCCCAGTGCGAAGGCCGTGGCTGACTGTGTTTTCGATCTGGTGAACAACGAGGGTTACAACACTGTTGCTGCCAACCAGTTCTGTGCGCTCGACATCTAGAGCCGATGGCAACTTCCTCACTCTCTGCAATCGGACGATCTTTCAGATGTTCCTCCGACTACTCAACCGACATCCAACCTTCGTTGATCGAACTGATCCAACCTTCGTGATCGAACTGAACATAGACATTTTACATAGACATAGACCTTTACTCTGAACTTTTGCATAGACATCTCATTCTAGAATCCCATCTCCCCCAAACTTTTAGACATCCTGTAGATACTGGGAGATGATGGGGCTGCTTGGCCAGCAGTATTTTGTATCTGTTGTGTAAACCTTCCTTTTTTGAATTCAATCCCCGCTTTCAAGCAACTAGTTTTCTGCCCACTCTTCTCGTACTTGCACTTTCGTGGAGCAGCCATATGGGAAGCCGGCTATGATCCTTGAGCAATGGAGGAGCGTTCGTGGCATTCCGAATGGTGTCAAAGGACGTGGTGGTGGGCAATCTCAGAGAAAGAATGCATATACCCTTTCACATCACAAAGCATTGAGATTGAGCGGCAAATGCCGGGTACATGCTATTCTTATCCTTGGGATAAGCACGGCATATATTTGCCGGCACAGAGACGACGAACAGCATTGCGAAAACCCACTTGCCGCCCACACAATTGGGACTTGACGGTAATCGGTCTTTGCAAAGCACTCCGATTAACGAGGACGCCTCTCACTCCATTTCCGACAATATGAGTGATCACCATAAACCTTGGCGCGCGAGAGTGCGCTCATGGCGGCTGTCGTACTACAATCTCTTGGGGATTCAGAGCATATGAACGATGAACGTTGTCAGATATGAAATTGACTATCCCAACGATTTCTATTCCATCCCGCACAAGATGTCCATGTTTCCTTCACTCTGTTCTCACGTCTTTCCTTTCTTAAGCGCCTTAATCGCTTTCTTCGACCCAATGTCCTTTGCCATCTTCATAACCACAGCCGGCACGGACACCCCAGCCTCAACCAGCCACTCACACGTCTCCCCATCATCCTCCATCGCCGCCCTGCGCATCAAACGCCCTGCACCTTCCTGACATCCTTTGATTTGCCCCTCGATCACCTTTTGATGCATCGCGAGGGTTGCCAGGATTTGTTTGCGGATGGGCGCGGTGGATTGTGCGAGTGTCAGCAGGATCGAGTCGAGCGGGAGGAGGGCGTGCGTGAAGATTGCCGTGAGGAGGTGTGGGTGTGCGAGAAGCTGAGGGAGGGCTGAGGCGGGGATGAGCGGTGGGGAGAGGTGAGGGAGGATGCGGAGGAAGAGCGGATGCAGTGGGGATTGGGAGATGAGGTGGTCGAGGATGGCGGGGTGTGGATTGATTATCGTCATTCCGGATGTTGGAGTCTGCTTCAAGGGTGGAAGAGAAGCTGTTCCACCGGCTAGCGAATGTTGCGATCCCGGATAGTTTTTCGCAGCGCTTTTCGACACCAATGCACCGTCTGCACCTTCTTCATCTTTGTTGCCCTCAACGACACCTCGCAGGACACTGACACATCCCTCTAAACATCCTCTCCCCAACATCCCCTGCACAACGCCATCGACATCCGTCACAAAGCCGGCCGCGACACACCACTCCACCACCCGCTCATCATCGCCCATCTCCGCCACCGCATCATCCAACACCTTCCACCCACCCCACACCCGTGGCCCCGCCCCGCGCATCACCGCCACATCCCTCCTCAAACTGCCTACATTAGGCGGCAGATCCCCCTGCGATTGCAGCAATTCAATCAATTCCGCCGAAACAATCCGACGCTTGCATGCCCGGAATATCAAATCCATCGCCCGCGTCATCGCCGCGGCATGGGCACCCCACGAACCGCCAACGAGTTTGGGCAGCCGCCGTGCGCGCCGCGGCGAGACCAACCAATGGTACCGCACGTCGACATTCCTGCCTACATTCCTTAGCCGTGTGCACGTCCTAAGCAACGCGGTAGGTTCGTCAATGAAATCAAGGATCTTCTCCAGCGCCCCCGGCGTCAGATCCGCGAACGTGCTATTCTTCCCCCGCAATGTCCTCCCGTACGTATCCTCGAGATCCCCATCGCCATCGTGCAACGAGGACGTGGATAAGGTGGTTATTGTGAAATTGGTGTTCGGGGCGATGTGGTCCTCGGAGCGGAGGAGATGGTCTTTCCCATCGCCGTTTTGTAGGCGGGAGAGAGGGGTGTTGCGCATGAAGCCTGGGATTTTTCGGGATAATGCCAATCTTTGAGGTGATGAGGGAGGGACATGGCGGATATCGGTGCGGCTCTTTTATGGCCTTCGAAATTGATATTATAGTCTGCATTTCGCCACATTTTTGCGGTGTGGATGTGTATCTCCCTGTGCTGGCAATGGAGGATGTGGTCCGAGCTTCTCCTTCATCATCCCTCTCAATATCTTCAATCCTTGGATGCACCTTTTTGCAAGGATTTCCTGTGCCACTGCCTCTCCTTCTGGTATATATGTTGCCAAAGGTCAAACCCTCCCCGTTGCAGTCTCAGCTCTTTCCGTCGCAGCATCACCTTCGACCTGGATAGCCACGCTTCAACCATATGCGGTCCGAAGGACATCAAACGGCCTTCGCTTCAATGGAGCGAAAGGACGCGACAGGTCTGTCAAAGATCAACGACCCAACAAAGTTCTGCTTATCTCTTTCGACGCCGTGCGGATACCATGATCCTAAGCATGGCAGGGAAATCGAGTTTTCTTCCAGTAAAATTGCCGTGGAAAAGTGGTACTATGTCATTACTCGGTATGTACAACCCGAAGAGCGGGTATAAAAGCTAGTCATGTATGTACGCCCGGGCGTCATGCGCTGCTGGGGTACCTTCCCCGACGCATCTCAGAAGGCGGGGTATAAAACCATTCGGCCTTCGAAAAAAAAGATGCAACTTACTGTTCGGAGTATATGTGCCGACGCCGTGGTGGATGCCGACTTGCGCGCTGTATGGTTCGCGCTGACCCCATGTCCTCCCCGCCCAAATGGCCGCCAACACGATCTCATCCAACCTACTCAAAAACCTCCTCAAACCGCTCAATACAAATCCTAATCACATTTCCCGCCCCTCCACTCTGCGCGCCCATCGCGCCCATACTAAAATCCGCGATCGGGTTATCGCTCCGCACCAGATTCGGCGCCCACACAATGGTGAGGTTGGTTGATGTCATCAGGTTTGTTGAGGAGTTGGCGTGGATGTCGTGGAGGAGCGCGAAGGTTGCTTCGAGGAGAAGGTAGGTTGGGCGGGGGAGGAGGGGGAGGATGGTGTTCTTTGTGTAGGATAGGCGGGCGGAGTCTGTTGGGAGGCCTGTGGGTAGATGTGGAGCGTCAACGTGATAGAAGGAATGTGCGTTGAGTAAGAAGGAGTGATCTTACTTTGTATCCCCCGTATCGTATCATACATCGCCGCCGAAAACACAGGATTTGGAAGATCTCGAAAGAAAGTCTTTAGCAATACGCAGGCGAGATGCACATCCCCTGATGCTTGCAGATCGTATGTGGATTCTGCAGTCTGGTATGCCCGTTTCGCGGCTTGCAGTTGTTGTGATGCTGGTGATCGGCGGAAGATGCCTTCCACGTTCATCCCTAACAGTTGAGTATGTCGGTCAGCCCACGTTTGCGACACGAAGCCCAGGACGACGGCGACGTTACCGTCTTTCCGAATGTACTCGATGCAATCCGTCACGACCCGTGGTAACCCCTCCTCTCCATTCAGCCCCATGATCTCCTCCAATGGTTTCCCGAAAACACTAGAAGTGTCTGGCGGAAGCTTCTCCATCGACACTTTCCCGCTGCTACTCTTCGCATCCACCCTATCAAAGATCAAAACCTCAGCGTCCAGATCCTCTCGTCCACGACATAGCACGTTCGCCTACTCACGCCAAGACCGCCTCAGGCACGTGCAACTGCTTCAAAGGCACAGAACCTCCCAACTGCGCCAAACTGTATACCCAGACCAGCTTGCGCGCAAACTTCGGGCTGATGGGGAGAGATACACGGGAATTGTCAGCTCAAACGCTATTCGCGCCATCTTTGCCTTCAAAGCGCTCCTCCAATGCTTAAGGAATGATCCTCGCTGGGTAGAATAACAACCTCACCACAGCTCCCATTCCTTGGATGATTAGGCGTGGCCAAAGGGATGGGTGGACTATGAACATCGACTTTAGGTTTTTGCGGTATCTGGAAGGTGGAGGCGTTAGCTTTGGCGCGGTACCATCCATCATGATTCGGTTCTCAGATCCGCTTACTTTCTTCCTAATAATGAATACGCCCGGTAAAGGAACGACCATCCCGGCTGGTACTGTGAGCCCGCGGCGAAGAACACTAGCACATAATCGCTCTCCACAACTTCATCTAACCGTTGCAGAAGCAATCTTCCAGACACATTAGGGCAGGGGTCAGCGCCTCCTCGAGATTCATTCCAACGGTCCTATTCTCCAAAAAGCCTCACTTGAGCAAGTCATCATAGTTCGCCGCGCGAGGGTCCGGGAAGAAACACGAATACATGGCCAAGATGGGGCGGCTTTCAAAGTCGACACCTGCCAAAAATTAGACCGCCATTCGTGAGTATGCCGCTCTAACTCCGTAGGTGAGATAATCAAGGATACGAACCTGCTTCTTGTATTATCTGATCTCGCACAAGGGCTTGCAACTCACTGTGTTCCATAGGCTTCGGGGCGGCCGAGAATGCGGAGAACATGGTGAGATTTTCGGAGCTAATAAATCCTCAACCTGTTAGGCTGTTGAGAGCGCTGATTTGAAGCTCAAGATGTAAGTCAAAAGTACGGTTGAATGTGTGCTCAGAATGTTCAAAGTTCGGAATGGGCGTTATCATACCAGCCGCTTTCGCCAGCCCCTATGACGAGATGGTCTCCTCGAGCGGCAGGCGCGTCGTCCACATCTGCACCTATTCATTTATGGGACTTGGGGATCATATGAGAAGCTCGTTTATTTACAAAGCGTTTGTACATGTACAGACAAACCGAAAGAGTCTGCCGAGAAGAGCCTAAAATACACACATGGTACACCGATTCCAAAGCGCTATGTACATTTCCTATTTGGGATGCGGCATCTATCGAGTAATAGGCCATCCAATCTACTTGATGACACACCGCCAGTCGTTTCTACACTCATCGGCCAAAAACGGTGCTAGTCGGGGAACCGGCATAGAAGAACCGCCTGGAGTCCTGACTACTCGCCATCCACGATGCGGTGGAGCCGCGCTTATCCTCGTATGTTGTGCTCGCAGGTAGTGTGGGGTCTCCGATAACCGACTCCGAATACATGGATATGAGGCTGCTTGCTGATTGGCGTTTGACGCTCATCGACAAGGGTGACTCTTTGGGCGGAGCGCTTGAGAACCGAAGATAAGACCGGCGTTGCGCTTTTGGGGATAGCAAAGATGAACGCCGAGAGTAGTCCGCGGTTTCCATGTCGGACAGGTCTTCAGATGGATCGCGTATTGTGGGTGCGGAAGAGGAAGAGGAGTAGCGCAACGGTTCGGAGATTGGAGAATATGTCGCCATCGTCTCCGGCTTGCTCTGGTACGGTGGCCGATCGGCTTCTGTCGGGGCCAGTGAGAGGGCCAGACGTGCAGGGTCGCGATGAGACGAACGAGAGGCGGCTCTTTGAGGGAAGACATTCGCCACATGGCTGTGCGGTGACGTGCTGTGCGAGGACCGCCATGACGAGGCGGAGCCGAACTCATCCATGATTTCGTGTCCCGTCGAAAACGAGCCGACGGGACGTAGAACCGGGATTGCCGCCTTCTCGAGCCCTCTGGCGGCCTGCGCCTTTCGGATGCGAGAGCGACGACGGAGCGTAAACGCGAATGCCCCCACGGATAGTACACCCACTCCCGCCACTCCTGCGATCAGGATTGGGATTGGAACCTTGCCAAAGATACTCTGCGATGGTGATTCCCCTGACTTTCCAGTGTTGCCGACCGACACCACTGGTCCTGAGCTACCATCAGCGGTCGGAGAGGAGTTTCCAGGGCCGGCCTGGACTTCAAGAGCGGAAGCCATGAGTTTGCTCGGAACCGCTGGGGTTGGGAAGACAGTCGTGATGTCTGCTGGCGGCAAAGCCGCATCCGGTGTCCAGTTTGGGCGCGGAAAGACGGGATTCGCAAACAATTCTGCTGAGGATGTCCTGCACTCTGCTTGCGGGCATTGGTCGCATGTCTGACGGGTCACATAAACACACACCTGTTTTGCGGAATAGCAAGGAATGAATTTCTACCCAGGGTCTCGCGGATGAGTAGACTATCGGCGTACCTGTTCGTTTCCACCGCAAGTATTTAGACAATCCGGGGTAGCAGGGCAGGATATGCAAGCGCCAAGAACCCGTGGCGGCAAACATGCCAGGAGTGCCAGCAAGACAAACAGACTCTTCATTTTCGCCGACCGTAATGTGTTGAGCGACGCGGAAGCTGCGCGATACAGCCTTCTCGTAACCGACCTGCGCGGCATGCTACTAGCAGTGTCGTGCTGTGCGTCTGTGGAATCGTGCTGAATTGTAATGGCGTGGATATCGACGTTGGCAAGAAGGATGATGCTTGGTCCAAGAGTGGAAAGCCTAAAAAGTTAATTCCTACGCCAAGTGCGTCGACAAGGCTTTTCCACTATACTTTGGCGAAGGCGGCCAAGAAGCCCCTTCTGCTGAGCCGAGCGAGAAAGCTCTGTTGTTCCTTGCTGGTGGCGGGGTTCCCTGGTCAGAAAGGAAGACGTCCGACCTGAGACAAGCTTCGAGCCAGGGGACTGGGAGGCCCCAGTAACTATCATGATGTCTTCCCGAAACATACGTATGACACACGGCCCCCGTCTTGCCGAGAAGTCGGGGAACTCACGTGACTATTCCACCCGGTTTATTGAAAACCTTTGCTTGCAAGTCAGCCGCTACCGGGTTTCCGGCGGGTGGAAAGTGCCGGTCAAGTTCTGGACAGTGGACATGCATTTCGGCACTTTCGACAGCCAGGAAGCTTCTTTCCTTACGACATTTCGCTGGAAATGCCAAACTCAGTTCACCCCAAAAACGAGGAATGGAACGGACATTCACCTCCGAACTTGACGAGTATCCTAGTATCAAAAGCATACCAACACTTCGACGGAAACTCTTGCCTTACTCCCAACTTATCGATCGTAAGGAAAAGTTCTCATTATGTCGGCTGAATGTCGCGTGGAGTCGAGATGCACACGAGGAGTTGGAATGTCGCGTGCAGCTGGAAAGGTTGAAAGTGTCCTCGGCAGCGACCTGACTGCATGTACAGTGGACGCCGGGGACGTGCTCCGTCTCCTGTCTGGACTGCATTGCTCGACGGAATGCCATGCTATGTAACTCCGCTAGGTTTGTCGCACACGTCTTGCCTCCTCATGTGATTATGGCCCGCTTTCTTCCTGTTCTTGGCATGTTTGTTCAAAGTTCAACCCTGCCACACCCTTCCTTCTATTTTGAGGCTGAGAGAGATGAAATGAAACCACTTTGAAGGGCTAGCCCGTTGATTTGTTGTTGACAGCGAGAGTGCTCAGCGCACCCTTCCGTCCCTAAGCCACTTCCCGATGGGATATGCCGCTGCTGTGACTGACGGCGATGAAATGATACGCATTGACGTTACTATCCGCGGTCGCTGATTATTCATCGGCGAGCGAAGCGCAAGGGGAACAACCCTCACTTGCTTCCCCATTACATTCCGCAACCTGACCAACAACAGATCTTGCTTCCGTTCAGAAACATCCTTCGACAAACCCTCAAAGCACAGTTATGGCCCGCACCAAGCAAACCGCTCGTAAGTCCACTGGTGGCAAGGCCCCGCGCAAGCAGTTGGCCACCAAGGCTGCTCGCAAGTCTGCCCCTTCTACCGGTGGTGTGAAGGTAAGCATCGCTGTGCCATTTTCCCACAGCAAATTGCGTTCCCTGTTCCTCTCAGTACTTCCTGGGCCACCCCGCAAGGGACGGATAACGGCGGTGACACTCCTTCGTCTTCACTCCTGACCTTCATGCTCAATTCACACCTAACTCAATTCTTTCCACTCTTCGTCCGCCTACCTAGAAACCTCACCGCTATCGTCCCGGTACCGTTGCCCTCCGTGAAATCCGTCGTTATCAAAAGTCCACCGAGCTTTTGATTCGCAAGCTCCCTTTCCAGCGTCTCGTCCGCGAGATTGCTCAGGATTTCAAAACCGACTTGCGCTTCCAGTCGTCCGCCATTGGCGCCTTGCAGGAAGCGTCCGAGGCTTACCTTGTTGGTTTGTTTGAGGACACTAACTTGGCCGCTATCCACGCCAAGCGTGTCACCATCCAGCCTAAGGATATCCAGCTTGGTGAGTTTACTCCATAATTCCCTCACTGCCATATTTCTTCATGTGCTTATTCCGGATGGAGTGGTTCTTTATTCGACCTTCAACGCCTTGTTTTTCTAAATCACCTATTTTCTTCACTTCCTTATAGCCCGTCGTCTTCGTGGTGAACGCTCTTAAGCAATTTCAATTGGAAGGCTTGTTTTTCTCAAAGGTAAGTTTCTTTCTTCTCAACTCAAAACTTCTCAGATTCTGACCCAAATGTCCCATTTTCTTATACGATTATAGCACCGCATTGATATCAAGATCAGTAAAGTCGAGGAGCTAGTTCCCTTTTTCATGTGCATAACCTTCCGTTAAACATAGGTTCTCAATAAAACAAAGTGTTTTCTTCAATACTATACTGCTTGGCTTACTTAAAATCATTCGTGGCTTCAACTTCGGTTTTTTCTTCCATTGGCGTCTGTTTGCCACGTTACCATGGTGATTAGGCACTCGTAAGTGGCGTTGCCACAATGACCAGTTCGAGATGGGACATGTGCTTTACTAGGGGGGAGGCTATAATGCGGGGCAGTATAATGCAGTTCTGCCGCCCCGGCAAATTGGATTTGGCGACTATAATGTGACGTTTTCGAACTCGTCCACCCACCGCCAGCCACAGGTTTTCATGCATTCAATATTATGGATGGAAACCGAACTTCCAAGAAATTAATACTACATGCATATGTATTCACATTTCCCAGCTCGACGCCAGGAAGCCCCGACCCGCTTTCCAATCCCAATGAAACAGATGGGGGCGGGGAGAAGCTCAATCTCAAAAGTCGTCATCCAAAAAAAAGAGAAAACAATGCCTGACATCTCATATCCAGGATCATGTTGGTTTGCGCGCGAAGATCTCTGACTGCGGGGTATATTCCCCGATTTCCCGTAGCGGTGATCCAATATGGGGATGCCACAAAAGGGTGCGATGAGTGGCGTATGTGTGTACGACGAGCAGGCAGCTCAAACAACCGGACGTCCTGCGCAAGTAACCACAAGATACATGGCCTTGCAGGCAGCAAACAGGACGATAGCCGCAGTGATACCAGCCCCAACGGCGCGCGCGCTTCCGGGGGCGTGAGCGGTGGGTTGGAGTATCCCGTCTATGATCAAAATGTCGGAAACATGAGCAAACCATCCCCAACAACCAAATATGAACGCAAGGAGTACTCACACTCAGTCATAACAACACTCGCCACCAAAACCGCCCAACTCAACATGTGCAACAGCGGCCTGTACGCCCCCCCAAGCTCCATCGCCCCCAGGACGATCAAATACACCGGTACTGTGGTCGTGAAGGTGCGGCGGGCATCGATGGCGCGGATGAGGTGGTGGATATGCGTGATGTGCGGGGTTTCGTCGGTGGTTTCGTGGGTTGTTGTGATGGTTTGGGAGGTTGAGGGTGTGGTGGTGGTTTGGGAAAGGAGGACGGAGGGCGAGGATTCGAGGGCGAGTTGGAGGGCGCCGGAGCCGTGGTAGATTTGAGTGCGGGTGCGGGCTTTGTGGACTCGGCTAGCGGAGGATCGCAGTGTTAGCTCAACCAACGGAGAACATCTTTTTTTGGGGGGGGGGGGGGGGGGGGGGGGGGGCGGGGATGATATCACGTACCTGGCAAGCCACACGAACCACAGGGTGCTCAACGCCGTGTAAAACGCAGTTACAGGCACAGGATTGGCGAACGGTGTACCCGTAATCGGGCCGCCATAAGTTCCCAACCCCGGCAAGCCCGCGTGGGGATGCCATCCCTGCGTCCTGGGTCCGCGCGTCCCCAAGCATTCCGCAGCGCTCTCGAATGTGTGGAGCACAGACTCGCTGCCTTGCTTGACATGTTTCCTGACATCCTGGGCGGTAAATTTGGCCCCTTGCTTGACATTGTGGGCGGTATGTTCCACGCCTTTCTTGAGGTTATGTGCGTTCTTTTTGATGGTGTGTGCGGTTTCCCTCACGCCTTCTCTGAGTGTCTGCGGAATACCCTTGACGCCTTCTTTGACGTTGTGCGCTTTCCCTTTGGCGTTTTTAGCCGACTTGCGGAGAGCCTCGACCGTCTCATCCAGTTCTGCTTTCACGCGATGCGCAGCGTTCTCCACCCGCCGTTTCACACCCTCGGCCGTTTCCTCGACCTGGTGTTTAACCGTCTCCTTAGTCTCATTCACCGCCTCGGCCGCTTTGGCTGCTTTTTCTTTCAACAACGCAGCGGCCTCCTCCGCGGTTTCCTGCACCTTCTTGATTCCATCTTCAACCGTCTCACGAGCCCGTTGAGCGCCCTGTGACGCCCGTTCCTTTGCGGTGTTATATCGCTGCGCAGCTTCCTCGGCAGCCTTCCCAATTGCATCCGTAGCATGTTCGATTGTATCTTTCGCCTGTTCTTTCGCTTTATCAGCCTTTTCTTCCACGACATCCCGCAAGTCCGGGACGGTGTCAAGTACGTTCTCTGCCGCTCTCCCCGCCTGGTGTTTTGCATCTGCGGCAACGCGATCCGCTTCAGTCTTGAAATCGTGGGCGGCTCCGTATGCGTTGCTTTTGGCTTTGTTGTATTTGCGGCCGGCGCGGTGTTCGATTACGCGGTGGCGGTCGTCGGTGCTGGATAGGGCGGTGGTGACGGCTGACCATATGTTGCCGAGCAAGCTGCCAGGCTGCATAGTCGTAGTACCTAAATCAGTCTCACATTCATGTCTAAACGTACTGTACTTCTTTCACCATGACATACCTGCTTCTTCACCTCCCTCTCCGTCTCTCCTACCCGGTGCTTGATTCCATTCGCACCGCTCAGCGCCCTGTATCTCACATGATCCACCTCACTCCCACTTCTCGTGCTGATGCTTCCCGCGCTACCTCTGTATTTCCCCTTCACAGCCTCGCCTAACCTATGCTCCTCGTCGACAGTCGAGACGTCGAGGTGTCCGTTGCGTTTGCCATCCTGGTTGGTAGAAGTCAGTCAAAGAATCGAATTGGAGAAACACAACCCTAGGTTCACCCTGATCTTTACCTTATTGTACTTCACCCTAACCACCTTAACCGTCTCCTGCTCGACAAGAACCTCGTCAGCATCAGCCGCCGGCGGCCCTACAAACAGATTCCTCAGACGTGCACCAAGCCTATATGAGTGAGGTGCAGTGAAATCATTCTGAGAGTGGGGATGGTAGCTATGGGAAGCTTGGTGGCGTGTTCCGTACGAAATGCACTCTTGGTCGTCACACTCGAACTCGTCGTCCTCGACTTCCTTTACGATGGTTCGTTCGCGGTGGACGTGGTGGCTGGAGTGTTCTTGGGCCATTGTTGCGGGTGAAGGCAGGTCAAAGTAGCGAACGGAAGGAGTGATGCTCCGAGTGAAGGGAGGGAAAGCGGACGGAAGGGGTCCGATCTCTGCAAGATCATCGTCAAATTCGCAAACCTGTAGAGGTGTGAAAGTGTGGAGGTCTGGGAGTCATGAATCGCGATGACGTGTGTTCGAACGCTTACGTCAGACACGCTGCCCTCGCGCCATTTGGAACTTCAACGTGTTTGCTTGGAATCTCAAATGGATCCATTCGAGACGAGACAAGCGAGACGTGGATCTGGATTCGGGAGTCTCGAGACGCGAAGGTGTATTATCGACACACACACTATATGCACTATTCTGCAGAGGCGGTAGATTATTCTACTGCTCAGCTCATTTTATGCACCTTTGGCTTGCCTATTGGGCGACCGCATCACGCCTGCCGTGTAGCGCATGTACAACTCGTCCTTCCGAGAAATGATGGACAAGGCAAGTTAGGTCATATACCGCGATGTAGGCGCTGTCCGGCGCACCCCTTTCCCATAGATGAGTGAGCTCACCTTGAAGTGAATATGCCGTATCCCAGGCGGCCTCGCTTCCGCAAAGTTCGCCAACGCCTGGGCAACCGTGCATCCATTCTGCTCAATGAGGTACGAGCACACCATGAAGCCCGTGCGGTTGAACCCATAATGGCAATGCACCCCGATATGCGTGTCCGGATTCTTTCTCCAAAACTCGCGCGCGACCTCGCAGAACCGTTTCACTTCGTCGCGCGTTGGTGGGATTTTGGATGTTGTGGCAAGCTTTTGGTAGACGCAGGTGGTGTTGTTGAAGGATTCGGCGGCGTATGGTGGGGCTTCGCGGGATATGTCAATGACCTTTGCGGAAGGGATTTTTGTAACCTTTCCTCGACTCGGGTAAAACTACCTCAGCCGCGTCCATACCAGCCCTATTTCAGGATGCTCCTTGGCAAATACACGCGGGGTATGTTCCGGGTCGTCCTGTTGCATTGTCTTCATAGGCCGGAAGAGCTGTGGAACGGAAAATGATGAGCCCAGTGATCTCGTATAGCATTCTACATATGGATATCGTCACCGTTGTTTTCACTGGCACCGCTGAAACAGGCGCCACTTTTTTCCACTTCTCATAATTTCTGCGATGCAAAGGTCAGACCCGCTCTTTGGATCGGAGAAAGGATACACCACCTCGGTTACATACTTGAGACTCCACTTCGATTGAGCGGACTTCTTCAACTGCAGTTGGTAGCTCAGATCCATCTATAATGCAAAACGAGTGAGCACAGGCAGTCGCAGCCGGCCACCATCACCATCGCCATACGGACCTTCGTAAACCCCGTTTCTATCAACCAGTTGTACATTATAGCATTCACAACGTCCGGGTGTTCTAGCATAACCTGGTGGCCAGCATTTGGGATGATGAACGGTTCCGACACCGTGTCGGACGTCTTTGATAGCCACGCATGGACAACTTCCAGATTCGTTGTGACTGGGCATACAAGGTCCTCGGCCGCTCCAATCTTCAGATCGCTAGGTGAGCGTCAGACATTCGTAAGGGAGGCAAGAAAATACTCACCAGTAAGACCGGACACCGAATTGCTGCATACTGATCGGGTTCTGCAAAATGCGCCTGTGTCGGGGTAGTTCAGATGGTGAATAACTTCAAGGACAGATATAACCGGGGCTTACGCCTTTGAATATCCACTTCGCCACGCGCGTCGAATGCGCCGCATTCCACTGAATCTGCCGTTCTCTAAGCGCCGGCGACGCCTCCTTCCCCACCAACCGATTTACCGACGGCGAGTAAATGCCTCCTCTACGATCCAGATACCGCAGTATATCCACCAAAACTGTAGGCGTCTTCACAAACTGCCGTAGCTTCTCCACTTCGTGCGGCGTTGGCGTGGATTTCGGGCATAGGAAGATGATGGCTTTGATGAGATCTTGCAGGTGGGGGTATAAGAAGGTTATGAGATTGCAGCCGTATGAGTGACCTATCAGCTGGAGACGTGTCAGCGAGACGCCATTACAGCATTGTACACTCCTCCATCGAACTTCGGCGAAGGGTCAGCTTACGATGAACGAATCCGCTTTGGGTTTGTAAAGGCTCAGCAGCGCGCAGATGTCCTCTACGATGGCCGAGGTGGTATAGGCGTCCTCCCTAAGCGTTGATCACCATCAATGCCTCCGTCATCCGAATCTCCAAATCCGGGCAAGTCAAGTCCCCTACTCACGTATCTACCCGTTCGCTCTGTAATTTGATGTCAGAATCCTCATGCGCTTCCTGACGCTCAACTGCAAAATCCTGACCTGTCCGTGTCCAACGATATCAAACGCCAGAACATTCGCGTTGGTCGCAAAATGCTTGATCTGCTCGCTCCATTGCCCTAGCTAGAGTTTGCAAACTCAATGAGAAAAGACCTTCCAGGAGGGATATTCGGCAAACTTTACAAGTGAAGCTGACCTGCGCGCCCATTCCATGAATCAGAACGATAAGAGGCAGCTGTCTCCCTAGCTTATGCTCCATAAAGACAGTTCTCAGCCGTTTCCCCCTCACGTTCTGGAATTGCGTGTGGCTGTTTATCAGAACACCTGTTGCATGTGAGGAACCTGTCGGTCAAAACGAAGATGCTTCGCAAAGTCTCAGACAAGCCGGCTCGCAAAGGAAACACAATGCCCACCATCGTCACATCTCGGTAGCTGCCTCTTAGCCTTTCTCGCCACAAATGCTAGCGCTAGGCCTGCGCTGAATGTTGCACATAGGGTGACTATCCACTTTAATGGGGTCGATGATACGGACAAGACGACGGAGGATGACGAGAGGTTGCGCGCCATCTGGTGGGAGGTCCGCTGCGCTGTGTTATGCGTTAGATATTTGAGCTATAGAGTTGTTTTCTTTTACGGAATTGCCGAGTGTTGTGTTGAGCTTGGGTTGGAAGCTGAACTGCAAGCTCCTTTTGGGCATACGCGACCAATACGCGATATCGGAGGGCAAGGAGGCTGGCAAGGAGCTGGGCAAGGAGGGCGGAAACAGCGGAAACCAACTTCGCAGAAGCCCACCGTCCGCCCACCGTTGCCAATAGCGGTACATTGTAACAAGGAGCAACTTCAAAAGGTGAGGCGCTTCTGCATGAGTAAAAGTCCATTGCGCGTGCATGTGACTTTCCTCTCTCTCCATCTGCTCTCCATCTCGTATCGTTTGCAACGGGGTTGTCCCAGCACGCGTGGTCTTGTTGTCGGCATCCCCATCTCTCGTCCTCCTCCTCCTTACGAGCGTGCATATCTTGCCACAAAACTATCGTGAGAGAAATTGCAGAACAATAGTAACCCTATTCAAGCGCGGAAAAGGAGGTTCCTGCGATGCAACTATACTCCGGTTTACCAACGGCTTGTTTGCTGCAAGAAGCGGTGATGACACGGATTTCGACACATTCCGACTATTTTGAGTTACACATTTCTCCGGATTGACTTGGAGGGCGCATACGCCCGGTGTTCGGTGCCGGCAACCTACGAAGCAATACGAGCATGTTACCGACGCTAGCTCTCCGGCTTAATAGGGGAACCTTCGCAAACGCTTGTTTAGGTTTACCAGCAGTGGCCAATCCGAGAACTCACGGGGCGTCGCCTATTATCGGTGTCGGTGGGAAGCCAGAACTGCGATATAACAGCGACGGATCTGGGCCATCCTCTCGCCTCGGATGTCATGCGAATCCTGCCAACTTTGGATATACCCGGTCTCGCATACACTGCTGGAGAGAGCGAATTCTGCCAACTTTGATTATACCCGGTCTCGCATACACTGCTCGAGAGGGCGAAACTTGCGAACAACTGTCGCCGAAAAGATTTAAACCTTAGATTTAATCCCCGCCGTTCGATCAAGCCAGGCTTTATCGACGAGTGATTGTGTGATTGCATATCGTTCTTGAGGAATCCTTCAGACCCACTGTGATGATACCCGGAGCGATGAAGTGGCAGGCATGGGCCTCGATAGCCTCAACAGCGGTAGCTCTTTTTGCGCAGAGTACGGCGGTGTGTGGACAATTTGTCTCTTCCTCCGCGTCAAACTATACCTATCGGGACATGATCGTACACACGGCCTTTGTGTGGGACATCGCCGTCGGTCTACAAAACACGACTTTATTTTCCTCCAGTTACGACAATACGATCGTTCAATGGAATATAGCAACCGGCGCGATATTGCGTACGATTGGCGCTACCTATCAGCATGACGCCCTGGCAGTCCATCCTAGCAATGTGCTTTATGCCGCGCGCATAAACGACTCCTCGGTGTGGAGCTGGAACATAGACAACACGACGCAACAGGTAGGAGCGTCACCGAGCGGAACAGTATACACCGGCCCTACCGAGTTGTTGTCGGGGTTGGAGACTTATGGCAATCAGATGTATGTTCACCACCCATGATTGTGCGTGCCTGAGATGACCTACCAGTCTAATTTCCCACACCGACACCATTAGCATTGCTCCATCGAAGGACAACAAGGCGTATTTATGGGATATTGGAACTGCCACTCCGTCTGCTACAGTACCAGGTGGTTTTGGCGACGCGGTTGGCGCGGTTTACGATGGCCAGCACGTATACACCACCTACATCAGCCCACACAACTGGACTGCCGTCTACAAGTATGATTGGGCCAATACCACCGCGCCCGTGGCGCTCTATAACGTCACGACTTCATATCGCGTGGGTGCGCTTTTGGTGATGGATAGATATGTCATTGCTGGTGACTTCAGCGGAAATGGTGAGCGTTCGTTGTTTCTTGCCAGGCCATGGTTGGGTCATTGTTGGTGGCTCCCTCATATGCATCAAGGCGCAGGCATCCTGACCGGTTGTTTGTTCTCCTATCACAGTCCACGTCATCATTCGAGCCACTATGCAATCATACCAGGTTTTCAAGCACGATCCCGCCGGGGGCAATGCCGCCGTATGGACCCTTGGCCAGATGGATAAGGATGGAGCATCTTATCTTCTTACCAGCGGGAAAGATGAAGTAATCCGGCAATGGACGCTGAAGCCAACATTCAGTCTCGCCTGGAGCTACGGAGCCGGTGTAGGTACCACGAACTCTTCGCTGGCACGCGCTGTCGCCGACACAGGGACGTACCTCGCCGCTGGTCAGAGCGATGGTCGTATTCGTCTCTGGAACAAGTGTCCATGCGCAGTCACCACTTATGGCTCGAGAACCGCGACTACGACAGCTACGGCCACACAGACGGAGACTCTGGTCATGACAACAACTAGCGTACAGCCTACCACAACAACTAGCACCGTGATCTCCGTGAGCGTCCAGCCTACCACGACAACCACCACTGTTGTCTCTGTCTCCAACTCCGTCTCCACCTCAGTCAGTGTCCAGTCAACCACGGAGACTAGCACGGTTATCTCCGTTTCCACCTCCGTGAGCGTGCAGCCCACCACCACAACTAGCACTATCATCTCCACCAGCTTGCTTTCGGTAACCTCCACCACGACAACAACTGCGCCAGCCTCTACGGTCACTGCGACGACCACGACGGCTACCACGAGCACTAAGACCGACACCGCCACCACCACAACAACCGCGCCAGCCTCTACTATCACTGCGACGACTACTACTGCGACTACCGTAGTTAGCGTTCAGTCTACGACGCTGACCGATACCCAGACTACCACGGCCACTGCGACTAGTACCGCGACTCAGATACAGATGTCAACCGAAACCCAGATCCAAACTCAGACTGCAACTCAAACGCAAACCAGCACTGCGACCGCGACGAGCACGGTCGTTTCAACTGAGGTGGACAACTATTACTACACGAGCTATTCGACTATCACTTCGATCAGTGAGCGGCCGGCTAGCACTGTTACGAGCACCACGACCGAAATTTCGACCGAAATCGACACGGAAACATCAGTTTTGACCTTGATTTCAACTGAAATAGACAGTTTTTACTACACGAGCTATTCTACCCTAACGACCATCAGCGTGCAGCCCGCTAGCACTGTTACGAGCACCACAACGGCGCTCTCGACTCGCACTGAAGTCGACACGGAGACCGCGGTGTACTGGTCGACGAAGGATGGCACTACCGTTTACCTGACTTCCACAGCAGACCCGGTGACGCAGACGGTTACCGAGTCTAGGAGAATCGCGACGACGGAGACTTTGGTTGAAACTCAGACTCAGACTGAAACTGAGACTCAGGTTTCCACGGCAACTCAGACCGCCACATCATACTCGACCGTGCGTGAAACTGAGACGGCCACTTCGACCGCAACCGTGCGTGAAACGCAGACCGATGTGCAAACCGAGCCCGCTTCTACTGTTACCCGAACACTCAGGAGCGTCGCGGAACCGACCACCACCACTACAGAAACCCAGACAACCACAGCCACTTCAGCTGTAACTGTCCGCGAGACAGAGACCGCGAGTGCATCCCCCGTTACCGTAACTTCCGTTTCTGTGTTGACGCTCCCGGCTTCTACGACCACCGTGTCGCAGCCAGCTTCTACGATCACGGTCACGGAGACGGAGCCGGCGGCAACAGTGACCGTAACCGAGAGGGGATCCGCTTCGACAGTCACGGTGTCGGGGCCAGAATCTACCCTCACGGTCACTGAAACGGAGCCCGCGGAAACAGTGACCGTCACCGAAAGGGAACCCGCCTCAACAATCACAGTGACCGCACAGCCCTTGACTATTACGAGTTTCAAAACCACAACAACAACCAGCACTGCTCAGCAGGTCGTCAGAACCACAGAAACATCGACTACATATGTGACCGTCACGGCTACACCGGATGGCACAGGTTCCGGCAGCGGCGGCGCCGGAACGACCACCGCCGCAGCCGCATCCGTGGTGGGAGGTGTAGGAGCTTTGAGTGTCGTTTCTGCAATCGTATTCATGCGCCGACGACGAGGCGCCGCGAACGAGCTGCAGAGTCGCGCAGTTGCCGACAACATGACGAATGCTGCTTACGCTGTGAGCAACCCACTTTATCAGCCTCCTGTGGACATGATTGAGAACCCGCTCTATAATGACGACGGGATGATAGAATATTAGGCAGATGCTGCTTGTGCATTTATGGCGGAGGATCTGTATGCGTTTTTGGGATTGATCTGTATAGCTTAGGACTAGGTTAATCATAGCGTAGGATATGCCAAACTGACTCTCGTTGTTACAAGATACCAAGCCTTTTGACCCTCCTTTCAAGATTTGAGAGGAGTAGCTGGCTTTCACTGATCGCATTAGGCTCGATGGGACCTAGTATTATGAGTTCCAGAACCCATGCAGAACCTATTGAAGTCAGCGCGTATGTGAGGTGCACGCGTGATGGATTGAAAACAGTTCCATACCAGCTTATTGTACAGTATAAGGCTCCGGGTGATACCGACACTTGTTGAAAGCCGCCAAGTTGGCACCCAGACAGCTCAACGACAGGAAGAACCAACTTCCGACAACATCGACGTACAGTACTGTAGGCGGCATTCCCAGCAACGTCAGCTCGGCGTCACTGAGCTAGTGCGGAACCTAATACTCTAAGTGTGGGCCACTCGTCCGGTCGGCAAATAGAATAACCACCATATATCCCTTGCGCGCATTTCGAACTCCGTCAGAATGGCCAAGAACCTCAATCAGTACGGAAGCGACCAGAACCTTATGGGCGGCTATCAAGGACAGCAACAGCCGGATTACTATGGACAGGGGCCTCCGCCACCAGGCTACCCGCCGCAGAACAGCTATCAACCACACGGCGGTTACGCGCCCCAGCAACCTTACCCCCAGGGCCCGCCACAACCGCAATACCAACCGAACCCCTATGCGGCACCTTCGCAAACTCCTTACGCTTATAATCCTAACCAGCAGCAGTATTCGAACTACCCACCACCTCAGCAGGGACCGCCACCTCCCCAGGATTCTGGGGAGAAATTCAAGCCAACGTCAGCATATAAGGTGCGTGCGTGACGGAGATGGGAAAGGACGGTCGTGAAGAGTTAGACGGGAACCGCGAGGTGTCAGACGGGTGGCAAGGTTCTTTGCGTTTTTTTATGGCTTGGTGGAGCTGGGATACCAGAGCTGCGTCTGGTTTTGAAGAGATTTAGACGGGGTCACCAGTTGCAAGTCGCTTACCGTTTGCTGTCGGTTTCAGGATGTTTGGGCAACGCTTTTGTTCCTCGCAACTTTGGCAGCTTTCGGAGTTTGTGCGGCTGTTGGACTTTCGCATCTCAAGTTGAACGGGAATACCAATGGAAACAATGGCAACAATGGCACGAACAACCCGAATAACACGATCTCGTTGACACCGAAAGATACTGGAGGCATTTTGGCCGCCATCGTTGGAAGTGGAGCTGTTCTCACCGTGCTGGTATGAATCTCGTCACATACTTCGAGGGTTGATGACACGTTTCGCTAAGCGTTTTCAATTTGAACAGTATTTTATGGCAATGCAAAAATTCGCTGGGGCTCTCATCAAAATTTCCATGGTCTTCAATGTTGTCATCCTGGTCGCATTGGCTGTCTACTACTTTTCCGCCGGAATCTTGAGCGCCGCCATCATCTGGTTGCTGATGGCCGCATTGAGCGCATACTTCTTCTGGTCATGGAGGAGCAGAATTCCCCTCGCGAAAATTATCCTCGAAACCGTCACCACTGTCACAACTCAGTTCCCTGGAACCCTCGTGGCAGGGTTCATCGGCTTGGTTCTTGTGACAGCATTCAACGCGCTGTGGGTTGCGACGTTCGCCGGCATGATGCAGTTTTTCAACGACAAGAACCCGCCGTCGAATGCTCTGAGATACGTGGCAATCGTGTTTTTATTGTTTGCGTTGTACTATGTCACTCAAGTGATTTCGGTGAGTTTCGTGAATCGTAATTTCCTCACGACTGTTCTGGATGCGGTATCTGACTCAACTTCACAACAACAGAACACCGTCCACGTAACAGTCTCCGGTCTCTTCGCCACCTACTACTTCATGGGCCAACCAGGCGGCCCGCGCGGCAAAGTCACAGTTCCGGTATCAAACCCGACCGCAGCCTCCGCCAAGCGTGCCGTCACGACGTCATTCGGAAGCATCTGCTTCGGCTCCCTCATCATCGCGATCCTGCAAACCATCCGCGCACTCCTCCGCATCGCCGCCGACCAAAACGCCCAGGACGGCAACGCCATCGCGGCCCTCTGCGCCGCCTGCGCCGCTTGCTGTATCGGGATCATCGAGAGCCTTATCGAGTACTTCAACAAATGGGCCTTCGTGCAGGTCGCGGTGTACGGAAAGGACTACATCCGCGCCGCGAAAGATACGTGGATGCTCTGCAAGCAGCGCGGGGTGGACGCGATCATAAACGACCAGCTCATTGGATCCGTACTTGGGCTGGGTGGAACCCTCATTGCCCTCATCTGTGGGTTCATTGCTTATCTTTACGTCCGCTTCTCAGACATACCCGACAACAGCTTGCATTACGGGGTGTTCGTGTCCCTCGCGGTGGTTATCGGCGCATCGGAGTTTTTCGTTATGTCGAACGTCATTGATTCGGGCAATGTCACGACCTTTGTGTGCTTGGCTGAGGACCCGGCAGCGTTGCAGAGGACTAAGCCAGAGGTATGCTATAATTATGCAATCGATCTTTCAACTTCAACAGCCTCCTCATCGGATTTTTCCCTCCTTCCAAAGCTTTACGAGTCCATCAGGCAGGCTTACCCTCAAGTTCAATTCGGGGCCCACGTGTGAACAAATCTTCCCCTTAATTCATCTTAGTTCATGAAGCCTGCTCTCCGCCCTTTACTTCCCCGATTTTGGAGACCCATCTCACCATCCTGAAAAATGCACGTGTAAATACAAATGACATCGAACCCGGAAAGTCCAAATTCACTCGAAGTTCCAAATTTGGCCTGCCAGTGCGGGATTGCAATTCACAAACTTGTGGGCCTTGCCAGTAATTTGCATATGAAAGACACCGGTGATTCGCAGTAGTACCCCGATCGTAATATTCTGCCGCCTCGATCACCACTATTTTGACAGCTCTCCGCCTCTCTCCGTGGGTGTCAATCAGGGATGTCCCCCAACGTGCCCGTACTGGTGATGAGGGATGGGACTATACATACGTTGTGAGCGGTGGGGACAGGGCCAACCACCTCCGACAAGCGCCCAGGGATGGGACTATACGTTGTAAGCGGTGGGGACAGGGCCAACCACCTCCGAGAAACGCCCAAGGGTTCTTGTCGGGTGTAATAGAGCGAGTGGATTGGAGGGCATATTTCCTGCCGAGTCGGCTGCTCTGTCTAGATAGATATCATAGGTTACTGCGGATCTCGCAGGCTCTGGAACCCCATACTGTAATGCAGCTGCCTTTCTGGATAGGAAGGTCTCCGCCTCCCCTTCTCGCGCGCAGCCCGGGAAATCTCCCCAACGCGCATAGCCCATCGGGCGAAAGCACCCATGTCGGACGAAGGCACGCCTCGTTTGGCGTCGATAATCACAAGACAGTTTTTATTGCCCTCTCCAAGGGAACACGTCCGGATATGATATCAAAATGAACGATTAGACGTCGCGATGACGGTTTGGGCTAAATTTGCCGCGGTATGGGTCTGTAAATCAGCTGTAAATTGTAAAAATGGCCCCAAAACGAGGGAGCCATTTCCATACCTGCCTATCGCATACATACAGAGTGGCCCAAAAATGTGGCGCAAGAGTCTCTTCATACATCTGCGTATGATCCCGCATAAGTATACGTAAAATATATACTATCATGCGTGTACCCGGACGGTATTGCCAGCACCTTCGGCACGTCCGGCATTTGCTATTGCGCAATGGGGCCTTAGAACGATGACACCTTGTTGCAACGCCCTCCACGCATTGAGGTACACCGGAACAAGCGAAGTCCAAACTATCTGTTGTTTCAGCGAGCTCAACTCTTCGGGTAACATCTGGACAACGTGTTGCCAGGCGGGGCTTTCGTTGCTTTCATCGACGCTGGAAATGAAGGCTGGTTTCTGAGACTCGACTCCGAATGAGGCGGCACTGCGCTTTCCTTGTGATTCGCATACACCTGCTCCGGATCCCGACCGTGAGGTGTACTGTACACCTTTCAGAACCGAAGTCACAACCCAGCCCTACTGTACTTACTACTGTAGAGCCCACCTTGCAGAGCCACAACGTGTCGATCCCGTCTGATGTGCTTTTCGCGCTCTACTCCACAATCCCTTGAACTGTCACACTGCCCGACGCCCGGGGGCGGAGACCTTGGCTGGGCGTTTCTGTGCATCGTCACACGTTCTCGGATGAGGCGTAAAGACACTGAAGGAGTTTTTTCTGGCGAGAAGGATGGCGGGCTCTGGACAATGGGCATCTTCATTTCAGGATTACTTGGGGCTGCCTGTACGATATTTTTTGCCCATGCATTTTCCATGGAAAATAGGAAAGCTATTGGGCATTTTCTCCCGTCTCTTCCTGCACCTCCGTTGTATATCTTTTCTTCACCGGAGGTTGTCGTATTGCGGTGGGTTTCGCGTTGCATCGTCAAAGAAGCACCATCTTCGACGTGCATACTAGTATTCCACGACGCAATGCCTACAATTTTTGCTTATTACGAGCTTCGATGTATTTTCCTTTGGTCGGCGGAGCGTCACGGTGTGGGGTAAAACTGTCCAACGGCGCCAATGTCGCGCCCCTGGTGATGGCGAGAAGGGAAGCTACCGTCTACCAGGGCTTTTTGGTTCATTTCAACGCCATGCGTGCGCTAATATTGGCGTTGATAGCCGTAAGCGTACGAGGCCAGCACATTTGCCCGTAGACCTCCGGTACTGGTTGGGATGTCGCGTACGTTTCTGCGCTTTCCATGCGTGCGTGTGATCCGCAGTCTATTAAAATAGCCGCGAACGACGCCTACGTGGACTAAAACTTTTCGCCCGTGGCGTTCGTGATATTATTTTGAGTGCTGTTGGTACCGGCAATCCTGCCAGTACTGTCAATGTGCGAAACCTGGTTCTGGGGAGACCCGAGAACGCGTCGACATTGATGATCAACAAAAAAGCCATGGAGATTGTTTTTGGTGCAAGAACCGGTGCCCAAATAGCAACGGCGAACCAACAAATTTGTCCACACGATCGCAAGATTGAGTTCCCATTTCATTGCGCCCAGTTGGAGCCCCAGATCCCGCTCACGATTATACGAAGGGTCGACTCCGACCGTCCGAGGCTGTGCTCTTTGGAAGCTGATCCTGATCCAGCGCCAAACAAGCCCTATATACTACATAGTTACCGACCCTCCCTTTTCTTTTCGATCACAATGAAAAGCATGGTATCCGCGTGAGCAAATCCATGAAACGAAATTTTATCGTTTTGAAATTGACGATAATGATACCCGCAGCTGCATCCTTTGCCCCTCAAACCTCCAATCGCCAATCCCGTTGGAGAAGAGATACCAGACTCCCCGCCTTCCAAACTGCGACAATCTCGCCGTATCCACGCACCTTCGAGAACGACCGAGAGACGAAGGACTGCCTTGTTGGGGCGGTGGCGGTTTCACTATCATTGGCGAGGAGGGGGGATACAGCCCGGAGCTGACGCCCAATCTATCGCTGTTTTGGTTATTCGCTTGTTCAATGGGACAGCCAGCCTGGGAGTGATGAAGGGGGGGGGGGGGGGGGGGGGAGAACCTGGGGCGCGGTAAGGGGCCACCCATGTGCGCGTGAACCAATTCCCGGCGCGTTTGATCGCTTGCTGGAAAGAATGGGCGGAGTGAGATTGACGGGCATCAGCAACTCCCCACGGAAACAGGCAAATGCGGAACGCACGCCCGGTACCAGCGCAAACCGAACGCGCTCTGCGCAATAAGAGATATCATCAGCAATAAGAAATGTAATGGGTCGGAGTGCAGGTTTTCTCGCCTCGTTTCCCGAAATGAGCCTGCAAAATAGCATATTGCGCACGCCCCAAAAGCCACAACTCGGCCATGTCCACTCTCGGCGCTCCATCCCTCCCTGCTCGCTGCCTCACACCCAGAAAGCGCAGCGTGATGTGATGGCAGGTCGGTGTTGATGGCCTGAAAGCCTTGCCTCGGCTCTGCTGGAATCTAACGAACCCAACTGGGCTGTGGTATGCCTAGTGCAACTAGACAAGCTTCCCATGAAACGTTAAATAGAATCGCTATGATACCCAGACTTTCTAGAAACCGGCGCAGATCTGAATTTAAAGGAAGCGGTGAGGCTCATTCCCCCCCCCCGGACCTTTCCAACCTACTATACATCTCTCGCCACCACCTGTCTGCATCAACGTCAGCCTGCATCCTACTCTATCGCTAGTATTACAGAGACATCACACATCCACGATGATGCAAACACCGTCCTTTGAGAGCGGGGCGTTCAGCGACCTCGACTTCTTCTCCGCTTTCCCTGCCGACGGTTTCCTCCAATGGGGCGACCACCTCGACGCACCATCCTCTGCATCACTTGCATCCCCATCATCGCCATGCATTTCCATCCCCGACTTGAAATCCAACGACTCGACGGCGCATACCCAGCGAATGGAGCATCTCCTCTACGCCTACGAGGAGCAGCCCGTGACCGGCATCTTTGTCGACAAGTCCTTCCGCGACACCCAGTCCGTGACAGCTTCTAACGATGCATGGCCCTGGGCAACGATGGACCTGGCTGAGGAACAGAGAACGCTGGTGCCTGCATGGGCCAGCGCCGCGTCCGGCCTGCTTACACCGATGGAAGAGGCTGAGTTTGACATGTACGGCGTCGTGTCCGGTGCCATGCTCTCTGGCCGCACCCAGATCGACGAACGCAGCATGAGCGTTTCCTCCATCTCATCCTCCCAATGCGCCTCCGATTCGGACTCATCGTCGCCACTGATGAGCGCTCGGCTGCCTGACACCCCACCGCCATCCCCAGCGTACCAAGGAATGTCTTACGACCAGCAGATGGCGATGAAGCAGTCCCCGGTAGACGCCGCATTCAGCGGATTCCCTTACCACCCATCATACTACCCAGTCGCGCCCATGGCCAACCTCCAAGTCGGCGACGAGCACATCGTAGAACCCATCGTCGTCCCATCCTCCCCAGTCGACGCTGCCATCCCCACCACCACCGCCTCCGAATCTGCTGCTGCTCCCGAACCCCCAGCACCAAAATCCAAGAAAACCGCAACAAAACGCACTAAGCAGGTCAAGAAGCGGAAAGACACCTCTCCCTCCTCATCCGAGGACTGCACCGCTCCAAAATCGCCTAAGCCCAAATGCGAAAAAGTTAACGGCCAAAACGTCCTCCCACTCACCGTCTCCGAACTCAACGGCATCAAGATCGCTCCCGTCCGCGCCACATCCACCCGCACAGCCTCCCCATCCGCATATCCCAAACCTTTCCACTGCGAGTTGTGCGTCGCCTCCTTCTCCCGCAAACACGACCTGAAGAGGCATACGCGTATCCACCTCGGTATCCGCCCGTTCAAGTGCGAGGCGTGCGCGAAGGTGTTTTCCCGACATGATGCCCTGAGCAGGCATATCGTCAAGTGGGGATGCGATGAGAAGCTGATTGCAATGGGATTGAGTGTTCCGGGCATGGAAGAGCCTGCCAGCCCCACCTCGGATGCGGACGCCGTCCCAGAAGCAGACGCGGACGCCGAGCAGCAACAACCAATCGACTCGCAATGGCCCGAATCCGACGACGACCTCGAGACCTCATCACCAATAGACCCGTTCGAGCTCGGCGTGCCCTCATTCTAGAAGCGTCACATCATACAGTGTGCCATCTTCATGTACATCCCTTTAGATACCTTTACTACAGACTCACATAGACACCCATAATTTACCACATCATATCATTAATCTTTCACTCGAACCTCCTAAGCCTTGTGCTTTGCCCCCTATGCCTGGGCTGGACCCGGACTTCCCTTGGTTGAACGACCTCATCTGAACACGTAGATATAATAGACGTTTGGTTTCCACTCCTCATTTCTTGGGATTGACTCTCGCGTATGAAGAAGTGGTTCAATAGAAATGTGCTCAAAAAAAATTCTGGCATTGGAAAGCGGAGTTCGTGTGATCTGAGACTGAGATGCTATTCGTTCATCGTCATGTGGAGTGCGCAACTCCGCGCGTCAGCTTTCAAAAGTCCGACAGCGCACAAGACTTTTTTTCTCCCTTTTCCCCAACGCACAATGCACATGCAAGGGAAGGAGACTGTGCGCACGTCGCGTCCAACCAACTTTCTCGGACTTCAAACCCGCCCTCCATTCCCGCCCTATCACATCACATCACTGGTGCCTTGACCTCTGCATCTGCAGATTCTGCACACCCGCCTCCCCGCCATGCCAGGATCCTCCAAACAAAAATTCGGCAGATCACAGACAGTTTCGATCGCAGAGATATCCCACATGTCTGTCCCAGAGAGGGAGGCTTTGGGTGGGGAGATACAACCGTAACCACGGCGCCGTGGTTTCGGGGCCGCGGACGCGTTGGGAATGTTTCGGACGGATGGATTGACGGGATGACGATTGAGACAAGTCCCGCGGAGCCGTCCGGTTTGACCAAAGACGGAGCTAGAATCTGGCATTCCTCGGACATCAGAAATTCAGAATTTCATGGCTCACCTAACTTCCATGCTTCATGCTCGCCACCCAATGTAACCACCTCTGCTCCCCATCTCCGCTTCTCAAGCCACACCTGCCTCCCTCATCGCTCCTTTCCACATTGCCAAAGGTGGCCATAACCCCACATTTCCATCGGCGCATCTGGCGGAAATGCCATCTGATGGATAGGTACATCTTTCTTTGGAGTCTCTCGGGAAACCTTATCGGGCTGCTCCGCGGCGATCGGGATGGACGTCCCTTTCGCTTTGGCATCACTGGCATGCGATGTTGGCGCCAAGATTTTCAGAAGTCGTTCATGGAACGTTTTCAGCACGGGGCGGGTGATGACACTGGGGGGAACTCTGCGTGCAATGATGGGGAAAATGATTTGCAAATGGGCTGCGTCGGAACAGCTCGATATTAGGAAATGGCCCTCGGACATTTGAATTCACGAAACGCCACCAGCCCTCAGGTTGCGATGCTCCAGTGTCCAGTACAGTCAGTGTCAGTATGTACATATCTATGTGCATATACATATGTATGTACAAGATATTCGCTTGGCATATGGGTATCGGCATGAACGACATGATAGCCACCCGGCAGTGGCACATGTCCCGTTTACAGTACATCATAGATACATAGGGGTCACATGAGGGTGGGCGGAGAACATCGAGTAGAAAGCCAGGCAGGAAAAATTTCGGAACGTGCGCGGGACGGCGAGCCTTCCTCGCAGCGCAGGCCTGGCGGGAACAGGGAAGGGCGTCACGAGCTAAGGAATCGAGGATGCTTCCCGCTTGGAAAATTTGAAGTGATTGTTCGAGAGGTGTCTGAAGGCGTCGACGGGCTGAAGATAAAACCCCATTGGTGGTTATGTGAGAGCGGAGATGGCGGGAAGTGGCGTGGTGGCATCTTGTCGGACCTCGCTCTTGCTCTCATCGGTGGACATTATTCGGTATGCGCACAGCATTTACCAATAGCTACACAGTGTGCTATATGCTTTAGGCGAAAACATGTTGCTTTCGCCAAAACAATCCCGGCTAAAGATGCTATGCGAGTGGTCATCAAGATGCTGCAAATCTAGATGAGGGATGGTTTCCCGGTTGATGAGCTGCCGTGCTACAGTGCGTTGTGCCAGTCTGCTGTCCATCTGATGGTCTCTCAAACTGGAAAGGCCCGGCTCATCCAAGCCCTTGTGGCGGATGATGGAGAGGGATGAAGAAGGTCGAAAGAGAACTTCCGTCCCTGACGATACAAACATTCTCAATTTGGATTCGGACGGAGACGTCATCAAGCCTTCGTTCGCTCGTTCAACTGAGCACTCCAAAATTTGGCGCTGGGAAGGAAGGGGCTAATATCGACATCTGCCCAATCCAATGATGAAGATCACCGTCACCTCTGATTTCTAGATCTAAGGATTCATTTCATACGAGAAAATGGCGGGGGAACAAGAAGGACGGCATTTGAGCTATCCCTCGTCACTCTCGTCACATCCGTGGTCCCAATTCACTGGCCAGCTAATCGAATGTATTGTATGTATGTACACCGGAATCTCGCAACCCACCGCTTCTAATGAATCAGGAAGGGTGGGCTTACCGCAAAGCATCGGATCACTTCACGAGAGACGAATTGGGCATGAGTGAATATACGCACCCTTGTCTGCTTCCTGGCGCAACGGAGATAAACACGACGGAAGAAACACGGATGCGAGTGGATATAGAGCCTAGAGCATAATTTTGAGAGTAAAGTCTCACGGCAGACAGATCGCACAATGCAATGTTCGTGAGTGATTGTCCACGGTGAGCGAGCCTGCTCTCAGATCTTAACGGAAAAGCGGATGGGATGTTCCAGGTTGATGTCGGCGCAACATCTGCTGGGAAAACCGAATGGCTGCTGCGAGAGCGGTTTTGGATTTTGATCGCGAGGGTGGTCACGTGGAAGGCACGTGATCAAGCCATCCCCGTGCACCGCTTTCGAAGCCTTGGAGACATCTTGCTTTCTTGCGCTGCCCCAAGTCCGCCATGCGACCAAGCATCCTCCAGGTGCCTAATCACGGTTACTTCCGGTCTGCTCAGAGTCTCCTGCGAGGATAGTATCTCCACTTGCTCCGAGCACACCGAGGTATGGAACCGTTTGGGGTTCCCAGAGGCAAGGATTTCAGCTGCCGACGCACATTTTCCCATCGGAACTGTGTTCCGCATTACAGCATGACACAAACGCCCCGCACTACGATAATTCATTTCTGACCCCAGGAATCCTGCATTTTTCATCAGGCTTCCTAGGGTTTTATCAGTTGACGTGACGGAAAAGCAAAGCAGAGCCTGGTGTAAGTTTGGCCCCTTTGCGTTTTTTACTGCCGCACTGGGGCCTGGTTTGGCCGAGGCATATTTTGGTTCACCGACTTGGACGACGTTGCTCGCTGCATGAGACGGAGTGCAATGCTTTTGTGTGCTGCGTGCTGCTCTGCAAAGGGACTGTTGTGGGTGAACCGTCTGCTTTCCCCGCAACTCCGTCGTCTCTGTGGCTCCGTGCACTTCCAGGCTCTTCTGCCGCCTTCTGTACCTTATGTCCTTACGCGCTAGGAATTTGAGCGACTACCTGATATATGGAATAGGCAGAGGTGGGGGCCGGCGAGTTTCCTTGGGAAAGGACGACTTAGTTTGAGACATGTGAATGTGGCCGTCGCTAAATGACGGATGATAGGGATGATTGGAGATTGATTAGCGACATGTTTAGAACCGGCAGTCTTCTCTCATCACTGAAATGCGAGATAAATAATTAAATGCCCGGACAGCGCAGAGGCACGAATCAATCGCAAGTCTTCTAAGCAGCAGCACATATTCCTCAAACAGCTTTTCTTCGCACCATAAAGTACCAGGCTGGGCCCTAAAACCTCGCTGGACTCCCGCGAATACACAAAGCAAACCTCAAGGGCGCATCGACAGTCGTTGCATATCACGGAAAGTCAACGTAAGTGTCACTGTCCTCGCCTCCCCCTCCTTCCTCGTAGACGAGTGATCTCCGACACCTGGAGCCGTTGCTCAGCACAACAGCACAGGGTTAGGCGGAGTTGTATTCGCGTCCTGTGCGGGAAACACGCAGAAGGTCCGCGTTGGATTACAAATACGTTATCGTGGCATGCAGCTGTGGGGCGGTGGCTATCATATCTTCTGTTAAGCCGAGGGTACTGAGCCTCGGACGATTCGCATAATACTGAGTGGAGAAAACTTCGCGACTCTCAGAATCCGCACTCACCTGTCAGTCTCGGTTTCATATCAAACAGCTGCACATTAGTACAGAACACAGTTTCGCTGAGCACCAACTCTTATCCTCGAAAAGCCTACCCGCGTTTTCGACTCTGCCATCTCGGCTGATCTGATCGCCGAAAGTTCTCACCAGTCGCATAAACCAATTTTCAGAGATCACTATCGATCAACATGGTCAAGGAAACGAAATACTATGATCTGTTAGAGTGCTCTCCAGATGCCTCCGAAGCCGATCTGAAAAAGGCGTACCGCAAGCTCGCACTAAAGTTCCACCCTGACAAGAACCCAGACGCCGGAGATAAATTCAAGGATATCTCCCACGCATACGAAATCCTATCCGACGAGCATAAGAGGAAAGTGTACGACCGCTATGGAGAGGAAGGTCTGTCAGGCGAGGGAGGAGGTCCGGGCATGTCGCCTGAGGACCTCTTCTCGCACCTCTTTGGCGGCGGTGGCGGTTTCTTCGGTGGAGGTGGCGGTCGCCAGCGCCCTCAAGGTCCACTCAAAGGAAAGGACATGGCTCACGCTCTCAAAGTATCGCTGGAAGATCTGTACAAGGGCAAGGTGTCAAAGCTTGCGCTGCAAAAGCAGGTCAACTGCCCGAAATGCGATGGGAAGGGTGGAAAGGAGGGCGCCGTCAAGAAATGTGGTGGTTGTCAAGGACGCGGTTTCAAGGTTATCATGAGGCAAATCGGGCCTATGATTCAACAAATGCAGCAAACATGTTCCGAGTGCCAGGGAGAGGGGGAAATCATTCGGGAAAAGGACCGCTGCAAAGGTTGTAATGGAAAAAAGATCGTGCCCGAGCGTAAGGTATGCATATAGTCAAACGCAGCGTTTTGCGGTTGCAATACCCACATACCGACCTGTATTCACTCTGATCATGAAATTCTAGATTCTCGAAGTCTTTATCGACAAGGGTATGGTTGATGGACAAAAGATCACATTCACCGGAGAGGGCGACCAAGCACCTGGCGTCATCCCTGGCGACGTCATCATCGTCATCGAGGAAAAACAGCACCCCAGATTCAGTCGTAAGGGCGATGACCTTTACATCGAGCAAACCATCGACCTTGCCACGGCGTTGGTCGGAGGACAATTCACTATTCCCCACCTCGATGACCGCGTTCTACTCGTCAACATCCTGCCAGGAGAAGTCATCAAACCTGGAGATACAAAGGTCATCACAGGCGAGGGTATGCCTGGGTAAGTAGATCAACTGCAAGCTCTAGTTTTGAGATTGCCGTTGGGATTTGGAAATTCTCATGCCTCTCTCTCGAAACTCTTCTGCCAACTTAATAGATACAAGCGCCCATTCGACAAGGGCAACCTGTACGTTACCTTCAAACTCGAGTTCCCACAACCACATTGGGCCGACCAGTCCAAATTCGCCATGATCGAAGCCGCCCTGCCACCCCGCAAACCCGTCGAACCGGTCAAGGGCAAAGAAATTGAGGAAGTCGTGCTCTCCGCCGTCGACCCAATGCAACAACACGCGCGCGCGAATCACATGAACGGCGGCGGTGAAGATGATATGGACGAGGGTCACGGCCCACAAGTCCAGTGCGCTCAGCAGTAGAGTTAAAAGGCAAAGCTGAAATGCACGGAAGGTTGCGGAAGGCATAAGAAAGTCGGTTCGGGAAAACGGGGGCGTTTTTGATCTCGTGTGGGATCTGCCGTGAGCGCAACGGAGGGAATCGGAAGCCGTCACTCTTTTCCCCATTTTGTCGTCTCAACCCGATCCCTCCCCTTTGTACTTGTGTGTTTAGTTCTTTTTCTTAATCTTGTTCCAGCTTGCTCCCTCGTTACACCACTCCGCCTTTGCCTCCGTACCCCTTTCATCGATGCCAACACACTTTTTTATGTTATTCTTTTCTTCACCCTTGGTATATAGAGTTTCTATGTAAACAAATGAAATGTGAGATTTGACCAAGATTCGGGTGAGAAATGTGGCCTCTGAACTTTGTGCAATGGGTGTTTGGAATCATCGACTTCACCGAATATTCCAAGCACTCGCCTGTGGTGCAAACCCCCATACAAAGCGCCCAAAATCATGCGATACCAAAAACCCCAATGACATTCAAAGAGAAGGTATACATTTACAGAACATGAAAATGACGGGTGCTTTCGGGACATTCGAGATGCCTCAGATACAAAAAAAAACGGGAGACAAAATACAGGAACTACAGAACCACATTTCTCCTCAACCCTTCTTTTGAGAGAGAGAGAGATTGGTGAGGTACAAATTGAGATGCGCATCGAGAAGTGATTCGGGATACCAAGGGTTGATATCAGGCGTTTGATAGAAATGCAAAAAGAAACACTGATCCGATTCTTGACACAAGAAATGGCGAAGAACACATAGATCGAACTGAACAGATCTCCGTTGCTGGGCCGGCGAGAAGAAGGGTATATTCACCGGCTCACGCCCCTACTCGGAGCTGAGCAAAGCCGTCAGGTGCGGTGTAGCAGACGAACGACGTGAGTGACGGCGGTTGTGTCGACGGTGCGGAAGGACGGACGGGTGGGACAGACGGCGGAAGCTGTGCCAGGGGATGTGGAGGGCGGTTGCGCGGCAGGTTGCGCAGAAATCTGTTGATTATATTTAGTGAAATGGGTAACGGGCTGTGAGGTTTTGAGTGGATTGACTTACCAAAATCAGCACACTCCTCACACCTAAACCTCTCCCCCTCAAACGCCCTCCTCCCACACCCATCACACGTAATCCCAATCCACAGATCCGTATCATCCTCATACCTCACAAACGCATGGCGATCTTCATGATCGCGGTGGGTAACCGTCACCATGTCGACGACGCCCTTATCCGCGTGGCAGCGCTCGCAGAGGTCGAGGTCGGGGCAGGTGCCGCATTTGAAGCGTGGGCCGGAGATGTTGCGCGTTTCGCAGCCGTCGCAGATTACGTTGCGCCATTTGAAAGGGGGTGGGGGTTGGTGGCGGTGGGTGGTGGGTGAGGGCTCGTGGGCGGCGGTGCTGGGACCGCCCGGGAACGAGGAGGTTGCGGTGGGTGTTTCTTCAGGCTCGGCCGGCGGCGGTCCAACGAAATCGCGACCGCGCACGGTGCGGGTACTGTTGACAGCACCCGAATCGTCGATGATAGTCAACCCCCAGTTCCTGGTCTGCAACGATTGCCCAAATCGCTCCAACATGCGCGGGATGTACTCCGGGCGGCTCTCGAGTTTGGTCAAGAGGTCGTTGATCATGGGTTCGACCGACCCGACGAAAGATTCGTAGGTCTCTTGATTTTCATTTGAATTGGGCGGAGGGGACGATGCGGAGTCGTCGGCTGTGGTGTCTTCTTCTTTCTTGACGCCCGCCACGGTATCTTCTTCCTCCTTTTTGATCTCGACCTCCTCGGGCTTCTCGGCCTTGGCATCGACCAAATGGGCCCCGCTGTCGACTCGCTCGGGGGCAAGTTGCATAATGCCAATGCGATAAATCATATCGTCCGCCGCATCCTCCATCACCGCCTCCTTCACCTCCCCATCAAGAGCGTTGTCATCAACATGTTCAACAGACGAAGCCACGCTGCTTATATCAAGGCAGGACCTATTCAAGTCCATCACCGAATGATCCGGGCTCATCTCCTCCATAAGCACCGCAGACTCATCACCCGAAAGGTTGCTATTAACATGCAACTGCTGTTCGACCACGACGACCATTTCGCTGCCCCGCTGCTCGAACTCGTCAGTTTCATCAACGGCCGGGGTCTTTTCTTCGTCGCCGTCGGGAAGGGATTGCGCGTAATGCTCGTCGGTGACGACGAAGAATTCGGTAGAGCTGTCGGAGCCCGCGTCCGACTTGCGGTCTACGTCCAGCTCCATGTCGGTCTCGTCGTTTCTGTCGATGAGGGCGATTCGGAGCGGACGGCCGCTGCTTTGTGCGTTTTGAATGTAGGTGGAGATCTCGCTGGAAATAACGAAGGGTTCAGAAGGTCAGATTCAGCAGAATATTCCCAATCATAACCTCACACTCACGCATCGCTACCCAAAACTTTCTGATCCCTCCTCCCAACCGTCTCCTCCTCAACAACAAGCTTCACATTCTCCGTATCGTTGATCCCGAATCGCGCGCCGATCATGCGCAACAGGGCATCTTTGGCGGCGACCGCGGGCGGATCATCAACGGAGATGACCCGGACGCTGCGGGTGTAGATCGCTTTGATGAGCAGAGGTTCGGTCATGATGTTGATTGTGAGTTGGTGCACCCGCCTTGGGTTCGGCAGGTTTTCAAAAGTGGAAGAAGGATGGGTGTCGACCAGTGCCGTGGCGACCTTCCCAGAGTAGTATTGAATAGAAGATCAACGACGTTTCGATTTTGGCCAATATATCCGGATGCGGTGTACGGATGAAGCTATCGTTTGGGGTCAATGATGGGTGATTTGTAACGAAAGCAGAGATCAAGGGCGGTTCTCGCAAGTTGAAGAGGTTGGAAAGGTTTCCGAGGCGCTCGGTTTCTCCGTCTCGGCTATACTGCTGACACAAAAAAAATCGATGTACGCTGCTCAGATGGTTCTCCTACGCTCAACCTGTCGTCTGAGAAAGATACGCAGAGAGCAGTGGAGCGATAGTGTGGAAACGAGATGGATTGCTTCTGCAAAGGTGGAGGTGTGTGGAAAACGATGGATGGAGATACGTGGAGGATTGTCACAAGGACGCGTAGTCTGCTCTCCCCATAAATCAAGGGCGACCAGTGACTGTGCCACGGGACGCTCGTTCCATCCACTCTCCGTGCGCGCCTTATTGACAGGAACCCCTCCCTCTCTGACACCTTCCAACGGCGTTCATATGCCAAGGGAGACGGATACCAAATTTATGTAAGAGTGCCTAACTTGGACTGCACATGCAAGTTGCTGCTCCTATGCAAATGGATTGCTCTCAGATGATGGAAGTGACTGTGATCTTACCATTAAGTACGTAGTATGGAGTCTCTTCTGGATCTCCGTTTCGAGTATCAATTGTCAAATTCACCCCCACCCAGAAACACCCCAGGCGGGATCCATGTCATGCCGAGACGCGTGACGTGTAAAAGTGGCTTGGCGCGCACGCCTCAACTATTTCACCCTTATATAAGCATGTGGCTTGCGCGTACCCAGCAGGGGACAGCTCGGGGAACCGCAATGTAAAGAAGGAGACAACCCGGGATAATGGCGATGACCAGGACACAGCTCGGGGATAAAGAAGGGTGAATAACGAGACAGCTTGGGACGACGGCGTTTTCAACAAGGAGAGAACTCGGGGCCCAACCAGACCGACAGTTTGGCGAACGTGAGGCACCGACAGGCTCGGCTCTTCAGAGAACGCGAGAAGCATCCTCGGTGAAAAATCGGAAATTAATGATCAGCGATTTCAGCGCCAGGACATGCGACCACATCCCATCTATCTATTTGAAAGAGGGAGACGATATCAAAAGTCGCCATATTTATGAATCCAGCGCGCGGAAATGAAAACGCTCTGCGCCATGGGACATTCAAGTCATCATTCCGTTCGGTGCCTCAGGTTTCATATCAATGAGATTCCGACCCGCCTCTCGTGTTTGCCGGCGTCTGTCCCAATCATGTTCCCTTTCTTTCTCGAGAACGTACAGTACGACGGGTCTTACCGACGCGTTTGGACCCCGACAAACGCGTGTGGCGGAAGGAGATTCTGTGATCTCAGCACCAGGACCCGCTTTATGACCCCGAGTCGTCTGTGTGGTTGCCTGTCGTCTGCGTTTGCGAGTCGTCTGTGTGTCATTCTTTGAGACACGATGACCTTGACTGGGGTCCGCAACGTCATGGTGCTCGATCTGAATTTAGCGGCAATGAAGGATGCGTTGGTCGAATTGGAGACGGCTTGTTCGCAAGTCTTGCGGAGGGGAGGTCGCAGATGCTGGTCAGAGGAACGAGGGTTATTTATAAACGGTGGGTTTGGTCGGACTCCCTTCGTTTTCATCGTCACAAGCGCAACAGCAACAAAGCAATAGGCAAAACCCACCTCGAAACACCCACCGCAAATCGCAAGCAAACATGGCCCGCCGCCCCTCAACCCCCCTCCTCCTCCTCACCCTCACCCTCCTAGTGACCCTCCTCGCCCTCGCAACCCCCACATCCGCCACCCCGACCCACACCGGTCTCGAGACCCGCAACACCCTCGAACGCCGAAAGGGCTGCTACTCGTGCTGCAAGCGCTGCTACTGCCAATGCAATAAGGACGTCGATGCGGGCCGGCTGGTGGCTAACCAGCCGAACTTGTATGTGTTTTGCTCGGCGGATAGGTGTAACAGCCAGTGCACGGCGTGGCAGGCGGCCAAGTTGTTCTTTTATATCTGCCCGAAGTAGGCGGCAGATAGAACGTTCCTTCCCGAAAGACGGCATCGCATGTACAAACCCCCACTTCTGATCTCAACTACCGACATCGCGGCTGCAGCTACACCATCGCATTGATATCAACCCTCGCCATATGCATGACGGTTAGGTATCGACCATAACGGCTGCATTGCGAAACACAACCCGAGCCCTTCCCCATAGATTAGATATATGCTACATAGACTCCGGATAAATAAACATCTAGACCACGGCCCTTCCGAATAGCGTAGAGTTGTGTGTGTGCCCGATAGCTAGAAATCCTTTGCTTGGCCCCAAGTTTCAATTCATTCCTTTCTACCTCGACGACCTGAGCGCATCCATGGTTGGTGAGCACGGAAATGGGACGCGGCAGGAAAAGGCATTTTGACGCGTGAGGTCAACCTTGACAATTGACAGGTTTTTCACCGTCTCTCAAGCCCCCTTTTCACCCCCTTCGGGCCACCAGACGGCGAAGGGATTAAAGTGCAGACTGCCGCAAGCTTCCTTATCTGTTCGATCAACATCCGCACGCATTCCGTCATGCACGAGGGAAAGAATGCTTTCCCCCATACGTTTTCCATTGGCTCTGCATGGGCGGAGTGTCCGTATCTTCCTGTTTTCCATCCAATGGGATTCGCATGCGCAACGTTCTTTTTCTCGTACGTATTGTTTGGTCTAGGGAAGCTTATAGATTCATCGAAGGTAGGCAGATATTGGCCTCAAACCGGATGTAGATGCAAGCTTCGTAGCACGTTTGTTTCGGGTTGGGAGCGTACAACACCACGGCCGACGACTTCGGCGACAACCGAGCTTACCAGCCTTGTATTTATACCTTCAATCGCCAGGTTTTTTCCTGAAGGCACTCCGGATCTATACTCTGACGCTGTTGTCAGTGTAAGCCAGTGCATACTCTGTGCATCCAATGCATATCATGCTGTCGCCGTTGTCGTCGTTGGAACGAGAAGAAGGAAGACGCGCAGTCAGGGAGAGCGAATTTAGCGGCAATCATCGGCTCCATGTCAACAAGGAGACCGTTGCATCTGGACTGCAGCCGCCACCACACTCACACACCGCGCTAACACCTCCATCGCTCTCGAAGAGATCGCCACCGCACTCGGTTGTCTCGCTCACCCCGCCGGCCTCGCCCGCCGCCCTTCCGCCGACCACCGCGCCTCCTTCCGCAGAAGTCATCGGGCCGTTATTTTTATCGCCATTGCGCCACAGCCGCTCTTTTCCCCTCCTTTCGCGAGACTTGGGCATCTCGGCTTATCGACACGACAAACAACCATCACAACAACGGCGCTTGGAAGCTGAGTATCCGGGAGAGTACGGGCAGGAGCCTTCGGAGACACGGCCCGAAATTTGTGCCGGAGCGGTAGGCAGTGAGCTCGTTGAATTCAACTCCGACGCAGTACAGGAAGACGACCCAATTCCGCAGACGCCAGAACAGCTTTTCGACGGTCAACATACGAAGAACGGGCCAGCCATGCCTTCCACCGCGTCTAATCCCACTATCCGCATACCGTCCGTTGTGGCGTACGAATCGTCCGCATCCTATCACATGCCACTCACACCCACAAAGCACGCACCTAAGTCGCCATATCCCAGACCTGAGCCATCACAAAATCACCACCACCACCCACGGCGGAATAGCCATAGCCATAAATCCCCCGCCGGAACACGAATATGCCCTGCAGCTATCACACGAGTGTTTCGCATTCCACGCGCAACACTCAAATTCTGCGCGCTGTGCGCAATGTGGTATGCCTCCTCGGCATTGACGAACACAACCGGCAAACAAATCCTGAATCAATTCAAATACCCCGTGACGCTGACCTATGTCCAGTTTGGATTCGTCGCCGGGCTGTGCTTTTTGTCGAGTCTGCTAAATCTCACGCCCATGGCAAAGGGAGGGGCGTCCACGAGTGATAGCAGCGGCCACATGAAATTACGCCCGCCATCCTGGACGCTCGTAAAGTCCGTTTCGCCGATGGCTGCCTTCCAAATTTTCGGGCATGTCTTTTCGAGTTTGGCCATCTCGCGAGTCCCAGTCAGTTTCGCGCACACCATCAAAGCGCTGTCGCCGCTGTTCACCGTGGCGCTTTACCGCCTATTCTACAACATCAACTACCCCTTGAAGGTCTACCTAGCTCTGATGCCACTCACCTTCGGCGTCATGCTGGTGTGCATCTCAGAACTGACATTTAACGTGTTTGGCTTCCTCTGCGCGTTAACATCAACGCTCATCTTTGTCGTGCAGAACATGTACACGAAGGATCTGTTCGTCGCTTCCGCTGTCCAGAAAGCAGACCCGCTTCCCACAACCACCGCTTCAACGCAGTCACCCGACTTCCAACCACTCGACAAACTCAACCTCCTCTTCTACTCCAGCGGCCTCGCCTTCCTCGGCATGTTCCCCCTCTGGCTCTCCTCCGACGCATCCTCCGTCATCCACCTCCTCTCAGCCGCATCGCCACCACCACCAACAACCCACCCACAAGCAGCATCAGGCCACCCGCTCCTCATCCTCTTCATCCTCAACGGCCTGACTCACTTCTTTCAAAACATCATCGCCTTCCACCTCCTCTCCCTCGTCTCGCCCGTCACCTACTCGGTCGCATCCCTCGTCAAACGCATCTTTGTCATTTGCGCATCGATTGTGTGGTTCGGACAGCATGTGGATGCGCGGCAGGGGTTGGGGATTGCGATCACGTTTTTGGGACTTTGGATATACCAGGGCGCGAAGCGGACGGTGGAGGAGAAGGATGCGGTTATTCACCCGACGAATGCGGCGACAAATGCTGCTGCGAGGAGACGGAGGAAGATACTCTTGTTGCCTAAGTGAGGGCTATGCTTCTTCCGTTATCCGTCACGGGACATCCTGTATTTGGTGCGAAGGCTAGGAAAGCCAATGGCGTGCACTATTGGACAGATTACCCCTTCTCTCGTGCTGTGGATGTAGAGTCAACCTTCTTGCACACCCATAAATCATAATCGCTCTTGGTACATCCCTAATTTATCGATTTTGGACTCGCATTTTTGTCGCTGAGGGTTGCTGTGCTACGACACCTGGAGAGCTTCGGGCTTGCGGGAGGAAACGATGGCTCTCCACGTGAATCATTGTGGAGGAACGATTCGGTAACTTCTCTTTCGTGCTTGAACATGCCCAAGTGCGCTGGAACGCTCTACACCCCGCTAAGTGCATCACACAGAAAACGCTCTGGAGGTTGATGCACTGAACGCCATACGTTCAGAAGTCTTCTGGAACGCGGTGGTTGCTGGTAATGAACAACTTGCGTGCATGGGGCTGTATAGACGTGAGGTTCCAAATGATCTTTGTCAAGCCAGCGGCCCGCTTGCCTTTTTTGCTACCGGTCTCGGCCCTTCAAAAAATGCGATAGGCAGCTTATCTCTGTTGTTCAGAAAGGCGACCCCGTCCGGTTTCTCTCGTGCTACAGAATGGTCGTTCCCAATTCTCCTGAAACCCATTGCAAAGTGATGACAAGCTTCAAAAGAGACAACCTTCACGAAAGTATGCAAGTGCCGGCCTCGAGGGGGGCGCGTTGTTATTCTGGACCAAGCTGCGGCAGCTACGGGGAGGTAACATCCTGTGCTGTAACTCCCGTCCAACCAATTGCTCTCGAGTACTTCAGTACAGGGACGGAGGGGCACATCCTTTCGTCCTGTCGTCAGGTGTGATCACCTAAGTCGATGATGCCTTTTGTTCTCCAATGCGCTAAGACCTGTAGTGTTCAAGTCATATCTACCGACAGGCAATGTCTAAATGCTGCACGCAAAGAAGTAACACGTCAAAACGCGCTTATGTCAGCCGCGCGCGTCTCGGAGCCTCCACGGCGGCAAGAGCCTCCGACAATCGGACACGCGGACTCTCTCGGACACCCGAGGCTGAAATTGATGACTTTTCGCTTCCTGCCCTCCGATTCCGATCCGCCCACACGTTGCGGGCGTCGTGCCGGCTTTTATTTTTTTTTGTCTAGTGTATGTCTAGTATCTACCTTGAAGGGTTGTTGCTAAAGCACGAGGGATGAGGGGGCTTCCCGAGTGCCGCAAGTGTTTTCTGGTACGTATGCAAATCTGGGAACGGGCTGGAATTCAAGTATAAAAGCGCTTAGAGGATCTCCAAGTCCCCTTCTCTTGATACTGGGTTACCCTCACCACCACCAAAGTATCATATCATGGAGACAAACCACTCCACCACCAACAACCCTAATCAGCATTTACTCAAACTGAAGCACCACATCCAAACACCCTAACTACGCCGAACCTCATCAACAAAGGAGCAAAATGTCAGCGCACATGCCCAACCCAGTTAAAAAAGCCATCGTCTACACTGTCAACGGGACGATGACTGCGGCGCTCATCACGGCGCGGCTTGCTGTGGAGGCTTGGAGAAAGTCGGTGCATTCTTTGCATCTTGCTTGAAACCCCGACCGCAAATCGAAATCCTTCTTGCAATACAATTTCCGCGATACGAAAATCCGAAGTTCTCCGACTCGTGAACGATGAGCTAGTCCGACGACGATGGCATGCTCCGCTTCGACCCGAAAAAGACATTCGCGAGCCGGCCCAGGGCCGGGATGTCATTGCGACGAAACCGTGCGGATGGCAAACAGATCAACACTCCCCTTGGTAGAATAGCGTGTGACCCGCCAGACTAGCGTCTTTCTCGAAAGAAATCTGTAATTGGCTTGAGATACCCCTATGCATACCCCGTGGCCTCCCTGGCCTGTTTTAGGAATAACGTGGCCTCGGTTTCGGTAATTTATGCCGCAGGACGGCACATTTACGATACTGCGATTGGCGTCTTTGAATACAGGACTGTGACGATCAGAGCGGCGAGTTCTCGCAAAGTTTTGTGGTTAGGTAGAATGTCAGGATAGCATATGGAGCGGAAAACATGACTGCATCGGTGGTGCAGCATTTTTCTCAGCCCACATATGTCGATAACGTTCCTGGTGAACGAACCCGATCTATGCACTGCCCCCATTACTTGCGCTGAGATCAGGTCGATTTCCTGCCGCAACAGGTCCACAAAGTAAGGATTCAACCAAGTGAAGTTCAGAAAGAGCCTTCCCCACGGAAATGCCAGTTCGTCCGGGGGTTTGATCGCGAAATTGTATATCGCTACGCCCGTTCAACCCAAGTACATACATCCATACCGCCCTCAGGCAAACAGCCGCATATTCGGAACGCCTAAGCCAAGTTTGGCGGCGAGGTTCCCACCCTCGGACTCCAGCATGCTTGAAACGCTTGGTAACGTGGAGATCTAGTAATCCCACCGTCCTCTTTAGCCATGCAGGTTTCAATCGAGTTCCAACAAATCTTTGAAAGTTCTGCCCCCCCTGGTCGAACAAATCTTTGAAAGTTCTGCCCCCCCTGGTCGAATGTCGAATAACTCAAAGGAGTAAGATATGTTCAGACGGTGACCCAAGAGTTCCGTTGATGGAGTCGATTGAAGGGCTGAAAACTTGCTCTATCCCGACGAGGGTTTCGCAAAAGCCTGGGCTAAGTACAGGCAAGCTCGTTGAGTTCAGAACCAGTGGGCGGGCGTGGCAATGTCGTCGTTTGCTCTTCCATCAGCGCGCGAGCAGTCGCGTCTAGTCTCTGGCGAGCAACTTGGACAAAATTACCCAAAGTCCCACCATACGCCAGACAGACAGGGCCGGCCACTCAGTCCCTCTCATACGCAAAGGGTTTCGAATATACAGTATACCTGAGCGTCGCTTGCTCGAAAGCTTTCGCCTCTAGGAGCACCCCACGAAAGACTCATCACTCTCAACCCCACCGGATTCCCGGTTCTGCACTCTTTCATCCACATAAATCAGTGACAAATCGCAAAGATGGTCAAGTCATCAGAGGGCATAAAGTCCTATTACAAAAACAAGATCGAGGTACGTGCGCCCATAGCTCAGAGAATTCCTCGATAGATGCTCGTAGCGGTGGGAAATGGGTTTCTGCCCACAAGATTTGCATGGGCATGGCCCGATCTTTCGCGTGTCCAACATCCACTCATCACAATTCTCACGCTACTTTATATATAGGAGCTGGAAACGAAGGCTTCTCATATGAGCCAAAATCTACGCCGTCTCGAAGCGCAGCGTAACCAGTTGAACACAAAAGTCCGTCTTCTACGCGAGGAACTTCAACTTCTGCAAGAACCCGGTTCCTATGTTGGCGAAGTCGTCAAGCTCATGGGCAAAACGAAAATCCTCGTCAAAGTGCAGCCGGAAGGAAAATACGTTGTAGACATCAATCCCTCGATCGACATTGCAGAGCTGACCCCAACCGTGCGTGTGGCTTTGAGGCATGATAGTTACCAACTGCACAAGATCCTGCCAAACAAGGTGGATCCTCTGGTCAGTCTGATGATGGTGGAGAAGGTGCCCGACTCGACGTACGAGATGATTGGAGGTCTCGAGAACCAGATCAAAGAGATTAAGGAGGTCATCGAGCTTCCCGTGAAACACCCAGAGCTCTTCGACGCGCTCGGTATTGCACAGCCCAAAGGAGTGCTACTGTACGGGCCTCCAGGGACGGGCAAGACTCTCCTCGCGAGAGCCGTAGCCCACCACACCGACTGTCGATTTATCCGAGTCAGCGGTTCCGAATTGGTGCAAAAGTACATTGGAGAAGGAAGTCGAATGGTGCGTGAGCTCTTCGTGATGGCTCGCGAGCACGCTCCGTCCATCATCTTCATGGACGAAATCGATTCCATCGGATCTAGCCGTATCGAGGGCGGAGGCAGCGGCGGAGGCGACTCGGAAGTGCAGCGCACGATGTTGGAACTGCTGAATCAGCTTGACGGTTTCGAAGCCACCCAAAGCATCAAAGTTATCATGGCCACCAACCGTATCGATATCCTTGACTCAGCCCTCCTCCGACCCGGCCGTATCGACAGGAAGATTGAGTTCCCGCCACCGAACGAAGCGGCGCGAACGGACATTCTGAAGATCCACAGCAGGAAAATGAACATGACGCGAGGCATCAACCTGCGGAAGATTGCTGAGAAGACGGGTGGGGCGAGCGGTGCGGAGGTTAAGGGTATATGTACGGAAGCGGGAATGTACGCTCTTCGTGAGAGGAGGGTGCACGTCACACAGGAGGACTTTGAAATGGCTGTTGCAAAGGTATGGATCCGCTTTCTCTCCGTTGTTGGCGATGGACGGCTGGACTCACCACAATATACACTACTCTTTACGTTTGCAGGTCCTGAAGAAGGACTCGGAGCAGAACATGAGTATCAAGAAGCTGTTCAAGTGATCCATGCTACGCCTAGATGCACAATGGCTACGCGGCCTAGTTCTCCTAGTGTATTGCTGCGGCAAGCTTCACCCCGCTGTCTTGTTGATCAGAATAAACATGAATTGCTGTATCCTGCTCAATTTCCCGTTTTCGACGCATGGCATATGCGGCGTGCCCGTCTCGTTATGCCCTTCATTTGGATCAGTTGAACAGGATACATGGTTGTCTTGTTGCATTGTCGTGAGCGCGGAACCGATGGAATGCCTGTAACGGGCAGCTTGGCTGATATTGCAGATCGAGGAATTCGATGTTGACCAAGAGGACGCGTTATGTTACTGACCCACACCACAAACTCCGCACGCCGGGCCACTTGATCGGGCGTTCTGGGAGTTCGAGGTAGAGAGGCCTGTGCTTCCAAGCGATGCGTTTTCGAGCAATTGTACTCACGGCAAGGATGCATTAGAGCATAAATTAGAATTGTGTGCTAACCCCACGCAACCTACACGGAAATCCTGCGCGACGTTGCCCAGCTACATAGGGTCCTACACTATCTATGCTACTCACTGATACCTCGTCTCCCACCAAGCAGGCGTCCCCAAAACATTCGCAATCTCATACTTCTTCGCTTCTGCAATGGTCAAAGTCCGCGAAAAGTTGACTCGCTTGCTAAGGTCCGCCCCAGGCCCCACATTATTATACTCATAGTACTGCGTATGAACCGGGTTATCAGTTGCACCCCACTTGGCCCACCCGGCCGGGTTAATAACCGACGACAGATTGGACCTCATCCACACGACGTGTGCGTACTCCCTCCACGGCCTGCCGAGGTAAACGCCGCCCTCGGCAGTCGCCTCGGCGTTCTTGGTCTTGCCCACCGTGCAGTAGTTGAACACGTACACACCCGTGTTGTTGACGGTGTCGACCCCCGAGGCCGTCACCCACCCGCTGCGGGAAGATGTCATATCGCATTTCTGGAAAAACGCGCGCGAGCGTTGGCCAAAGATGTAGTCAACCGCGCCCACGATGAGGGTTTTCCCAAAAAAGTGCGTCCCGTCGTTCGTGAGCAGTGTATCCTGCCACCCGAGCAGCTGACACCCATACACTCCGATCCGGGCCCCGTACAGGGATAACGCGATGGCCTGGTTGCCCACCCAGCTGTTCTCGACGTTGATGTTCTGCAACACCGTGTCGTCATTATGGACGGAGATGGTGGCGCTTTTGTCGTTGGAGCCGACGACGATGGCGTTGGTGGACGCGGTGATGAGGACCGTGTTGGCGCGGTAGTCTGTGTCGGCTGGGCTGTACCCGACCACGCGGAGGGGCGCTTTGCGGCGGATAATGGCTTGCTCTTTGTAGGTGCCGGGGTAGAGGAAGATGTAGGCGGCGAGTTTGGGGTTGGTTGAGTTGATGGCGGCGCTGAGGGATGGGAAGACGGTGCGGTTGCCGACAGCTGCTACGGCACCCTTGTAGGTTGAGATTGGGTTTTGGGACACGATTACCGCGTCGGGGGGCGGGACTGTTACGGCGAAGATGAGTTGAGCGGTCGCGAGGAGGACCGCCGAGATGAGCTTGAGGGAGAGCATGGCTTCGGATATGTATATGGGGATTGATGCACTCCGAGATCTGAGGGGGACGAGAGGAGATGCACTCGCAGCAGCTCTTTTTATACTTCGGCTGCAAAGAGCGATAGCGTGGCGCAAACCCCATCGAGTCCATAAGTCCATGGAGCACGTAGACGCCCATCCATATTGTGCAAGTCTCGATTGTGGTTAGGACGGTGGTCAGCCAGAACCGCACTCAAGGGACCGCGGGTGTATCCAACCATAATTAGCACAATCTTCACCGCACAATCCACCGATCGACGCAATACGCATCAAAATCCATTTGAAGAAGCGTAGAAGGAATCTGGAAGGTAGGCTGTGGCGCGGTAGCTCAAGGTTCACGTTTGCTGGAACGACAGCCAGAGCATCTTCCTCCAGGAAGACGTACATAGTATGTATACATTGCAAGAAGCTCGAACATCCATAGGAAACTAAGGATGCAGAGTGATTGAGAAAGTCGTTCTGTGTATGTCGAGCCTTTTTGCACCATATAGAATAAACACTACATCCCCCCGATCTCCCTTCTCGCTGCTGAGAACCGTTGTTTCCACGCAGCCCCCATTACGCCAATTTTGCTGACCACCATCCCACGCAAAGCATCTACGCCGGAATTCGCTAATCGCATCACCGAAATCTACTCGACTCAGGTGAAATAAGGGCAATCCGCAAAATCTCGCACGAGTAGCGTGCCGCCCCCATGATACTCAGCATGCTCCACAAGTTCCCTTGGGACGTAGTAGATCACCGTTCTTTTGTTGTCCGTCTTGGTGCGCCAGGATGGGAACAGCGGCGTAGGCAGCGGTACGCCGGGGAGCGGGGGAGCCAAAAATGCCCCAGTCTTTCGATCGTATCGAGAAGCGTCGAGATGTCGTGAGGTTTAAGCACGCTCCACGGGTCACGCCCGATTATTCCGCTGACCGTTTTCAACGGCGCATCGGAGAGGGACCCTATGTTATCTAAGAAGTGATCTTCGGTAGACGGCAGGGGCACATTGAGTGGCCGTGGTGGTCGAAACAGTTCCGGTTCTTCGGATGGACCGGCGAGTGTGAAATCAGCCATGACACTTGCATATTGGGCCCAAACACTGGGTAGAATCTTTGCCGGAGCCGTGCACGAGTAGTTCATGTCCCAACCGCCGCGGATATGCAGACGTCCATTGGCGTACACTTATGAAGGTTCGCCATCTTCGAAATGGGACCTTGTCCAACAAAAGCGTCTTCCTTGTCCTCCGGACGTATGTACTGTATGTACCCGTCGGGAGTGTTGAAGGATACATGCATGGGTTTAGGTCCAAATACGGCGTGGGCATCGTCGAGCACACTGCGACCACATTGCGACGTAACGGTAATATTTCTGGAGACATCCCCAACATGCACTTTGCATGCACTTCCTTGCAAGCCGTGAGGAGCGCGACCCGATTTTCCCACAGCAGAATCACCCGAAATATCTGAATACGCATTTGGTTTTACGTAGATATCGACCCGGGTGGTGGAGGAGCTGAGCAAAGACGGCGTACTGCTGGTGGGACATTTCCGACTGTGTAGATGATAATCAAAGCTGGTGGGGACATGATGTTGGAAGAGGAAGTCCGTTCAAGCTGCGCTTCGCAACTTTACCGGCTCCGTTGTGCATTGCATTCCTCACTTCAGTTCCGCCCACAGAACTTGCAGTCCTTTGGCACTTCCCCACTGGTGTGGTGCTGGTCCCTGGGCAGAGTTGCCCTTGAGCAACATGCGGCGGTGAGAATGAGCCGAGAAAGAACGAAGGGTTACAGGAGTTCCGGCAAAAAAAGCGACAAACGTGCGTCCGATGACCGTCATCGAATCGATGGGGGAGCGGCAGATCGCGCCAAGGCCTCATCTCCATCCAAGGCACCGTGTCCATGTCCAACCGGCGTCGTCCGAGTCCGATCAGTTTGACTGCACAAGTTGTCCGGACATCACGTCTCTCTCACATGTTTGGTGCATATAGATACGTAGCATAGCCGCTCCGGCCGCAAAGCTGACATGCCGCCCGAGGCTGGCTGGTTGGGGTTTATTCTCCGGCGGAAGTCAAGGGGTCCTGCTTTTTACCCCTTTTTTCATCCCCTGTGATGACATAAGAGAAATTTACGCCCCCCCCCAACTTCCGCCCGTGACAAACCGCGGTCCCATTCGAATTCGCACAAACGCGTTCGACGTGGCTAGGGCTTTTTACTAACCCCCTTCTTCGCTCGGCGACGGAACCCCCCTTGGCCCTTGGGTCTTTTCAACGGGTAAGCTTAACTCGATTCTCCCGCTTTTCCCCCTTCGGAGGCCATTCGGTATAAAAGAGCAAGCTACTGCTGCTGCTTGGCGGGCATATCACCTCAGCCAAACCAAAAGAGCTGTTCCCTGAGAGAACAACGATACGATACGATATCGAACATCGATACCCTTAACGCAACCCACTCATCAACTGTCAACCATGGCTCTATTCACAACCCTCCGCCGCCGCCCATCACATCGCGCAGCACTAGGAGCTGCTTCACCACTCTCTCTGACCTCCACCGGCAGCAAAAGTGTCTCTACCTTCTTCACCTTCCGGTCAGCGCGCAACCTATCGTTAGATGATGCGACGGAGGGAGCGGTAGAGTTGAGCGACATGTCGAACTACCCACGGACGCTAGAGGCGGGGTATTCGGTCGAAGACGCTTCGTTATCATTGTCTTCGGTTCTTCACGCCGCCGAGACGACGCAGGCCGCACAACCCCAATTACAGCAGCTGCAAACACAGTCGTCACTCCCAGCACCGCAAATCACGTCAAGCCGACCGTCGTATCCAACCTCCCTTTACTCCTACTCCTCTTCGCCATCGGTATCGTCAATGGACTCGGCCGCAACAGGCACTGAGCGAGAGCACTACATGCTGCCGATGGACTATGCATTCGGTGGGGACGAGGACGATTCTATGCCGAGTATAGTTAGGGAGGCTCCGGTGGGCAGGCGGAGTGAAAGCCAGGAAAGAGGACGGAGGGTTGTGAGAGCTGTGAGAGGAGCCTTCTTCTCTTGAAGAATCTTCTGCGACTTCTGCATGCACCGTCGCCCTGCGAGTCACAGAAGCCGGCGCCAAACCTTGTATCATACTCATCATTTTGGGACTCCTCTCCTTTTCGGCCTCGGGCCTTGTTAATTGTATGTATATCCTGTTTAGTCATAGTTCACCCCGTTTACCCATAGTAATCATACAGTAATCGCATTGATATACACGATTCGCGAAGAATCGGTTACTTCGTCGTTCACTACCGTCTCAAATGTCTAACATATGTGCGACTCGTTGTTGGAGGCTCCTCAGCATTAGGATGGAAGTCTGCCAGGAAGCGCTAGAGGAAGCGTGGGAACTGGGTTACAATAGTGAACGCGTTGAACAAGGGCACCATGTCCTCCCCGCTCTCCCAAGTCATTTGGCCCTTCTCGTGGAAGACGTCTCAGAAATTGACTCGAACGGCACCCACAACAAGACTCTTCAAAGTGCTTCACTAGTTGGAGAAACCAGATGCATAAAATGAGCAGCCCGCTAAGTCCCCAGGTAGGACATCTTGAAACCTCGAATTCCGTCGTGGGAATGCATGGCGGAACCCCGCACCATCACATGCCTGCAGGTATCCAACGCTAAACAACCCTCCACTCGCAGTCCAGCACCGAAGCCCTAAGCCCCGGCATCGACGCAATGGAAACCGACGACGCCACCTCACATCCAGCATATCCCCTCTCACCACAACACTCGGGACCACGGGGAGCATCATCTTCCCACGCAGGGCCATTCGCGATGCGCGGCACCGCAGAAAGGTCGGCGATGGGCCAAGGGTCGTACTTTAGCGCGGATGAACCGGGCGGGCCCGGGGGCAAGTTTTTTCAGAATAAGGAGAAGATTGCTGATAAAGGGTTTTTCAACTGTAAGCTGTCTTTTTTTCCGGATTTTGTTTGATGGCATCCGTTGACTTTGAGGGCTGGTTTTAGCTTTTGGTGATTATTTCAATGAGGCGTCGTATGCGTAAGCGATATGCGATCAGAGGCGCACTCATGATGGATTTCCGGTGCGAAGAATCAACAAATATGCAAGGGCCAACAGTCCCCACATACTCTTCATCATATTCGAAATATGGGATGACAAGAGATGGTGAACGACATGAAAACCATATACTATATGCGCAAGAGAGGTCTTTGCAGAGTATTGCTCCTCATCCCCATCACGACAGTCGAAACCTCTTATAGACCGGAGCGCCCAGCGCCAACTCCTCCTCCTCATCATACACCCTCTTCTGCCTCTGCGACGTCCTCGGGCCTGGTGACGACGGCGGTCTCCTCCTATGCGGCTCGCTCCCCTTCGTATCTCGTTCCTTCTGAAACTCCGGAAACATAGGCAAAAAGATAGGCAGGCAAGCCCCGGGTTCCTCGTAGAAATATGAATGGCGTAACGCTTCCTTTACCGTTAATCGCGTCTCGGGATGGTATGTGAGCAGACCTTTCAGAAGGCGTCGGGCGCTGTCGGTGTGGTGGGAGAACTTGACGTTGACGCTTGAGAAGGGGACTGGGGGGAGTTTGACCGACTTTGCGTAGGGGAGGGAATCGAAGCCGGGCCATATCCGTGCGGAAGGGGTCCCCAGCAAGTTGCATATCAGGGTCAATTGTTGTCGTTCCTCTTTTCCCGGAAGGAGAGGTTTGCTGGACAGGAACTCTCCAAATATGCACCCCACGGACCTGGATGACATGGGAGAGTGAGAATGTGAAAGTCAACATACCTTGATACACGTGGCATGGCCTTACCACATATCAACAGCAATCCCATAATCTTTGCTCCCTAGTAGCAGCTCCGGCGCCCGGTACCATAGCGTGACGACTTTCGGGCTCATTGGTTGTTGTGGCAACCCAAATTTCCGCGCTAACCCGAAATCCGCTGCAACGGGCCAAAAAGTCGGTGATGAGTGCCTCATCCCTGCCGGTGTGAGTTCAATGCCGACGCTCACCTATTTTCAACGTGCCCGTCGCCGTCAGTAGCAGGTTTGTAAGTTTGAGATCCCTACAAGCACATTTTGCAGGTCAGATCCGATCGCCCATCGACGAGAGTATCATGGCGTTGTCAATTCACCTGTGAATTATGTAGTTCGCATGAAGATATCCGAGTCCTTTGAGTAGTTGCTGCATCAGGCATTTGACTGCGACAGATAGGAAGCATCAGTAGAACAGTATGGCTCACCCGCATTGCGCACCAGTCCCTTTACCTTCTGGATCCCTGTACCCAGGCCGAGATCCCTTGCTCACGACGCTATCCATGAGAACGCCCATATCCTGCAGTTCGCGTTTAGTACACATGCCTGGTGACGCAAACCTTGCACCACTTGCTAACCTGTTCACAGTATTCCATAACTCAAACGTAAGATGCCATCCGAACAAAACTGTTGAATCCTATACATCGGCAGCCATGCGATGAGCACCACCTTGCTTACCCATAAATATGTTTTCTGGAAGAAACAGCAACGTGAGTTCGCTTTCCGGAATCGTCACCAACATGAGTGCAAACGGCATCGTACCAAGCCCCCGTCCCACGACCACATCCAGCACCTCCACGATATTCTCATGCCTCAGCGACTTCAATATAGAGATCTCCCTCAACGACCCAATAGGCATCCCCGTCCGGTCCGAGTCCATTCTCAACCGCTTCAACGCCACGACCCTCCCTGTCGACTTATCCTTCGCTCTATACACGATTCCATAGGTTCCTTCGCCTATTCGGTTGAGCTTGAGGAACTGGTCGACGGATTTCGTGGTTCCTGTAAAGGAGGACGGGATGGTCGCTGGTGGTAGGGCGTTGGAGAGGGGCAGGATTGTTCTGCTTTCTGGTTCTTCGGCGGCTGGGGTGGGCTCTGTGGGTTTGGGTTCGGTGCGCCGAGGCGGTGGTTTGGAGGGTATTGGCGGTCCTGGCATGGTGGTCTTCCTTTGAGTTCCTTCGCTGGTGGTTACTGGTTTCCACAGTCGCAAGCGAAATTCCGAAGCGGACGTTGAGGACATTGAATTCGAAGCAGAATTCGAAGACTCTGGCCGCGTCTGCTTTTGTCACAGACCCCCACCAACACTCAGCGTCCTCACCCTGATCCTCACCCAGTCCTCGTTCGCGGAAGCTATCAAACATCGGAAGAGTCGGAAGGCGAGCCCATTTCGACCATCATATCGGCGTATCCCGACGTAATCTTGCCCGGACCTCAGCATTAGTCCTTCCACTGACCGGCGCTGCGGTAACTTTCTACGTCGGAATAGCCATTGACCATCTCCCAAGATGGTCACATCAAAGGCGTACGATTACGGAGTGTTTTATGAGGCTCTTCCTTCCCACGACAACCTGGGCAACCACGCCTCTGACTTGCCTATGGCGAGAACCCGCCGGAAAAGGGCTTTGGGTGAGTGCGCTCGCTGAAGCTTAGTCTTGCTCTGTGTAGCTGACCTCACGCGTCCCTCAGTGCTGGCCATAGCCCTCGTCACAACGATAGTTACATATTATGGTGGGAGTTCGGCGACCGTCAGACACTGTTCCGATATTGGATTTTTTCTCTAACTGTGGGAACGAGTAGGGATCGTTCGATCGCTTGATACATACCCAAACCCGCAAAGTCATCGAAAGGAGGAGCTTCGAAAAATACCCGTTCCTCGGGCGAAACAGCTCCCGGAAACACAGTACTTTCACGATATTCCAATAACAGACGAATACTCGTGGCTTCGGTACATAGATACAGATCCGGATGTCTCAGCATACATCAAGGCTGAGAATAACTACACGGATGTGGTCCTCAACCGCTTGGAGCCGCTACAGGATCAGATCTCGAAGGAGATCAATCAATGGGCGGCCGCGACATCTGTAAAGTTTTCGGACCATGGGTCCTGCAGTGGCAAACGGACGGACTCGAGCAACTTCTTTCGTTACGGATCATACATATATTGGAGCTCATATCCTCATGGCGCACGATACCCCGTCTACTATCGCGGCCGGCAGGACGCCGCTTCTGAATCCTCATGCGCGTGTGCGACTGCATACAGCAGCGTGGAGACGGTTTTGGACTATAACAAGATCGTCCCGGCCGGCGCATCGTCTTTTTCGGAAGGTGTCTTTGAACCGCATTCACGAGAGGAGAACCTGATTGCGTTTTCTTATGACACTACCGGTTCGGAGAACTTCCACCTATCCGTGGTTGACCTGGAAAACGGCGGTGCTATCAAGGGGAATCTTAAAAACACGTACTATTCGGCCAGATGGGGCACTCAAAAAGAGGATGTGGACTGCATCTATTATAATGTGGTGGATCTCATTTGGGGAATCCCGCGTAGAATCTACCGCTATTGCATAGATGATGCGAAGGAGGAACTGGTGTATCTGGAGCAAGACGTGTCATTGACGACAGAGGTGCATTCCACAAGTGATGCGCAACATCTGTTCGTCAAGGTATGTGATCCCTCCTACTGGCTCTATGTCGCAAAGGTAATCTCACACACGCCCAGGTAGTAGGTCAAGTGACCTCCGAACTGCGGACACTGGCGAGAAGCAAAATCGGTGAACATTTCGAAACGAAGCCGCTTTTCGGGCGAGTCACCGGGATCCATTACCATATCGAGTCAAATGGTGGATACTTCTACATCCTCACAAATGCTGGTGACGCTCCCAATTTCCAAATCGTGCGGGTGAACGCTACATTGGCGTTGGCGGCGGACATGACGATTGAGGAAGCTGTTCGCGGCGGACCTTCAAGCGGCCTGGATCTGGAAGTCGTGCTGGAACATGAAGAGAAGGTTTTTTATGAGAAAATGGAGGTGTTTTCAGCCTACATTGCCGTTTGGGTCCGGACCGGCGGATCGCGACTCTGGAAGATCGTCCAAGGTGAAGGGCAAGAAATGCGAAAATTATGGGCGACCGACTATCACCCGCCCTTGGGTATGCCCACTCAATCAGGTCCTCCTGTTCCTGTTCCTCTGCCGGGTACATTGTTCCCCAGCACGCTGTTCGATATGGACGCCCGACTCCACCGCCGATTCGACGATAAATGTTTCACATACACCTTCTCGTCGTTTCTCTCGCCACCGGAAACGCTGGTTCTTGACACTGTCGCGACCGAATTCACTTCGCTAGCTGAAACCCAGGTAGCCGGCCTCAACGAAGATGCATACATACAAGAACGGGTATGGGCGCAATCCAAATCAGATCCGAACATCCAGGTCCCCATCTCCCTCGTCTACAACCGTTTCGCGATCCACTCCCGCGTGCGGCCTGCAGTGGCCCGCACCAACCCATTACTCCTCCGCGCATATGGCGCCTATGGGTCCCTCATAGACCCAACATTCGACACCTCCATCCTGCCTCTCCTAGATCGCGGAATCGTCTTTGCAATATGTCATCCGCGCGGTGACGCAAACTTGGGCGCGGCGTGGTACACAGATGGGAAATACGAGAAGAAGCAGCACACGTTTGACGACGTTGCGACGTGTTTGAGTGGGCTGGTGGAGCAGGGGTGGACGGCCCAGGGACGGGTGGCGCTTTTTGGGAGGAGCGCTGGTGGGTTGATTACGGGACATGCTGTTAATGAGCTGGGGTGGACGGCCGGGGCAGATAGGGCAAATCAGAAGGAGAATGCAATAGTCAAGCTGGTCGTTACGCAAGTTCCGGTGAGTTGGCATAGCCTTGTGATAATCTTGCAGTGAAAGCTACCCTTAACACTTTTGGTTTCCACAGTTCGTTGATCCAATAGGCGACATGACCGACGAAACCGTCCCCTGGACAAGCTTCGAGTTCTTCGAATGGGGCAACCCCATCACCAACAAAACCATCTTCGACGCCATGCTCGCATACTCCCCCTACGGGAACATCCTCCAAAAAAAAAACACTCCCCAAGTACGGCAGTATCCAGAACTCTTCATAACAGCGGGTCTACAGGACTCCCGCGTCCGGTTTTGGGAGCCGGTGAAGTGGATCGCGCGGCTTAGAAGGGTGTATGAGGAAGATCGGCAGCATCGGCTCTTGATAAAAGTGCGGGAGAATGGCCATTTTGGGGATTCAGGGACAAGGGAGACGGCGGAGTGGATGGCAGTTGTGGTTGATTCGTTGATCGGTTCCTGAACTCCTTTTTTTGGGAAGAGCCCGCGTGTATATAACAAGTTGCGAAATACGATCTTATGATCAGAATAGTTCTACATGAAATGAGGAAGTTCACACAACAGAGCAAGGTAACTCGGGAATGAGGGGCGGAGAGAGAGAATTGAGAATCGGGCGTGTGCAATAGCAGGTATCCAAAGGTTCTAATGTCAGGTAGCCTTTTATTTTGCTTTCCACTTAAATGGGCAACTCGAACTTGACCTGAACACCCGCTTTCCGCGCCATCCCCACAATGTTGCTCATCTGCACCGCCTTGCTAGCCGCGACATCCAGATCATCGACCGAGAACATCCTCAACCCACTGTCCTTGATCAGCTTTTTGGCCGCGTCAACCTCCGTTCCTTGCAACCGCACAATGAGGGGCAGGTTCAGACCCAGCTGGTTGACGGCGGAGATGATACCCTCGGCAATGATGTCGCAACGCATGATTCCGCCAAAGATGTTGACGAGGATCGCGGAGACGCGGGGGTCGGAGGAGATGATTTTGAAGGCTTCTGTGACTTGGTCGGCTTTGGCGCCTCCGCCGACGTCGAGGAAGTTGGCCGGCTCGCCGCCGTGGAGCTTGATGATGTCCATGGTCGCCATGGCGAGACCGGCTCCGTTGACTGCGTGGCGGTAGATGGTAATCGTTTCTGTTAGCATAGCAAGGGACGCTCGTTTGAAAACCATTTTGCTGGCTGCTTACCGAGGCATCCAATGCTGCCGTCCAAACCAATGTAGTTCAGGTTCCACTTGGCAGCGGCGACCTCACGGGCGTCCTCCTGGGTCTTGTCACGCAGTTGAAAGATCTTCTCTTGCCTGAACTCCGCGTTGTCGTCGAACCCGAACTTTGCGTCCATGCACATGACTGGGAGGATAAGACTCCATTATCAGATGTGGCGTTCGCTTCATCTCCATAACAACTCAAATGTGCCCCACCTGTGCTTTCACCACCCTCTTGGTGAACCTCGGCCAAGGGGTTGATCTCAATCATGGTGGCATCCTTTTCGATAAAAAGTTTGTAGAGACGCTCGAACGTGTCGGCAGCCTGAAATTTACTCATGGTGAGTGTGACGTCCACGGGAATTGCATCCTTCCCTCCATCGCTCCACCATTGTACCTCCTCTTGGGCCTTTCCAGTGAAACCAAGCTTCTTAGCGACATTGACGGCATCCTCGCGCTTCAGACCGACGTTGATGTCGACGGAGTGTGTAACAAGGGCCTCAGGAGTCTCCGCAGCGACAGTCTCAATGTCCATACCACCCTGCGACGAGGCAACGATAACGGGGCCCTGGGTGGTACGGTCCTGGATGATGGCGAAGTAGTACTCGCGACGGACATACAGACGCTCCACAACGTATACGGCGTTGCAAGGCCTGCCTCCAGCACCGGTCTGCTTGGTGATGAGCTTGTGGCCCAGCATCTTCTCGGCGAACATCTTGACCTCGGTGGGCGAGTAAACGACGCGGACACCTCCCTTCAATCCAGAGTCAAAGTGACCCTTTCCACGACCGCCGGCAAGGACCTGCGCCTTGATCACATAGTCGGAGGAGCTGAGAGACTTTGCAATCTTCTCGGCTTCGGCAGGGCTGGTTGCGACCGCACCCTTAGGGACCTTCACACCGTATTCATTGAGGAGTCCCATCGAAAGGTGCTCGTGGATCGAGAGGTTACGCTTCTGGCACACAGCGGCGTTGCTGGTACGCTGAGCAGCGCGGAACTGGGGGTATCCCGAAAGGTCAGGTTAGCATTGTATTCCCGTGTTATGAAGCCGATGGGCGCCCATCCTCGAATTTCCCCTTCACTCTGCGTTTCAACTGGCATAGAATAGGTGAAACCCAGCGGATTTTGACGACTTACCTGAGCAAGGCCAGCGGCCCTCCCGCAGGGCCTGGCAGCACGAAGAGCGGAAGAGAACATGGTTATAGGCGAGATCTGCTAAGAGGGAGATGCCGGTGCAGAGCGTCTTGAGACTCCCAGCGCAATGCTGAAAGTGCAAGCAGGCCAACGCCCGACCCGGGATTCTCCACGTGACGCGCAGGTCAATTGAAAGCCCTCGCCCTCGGGTCAGCGCAACTGCACCCCTCAGCTGACAGGCGGTGAGACCGAACTGGAACTGAGACAGACGGCACGAAAGGAGACCCCATCAGCAAAGGTATGTGGGTGAGGCTTCTCGGTGGTGAGGGTGCTACTTGCAGGCGCGATGCTGAAATGTTTACGCACTTCTTGTGGGAATTCTCGAAATGTCAAAAAGATAACGGCACCTCGAACATTATGGAGAACGCAGATGAATACGGAATCGTGGATGGCTCCACGGACCCCTACACAGTAGACACGGTCGCATATCTGGACGATGACGCTACATACTTGGGCGGCGGTGATGAGCTGGGCGAACTCTTGAACGCGGGGGCCAGCATGATGCCCGACGACCTTGATATGTACGGTCAATCCAAAGCTGCGGGCAACATTCTGGATCCCAACAAGAGCGAGGCAGGGTAAGTCGGTCAGGCATGCTATGAGATTGGTTAGTCAGTGAGAGGAGCTGGAAGAGGAAATTTGGCCGCAGGTTCTCAAGACTCGTCGAGGTAGGGCAGTTTGTGTTCGAAACCGCAGCCGCCGCGTTATTTCTAGCTCACCCTCGTCACCCGTATCAGCAACGATAGTAGTGCTCCGCTTTGATAGCTCAGTAGGGGACCTAGATAGCAGCAGCAGTGAAGATGGACAGGCAGTGGCGCACAGCATCGAAGACGTCTCTACACAACAGCTAGGCCCTGTGGACAGATACATTTTCGGAAGATAGCTCGTAGGAAGCGTTTGCCTTAGGTTTGCAGCAGCGTAGGCTAATTAGCACCTCTCTTTCTGCCCGCGCACCTTCAACCACTACGTAGGAAAATGTTTATAGGGGGTTTGAACTGGGAGACTACTGATGGTAAGAATATATTGGTTGACCCCCAATTTCATGTCGAATTCGTGTTCGGCTCGGGAGAGTTTGATGGGAACTCTCGTGTGCTCCGCAACACCTGCTCACTCACCGACGGCGCCTGATGTAGAGAGCATGCGCACATACTTTGAGAAGTTTGGAGAAGTGGAGGACTGCGTAGTCATGAAGGACCCCGTCACCGGCCGATCCCGTGGATTTGGATTTCTGACCTTCAAGGATCCCCGTTCAGTGGAGGAGGTTGTACAATTAGAACATACATTAGACGGCAAAATCGTAAGTTTTCCCACGCGGCTTTTGGTTTGCTACCGATTTACCTTCGATAGATGACTCTAGAGACATGCAAGCCAACCCCCCCATCGTTTATTTTGGACATCCAGATCGACCCAAAGCGAGCGATCCCACGCGAGGAGCAAGAAAAAACCGAAAAGATCTTCGTCGGCGGCGTCGGGCCGGATGTCACCGAAGACCAGTTCCGCGAATATTTCATGCAGTTCGGCAAAGTCATCGACGCCACCTTGATGATTGATCGTGAGACCGGCCGACCACGAGGGTTCGGGTTCATCACCTTTGAGAACTCGGATGGAGTCGATAAGGCGATGGCGAAGCAGTCGTTGGGGGAGCTGGCGATTAATGAGAAGACGGTGAGCTTGCAGAGGGTCGCAAACTCTTAAGATTAAGTAACGTCGATTGCTCACACGATTCATAATCAAGGTTGAAGTGAAACGCGCCATGCCCAAGCACAAAATCCCTCAATCCGCACCCGGCGGCGGCGGCGGTCAACGCTACGGCCGCCCGGACTCCCTTATGGGCGGCGACTCCCGCGGCTCCAACTTCGGTCCCATGCGCAGTCGAATGGGCTACGGGGGCGCAGGCGGCGGCGACGCAATGGGAATGGGGAGCATGGGCCGCATGGGGGCCGCGCGCTACGGCTTCCCCGGTGCCGCGGTGGCTGGCGGGATGGGCTACGGGCGGTACGGCATGGCTGACGCTGGAGCGGGTGGGTATGGGAGTTCTGGGTTCGGCGGGTATGGAATGCACGGCCGGTATGCTGCTGGGTTTGGGGGGATGGAGGGTTTTAGCGCTGCCTATGGTAGGAACCCGGCTGCGATGGCAGCGTATTATCAGGCTGCTAGGGCGGGGGGTTACGGGGCTTCGCCGTATGGGTATGGATACCCGGCGGGATACGGATACGGGGCTGCTGCTGGCGGCGCTGGTGGTGATATGTTCGGGAGGTATGGCGCGCAGGGAGGTCACGGCGGCCAAGCTGGATTTGGGAGAGACGCGGGCTACCGTCGTACCGGCGGGCCTGGGACGGGGGACGATTCACCCACCGACTCACCTGGACGTGGATCGAGCAGCCGCGGGTACGGAGGTGTTGGTTCACCTGGTCAAGGCGGACGAGAAGACGAAACTGATTCGGTCGCGTTGGCTGGCGGGGATGTCGACGTGAAGCCGATTATGACGCCTTCGGGACCGAGGTTTGATCGGGAACGGGAGAGGGACTACGGCAGCGGTGGTGGAGAGAGGAGTCGGGGAGGCAGCGGGGCGCGGAGCCATGGGTACCACCCATACGCTCGATGAACGTGAGGCGAACGCGAGAACGGCTTGTCTGAATCGTGTTTCTGCGCCAGATATCCCGATGAAGTCTTTGCTGACGTGTGCTTTTGACATGAGGAATCAAATATATTGTATCGCGTAGTGAAGGCAGCGTCCAGCGAAACGCATGAGGACGCCGACCCTTAGTCTAAGCTATACAGTATCTAAGCTCTTCTCAAAAGCTGACTACGCCCAGGCTTGATCAAGCCGGTCTTGACGTCTTCCTTGTTCAGCAAAACTGTTTACCCTATGGTATCTATGAGTCTAACTACTGTACATGCAGAGTGCCGGCCGGCCGTCTCGGATTCTGCTCCAATATCTGATTTGCTATCGACTGTAATGGCTGCAATTCCTTCGAATCTATCAGATCGTACTATATATATAGTGGAAAATGCCGTTAGCATGCTGGGGCCGACTTTGAAATGTTACTGGGAAACATCTGTGGAGTACCCACCTCTGTGACGAACAGGATGAAGTGCTTGAAGCATGTATTCAGATGACGGTCCTCGCCAACTTCTTCCAGTTGCTGTCGGCGGGGTAGAAAAGCGTTCATCAGAACTCATGTTCGCGTGTTCGTGATGTACATCGTTTCAATTTACCTTCAAGTGATTGTGATATGCATGCGCATAGAACCGGAACAGCCGCTGGAAGATCTTCTTCACGGTCGGCATGAAATGTGGTGGGAAGGAGTCTGTGGGTGGGAATGTGTTCTCATCATCGAGTTGACTGCATAGAACAAAAGTACCCAGATGTAAGTGCGAAAGTCCTTGGATGCGACGGATGGACTGGGACTTCCTTACGTGTCCACCCATGCCAATAGATGCTCTACGTACTCCGAGGCTGAGCATTTGATGGGTTTTGAAATCGTTATACCGTCCGCCCAGAGATACTATATGTTCATTCGAAGGTGATTAGCATCCCGGGACGGTGTCGTGGCGGCCCGATTCCTCGGAATCCGATATGCAGCATCAAGTACGCACCTCGTATCTGGGCCCCGCTGTCATCGACGGACACGATTCCCGCGTGCAGTACTCCGATATGCAACCATATAGCAGGTTTATTTGGTTATAGAAGTCCACGGCTGCAGAGCGCAGAAAGGGGTTGAAAACGCGACATTCCCACCAGCTTCCGAAAGTCACCCTTCTGCCACCTACTGTTCACAGCGATCCACTCCTCACGGCTGGTATTTGGTGGAACTTCCACAACAGCCCATATATCGTTTCCACCTAACGTTTTCTGGGGAATAACGAGGGAAACCTAGTCAGTCTTGAGCTCCCCGCGTAGTAAGAGCGGCTTGGTCATTACTTACCACAATGTACTTTTGTATTTGGTCCCGCTTCGTTCCTTGGAAGAACTGCTTTTTGGCTCTGAAGGTCTTTCCTTCATAATGGCCCCTAAGGAGAAAGCGTGTGAGTTCGGATGCTTTAGATGACTTCGCTGTGCGGTTCCCGCCCGACAACCCCTACATGAACTTCTGGTACTCCATATTTCCGCGTGTGCACGTCTGTACGCCTGTGCAGCTTCTCCCTTTGACGTTATGGCTCAGTTTCCGTTCCTGAGGTAGTTTGCTCAAGCGGCTCAGTGGGAATGTTTGCACTTGCCAATGTCTTGCATGACCAACCGCTCCAAACGCTTCAGAAGGCGCGTCAGCAGGACTTCCCAAATTCGTCAAGCGTCGGCTCTCAATCGGTCTGCAGTCGGTGAAGCTTTCGCAACGGAACAACATCGGCACCCTGATAAACCACACAGCCGCCAACACACTGCCTTTGCGTACTGTAGTGGTCTGCAAACGAAGTTCGGATACGGTGTATCTCATACTAACTTCAGTCAGAGGGAGAAGGTTCACCACACTCCTCTCAACCACTGCTCCGCGAACGACTCTTCCCCCTAACACCAATCCGCCAAGATGGCAACATCAGAAGCGTGTCCAGCCTACGCTCCCTTCTTCGGCTTTGCCGGCGCAGCCACTGCGATGATTCTGTCCGCCGTCGGCGCCGCTTATGGAACTGCGAAAGCCGGCATCGGGATTGCTGGCGTGGGAACATTCAGGCCAGACTTGTGAGTTTGACAAGCGAGCTACTTTCATACCTTGGGGCTGCCGATAGCTGGCGCTGATATCGCTGGAATCTTTTGCAGGATGATGAAGGCGCTCATTCCCGTGGTCATGGCTGGTATGTCATCTGCATGTATTGCAAGCGTGTGACAAGCGGGCGAAACCTCGGACTTAACGTTTATGATTTTCATTTACAGGTATCATAGCAGTATACGGTCTAGTCGTAGCGGTGCTGGTCAGCAACGGTCTGAATCCCGACAGTGAATATTCGCTTTTTGCTGGGTTTATCCACCTGGCAGCTGGGCTATCGACTGGATTTGCGGGATTGAGCGCCGGATATGCTGTGGGGATTGTGGGAGACTCTTGCGGTAAGTCTCGGGGAAATAATTGCAAAATATCCGAATGTGCCCTTAAAGTGACTGACATCGCTTTTTGCTTATTGGATGTCTGTTTAGTACGCGGATACCTTTACCAACCAAAACTGTTTGTCGGAATGGTGCTGATTCTTATCTTTGCCGAAGTTTTGGGATTGTACGGGCTGATTGTCAGCTTGATCTTGAATACGAAGGCCGTCAGCAATTGCTGAATAAAATTGATATCCTGGTGTCCGTTCAAACATCCTGTTACGTTACTTTCGGAGGTTTGTCGGGTTATGCCGTGGATTTAGGGCTTGAACGGATGTGCCGAATGGCGATGCCTGAACGCTGTTAGCGAAAGGTGTCCAGAGCGACAACCAGGTCTGCCAATGTCTGTGCTCTGGAGAAAGGTTGGGCAACGAGGAGATGGGATATGAAAACTTTACAGCAGAAGCCTTGCTCTGATTGCCGTCCTGGAGGAAACTGCATACCGTATGAACTTTGACAACAAAAGACCGCACATCAACATACACACCGGCAGCGCCCGAGAACGTTCTCTCAACCTCACCAGCCACACTCAAGTGGGCAGTCGACGACTCCAAAAGAGGGGATTGTTTCAGGCTCTGGAGGCTTGCTTTCCGGTACCTCGCTTTGTATGATAGCGGATGACATTTCGGGAGCCGAAGGAAGTCCAGTCCCTTTGCCTCCGAATCCACATCCCGCATGATGTACTGTGCCGGATTTACACCAGAAATCCAGATATGACAGGAACGACTTACAGCACACTGGACTTTCAAAAGCCTGACGGTGATGCGTAAATCAGAGATGCGAGTAAACAGGGACTGGTTCGTGCAAGAGATGGGAGCTCTCATCAACATATCCGACGCCTATCATTTTTTTTTCAAACGTTAAGGTATGATGGTATGGCTTTTGGCTGAAGAACGGCGTGTATGAGTAAAAGCCGTCGCGGTTCTCCGTATGCTGGGGGTATGGAGTTGAGGATATGCCCCACCGCCTGCGACGCAGACAACGAGAGGCATGAGACAGAGTTGGAAAGCCAGCGTGCAATATACACTACAAGCGTGCATGTGCGTTGTCTTCTTTGTGCTCAGTCATGTTGAACTTGCCGCCCAATTCTCAACACGCAATTCCCAAGTGTAATCCTTCATTCGTCTATCCTCATGGCGCACGTTAGTGTTGGTTTGGCTTGCGTAGCTTGCAGGACTTGGCTTTGTGTTTTTGCTCCTAATCTGCACGGTGAGCACTAGACTGCCCCTGGAATTGTCTCAAAGCATTCCCATCCATTCCATAGCAAACTCGCAGGTTAACTACCTGAGTAACCTGGGTGAAATGGACCTTCGAACAGAACTTCGCTGGAGACTTATGCCAGCAAAGGAGCACCTGCTCCACTTAACAGCAGAGCCCTCCAACGAGACGTCTCCCTAGCCATACCCAAATGACAGCTTTCGATCGCGTAAGCTCATCGCGTCGAACACCCCCGACGCGTGGATAAGCCGGCTCTGAATCAGACTTACAAAACCCCCTTGAAAGCTCCTGCAGGAGAATGCCAGTGGAGCGACGATCTCCTTTCAGTCTCCTGCAGGAGCGTGCCAGGGGAAAATAGTCTTCTATGTGCTTCCTGCAAGAGAGTGAGAGGGGCGGCAGGAAACCCGGATTCATAGAGATTTTCTGCCAGGACTGCCACAACGGCCCAACCCTCGCCATCGCATATCCCCTTGCTTGTGGGACGGGTTCGCGACGAAACGAGGGGGGAAATGTCGCGTGTACATCAGGAGAGGCGAGCTTCCCCCGAGAGAAGCTTGCCGTTGAGAGGAGCGTTGTGATAATCGCAGGCTCAGAAATTTGCGAGCGATGAATTGCTAGCCGGATCGGCGTAATGAACTCGATTCGTGCGTTTTGCTGTGGAATGCCGTCCCCCTCGCAACGAATTGAACAATTCGCCGTTCCCGTCCAGAAAATGGGTATCTTCCGGAGGATAGTGAACCCCAATGGCACCCTCCATCCTCCAGATCCAAGCATCAATGGAATATCAAAGACTTTATAACGAAGTGTTTAATTTACACACAGAAATCCGCCTCGCTCATTGGGGTTGACACGTCTAAGTAAATAGCAGAACCGCAGCCCCACACGCGCAAAAACTCCTCGTGAAGCTCGAAGGTGCGCAAAGAAGGCTGGAGTGCCGAGCCCAGTTTCAGGCCTGTGCGGTTCATTTCCAAAAAAAACTTTGCGGTTTCGATGCAGGCACGGACCCTTCAGGCACGGAAACTGGTCCCCCCCGCGCCCTCCTCCTCCTCCTCATCATCATGATACCGCTCAAACGCCTCCGCGTCCTCATCCTCCCCATGCTCCAACACAAACCGTTCCTGCTGTCCGCCCCTCCCACTCCCTCCATTCCCAGCTCCATTACCCGCGCCCATATCCCCACCTCTCCCCTGCCTGCCCGCCACAAGCCCCACTTGGACTCCAGCGTCGTCCTCATCCTCAAACGCGGCATCAACCTCATGATCACTCAACATCCGGAACTCGTACTCGTCCACACTAGGGCCTCCCCCTCCTCCGAAAGACTTCCGGGCACCTGTACCCAACCCCATTGTGCCGAGCCTTCGTCTTCTGATGACGTAAAACCCGCCGCCTGCCGCGCCAAGGATTAAGAAGCCGAATGCTAGCGCGTAGCCTGGTGATGATGTTGCTGGCACGGCTGGGGGGGTGGAGAGGTTGGGGGATGTTGGGGTTGGGGAGGCGGGGAGGGTTGAAGCCCCGAGGGAGGTTGTGTGTGTTGGGGTTGGAGAGAAGGGGGTTGATGTTGGGGAGGCAATGATGGTGGATGTGGGATTTGGTGGGGTTGGGGAGGCGGACGCCGAATGTTGTTCGCCCCAAATGGTCATCCACCAATAGTGGAATGTGCCCCGCGTGCCTTGTTGTTGGGCGTCTTTGATTTGAATCTTCCAGGTGCCGCGGGGGTCTTCGTCCCTGTTTTCATTATCGAAGTGGTTAGGTACACGTCAAAACATTCAAGTGTTTTAAAGGGGCACATACCAATGCTTAACACTCATGAAAGTCCAATTCCGAAACCCAAGCCCTTTCGCATCCCTCGGCCGCGCCGCACACAACTCACTCACAATACCCCTCGGGCTCACAAGCGCCACCTCCACATCCCCCCGTCTCGGGTGCGCAATCTCTACCGTCACTGTAACATGCTCAATCCTCTTCATATTGGCACCCCCCACCACGGCCTCCGTAACCTCAAAGGCGCTCTCCACCAGACTGCCGTCGCCGGGGATGGCGGCGTTGGTGATAATGACGGGTGAGGTGAGGTGGGTTTGCGGGTTGACTTTCTGGAAGGTTTTGGCGGCTTCGATGGTGGTGTAGGCGTCAAGTTTGCCGAAGCCGAACTTGTTATTGAAGGGGCGGCCTTGTGCGGTGGGGGACCAGCCGGGGTCTTGGCGGTTGACGGGGAGGGCGGTGCGTACCGTTAGGTGTTGGATATCGCGCCAGGTGAGGTCCGGGCTGGGGGGGCGGGGCTGATACGTTAGCATCGTTGTTGGGAGGGAAATAGGAAACGGAGGAATTTTACCGTATTTGAAGGACCAGAGCATACACTCCAGAAGCCAACGGGGCGGCCGCCGACGTGCCTCCATGTGCATTCGTACACTGCGACCCCTGCGAGCTCCAATCGGAGGTGTACTAATACAAGACCGACACATTGAGTCCACGAAGTCTCACTGATACACGCCCAGCTTCACCTTACTTACAATCGCATCCAAGTGAGCCCCACTGCTGCTGTACATGACGATCATAACAGCACTGCAAGCTTCGGAGTATATCGGATGCTGGTTGTTCCGGTCCAGCGCTCCGACCGTAACGGTGTAAATGCTGTTCGTGTATCCATCCGCATTACTAAAAGAAAATGCCCTCAGTCACATCAGCCACGCCATACCATCAACCCTCCCCTCGTAACCCCCGAACTCACCAATGATCCCCACTCGCCGCCCCATTCCCACTCGCAAACACAAAAATCGAGCCAAGCCCATCCCTCCCCTTATCAATCCCATTCCGCACAGCATCGGACACAATTTGCGGCGGCGCTTCCATGGCGCGCCCGTCGTCGGTCGGGCCCCAGGAGCAGGAGTAGATGTGGTTGTTGTGGAAGTCGAAGTTGATGGCGGCCGCTTCGTCGGCTTCGGTTAGCTCGCCGCCGAGGATCCGGACGCCTTTCAATGGAGGTGAAGGCGGGCGGGTGAGGTTTTGGGATGGGGTGGGATGGGGTTGGCGAGATGACATACCTGAGACTTTGGCGTTGTAAGCGACCCCTACACCACAGACTTTGTTCTTTACAGCGGCTACTTCGCCGGCACAGCGGGTGCCGTGGTGGTCTTCCATTTCTTTGGGTTTGGGGGATGCTACGTGCGTGTTGTAGTCATATGAGCCCTCGGCGTACTAGGTGGTATGTTCGTCAGTATGCCTCTAATCCGCGACCACCCTGAGTTTGGTGTGCTGAACAATAGTCCACTCACAAAGTTCTCTGTAAGGTCCTCGTTCTCATAATCGAGCCCATCATCAACAAAACACACCGTCGCATTATGTCCCGTGATACCTTTTGAGAAAGGATATTCAGAGTCAGCAATGTAATCGGATTCCTAGGTACATCCCAACTCACCCCCTGCTGAAGGTAGACGTACCCTGCCGCCACACCCCCGTAACATTCATATCATTCCCAATCGTCACCGTATTCACCAAATGCCACTGATTCTGAAACCCCGGATCCTCAATCCCCAGCTCCTTCATAATCTCGCCCAACCGAAACGGCCGCCCGCGTTCATTCTGCGGCGCGGGCGTCGGTGCGCGCGCGAACAATCTCCGCTGCGGGATCTGCGTCTTTACCCATGCTACGTTGGGCTTTGATGCGAACCGCTTTTCGTGGTGGGTCCGCTCAGCCTCCACCTGCTCTTGGGACCGCCCGAACAGTGTCTGGTCTTTCGATGCTGCGTAAAGGTAGTAGTTTTGCAGTTGGCCGACGCGGCCGAGTGTATGCACGCCGAGGGTGGTGCCGATGTCCTTTGCGAGGGTTTGGTAATAGTCATCGTCGAGGGCTGCTGCGGCGGAGGAAACATGCGGCGGCGGCGGGTCGAGTTTGACGGCAAAGTAATGGAAATTGACGTGGTCGTTTGGCGGTATTGCGGGACCAAAGTCGCGGGGGAAGGAGGAGATGACGGTTGTTGGGGTCAAGAGGAGGACGGAGGCGAGGGTTGAGGCCAAGATCGCATGCAGCTTTCGGGGCATGGCGAGGCTGCGGCGGGTTGGAACGGGGTTTTCCGCTAGAATTTTAACTCGGATGCTCGACTTTCGAGTCCGCTCGTCCCGGTTTGTCGGGGGTTTTGTTTTCAGATACTAGATACGTCGCCGGCAAAGCGAAGTAATGAGGACGGCAGACGTTGGTGTTGTAAAGTCGTCGGTTCTAACGAGGGCAGGAAGCGATGCCGACGAGGGAATGCTCTAAGCGGCCGTAATAAGTTAGGTACTTGCTGGGAGAGAGCGAGGGAGGGAGACTAGGTGTTGGTATGCCGCCGCAGCATGTGGAGCCCGGAGCTATTTGTCTATGCGGGGAGGATGCCGCTGTGGATGCGGATGCCAAGCCGTCGTAAGGTCCAGTTCCCACGGCGCCGCACACGGAAGCGACGCGCAGACTGACGCGTGAGAGGAGTGTTCCCCCTTCCCTCTGACCCTGCCTCTGACCGTCGGGTCCCCCCCCCCCCCCCCCCCCCCCCTCCGTACGTAAACCGTCCGCCGTGACGCCCCATACGGTCCGGACGTCGACGGCGGAAACGACCGCAGAGAGAGTGCATGGGATGCATAAGTATATGTGCTGTAATGGCATCAGCTCTATGTTATGTACAAAAGCTTGCATAGCAAACTGAATTGAAGTCGATAAATACCCCTCCCTGCGAACAAAGCTCGCCATGGATCCCGTACGGCAACCGACCCATTAATTCAATGCTCCCTCCACGCTCGCCCACTGTCGATGTTGCTCGGATCCTTGCCCCTCGCCTCATAGAACAAATGCTCTATGCGGTCGGCGGGTCACATCTTGCCCAATCGCCGCTTTCCTCCCGTCCATTAGGCGCTTCATTAACCATTTTCCATCTTCCTCACACCCTAATGTTGAACCTCCCTCTTGCTCATCATCCGTTCATCGCCCCCCTCAGAATAATCCAATAAAGCTTAACCCACCCATAAACAGCACAAACACCAACGGCGGGCTCAGAAACCCGTACGCCGGCCACAACATCCAACACGACGACAACATCGACAGGGTTCCAAACGCGGTCGCAATCTGAACAGGTAGTCGAGCCTGTGTTTCCCATTTCGATAGATCCACGCGTGAACCCGTTTTCATGGGCACGTAGAATTGCAGGTAGATGAAGATGATGATGAAGCCCGCCAGGGAGGTGAAGAGGAGGTAGAATGGGAGTCTATGGGGTTGGAGGGGGGCACGGTTAGATATAACGTGTGCAGACTGCGAGACCCGAGGTGTGCACGCGGAAAAAGGACGAACTCCTTACCCATAGCCGTAATTCTGTAATGCGTCGGCTAGGTTGGCAAAGTAACCAGAGGCGAGAGCGATAACTATCCAGGTAGCTGATTCAGCATAGCGGACTAATTTTGAGCGAGTGGGGCTTTTTGAGTCGTCGTAGGGGCGTTCTTCGGACGCGAGGGCGGAGACGCGGGGGTTGGACATTTCGGTTCGCGATAGCGAGCTCGCAGGAGAAGGAGGGGCGGGGCGAGGTGGTGGTGCTGGTAGTGGGAGGGGGTGAAGAGAGAGCGGAGTGTGGGTGGAGAGACCCTGCCCAAAAAGCTTGTTTGCGGAAGGGTTGTCTGTGGGACGGCGGAGTGTGACACCTCCGACGGGACTCGATGGACTTCGGACAGCCCGCCTGCCAAGAACACTCACCACCTCCCCCTCTCCCAGAACTCAACTTTCGCAGCACAGACGCACAAGCACCTGGCTGTTACTCTCTGTATACTATAGTCTGGAGCTCTCTAGTTCTCGTTCTCTCGTCCTTCCCGATCTACGTGGGCGACTGCTGTGCCTACGAGGATCTTCCGTTACGTTAATCTAGAGCGAAAGAAAGCACACCTGCCCTATCTACAATCACGGCCGAAATCACAATGAACTTCCTCTTCCGCAACCTCAACTCCCTCGTCTTCGGCGGCCAATCCACCTCCTCCTCCACCCTCGTCGAGATTCCCTCCGGCCAGCTCTACTCCCTTTCCCTAAACAGCGCACGCACCCTCATCTTCCGCGACGCCGCAGCCAGTATCCGTCGCACCGCCACCCTCCACAATTTCCAGCTCGTCGTCACCCGCGTTTACGATGAAGACGAAGTCGACGATGATGACGACGACGAGAAAGAGCTGAATGAAGATGATGAAAAGACGTTCTTGTTGGACGCCCAACTCCGGTTCAACCGGGTCCGAACAAAAGGCGGCTCGCACTCGTTTTTCTGGGCGGACCCGCAGGATTTTAGTGGGGCCAAGGGGTGGGAGTTTGTGATTGATGAAGGGGTGCAGGAGTTGACGATGAGCTTGTTTGAGGATACGGCCTATACGTGCATGTTTGAGAGAGCAATGGGGGCTGATCATGGGAAATTTAGTGATCAGCAGCTGGCGGAGTTTGTGGAGAGGATAAAGAGGGATGCGAGGGAGAAGGTGGTGGGGAGGGCCGCTGCGAAGACGCCAGTTAGGCCCGCAGGATCTTCGGTGGCGGGCTCCTCACTGCATACCCCACAATCCACCTCCAAAAGGTCTGTCCCCACCACTCCCACCCCCGCCGCACAATCGCCCAGCACCCCCCAATTCAGGAACGGTAAATCCCCCGCGCGCACGCTCGCATCCATCCCCAAAGGCGAAGAACTCCTATCCGTCCCCGTGCAACTCTACCTCTACGATCTCCGCGTACAGCAGTTCATGCTAGTGAATGACCAAGCCATCGCGGAAATCACCGAGATCGGCGAGTGGAAATTCCAGCTGGTTGTCAAATCCGGCGACCACGTCTATCTCTGCCAGCCCATCGAGGAAGGCATGTCGCCCACCTTCAACGCGGAGCACCATACGTTCATCTTCAATTATTTGGATGAAACGACCGGCGTGCCGATCTACACGTGGTCGTTGAAGTTTGCGACGGTGGCGAATGAGGGCGAGTTCAAGGAGATGGTTACGGAGTGCGTGTACGAAGTCAAGAACAAGGAGCTGTTTAGGAAGATGAAGAAGGATGAGCAGGTGTATTTGATGCAGTTGTACGACGATGATCCGATGGAGATTGATGAGCGGGAGGAGTTGCAGGGTGATGAGGGGGAGGATGAAGAGTGGGAAGAAGAGGAGACCGCTCCCGCCAAATTGCACTCGTCACGCGATGATGACGACGATGAAGCCTCTGACGACGAGTCCGGCCAGAGATCATACAAGGAAGCCACGACAGGGAGCAAGAACAGCCAGCTTGCGGTGGGTTACCGCCACGACCGCTCCTTCGTCGTCCGCGGGGACAAGATCGGCGTGTTCAAGCACACCGCGGACGACGGGCTCGAATTCGCCACGGCCATCAACAACGTGCGCACCCTCGACGGACAGATGTTCTCACCCCGTAAAGTGATGCTGCACCAGCAGGACGCGGCGATGGTGATGATGAAACCGGGCGACGAGAACAAGCTGTACAAGATGGATCTGGAGGCGGGCAAAGTCGTGGAGGAGTGGAAGGTCGATGATGAACGTAAAGTGGAGGATTTCGTCCCCGATCAGAAGTACTCGCAGTTGACGACCAACCAGACGCTCGTCGGCATTGGACACAACTCGATCTTCCGCATCGACCCGCGTTTGCAGGGTAATAAGTTGGTTGAATCCGAGTCCAACCAATACGCGACAAAGAACGCCTTCACATGCGCCGCGACGACGGGCAAAGGCGAACTAGCGGTCGCTTCAGCAAAAGGCGAGATCAGACTCTACAACAAACTCAACATGCGCGCCAAAACCCACCTCCCCGGAACCGGCGACGCCATCATCGGCATCGACACCACCGAGAACGGAAAATGGATCATCGCCACCTGCCGCACGCACCTCCTCCTCATCAACTCGGAAATGGCCGGCGGAACCCTCGGCTTCCAAAAATCCATGGGCGCGCATAAACCCCAACTCAAGCGCCTCCAACTCAAACCGGAACACGTCACCTGGCTCGGCGGTGCCGTGCAATTCACACCCGCGCGGTTTAGCACGGGCGAGAGCGAGGAGTTGGCGATCATCACCTCGAGTGGACCCAATGTGATCCGATGGAACTTCAGGAGGGTGAAGGCCGGCCATCTGTATGATTATACGATCAAGCAGTATAAGGATACGGTTGTGGCGGATAATTTTAAGTATGGGGAGGATCGCGCGATGATTGTCGCGTTGCCCAGCGAGGTGGAGATGATTACGAAGGTATGTGGGCGGTTTCTGGCCGGATCTGTGTGGGGCATGTCGGACGAGTCTTGATGATTTTTTTTTGCTTTTGCAGAAAACATTGTCGACACCCGCAAAGCTCCTCAAGAGCAGGTTGAGTATTGTTAACTCGCCGTATTAATGTAGTCGACCCCCCCCCCCCCCCCCCCCATACATCCCCCCTTTGTGCTGCGTACACTTTCCCCCTCCTTGTATATGTACTGTATGTAACTACCCCCGGGAACCTACCCATATCCTCTTCGTCCCCTTCCCTTCATCGTGTATGAATTCCCCCCCATATGTATACCTTCTGCTGTTCTTGGATAGCGTAATAGTCATTTCTTTTCACCCTGGTTTGTGGCGGTTACGCTTGTTACGATTGTGCATGAGAGAAGGGCCCGGTTGGAGTTAACGGAGGCAGTGTCGATCGATGGGGTTGCGAGGTGCGAATGTTGAAAGTGAGAGATTGGCAGGAGGGAAGAGAGCTGTGTCGTGTCGTGTCGTGTTGGCTGATGCATGCCAGACACATATACATACACGCATCGAACAGAGGAGAACTGGCATAGATCAGCGGTCTCATCCCTCGAGGTTTATACAAATCTCCTGCAGGAGAGCGACAGGGGGAAATAGCCGATCATATCCCTCGGTGAAATTGGGGCAACCAACGGTACAAGATTGAAGGATGATGTCCTGTGCAGGAGATCTGACTTTCGAGACTTTGCGGGTGTGCGACGCGTTGATGGTGAAGGGATGATTACGAAAGCACGACAGCGAAAAAAGCGAAAACCCCGACCGACTCGGACCACCAACTCACATGAACAAATGGAAGATGAACCTGCATGGCAATGATATGGCGTCTCGCACGTTTCTGATCGGGCTGAGAGAGGGTTGTGTTTGCAAGTCCACACAAGCCTCCCACCAAAACGCGTCGCGCACGCGTCGGCCGGAATCCCCGTTCCTCGTCGGCAGGCCAGGAAGGGCGCACGTTTTTCTCAACTCTCAACACCCCGTTAACCTCCACAACCACGTTGGCCGTCGTACGCTTGAAAGCTTACCACCAAACGTCCGTTGCACAGCTGTACTGTATATATAACGAGTTCTCATGTTGCGCGGGGGAGGCATTCCGATGGGTACGTTGATGGTGTTACGGCTCGTGCCGGCTTACGAGGTTTTTGTTTCTCGGAAGCACTTCCGTCAGAGAGACTCGTCATTGGGGGGACTAGACAGAAGGGGAACGAAATGCGCGCATGATGGAAATCCCATAAAAAGGGTGGGGTCGATGGTCGACCTTCCAGTTTGCTCAGACAAGAGTGATCCAACCAAAAGTGGGCCAGACTTTCTCCGATCGTCCGAAGCTTGCACATCATGCACTCCACCCGCCTCACCGCCTTCCTGCTCCTCGCCAGCAATGCGGCAGTCCTCGCCTCCCCCATCCTACCCTCATCCCTCAACACCACGTGTCCTACAGGCCTAACCGGCCCCAACTGCACCTTCTACGCGGTCAAACCCACCCTGCAGACAGGCCCCGCGGGCGCGGATGGCGACGACCCTACGGTGTGGGTGTCGGATAGGCATGCGAGGGACTCGGTGGTGATTACGACGAATAAGAAGGGGAAGCAGGGGTTGTTTGTGTTTGATTTGGAGGGAAAACAGAAGCAGTTTGTGGAGGCGGGGAAGCCGGATAATGTGAGTGTGTGGAGCCAGATTTGTGGGGTTGGGAGATGGATCCGTGCCGTGGATGCGCCATTTCGATTTTCGCGAGGGTCTAGTGCTCAATTTCAATCCCAACACCTTTTCTCATCTCAGGTGGATATACTCTACGACGTCCGCTTTGGCAAGAAGAAGGTCGATTTGGCTGTCACCGCCTGTCGCACCGACGACACGCTCTGCTTCTTCCAGATCGAAGACGGAAAGCTCAACGCTATCGACGGCGGTGTCCAGCCCGTCGAGCCTGGGTTTGAAGTCTATGGATCGTGCGTGTATCAGTCACCCCAGACCCGCAAATCGTGAGTAACTTGCGAGAGTCCCGACGTGATTTGTTCAAATGTCGGGTTGCTAAACATCTACCTTTCAGCTACGTTTTCGTCAATTCCAAGACGTCAGAGTACCTTCAATACGAGATCCTATCCAGCAACGACGCCCTCAACAACTGCAACGCCAACCTAACTTCCCCCGGCCCCAGGCAAAAGCACCCAAAATCCACCCCAACCCTCCGCACCACACTCGTCCGCCGCTTCAACGTCGGCACCGGCGGCCAAGTCGAAGGCTGCGTCACCGACTCCCTCCACGGGCACCTCTACGCCTCCGAAGAATCCCACGGCCTCTGGCGCTTCCCCGCTGAACCCACCTCACCACCCACCCCCTACCTCGTCGACACCCTCACAACGAACGGCGGACACATGTACCGCGACGTCGAAGGCGTCACCCTCTTCCACGGCAAGCGCGGCTCGGGCTACATCCTCGTCTCCTTGCAAGGCGTCAACGCGTACGCCGTGTACACCCGCGCCGCCGTCCCCGTCTACCTGTTCACGTTCAGCATCGTCGCGGACCCCGCCAAGGGGATTGATGAGGTTACGGAGACGGATGGGTTGCATGTGCAGGCGACGGGGATGGGGAGCTTTGGGAAGGGGTTGTTGGTCGTGCATGATGATCATAGGGACCCGACGGCGGAGGATCCGAACCCGGAGACGACGTTCAAGTACGTGAGCTGGGAGAGTATCGCCGAACACCCACTGCTGCCAAAGGCGTTGAGGCTGCAGAGCAATCCGGGGTATGACCCGAGGAAGTGGGATAAGGCCGAGAATTAGAGGCAGAGTGTTCACGTTGTTTATAGTAGTAGCTTTCAGCGTTAAGAGTGCCATGAGCCCGATTCGCATAGAGAACAGAATGCACCTATACGCTACATTCTTCCAGAATTAGAAGCAGTACAGCCTGTTTCCAATGTATATTCATGCATCCCCCTCCCCAAGCCCCACATACGCCGGTGTGAGAGAGTCTCAACGATGGTCTGAACGCCATGGACTCCCACTTGGTCGCTCCGTCTACCCCACGTCGCCCCGCACCGTCTGTGATCTGTAAATACATACGCCGCAAGCTCACTCCAACCTCTACTCGCCCCCAACCGTCATCCTCCCCCGCCAGCGTCTTCTCAAACCCCTTCTCGCCGTCGTCGTAGCGTTTACGCCGTTGGTTGGCGTCGCGGCGGCGGCGGCCGCCGTCGCAGCAACAGCAGCAACGACCGAATCGGGGACATGGGGCAGTCGAACGGCGGCGGCCTGCGGTTGCGCGTCGGGGAGGGAGTCTTGGGAGACGCGGAGGAGTAGCGGGTTGGTGATGTTGGGGGTTGGGAGGGAGGCGGAGTAGTTGTAGCACTGGGGGGTTGGAAATCGTTTGGGGGGAGGGTTGAATACAGAACGGGGGTGAGTGACGACGGTCGGGAGGAAAAAAGGATCGCGGACATTTGCCCTCCGTTGAACCCAAATGCCCCCCCCTGAAACACGCACGGAAACTCACCAACAACCCGTTCGCCCCGCCAACGGTATTAAACACATCCCTGACCCGCAAATCAGGCCAGATCCCACTGTATATCATCACATCGTCCGGCGTCGCATCGTTAGCGTCCTGCGCGTCCCGCTGTCTGTTGCCGCTGAACGTGTTGGCGAGCTCTGGGTTGCGCTGTTGCCAGAGGTACCACCACCTACGAAAAAAAGACGAGCTGGGACATGAATGACAGTGCAATATGAAGTGAGCAAGGGTGGAGTCGAACCAACCCACCTATCGAGATTAGCATGATGCAGCCAGAAGATGGGGTCGTTGACGCTGGTGATCAGGCCCGGCATGTCGCCGCCGATGGCGCCGTGGATGTTGTTGTGCGGGTGGTTTTCGAGTTCGCGGCGGAAGGTGTCGTACGTGGGTTGTTGCAGGATCCATTGGAGTTCTACGGGGCTGTTTATTGATGGACATGGGTGTGCGAATGAAGCCCGGACGGCGGAGGACATGGGTAGAGATGTCAGAACACATCCCCGAACACATCCCCGCTGATCAACACCCCCAAGACCAACCCACCTATATTGAGAAGCCTCCATATCCCCGTCAACCTGACTCGCCTCCTCCCCCGCCGCAAACCTCCGCTGCAAGCAATGCATGTCGGGGTACGCCGCATTCTCATTCGCGAAATGGCCCGTCGTCACGCAGTACCCATTGTCTGGGTCCCCCGATCCGCCAAAGTACTCCACGCTCCATACGAGGGCCGTGGAGACCCGCCCGGCGTCGACGCTCCAGTCCCAGTACGGGATTGCGTGCGTGTAGTTGCAGAGGGTTTGCAGGGCCGCTTCGTAGAGGGAGACGAGCGGGCGGTGCCAGGGGAGGAAAGCGGCCTAGGGTTTGTGGTTCGAGAAAGGGGATGTATGATTGGTTATCTTGTCGACGCACCGGTTGCTCATCGTATAAACCCGCACATCGTACATTAAGTTGCATATGCCACACCCCCCCAACACATACCACATTATGCGCCATCGGCACACTCTGCATATGCACATACACAAAATCATCATACACGCTCCGACTCCCCTGTGCGCCCAACCTCGATGGCAGCGTGCGCAAACAAGTAACAGCCGCAAGGTAGTCCCGGCGCTGCTGGTCGGTCAACTGACGGAACTCGACGCGCATGCGCGGGGATGTCGCTGTGCAAGGGAGTGTTGTCATGAGCGTGTTCGGTGGCGGGGGTGGGTTGGCGAGGGTTGTTGGGACTGCGCTGGGGGTGGCGACGCCGGTTGGGACGGTGTCGGGGGCTACGGAGGTTGGGACGGGTGGATCTTGAGCGTGCGCCAGAGGGAGGGTGAGGAGGATGGTGAGAGTGAAGATGGATGCGAGACGGATGAGACGTCGAACGTAGAGCTGGAGGTTGAGCATGGCGGGCAGGTACACATCCGTTGGCTGCAGCTTTGGAAAAGCGACGCATCGGCCGCTTTGACATCCGGAGTGAAGGTCTGCGGAAGGCAGGCGCTCTTTATATATACTGTACATTCTCCTCATCGGCCTGTCAACAATCGTCTTGGCATATATTCAATCCCGTCACTTTACGAATCCATCCCCCCCGCACATTCCTCCATCCTCCACAAGCCGCTCCTCGCGCCGCTAATGACCGCTTTCCAAGATCCCTGATGGTCATCGACAGAAAAAACCGATCCCTTTCACTCCCTGTTGCATGGGATCATAACCAATAACGTATCCTGCACATGTGAGAGAAGGCAATCCGCGGCAATGTTCCATTCACCGAACACCACTGAAGAGGAAGGGGGAGGCGTCCTGCCAAGGGGGACGGAAGTACTGGGGTGTGGAGGGCAGACCGCACACGCCAAGCGCAAGCAGGGGTGGCAGGCAGTTACGTGGCATCAATATTCGGTGAAGTGGGGGAAGGCATTTGGAGGATTGACGGCTAATGACAGTTTTTAATACGATTGACAGGTTTTCATCCAAACTTCGTTCGAAAAGCAGAAGAGACTCGATTGCAGGGAGGGAACGATCATGCAGCTGGTGAGCTTCTTTCCGACATAGATCTAGATGACCAGCACGTTGAACAAGATAAAGTAGCGGAAAGATGTGCGGGTGAGGTGCTGGCGAGGGTCTTCCGGACATCAGCCGCGTTGCTATATCAGCCCATCTTCGGACACGAACGCGTCAAACACGGCGAACGTTCGGGAAGGGTGTCAAGTTCCCGTTGCCCCTATGTGGATCTGCAACCGGAAAACAATATGCAATGGACGTTGAACATGCGTTACAGTAAGAACATAGCGTGGCGAAGAAGAAACAGGCGGGGGCTGACAGCAATGAATTAGCAAGTGACACGAAGCAATCCCTCGCATCCTTTAGCAATCTCCACTCTCCATCCTCACAGTGAAATGCGCTTCTTTCGACAATCCGTCCTTGAACGCCAGATGGTTGGGTACCCATCATGCATGTCCCTATCCTTTAGCAAATGCTCTCGTCTTGACGGAACCCCTTCCGGTTTCGAGAAATATGGTGTCCACGTCAATTGTGCTGGCGGGCCGGCATGACGGGGACCACTGGCAACGTTTGGTCAATTACCGTACAGCAAGCATTCATCGGATGCTCCACAACCTCCAACGCATACCAGCAAAGGCCAACTCTTGGAGGTCACTCCGAAGAGCGGCCGTGGTGCTGGGCGTGCCGCCCTCGTCCCCGTGCATGATGATGTGGATGGGCTCGCCCGTTTTCTCCCTCCAAACGTCGTACTCTCCATATATATTCGGTCAGAACATAACTTACGCAGTTACAGCAAGAGAGCGGTTGTAGCGTCACTATGAATCGGTCGGCGACTAAAATGCCCGTCTCCACGAACAACTCCATAGAGTTACCGGCCCGGTGGTAGACGGGTACGGCACGAATCGCCTTCAGCATTGATTGATTGAATGGCGCGCGCGACGGCAGCGTCCTCAACCGTGTTGATCGTGGCCAGCCACCTCGCTTTGCTGGCATGATGTAGGTCAAGCTCAGTGCTGAGGTTGGAAGCCTCGGCGTTCGAATGCCCGGATGCGCAGGCTTTTCGCGAAAGTCCTTTCTCGCACAGCTTTCGCGGGCCCCAGCGGACTTGATTTCCTTAGCAAGTGGGGTGTCACTTGTTTCTTATCGGTTGCGAAGCCGCGCAAAACAAACCACCACATCACGTGACTCGGAAAGGAACGGGTGCTGTTCATTCGCCCCCTCGACAAGGAGAGAGACGGCGGACGGCGCAACCACAGAAGCAAGCTTTTGCGACTCCTGTTTACCCACCCAGGATCGCATACCCCCCCCCTCCTCATACTCTCGCAGCCATGACTGTACTCATGCGTAGCTTCGTCCGCAGGGCCGCAAAGCCCGCTTTCAGCAACTCAACCGGTGAGTAGTAGTAGACTTCCCGATCCATCCAAGCCACCGGATCCACATCAGTTCCCACGCCCCAAGTTGAGATGGGAGTACCAGTTGGGGACCCTTTTGAAGCTGGGAGGAATCAGTTTCACGCTCAACAAGGGTTGAATATGATGCACAGATGGGGGCGGATGGGACGACGGTGACGGATATAGGGATTGCACCCGCGATTGGTCAGGTCGTCAATTGAGATTAAGAGCTGCCCGGCAGGCCCTCGGCAAAAATGCTATAGTTTTATCTGAGCTCAGTACTGACCTTCACATATCTCATCGATCTTCTCTCTTCAAACTAGTCCGCCGTCTGGCTACCGAGGCGACCACGTACGGTGCCGTCCGATCCGTTATCGGTGCCGTTGTTGACGTGCAGTTCGAGGCTGGACAGCTCCCATCCATTCTCAACGCTCTCGAAGTCCAAGGACATGAGGGTGGTCGTTTGGTTCTTGAGGTCGCTCAGCACTTGGGGTGAGTCCTCATGACAGATGCATTTTCGATGGAATGGCTAGCTACGGGTTCTTGCATCAGTTTGTTGACCTTGTTTCCATCCGCCTTATTTCAGGGAGAACACCGTCCGCACCATTGCTATGGATGGAACTGAGGGTTTGACCCGTGGCCAGAAGGTCCTCGACACTGGATCACCGATTCGTGTTCCCGCCGGTCCCGAATGCTTAGGGCGCATTATGAACGTTATTGGAGAGCCCGTCGACGAGCGCGGCCCTATCAAGACCAAGCAGCAGCTCCCTATCCACGCCAACCCCCCGGAATTCGTCGACCAATCCACCGTGCCAGAAATGCTGGAGACCGGAATCAAGGTCGTCGACCTGTTGGCGCCTTACTCCAAGGGTGGAAAGATTGGATTGTTCGGTGGTGCCGGTGTCGGAAAGACTGTGCTCATCACGGAATTGATCAACAACGTCGCCAAGGCCCACGGTGGTTACTCTGTCTTCTGCGGTGTCGGCGAACGCACCCGTGAGGGTAACGACTTGTACCACGAGATGATTACCGCCGGTGTCATCCAACTGGATGGCAAGTCCAAGGCCGCGTTGGTCTACGGTCAGATGAACGAGCCCCCAGGAGCCCGTGCCCGTGTCGCCCTGACGGGCCTGACTATCGCCGAGTACTTCCGTGATCAAGAGGGTCAGGATGTGCTTCTCTTCATTGACAACATCTTCCGATTCACTCAAGCCGGTTCCGAGGTGTCCGCTCTGCTTGGTCGTATTCCCTCCGCCGTCGGTTACCAGCCCACCTTGGCCACGGATATGGGTCAAATGCAAGAACGTATCACAACCACCAAGAAGGGATCTATCACCTCTGTGCAGGTACGTGGCTCTGAGGGCCGGGTTGACGGAAAAGTCAGCTGTCAAAAATCTTACAATTTATCGTTCACTTCCAGGCCATCTACGTGCCCGCCGACGATTTGACCGACCCCGCGCCCGCCACAACCTTCGCCCACTTGGACGCCACCACCGTCCTCTCCCGTTCCATCGCCGAGCTCGGAATCTACCCCGCCGTCGACCCCCTCGATTCCAAATCCCGTATCCTCGACCCCCGTATCGTCGGCGACGAGCATTACAACATCGCCACGGGCGTCCAGCAGATCCTCCAGAACTACAAATCCCTCCAGGATATCATTGCTATCTTGGGAATGGATGAACTCTCTGAGGAGGATAAGCTTACTGTGCAGCGTGCGCGTAAGATTCAGGTGAGTTTTTGGGACATACCTCCTTTTCCTTTAGATATCCTCGAGTCGTTTGATGAACGCGTTGCTGATGTCGTTCCTCATTCCCCGTGTCCCTCGCAGCGTTTCATGTCGCAACCCTTCACCACCGCCCAGGTGTTCACGGGTTACGAAGGTCGTTACGTCTCTCTCGCTGTAAGTGCCTTCTCACCCTTCCCCTCCCCCCCTTCATCCCCCACGCCGTCGCCATAATCCTCATCTCGCCATTTTTTTTTTCACAGGACACCCTGAAATCCTTCAAAGCGATCCTGGACGGCAAGCACGACGCTCTTCCCGAAGCCGCGTTCTACATGGTGGGCGATATCGAGGAGGTGGGACGTAAAGCTGATGAGTTGGCCAAGAGCTCCGCATAAAGGGATGAAAAGATCAGAATCGAGGAAGACTGAGCTGAGCGGCATTCAGAGGGACTTTTAGAATACCATACCACATCACATCACCATGCGTTCCTCCTTTTGTCTCTCTTCCTGTCTTTACTCCGTTTGTAAACGACCACATCTCTCATCAATTACTTATGTTGCGTCTTGGTGGTGCGGTTTGTTTTCGTCATTCAGAGATCAAAAAGCCAGCGGATGTATCGTGGTGAAGCGTCTCTTTTTTGCCTCCAGATGTCGGGACTGCCTGTTTTTCCGGGCACCCCGATCTACCTCCTTCTCACCAGACCATCAGACGTCATGTACGTACAAGAATATTTCGTTCACCACCGGCATCCTTTGCCCCTGAATGTAAGAAGGGGACCTGAATCTGGGAGATCGGAGCGCACAGGCCTAGTTTATACTCAGCATTTCTCGGACACGGCCGTCCGGCTGGGCTGCGACATCAAAGTTCCATCTACATACCGTATGCTGTGACGTCTCCACGGCCAGACTGACCCAGATTCGTCCCGAACCCCCGCCGTGGAAAACGGAGGTAGTGCTAAAATATTCTTTTTTTTTTTTGGATGAAGCGTTGCACCCGCAAAGAGGATGCAGGTTCAAAAAACGCTCAAAGCTCGATATCCGATGCATTGGCGAGGTGGGCATTGGAGGAGCGATGTAGGGTGTCTTGAGAGATCAAAAGGAGACGATTCGGATCTGGTGATACGGCCAAAGTCAAGGGGCAGCGAGTGTGAGTTGATGGGTGGTGTATGCACTCTATTTCAGGCAGATGGCTGCTGTTTTCGACATCCCGTCTATGCAATCTCGGCAGCTACGCGGCCAAGAGAGGTTGCAGGTATGGGGTTTACGGGAAGGCCGGGGGTTTTTCGAGATTCAATGGAGATCATTGGGGCTCCATGGCTCGATGGATTACTTTATATTTACTTGCTCCCCCCTGTCGCTCTCCGGGCGGGATACATACAGTATAGGGGCGGTTTGGCTCGATCTACTTGAGCGCAATAAATGCGGAGGAGAACGATCACTTCTGGCCGAATCGATGCGAGGTCTGGTGCAATAGGTCGCGAATATGATGCATTTGGAGAAGGGGAAATCTGAAAAGATCGAGACGCAGTTTCCCGCTGTGGTTGCTATTACAATCATCATACATCCCGCCTTTCAACGCCTAAGTATGTGCCTAGTTTGCCATTATGAAGATATCGTTTCATCCCTACTTCAACATCTATGTGTGTGCTGTGTGCATCGCTGCGGGGGCGACTCGATACGCGTAGGTTTCGTGAATGTGGCATTACATGCACGACGGCGGATGAGGAATGGGTGTAGGCTTGTCTTTGTACCGGAATAGCATGGTGAACTTTGATTTTTTTCGTATACCCGTGGATCTCCCCAGATGCATGAGAAGGGAAAAGCAGTTGTCCCGATTTTCGTGTGGTGTGCATCGCGTATGACGTTCGTGGGGCCCATGGATACAGGCCAGCAATCGGACCCCAAGGTGCAATCCAACGTTGAGACAGCAGCCTCATTTCGGCGGTCAGACGAATAAGTCCGGGACGCATCACGGTAGTTGAATCCCATCCTGGTGTAGACGAATCCCACAAGTATCCGGCCGCTCTGATCCCTCGCTAGCCGGTGATGGCTCTTTGCCCGATACGTTTGGGCTCGAGTCGAGAGATCCAGCATTGAAGAACCGTCGGGCGCGCCGACGAGCATACACGCAGGGAGTCGAAGGTTCCATCTGCAGGTCGTCCATGGCTTATATAACCGAAACGTATCACACATCCACAGTCGCCCCCACCCTCAATCCGACCCCTTAACCCCCTTCCTCCGCCCCCTCGCCAACCACCCCCTCAAACCTCCTCCTTGCCTCCTCATACCCCGGCGCGCCCGGCATATTCCACAACGCATCCATCTTCCGCCCCACATCTAGCATCATCTCCTCCATCCTCCCCGCGGCCACCCGCTCCACCTCGTCCCTCCTCCTCTCCACCATCCTCTCTTCCAACGCATCCATCAGCTTCTGCACACCAAAGTGGGCGTTGTGGTGCTGCGGGTGGGGGATCTCGATCTCTGCGGCGCCGTTGATGGAGAAACGGGAGGAGTTGGGCCCTGGGCGGACGAGGGTGAGGGAGGTGAGCGTGTCGAGGTTGAGGATGTTGAGGCCCAGTTGGTAGTATTGAGGCATTTTTTTTTTCGGAAGGGGGCAGCGGGTCGTGAACGAGGAGGTTGATTCTGAAGGGGTCGGGGATTGGGAGTGTGAGTTGAGAGAAGTGAGGTGAGATCTGGTGAGATCTGGTGAGATGGGGAACCGATGGGGAACCAGAGAGGGCCGCGCGCGTTCCCATTGCGCCCACCGCTCAAGCACTTCCTGACACTCCTCTCGCCCGGCGGCCCCCAGGACCCTCAGAGCCGTGAGAAAGGCCTCCGACGTAGGAGAGCAGCAGCAGCAGCAGCCACAGACAGACCATCTGCCGTCCGGTTCTACTCCAACCTCCTTTTCCAGAGTTCTTTCAACCCTCGACGCATAAGACGCCTACCAGTAAGACGCACCACCAGCCGAGAACACCTCCGGCATTCAACCCCGTAGGAGTGTCGTTTACCGAACAACGAACATCTGTAATTTGGGAAGGGGAGGGGGCCGCAATGTACACGCTCTTCACGGGCCTGTACAAGCAATGGACGCAAAAGGAGGAATTCTACGTGATCATCTTGGGGCTGGATAATGCGGGGAAGACGGTGCGTTTCCTCTCACATCAAGTTTTGCCAACCTTTGCGAGGGAGAGAACGTATGCTGTTTTAACACGCGGGGAGAGCTGACTTGGACTCGGGGCCCATTCCCTTCCAGACCCTCCTGGAAAAGATAAAATCCATATTCCTCGGCGTCCCCGGCCTCCCCCCCGAAAAGATCGGGCCAACCGTCGGTCTAAACAGTTGCGTATATCAATCACCCCCCCCCCCCCCCCGCCCCCCCCCCCCCCCCCCCCCCCCCAAACATCCCTCACCTAACCCCCCGCCTATCTCTCTCGACAACAGTGGGAAAAGTGGATATCGCCTCCACCCGCCTGACGTTCTGGGACCTCGGCGGGCAACGCGAGCTGCACAGCATCTGGTCCAAATACTACTCGGAATGCCACGCGATCGTGTTTGTAGTCGATGCGTGTGATCGGGAACGGTTGGAGGAGGTGAAAACTTCCTTCGGTACGAGAACTAAATCATACATCAGTTCATATGAGAGAGTGGGGGGGGGGGGGAATATTGATTGATTGATTGATTGATTTGTTTTTGTTGTAGAAAGCGTGATAACCAACGATGAGGTGGAAGGCGTCCCCGTGCTGATGCTGGCCAACAAGCAGGACGTGCCGTCCGCGATGCGGATGCATGAGATCAAGGAGGTGTTCAACCCGATTGCGGTGCAGTTGGGGGCGAAGGATAGTAAGGTGCTTGGCGTGTCGGCTTTGAAAGGGTGCGTAAACAATCCCCGACGTCGAACGTTTGTGGTGGTGTGTGTGTGGGGGGGGGAGGCGATTGTTGATGCGTCTTTGTTTGTTTTTTTTTGGCGGCAGGGATGGAGTGAAAGACGCGGTGGATTGGCTGTTTGTCCGGCTGCAGCGGAATAAAGTGAATAGACCGCCGGTGTTTACTGCATGAACCCCCACGCGGAATCTCGGGGGTACGGCGTCCGCCATCTGTATATATCACATCTTCTTTACAAGCGGGATACATACAGTATCTTCCCTTTTTGGGCTCAACACCACTCCCTCGGGCCGCCGTCTGATGACCGATATACAGGTTTATGGCAAATGTGCAGCAGTGGTTGAGAACCGGCCACCCCTATCATACTGTACATCTATCTACCACTACTCTACCCCAGCCGTTCCCAGCCCCTCTCCCGTCACACCCCCAACCTCAACCTCAACCTCAACCCTCCCCTCCCCCGTCCCCTCTCCCCCCTCCTCAACAAACACCCCCCTCCCATCCCGCCGCACAACAACAACGGTATGCAACCTGGTCCCATAGTTCCCCCCGGGCGACCGATCGCGCGGGATACAGATCGAGGATAACGCGTGCTCGAGGGCCGGATTGTACATGTTGGCCGGGAGCGTGTGGGGTGGGTATTGGGTCGTGTTCTTGAGGTGGGTCAGGAGGGTGGAGATCAGTTCGTTCGGTGTTGAGGACTGTAAAAATAAAAGCGGGGGGAGTAAAGTATATCTGAGTCATGCCGTTGACACAGGAAGGAGGAAATCAGAAACATGAAAAGAGGGAATTTTTCCCATACCTCCTTGATGGCATCCCCAACCAACCCCTTCCCGACCTCCACCTTGGGCCAATCCGACACCCCGTCGACCAGCACGCCGTTCGAAAGCCCGTACACGACTCCGCGGCGGAGTCGGCGCGGCGGGTCGGGACGTGCGGGTCCGCGGTTGCCGACGTACCACGCGTCCAGGGGTTGTTGGTCGTTGAGATGCGATGTGGAGTCGATCCGCCCCACAACGAGGTTGAACCCATTGTACAGATGTTTCTCCCCATGCACCCGCCGCACGTAGCGTTCCAGCGGCGACGCCCCATCTCCACCCGCATCCGCATCCGCATCCGTATCCCCACCCAACATCAGCGCATCCCGCACCAACACCCCCCTCGACAACGCCCGCGGGTCCATCAACCGCGGCTCCTCCCTGAAATTCGTCAGGAACGCCACCGTCCCCGTCGCCGTGTTGAGCCCCATCCACGTCCCGTGGCCCGCCCCGTGGATCCGGAGCGGACTCTCCGCCTCAGTCGTAGCCGTAGCCGGAGTCGGAGTCGTACTGTCCCCACCCGCCGTCGCCGTCTGTGCAGCGGTACGGGAGGGCTGCAACGGGTCGCGCACCCGCACCGTTCCGAGATCGGTCCCCGCGAGGATGCCCGGGTGTCCGATCTCGCACCACGGGTGGGCGCGCGTGGCGGGGCGGTCGAGGTACTCGTCGCGGTTGGCTGCTGCTACTCTGGAGGGGAAGAACCGACCGATATACAGGGGGTGTGAGGATGCGGGGGGGGGTTTGGGAGGGAGATGTGATGGGGGGACGTACATGTTGTAGTTGCCGACGCCGAAGCCGAAGTAGATGACGCACATGATGCGGAAGGGCTGAGGAGTTGGGAGGGGGCGGGGGACGGAGCGGGGGGGTGTGGGTGAGTGGCTCCCTGAGCTTCGTGGTGATGCCTTGGTTGGTGGTGCGTGATGTGGGATGGTAGTCTTGCATCTCTTGCATGCTCGGCGACCTTAGAGGAGAGCGTGACGGCAAGATCGCGTAAGCACCCGAACGCGTCCGTTTCCACGCGGTGACCCTTCAATGTGAAGGCCAGGAGGACAACAACCCTTTTTAAGAGGGCGTTACGGGAAGTATGCTTACCGCTTGCATGATCCCGTCACCCGCTACAACAGGAGGAGAGGAACAGGGGCAAGATCATCCCATCTAGCGTACCATGCGCTTGTACGATGAGACAAAAACAACGGTGCCATAAATCCACCAGCTGCATATAAAAACCCGGGCAGCGTGACCACAACAAACAACCATTCTCCTCAACCCAACGCGGAACCCCAACCGCAGCAAACCACCGGCCCCCAAATCTGCCCAACGCTCGCACTTCACCGATGGGGGGGCGATTACTTGGTGATCATTCCAGCACGAGATCTCCTGCTCGTTCCCGCAGATTCTCGCTCTCCTTGCCCCCAACATTGTTTCACGTTATCCCCCTTCGGTCCCCAAAGATGTGTAGGGGCTTGCTTGCATCGGCGTAGTGCCCCTGGCCTGGTTTTACACAAGGCCTGCGCTGCGCTATTGATGGGTGTTCGATGTGTCCCCTAGCAGCGGTGGTTGATGCGGCACCCCGACAACGACCGGACATCAGTAGTGAGTGGGTGGACGGATTATAACCGCAGTTTTTAAACACACGTTCCTAACACCATAAATCCCTCCATGACCTCACGCGACCTCACGTGACCGTCATTTATCGAGTCCGATGGAGTGCGCACCAAGTCCGATGAAGCTTTGGTGTGCACTCCGCTCCGGGTCATCGAGTGACGGGTGTGCGTCGCGCTGTCGTAATGGAGCGGAGCTCCTGTGGATCACACCGGCTCTCTCCATGATTCTATTTTTGGGAAAAATCTTCAGAAATTTCACGCATGGAGGGAGATCGAGTAAGTCTCTCCATGGCTCTCCATAGATGCGAGATTTGAGAAAATCATAAGAAAATTATTCTATGGAGAGCGGAGATTCATACCCGCATTTTCGAGGAAAAAGTACCGCGAAGGGGCAACCTTCAGAAGCCTGCAGAAGCCTTCGACACCCTTCGGAAGCCTACTGAAGGCTATTGAAGAATGAATGAAAGAATGAAACATTTATTGAAACGAGGAAGAGCCTTTACATACAATGAAAGAAAGAAGAGAGGAAAGAGAAAGAAATTACAAATACAGGTGACCAAGAACTCCGCTAGAAGTCCGTCTGCTGTACAAATTTGCGCACGTATTCATCGTAGGAGTGGGTCGTTTCTTTGATAAGACCGGCTCTGTAGAAGGCTCTTTCGATACCCGGGTCTTCTTTGCACTCGGAGCGCTTCACTAGCGACATCCACGTTCGAGCTGCATTAAATCCGTAATTGTAACGTGGCACACATTGATCAAAGGGATAAGTGTGATCGGTCACTATTTCTGTCAGTCGAGACCGTATGTGTAAATGTGCTGCCGTCCTATACTCCTCAATACCCCACCGTTTGTTGTCGTCCATTAGGGTATGAAGGTGGTCAAAGAAAAAGACGAGAAAAAAATTCTTCGCCGCGATTGCAGGGTCTTGATCAGAGATCCCAATAATCAGCGCCCACTGATGCTCCAGAAAGCTTAGAATCATTTCGAAGATGTTCTGACAACGTTTCCTTGCGATTAGAACCATACTCTTGCGGGTTTCATATTGGATAGTGTCAATTATATGTCGGATGAAGTAGCTACCGATTATCATTTTGCGAACACCAGCACCTGTTGGTGGAGCTTCATCATCCGGAAACCAGGCGTCACAGCTTTTAGCGAGATCTGCAGAAACTTTTCTCCAAACTTGTAAATCGGATTGAATCACCGAGACCTCCTTCCTTTTCTTTGCGGCGTATTCTAGAATCTTCCGCATTTCCTTGGAAGTGCGTTGCAGATCCTCAAATGCGTAAGTGGAAAGATAAAGGCTCATTTCGGTGAGCATTTCCGCAGGTAGATTGTTGAGGGGGAAGGACGACATGATGTGTTGGTGTGGATAAGCATGAGGCAAATACGATTATCGTTTCCCTTTTATAGACTTTCAGGGTTGCTACTTCTTCCTGGAAAAGGGAAAGGTGGGGCAGCAACGAGGGGATATTGCGAAATGAGATCAGTCCATTGGTCAACCCCCTGTGTTTCATCCGGGAGATAAGGTCATGTGGACGATAAGAGCATGCGGGGAGTGTCCTATTTTAGGTGACAGGAAAAGGAAAGGAGAACGAGTACCCAATTCCTATTTAAGCAGAGGGTCGTAGGCGTTTTCCTTCAACTTTATTCATACTTCACTTCTCTTTCAGCGCAACCATGTACGCCAACAAGTCAATCAAGCTTATGCCTTTGCCCTTTGTCGCAAACTCGTGCCATCCTGTCTACGAACTGCGCGCGGGTATCTTTGTTCTGGATTATTCTTGCCTTGTATATAACAGGTTGAACTCCTTGTATGGATGGAGAGTTCACAACTTGAAGCTAGTTGCTGGTTCACTTGGAATCGGGCGCAAGACACTTTTTTTCGAGTATGGAGGAGAGTCATGGAAGACTTTTCAGAAATTTGTTAAGCCAGGTGGTGTTGATGCACATGTTTGGCTTGAGGATGATGAGGGCAAAGTTTATGATGTCGTCACAAATCAGATGTACAATGTCGCGATGGTCAGAGGAAAGTCTATTAGGGTAGAAGCTGGAACGATTATCGAAGGGAGGACAAAGGATGAGCTCAAAAGGGTTGGAATGCATTATGTAGCTGCACCGGAGTTCGTTAACACTTTGCTGATTAGAAAGATGACTGATATCATTTGTAACTCCGTTAATTAATCAATACACATTTTGCTGTTTAAAATATTGGATAAACTCACTATCTTCCTCCGCACTATCACTATCTTCCTCATCACTATCACTATGTTCCGCATCACTATTCTCCTCCTCACTATCGTCAAAGGAGTCGATAAGTCCTGCGCGCTTGAAAATCTTTTTTACCTGATTATCACCACAGAATTCATAGACAATATTTCCCCAATACTCGTACGGATTGAAACTGTCTGCTTGGAGAACCAAATCGATAGGATCTTCGTCGTTGTTTCGTTCAAGATGCTCATATATCTTGTCCAGGAGAGACATGAACTCGTCCCATTGGCCTTCAGGTTCGCGCTCAGAGTCGCTGTTAAGACCTTTCACAAACCCGTTCATAATAGGTTCGCCGATTCTATCGAACCATGGTTCATTTCCGTCCCCATCAAGAGCGTCATCGAAAAAACCGTATATCTTCGAAAACGCTATGTTACACCTTTCCATAACAATTCTCGGCTTTTCATTTACCATACTAGAACAGCATCTGTGACCGAGGAGCTGGAGGATTTTCTGACTTGCGATGATAACTACTCGACAGTGAGTCGGTGGGTAAGGAACTGGTACGTCCAACCAACCTAGACTTGCGGTATGGATCCGAAAGGCGATCTCTTCATACTTCACTAGTTTATTCTCAATTTCAGCGTTTCTGCCGATCTCTGCCGCTTTGAACAATTTTTTCCAACTTTCTGAAACCTTCCGCATTCGATAAATAGATGTCGTAGGAAGGTAGGCAACTATCATTTCAAGCAATTCAATCGGAAGGTTGTCCATTGTAAGTTAGAAGTACGCTTGAAAAGACACGTCTTCTTCTTTATATAACTACGCTGTGATGTAACCGCAATATCGTAAGTACAAACACATGCGTTTAGATTGTGATAATCTTTGTATCGTCTTATTTTAAGAAAAGTTCTTCACTATGCAATTTGACTCTACCAAAAGCGAGCGTCATGAGATGTTACTTGATTTCGACAAACAGTATCCCAATGCCTATTCGGACTTTGTGGATGACTTGTCAGAGTTCCTGGATACCCGGCAATGGTCCTTATCGTGGACCGTACCGGTAACGACTTATGTGGGTTTAGCCTTTTTCAAGAAAAGGGAACATCTTTGTACGATCAACCTCAATCAGCGGACTGTACTGAACAAGGCGGATTACGACGATATGCAAATGAAAAGAATATTGAATAAACACAAGACAACTATGAAGAACTTGTTCTTCCACGTACAAGAGTATCAACAGGGAAAAGAAAGGAAAGATAAAGATGAGGAAGAAACTATTATAAGGACACAAGAGAGTTCTATCTAGTAAAGAGGTAATGTAGATTGGCCATCAGATTGCAGCTTTCGCTTGTCTTGACGACAACTGAGACCCTTTTTGTTTTGTGTGTAGCGGTAAAGTAGACTATCAAAGACTCACAATCCGGTATTTTTCGTTTCTACTGAATAGATGTCTTCCTTCTCCTTCTCCTCTCCCTTCTTATTCTTCGACTTCTTTAAGACTTTGATGTCTTTGTTCTTATAAACGTTCTTGTAAGTTTCATAAGTCATCATGTCCTTGTTTTGTTCCTTGTTCGTTCCTTTGCAACTGAACTTATGATCCTTCGCTTTTTCTCCAAAGGCGTAGTATAACTTGGGTGCGAGTGCTATGAGTGCAAGACCTTTCCACTCCAGTTTAAAGAGTCCTGGTGTCCGAAAATCGAAATCAGTTGTTACGAGCCAGTTTTTCTTATCATCTTCGTACTTGTCCAATAACTCAGGCCGAACGAGATCATCCAGTTCAGTTCCAGCCAGAGACATGTATAAGGAGTCAGTATCCATCATGTGTAGTTCGAATTTTTCCCTTGGAACGTACACGTCGAGAAAGTCGTAATAGAATTCCAACATCCTCAGTTTAGCGTATCCATAGACCATGAAACCAATTTGAAGGGGTAGATACTGTTCGTAAGATTTCTTTGTAAAGTCCATCTCGAACATCTGGTCCAAGACGGTCAGTTGTTTGTAAGTCGTTTTCCGAACCTGACGAGCCAATTGCTTTTCAGATACAATTTTGACATCTAGGTGTTTCTCGAAATTGGTGATGGTTTTTCCGTATGAACTGTTTAGAATCAGTTTAGCGTTGTTTGCCTTCAAAGCGTATTCTTTCTTCAGGTCTCCCTTACGACGTTCATTAGCAAAGTAGTTCACAAACCACTCGAAACATCTCCCGCGTTGTTCGTAGAAAATGGTGGTCCTGATGTTTGAGATCAAAAGTCCATGGTTCAGATACCATTTGAGCAAAGGTGTACTAAGCCAAAGATTCTTCCCAGACGTAGTACCGATCAATTTCCTGGAAGTTTTACCGTCCTTTCCTATGATGTCGTCGTTATGAAAAATCGGACTGAATTCGCTAAAGTAATTCTTCAGGTGTTCGGGGCAATCGATATCACACTTCACAAACCCGAACAAGATATCACTTTGAATACCAGAGATAACGGTCTCATGGTTGGGAGACCGATCGGTAGTGTAATCTCCTAGAGGCATGTCCTGGGCTATACCAAAAGGATATAGAGAGTTACAGTCGATTCCGATCATACTTTGACATTTGTTCTCTGTACCGCGAATGGTCGTTTCACCCACTTTACCGTAATGATTGAAGACTATAGACGGTCCGCCTTGCATAGCACCAGCATAGAAATCAAAGTAAAGATCTCTGTCTTCCTCCTTCCACAATGCAAATTCGGGAGTTTCTGTAGGAGCCGTCGGGATACCGTTGAAGATGATCGAACACGCAGCACCAGGAAGAGACAAGCAGTCTTTGTGGAAGTCCACTCCAAGTTCAGTGAAGTATTCGTGGTGTTTTGCGATCGCTTCACACATAGGGACAACATCTGCATTGTTGTATATTTCGAGAAGTTCCAAGAGAGTTTGCGAACCTTCGGAAGACTCAGGAAGCCTTCGGAAGGCTTTCGCATCCTGTATAACCTTGTCGTAGACTTCTTCAGAGATAGCAACTTTTCCCGACAATTTGGTATACCAGTCTCGTGATACGTCTTCCACACGAACGGTCCTCAAAAGACCGGCAACACCTTGTTCATTGAAGATGTCTGTGTACACTGGATTCATTTCAACGAATTTTGACACATTTCCGGTCAATCCGTGCGGAAAACGTAACTTTTGCATTTTGCAGTCATACATTTTGATAAACTTGTCGAGTGAGGCAGAAGGATCTAGAAATCCTTTGATGTCTTTAAAGTGGAATTCTCCATTGTTCAAAGAACGATATGCGTTTCCCATCTTGATGATTCCAGAGATTGTGGTGATCCGCTCGCCTTTTTCCTTCTGTTCTGCGAGCCAATCACAAACCCACACTTCCTCAACAGTCCATCCTAGAGATTCAAGTTGTTGTTTTCGCCATTGCGTCCTCCTATTCAGTTCGCCGAAGGAAACATTGATACGTCTATTGATATCTTCTGGTTTATAGCACTTCATGCACCTGTGCCAAAAACATCCTAATACTTCCACTATCAATTTCTCGTGAGGGATAGCGAAATCCGGTTCGAGTGGTTTTTGTCTTCCGGGGATCTTGATGGATATCTTACAGGTGCCACAGCGCACCTGTTCAGGCTTGAATCGTTTAAGGATCTCTGATGTGTATGCCTTTTCAACCATCGATATCAAGCCGCGTGGTTTCGCAAAGTCCTGCAACACAGACGCAAGGTTGTGCTTTAGGACATTCATATCGAAAGAGGATGAATTAAACCCATATACCGGTACTTGTTCGATCCAATCACACAATTTCCCACAGAGAGATGATTTTTCCTCTTCAGTAAGATCCTCATGACGTTCAATAGCCTTAAAGACACAATCGAAGTCCTTGTAGATCGTACCCAGAGGTCCTTCCCGTGCATAGGACATCAGATGAACAGTCTTGTGGAGAATTTCACGACTCGTACAGGTTTTTCCGGGTTCATCACCGATGGAGACGAATCTAGGTTCTGAGATTTCTCCTTTAAAGTGATATCCAAAGGACATCGACATCAGTTCGAGTAATCCGTCCACGATCAACTTATCACCGTTTACAGGTTTAACAAAGGTTTCGTTGCGGTATGTCTCTGTATCAAAACCGAAAAAGAAAGGATAGGTAGTGTAAGGTACGTCGATATCGTACTTTTGCTTAAGTGTTTTTCATAATGGTAATTTAGGGTTGTAATAACCCCCGGTGAACTTGACCCTTGCATGAATGGAACACAAATTGTGATGTTTCTTTAAACTATCACGAGACTCATAAAGACCCTCACAGATAGAACACATGTAAATGTTCGCATAAACACTTAAATCCGTGATAAGCGAAAAGTGATGAATACCCTCATCAGCAGAGTATAGGTTGACGTTGATCTCTTTACCGTCCAGTCGTTCTGGAGAACGTTGTAAGGCACATTTTTTCTTTTTCCCATCTTCGCTGAGTTTGAAGAGTTCGTAAACGTTAATCCTGCAGTTGAAATGCGCTTCGACATTATCGATGTCGGTCATTTGCATTCCAGGGTACTCCTTGTTGAATTTCTTTTTCTTGTAGAATTCACACCACAACTTCTTAGCCTTTGCTTTATACCGATCGTAATCTTTCTTTTTCTTTACCGAGTCGTCCAAGCCAGCAGCCAAGCAGGCCCAGAAACAAAGATTGTTCTTCACACCCTTGAAACTGGCGATCGCCTTACTGGTTAAGATAAACTGAGGAAGTTCGATATCAGCCCCGAGACAAAAATCGAGACTTGTCTTGTATGCGTAAATCAAACAACTTAACAAAAGTCCATTTTGTATCTGGTCGGTCGACACGATCGGCGAGGTCTTTGATAAACTGCAGAAGTTTTCCGATGACAGAGTAGAAGGTAGCATTATCTTTTACCACACCAGGGTTTTCAAAGTCGGGTATTGGAGTTCGGGTGATAGATCTTATACTCAATGTCATTTTCATCGTCAGGATTATACTGAATATTTCTCAACATGTAAGCGAAACCAAAATTGACATTGTATGCGGTAGGGCTAGTGTCGTGAATACTGATTTTGATACGTTTTGTGAGATCCTTGGAGGAGATGTAAGGAAAGTCGAAAATTCCGAAACCCTTGACGTTGAGTCTTCTATGATGAACAGCCTGTTTCGCAGCGCGATATTCACTCAAAACGTCACGACGACTGAGAGCATCTCGAACCGCATCAGGGTCATAGATCTGTCTGGCTAAGGCTCGGCCATCAACAACAGGCGCCACAGGTGCAACTGCAGCGATTCTACGTTTCTTGCGAGGGATACCAGGGTGATTTTTAAGTGCGTCAAGAGCCTGCTGATTTTTTACGTCAGTGGCAGTAAAGTCGCTGTTGCGCACACGTTTCAATGTGCTCTTGAAAGTTCGTGAAGCCTCTTGAACTGAGCGATTGGTGAACGGATTAACGAATTTGTCGGACATTGTTGAATGTATATTTAGGTTCTAATTTGTTATAGTACACTCAGCAGTTAAATACTTTTCGTTTATACCCGCACTTTTGCATTATTACGGCACAAGCTTTTTCTGTCAGTACGCGATGATATCATAAGAGACAACCCATGACCTATACGAAATCAGCATCATATCGGCCGTTGCGTTTGGAAACACGTTTTCCTTCATTGTAAATCAGACTTGTGCCTCTCAGCCTAGCCACTTCGGACACACCAGCCGGGGTCTTTTCTACTGTATCGGTTACCTTTTTCAGTTCGTGCGGTTTGTAGGTTCTAGTCTGGCGCTCTCCTTTCATGTTGTAGATCTCGTAGGAATAGCCGAGTACGCCTCCTATGATAAAGACCTCTTGTGACCATCTCGGTACATATCCCTCCGAGAATACGTTTCTTTGTAGTAGTAAGCGTACATTATCGCCTATGTTAAAGGATTTGAACTTTTGCAGTGCTGATACGTCTTGTGATAGGCTATCGGGTCTACTCCCTTTTTCAACATCTTTAGGCTTTTCCTTTATCGTTCCGTGACGCTGGCTGTTGTAGTTACGTACGAATAGTTGTAACGCGTTCACATAGGTCTTTTGCTTCGTCGCTGTGAAATAGCGAGATAGATAGTCTTTCAAAGTTCTGTTAAATCGTTCGATGACACCGAGTCGCGTATGATCCCCAGCTTGGGCGAAATAATGCGTTATACCGTGTTTTGTCAATAAAGCCTTTACATCCGCGTTGAGAAATTCTCGACCTGCATCGGTTGACAAACTGTAGGAAGGCTTCCGACCAGATTTTTGAAAAAGGTTCTGAAGCCCAGCAGCGACGGATTTCCCGTCTTTGTTGCGTAAAGACACGCAGAATGCAAAACGACTGTAAACATCGACTATGGTGAGAATGTAACGGTAACCGTCGTTTGCTGTCGCTAATTTAGGCAAGTCGATAAGGTCCGCTTGCCATATTGCATCTATTTCAGGACTGACGATATGCAGAAAGTCGCGTTCTTTTCTGGGTTGTGAATGCAACTGAGCGATTTGCTGCTTTGCAACAAAGGTTTGGACATCCTTTAACGTTACTTTCAGCCCTGAATTCTTTGCGGTCTGGAAAAGTCTTGCTGCCGAAGTGAACCCCGTTTCCGGATCGTAGTAAAGATTCCGCAATCTACTTTCGATATCCAGCGGTAACATGATCTCTTTTTAATATCGTAAGTAAAAAATGATGTAACCTTGCATTTTCCTTTCTTTCTTCGGAAAGAAAATCCGTAGTCTGCAAGTTATAAATAAAGAGTCGTTATCGCTTTCCCCTTTCCGTTTTTCTTCACCTCTCAACTGCAACAGCAAACCGAGCGGTAACAAAAGTTTCAGAACTTCATCAAAAATCCTTCACAACCTTCCTAAGCCTTCCTAAGCCTTTCGCAACCTCAGCAAGCCTTCAGAAGCCTTCACAAACCTCTCGAAACAATCTACAATATGTCTCTTCAACCTAAAACTCCTTCCGAACGCATGACGTCTCTCGTTGGGAGCGCTGCCTTTGCACTTCAAGGCAGCAGCGCAAACAAGATGAATCTAGCTCAAGCGATTGATAAACACGGATGGAATGAATCCGAGTTCATGAAAGCTGTGACCACACATCACACCATGTACACAGAGATGAACGAGCTCCTAAGCGACATCGAAGCAAAATTGGCGAGAACGTTCCTCAGATACGACTTCTCGCTTCGAGCGCAATTGGTCAATCCGGATGCCTTTCGCAAATTCATGGAGAGTCCTAACACGCAGCGTTTTCTCGATCGCAATCCGACTATACGCAATAAATTACAGCTATGGTACGCTGAATATACAGCACCCACACTCACTCCCGAACAACAACGTATAGCTGACTTGGAAAAGAAACTCGCGGAGGCTCAGCAGGCAGCGACCACCTCTGCGACACCATCGGAGACCGACCCTTCAAAGTTGATCGCAGATGTTGCACGTCCTTGTAAGGATTGTCAACATGAAGGACATCTCGATTGGACAAGTATCGATTGTCCCAATCACGAAAGTGAGATGGCTAAGCAAGTCTGTACCAATTGCGGTGGAAAAGGTCATAGGAATTGGAAATCGAAAACATGCAAGAAGTACGCAGAGAAGCCTGCAGAGGAACAAGCATTACGTTCGAAACCTGAGAACAGACCAACAACGGCGGGCAAACGAAAACGTATCGTTCTTGATGATGACGGTGATGAAGTGGAGGATAGCTCAGGCTTGGCGGGAGAAAGACCAACCAGAACCTGCGAGGATTGTGGTAAAACGTATAAGAATCACGGTTCACATGCTAAACAATGCACCAACAGAAGGTCTCCGATCGTACTCGTGCCTTCCGAATCTATCGATGCGGAGGAGCAGGAGGAGTAGTTAGTCAACCAGTACCGTAGTTTAGTTTAGTTTAGCTTAGTTCAGTCACTTTTCACTTTTTCGTATGCGATTTCTCTGTACATAGTCGAATGATACGAATCTTTCCTTTATTAACAAACAAGGTTAAGCTTGACCCGTTTCTTGGTCGCTCGGAATCATCAGCATTTATCGATTGTGTGCAGGGCTTTTGCATGGGTTACGCTCGATAAAAGGCGTTCTCAAAAACAATCCAACATATGCAAAAATGGCTCTATTTGGTGGTGGCGTCATGCCCTGATAGTTTATAGTCATTCCGGACTATGTTGGGAACCTTATTCTGCTTCCTTTACCGCTCGGGTCCGGCGGGCGGCAGGCGCTTTCTTCTCTGCAACATCATCAAGATGCTTTTGGAGGATATCGACGCATACCTCGCGACGTAGTTTGGTGAACATCTCTTCACGTAACTGCGGCGGGAGATCCGACCAAAGTTTATCTTGCGAAAGATTGGTGATCATTGCATCCATGCCCTCTTTTGTTAGCCTATCCGTTCCGTTCCAGTAGTTGTCAAACATCATTTGTAGATATGTTACAAAATAAATCTACATTGAACCGCAAATATCACTACCCGATAACATTCTCGTGGAATACTCCTTCGTTTGTGGGACTTCGTGTATTGATATATAGAAACGAAAACGGTTCCTGCGTAGCGCTTGCAAGTTTCTCTTGAAACTGCGTATCGCTTAAATGACATCTAATTTCAGGCGGTACCTTTTTAACCTCGGCATCGGACATCCTGAAAAGGAAGTAATGCGAGATCTGCGCTCTACATATCGGCGAGAGCTGCTTAAAACCGTGATAAGCGCCGATTACTGAGATCCCAGCCCAGCGATATTTCGTAGCAAGAGAATCAAGTGCCGCTCCGTAATCATTTCGGAATTTCACACCCGTTCCGTAATCGTCGAAACACAACAATAATGTGTCGTCTACATCGCTCTCGAAAAGATTTCTTTGTAGGTTCACCACTTCGTTCAGGACCTCGTTCGATAGTTCCGTCTTGAACAGGATCTTGTCCTTGTGTTTCCGGCCCACTGCCAGCCATTTCTCGTCCGTTTTCGCGTTCGGGGAAAAAACGATACATTTTCTGTACGCCTTTATCATGTTGTCAACAAGAAAAGTTTCAAGTGTGGTCTTTCCGGCGCGTACCGAACCAGTAATCGCGATATTGCAGAACATTTCTGGAAATCCAGTATTCTTTGTTTTATCATGTGGGTATCGTTGAAGATCCTTTGGGATATGGATAGGTTCAACCTTCCACAATCTCCGTTCCGTTTTGGTCATCTTTTTCTATTACACATACTATAGAAGAAAATGATAAATGAAATACTCTTGAACTCATCTTTGTCGGACGACCCTGCAAATCCTGTCTTTCAAATCTCCCCGATATCCTGTCAGTGGCACAAGGTCAAAGAGATCATTATCCCTTCGACTATGGAGTATCCTGTCAATTTGGAAAACAACACCATCGTTTTCTTTGAAGACAACGGATCGCGAAAGGTCGCTACCTTGAATGAAGGCTACTTTAATCAAGGGACCTTTCCAACGGAGATAGACAGAGCCCTAAATGAAGGGGGCGATCAGGATTATTCGGTAGGCATAGACAGCGGTACAAAACGACTCACTATCACATCTAGCGCACCGTTCAAGATAGGTTCCGGCGCCTCTGGGACAACGGCATATAGGATCTTGGGTAGCGAAAAGTCGTTTACCCCAAACAAAAGCGCATCGTATACCTGACCTTATCAGATAGACCTCAGCAATACCGGCGTGTATCTGCTTGCTTCCAACTCCCTTACAAGCAACTTCTCTATCTATCTGGGAGCGCGATCTATGAACGTCCTTTGCATGATCCCTAACAGTCAATCGGGAAGCATCATCAATTACGCACCAGTTATGGAATGGATGTACTGCGGTTCCACATTATCGAGTATCGATCTCATGTTGTTGGATGGAGATACACACCGTCCTGTGTCGAACTTTAGAGGCCCGATCTATCTGCGTATCGCGGTTGCAGACGAAACCCAAGATGTTTAATTTTCTAGGCTAGAAATTAGAGATGTCTAGCACAGAGTTACCGCCTTCTACGGTAGAGACCCCGGTTGAAACACCCCCGACTACCCCAGCAAAACGGTTGAAGAACCAAAAAAAAAAGCCAAAATGCCAATCACCGAACGTCAAAGGGAGAATCTGGAAAAAGCAAGGATAGCAAAGCAAAAGAAACGCGAAGAGGAGGAACAGGCCAAAAAAAAAGAAACGTCAACTTCCCGGAGCGCGAAAAAGTCCCAGGCAAACCGGGATACTATTATGTCAGATTCGAGTGAAGAAGAGGTTGTAGTCACGAAACGTAAGAACACTCCTGTGCCAAAAAAGAAAAAGAAGAAGGTTGTTTATATCTCAGATAGCGATACCGAGGAAGAAGTCGTTTATAAGAAAAAAGCGACCAAGAAAACTTTCAAAGAACCTCCGAAACTTGAAGTCCCACAAGAGTATCTACCGCCACAACCTCCGAAAAGAACATTCTATGATTCTGGAATGTTCGGTTAAGATCTGCGATTTCAGTAAATTTTTTTTGTAGTAGCTTTATAAACCAAATGGAAGTCGAAAGTAATCTCACTTACCCTTTTCCTCCTTATCAGGTATCCGTACAAGGCAATAACGAGTCTTTCCACTCAGTTCAACCCGATACCGGTTATACATTCGCCGCTGATGGTAACAACGTTATCCGCCTCACTTTGAATTCTACGAATCAACTTGCCAGTTTGTACCAATCTTACTTCCGTTTCAAGATTCGCGCAAAAGATAACGCAGGTGGTAGCGTGGTGAACACTAATGGTCTCGCATCATGTATCCAACGGATACGAGTTCTCGTTGCAGGGGTTCAAGCATACGATATCGACAACTACGGCGATATTGTAATGGACGAGGCTTATACGTATGCCTCACAGAACAAAAAGGCCATGTTGAATAACTTGGAGGGTTTCCGGAACCCGGATGCTTTGAAAACTGGCCAAGCATGGGTCCACCATCAACCTCTCCTTTCACTTTTCCGTGTAAACAAAGAGTTCCCCCTGCCTGTAGTTCCTGGCTCAGGTATCCAGATTGAAATCTACCTGAAACCGTCTCGTAACTTTTTCGTGGGCGGTACAGGTCAACCTACTGGTTATTCTGTCGAGGAATTTTCATGGAACATGCCAATGAAGACCCCCTCCATCAAATATATGGAAGATCTCAAGGAAGGCGTTGCAAAGGGTCACTCTCTCTGGCTTCCTTTTGTTCAAACCAAGACGCAGATCAGTTACTTCTCGGGAGCCAACGAAAGCGAATTCGTTACAGTTGTGGGTCCCTCGACTTCTATTCAAAGCATCTCTCACCGCTTTGTGGCAAGTGACGATTACAACAATCCCGCTAAGGATAAGAACCGGATCAGTAAGAGCATGGGACTCTCCGAATGGTATCTCCAGTACGGATCTACCAAACTCCCCAACACGAGGAACTTCAAGTATTCCAACGACGACCCTGTTGACAAGGAGACACATCTTATCCAGTACCTCTCCGCACTCTCAGGTGACTTTGCGGATGAAGTCAACATCTCTGACTTCTCCACGTTGGACAATGAGAATTTCAAACTTTCTTACAACTGGTTGCAGACCGGCGAACGTTTCGGGTCCGGATTACAACTCCTTGATGCAAATGCTCAAATTCGCACTCATGTTATCTGCTCAGATGCTGTACCCGCTACAACTCGTTGCGAGTCCATGCTCTTCCGAGATGCTATCTTGGAGATCAACCCTAGCCTCGTGCAGATCCATACGGTCTGGTGATCGTTCCTGAAGATAGGAGAGTTTCGAAAATATATTGTAAAGCTATATACAGAACCCAATGCCACGAAAACGTAAGGTTGTAAGCCTTCCAAACACAGTTATCGCAACGAAAGTCCGAACTGCAAAATCCGGTCGGCCACCAAAAGGTAAGATTCCCCCACAACTCCTCCCGTTCATTCTGAAGCGTAAAAAGAAGACTCTGTGAGTCACCTTGCTGAGACTTCGGTAGCCTTCGGTAGACTTCGGTAGCCTTTGGTAGGCTTTGTTATAGCTCTAAAAACCAGATATTAACACACTCTATTGAAACTTGGACAGATGTGTTGCGAATTGCTGTAACCCTGCCGCAGCATCATTTGCCGTACCTAATCCTTTATCGGCGGCGGTATGGTACTTCTGCGCTAGTTTTTTCGTATCTTGCCCCAGGAAATCATCATCTTGGACACCTTTGTTCGCATGCTCTAGAAGGCGTCTACCGGTTGTTACGTGTTTCTGAAAGATGCTTGCTCCATGCGCTGCCTTTCTGACATACTCTGGGACCTTTTGATTAAGGAAAGCACCTGTCTTTGTCGCGAAATTAGACAAGTTCTGTTTAAAATTCTTAAACGGCATTGTGCTTTTTACTCCATATGATAGAAATAAAAATCTACGCTGTAATCAAATATGTCTGTGATCTTTTCAAATCGCCCACAAAGAGAACCTTTACAGGTAGTTGCAGGAAGCAACAAACCTCTTTATCAGAACACGATAAACATTCCGGGACGCGGTATCTTTCAAAAGGACCTTCCGTCTCGTCTGCTCTACGGAGGACATACAAAGAACTATGAAAGCCGGATCCCTTCGGTGATTCCGGAAGTTAATGAGATCCCTTTCCGGCCTATCGTTGAAATCTCCAAGAACCAAAAGTTCGCCCTTGAGTTCTATCAAGGAAAGGAGATCTATGAAAAGCGGAAGGCGTTCGCCGATAATCTCACAACAGGCGTTACTCCAAGAGGTCCTGGCGGCGGTGGCGGTGGTATCGGGCGAGACTTTTATGCACAAACCGGTGAAGACTCGATCCCTCCCAAGTTGCGAGATGCTGCAATCCGCGAAGGTCGTGCATCTTCCAGAAACAATGGAGGAGCCCCTCGTGCGAATCCAAACAACCCTATAGTATCCTACTCTCCAGATGTTATCGCCGCTAATCCGAATCTCGTTGGAACTCAGACCCAGACCTCACCACGTCCTGTTGGAAGCCGGCGCCCCGATTCGATACCGGTGTTGAGCAATCTGGCTCACCAAAGTACACTTGGGACGATGCAGTGGACGGCAACGGATAACTCTACCGATAGAGCCGCTGCTCCAGATGTCGAAACAGTGCCTGAACGCCTTACGATCAATATTCCTCCGAGGCTTCGTGATAGACCGCCGATCTATGCAGCACCGCACCGACCTCTCCATTCCATAATGGGGATCTCTCCGACGGGGTTGAACGCAGACATTCAACATTTGGTGAACAACTACCCGAATGCCCCCTATGTTCCGCATGCTACACTATTTCCCGATACTAATTACTCTAGACGTTCGTTCAACACAACTCTACCACCCTCCAAGCCTTGTAGATACCATTGATCAACCGAACGGATGGAGGGCAGAGATGGAAACTGCGCGCGATACAGACGACGATATGGCACGATTGAATGTCGCCTTTCAGAACATGACAATGCATTCGCTACAAACAGGACCAAGCAATGAACCGGTAAGGCCTAGGATACCGACCAGCAACCTGGAACGAGACCGTGATGTAGAAATTCCAGGAGCGTTCCCACGTAGAACTCCTACACCTGTGATCTCTCCGAACTTGTCTGCCACTCCACAAGCGACGGAGCCACATCTTGGTATTCCATTCCATCAACGTCCCGCTTCTGCTAGGAACTCTTTGAATGGTGACCGCCACCCGATACCTGCTCCAGCATCTCCTGTAAGATCACCTACAATGGCGCCGCCGTTGACGATGGATGCAGCGCCCGCACAAAGTCCGATGGAGATCGTTGAGCAAACTTCAGCCAGATCTCCTATCGATAGCGTTTCTCCGTTTCTGCGCAGAAGCAGCCGCCCATCCGTCGCTCCGCAGGTGTTGTCCTACGATGAAGACTTTAATCAGATTGATACTCGTGCAACAAGTTCACAACCTCCTGCAGGCCGACGTGGAAGGTAGCGCAACACAAGAGGTGTAACACCCGCTCCAAGCGATGAAGCGACAGCGCGCCGTGGTGGTAGAAACAGACGCGCCCCTGCAAGGCTGACTTATGATGCTAACGGTAATCAGACGGAGCAATAGAATATCGTCAAGGTTGTGATTTTTTATATGAGTTATAAGCTAAATGTCTAACCGCTTTCCTAAAAGTAACACAGGTTTAGATGATGTATCGAACATTAACCTTATCGATGCTTATGCAACAGGAACTCTCCAAGGGATGCCTGGAGGCAATGCTCAGATCACGAACTTCAAGAGCGGTCAATTTGAGTCATTGGAAAATGAATTCGGACCCTTGTTGGTTAATAATGTGAACGGTGCTAAGGGAATCTTGATAACTTCCGACAAGGGAGTTTACACTGCTAATCTGAATGTCAAGGAAGATGAGAATCTCACTATCGATAGCGAAAATCGATTGGCATACATTGCTGATAATCCTGAGTTTCCCCTGCAAAGAGAAGACAAGACAGTTTCATTGCTCATAGATTCGCCCCTTCAGGTAACTGAAAACGGCTTAGAGTTAGCGCATGATTCGAGTTTGAAAATCACAGATGAAGGTCTGTCAGTCGTCTTTCCCGAAGTAGAGTTGGAAAATCTCTCAGAACCCCTCTCTAGAGACGAACTCGGTATTAAACTCGATATCGATGATACTCTAGATGTAAAGAACGGCTTATTGACAGTCGTTCCAGAAATCCTAAAAGCACCTTTGACGCGTGACGTGATCGGTAATATCACATTGGATTATGACCATTCGCTTCGAACGATCGACGGGCAACTAAGTGTTGTCCAAGAAAATGTAGAAGCCATCGTTGACGAAGCAGTGAAGGTAGCAAAACCGCTTTCGAAAGATGCAGACAAGGTGATCCATCTTGATCATGGAAAAGGCTTGAAACTCAGCAATGAAGGGAAACTGGTGACAGATGTTGATACCGTTATTGTGGGAAGAGGTGCGATTAGCAATGACAAAGCCGGTAGTTTGGCTCTCAATGATCTCATGCAAGAGGGGTTTGATTCTCTCGCGGATTTCTTAGGATCTGATACAGATGTGGATACTACGGTTATTCGTCTTAAAACTACAGACGACTTCCAACAAACAGGAAACAAACTTGCAATTCGCTCGAAAGGCATGGGACAGATTCCATTCTACTCTGCTCTAAGCGGATTCAATGGAGACAGCAGTTTTACCTATAATGAGACGCTCAATCAAATGAATGTTCCACATCTTTACGTGAACAGCAACTTCAACCCCTCGAATAACAAAGTGCCAACATCCGCGTATGTAGAGCAACTGTATCAGGCAGGATCAGGGATTGATATATCTGGAGTATCGAATGGTCGAAGGACTGTTGATGTAAGAACAGATGCTATTCTCGCTATCGATAGCAGCCAGAATCTAAGTGTCAATGTCTCGGCCTTATGTGATAACAAAGGTATCCGAGTCGTGAACGATAAATTGGCGATTGGGCTCACCTTCCAACAGGGCAACGGTGGATTGAAGATAGAAAATCAGAATCAAGTTAAACTTGCTCCCTCCGTAAGTGGTGCAATCACTATTGATGGTAACAATACATTCGGCGATAAGCTGACTGCATCAAATGGAGTCAAACGTGTTGAGAATGATCTCCAACTGGATCTTCATGCGGGGGATAATACCGTGACAGTAACTAACAATTCGATAAAGGGTGCGTATACAGGATCTAATGGAGTGTCAGTTACGGGAAACACTATTTCCGGGGCCTACACTGCTGAAAACAACATCTCGATATCTGGGTCAAGCATTAGTTGCACATATCAACCTGAGCCGGAAACTCCTACTGTCATCACTGGTGCTTTACCTATCATTGTTACCGGAGCGGATAAGGAATTCAACGTGTCTAAGCAGCCTTTGGTTATAACTGGTGGCTCCGGAATCCTCGTTGTTGGCTCCGAGGAAACCGGCTTCAATATTTCTTCCATACAGCCCTACAAGAACCGGAAAGAAGACGATGATCCGGAAGAGAAAAATGAGGAGTCCGAGCCGTCTGGAGAAAGTGATCCTCTCACAGCATCTGGAACTAATCCCGTAGTCTCAGTAACAGGTCCCCTTTCCACAATCCTTGGAGGCGCAATTGGTCTCATTGGCCCTGCGGCTGGCGCTCCATTTGCCACATCTGCTATCGGTAGCGTCGGGGGACTTCTCGGAGGACCTGCTGCAGCAGCCGGAATCCTTGGTGGTTTCGTTGCTGCAAGTGGTCGAGAAAGAAAGAACCAGAAAGACGCAAATGGTAACAATGTAGTGGATTCAAAGGGAAACCCCGTTCCAGATCCAAACGGCTCACAAGTTATCATTGCAACTTTCCCTAAAACGGATGATACATCCTGTGATGTTACGAGATTACTTTTTGACACTCCACCTCCGTGTTCATATCTGGGTATTGCAGGAGAGGTCCCACAGCAGGCAATCAACTTGGGCATGTTACGTGAGTACGATTCTACAATCATACAGCCAACGTATTCAAATTTGATAAGTCAGAATACAAGTCTTCTTCAAACTGCTATCGATAGTAAAGTCGCAAAAACGGATACCATTCCATATGCGAGAATAACGGGTGCTCCAGATCTCACCATCTACGAGAAGAAATTAACATTTGCTGGACCTATCCTCTCCAGAGATACATCTAATACCGTTTCGGTCAATACCGGAAATATCACTACTCTTGGGACACTCACATCTCTTAACGTAACAGGCGCTTTGACCGCCGGCTCCATAAGCAGTCCTACCTTGACAAATTATCTTACAACAGCAAATGCAGCCACAACGTATCAACCTCTTAATGCTCGTCTTACTAATTTTGGGAACATTGCGCCAACAAACACGTACATGCTTATCGCAAGCGGAGGCAATTTCATTCAATTTAGTCCTGCAGATGTTCGTGCAAATCTCTCATTAAAAATCTGAGTTTGCTCGATACTTTAGACTACACTAGTTCGGCGTTGGTGAACAAACCTACGCTTGGTTCGCTTGCAGCACTTAGCAGTATTGACTATGCTTTGACGTACATTACTGGAAAGCCAACTCTTGGTTCTCTTGCAGCACTGAGTAATATAGATTACACTTCGGCTTTCCTTACAAACAAGCCTTCGCTTGGTTCACTTGCAGCACTGAGTAGTATAGATTACACTTCGGCTTTACTGACAAACAAGCCTTCGCTTGGCAGTTTGGCTGCTAAATCCGTTATCAATCTTGCAAGCGCAGATGTCACCGGTATTCTTCCTGTTGGAAGTATTGACCCAATCATTGTGCTTGCTGGAACCGGTTTGACTAAAAATTCTCAAACTTTAAGTGTCAATTCTGTACAGACACAAATTACAAGTGTCGGTACTTTAACGGGTCTTTCTGTAAGTGGAAGTTCCACATTCTCCGGTGCAGTCACTGTTCCTACACCTACAATTGCAGCAAATCCTGCAACAAAAGGATATGTGGATGGGTTGATTTCTACAACATCCGGAAATGCTCAACCTCTTAATCCTAAATTGACTGCTATTTCTTCGAGCACTGCCACTCTCAACAATTTCCTTGTAGGAGATGGAACTAATTATATCAGTATGACTCCATCAGCATCTAGAACAGCACTAGGGCTCGGTTCCGTGGCGTTAAAGAACACCATCACGCTCACAACAGATGTGACAGGTATCTTGCCTCTCGCCAATATAGACGCCCAAGTAAGCACGAAAGCCTACGTCGATGCTCAGACATCAACAGTTGGCGCAGGATTGTCAAAGTCAGGCACGGCCATTTCAGTCAACACGGACCAGTCGGCTGTTATCACCAGAGTTGGAACGCTGCAGGGGTTGAGTGTTACAGGCGACGTGACCATATCAGGGAACGCCATCATCGCGACAGCCCCAACAGCAGATACACATCTCACAAATAAGACTTATGTTGATACGCTTCTAAGTGCAGGAACCGGCTTAACACGTACAGGAAACAATTTCTCTGTCAATGTGGCTCAACCTCAGATAACATCGGTTGGAACTTTAACATCATTGAACGTTAATGGAAATGCGAACTTTGCTGGAGATGTCATGGTATCAGGAAACGCTGTCGTCTCAACAGCACCGACCTTAGCAACTCATCTTACAAACAAGACATATGTTGATACGCTTCTTAGTGCTTCCACAGGATTGACACGTAGTGGAAATTCGTTCAGCGTAAATCCTGCTCAGCCTCAAATTACAAGCGTTGGAACTCTATCATCTCTGAATGTTGGTGGAAATGCGAACTTATCCAATGTTCAAATTGCCGGAACGACTGATTCTACGTCGACAAATTCAGGTTCGCTCCAAGTTGTTGGCGGAGTTGGTATAGGGAAAAGTGTGGTGGTTGGCGGCACCGTATTCCTAGGAGGAACAACAGCGAACCTGAATACGACCACAGGGCAGACTCTGAATATTAATAACGCTGCATCGACTGTGGTTACTTCTACTATTGACTCTAACGCCACAAATGCCGGTGCCTTCCAAGTTGCTGGAGGAGTTGGTATCGCCAAAAAATTGACCGTAGGGAGTGATGCGAGTTTTGTCGGGTCAAATCAAAGTATCTTTTGGTACAACGGTTCAGTATCAACACCCACATTCGGAAGCAGCATAACGGGCAACGTTTCAGCAGCAGGGTACTTTTCCTCAAATTCGGCTATTGGCGATATGGTAATTTGGGCACAGTACAATAATGCACCGACGAACTTACGATTCGCTAACGGACCCGGCTTATCAAACCTTGATATATTGACAAATGGAAATGTTCTAATCAATACAACAACCGACTCCTCTTCTACAACAACTGGCGCTCTAACAGTTGCTGGAGGTCTAGGTGTGGGAAAATCTCTATTTGCTGGTTCAGCCGCCACTGGGAGTCATACACTGCAAGTAAACTCAACTTCCGTTGACGTCTTGAAACTTCAGAGTCTTTCCGCGTCGGGGTTTTCAACTATCGGTTTCCTTAACAACACAGGAACGATAGTGGGAGCATTCGGTTATGCTGGAACTGGTACAAGCGCTCCAAACGCTGGGAACTTTTTCCTATACTCCGGGTCTAATGCCAATTTCATAATCAATTCAAATTTGCCATCTGTACAAATTCTTTCCACTCTCGATTCGACCTCAATATCGACCGGTGCCCTGCAACTCAAAGGTGGAGCGGGTATCGCAGGGAATGTCAATCTTGGTAAAGACTTGACTGTTAATGGGACAATATACTCCAATATCGTCTCCACCGGGCCTGTTGTATCTTCGCATCTCGGAACACCTAATTTGGCAGCGGGGAGTTTCTCAACACTTCAAATTGGAGTAGGAGCGGCTACAAATAACATGGCCAGGGTATATTTCAACTATGTTGGAGCGGGTCTTGCAACCAATACATTGGGTTTAGGATTGTGGAACAGCCCTCAAGGTCTTACAGTTGATGGAACGGGAAAGGTTATTATTCCTACCGGTTCTATCGGCAGTTTGACAGTTACAGGAAGCATGACTTTCACCGGGAATTTAGCAACAATTTCTGCTACAGGTTCACAAGGTCCTCTCTCCATAGACCCAAATCAGTCTTCCAATCCTTATGTCAGAGTATGGGATGACTTGAGAACTGTAGGAGATTTTTCCGTGTGGAATTCGGCCGAAAATACCACTTGGCTCAAAGTTTTTACAAATAATGGTGTTGCATCTGTCTTTACCACAACCGATTCCACAGGAGTAGGAACCGGTGCGTTGCAAGTCTCTGGAGGCGCTTCTGTTGCGAAAAACGTATATGTTGGAGGTAACGTCTCGGTCTCGAACACTGCTGATGCAACCTCTAACACATCAGGCGCCCTTGTAGTGAATGGAGGCGCATCTGTAGCGAAATCTCTATATGTCGGGTCAAATGTTAACGTGACCGGTGATTTGAAGAGTCCAGCATTAACATCGACAACTACTTTATTTCCGTACCCCACAACGCCAGCAACAGGTTCCTCATGGAACGGCTATACAGTTACAGCCTCCAGCGAATACACGTATGCAAATGGAAACGGTGTAGATGGATATACGGGACATCCATTCGATGCGTACATGAACGCCTCCATTGCATCCAGACTGCGGTGGGCAACATCTAGCACCTCAACGGCCAATTTAGGTTTAGATTCAACAACACAAAGTCTTCATTGGTCGTTATTGAGACTGCCGTCGGCCATTCCTATGAGTTCAATCAAACTCACCGCCTACCTGATGGACGCCGTGGCGATGCCTACTACGTTCTCCGTGATTGCCGGAACAACCGAGTCTGCTATGGTAACAATCGCGACGTTTTCGAATATACCTGCTTCGAGTTGGACCACAGATGGGAATTCATTTAGTTTTGCAAATACCATGCCTTATGTAGTATGGGGTATCGCATGGGCATACGCAAATCAGACGACAGCGGGTGGAGTGGTGATAAGACAGATTCAGTATAATCAAGCCGTTCCCAAAGCGACCCTTGTTAGCGCTTCTGCAAACTCTCTAGACGTTACGGGTGCGATAAATACGAACACGGTTATGTGCAACACAACTGCATTAGTGAAGAGCGACTTGACATGTAGTACGAACGTATATGCAACGCAGGTCATTCAATCTGCTGTTTGCATCAAAGACAGTGTTGTAGATGCGTTGTTAACTAACGGGAATGGCTACACAGGAGGTTTCGGACCCATTGGATGGAAAGCGGGGATGTCTGGAGTCGTAGCCCACGTCAGTTTCATTGGGTACATGAATTCGAACAACAGTCGATGTACAGTAACAGTTCAAATATTAGACCAATCTTCCACTGTAGTGGCTAGTAGAGGGGTGTCATACTACTGTGATATCAATACGTATAATACTAGGTATCCGTTCAGTTTCCAAGTGCCGTTGCTGTTCTCTTCGACGAATACTCAATTGAGCGCACGAATTGTCATACCAACATCTATAACGTTGTCTAATTCATACCTCAACTTTTGGACCCAGTGTTATTAGATCTAAATCTCAATATCGAGAACACCCACTCGTTCATTTTTGTCAGTTCCGCATATCATCCTTAATTGCCCGTCAGTAAAAACGACTCCCACATATCCGGAATGGTATAGAAACTCGCGTTTTTCATTGAAATTACGCCGAGTCGCTATCGAATAGATCTGTTTAAAGATGTATCGGTTATGTTCGTTCATTTTGATGTACGCCATATAGCCGGGCATTGATTTCATCGATAAACATATTCTTTTGAGGCTCTCTAGGTCTTTGATATCGAACCGCAGTACGACGGTATCATCTATCAACTTCGTGTTATCGTTAAAGGTGAAAACGGATGTTGGCATTGGATTGTTTAGTATTTCTAAGCTTATATATGTTGATAACTGAAACGCTTTTACCGGCGTGAGATAAGCAAAAAAACCTTCAGTAGGCTTCCGAAGGGTGTCGAAGGCTTCTGCAGGCTTCTGAAGGTTGCCCCTTCGCGGTACTTTTTCCTCGAAAATGCGGGTATGAATCTCCGCTCTCCATAGAATAATTTTCTGATGATTTTCTCAAATCTCGCATCTATGGAGAGCCATGGAGAGACTCACTCGATCTCCCTCCATGCGTGAAATTTCTGAAGATTTTTCCCAAAAATAGAATCATGGAGAGAGCCGGTGTGATCCACAGGAGCTCCGCTCCATTACGACAGCGCGACGCACACCCGTCACTCGATGACCCGGAGCGGAGTGCACACCAAAGCTTCATCGGACTTGGTGCGCACTCCATCGGACTCGATAAATGACGGTCACGTGAGGTCGCGTGAGGTCATGGAGGGATTTATGGTGTTAGGAACGTGTGTTTAAAAACTGCGGTTATAATCCGTCCACCCACTCACTACTGACATCGTTTGGGTGCTGTGGAGATGATTCGGTGGATGCTGCTGCTTCCTGAACATGGATGTTCGTTTTCCCTTTCCTCTGGACGTTGGGAGGGTCGGGCAAGATGAGCGGTTTCCGCGAGCAAAAATGGTTGTGGATGAGTGTCGAGGATTGGAGACATGGAGATGGCTAAGCAAAAAGATGTGACCAATTCGCATATCCGCATCTGCACGTCGCCGGGTAGGAGTGTGGTATTGACGTACTATGTACACTATGTGCATTCCGTATCTACATATACAGGGCTGAAGCAATCGTACCCTCCCCTTCCGTCCCATCCACCTCACTCCATGTCCCCGCCGCTCAAACCCGCGCATACTCAACCCCCATAGCATTCCCACTCGTAACCCTAAACCCATCCAACACGCTCCTCGCCACTCCCGCGCTCTCGACCGTATCATACTCCACGAACGCGATGCCTGACTTGCCGGGGACAAGACGGATCTCTTTGAAGCCGGGATATTGGTCGAAGAGAGGGGTGAGCATGTCGGGGGTGGTGGAGGAGGGGAGGTTGGTGAGGAAGAGAATGCGGTTGGGGGGATTGGGTTGGTTGGAGGAGGGGGCGGTCGTGCCGGGGGGGTGAATGTCTGTGGTGACGAGAAAGTGTGAGCAAATGTATATAGCGTCAGGGGTGTAAGTAAGGATTGTTGTTTGACATTTACCTTCCGCACCCTGTCCATTCCTCGCTCGTTTCGAACTACCCTCGTCACCGTCCTCGCTGTCATCACCGCCGTTGTCATCACGCGGCCGTTTCTGTGGGCCCATTGCTGCTGCCGCTGATGGTGCGGCGCCGCTCTTTGCGGCATTGCCTTTCCCGCCGTAATACGACCCTTCTTTGATCTTGACCGCGTTCGATTTGGATTTTGCGTATGTTATTTTCTTTGTGAAAGAATAAGATAGTGGGAGGGAATGTCAGAGATGCGTACTGGCTGATGGCTGAGCCAAGCGACATATCGATTGAACGGATGGAAACGACATCCTTATTGCGAGCGGAGGATTACGTGTGTGCTAAGCTCGCTTGGCTCCCGAGGATCCAACGCTCGCCGCCGCTCGCTAAGAAGTAAGTGAGGGGAGAATTGCGCCTCTGCCGCAAGAGAAACTCGCGCTGTGCTCGCGGAGCATGCGCTCCTCATTCCGCTCGCTAACGCTCGGGCTTGCTCCGCTGGCCGCTCCGGTTTGCTCGCGAAAGGCGTTCGCTCTGCAACCGAACCAATCCCGAGCATCCCCATGTGCCTGCAAGGCAGTCCTCAGACATCCCGCACCTCTTTTGCCCGCGACAGATTCCTCGCAGATCCCTCTCTATATCCGTCATCCCACACTCACCAGTGGCCTATTGTAAAAAGGGAACCCCTGCAAGCTCCTCATGGCACTCGTAGCACTGGCAATCTCATGAAAGACAATAAAAGCCTGCCCCCTCATTTTCGACGTTTTGAGTGCGACAACATCCATGACTGAGCCGTATTGCGAAAACAGGTAGTAGAGTGATTTCCGCAGTTCTAGACATATGAAATAGTAGGGCGTGTGGGAAAATCCGGTGAGAAATGTGATCTTGACAGAAAAACCGCACTCGTTCTCTGAGCGCACCTATTTTGTGGACGTGGTCGTCGAGCCCCTGGATGTAGAGACTCTGGTTTGGGGGTATTGCAGTGGCCATGGCTGATGCTGCTGCTGAATCCACTCTGTCTCTCTGTTTTTGTTTTGTTTGTGAGGACTTTCTGGACAAGATCAAGTGTAGTAAGACTTGTAGCTGCGTGTGTGGGTGTGTGCTTCTTTTCTTCCGAGTTGGCAAGTGTATTATGAGGGTATGTATGGTATGCCAGAGGGGTGATCTGCGAGGGTTGGGCACTGGGGTTGGGCAGGCTGGTTGCGAGCGAAGTTGCTTCCGGTGTGTTGCCGAGCGTTCCCGATGGGGGTTTGTTATCCTTGTTGGAAACAGTTGGACATGGGTGAGTCAGCGTGAGTCAGCGTGAGTCAGCGTGAGTCAGAGTGAGTCAGCAGCTCACGGCCGTCATACAGAGAGGAGCTCTGATGATTGCGGGAGGAGAGACTCAGGAGAGAGACGACAGAGAGAGAAGGAAGGCTTTTTGCTGAACTCCAAGGACTCCCCCATCAACAGGCAGATCTTCATAATCCGACATGGCTGCAAAGAAGCAACAACCCACGGACGTCGCTACCCCCGCCGCCGCCGCTGCAGCCGCTACTGCTGCTGCTGCTCCCGCGAAGGACGTCGCTGTCAAGGCTTCTTCTGCGGCAGACGACAAGAAGCCTGCCGCCGCTGTGGCCGCCGCCGCTGCCAAGAGCGCTTCTAAGAACAAAAAGAAGAAGCCTCGCAACACTGACGTGACCCGCTACAAGGAGCTCGTCGACCAGCATGCCTGGCCAATCACCATCCAGGCCTCCCAGTCCAAAGGCCGCCACGCCGTCGCCCAGAAAGATCTGCAGCCCGGTGACATTGTCTGCCAGGAACGCGCCGCTACCTTGATCGTCAGCACGCCAGCCTCAAACGACTTTTGCCACCGCTGCGTTACCTCACTGCACAAGGCCGAACAGGCTCAGCAGCGAGTCACTTGCGGAACCTGCGGCAAGACCACCTACTGCTCATCCAACTGTCAGAAAGCCGATGCCGCACGTCACGCCTTGGAATGCCCAATCATTCCCAAACTCGCAGAGATTGCCACAAAGAACGACATCAACGCCGATCTGCTCAGGTTGACCTTGTCTCTCATCGTCCGTCGCGGCTTGGAACAGAAGCGTGACAAGCTGAGCGACGAGAACAAAAAGATCGTCGATGAGGAGGCCGCTGTGTATGCTGACGCGCCTATCGCGCCTTGGTGGGTCGTCCAGGAGCTCGCGGTCCACACCCAGGTCTTTGAGAAGAAGTGGATCAAGTCTGTCACTGCGGCCGCAAAGGAAATGTCCGACATTCTCCCCGAGCTGCTTGCTACGTCTGGTGAGGAGATCGTGCGCCTCTCTTGCCGGTATGTGAATACTGTATTATTATTCTTTTGGCACAGCAAAAAATCACGACTGACGCTTTCCTCGCCTCTCGCACAATTAGCATCAACACCAACGCCCACAGCTTGACTGATGACGAGGAAAAGGTTACCGGTAGGGCTTGTTGACTATGCATGGAAACTCTAATTTTCGTACCATTCGGCGCGATCTAACAATTTCGCTCCCACCGCCATCCCTAGACACCGCCTTTGGATTGTTCCCCATGGGTGCCCTCTTCTTCCGTCACAGGTTGGGATTATGCGGTCAATCATTGGGGATAACTTTTCACCTGTACTGATGAACAAACTTTACCTTCGCATCCATTAGCTGTGCGCCCAACTGCCACTTCACTGCTGACAAGGGCATCTTGACTTACCGTGCGATGAAGCCCCTCCGTGCCGGCGAAGAGCTCTACGTCTCTCACATCGAGCTGTACCAGAACCGTAGCGTCCGCCGTCAGGAACTCATGACCACCAAGCAGATCAAGTGCGACTGTGTCCGCTGCCGCGCCCCTCTCCGCAAGTCCGTTGACCGCTACTTGGAAGGCGTTCTTTGCGAAAAGTGCCACACGGGTGTCTACGTCAACGAGAGCGAGTTCCCCGAGTTCTACCCAAAGAAGGACGCCAATGGCAAAGCCGAGGAGGACGAAAAGAAGAAAAAGGAGGAAGAGGAAAAGAAAGAGGACGACCCCGAGGACAAGCGCACCGACGAAGAAAAAGCGGCCGCCAAAGCCGACGACGAGCTCCGCGACACGCTCCTCAAGACCATCGTCCGCTGCGACAACGACAAATGCAACCACGAGAACAACCTCTGGTACGTCGAGCGCGTGCGCATGCAGGCCCAGCGCGACTACCAGTCCATCTACCAGTTCTCCACCTCCAAGAACCACCCGCTGGTCATCCAGTACTTCCGCATGTACATCGACAGCTACAAGCAGCTCCTCCACCCTTACTACGTGCAGCTCGTCAACGCCCACCTGCCTCTCCTCAACTCCCTGAAGACCAAGGGAGAATACGCCGCCTGCCTCCCGCTGATCAAACACCTCATCTCGGTCTACGAAAACTCCAACGTCGTCCCCCACCTCCGCCACGAGTTTGTCGAACTGTACTCGGAACTCGCCTCCATCCTCTCCGCCCTCGCCAACATGGGCAAGAAATCCCAGGCCGAGGCCCTCGCTGCCCAGCAGGCCGCCCAGCAACAGGCCGCCGGCGCTGCCAACGGCGGCGGTGCTGCCAACGGAGCCAACAACGCAGCCCCCCCGCAACCCCCCAAGAAGAAACCCCACGAACGCCAATCGGGCGCCGCGATCTTTGAGAAACGGTACCGCAAGGAGGCCCTCGAGGCGTACCGCAAGGCCTACGAGGTTGCAAAGACGGTGCTGGGCGAGGGAAACTCGAAAACGGTCGAGTTGAAGACAAAGGCCAAGGTCTAAAAAAAAGAAAGAAAAAAGACACGCTCATAACAACCCCCCCCCCCCCTCATTTTTTGCGTTTTAACATGTTGGGCTTTAGACGAAAAATGGCAAACCACTGTATACATAAGCTGAAAAATGTGATGTGAGATATGGGGAGGCGTGGCGGTCGGACCTTGGCTAGGAAGGGGAATGAGGATGGCGGATAGGCGGGGGATCATAGGATATCGGCCCCCCCGCCCACCCCTTCCCGATTTCCTCAACTGAATTTTTTGTTAGAGGCGGGGCGGGGGCGTAACTTACAAATCCCTGTGTGCAATGTGCATGGAAATGTGTGGATGTGGGGGTTATGGTTTTATTCTGTGTGTGTTTGGGCGGAAGGGCGAATAGAATCCATCCTACATTCATCAACACTGCACCCGCTAACGCTGTTCCTTGCTAAAATCAAACATGCGTTTCCCAGCACCCGACAAGTGGATTCGGGAACAGGGCACAGGGGGGGGGGGGGGGGGAGGGGGGGGGCAGGTCTCCTTTTTGCGCAGGGGGAGGGTTTGCCAGCGACGCGTTCTGTTCGCCTCAAGCGTGATGGCCTGTCTCAAGTCACTGTCCCGGACAGACACAATACAGGTTGAGTAGGGTTTTGTGCGACAGCTTTTTTGGTCCATATCTCGACGGGTTCCAAGGGGTGTCCCCATTCACGCAAGATATACTGTAGTTCAGACCGCATATTTCTTCAACGCAGCAGGAGATACAGTATTTTATGCGACGTTGGCTACACATCCCTCCCGTGTCGTGTCGCCGAATGTACCCTTGTAGTCTCTTTCTTTTTGTTGCCAGGAGGGGGCACAGTTACTGTATGTTTGACGGCACAACGGACACTGGGGAAAAGGGGCAAACATCCACGCCTAGGGCAGGACTGCAAGATCCTCGTGCGTGCGGGACTTTCGGACAGTTTTTGTTTGGGTATATAATACAGTAACATTATACATTTACCGAATCTACATACACTCCCCCCCCCCCCCCCTCCTTCCTTCTCCCAGTCCGATTTCTCACATCCCCTTCCCCCGTAAACTCTAAGAACAAAACAAAGCTAACCCTTTTCAGTAACCCTATCCGCGTCCACCGATCGTCCCCACCTGAGGGGGGTTACATACATACATACATACCCCCACCTGCCGACACAGCACCAACCGCGCCTCTCCCAAAAAAAAAATTCATAAATAGGCGCGCGGGGGGGTATATGTCAAACGAGGTGTCGCACTGCGACTTCGCCTAACACGGGGGACCGCCGCAACTAAAAACTCTACATTCGCTCTCGGGGTTTCCGTGTATTCACGCACCCCCACCCGCAGCACCCGTAAACATGCGCTGGATCAGCTCCGCGCGCTGCTCAGAGGTCATCTGCGTCGGGTCGGGCGTGCGTGTCCTTTTCTGTTCCTGTTCTCGTTGTTCGTCAGGTTGGGGCAACGTGGCCGTGTGCGAATCCGGCTCGGCGGAGGGCGCGATGTCGGCCGGACGGGGGTGTGAGCCGAGCTTGTCTGTCCAGAAGAGGATGGGCGGGTCGTCGTCGTCTTCGTGTGGGGGTGGTTGGGTGGAGTGGGTGGGTTGTTCGCGTCCAGTCTCCCCCCCAGCGGGAGCCGGCACCTCATCCTCCTCCTCATCCTCCTCATCATCACTAATCATCGTGATCTCAATCTGCGGGGTTTGTTTCTCCGCTCCGCCTTTTTCCCCTCGCTTCTCACTGTCCCCTTCCTGCCCTTGCTTCTCGCCTTCATTCTCCGCTTCCTCGTCACTCCCACAGAGATCCACAACCTCAATCTCCTTCCTCGCCTTCTTCCTGCCTTGCGACGAACCCCGCACAGACTCCACATAAGGTGCATGCGACCCGTCGGCGCACACGATACAGCGGTCGGCGGTGGGGTAGGCGGCGAGGTAGTGAAGGAAGGGTTCTGAGACCGTTAGGTCCTGTAGAGCCAGCCAGGAGGTGGGTTGTTAGCTGAAGGCCGGTGTGTACTTGTTAGCGCCAGGGGTTGATTGTGATTTATCAAACGTACCGATTTCTCAATAACCTCGTTACACACCGCGCATTTCCATTTCGGGCTCAAGCGGGACAGTTTCGTGAACGCCTACCAATCCCGCCCCAAAAAAAAACAGTCAGCACCTAATCACACAAAACACACACCCCAAACAACCCGCAAATTCAATCCCCCTACCTCCAAATCAAAACACTGAACATGCCGGCACCCCCTCCCCTTCCCCGGAATCCCAATCTTGCGCATCACAATCGGGCATATCAAGGACACGATCTGGTCACCGATTTCTATTCCATCGTCTTCTTCTTCATTCTCGCTGCTTCCCTGGCGCGGTCGTTTCTCGCTGATTGTGGGGGGTTCTGCGACGCTGATGCTGGGGGAGGGGGAGAAGGTTGATGTGGAGCGCTTTATGGCTCCGAGGGCCGGGGTGGGGTAGGGTGGGCCGGGGGCGGAGTGGCGGCGGAGGAGGGAGGGTTCGGCTGGGGGTTGGGGAGCGTGGGGTGTTAGTTTTGTACTGAGATGTCTATATATCCCATTTGCAATGTCCGCGTACCTGACAGGCCGTCCGCGGCGCGCACGAGCTTTTGAGGCAAAGTGAAGATGAGCACCTTTCGAATCTCTCGAAGACTACATATCGTCGACTCAGTCCATACCTGAGGATCCAGCCTCCGCAAGCAGAGCATGGCAAACCCGGATCCGAACTCGTACGGGTCCGCCTCGATTGTGATCTTGACGGTTTTTCGGTCTAGTGTTTCCGGGCTGAGCGCTGGGAGCAGGTCGATTTGCACTCCGTCCGTTGTCGTGTTCGAGCGCTGTAGCAATGGGAACCCCATGAGTAACTGTCGACCGAGAAAGAGCGCAGAGACCTCACCCCATACCAGTAGCCGCATATCATTGACCCAAACCACCATTTTGCCCAACATCAAGTCCGCAGAGACCAGCTCTCCCGTATTCGTGCCTCGTCCCATTTTGAACAGATACATAGCCAAGGTCATGCCATCATCGCTGCGGCTGCTCAAGACCCCTCTCTTCAAAATGGTGGAATCGATCACCATCGTGAACTTCTGTCGCGTTCCGCCGCCTAATACAGGGATGACCTGTGCGCAGCGGCTGTTGAGCATCTGCGATGCGAGTTCGACGACGGGGGCGACGACCCCGCTTTCTTGGGGGCAGCGGACGCGGGTGGATTCGAAGGTGCGTTTCCAGGTTGTTGGGACGGACAGTGGGTATTGAGTTGCGGGGGTGGGTGCTTTTGGCGGTCCGTTTGATGGCGCTGCTGCTGCTGCTGCTGAATTTGGTTTGCCTGGAGGAGTCTCGGTTCTCGTGCTTCCCTGACTGGATTTCTGTTCGGCTTTTACACTGGCATTCCTGCCTCCGCCATGCGCATCATCGTGTCGCTCTCGCTCTCGCTCTGGCCTCCCCGATGCAGCACCGTTCGCTGATGTAACATGAACAGTCACCGGAGCCCTCCCGATTTGCACTCCACCCGCCTTTGCAGCATCCATCAGCCTCTTCCCAGCCGGATGCAAATGCGCGGGATCTCGCGCAGTGGTAGCCATCGCCGAAATCCGATGCATGGCCGTCCGACTCCCCTTGGGCACCGCAAAACTGTTCCCCAAGTTCCTATATGAAAGCGGCCGATCCGCCGCTCTTTGCATCTGCTGCTGTCTCTCGAAGTTTATTGGCACAGACTCGTAGGCATCGTAGTCTTTGTAGCCGGCGTACGGTGGAGGTAGCGGTGCTCGGCGGGGTTTGAGTACGGGTCCAGCGTGCCGGTAGATGGGTTGGGGATGCCCATAAAGCCATGAATGCTCGCCCGGTCTTGCATCTAGAGGGTCGTGCGGCACTTGCGCTGAGGGTTGCGGAGGTATGGGTGGACCTAGAAGTGGTTCGTCCATGTGAAACCCTAGATCGTTTGGTGGGAAATCGGGACCACCGTGGCCATAGTAGTCGTAAGGATGAAAATTCATCCTATCCAAGTTTCTTGAGGCTCCTCGGCAGCAGGCTACAGCGGAAACTGAATTCTAGAAAGCGATGGTTCTGGGATTCCCAGGTAGAGAATTGTCTCGAAGGTCCAAGTTCTACGCAGTAAAGTTTGGGACGACGGAGGGACGTCTCTCTATGGGTGACTCGATAGACTAGGTTACAGATACGAGCAGCACCGTCGTGGTTGCTATGATATGTATACAGGAGCAGCGCCGGCCGAAAGCAGCACTGACAGGTTGGTCTAACCAAGGGCGAGGTCGACGTCTCTCTAGTATCTCGTTACTAGTGGGTGGGAAACAGCGGAGGTCACTAATGATGGAAAGCGCATCCGGACAGACGTCTGCGGGGGTGATCTGATTAGGCATTGCAGCATGGAGAAAGGGGCGGATTCTAAACAGGCGGCTAATGCTCGCGGCCCGGTGATGCGCGCATTCCGCCTAACCGTGAGGTGGAGGGACGCGCAGAAGGGCCTAGTACTGTAACAGGCTGCGCGCGCAGGACACACAACGGGCGGCCGCAAACTGCCTGCTTGTGCTCTGTGCTCTGCAAAACACATCTCCAGGTCGACTCCAACACCACCTCCATCTTTTCCCACGCACAACCCACCAACGACAACACTTTGCAACCATGAGCAGTGCTGGAACAAGCCCAAAGAGAGCTTCCATGTCCTTCACTTCAGCCCAACTCGGCACGGCTGCGGCTACCAGTAGCGAGTCCTACGACGACAAGATCGCTTTCGACGTGGGAAAGAGACTCTTTGACGCTAGTCCGGACGTCAAGAATATTTTGATTACGGGTGGGGCTGGGTTCATGTGAGTCGGAGCGAGCGATGGCGGCCTGTCTGCAACCAGCAAAGCGAGAGGCAGGGTTGGTTCGGTCTGGGGGAGATCGCAAAGTCGACCAGAGCGAACGCCTTCGCGAGCGACAGCAAAGCGCGAGGGGAGCGAGCCCACGTTGCGCCAAAGGCGCAATGCTTCCCTCACCGCGGTACTTAGCGAGCACTGGCGAGTGTCGGATCTTTTATCGAGCGAAGCGAGCTACGCTCCTGCCAATCATCGCCCAATATCCTTGTCGCGAGGGGAGCGAGTACGGTGTCGTTCAACCATCCGTCGGTTCGCTCTGCTTCGTTCATCAACCAGCCATTCTCGCTTTGCTCATCAACAACCATCCATCCTTTTATTTTAGTGCCTCATTCATCGTACGCAAGCTAGTCCTTCTGTACCCCGAGTACAACATCTACAACTTTGACAAGCTGGATTACTGTGCGTCCACCAACAATGTCAAATCCGTCGAGGACAAGCCCAACTACTCCTTCATCAAGGGTGATATTTGCGTCAAGGATCTCGTCAACTTTGTCCTTGCTGAGAAGCAGATTGACACTATCTTGCACTTTGCTGCGCAGACCCACGTTGGTGAGATTCCTCAGCTTTCACAAAGTCTCTAGGTCAAATGGATTCGAACTTCCTCTCCCTCCTTCCTATCATTTAGACAACTCGTTCGGAAACTCGGCCGAGTTCACGCTCAACAACGTGATGGGCACCCACGTCCTCCTTGAAGCCGCCAGGATCAACCACGTCAAGAAATTCATCCACATCTCCACCGACGAGGTCTACGGAGAAGTCGAGCATGGCGGCGTAAGTTTCCTCCTTCCCACCATCTTAATCTGAAAACAAATACCCCGACTCAACCCCCTTTCAATCATTTCAGAACGAACTGACCGAAGAGTCCCTGCTGGCCCCCACCAACCCGTACTCCGCCACCAAAGCCGCGGCAGAGATGCTGGTCGGCGCGTACCAGAAATCTTTCGGCCTGCCCACCATCATCACGCGTTCCAACAACGTCTACGGGCCGTATCAGTACCCGGAGAAGATCATCCCCAAGTTCGTCACGCTTTTGTCTGAGGGTGGGAAAGTGTAAGTACCTAGTCGTACCCTCTTTGTCATTGGCCAAATGGACTCTTTGCCGACTCGATACTAAACGACGTGACGGTGTAAACAGCTTCATCCACGGCGACGGCAGCAACACCCGCCGCTTCATCTACGGCACCGACGTCGCGGACGCCATCGAAGTCATCCTCCACCGCGGCCACACCGGCGAAACCTACAACATCGGCACCTCCTTCGAGATCTCCAACCTCGCCCTCACAAAGTACCTCATCAAGCTCATGGGTCTCTCGTCGAAGGAATCGGAACTCATCGAATTCGTCGAGGACCGTCCCTTTAACGACATGCGGTATGCGATCGACTCGGCAAAGTTGGAGGCCCTGGGATGGGCACCCAAGGTGGACTTTGAGGAAGGCGTGAAGAAGACGATCGAGTGGTACAAGGCTTATTCGAGGAAGTGGTGGGCGAATATCCAGGGAGCCCTGGTCGCGCATCCGTATAAGAGTGGAGCGCAGCATGAGCTTATTGTGCCAAAGTAGGGGTTGGGGGCGGAATGGACCATGGGACTTGAGAGTGCGGACGACTAGTGCGTTTTTTGTCCGAGGACCGGACCTGGGGTTGACTCTTCTGTGTTCGTGTGAACTTTTCCTTTGACTGCCCTTTTGTTTTTTAAACTTTGGTTGTGGTTGTGTGGTGGACTTCCCTTTTGTTTACCCGTCTATTTAATGAACAGCAAATACGGACTCTTCTTATGCTCCTCTCCGTTCCTGAATTCGAGCCCTCCGATTTGCCTTCAGTGGGATGGTTAGAATGCAGCCTCCGAAGCACAACGGCCACCATAGTTCACACCTATTTCGGCTCAAACTCTCCACTGCTCTTGGTCGCTATCCCGAGTGGACGCGTGAAAACTTCTGCTTTGTGACAGACGCGTTATCAGCACATCCACTGTTTGGATATGTAAGCGAAACACGTACGCCAACGAGCGTACGATTACGTAGGGCCTGCAATGGCCTTTTCATTTCCGGGAGTCCGAGTCCTCTACCCGCGGAACACCTGTAACAGCTCCTCCTTTGGCTGAAAGAAACGACAGGATGCAAATGCGAACATGCAGCAAATCGACAAGTATAATGTAATACACCGCCCGAGGATACATATCCAGCTCGGACTGTGATTTCGGGCACCGGGTAGGTTGCGCCAACCGTCGTTGCGCTATTCTATTTCGCTCTCGCTCACGACGGGGGTTCCTCACGCTGCCGCCGATCGCTGGGAGCCGAACCGACGCGGTAAAGCAGGCGTATTGGAAAACCGGCGGGGGTCGTGGATGCGAGCGGGCGACGATCACAGGGTTCGGAACCCCCGATGTCGGTTGTGAGGTCAGGATAGCGGACGGAGCCCCCGGGCCGACGAAATCAGCCCCCCGGGTTTCCGGAAGGTGCGGTATTTCGCGTGCGGTGCTGACGTAACGCGCGCGGGGGGCATCGCTACTTGCAGAAACCTCACCGGCGTACGCATTCAACGCACTGCTTGCTGCGTGTGGTGGGCAACTTGTTCCCGTCGGACCTTGTCTTCGTACGTGTCGATGTTCCGCACGTTTAGCATTGGGCGGGCGCGGTGAGACTGAGACTCCCCCCGACGCAGCGCGTCACGAGGAGGGGATAGGTTGCCCGCAGGTTTGATCGTCACGGATGGTTTGATTTGTCACCCACGTACTGTACCTCCCGGGTTCGCCTGTTGGTTGGGCACTGGACATGGACTTTTGTGGAAATTCTGACCTCAGATCCGTGAAATACGGGCGGGGCTCGGGAGGAGGCGTTGGGGGACGGTCTGGGTTGTCTGAGGATTTGTTTTTTGTTTTGGGCGGGGGTCGTTCGGGGAAACGCGTAACTGACGCGCGTCAAAAGCAAGGACGGACGCGTGATGTCCGATTCTGTCCGAACGGTCTTCGCACCTCCACTTCAATGCAAGAACGAAAGGGGAAGGCCAGAGGGATGAAACCTCACCAGAGGCCAGAGGGAAGGGCCAGAAACGATATCAATTCAATGCAGGAGAAGCTAATTTGTTGATACAGAAACTTTGTACATTAAGCGTTGCGAAGCATACGGGGGATGATGTGCGACGGTCCAGAATATGATTGTGCAGGGTGGTGGCAAGCGAGCGAGTCGGGGGGGAGTTCACACGGGCGCCACCTGTGTTTGTCTGCAAGGGGGTCCGGCATTCTCGGTGAGTTTTTCTGAGAGAAAGTGGGGCCAGGACAACACACCCCTCAACATACCTGACCCAGCCCTCCCTCCTCCTCGGCACCAACCGCCTCCACCACGTCGCCTGCTTCTTCCTCTCCACCATCATCCTATACCGCCCCACAATGTTCCTACACTCCCCCGGCTCCAACCCCGCCGCAGCCGCCGCATTCTCAACCCACGCAGTCCCCAACCCCGCCAACCCGCCCGGCCCGCCACCTCGACTCCTAAACGTCCAACTCCGCCCATCCGTGTGGGTGATTCTGGGCGGTGGCTCGACACCCAGCGCGCCTTCGGGCACGCTTTTGACGAATGTGGGACGCAGGACCTGGCGAACGGCGCCTTTGGCCCAGCACCCTATCCCCTGCAGCAGCCCGCCGGTGGGGATGACGGCGAGGTTGAGCACGCCGACGCAGACGCCCAGCGGCGCGCCGAGGATGCATCCGTGGCGTCCGGCGTAGATCGCTGGTTTGTGGAAGAAATCCGCCACACCGTCCGCGAGACCCAAATACACATGTTTGCACCCCTCGCGCAGCCCGGCGGGCAGATCGTTTATCGGGGGTGTCGGGCGCGGCGTGAAGGTATGGTCGTACAGCCGCGGGAGACTGGTGACGGCGTCCGCGATCTCGTTGAAGGTGTGGTACACGACCTCGAAGGGGACAAACACCCATCGGAGGAGCGCGAGAAGGACCCCAAGCACCGCCGCGACCGCCTCCCGCACGCGGCCCCCGCCGCGGTCCCGGACCTGCCGAACACGGAGCACGGGGTAGGAGACAACGACCCGCACCGCGTTGCCGAGCACACGGACCGCCGCGGTGCCGGGGATCCCGTCGTGGTCGTGCGGGACAAACCATTTCTGGGTCCTCAACACCCTCAGATCGCGTTCGGTGATCAGCCCCGCGCAGACGAGCACCTGCGCGACGGGGCGGGAGACTTTGAGTTTCATTTTGGGGATCTTGTACGCTGCCGCGTGGGTGGCGTTGAGGTCGGAGTGGAGGTGGGGGAGGGGGAGCGAGCGGTGGAAGGAGGTGACGCCGGCTTGGATGCCGTCTTCCTGGGACATTTCTTCCGAGATGCGTTGCGCGATGCGGCGGGTTTCGGGGGTTAGCGCCGCCGTGATGGCGTTGGCGAGGGCGGCGGGGGTGAGTGTGACGGCGGGGAGGGGGAGGGGGCCGGCTTTCATCTGTGAGGAGGGGAGAATCAGCCAACGTGTCCACTCCCTAACCCATTCGGCATGTCCCCGCAATCATCTTTCTCTTTCCGTCCTCGCCGTCTCTCTCGATTACTGAACTCACCCGATAAACCATAGCCCCCCAGAAAAACTGATCCCCAAAAAACGGCACCACAATCGTCGGCCTGCCATACCTCAACCCGGCACTCAACGTCCCCGCCCCGCCATGATGACACACAGCCGCCACATGCTTGAACAGCCAGTCATGCGGGCAATCCCCAATGAAAAACACATTCGGATCTGGCGGTGGATCCTCAGTGCCCACCGTCTTCGCTATACCCGCACCACCATCGCCCATCCCCATCCACCCCTTGGAGATGATAGCGCGCACGTTGGCGAGCTTGACGGCCTTGAGGATCGTGTTTGTGAATTTCACGGGGTCGTGGCCGGTGATGCTGCCGAAGCCGATGTAGATGGGCGGTGGGCCGGATGCGAGGAAGTTCTGGAGATCGGCGGGGGGCGTGTAGGTGGTTGCTTGGTCGAGGAAGTAGAAGCCTGTGATATCTGACGGAAAAATCAAACATGGTGGGGGTGGAGTCAGCGCCCCCCCTGAAACCCAACCCCGAAATGAAAAAGATGGAAGACCAGACAGTTACCGATATGTGGCCCCCAATCGACCGGTTTCGGAATCAAGCTCGGGCTCCAACAAAAACTCCACGGCACCTTTAACTCCTGCACAGTCTGCGTGCCCTGCTGCACGCTCATGGGTCTCAGGTCGAGACTGAACACCCTGAACTCGTTGACGACGTCGCCGACGCCGAGCCAGGTGAGGGTTTCGACGATGCCATAGCTCATCTTGTTGAGGAGCTTGCTGACTGTTTTGCTGTGGTCGATGTTGGTGAGGGGGTGGGGGAAGGAGATCGTGGGGAGCCAGGGCATTGTGACTGAGGGATGGGGGAGTGAGACCATGTGTGGGGTAAGTGGGTCGGTGAGAGCACCTACAGGACATATGGAGGGGAATTCCGAGCTTCTCGGCGCAGTGGATGTGGCCGAACGATGGTGGGTTGGCGATGATAACGGATGCTTGGAACGGTACGCCTGGGTGGACGTGCCGCGGTAGAAGTCAGTGCCACTTCTCTGTTTCCTCACACCTCCTCTGTCCCGCTCGGGCCCTTCTCGCCCCTTTACGCTCTGCCTCTCCCTGCGCGTACCCACCAGTCTCATCATCAGGCAACACACAACTCCTCCAAGCCCCCTGCAGTATCTCCCTAATCATCTTCCTTTTCTTGCCGACATCTCCCTTTGCGACAGACGCATAGGTCGGGATGACGCCCTTGTTCTCGACCATGAACGCCATCAGCTCTGCAGGGTCCCCGCCGATCGGGTAGAACTCGACCGCGTTGCGCCGGATCCACGTCCGGAAGGTCTCGTGCGTTGCTATCCGGACTCTGTAAGATTAGAGAGGAGAGAGAGAGGTTGGAGATCCTGGTATGAAGATCTCAACATCCATCAGCCATCAAATCATCTACCATCAACCATCGACCACCGAATTTAAACGATCGACCACCATCTACGAACGCATGGGTGAGGGAGTATTGTGCTTTGGCGCAATCTGGTGCTCGCTTCGCTCGCAAAAGATCTGACACTCACTGAGGCTCGCGAAGAGCCGTGATTAGCGGAATCTTGCGCCTTTGGCGCAATGTGGCTCGCTCCGCTCGCGCTCGCCTTCGCTCGTCGCAGTCGCTTACTACCGCTCGCGAAGGCTCCCCTCGTCGCCCTACCTATGTCCATAATCCTGCAAGGCCTTTGCAAGTGCCAAAAACGGCTGAACATCCCCTCTACTCCCTACAATCTGAATCACGACATTCATGAACGGCACCCTCTCGACCTCTATCCTCGACCCCGTCCTCGACTGCTGCTGCTGCTGAAGCGGCGACTCATCGGGCGCCGGCTGAAACAGCTCGCTATAAGAGTCGGACGGAACCTGGCCCCCACCGCCGCGTATGGCGCGTTCCTCGGTCGCCCATGCCGCGGGGGTGTTGTGGAAGCTGGTGAGGGAGAGCCGGCCGTCGGGTTGGAGCTCGATTGTGGAGGCAATGTCGACGAGGGAGAGGGTTGTTTGGCGTTCGAGCATTTTGAGAGGACGGTAATGGCGGGTGGGTGCGGCTCTGAAATGGGCGGGCCGGTTCTTTTTTCCTTCCGCTGTCACCCATACTCTTCCGGCCCGGACACCCCCGCTCCGAGGCCATTGCCTTTTGCCTGCCCGCTTTGCATATTGTTATGTCCTTTCCCTTCAGCAGACCCCTTCAGGCCCGGTTTAAGCTTAGCCCTGAGGGAGACCGTCGGAGGGGAAAAGTGACGCGTGAGGTGTGCTTTCGGACTTTCCCCTTCCGGTTCGACGAAGCGAGAGACGGAACACCCCCTCCCCCCTCCTCTCCCAGCGAACAGGCGGCATATCCACTGGCCTCTCTCTCTCTCTGTCCACATGCCACCTTCAACGTCCACCCTGCCGCACGCCCTCATAACCGGCGGTTCGCGCGGAATAGGTCTCGCCATCGCACGCGCCTTCCTGCCAACCCACAACCTCATCCTCGTCGCCCGCGACTCTCACCGCCTAGAAAACGCCAGAGCAGCCTTGCTGAACGAAGGCGGGGGCGATTGCAACAGCCGAGTGCAGACTATAGCCGCGGATTTGGGCAGTGTGGCAGAGATTGAGGCGGTTGGGAAGGTGTGTTGGTCGAGTCGGAGTGAATGGGAGACGGCGAGCGCCAGCTTCCACGGCAAAACAACCTGACGAAACACCCACACCAGCACCTCTCTACAGCAACCACCAACATATCCGTCCTCGTAAACGCCGCAGGTATCGCAACCGACGCGCTGCTAGCGACAGCAACCGCCGCGCACGTCGAGTCGGTGCTCGCGACCAATCTCACTGCGTCGATCTTGATGGCCAGGCTTGTTGCGAGGGGGATGATTCGGAGGAGGGAAGGTGTGTGTTTTTTTCGTATCGTATGTGTGTGCGTTCAAGGGAAGCAAAGGATGGGGAGCAGCTAAAGAGACGGTGGACATCAATGTAGGCTCCATAATCAACATCGCCTCAGTGGCAGGCATCAAAGGGAACGCCGGGCAGAGCGTTTACGCCGCGTCTAAAGCCGGTCTCATAGGTACGTCTACTCTCAAATCCATCATCTTCGGATGGGGCGTTCCTACCCCTACCTCTCACCCTGCCGAATCCCCAACAGGCTTCACCCGCGCACTGTCCCGCGAACTCGGCCCACGCAACATCCGCGTCAACGCCATCGCGCCGGGGTACATCGACACGGACATGACACAGGGTAAGTCTCCATGTCATCTCATTCAACCAATGGAGAACTCCCTGTAATTGACCCCCGCACCCCCATGTTTGTCTTCGTGTAGCGATCCAGGGCAAAAAACGCGACGAGTACATCGCTGCGACTGCGTTGGGGCGGTTTGGGGCGCCCGAGGTATAAACACGGGGTGGAGGATTGCTATCAAAACTGCGTAGGCGCACTTCCCGGGCCATCGGGGAAAGGTACGCATGGACGTACTGACCTGTGCCATCTACTTGTTCCTCTCCGCAGGATATAGCCGACGCGGCCCTCTACCTCGCCCGCGCGCGGTTCGTTACTGGGCAGGTAAGAATCCTGCATCACCTACTCCCATCCGAAATCCACCAAGGAAAGGCACGGGGGGTGATGGATAATGTACTCACCTCATCGTTGATCTTTGTCTCGTAGTGTCTAGTCGTCGACGGCGGCCTGAGCGCTTGAAACGCCTTCCAACATCACGCACACGTATCCGGTTGTCTCTTTGCTGATCTGGACGTCTGCATGAATACGGGACACAGCGGGGTTATCTAGGCCAAGTCTATTCGTATATAGGCACAGGGTATATAGGGGCATTCTAGCGTAGTAGTTCTGTTCCTGCTTGACTGCAGAAGACTACGGACAGCACCCGCCGGGAGGGATGGAAACCTGCGCGGAAGGATGAGGATATTGATGACGAGACGACTGGGCGGTTCCTACCGCATCTCTGAGGGATGCAGCCGCCCGACACCCGGGGCATTACCTCTGCCTGCATTCCGCCCGCCCCGCCCTCCCGACACACGCACAAGATTGCACATCTCGACAAGGGATATATCACCCGTCCAACGGCACCTCATAAACGCGATTCCCAGCCCTACACACCACCGCTTTGACGAGGAAACGTTCCAGTGCGAGTGCGCGTTCGAAACTCTTCAAATGTGTTGTTGTTTCGACGCTCAATTGTGATTGTGGTTGTTGTGTTGAAGACGAAGAGGATGGAGGAACAGGTGCCCATGCGATGGAGGCGTGGAATGCTGGGGTCTGTTTTGCGGAATGTACGTTGGTTGTAATACACATACCAAATGAGAGATGAGACACGGCTGATGTGTGGGTGTTACCTCGTGATACGTCTGTTTGCTGAACTGTCGTACCGCATCGTCGACTTGGCGTGTCATGACCTGCAGCTGTCGATGGAAACCCCCCAGCTGTATTAGTCAACTTGTTGGAAAGGGTGACGGTGCGACACACAAAGTTCTCGTTACCTCACGAAACCCAACCCCAACATCCAACCCCAAGAACGAGCGGGTACGGTCATCATTCGTATACGTACTGATCCTCGAAACCCCAATCGTAAACCTTAAATCCCATTCCCGAATCAGCATTCCCCTCCATCCTCTCGAACAGAAAACCCAAACCTACCTCCTACCCCCCCTAACCCTCCCTCTCAACACCTCCACAAACCGCTCAATCTGAAACACCTTCAGAAAAAACGTGCGCGACAGGCTGACGTGGTAATGGGGGGCGCCGCCGTCGTTGTTGTCGAGGAGGGGGATGGCTTGCAAGGTTGGGATGTGGGTGGTTGCGGTGTGGAGGATTGAGGTGATTGTTTCGACGAGGGTTGGGGTTGGGTTGACTGGGGGAGAGAGAAGAGGGGTGAGAGGGAAGGGGGGCGCGGGGAGGAAGGGGGAGCAAAGGGGAAGGGGAAAGGGTCGAGGGAGGGAGGGAGGTGCAGGGACGTACTTGCGAAATAGACGAAGGTTGCCCAGTTGCCTTCGATGTGTGGGGTGGTGCGGATGCGGGCTAACGGCGCTGGGGGCGGCGGGGTGTCGATGTTGGCCGGGGTGCGGAGATCAGTGGTGGAGCTAGTTATGGACGTATTTCTGGCCTGTCCTGTCGTGCAACGTCGAGTATGAGGAGCGGCGTATCCGAACATGAACGGGAGGGTGTTGAAGATAGTGGGTTTCTTTCGTTAGTATATATATATACCGTTGAGCGGATAGGTGAGGTTGAAGTCTTCGGAGAGCGACTTTTCCATGTGCTCCTAACCATCCAGCATAATCAATACGCCGTGGTCGTGCTGTCTTCCTTTTCTTGCCCGCACAGTGAGTGGTTCACCCCGGACGTAGCACACCGCATCGCCAAGTACTCGAGCCAATCCAGGCCCACGGCCTTGCCTACTCACAGGCCACATCCCAACACACTCAGCGCTGACCCGCTCTCAACCACCGTTCCTTGAACATACCGGCCGCTTCCCTGCGTGTTCCTCAGGCCCTTTCTCCTCCCCATTCTCCTCCTCCCGCGCGCGTTTGTTTTCGGAATGAGAGTTAGAGTCGGACCCAGCCTCGGAGTCGGAGTCGGAGGAGCTTGGGTAGTCGACTAGACTCATGCGGTCGAGCTGTATATGCGAGGTAGTTGGGCCTGTGAGGCAGCCAGTTGGAGTGCTGCTGACCCTCTGTTTAGTGAGGAGCAGTCGGGGCGTTGTCCGAAAAGGGACGCGTTTCTCACACTTCGCTCTCCCAGACGCGTGAGACTGCACAACTCCGCCCAGACGGCACATGCGCCTTCCGGCTTCGGCACCATGTCCAGACGCTACTGGTAGGTCTGCCCGTCCATCCCGTCTCAGTTCTCAGAAGCAGATGCCTCAAATCTAACGTTATTTGGGCCCACAGCCCATCCTGTCGAGAAGCTGCCGCGGGGCAGGCGGCGGAAAGCGCGAAGGTATGCCGCTATGTCGTGGAATGCGGCACTATACCCCCTGGCAACATCACTCCCTAATCACGGCGCCATTGTACATTCCAGGTTGATTTCTCAGGATTTGGAACGTACGCAGGCATTTCCTGTCTTGGATTGAATGTGTGCGGAACATCGAAACTGAAAAAAAGACCATATCGGGGGCTTCTTACAACAGCATCAAATCACGATACCTCTGCACAGAATGCGGCTCCTTCCTCTCTCCCGCCTCCGACGACGACGAGGACGACGGCGACGCAAAGAAGTCTACCACTTCCAAATCCAAGTCTAAACCCACCGAACCCGCATCTACGTCCAATCTCACCCCACACCCACCCCCACCCTCATCACATGCACCATCGCACGCTCACGCCGCCACAACACCGAAACGCCACCCCAACCCCTCACCAACATCCCTCCTGACCTCCAACCTCCTCCCCTACCTCCGCACCCTCCCCCTCCTCACAAGGCTCCACACAACCGCTCCCCCACCCACCTCAGACATCGACCTCACAGCCTGGACGAAACTGAACGCGCCGTACCGCCTCCCCGACGACGTGCGCCGGTTCTTTGCGGTCGCGGATGGGCTCAGGATCGAGTGGGGTGTTGGGGGGGACGGGCGTGGAGGCGAGCTCACCGCGGGGCGGAAAGCGAAGGAGATCACGGTGGGCGTATTGGAAATCCTCCCCCTTCGGCACTGGACGCGGCTGGACGGGACTCGCAAACCCACCCCCACCACGGGCTTCGCTAAACAGGGGACGATCCCACCCCCCTCACCCAAAGGCGGGGCGGCCTTCCTCATCCAGCACTGCGAAGAGTACGGCTCCACCTGTCTCGTTTTCCCCGCAGCGGAAAGCACCAGTGGTGATATCAGTTCCCCGCACCGCACGCCACCCCCACACATCGCGTTCTTCGACCCCCGCAGCATGACCTACCGCCCCATAGCAACGACCTTCACGGCCTACTTCAGGTTGATGGTGATGCATATGGGGGTGAGGGGGTGGCAGACGGCGTGGACGGAGGCGGGGATGCGGCAGGAGGTGATGGATTGGGTGGGGTTTTATGTGCCGGCGTGGGCGGGGGTTTACAGGAGGTGGTGGGCGGGGAGGAGGAGGGGTGGTGGTGGGGAGCGGACGGTGGGGAGTAGGGGAGGCACAACAAGCACCCAGTCGGCACCGATGCCGTCAAAGGTATTTGACGCGGACCGATTTCGCGCGATGATGGCGAGTACCAAGCCCGGTAGTGCATAGCGAGACATCGTGGATATAAGTCATGAAACGCATTGACGCTCGTAAATAAGATATCGCATCGTGATTGGGGCTGTGTAAAATCAGGGAACGAGGTCCAGCCCATCCACCCTACTACCTGACCCGCCTCAGATCATTCATCATCATATACCGACTCAACACCATATAAACATGTCTATCCCAGCTCATCTGACTCGCATGCTTCCCAAACGCGCGCCTGGCCGCCCGATAATCACTCCACGTCGCGAAAAACAGGGCTCGGTCCTCGTTCTCGCTGTGAGGGCTGAAGATCAGGTTAGGCAGGAAGGGGAGGGCGGTGAGGGTGACGTCCCAGATGGAGGAGTATTTCCGCAGGAGGAAGACGGTGGTGGAGGAGAAGATGGGCGGGGTTGTGGCGGGGTAGGAACGGGTGAGGTGCTGGAGGCCCCGGTGCACGGAGCGGTGGTTGAGGTGGCCTGAGACGCCGCCGGAGTCGAACGTTATTATCTGTGAGGGAGGAGGGTGTGAGTTGGCGTTGGGAAAAGGAGAGAGGAGGGAAACTTACGACGTCGGCTTGAACTTCCTCTGCGTGCTTCTTGACGACTTCGGCGACCTTTTCTGCTGGCCACCATTCGCGGGGGTTGTCTTTTAACTCTCTGCAAATAGATTTACGCCGTCATCAGCCAAACATTCCAAATGTGCTAATCCCGCTCATCGCCCATTCACGCCCTCCACAACACTCAAGATCGCCGGTTGTACGATACTCACGCAAGATCCATAACCGTACACCTCTCCTCCCTCACCCCCAACTCCGCACAGCTCCCCCTCAGCTCCCCCGCCCTCACATCCCCAATCCCATAGTTCCCGCCATTCGACAACACCAGAATCGCCGCATCCACCGGTTTGCTTCCCGCCTTGATCGCGCCCAGCACCGCCGGCGAAAAGAACAAACACTCGTCGTCGGGGTGCGCGACAACCAGCAGCGGGCGGTGCGCTTCGCGGATGGCGGCGGGGACCAGCGCGGGCGTGTTGGCGGAGGCGAGGAGGAGGAGGGAGATGAGGGTGGGCGGGATGGTGAGCAGGAGAGCGAAGGGGAGGCGGTAGCGGTAGAGGAGCCGGGAGAGAATGAGGAGGAGTTTATAGAGGGGACGCAGTGGGCGGGGGAGACGACCGGCCCAGGGGGTGGGTTTGTGGAGGGGGGTGTAGCGCGCGGCGCTGGGTGCGACGGGCATGGTGGATGGCGGAGGTGATCACAGAGAGTTTGACTATGTTTCGGGTCGTTGAAGGACGAATTTCCTTGACCAGGGTGGAGTGTCGGCGCCGCTATCAAAAGGAGTTCCCCATTCCCACCAGAACGTCACACCTCCAATTGACACCTGGAGTGTGAGTATTCCGCTGACTTCTATGACCTGTGGTGGTCCTCTAGTGCCGTATGCTTGGACCGCAGAACAAACAAGCGACGCTCCTGTGCTGTGTGAGCCGCTGTTCGTTGCTACTCGTTGGCAGTTGCCGTCTCTCTGTGTGCTCTCTGTGAGCGCCGTGCGGCTTGCGAAAGAACGCGTTTTTCACACCTGCCTTCTGGTCTCCAATCCCAGCCAAGAGCAGAACGGCCCCACAGCTGGAAGCACAGGCAGTATGCTCTTCCCAACAACAACCCTCCGCAACGGCATCCAAATGCCCCTCGCGAAGGCTATTGGTGTTAGTAACTTCACGGTGGGGCATTTGGCGGAGTTGGTGGCGATAAAGGAGGGTGAGGAAGAGCAGCTGGAGCTGCCGCATGTGAATCAGGTATGCGCTCCGCGTGCGAGAGTGAACACCCACCTCTCTCATGCCAGAAATGACAATGCTTACATCGTATCCCGCTACAGTTCGAACTACACCCACTCATCTACCCTTTCCAACGCCCCCTCCTCGACTTCTGCGCCGCCAACGACATCTTTGTGCAAGCATATTCTAGTCTGGGTGAAGGCAACCTCATCCCTCCCCCACCTCCACAGTCCCTTGACACATCACCCACAATATCAACAACAATCCCAGAAACCCCAACACCAGCAACAAGAGTCTCAATAACCCACCTACACACCCTCCTCACCACCCTCGCCCACAATCACACCCCCTCACCAACACCCGCCCAACTCCTCCTCGCGTGGGCCCTGGTCCACTCATGGGGCGTGATACCGAAATCGACCTCATTGGCACGCATGCGTGAGAATCTGGGGGCTGTGGATGTTGCTTTGGATTGGGAGGATGTGCAGGTATTGGATGGGGTTGTGGGGGAGGAGGGGGTGGTGAAGTTCTGTTGGGATCCTAGCAGGATTAGGTAGTGTATGTAGCGGCGTATGAGGGGAGGTGACGATGTAGTGCAATGAAATGGGAGGACGACGCGAACATACTGTATATGTAGTATGCGTTTCTTTGCGTCCAACTGCCAAGCAACAAATAAACACCGGCACGCCTTCCCCACATAGCCTTCCTACATCCACGTGCTGCGAAAGAGCCACAAAGGTCTGTCAAAGCAAGGCATACGGGCGAACCCCCTCTCCCCTGATTCGATTCCCGACCACGTTTGCACAGGTTGTCGGGATGCGCCGCACGGATCTCGACAGCGCGAAGCTGACTCCTGTCAAAATTCTGCAGAGTTGGTCGATAACTCCGGGCGCTTTCGCGGCACACTTCATCGCTACAATGGGAACGCATTGCGAGGTGTACGCAGGATCGAAGGTCAGCCTTGACGTGCACACGGCCGATTGCTTGCCGGAGTACCCTGCCGGGCAATCAGCGTACGCCCGCTTATTCACCGGGGTCTCGAGGAAGGCCGGCCCGGTGGCGGGCTTCGGGCAATTGAGTGGAGTGCAGTAAGCTGTAGATCTCCTCAAAAAGGCCGTTTACACCACAGCGTCTAGTCTGATACGCCAGTGAAGCCGGCCGGACAGCTGCCGTTGACGCGGTCATTGAGCGTCGCCGGTGGGAACACGCCCGTCTCCCGCACACTGCGTCGGATTCGCAATACAGGCCGTAGCTGGGGCCCACGTCCCGATGTCCAGGCACTTCGCGCTGGTCAAGCCCGGATATTTGTCAACCACGCACGCGCCGTATGCCGTCTCTCCCGCCTTGGCCGGTGGGAACGGTTGCCTGGCCGGGCAGTACACCTGCGTCGGAGCCGTGGCCGTGGCCGTGTCGGTGCCAGTAGTCGTCGAACCTGTGGCCGTGGCCGTGTCCGCGGCCGTGCTAGTGCTGGTGCCCGTCAGAGTCTCCGAGTCCTTTGACTGTGAATCCTGGAAGTACCATGCGAGACCCCCGCATGCAGAGGCTAGGCAGCAGAGAAGGAGCGTGGCAAGGAGGATGTACAAATGAGCCTCTGTGGTCTATTCTATTTTAATACTCTCCTTTTTAACAGCGCGTATTGACGGCCTACGTAGTCACTCTCACTCCAAGCCAGTTTGTACAGTACTTGAGCGTCAAGTCTGCCTGTGGCAAGTCGTCGGGTGTAGCTGTGAAGGTAAGAAGCGACCGGCGATCGGGACCTACGTTTGCCATGTAGAACCCGTCCTCGCTCTTCTCCCGGCTCACCGATAGACGGATCGACGGGAAGTCGCCTCCTTCGGCAATACTGACCCTCAGAGTTCCCGAGAGCTCCTTGCACCCCTCTATGTCTATCGTGTATGTGAGATCGTACATCCCGCCCTCCTTCGGGGTGCTTATGTCGACAGCTTTTCCGGAAGCGGCCTCCGGAGGTGTGACTGTAACGCTTAGTGCGGGTTCTGTCATATCTCCTAGAGTATTCGCAGTGGAAATTTTTACGTGATATAGTTTTAGCCCACAGCCCAATTGAGTTCTTACGCTGCAACGGCGACCATCACGGATACCACGGGTTCCACAAGTACAGCGACGGGAGCCCTGAAGGTCTCTGGTGGAGCAGGTGTGGCAGGAAATAGGTATGCGAGCTCATTTAGGACTTTCAGTGGCTCCCAGCCCATCAGCGCCGCAGGGACATACAACATCGTCCTCCCTGGGTTTACCTCCGGGCGTCTCTCATGTTCTATAGATCCCATCTCGAACGGCATATGGGCTGCCGCCGGGGACTTTCTGTCCACTGCGAATAACGTGCGGGTGTACCTCGCCAATATTCATGTTTTTCAGTTTCCTGGGAACAACATCCAAGCCACATTGCAGCCGTTTGGTGGAGGAAATGCTTAAACGATTGCCAACGAGAACGATCAAGTGCAGGTGGTTGTCTCAGCTATCGGAGGGGTGTCCACTCTCAGATGGTCATATATACGATCTTCCATGGAAATTACACTGGATAGAACCTAATCTCATGGAAGTATCAGACTTCAGGTGAGTCATAGGGATCATATATACCCAAGTAAACAGAATTGAGCTTTGCCAACTCGCCTAACTCCCAAGCCCACTCCTCCCATGATGGAGGGGAGTTCTCCCATGATACGGGGCTCCACGGCTCGCCCCCATCTATGAAGGCTAGCCTAAACGCCGTCTCGACGGGCATATGACAGACAATGCGAATTAAACTGGCTAGGTTTTTGTCAGTCACAGAATTTTTGAAACTGCAACTGATTCATGACCTCTTGCGATTCTATGTATTACTTCTTTTTCCTTTTCTAACGGCTTTGGCATTCCGCTCAACTTTGATAAAATTCGACAGCGCGTATTGACGCCTTTTGCTGAGCGTTTGCAAAACTCCCCTCAACGCCGGCTGCGGAGTTTGCTGATTTCACGTCTCAACGCCCGACCGTTGAGGAGACTGAGGTTGTCCGCCAGTGTGTCCAGGTATCCGATGGGCAACAGCGCGTCACTGCTTTCTATGAAGCGATAATGAAACCCCTAAAATTCCCCTAAAAGGCTTTTCTGTCACTTCGCTTTATCCATGTATATGGGGTACACCGGTGTTCAAGCCTGCCAGCCTCTCTAGCTTATCAGGCCAATCCACCATCCTGCCAAATTCTCGACTCCTGGGAACGTCATCTACAAAAACCACCCTAAACGCCATTTCGACGCCCATGCGGCAGATGAGGCGGAATCTTAATCCTATGTGAGCGAGCAGGGCCGGTAAGCCTTCCCTCGTACTCGTTAGGTAATCCGTTCCTCCAATTGCCCAGTTCTCGGCGCCCCCCCGGCAACGAAAGTCAGTTAAACCGAAGTAGCCTTCCACTCAATGAACTAATCTTGTGATCTACGGCAGGGATTCCAGCTACCCCGGGATAAAAAGAAACACTCTTGCCATTATATTGAGGCCATCCCAGCTTCAATTGAGGGCATTGCAACTCCAAAATGTCTCGCTTCAAGATCAACATCTTTCGTTTATATCTACGTTACATCAACGATCTACGTACTCCTTTCCCCCAGTCAACCTGATGTCATAAATCGAATGCTGCAGCCTTCGAACTCCGAAGCAGGAATGACCAACACCAAGGATGGCGCTCTGGATGCCGCGTAGCCGTTTTGGCATGGCAAAATCGACTTCCAAGGTCATGTCGGTCGTGGTCCATGCACATGCGTACCATCGGTCCGCACATAAGCTTGACGTCTAAGGACTATCCACAATGTACTCCCAAGTCACGCGTGGACAGGAGCTTCCCCGGCTGCTGAAGCGCAGGAGCAGCATCAGAGCCAACTGAAGCACGGTCTTCCCCTTCCGTCGCCACACAGTCATCATAACCCTAAGCAGCGAAGAAGAAAAGCCAAGGGCGCAACTGCCAACCCTCTTGTCTTCCCGTCACAAAGACCTCCCGGAGCTCGCAAATCCACATCGGAATACATGAGATTTGACTTTTGAACGAAATTATTTGTGCAGACGGTAGACGCCTCATGTGAAACGGTCCGACATCAACACATGCACAACGCTGCGCATGTATGTATGTATGTATGTACTGTATGTGTGAGGCAAATAGTCGGATGAGTCTGCGCTGGTCCGATGGACCTTGAATTCTAGTGAGTTGTAAAAGCATTCGCGGGTTCAAAGGCAGCACGATGAATGGTACAGTCCATCAGCCGAAGGTTCCGGCCGACGACTCCCCAGCTCCCAACTGCAACTGTAGTCTGGGAGACGTTCGGTTCCCCGCCTCCACCCGATAAGAGAAGAACGGATCTGCATATTCTGCGGCGGTTGAACTGACTAAACCGAAGATCGGCCCGGACGAGACCACTCCGGAGTCAGCTGCAAGCGAAAGAATCATAGTAACCCAACGGAACTGAAGAAGTAACGTTCGAAGAAAAAGTGGAGTGATTGATCTGGTTGGCTTTTTGTTCCCGAGCTGGAATCTTCTGTGTTGATCAGAATCAGGTCGCAGGATAAGCGGTAATCGCTGCAGGTGAGGCGTGTGAGATGACGGTGTTGGAAGCCCACTAGAGGTAAGCACTCGTCCACAGTGCAGAAGAGAAACCCCACGGCTTGAGTAGAATCAGAATCGTAACATGCCGATCGGGTTGTAATAATGTGACGGTGCGCGGTGTCTTTTGACAGCTGGCATGGAACATGCTATCAGAGTTCGCGATATCGCCCAACAGTGAGTGATATGGGGCTGTGACGGTCTGATCTCGGCGGGCGGAGGCTGCGTCGCTGCTATGCCACCGACGCCTTGCCACTTGGCCAGATAGCTCTTGGTGCCTTGACTTGCATTACTGTAGATTTGCTATACGTAGGTCTGTGGAGTAGTCCGGCGATCTATATGTATGATCGGACTCCAGGGTGATTCATCCTTCCGTCGGCCACGCGCTGGCACGTTGGACATAGCGATCAGAAGCCCAAGGCACAGAGGATTCACGTCCGGATCGGATGCAGGATCGGATGCAATTTGCATGCCTGTCGCATCACCTCAACTTCCTCAAGTCAAAAATCGGAATGCCGCGGCGATGTCTTGAGCTCCGAAACCTGACCTGATTCACCGAAGCGTGGGGGAAAGAAGCTGGATCACCATCACTATCTGCTTAGAAACCGGCCATTAGCCACATTTGTTGCCATTTCGCAGTCGCACTGTCAAAGAAGGGGATGGGATCTTCGTACCCCCCAAAATCAAGAATCAAGATCGCCCCAGTCCACAGACAGAAACCAGTAGCAGAAACCCTCCCGTTTTTCGCGTATAGCCAGATAGACAGATACCCGCCAGTGCACACAGTTCCATGCTTTCCACCTTTCCCGTCTCGGAGTGTCGTCATCTATCCCAATCAGGCTTGTGGGGCCGGAAGCGTGATCACCGACGGGTCTGTTGCGCTGTGGTGTGAATCAGGAATTCAGGGGGTTTTTGAAGAATTTCTTCAATGGGATTGTGGGAAGCTTCATCACCCTCGGAAGGCAAGGGGCAGATAGGAGAATGACGGGCAGCTGTCGCAGTCCGAACACGCACAGATAAGTGAATCATGACTGGGGATGCGCACGCACGGGAAGGCATGCGCAGGAACGCTGGAGCGAGAATGAGAACATGCACTGCGGCGTTCGGTTTTTGGCATCATAGGAATCAGAAGAAGTCGCCATTGCGCAATGAACTACTTGCCCTGCATCCATGTTCTCTGATAGATTTACCCAGGATACTACTGTATGGAGATTCTGGATAAAATCACGGGATGACATGGCATTTCCTATCGACGCTCGTACGGTTACTCCTACCGTCTCCCGCACACTTGCTTGATTACATGTATTCCGAATGACGACAATAATAAGCAATTCGGAGGACACGCCGAGCGACAGGACCTGGACTAGCCCATGTGGGCCATAGCGGCCAGCAAGAACTGATATGATGATGGATTCATTTGCGACGGATCGGGGACCCAGTCACACTGTTGTCGTCGTATGCCCATTAGTGAGACGGTAGGACAAGCGGCGAACCGAAGCTTTCGAAGAACATGCGTGCCGTGTGGTTTGATCAGCGTGACACTGGGTGACCGCCGAAATACCGAGACTGCCGACAAACCTGGAATCTATCTTTTTTCGACGGTATCGCAGGCGTGGGGATGGGCAGCTACCGCTATGTCCTAACAATGGCTCCCATGGGAGGTGAAGTAGCATCAAGCCTACGCTTGCATCATCCTGCTCTCAATCACGACCAGCGCCGCGGAGGAAGAAGGCCAGTCAAGCGACGGTGCAAAAGTCCAACCGGAATTCGGGTGGGCGACAAATTTGCGTTCTGACTATCCACGATCTCACACTGGCCGGGTCGGTCACTTCCCACGCGTCACTAGGGGCGCCAACGCGACGCGATCAGAAGTCACAGCCCCCTTGCCTGTGTGACAACCTCACAACGGATCAACGAGAGCTGATAGCAGCCGAAAAGTGTCTCTTATTTGAACGGACTCGCCGGTACCGTTTGCAATCACACGACAGCGACGAGGATATTGCATGGCATCCGAGGCGGTTAAGAGAGCCTCAACGAGGGTTGGCATTTTTGGTTACCGTTCTCATGGGATTCCTAATCATCTATGCGCAGACGCCGAGTGTCCCCAACTCATCCCATCCCGCCGTTTTCATCACCGCCCGTCACAAGTTCAAGTTACAACGGATTGGAGAGGATCGGCTAGAACTGCGCAATGCGCAATCCTCCTCGTCGGCCAGTCTTGACAAACATGCCGACGCTTTCGTCCCACGTCGGACAGCCCAGGGATCCGTGGGTTGTGGCCTTGATCGCGGTCAAGGCATATCGCTTTACTCGCGCGAGATCACATCCACACCAGAAAGACATCCATGACCCTCTATCGCAGTCTTCGCGGAGGGCATTCTACTACAGTACTGTGTATCGTCGGCAGTTGAGCGACCTACGGGTGCCCACAGCAACTGCCCTCGCCGTCTCCATGTCCCCCGAATCCTATAAAGGCTGCGGGCTTCCCGCACGTTCCCCTTCTTGTCTCCTCAGCTCAACTCAACCAACTACACCTGCTTCTTTCGAAGCAGTCGCTCATCTCCTTCTCGCACCAGACTCTTGACGAGCCTTGGTTTCCTGCATCTCTGTTACTTTGATACCACATAGTTTTTTCTTACTTTATCCTTATCACTATCGCATCATGAGGATCTCTTCCAACATTGCGCTGGCCGCAACCGTTCTCTCCTCCGCCGCTTTCGTCGCCGCCGCCCCTGCCCCCGCCCCCGCTGGTGCTCTCGACAACATCCCCGCTTTCCACCGTGTTGCTGCCTTCGAGGGTCTCGGTGCCGGTCTTGCCCCCGCCAAGGGCCCCAACGGCCTCGCCCCCACCTCCCCCAAGGACATCGCCGTCGCTTACGTTACCAGCAAGCACGGTTTGAAGGCTGATGACCTCGAGGTCACTGACGACTACACTAGCGACGGCATCAGGAACATCTACTTCAAGCGCGTCTTGAACGGTGCACGTGTCGGAAACCAGCACGCTAACGTGTCCATCAAGGACGGAAAGGTCGTTGCTTTCGGTTCCAACATCCCCACCGCCCAGAACGCCCTCAAGCCTACCATCCCTGCCGCCGCCGCCAAGGTCTCCGCTGATGCCGCCGTCGCTGCCGCTGAGAAATCCACCGGCCTGAAGCTTGTCCCTGAGGTGAAGCCCTTCAACCGCTACATCGAGACCGGTGATGGCAAGTTCGAGTACACCTGGTCATTCCAGGTGAAGTCTGCCGACAACGGCAAGAACCTGCAATGGTACCAAGTAGATGTCTCCGCCGACACCGGAAAGATTGTCCACTCTACCAGCTTCGTCAACCACGCTTCCTACAATGTTGTCAAGTTCACCGCCAAGGCTGCTAACCCCACCAAGGACCAGATCACTGTGACTGACCCCGCAGACCAGACTGCCTCCCCTAACGGCTGGCACAACGACGGTACTACCTCCTACACCGACACTCGCGGTAACAACGCCGTCGTCTACACCAAGTCCGGCTCCACCAAGACCTACGCCCAGGGCGGCGCCAACAACGTGTACAGCACCCCTTACAATGTCAACCAGGCTGCTAACACCGCCAGCAACAAAATCGCCTCCACCGTCAACCTCTTTTACATTACGAACGAGATGCACGATCTCTTCTACAAGTACGGTTTCGACGAAGCGTCCGGAAACTTCCAGACCAGCAACGGTAGCAAGGGAGGAAAGGGCGGTGATGCCGTCCAGGTCTCCGCTCAGGACCCCGGAGGCACAGACAACGCTAACATGGCCACTCCTCCCGATGGTCAGAAGCCCCAGATGAACATGTACGTGTTCACCCAGACCAGCCCTACTCGCGACGGTGGTCTTGAGAACGCCATTCCCATCCACGAGTTCACCCACGGTATCTCCAACCGTTTGACCGGTGGACCCTCCAACACCAACTGTCTCGAGACCCTCGAGGCCGGTGGTATGGGTGAAGGTTGGTCCGACGCGGCCTCCCTGATCGTGTCTTACCCCGCTGATGCCACCGCCGACGACGACATGATCGTCGGTGCCTGGGTGATGAACAAGGCCGGCGGTATCCGCTCCCAGCCTTACTCCACCAGTCTGACCCGCAACACCTACAAGTACAGCGACGTCGGCACCCTGGGCGAAGTTCACGACATCGGTGAGATCTGGGCCACACTGTGGCACGAGCTCTACTGGAACTTGAGGACCCAGGGCGGTTACTCCGCCGATATCTTCAACCCCAACCAGGACACTGGTAACATTGCCGCCTTGCACCTCTTCATCGACCACATGAAGCTCCAGCCTTGCTCCCCTACCTTCGTTACCGCACGTAACGCCATCATCCAGGCTGACCAGAACCGTTACCAAGGCAAGTACAAGTGCGCCATCTGGAAGGCGTTCGCCAAGCGTGGTGTCGGTGCCAAGGCCGTCTCTGGCACATACACCAACGACTTCTCCGTCCCCGCCGAGTGCTCTGGAGGTGCCACTTCCACTGCTCGCCCCACCTCCACTGTCCGCCCCACCTCCACCTCCGCTCCCGTGACCACGGTTGTCCCCACCTCCACCCGCGCCACTTCCACCACCCGCCCCACCTCCACCCGCAAGCCCACCCCCACCCCTACCCCCAAGCCCGAGCCCGACTGCTCCTTCCCCAACTGCTTCTTCGACGACAACTGCGACACCTGCACCTGGTAGAGGGCTCACCTGGCTCTTCACGCCGCCGGGCTAGTCCCGTGGTGAACCAAATACCCTAGAAACTTGCTACCTCTTGCAACTTTGTTTACATACATCCTCAAACGACTCTATGGTCCTCTTGTAACTTGTAGTGTTTTCTGATTCTTCCCCCCTGACTCTCCATCGCTGCAACTGAAAACGACGGGATTTCCGCGTGTAGATAGATCATAATCGCGCATGGTAGATGATATGTATCTTCTTATTCTCTCCCCCCCCTTAATCACATATTCTGGGCTTTGTATAAAAAAGTTTTGTTCTCTAAAGAAAATCGGCTTTCCCCGAAAACACAATGTGCCGCGCTGTTGCCTGATTTGCTTGGTATTTCTGTTGTAAGTGAATCGTCCATTGCAAAAGACAGTGTCGCTATGCTCGTTGAACGCTACGCTGCGGGGCATCGTCGGATTCGCCCACTGCGAAGAACGGCATTCAAGGATGCCAAGGATCGGAATGGAAGCCCCAGCGAGCGGATGTGTTGAGATCCTGTCAATTGAACGCGTACGATCTGTCTGTGTGCGCTGGAAGTGATGGATCCGTGTGGATTGCTTGAAGAGTGTACAGTCAGTGTCCATAAAGCTGGGACCCCCCCAAGATTAAATCAGAGTCGACATTGCCTCCGACTTTTTGACAACCCTAGCACTGGATGGCGCCACCACTAGGTATTAGGGTTCTAGAGTAGCGCTCTAATCCCTGCCGGTGTCGCTGGCCGTCTGGTTGGCTGTTAGCTCTGGCTGGGGGCCACGTTCGTCTGCCTTTCAGGTTTGCTTGCCGCTGGGCGACTCGCTTTGTGAAACGGACATTGAAATCAATTATGGGGGGGACCCAGCTTTATGGACACTGACTGTAGAAGGCGCAAGACGCACTGTTGTTGCCTTGGGGATTTCTTCTACTCTGCAAGCGTGGGTGGACCGCCCCGCTCCAAATGGGATGAGCGGTGCTCCAATTCGAAGGGGACGATTATGCAGAAGTCACCCTGTGCCGTACGTGCAAGCAGTACCTAACATCGAAAGTGTTGAGATCATGCGGATTGAAAGCCAGCACGTCCTATCATTGTAAAAGGTCTACCTGCATACACCACTTGATGCTATGTGCATATATACAGTGTACATCTTCGGCCCATCGACGTTTTCCATGAGTCAATCGTCTATAATTACAGATCCCAGGCACCGCCGATTGCAAGCGACTCAAAGATCCCACGGATGTCCGCCAGTCGCCCATCGTCGTCCGTAGCATGCAGTACCGCTAATGCCAGAAGCGAGCATCAGATTCCGGGTGTCGGGGCCGAGGCCGGAGGGAATATGAATGCGGTTGCTTTTTTGTGGGCACGCAGCGTTCAGCGCTTTGGCACGCGGCGAGGGGTCAAAAATCTAGCCCTTTTAGATGCGCGGTGTGTAGCGTTGTCGCGTCGTCCAAGCGTCCACTCCTCATAGCTTTACAATCCACCTCCCTCCCTCGCTCGCCCACTCGCCCCCTCACCCGCCCTCAACAACCCGTTTCCCAAACCGCATACCGGCATCATACACGAAAATCGCAGCGCCATTGGTCGGAAACGATCGCAGGAAACACGGGACGAAGCCTCGATAGAACCCACGAAGTCCCTCCGTCCGCCAAATGTGTTGCGCGCAGCTGCGGACGGTTGGGTAGCGGCGCGGGTGGGCGGAGGGTTGGGTCATCATTCGCTGTTTTAAGACATCTGTTGTGGGATATGTTGGAGTGAATAGTGTGAACGCGGCGACAAGAGATCACCAACTGACCTGCCGGGAAAGAGATCGTCCAAAACGTGTTAGCGGCACATCCGCCGGCAAAGAAGGGGATCATGCCCTTGGACATGCCCCATTCGGTGAATTTGCGTCGGTAGACTTCGTAGCTGCCCCAGAGAACCCAGAAGAAACTTCGGAAGAGGAGGCAGGCGCTTAGGCCTTGGTATAGTCCTGGTATTCCGTGCGCTTGGACCTATCGAAAGTGCGTCAGGACACACATACTTGAAACATCCCGCAGGGCACAATGATTCCCGCCGCATGCTACCCGTCTGTCTCCCACATGCCGCCCTTCCCTTCGCTCACCTAAGAACTCACCAGCTTCCTCGCACAGTCGACCGGCCCCTTATAAACCCTCGTCGCAGCGTCATACTGCACCTGCAGCTTCCCTTTCAACAGCTCGACTGGCGTCGCCACAAAGCTGACCACAATTCCCGCGCCCAGCCCCGCGGCCGCATGTTCCGGGATACTCAACATGGTCTCCGGATCACCACCCGCGATCAGTAGGCGCAGATTGTTCAGCGAGCCCATCTGGACACTGTCCATCATCGCCCAGCCGAGGAGAGGGGGCGTGGCGCCTTTGTAGAGGGCGCGGAATCCTTCTTTACGGATCGTGGCGCGCATGCAGTCAAGCGGGCCGGAGAAGCGGCCGAAGGAGCCTTCGGTTTGGAGACGGACTTTTACTGTGTCTGATGAAAGGGGAAGTCGTGGGAAAGCACATGCTGTGAGAACTGTGATCTTCGACCTGCGGACATAGACGTCCTGGGAGCTGGCCTTCCTTGAGCCTCGTTGCTCCTCCGTCGTGATCCATCCTCCCTCGCAAATCCTCTTCTCCCACGCTTCCCTCGCCATTCCCACCCTTCCTTGCTATTCCCCTCCCGAATTTCCCACGCCTCCATCAACTCACCAAAAGGATGCCCAACCAACAACTTCGTCGCCCCCGACGCAAGCCCAGCAACGAATCCAACATAGCGTTCGGCGGGTATGCCGCCCGTAGCGGTCGTTGGTGGTGGTGGTGTTGGCTCGTGATGTAGGGCGGACGCGTTGAGTGATGCAAGCTGTGCTGATGCAAGCTGTGCTGATGCCTGCAGGGATGGGAGGTAATTAGAATGTGCGTGTGCGAGGACGAAGACAGGCGGCTGGTACTCACACCTGGTTGTGCTGGTGGTGATGAGCGGGTGGTGTGGGTTGTCATTGAGGTTGAAAGAGGTCGGACCAGGAAAGGATGTGCGTTCTTCGTGGGAGTTCCAAAAAACTGCTAAAGACCTTTTAGCATTCTCCCACGCAATTTCGTTCTTTTTACAGCACACCAAACCTCACACCAGGCACCGCAAGGACACAGAGACACACACCATATCCCCGTAGCAAACGTACGTCGATTCAGCATAGCCCAAAGGAGCAAGGACTGGTTGCATTCCCACGCCGGCCGTTGAGTGTATGAAACACCATCACCAAACAGGACGCGTCCATATTCGACATCACAGATCGATCAACAACGAAAGATGAAGTAGTTACAAGTCAAAAGCGAAAGGTCACGAGTAACAGGTGCAGGCGATATATTGCAGATACGGCAATATGGTGCAAGAGGAAGTAAGCGATCCAGCGTCGGACGGCGATGCTCTTCCATCTCCACCAATAGTAGCAGCCATCCCACCAGAAGTGTCACAGTCACCATCAGCCCACGGCACACCAACCCCTCCACCAACCCTCCTCAACGCCCTCCTCGACACCTCCGTGCTCACCTCCCTCGCTTTCCATTCCACCCTCCACATCCTAACCCACCACGCCCTCACCCGGCACCCCCGCTTTACCACCCACCCCCGATTGTCCCTGCACCTCCTCGCCGAAAAGCTTCCGTCAACCCTCAACGCGCTCCACCAATCCCTCGGGGCCTTACACCTCCTGCTCCTCACCCGGCCATGGCGACATGACATAATCAACCCGTACCCACCCACCCTCGACAGATTACTTGCCAGTCACGTCGGGTTTACCCTGTACGATTGCGTAGTGATGGGGTATGTGGGCGGGCAACACGCCAGTTCGTGGGTGCATCATGTGCTCGGGATCGTTGGCGCAGGATTGATGCGGTGGTATCGACGGGCGAGTTATTTTCCGACCGTATTTTTGGCACCGGAGGTTACGGTTGTGGCGACGAATGTGTTGTGGATTTTGGGGAGGTGCGGGGTGGGTGAGGGGGAGAGGGGTGTGGTGCTGTGGACGTGGATTAGGGCGGGCTTGTTTTGTGCGGTGAGGGGACCGGCGGGGTTGGTGGGGTTGTGGTATGCGTTGAGGGTGGCGGGGAAGCAGAAGGCTGAGCTTGAGGCGAAGGAGGGAAAGGAGCTGGGATCGGCATCGCGGGCCAGTGCAGCGGCGTCTTTGTACCGGCAGTTGCGAACGTTACCGGCTGTCGTGTGGGTGCTGACCCTTGTCAACGTGTTCACGTTCACGGGCTTGAACAGCTACTGGACGGTCTTGGTTATCCGAAGCCTCCTCCGAACGAGACTGGCCGTCTCGCATATTCACCACATTTGAGGCCTTGTTCCTAGCCCGACTTCAAACGGATGCGACTCACTTTCCACTCTATCATCGATTGACACACCCAGGACAGTTATGCAGCACATCATGCACATAGACATCGCAATCCCAACAAAACACCCCCTTACACTTGCCGCACTCGAACCTTCCACTATTAGCCTCCCCGCTCGCCGCCCCATCACCCTGTCGCGTTGGTATCTCCGAACTCCGCCTCTCCGGCCCCGAAAACTGCGGCGGCGCAGGAAACGGCAGCAAACACGCCGCACAATGATCGTTCCTCGCCGTCGCCGTGTCAGGGCCGAGTTTTGCCGACCACGGTAGCTCCTTGTAGTTTTCGACGGGGAAGAGGTGGTGGTAGGACCGTGCGAGTAGAGGGCTGGAGACGAGGGTGAGGTCGCAGATGGGACAATCGGTGGGAATGTCGCAGATTAGAGAGGCGCAGCGCGGGCATTCGTAGCCTTTTCGGACGGGGCGGTGATGGCTGTGCACCGGGCAAGGGTGTTGTTTAGGGGATATAGCGAACCGTGCTTATTGGAACGATGTACATGTACTTACCAAGCGCAGAGCGTCAGTGTTTCGTATGATTTGGTGACCGGGAACCCCATCTGGATCAGACTCGACGTGTTTTGCTCTACGGCAATGGGCGGCGGGGGTATATGCTCGAACAAGACGTCTTTGTAATGCGCTTCGTTTAAAATGACATTGTACGTTCCTAAGAGAGCAGATGCTGAGCAAGGCGGATTTTGCATCAACAGCTACTTTGGAGCAAGACTATTTCTTACCTTTCGTCTCCTTGCAAATAATCTTGCACACTTGCAGCTCGGCTGACAGTCCAACGATGGAAACTCTGATCTCGTCCCGCTTCAAGGAAGCGATGGTCTCCTGAATGTTGTCCGGGTCGCAGGACGTGAGCGAGGCGTATAGAATGATAATTTCGCGAGATGCGTGGGAAGGGACGTGACTGGGGATCACAAGAAAGGAAAGAACAACAGGTCAGTGAGAGTGCAACGAGGGATCCCTGCCATCTGTCTTACGCGAGGGAAGTCCGGGCAAGCTCTAACGCGTTTTGCAGGGATGGTTCGCCTTTTGGGACCCTGTTTGCTGGGACCTTGATAGCCTCTATGTGGTCCGTTGGGTTGCCTATATTGCGGAGATGTCCAGCAGTGTCAGCAGCGACACCGATACATAAACCGTTTTGATCCATCCTCCAACTCCGCTTCGGCCTCTCTCCCCACACCCATCCCCAATCTCACCTGACAACTCCGTAACCTTCTCCGCCAACGCATCCCGCGTCAAAATAACCCCCAGCTGACTCAACGGGTTCTGATCAAAGTATTCGCCCACAAACTGGGTGGCCAGGTTCATGGTACATTCCAATCGCGAGGGTTTGAGATCCAGCTCGGTCATAGCCCGCGAGAGGTCGATCACGAGGTAGACATGCCGGATGATCCCACGTTGTACTGTTGCCGTGTCTCTTTGCAATCTGGGTGAATAGAAACCGTGAGCCAACCGAGTGGGAATTCTCAAAGATCATCGTCCCTCCCCCACCTCCGTCGCTTCAACTGCTGCTGTATAGAATTAACAGCTCCCACTAAAGAGCCCTGCTCGTCCTCCTGCAGGATATCCCAACTCCGCTTGTACTCCTCTTCCCACGAGTAGCCCTGCCCGGAGGTTCCCATGAGCCCGTGGGAGTCGTCGTCGTCCATGAGTGTTGCAGCTTTGACCCTTGGGGCGAGAGCGGATTGTCGTTGTTGCTGCTGAGCGGTTGGTGGGGCCATGGCTGCGTGAGAGGACTAAGCAACTTCTATCGAATACGGGGGTTTGGTTGAGCGGCCTGGGATGTTCACCCGTTGTTCCCAGTCTGAGGACAGGCCAACTGCGACATGTCGAACTCATTTCTGTGTCGAAATTCAAAGTTGGTCGCGCGTTACTTTCGACGAACAGACAACCCCGCCGGGGTACGAGTAGCAACACAATCCGAACCGGAATGAAGTCGCCCGGTACCGCCAGTTAGACACAGTAGACGTCGGGAACTCAAATAGCAGAGTGAGCCTGATGGATATCACACATGCATCTGGCATTCATTGTCCCTCAGGTCAGGGAGCGGAGAGGGGGGTCAAAGGACATTTCACTAATACAGGCCTGAGTTGGATGCGACCAACATGTGCCAGTCTTGGCAAGTACTGATGGTCGCTGTGGACGTATCCGATCTTCAAGGACCGCCGACATGTTCCATGCCTCCCAATCGACGCGGCGGGCGCCACGCTTCCCTCATCAACGTTCATCAATCGACTCCATATCTCTCTACTACGTACTGTAGTACTGTGCAAGACCTCCATTTCACGAGAACCAGACGAGAAGCACCTCTGACACCTCACAATCCCAGTTCCGACACCCGCACCACGAGCTTCGGAGGTGAAGCCAGACCCTAAACCCCGCAAGCCTCACATCTCCTCACCACAAACAAAGAACACAGCAAAGACGCGTTGGACTAAAAGGCCATTTGACGCGTCCTTTACGACGCGTCTCCCGTGAAAGAACATCGTCAAAGAACATGAACCATCCTTTGGCCTTGCTTCACAACCAGGTCGGCAAACGACTATGTGGACTCTCTCCACTGAGGCTTGCCGCTGGGCACGTAAAAGCAGCGCGCTCGCCTTGATGTCTGGTTCAGTTTTCTTTTTGGCGGTGTAGTGTGTAGGGTGGGATAGCAGGACGAACACAGGGATCTGGAGGGACTTGGAAGAGGGAGGCGAAAGCGGACTTGCAGCAACATCGTCGACGAGCCTTGCTGTGCAGATTCGGAATTTGGATACTGAGAATAGGGGCCTTTCCGACGAACCGAGACGGCGCACAACAGGGCGGATAAGTGTGCGATTTGACACTCCACCTTGAGGATCTTTCCGATCCCAAACATGAAGACTCCGAAAGAGGGCTCCATTGGTCCGACAGACCGCCGTGAAGGACGGTCCACTTTCACATTCGAGAACGGATCGACAAACTCCCGGGAGATTCGAGCGTAGACTGTAAGCCACATGTCGAGACCCTGCCTGGACTGCAGTGGCCAAAGGGAAGGGACCCGGTTTTGAAAGCAAGACATTCGGTCTCACAGCTTGGACATTTCATGGAGGTTGAGCAAAACCAAGGCCGTTCACGAGGACTACATGTACACTTCCCTATTCCTGGACCCTCAATCTCGGCCACATGACAAAGTCGCCAGTCTCAATCGGAGGCCCTTCACCACCATTTCAAAGCCAATATCATCTTCCATCTCAATGCCTTGTCACCCAAATCTCTTTCCAGCTAGTTTCCGAGCCCCCACTTTCGGCTATATCGCATTACCACAGCAAGGTGCCGATGAGGAAGCCCTGCCCCTTTTCAGAAGTGAAGTGTTTGTGGTGTGGATGACGTGAAAGTCTGGTTCAGGACATAGACATCGACTTTGGCTGACTGATGGCGTTGGTTAAATGCCCGCCGAGGATACCTATTAGTCCCCCCATCCTATCCTGACATGGGGAAGCCGTCCTCCTTTTTTTCTCGTCCTTGCCGATCCAGAATTTGTTTCTCTACATCGGGGACATCCTCCAACATCTGTATTTTCTGTCGCCGAGGCTCGGTCTTTCTTTTTCCTTGAGAAACAGCTCATATCCGTTCAGAATGAAGCAAGAGACCGCCATCGCTGCGAATTATGCGCTGACATGTAAGCCTCCCGATCCATATCACGCCCAATTTCATGCCATCGCTGGAAGGGGGAGGGTTTGCGATCACATCGGTTGGGGATGCCTGTCCTAATTTGATGATCTCTTCCCCTATGAAATAAAAGCGCTCGCACTGGCGATCCAAACGGGCAATGCGATATACGGCATCAAGCACGCCTGGCAGCGAAAGACACTCTTCAACGGCGTTCTCGCCGGGTGTATGGTCATGTACGCTGCATCTTTTATTCCACTGCTTTGTAAGTGCGTTCGGAAAACGAGAGATGTCTTTCCGTTCGCCCAGATTGATTTTCGGAAAACGTTTATGCTGATATATTGTGACTTCTTTCTTGAAGTCACCGCCAGACCCGCTGTCTTGCTCGCCGATAAACCCGACGGGCCCGGAAGCCCATACACGCCCTTCCTGACCGACTTACAGAACATCGTGCGGGTGTGGACAGCGCTGTATGGCCTCGCCACCTTTCCGTACGTGATACTGGTGCAGATCAGGTTTCGGGTCGTTCGCTCGGTTATCAAGTATAGCAAGCATTGGGTAGGTAGCATGCGATCATTCGTGGTCCCCAAAATCCAAAATCCAAACCTTTCATTCCACAGGATACATTCTTCGTGATCTTCACAACCCTCATCTGGCTCAGCGCCCTCGCCATCTGCGGCGTGATCTACCCCCCCTCGAAAAAGATCGCAGGCTACACAACAACGATTTGGACTGTGTACGGCCTGCTCTGCGACAATGTATTCTCGATGACGTTCATCTTCAGCATCTACAACATCCGCCGCAAGCTGAACAAGAACATCGAGGTGCTGTTCCGCCGCGTGCGCACGGGACTATTCTTCCTGTGCTTTATGACCTGGATGGGGATCAGTTTCAGCGTGATTAGCTTCACGCTGTATTCGAATAATGGGGTTATGCGGACACTGTTTTTCAGGATCTCGCTTCTGTTTTCGCCATTGGCTTATTCGGGCGCTTTGGTACGCAGGACTTTTATGTTTTGACTCTCAGTAAAGACTTTGGACTCATGTTGTTCATTGCCTCCCAGGTCTACCTCTACACCGTCCGCCAACTCTTCCAGCCCCAAACGCGCTACAGCCAACAAGACCTCCGCGCCATCAAAAAATCCCAACAGGAGCTCCGCGCAAACGCCGCATCCTCCGAAAAACTTACAAAGCCCAAAAGTGCCTCCGTGATGCTAACCGCCACCGTAACCGGCACCGCGCCCGCCGACAGCCCCATCCGCGGCGCCGCCGACTCCTTCGCGCCATCAAGGACCGAATCCGACCCGGCTGAATCCCGTCTCGACCCGTCACGATTACTGCTCGAGGTACAGGATTTGCAGACGACCATCGAGTATGATGACGCGGAGGAGGAGAGGGAGTCGAGCGACGAGAGTGATTTAGAGGGCGGGAATGCGCCCGTGCCGTCGCTGGTGAAGGGGGAGGCGGGCGCGAGGAGTGGGGCGAGTGGGAAGAGTTTGGCGAGCCAGATGAGGAGTGAGGCGCCGAGGATGAGTATGGTGGAGAAGACGGTTGGGGGGGAGAATGGGGATGAGAGAGAGGCGGATGGGTTTTAAGTAGCCACCCGGTTTTTCGTGGTATCGGGGATGTGTACGCTTTCATAGAGAAATTATCAGGTCGTGCATCCAGAATAATATCCATGCAATTCCATGTTGATCATCTGTGCACCCCATCATTGCCCCACAAGAGGGCGAAGAGAGACACAACGGGCGCTTATTTCGGGTACACACTAAGTTTAGACTGGGAGAGCCACCCTCAGCATGTTGGGAAGCCTGCAACGAGTATCCTGCAAACCCTTTGTCCGTATATAGGTCAAGGTCCCGCATTAGCCCTGAAAACGCTATTGCGGGAGACCCTTCTCCAGCATAATCATATCGCCCCATCCTCAGACCGGCTCTCACACCCCTTTTCCCGCCACTTACCTCTTGGGGATGCCCCCACATGCAAACCCCGAATATCAGATATCAGTCTGGAGAGCATCTTTCATCAACCCGACAACTCAATCCGAGTACGTAAAACGCTCTTCTTCGCAAAAAACCACTGGCGTTTCCCCGTGTTCGATGGAAAACCTCTAACACCCGATGCCGCTTCAATACCTTCAAACTGTCGGAATAACAGATATGTGCAAGCTGAAGCACGCAAGGCTTCCTCCACAGGACGTCGGAACGCCACTACCGCAGCCTTTGGACTCCTTTGCCTGGGATTCATCTTCTTTCAACAATCACGAAAGTTTGATGCAGTAACGCTATTCAGATTTCCTTTTTCGGTAAGATGTTCCGACGGAGCGGTGGAAGGGTGCAAGCGGAGCGAGTTCGTGAGCGCTAAAGGCGCGAATGCCCGGGGGTGGATCGATTGCTTGTGTACGAGGCGCAGCGCGGATTTTCTCGCCGGAGACCACACCCGAGTGACCCTAGTTGCATGGGCGGCATCTCCAATTTATCGCCGGTGAGGCAACAGCCGCCGGCGGCACCCACTTTCATCGAGGATGTACTTGCACATCCTTTTTGCTTCCCTCAATGTGAAATGGAAATGAAAACTGGCACAAAATCACATGCTAACCCCAAACCGAATTCCATTCAACGGAAAACAGGAAGGCTTCATAATCCTCTTTGTAGGAATGTTCGTCAACCTGCTGCTGAAACCTCCATGGATGTTCAGACTCACGGCCATCCTCACTTTGGCATTTCTCCTCGTGCCAATTTATTCAATGAACAACCAAAATGTATCGTGGGCCACAGAACGGGACATGGCAGTCACACTGGCTTCGGAGATGCCGAACACTGTCACAGTCATTACCGCACTCTCCCTTGGGGGGGTACAACAAAGGGCGGGGATAGCCGCCTTGTATATCATTGGGATGCGCATCTTCGGAAACATATTTCACCAACCTGGAGCATTGAGCCAAGGGGGCTACAAAGTCGTTCTGAGGATGATGTGGACTGTAGGGTTGTCGACGTTTGTGCAATGGAGGTAAGCGAAAGGTGTCTCGCAGTATGCCGTTTGTGTGCACAATTCTGTTTTCGGTCACTTTGTTAATCTTTTCATACCTTTCTCCGGTTTCCTTGCTTCTCTCTAGGCGACAGATCCGTTCGATGAGGGACTGGGTTTTACTGCAACAATATATGGACAAGGAAGCAAACGAGACTGGAAACGGTCCACCATCGCAAAAAGGCGATGAAAAGTCGTCACTCGACAACAAAGGAAAGGAGAATGGGAGCGCTCCTGTGTCCAACCCGGGAGCGCCTCCTCGGCGCACAATCCGAACAAACCACCGGCGTTGCAATTGTTTCCGAAACCTCCTCCTCAACCCGCCTTTCACCGACAAGAACGCCGAGGAAACATTTCACCGATTCTGTTCTGTGTTCTCCGTGAAGGAACAGATACTATGTCACGGAAGCAACATTCTTTCGTGCTGGACATCTGGGGCAATATTGTGTTATCTTTTGCAAGGTTTCCCGTCGGAGGCAGTCTCGCTCTTCGTGACCATCCCTCTCCTATCCATCTTCGCGATCATTATCAAATCGCTGGGGGTTTTCGGTGGCGGATGTCAAGGGGCGCAGCTGCACCCCTTTCGTGAGCAAATGTCTTCCATGTGCTGCTACCTCCTCGTCGATTTCTTCATGATCTGGGACGTGTCTACCCGATATCGCCAACTGTCTGGCGAGAATGCCATCTCGAGGCTTGAGGCGGGGTTGAACCCCAAGACCAGCGCTTTCACGAGCATCCTGTTGATTCACCTCACGTTTATCCTTGCGAGATTCGACTTCGAAGCCTTCAGAGGTCCGTTTGCCGTGTTTGTCCTCGTTATGGAGGTGATAGGATTGTGCTTGGGGGCCTGGTGGCAGGGGTACGTGGGGCCGCACTACTTCGCTGCCAGTATTCCTAGCTTATTTCAGATCGTTCATGCCGAAGCAGGTGAGCCGGGGGGCCGTGATCTGGCTTTTACTTCCGTTTTGCCCGTTGTTATGCTCTAATTTTTGAATGGTCGTTATTCTTTAACATTTTCCCCTCGTTTTCGATTTTTGGCGCATCTAGGTCTTCGTAGACATTTTCTGGTTCATCATCCGGAGTTTGGCAGTGGGGCGGGGGTCAATGGCGGCAGCGGTAGTGCCCGCAAAGCGGACGAAATACAATCTGAGCCAGCAATAAAAGTATCGTCTGTAGCCTTCGAGGAATAGAAACATGGTAGCATAGAGATGAGATCAAGTAATGTTAGGATCAATGATAGCAGGTTAGAGTTGTGAAGGGAAATATAGCCATCAAGCAAGAAGACCTTGTAGCATAGGAAAATAGAGCTGATGCAATAATTCTGGGGAAATGCTACGTACAGTAGGATGCCAAAGTAGACGTCAGATGCCAAAGTAGATGCCGAAACGGACGTTACGACGGCATGGACGCGGTCAATAAATCGTTGTGGCCAGCAGAAGTCACCGGCCGGCTGCCACAACGTTGTCGGCGACATCTTGACCAACATCCTTGACATTGCGAGCACATCCACTGCAACCCCAAAACTTCTGACATACCTCACAACACTCGGGACACCTTCCAGATAGTCCAGAGATCGCGCTCACAGCTTACTGAGGCCTGTAGAGTAGTGTACCCATCTTCTTTGCGCAATGGCCAACGCAATGGCCACCCCATTGCCTGACCTTGTCCCGGAGGACTACGACGATATGGACATCGCAGACCACATATTTGAACTACTGTTTGGCGAAGATGACCAGCTTCCGCTTCCCGAGCCCCTCCAAAAAGTTGTGGAGTATCAATACGACCCCAACGCAAACCACCCTCCCCGAGTTCCCGACGCCCCCATTCCAAGCGATTGGAGGATTATCGACTTGACCCCGTTGAACCTCCCACCTCTGACGATGAGGAGAGGAACACCACCCCTACAAAACCCCGCCGTTCCAACCTTTCCCCAGCGGTCCGCGAGCGCATTATCGGCATGCATCTTGGTGACGGAAAACGCAGCTATGCCTCCATTGCAACAGCTCTGAACACCACAAAACGTAAGGTACACTTACTATCCAGCGTTTCAAAGACACTGGCTCTGCGCAACCGAATGCACCCACTGGCCGCCCTCGTAAATACAATGAAGACCATGTACGACGGGTCCACCAGGCCGTCAGAAAGAACAACCGTGAAAACCTCGACACTATCCAACGCATCATTGAAGATGATGACGGTATCCGCTACCCAGTCCGATCATTGCAACGCCTGATCCAGCGGGCTGAGCTCTTCAAGTTCAAAGCAGCTCGGAAACCACTCCTCGACGCTCGGAAGACAGGCCTTCGCTTGGCCTGGACGCAGGAAAGGTTGCACTGGGATGACGACATGTGGAAGAACGTCATTTTCTCGGATGAATCTTCATTCTCCCTGTACTCTTCAACCCGCGTCGTGATTTGGCGTGAACGTGGCGATGATGCAAAGTACCGGGCGGAGAACCTAGTTCCAAAGGTGCAGAAGAACGGTGGAAGCCTGGCAATTTACGCCTTACGGACTCTCCTTGTTGCTCCCACAATTCGAAAATCACCTATATTTGACTAGCGACTTGCGGGAGGGGAAATGCTGGCAGTTCGTGGATCTTCCTTTCGAACTCCCACTGGGATTGGCGGTAGTTTTAGACGGCGACATACCTTTGAAGTTCTGGGATAACGCCAAGGACAAGGCTCGCAAGAAACGGGGAGTTCGGCAGACGACAAACCGCTCACTACTCATTGATTTGCACGGTGCGAATGAGCGAGGCCGAGTTTCTCGACAAGCTTCGGCAGGTTTTCACCATGCCCCATGTTTACCCTATCTCTCACCTCGAAACCGAGATCCTGTACGGGCTGCTCAAGTTCTGCGCAGATATGGGCATCAGCTTTGATTCCGTATGCGAAGGATTGGCCGACAGCTCTCTCGATCGCATCTATGTCCAGTCGTTGAAGTTCGCCTTGGACGCCAATCCCGCGCAGTTCGCACTTCGAGAGTTCTCGGATGTCGTCAAGACCGCATGCCGCATCCACGCAGCGGGTGAGCTCGTCGAACTGACGGGGGATTGGGACGGGGCGTCGGATTTGGAAGGACCAGTCCGTATAATCCACGAAGCGGCTGTTCAATTGTCACCGCAGATGGAGGGAATGGATCGCATTGACGTTGCCGGCTTGCATGCGTATCTGTCCAGTAAGAGCCCACGTTCTCGGAGCTGTTGTCGCAACCCTTTTTCGCCCGAGTTTCGTTCCACTTGCTGGGGTTCGGTGTGGAAATTGAGGACTCGCACTCGGCAGCAATCCGGATGGAGGCTATACGAGAAAAAATCGCCGATGCGTTTGAGTGGGACACAGATCTCTTTTACAAGTATAAGTTGGAGTAATAAGATGGTGCTCATTATGGTGCGCACCATCTTATTACTCCAACTTATACTTGTATGTCCACAAGCTGGCGGAGGTGTATAATGCGGGACGGCCTAGCAACCCACTCACCACTCAGGCGCTTGGGAAGTTGCTCGACGACAATGTTAAGTACCCCGGTTAGGGTTAGCGTTAGGATTAGGGTTACTAACACCCAGCCCTAACCGGCCGACTTGGTGCTTATCACGTCAAGGGTGGATTCGTTTACCACGAGAGGCACCGGCAAAGATATGGGAGGCTTTTGTCATCTAAGAACGATAGCTTCAGGCAAACCTGTGCAAATCATCTGTCATAGGGAAGGACCACTCTGCTTCACCACTCTGCTTCACCACTCTGCTTCACCACTCTGCTTCACCATGTATGTATGTATGTATGTATGTACGCCTGATGTACGCAGTGCTGACAGAACTGGAGGAACTTGTGGACAACTGGCCGCGTCGCCATTCCCGATGTTCTCGATGTGATGCACTCACACTCGGACTCGCGCTATCCGGCTTCTTCCTTTGTGGTTTAACAACTTCGCTTCTGGAAGCTCGGCTGCGTACAGGCATCCATTGCGGGTATCCAAGGGCTTTCTGGTTGCCCCGTCCATATCGTCGTCGCCGATAGACCACATATCTATCTACCCAGCGCACGCTAGGAAACAGAAACCAGGGTTACGCAGCTTCAAGCGCGCGCGATGGCACCACTGCGGACGGACTGCGACCTTAAGGAGTTGTATATGTAGACTCTAGAGTCTAGATCTAGAGTCCTCCTTCTTAGGCCCTTTTCCTTTTGGTGTGGATGCGTTGCGGACTCGAAGCTCATGCACAAACGAAGAAAACGCCTTGAGGTAGAGGAGAGGACAGAGAAAACGGGCGCCCTTCAACTTCAGAATCCGCCGTAGACCTTACCGCTGCGCATACATATGGCACCGGCCATGTTCAGATTTGTCCTCTTCAAGGATGGAACTGACCAGGAGATCCTGCGCAAGACGCTTCTGGTAACAAGGATCATGCTGATGGCGCTCTGGATGTTGGTTTTCGCCTGGTTTCTCAGAATATCAAAGGCGTACGTCTGGTCTCGTCTCGAACGGATGGGGACTGCAGACGCTCGGCTCTTGATGCCCCAAGGGGATTGCCTCAGGGCTCTGGAGACTGTATCAGAGGCGGGCGTGGTATTTGACAGTCATCTGTGCGTCTCTCATGGTAGCTTCAAACGTAGATTACCTGTCGGGTATGCTAATCGCGGCGGATATGAGGTTCTCTTATTCGTCATTGGTCGTTCGGAATAAAAGACCGTGGAATCACTCATTCTTGAAATTTTCGTAGAACAACATCTGGTTGCGGCAAAGGACTTTACTCGGAGCCCGCAATCAAAGCTCGCGGAGACGGCATCAGCCTTCAGGAATTTGATCAGCATCTAGGCGAGGTCGCCAAAGCGTACGATCAAATGCGGATCGAGGATCCTTGGTTCGTGCCGAACGTTTTCTCCTCAAGCGCTCGCTGGGCCCCACCTGTTCAAGACACGCCGGGATTCCTGTTGAGCTGCGACTATGAAGAACGCCAAGCTTTCATAAGCGTCAACGTTAGCTTGCCCGACGTCCGTCCTCAAGCTTTCGTTGGGAGCATGAAGGACTTTGCGCGTCGCAGCCTTGGAGAGGACCTCGTTGCCGATGTTCCTGATGACCAGCTTGGCATGGAGACGGCGTGAACCCTATGACGCAGCGCATCTCTGATGGAAGTACCACCATTCCTGCGATGCTATTCCACTCCCTTGCGACATGGACTGGTCAAAATGAAGTGGGTTCACCGGTCGTCATGGTGAAAATGATGGCCGTTGCGCTCCTATTCGACGAATGGGTCACTTTCCTTCCGAAAGATGTTAAGGGTGTGGTACGTGAAGGAACCGCTTTGTTCCGTGGACACACTTGTCAGATCGTCGAAAGAGGCTTCCAATGGCCTTGGCGATTGTACATCATTTCATTCTTTGACCGATACATCAAAAACGACAAGAACACCTGCGTGGGCGAGTACACCCGCGCCTTACCGTATGGCATCATCGATGACTTGAATGGAGTCACCCACAATGAGTTGTTCAAGGACATCCGCTGCCTCGGAGGTACCACGCTCCCGACCACACTGCTGACGATGATGACCAACTTCCAAGACCCGTCACCGAACCTCATCGTCCGACAGCACGCGTGCGTTCAAGTGGGACCCGTGTCAATGATCGCCCTAGCCTTACCCCTCCTCGCCCTCCTTGTTCTCACGGCGGTCGTCCTGATACATCGGCTGCCAATATTGCATACTGCTCTGCGTCAACTTCCGGATGGCCAGCTGCAATGGGCACCCGTCGCGGTGGAGGAAGCTCACACCATGACGACGACTCCGCAAATCCGATCGGACACCTTGAAAACTCCGATCCTTATCTCCAAACAACACGCCGGTGGAGTTCGTTTGTCACATCGGACCGAAAGGCAGGCGCCTCCGCCGCAGTTCTATGCAGTGGCTGCGGCGAACCGAAGCTGGACGTATCAATCCCTGGAAATCATCGAAACTGAAGGTTGACTTCGGAACTGAACATTTTCGAGCAGGATTAGGAGGGCACCAGTATAGTTGATCGGCGGGTAGACAGAAGGCGGTCGTTTCTCTACATAGTATTCCGGTATTGCAAATGTTGCATCTTGAAACACACTCGACTTTCCTCAACCTCCTGTCGTATGTTAACGCAAACGGTCACCCTACGGCAGTGTGGTAGGAGTGTGTCCGAAATCTTTACATCAAATTGTAGTTGCTCATGACATGCTAGAGGGATAGTAATCCGAATATTCTAAATAGATTCCTGCCTGCGCAAATATCCATGATCGGTATCGTTATCGTCCGTTTCGCAGCCATTTGTGGTATGAGGTTGGGCAACCGTAGTAACCATAATATATAGATGGGGACGTTAGATAGAGGCTTTTGCCTTGATGGCACTTAGTTGATGCACATGACAAGTTTCCCCACCAGAAGGTATAGAATAGACGCAGGTGTGGCTGCGTGCGGCTACGCACGGCAGCGTGTTTTGACAGGGAGTTGACAGTACAGTGACAGACTGTCAAAGCTTCGTGATGAGGTAAGCTTATGACGTGGACGCGTCGTCCATAACACCGCCCGAAAACCCTGGATGAGCTAGAACTGTTGGTCAAGGCGGAAAGGGCTAGTTTAGACATTCGGACTTTGACAGCGCTTAACAAGAGTGTGTCACAGCGCATGGAGATGGTTATTAACGCAAAAGGGGGTTCGACCAAGACCTGAATGGATTCCATTAATTGATAACCAGGGCTTGGGAAAAACATTTGGGACATCGGCGGTGAAATGTGTGAAAATGTCGAAATAAAATTGCTAGAAACTTTTGTCACTCTACTGTATTTCAACTTTGATGAAAGCCCCAATTGGATTCAACTAGGAGGAGAGACAGCTTTTTGCTACCTGACAGTACGTCGTCTCAAGGCATGCCGGCATCAATGCTGGATGTGACCCTGGTCCTCTTAACATCCATGTCGGCCCCGGCACTTACAGAGCTGTTGGCACGTGTAAAGGACCGAATGGCGGTCACCCAATCTTGCGCACTTTGCGGGCTCTCGGCTTGAGCCTCTACCTCCCCTCTCGGCCAGCGGATTGAAAACCGATCGTCTTTCAACTCTACGGTAACTTGGTTGAGCGGCACCGCTAGAGCTCTGTCTGACTCTTCCTCATTTACAAGGACGAAGAGTGGACCGGGCTTGAGCATGATATGAGCGGTAAAATTGCGCCATTGCTTGCTGGTAATGCGGGTGGATCCGCGAACGGGCAGGCGTTCCGATTTAACTCCTGAGGGCAGAGCGGTCGGCTTGCTATCGAACCCTCGTCGATTGGCCGCGCCATCCTTAACAAACGCATCGTCGCCGGGCGTCCCCCTGTCCGCAGTCTTGTCGGAAGCTAGTCCGTAAAGGAACCTTCCGCAGAGAGCACAGTATGCAACTCCAACGGCGATAAGAACGCACGAACTCCTGATAAGGAAGGATGGCACTGGCGCCAGCGGAGTCAGATATCTTGTCAAAAGGATAATGAGAGCGCAGAACAGAATGTTGTAAATGGCGATGCCAATTGCTTTGGCCTCGTTGTATGCTGAGTAAATGTTCCGCGTAGCGAAAGCGAAATAGCAGCAGGCTAACACGAGTAGGCCGTTGTAGATAAAGACGGCGAGCATCATGGCCTCCCCTGCGCCATGATTGGATGAGGCGCATTGATAGTAATGGGTAGCGTAACGGAGGTCGTTGTGCTCGTTGGCGAGAAGCGGGAAAGCGCCGGACCAGATGAAGACAAGCAACAATTCGATAAGGAGAATGGCGCCGGATTGAGCAAGGAGCTCCGTATTGCTGGACGCGCGTCGATGGGCGATCCGGTTGTCAAAAATTCTGTACCGAAGATCTGGTTAGTCCCGTTCCTCCCTGCCAGTTTATCAGCCAGACGGCTAGATGCAAGGAGTGATTGACCATAGCAGGGGAGGTGATGAATAAAAACCTACCTATAAAGCCTCCGCAACTTGACCAGAATACCCCCCACCACCGTTCCAAATCCGACGGTCAGCAACGCCATGTACGAATTGCAAGAGACCGTCGTTGGAACTTCTACAGCATCCACGAAGATCGAGAGGAAACACACACCATGCCAGTTGCAGAGAAGGCCATGAACAAAGGTGATACTGGCTTCAGCATTTTGTTGTTACGGAATAATACGAGAGGCACTGTCGACACGGCGGTAATCACAAGCATGACCGAAGCTATGGCGATGATAACGGCAGGAGCACTCTTCTTGTATCCGATGGTTTGATCCGTCAATGTTGGTGAATCGGACGGAGATGTAGTAAGGCCTGAAGCGAACACGATGTTGGAAGTAAGGGATAGTGCCCCAGCTTCGCCAAGCGCCACCTCTACGAACTCAGAACCAACGAGATTGCGGACGTGGAACAACGCGTTTGCAGAGTCCCCGTTCGCTTGCCAGGATGCTTTCCCCATGGCGCCGGTAAAGGAAAAGTTGGTGAACTGATTGACCTTGAGTCCTTTTTCGAGCCATTTGTTGGTGGATATCTCCGTTGCAGAGTAACCGTAATCGTTCATCAGCTTCTTGAACGCGTAGGCAAATGCATACGTTGCGTCGTACCATGCGACAGCGCCGGACGGGGGGGCAACACCCCATCTTTGTGTAAACTTGGTCTCGAATCCCTTTGTTAACTGCGAGTACTCCAACGGTTCGGTCATTAGCAAACCTTGTAGGTTCGCTCGGTCTTCGTCCGTTTCGGCGGCCTTATAAACTTCAAGCAGGTTGTCCCCCTCCGATGTACACGTAATCCGATCCCACCATGCCATTCGCTTTGAGCACGCGAAACACTTTCACAGCGTCGGCCTCCCCGTTCGGGAAGAGCAGGATGATCCTTGCTCCTAGATCCTTCAGCTGGTTTACTCGGTACTCGACGCCGGCGGGATCGTCCATGTAAAAGGTGTACGACCCCAGCAACGATATGCCGTACGAATCCACGCTCGAACGTATCTTGTCCAGTAGCCCCTGCCCGTAAGATTCTTCTCCAACCAAGACGCCAATCTTCTTCCACCCCTGAGAGCGAATGAGATCGAGAACAACAAGTGCTTGAAAGTTGTCGTCGGCTACTAGGCGGAAGAAAGTTGGGAACGATGCCTTGTCGCCGAGACCGGGGCTCGTTGACCATACTGAACATTGAAAGATCTGCGTATATGCAAAGTGAGTAACAGTGGAGTTAAAGAAAAGCGAAGTAACTCGTGGCCTGGGATCTGCATGCTGCTGGATCTGGAGGTGAGGTGCGCCAATCTGACCCGTATACCTACCCCCGATGACGCGAGTGCATAGGAAAGCATTTTGCTCGCTGCCGAATATCGATCTCCTAGAACTCCATTGAACCCATTCGATAGATCCTTGATAACGTCGCGCTGGACAGTTGCGATGAGCTTGCCTAGATTTCAAACGAAATGGAATCAAAATGGGTTTCTTAGTGGAGACACCAACAAGTGCATAATTAGTGATATTGTCGCAAAAGATCATGACTATCTTTACTTCCCCGGAAGGGGAAAATGTGCGGGCATTGTATGCATTGATCCATCACGCACCGTAGTCTTGTCGATCCGGGAGAGCATCATCAATAGCTTGTACCTGAAACGGAACACTGCCGAACCACATCCCTGGGTTTGCCTGAGAAGCCAGATGACGAGGATATTATCAGTTCCAGACTGCAACCATGAGAAACTTACGGAGCGATGGAACAGCCACACCGTAATCTCCTCAGCTGCCATGCGAGCCCCGCGCATGGCCCTTTCCTCCATGCTGCTCCCGCTAACATTCCATAGCGCGAACGGTAAAGTCATCGCCAACCTGATTGTCGGAGGATCGGCACGAACACTGCGTTCGACAGAGCACACGGCCCAGACGACAAAAAGCGACGAAATGTAGCTGTGGTGCATCTTCTGGCTTGCTTGCTTCGATTCGCTTTGGGATCACTCGTCTGCACGCCGGGTATTCGGTGACAGATGCGGTTCCTTCGCCAGACAGTATCGGGACAGAGGCGAACAGTCTCTACCTTTATTGGCGCCCCGGGTGCCAGTGAGCAATACGTTTGCATGATGGGAAAGGAAAGAATTACGAAAAATCGGCCGCTGGGCTAGCGCTGATGTGATGGTGCCCGCGGGGAACCCTGCAGAGAATGCCCAGGTTGACATCACTCACTCCAGGCAGCCATCACTTAGAGTCGAGGTTGATGTTTTTTTCCAATCCACCCCTCCCGCCGTCCTCCATTAGGGCCTGCACCCTCCGCTTGGCATAATCTAACTAATAGTCTGAGTCGGTCCGAGTAATGTCTCCCTACCCACGCCGGACGGGGGAAAGAATACGTCAGACTGTCAAGGTGTCGAGGTGTCATATCCCGATCCCTGCATTTCGACGCTTCGAGCCAGGATGTAAGTCCGCCCTGATTCGGAATTGAGAAAGGCCCAGGCAGCACGGGGCAGATCCCTTCCATCGATCTCAACGAAAAACTGACGTCGTAGGGCAAAAAACTCACATCCCCTTGTACGCTTATGTTTTAAAGTTATAGAGTACGCAAAAATCTTCCAGTATAGGCCTCGAAAGAAGGCTGGTTCGGCCATCGAGTCCGTTTTGACATAAGCGACCTTTTCTTCCTCCTCTCAAGTGACAAACTTCGATTGCCTGAGGTCCGTTTTGCCGGCGCTGAGGCTTTCAGAATGAGCATCTCTATGGAGCATAAACGTTGATTTTGCACGTAATACCCAAGTTCTCTGGTGCCCTTGTATGGTGGAAAGGTAGATGAGGTACTTGACGAGCCAAAAATTCAGGGACAAGGTTTAAGGTTGTCGCAGCCGATAGGTTGAGCCGGCCGGAATGCTGCTTTCTGATAACAAGATCTCAAACCCGGTCAGAGGGGGAGGGCATTGCTCCAGGCATTGCTTAGGAACGAGTTTATGGCCATTAGGGAATGGAGCATCCTTTGGGTGTATCATCATTGATTGTCCATGACATTCTCTGCGCGCGAGTCCCGGATTATCGTCCTGAAGCTCACAGTCAGGGTCCATAAAGCTGTGCCTAACGATGCCCTGAAATAAATCAGCTATGCCCGGGATAGAGAGATAGAACCAGCCCTAACGAGGGTAGCCCTCGGTCTGAGGGCATGTTACCGACCGTTCGGCAACGCGCGGTGCCGGTGACGGGCGACGCGTAAAGTCATAGACAAAGGAGGTCTTGCCCGGTCGGCGGCGGGGACTTCAACCCACCAAATTTGGCGAAGGAAGCTAAGCGACGGGTCGGCGGAAAGACAATCGTGTTGAGGAACAGACGTTTCCTGTTATTAGGGGCGGTTCTGTCGGGAGTTTTCATCTTGCGCTCGCGATGGTGGTTGTACCGGTATGGTCAAAATTGCTTGCGTTGCTGAAGGAGTTGCCACGAGTTGCTTGTGGCTCCTCTGGTTGTTGTCCTCCCATTTCCCTGTTCCCAATGTGTGTAGTCAAGCACGATATTCATCACAAACTCCTACGAAACTCGGAAGACAGCGCTTAGACTAACCGAAGTAAGTAGGACCTTCTTTCTTTTGATTTGGGGCCCGTACGGAATGACCATGGTTGCTATCAATGTCCCCCGTCACAGCACAGCCTCCGCCTGGTTTGATATCCTGCGGTTTTATATGGCTACATCAAGGTTTGCACGTTAACATAACGGGCAAAGTATCTAGCGTAAGAGCTCGGTGCTGATTAGCCTCACTTAACGCCGGATTATAGTATGAGCGCCCCACGGGCGGGTGTCACCGCATCTTGCGTTTTTGTGGGCGTGACACAACAATCTCTCATCCCGAAGACTTTTTGCGATTTTTTGTTTCGTAGCGTTTGATTGTCTCCCACGAGCTTATAGAAGACCAGAGTCCTTGAGAAATGTGGCGAACTGCCAGCCACAGTCACCAGCCACGAGCGCACATCACGCCTGTCTAGAGATCTTGCGGCCAGTTGCGAATCGTAACCCGCAACACTACCATTGCCTGCAAAGAATATTTGAGGTCACCCACCGGGTGCACCGATATAGCGCTGGGGAGGGGCGGAAGTGGTGAGAGTAGGATCTCCGGAACCACCTTGCTCAGCTGAGTGCCCACCGCAAACCAGTTTTATCTTGATGCTCGGGTAAGCTCCTTCCACCGCGGCAAGCCTTGGGCTATGCACATATCCCCGTTCACAAACCTTCCGTTTTGAAGCATCGGGAAATGTCTACCACGGGAACGTATAAAACAGTCGGGACCCTATCAAGCCACGTACCACCAGCTCTCCGCGCTTCCTTTTAATCGCGCTATGTGCAAAATCAATTGATCCATCTTGGTTTCGCTGCGAGGCTGAGATATCTAACAACCATCAAAGCGGTTGATATTCATCAAGGGTTAAGCGTCACCCGTGCTGCACGAGCGCCGTACGTTGCAGGTGACGCTGTGACAGTCGCATACTACCAGAGGCTGGCTAAAACGGGAGAATGCAAGCGGGAACGATCTTTGAGAGTGCTAGTTTAGTCTCTTGAATGTGACAGTATGTTACCTTGTCGCTTTCTTTGAAATTGACAGGGTGCTGTCAATCACGGAGCGGAATTCTTCCCGCACATATCATCCAGCATCCCTGAACAAGGCCTCTTCGTGTCCCTATGAGCGACCGCCGCTTATAAAGCACCAACGGCTTTAGCAAGATCCACATGTTGGACTCCAATATCAAATCTGGCAGGGTGATTGGTCCGTACGGAGGAACAGATCAAATCACGTCAGTACCAAGGTATGAACTCTGAGGAAAATGGAAGCGAGACAGGGACAGGACCAACCGCAGGAGGAGAAAGGAGAGAAACAACAGGAAGAGCCTCCAGGTGAAGATCATCGACTGCACGATCGCGATCGCCAATGTGGGCAAGAGTAGTCCTTAAGAGAAAAACGATGGACCGGATTGGGCAACTGGAGATGCCACATGTGCCCCAGCGACCCGATCCGTGCTCTGCTCTGCTGGCTAGCTACGACGACACAGTAAGCGGCTTTGAAGTTCAGTCTTCGCCAAGACCTCGCCCGGGCAGGATTTTTTTTACGGAAAACAAGGGTGCTTGCTCTCCGATCCGACAACCTCTTATGTCAGACGCGGACAGAGCGGTTATCCTCCGGCAGAAACTGCCTGGGATAATAAGACCACACTAACAAAAAGCACTAGAGCGCTATCGCGAAGGACAAAGAGCGTGATAGGCCCGGTTCTTTGATGCAGCATCTGACTGAAAGGGAATATGTCGGGTTGAGAGTGAAGCTCAGGCAACCACGACCAACCCTGACAAGCAACATGTCAGGCACCAGAATACGTTGGAAGTTGCCCAACTGAGATAAATCATACGTCGAATATAAGCCGTGAGCGGGGCATTGGACCACAAATACGGCAGGTACTCTACCACGGTGAAAGGTGCATATGTTCACATGTGCTGTCCCATTACGTGCAAGCCCGTAGTGCTGAAGTTTGGTGCACTTCGACACAGCGTACAAACTCACTTGCCTCATTGCTCTATCTGTAAGACTGCAGTTCACTTAAGATTGCTGTCCTGCGTCATGCACTGTCATCCATTCCAGGCGCTGCTTTGGTCCGTCGGGGGAAAAGACGTGGCTGACGCGTTGAAGAGGCCCCGTTGTGTGTGTCAAGACGGGATCTTTGTTATTGGCTTGCTGTTCTTGCAAGAGGTAATACAGGCCTCCAAGATTCAAGGTGTCCGCCAAGCTTCAAGTCCCCAAACTCATAACGTCCTCTCGAAGTCCCCAACCTAACCCGTCCTTGCCGTCGAATTGCACAAGATCTTGCGCACTACGTTGCAAAACAGCTTCCAAACCAACACGACCATCATCCATCATGAGTTCACTTTCCGGCGACACGGTTCGACAATATGAGGCCCCTGCTCCTCCCAGAGCACCAGGAGTGCCGCAGGACCCTCCGCGGAAATTCACGGAAGGTACATTGTTATGTGTAATTGATATGCGAGTGGATGCTGTACATCAATTTAACCATTCACTTTTAGGCATCGAGCGAGACCCAGAAGTTGCAAAGTTTGCCGAATTTGGTAGAGGGCCTGTAAGCCGATTTGTGGCGAGGTGCAACTTCTCTTTAGGGAGAATTTTTACTCATACTCTTTATTCTCGTCGTCTTAGCCGGCAAGCGAGATTGCCAAGAAACAGGAATCTCAACACGAAGCTGCAGAGGATCACAAGCTCCAACCAAACTCGAAGGTGGACAACCGTGAGGCGAGGTTCCACACCGGGCGCCACAAGACGCACTGATGGTCGGTGGTGGTGATGAGCATTGATTGAAGTCGTCTTCTGTGTATAGTTTCAATGAGCGATAGTTCTCATTGTCATGTAATGTATGATTTTGAAGGTGTATTCAAGTTTGTATCTCCGGCGTGCCGGACGTCCCGAAAACACCCTATGATGCTTGCTTCGCTCCATCCTTGAGCCTCGGGGATATATGTGTATGAGTTCCCGTCGCCTGACGGTGGTGGGCTTTACGGGTCGACAGCACAAAATGGGACTGTATAACAGCGGGCCTCAACGAGATTTGTCAGACCATTAATGCAGGAAGTGTTTTTGGCGGCGTCAAGTCAGCGGGGGAGGGGGGGGGGGGGGGATCCAATGGGGAACGATTATGAAGACTGACGTCACAAAGACGGCGAGTTATGACAACTTGGCATCATCTCCTCTCCTGTATAGATCCACCGAAAACAATTCCCCAGCCGAAGTAATCGACGGTTTGCATCTCAACACAAACCATAGCAGACAAACCACCCGAACGAAAAACAAAGAAAGATAGGGAAAAAAGTTGCGACCCTCACGATGCAAGACGAAAAGGTGACCAGATCCGCTCACGGTGAGTGTCGGACGTGCTTCCCCGCAAAAACCTATCTCTCAACCTAATCAAAAAGTATTCCTCAAGGTCGGATCCACAAAGAAACGCCCATCGGCCACGAACCCTCCAGCGGCTATACCCTGCACGCGGTGCCCAGACATGACCATCTGCACGACCGTATTGCGAACCAGGCCAACGATCTCAAGAGCGCACCTAAAGAGAAGGGTCATACGGTTGTTGCGGATTTGACCGAAGCTCCGACGAGCCCGAGAAAGATTGTTGGCGTAGTGGAGAAGGATTGGGAGGAGAGGATTGAGGGTCACGATAAGAAGTGAAGGAGCTTGGATCGTCGCTGGGTGTTCGGAAGTTCTCTTTGGCCTTCTCAAGATTGGGCGGGATTGTAAATAAACCCCAAGCGACGTACCTGTTATGTTCAATCAATTACTGTCATTTTAACACCCATTTGACAGTTCCCGACACAAAAACGGCTCCCTCACAAAATCATCCCTTTTTGTGGCCATGCCATGGCGGACGGACACCAGAAGAGGCGTCTTGGCAATATACAAGCTTAGAGTCTAAAAAGTTCAAATGGAGCTCAACAAGTCAAGGGGCGTGGCCTTACGTGCCCCACACACTAGTCTTCGTCCGCATTCCTGTCCACCGCATCGCTACGAATCTAACTAACCTTCCCTCCGAATAAACGGAAGTGTATGTAGATCCAGACGGTATATCCCTCCGCTCAGTGGGAGAAGGGCCTGAAGAAAGTTTGGCTGTCTGCTCACGCGTAACAACTCGTTACGGAGGGTGTTTGCGGACTTCGTTCCCCAACGTTCGCTCGTAGCCGTCTACCGGCCCGAAAGTGAAAACACGAAGCCGAAAGGGAGCGGAATATGGTAAGCCCTATAGATCTCAGTAACATCGTTTCTCAGAATTTTACTAACCTTGTCGCCCTCGGGAACGATGGAGAACGCAAACGAATTGAAAAAGTCCCGAAGTGACACCTTCATTATGACGGCGTTCTTCACGTCGAACGTGGGCGGGTACATGTCGTCTACTACGGAAGTCATACTTGCCAACTGTCTCCGGTCCGATTTCGCAAACTAGTGAAGAGATGCGCCCCTCGTCAATGAGACATATTCTCGAGGAAGGCAGGGAATGATACTCACCCGAACAGCAACATGTTCAGGCGCCAATAGGCGCCAATAGGCGACAGCACTTCAAGTTTTCCTCAGCAAGTGCGCCAGTAAGCATACATGCTAGGTCGCGCCTAGGTATACATGTTTCCCGAAGGACGCAGTGAAGGTGGTCTTCTTTTTGTGCCCTTTCCCCATTGGGCCAAGGACTTGAAGTTCGGCGTGTTGGTCGGACTGGCTTTACAAGTTCCAGCCCAGGGATCACCAGCGAGGTGCCGCTGGGGTCGTACCACAGGAAAAAACCATGTGGAGATGGAAGCGACTTCCTCTTCCGGTGCGGCGGGACAGGTCAGTCGTCCATTCCAAAGAGCAGCAACGGATAAGAATGCTGGCCGCGTGTTGAAAGTGTTGTCGGTTGTTGGTTCCTTGAGTACGTCATGACAAACTCCTGCATCAAAACAATACAGTACCTTCTTGAGAGCGTTTGCGGCTGGAAAGCTGACCGTCTCGGACGGAAGTTCCTGATGTAAGGGCCGGGTGTTATGGACGGCCGTCCATCCCAGAAGCAAAACCTCTGCAAGAAACTTTGACAGCTTGTCACTGTCAAGTTCCCCATCGAACCGCGGAGACGCCAAGTACGCACAAACCTCCTCCTCCTCCTCTCCTTCTCGGCCACCGCAACTGCCGCTGAGCCCACAGAAACCTATCACCTTACGAAGTCACCCCCCGGCACCACACACCAACCCCAGCCATGTCCACCCGCTCAAAAGCAACCTTCGCCGCCTCCTGCATCTTCACAGCCTCCACCATCGCCGCCGTCTACTACTGGCAGGATATGAGCTTTCAGGTACACCCCTCCCCTGTCCCATGTCCTACGCTCGTCTTTACCCACCACCTAAACCCTCCACGAACGTTCTGTCTATTTGTTATGTACGACATTCGCCTAGACGAGGAGAGTAGGCCTCGTCCGCGACGACGAACGCCGCGCGCAGTGGCGCGAAAACGTCCGCGAGCTCGAGCGGCAGGAGGCGTTGAGGGAGACGTTGGAGAAGGATCAGAGTGTTCGGCAGACGGCGTAGTATTCGGGAAAAGGGAGTGTAGATAGGACGGGGAAGGGGGGGGGTTGAGGAGGACGGTGGAGTCGTGATGCGGTGCATAGGTGTCGTTGGGAACGGGGGTTTGGGCAACCGAGCGAGACTGGTTCGTAGGGGTTGCTTGGATTGATTCTCTATCAGCAGAGACCCCATCTGATGAGCGGCCGGGTGGAGTGAACACCAAATCTCGCCGCAATCAACCACAACGACCTAGCGAACCTTCTCCGGCTGGGGAGATCTCTCTGTGTACCAACTCGGCGCCACGTTCCTCAAGCTACCAGGCCACCTCCGCTGAGGAGATCTGCTCATCACTGGAATTCGACTGTATGAGCGGGAGAATACTACGATTCGCGCCTTACGTAGAGTCAGGCATAGTACCTAACCCGCCCACCGCCGGGAAAACCCGGTAGTTTTATTTACCGCGGGGGACCGTTACCGGTGGATGTGGCTAGACGGTTGATGGAGTTGCTGAGCTCCGCTCAATAGCGGTGGGGTGTGCAAGACGGGTTGAGATCAGAGGACACGCCGCATAGCTTGCGACGCGGGAAACGGGGCTCGAGGGTAACATACGTAGAAACAGTTACAGCAAAGTATGTTCTTTGCTAGCGCAAAGCAATCACAAACTGAGAGCGCCTGCACCGGTCCCTATTCGCCTTCCTTCGACGCTAGTGTATGTACATTTTCGCGCATTTACAAAGACTATATGCATCATCAGATCAAACTATCGCCCACCCTACGAGAGCACTACTACTTGCTTTTAGCGGAAGCGCCAGCTGCCCCCTTCCCAGCCGCCGTCCCCGGTTCCCTATTCCACAAGAACACGGCGGAGAACAGCACAAACCCAACCATCATGCTGAACACATTCACGTAATATGGGTATGCGGGCGTCAAGAACCTCGGGTACTGGTCATGCCTATACGGCCGCACCTGTACCGTTTCAGCGGCCTCTAGCCACGAGTACCCGTGGCGCTTGTAATCCACCTTGAACGTGAAGACGCCGTAGTGATCGGGTAAACGGAATTGCGTGGCAAGGGTGGCGTAGGGGTGCGGGATGCCCGGGGCGGAGGGGATGGAGCGAAGGTGGGTGCGGATGTACGGGTCAAGCATCACGGCTTCGAATTGCATGTCGGAGGGTGTGAATGGAGACCAGTTCTCGCCGGTCCATTCTGCTACTTTGATTTCGTAAACCTGCGGGGTTTTGGAAAGGATGAGCGCGTCAATATCTTTGTCTCAATCACCAAAGGGAATGTATTCTGTGCCACTTACCATGTCATCCTTGATGCGGTAGATGCCGTGTTGCGCAGTTTCATTCAAACGGTGGTGGAAAGTCCCACCCACTTTCAGGACTCCCTTTTCCTGGAAAGCCCACTTTCCAAGCTCCGTCACAAAGTCCGCATTGCCGCTCTGCCTGTCTCCAACCTTCTTGTCGATGAACTCATCAGAAAACATATCCACGCTGCCCGCAAACACCACCCTCGCATTGTTGCGCGCTTGCAACCCAGATACAAGGACAAGGCCATTCCCGACCAGTGGTCCTCCCTCCAACGGCTCGTCGTCGTCTTTCAAATACGAGTACGTGGTAGGTGCGCCGATCAAGATCGGTTGCATCAACGGATTCTTGCCCGTTAGTCTGTGCCCAACACCCCGGAATAGTACAGGTCCACCGTTCCTCACTGCCGCTGAGACGGCTTTGATGTTTTTGTCGGGGAAGGAGGAAGCGGCGATGAGGGTAGGATCTTCGTCCACAGCGTTGAAGTGGTCGATCACGGCCGTCCCGGAGTCATCGAAGTCCGCCGAGAACTCGTACGCCACATCGCGCACGGCTTCGGTGATAGAGGAGGATGTCGCGAGAAGTACGTTGCCACCTTTGTTGACAAAGTCAATTACGTGCGAGATAGAGAGCTCGCCCCCTAATGCTGCAGAGGAGACGGGTGTAGTGTCAGCGTATTGTACGCAGCTGTATACGAAGCGAGTGTAATGGACTACTCACATTTAACTTGTGGCGCGAGGACCAGGAAATGGTCATACGCCAGCTCGTCAAACGCCACAAGGTTAAACTGCGATTCCGAAGCCGACTTGTACACGAGATTGTGTCCGCGTTCTGTTTGCACGATTCCGAATTGGGAGGGGAGCGTTAGCACTGGTTAAATTCGCGGTGCATCTTCCCGCAAACGCAAAATAGGATTGGGCCCATGCACGACAAAGATCCCCGGCTCGCTTCTCGACGAGAAGTCTCATTGTCACTCTGACTATCGCTTCCAGAGTGGACGCACTGGTCACTCGCACTGCCTCCTACGCTCGTCGTCCGCCTTCATCTTCCCACCCGCAATGTGAACGCGCCAAAGACTCGAACCATTTTCCATCCATGAACAACGCTTATAGCCAACCCTCTGCGAACTTCCGATACCTACCTTCCAACCCCTTCAAGAATTTCCCATACGTATCCTTCTTGGCCACATCCTCAAGCACGACAAGAGTGCGTGATCCAAAAGCGGGTTTAGCGAGAGCCGATGGGGTTGTTGATATCAGGGCAACGAGAGCTGCCCAGAGGGCGAGCAGTTCCCACCGCGCCATGGTGGTGCTGAGTTGCGGAGCGAAGCGTAGGAGGGTGTGCGGTGGTCGGCGCTGTCGTGAGACCTTTGGCGACAGTTGGGGGATGGGAGGCGGCTGCGGTGATCTCCGAAGGGGGATGTTGAAAGCGACGGGACTCGAGGGAGGCGGGCTGGATGGGAATATAACGCGCACAAGTCACGTGACCGGGAAATGAATTGCGACGTTCGTTCTGGGAAGGCACAGGCACTTACAGTACTTGGTTGCGTTCAACTGGCAACTGGGTTGAGTTCGGGGGCAATCGCAACACGGGCAGCAACGGCATCCCCAGCAGCACCCACCAACCCCACACACTACTACATCAAGTCCAACCGGAACGACCTCGCTACCGTCTGCCTTTACTCTCCCGGCACAGATTTCGACCCCGATACGTTGCAGCAACCGATTTAGTCCCCCGGCGTGATCTTCTCCAGCACCCAGCACAATGACCACCAACTACAGCCATTTCCTACGGGAACTATCCAAAGTCAGCGCATACGCACCACGGGTGAGTCGGGGAAACCTGGACGGGAAACCTGGAAAGGGATTGCCCGTATCTAATACTCACTGTTCTTGTTCTCGCTTAGGGAAAAGCACCCAAACTCTACAACTACCACCAATACATCCCGCACCCCTTCGCCCAACAACCATCACCGACCTCAGCAGCAGCAACAGCAACCTCCGTCAAAGCACTCATGCAGACCCCACTCCGTTTGCGATCGGAGCGGTATGCCCGCTCGGGACGGTACGGGCCGGGCGTCGTGCTGAAGGTCGCCGAGACGCACACACCGGAGGGCGAAACCGACGGGGAAGCGGCGGTGGGAGGGGGGGCGAGCACAGCCGAGTCTGATGCGGTGGGCCCATCGTCCGCACCACAATCGACAGAACAGGTCCTGACAGCCAGCATCCCGAACGTTCCGCGCACCGCCGAATACCTCACCGATATCCCCCTCCCGGCCGTGCTGACCCGTCACATCCACATGCCGTCGCCGACGCTGCAGAACGGAAACGCTGTCGGGAAAATCACCGGGTTCCGTATCGAAGTGACAGGGCGACGGGGAAACCGATCTGCGACTCAGCGGTACGGATATGGCCGGCTTGGGTCGGGAAGTGTCGCGGACTCGTATGTCGATTTTGCAAAGAGTCTGTTGGTGAATAAGAAGGGTAGTACGGGAGTTAAGGTGTGGATTGGGTATGGGCGGTAGTTAGTGACGGGAGACGCAGAGGCTGGAATAGGGGATGGAGTGCCGGAGTGCCTGTGCGGCCCGCATATCGTATGTATTGGATGTGCATGAAAAGCTCGGAACCTTTATAGATTTAACTCCCGTTTGGGGAGAACGTCCGCATGACGGAAACACAATGAATTAATTGCCTTTGCCTTCCCAATCAGGCCAAATCTGGCTGTTGAGCTATGTTCTTGATACATGTACAGTTGGTCTTTTTTTTACAAAGCGACGCCTTTGCCCTTATCATCCGGCTTCACTGTTGCCGGTTCCGTTGCGGAAGATGAGGCGGGCCTAGCTACTGGCGCGGGTTCTTCAGGTCCCGCGGCCGCCGAAGATGATGGCGAGGCATGAGACTTGCCAACCCCGACTCCCGTCCCAAACGATGATGATGAAAACCCTCCACTGGCCTCCCCTCCCGCTCCCGCTCCCACCCCACTCGCCCCGGAGCCCGCTGCCATCTTCGGCGGCGGAATCAACGTCGAAATCTGCGTCAACTGGGTGATGATCCCCGTGATCTGGCTCTGAACACTCTGCAGGGCTCTGATCCGTGCGCTGATGGCCTCGCGCGATTGGCCGTCCATGTCGCGGAGCTGCGCGTCGGTTAGGTGGTCGAGGGTTTGTATTTGGGGTGCTGGTTCGTTTGGAGTCGGGTGGATGTTGTGGTTAGCAATACAGTCCAATCATTGTGGATGAGATAACCCAGAAACATCGCAAAACACACCTTGCAAAGCCCCAAGATTAGCCCCACTCAGCGGTATAAGCGGCGTGAGCGTGATCGGGTACATAACCCCCGGCGCACCCACATGCGGCGGTGGCGGGAATGCCGTATTCAGCGGGGTGGGGAGACTTCTCACCGGCACCGCCGTCGCGCCTGGTGCACTGCTACTCCCCGCCGGCTGCTGTGGTGGTTGCGGTGGTTGTGGTGGCGGGGCAGCACCCGCGAGACCATGGAACATCCCTCCCGCGAATTGTTGTTGGTGTTGGCGGAGGAAGGCTTGGAAGTCGGCATTGGGGAGGGCTGGTGCCCCTCCTGCTGCTGCTGGTGGTTGTTGTTGGGCTGCTGCTGCTGCTGCGGCGTTGGCGGGTGCAGTTGGTGGAGGTGTGGCTGTCGAAATATGTGCATTGTACAATTTAGCAAACTTTCCGCGTCCTTGAGCGGATGCGGATTTTTGCAAGCAAAGAAATAACACTCACGTTGCTCCAACACCGACCGCCGACACGTCGGACAACTCTGCTGCCTCTCCAACCAGCTCTTCAGACAATGAAAGTGAAAAATATGTCCACAGTTCAGTTTCTTAGGGGTGTCTGGGTGTCCCGCCGGCCGTCTATTTGACGCCCCCGCCGCATCCTGCTGTGGTGGCACCGGAGCCGCTCCACCCGCCCCACCCGCCGCCGCCGCCGCTGGTGCTGCTTGCTGGGCAGCAACCTCCATCTCCTCCCTACAAATGATACACACACGATCCGTCCCATTGAGATCCTCGACGGTCGCATCGGGGTATCGCTCGTTCATGTTGGCGGTGGCGCGGCGGTACTGGATGAGATCGCGACATCGGTTGACAAAACTGCGGAGGGTCATGTAGAGATCGCGGACGATATGCAGGGGGAGACTGTAGTAGTACACGACGATGGCGAAGAAGCAGATGTAGGTTACGAGTTTCTCAAAGTCTACCGTGGATGGGGCAGTGTTAACATCCATGTTGACGCGTGGTGCAACGACATGCTGCGGTAGCTTACCATGCAGCAAATCGACATAGAATATGTACATCGATTTCTCTTCCCATGGCGTATCCCTCCGCAGATCGTAAGAGTGCAGCAGATACTTCACGAAGGTCGATAATATCAGCGATAGCAGGATCGTATACTACATCGTTCAAGGGGAGAGTATATATCAGTAGCGCATTCACATATATCAACTTCCCACATCGCTTCCCGACGTGGATACCCACCTCGAATCCAAAGATGATCATCATGCTCGCCCCACGCGTCGTCGTATGTTGTACGGAATACAGGACCATTATCAGGTCGACCACAGTAAGCAACGCCATCATGATCTGCATCCGCAAATGCCATCCAAGCGACGGGTTCGGTGATTGCTCCATCTATACGTGGAAAGAACTTTTCACGTCAGAACCCGTTCCATCATTCTTCGAAGAAACCCCAGATTGCAGAACGTACAAAGTCAACCCGGTCCTGGCTCAGCCAATGGAAGATCTTTACGAGTAACAGCATCGCAAACAGAACGATGAACCGCACATCGAACTGGTCGCGGAAGATGGTCATGGCTAAACAGGTCTCGGTGACTGCGAACCATGATCGTTCGTAGAGATGCTGGATAGTGGGATGGATGGAAGGGTTGTGTGAGGCGATGCGAATCCCGCCCAGCCCCCCTGTCGGTAGCTATCCTCAGAGTATGATGTACGGTCGTACCTCTACTTCCAACGCTCGCAGCCGACCAAAGAATAGTCGTTGCAGCGCTCGCCCCGCCAGGACCGTCACATACAGACCCATATTTAACAGAACCTGTATAAGACCGTGAAGGACATGTCAGTCAATATCGCCAGGCAGACTCGTAGCCTTTGGAAAAGCGGGCTTTCGAAAACACACCATAAGACTAGAGCTAGATCTCGTCAAGTGGATGGCGGCGGTGAAAAACTGCCCCCGCTGCATCCATGCATTTGCGATGACGGCGCCGGTGAGGGCGACTGTCGCGCACCCGTAGAGGAGGAATCGCATCGTTCAGGGAGTTTTACCCGCGTGGATATTGTACTGGGGGTGCCCTGCCAGCGGGGCGGGTGTTTGAAGTCCAGTCTCACAGCTTGCGTGGATGGTGGAGGAGGGCTGCTTGATGGGTTTGAACGGGAAGGGGCGGATCGAAGTGACCGCCGACGTGACGCTCCTGATGAGTCACGGCAGCCCTCCGCACAACACACATCGCACACTCCTTCCGTTCTCCAAATCCACTCCAACCTACCAGACGCTGAGAGGAACACATGTTGGATGCCAATGGATTTTGGACTATGTACAGAGTGATGCACTCCAAAAGCTATGTACAGTACTGTACATACGGGGTCGCAGGCCGGTCTATCTACTCAGATAGGCCGTTGCGGAAAAAAGAAACCCATACGTCTATCCAATACTCTCTCATCCACAACCAACTAGAAAAGTCCAAAGGTGGGGATCCCAAATTTAATCCCGGGCGGCATCGTGAAGTGCTCCTTCGACACCGTCTCCGCCATCGCCTGAATGCTCCCCGACGTCGATTTGGCAGTCAACCCAGCAGGATGCACGCCGCCATTGATGATCCCCGTCGTCTCTCGCCTGCCTGCAGGCCCGGGCACAATCCCACTCCCCAACGTGCGACTACCAGACGTAGTCGACAGATGCACCGACCCAAAAGTCTGATCGTCCAATCCAGCCCAAATACTCCCCGAGGTCGAGTTGGCCGTCACCCTCGTGGACCCGGACCCGGCAGCGACAACACCGGCGAGCACAATATTCCCGCTCGTCGTTTGTGCTTCGAGGAGGGTGGTGTTGATACTGCCGTCCGATTTCCCCTTCCCTTGTCCAACTGCGATATACAAGGCTGCTATCTTGCCGGATTTGGATGAAAGATGCGCGTCAGTTGCGGCATCGGTGTGGAAGTGTTCGATGTTGCCTGACGTGGTTCTTGTCGTTAACCGGCCGGCGTAGAGGGCGGGTTTTGTGTACACGCCTCCCGACGTGGTGTTGAAGGTGAGATCGTCGAGAGCGCGGATCAACGCGGTGCTCTTGATCGTACCAGACGTCGTGTTGAACCGAGCGCTGCCCTTGACGGACAAGGGCGCGGAGATTGAAATGTTGCCGGATGTAGACGTGAACCTTGCATCACCTTCCACCGTCCACGTGCCCGAAACATCGATTTTTCCAGAACTGCTCGACAGATCAACGTTCTTGCGAACAGTCAAAGGCGCCGTGGATGTGATATCCCCCGACTTTGTCGCCACCGAAACCGAAGCGAATGACCAGGGCTCGTTATCATTCAGATACACATTGCTCAGAATCGTCGAGATACCCAACGGCGGGAGGTCTTCCTGCGTGTAAGCCGGGTATGTGATGGTGGTGATGAAGGAGACATTATCTTTTGCTTCGAGACGATTAGGAATGCGGAGTTTGGCGGTGAGGGTGTCTTTCTCAGTGTCGATCGTTGCAGTGAATTTGCGAATAACGTCCGCGGGACCACTGACTTCTGTCGTCACCCTCACGTCGGTTCCTATATAGAAAGAGTGGTTGGGTGAGAGACTGGTAGGCAGTGTTGACGGATGAGCGTCGCAATCGCTTGCGGTACTCACCAGTGCCATTAGTCCTCACCCTCACAGCCCTCAACTCTGGCGCAACGTGTCCATCCCAGTGCACGTTCCCTTCCTCAGTCTCCTCAACGAAGGTGACGTTCCTCAACCCTTTGAGCGGGACACGGGCCTCCAGCGGCGTGTAGTGTTCCTGGGCGCCTCCGAGGCTCAGTTTGGAACCGAAAAGGGTGAAGCAGGAGACCATTGTTGTGTATAATGGTAGTACAGTATGTATTGCTACTTCGTAGGGTATGTTCTGTATGGTGAGCTAGACGCACATCGGGAGGGTTGGGTGTGAGTTGCTTTTATAGATGATGGGGTTGGACTCGTGGGAACAGGGAGTTCGAAAGGCTTGGCGCGGCCTCACGTCTTACGAGGAAAGCAGCAACTTGTGGAAGTTGTGGGGAACGCCCATGAGGAACGTCCACGAGGAAACCGACAGCACAAAGACGCGTGAGCCATCATGGGCGTCTGTCGCTGAGACTCCGACTGTTCCCACGACCGATGTGCGACATCCCTCATCGAATTCTTTTCATGAGGTACCCCCGCTGACGTACCCGGGGCTTTCAATGCATGCAAGAAATCTTCATGCGGGAGTAAGGTCCGACTGAGTGTCTTATCCCTGGCAAGGTGGTCGACCGAGTCTGCACTCGTTCTTCGAAACATTCTCTGGCCGTGAGCGCCGTTTCCACATCGGGCTTTGTTGATTTGACTTGTATTCCGTACAAACTGACCAGACTTTCATTCCAAAACTGGCTCGTCCTCTTTTGCTCACACCGCTCACTCACAAGAAACGGTCCCAGTCGCGCGACGGCGTGGGCATTGGGGTGTCACTCCTCAACGCTTCGCTGCCGCCTAGTCTTTGCATAGCCGCTGCCACCAGACTGACCCAATCTGTCCTCTCCTAGCGTCGCTGCTGCATGTTTAGCCGAACGCACGAATCACAACAAATCGCATGCGAAGGGTCCGGACCGTGCGCGGGGTACCTTGCCGTAGCTCCGGTGGTTTCCGCTTCACAGTGGCAGACGCCTAATTTAAACCCTAGAGCATTGGAACTGATGTCCTGCGTGGTGCATCACAGGAACACCCTCCTCCTTTCCTTCCACCTCGCCGAGACGCTTTTTTATCGCCTTTGACCATTCCAATTGCAATTTACCATGTCAATATGATATAAGCAGGGTTCATTCTCCTCCACAGATCCGTCATAGATCCGTCGGCGTCTTTCGCCGTCGCGACTTTCGCCTCGGATAGTTTACTCTGATTCCCGAAAAGTATTCTCATCATCTCATGCATGGATCGTTACTGCTACGGTATGACGGACCATGAAGGATGGGACAGGTGCGGCTATTCGATAAAACTGAGGCTCCTTGGGTTGACTATGAGCTCCTCTGGACGCAGCGACACCCTTAACTTGGCATCAAATCAGCCAATCCTGGGTTTCACTGCTGATGATAGATGCAAGTTTGATTTGCTGGCAGAGTTTGCAAACCTCGTCTGCCGTAACCAAGTAACGCCTCTCACAACATCCGAAATCCCTTCCGCAATGGCAACATGCTGGTTCCACCGTTTACACATGCCTCTCAACGAGGTCCAACGGGTCCACCCTTTGAGGTCCCACAGGTGCTGTATTCTACGCTAGATATCCGCCGGGATCGATAAGAGGTCGTAACCCTAACCCTGCGATTTCAAGTCGGAGACGCGCGCGCTTTGCATGTGCTTTGTACAGACTCCGACTGACGGGATGGGCGGTTTCTGGCTGGGACATGCATATAAAAGAGGACCTGCAACCAACCCCCCTTTCACAGGCAACTAGCTGCGACGACGACCAAGCCGCTGCCTCAAGCTTTTCTAGCAGTGCCCTCTATCTGTCAGCTCGAAGGTTGACATAGTGGGTCATTCCCCTGAAGCATTCCTGCCCACGCGCATTCCCCGAGGACTCTAGTGAACTTTCGACAGCTCCAGTCAAGATGCTGGGAATTGCGCCCGTGGTGACCAAGGGGTGCTTCACCAACGGTCTGAAGATGGAAGATGGGAAGGACGTAAGAGCTGGGCCAATCCATTCCAAACGCTCGGAATGTTAGACACTCATGCCTCTCCCCGCAATTGCCATCTTTTCCAGGTCCCACCTGTCAAATGGGCTGACGTTGACAAGTGCTCCAAAGCCGTCTTCGCGGCAAGCTTCCGCCATGTCTCGCGCACGAATGATCAGTCAGAAGAGAGCATTCAGAAGCACCTTCGTACTTTCGGTGCTTTCGTACTGCATTGGAACGCGCAAGGCAGCACACGAAGCGGGACGGACGGGGCTCCGCTGACCCCGCCAGTTCCTGAAATCTTGAACGATAAACCGGTCTGTCGCGACACTTCAGTTCTCCAGAGAGACGAGGTCGGTCATCTTGTGATAATGGCTGGGGCGCTTATGGGTGTCCTGCCCAAAGTGGGCAAAGTTCACAAGTGGCTTCCGACATACGGCTGTGCCATCGTAGGAGTTCCACTGGACATGAACCCTCAGGACGAGAGAGTGTCCTTATGCGGCCTGGATTCTTGGGAGTTTGCAATGTCTCGAGGTCAAACTGGAAGCTCCGGAAGTTTCAAAATCAGCTCGGCCCCGAGAACGGCCGCGCACCTCGATTTAGGCGTGCATTCCAAGTCTGATCTCAATGAAACTCTTGCCATATTCGGCGTGCTGCTTGATAAAGCCCAACGCAAAACTGCGGAGAAGCGCTCAGCTGCATCCGGTAACCAAGGTCATCAGAGAACCCCCGCTTTCATTCACGCTGTATTTCGACAAGCCGTCCAAGCCGCCAGAGCCGCCAAACCCGAAGAAGTCTCCAGCTCCCAATACGTGTCTTTCGGGGGAATGACGGAGGTGGGCCTTCACACGCGGGGTCAGCCAAGAGACACCGCTTGGCCTTTATTGCTGCGTGTCGCCGAATTCTTCCTAGGGGACGACGCCCTTCTTGAGAAATCCCTCGTGAACTTCAAGCTTTTCCTGCTCGAGTTGAGTTTGCAATTGAGGCCCGCCCAGTATGCGCAAGATGACATCGATGAAGTATTTGCCATGATCGATGACATCAGTCGAGCTGCTTTGAAGTTCGATTCGGCCGGTTACGACATCTCGCGGATCACTGGAAGAGTCGTGGCCGCTCGAAACGCACTCGACGGAATCGTTCAAGGCATCTGTTCGAAAGAAAGCGCTGCCTATCGCGTCACGGACATTTCCGCCTCTCAGGCACGCTGGCCCGAACTACCCTTCATCCCCGGTGCATTCCAAGAGACTTGCCCCGGTGAGAGGGCCCTTTCGCTTTTCCGGCAGCAGGCTGTCAACAATAGCGGATGGATCCCTGTTCCCCCGGTTGCAACGAGCGATCGTATCGAGGAGGTTTTGCTTTGGCTCCAGAGTCGCAGAAAGGAAGCCGTTGCCGTCAACCGCCCGGATATCCTTCTCCTTGCGCTCGCGGTCGCCAATTCTGTCTTTTACGACATAGCAACCAAGTTGAACAACCCGGCGTCGGATCTCATCGGCAGCGTCAAGAAAGTGAGCGAGTTGACCGATCTTTATTCGTCACTCTACAAAGAGTGGATGGACAACAGAAGTGGCAAGGCCAAGCATCTGATGATGGCAACGCAGCGCAGCAAGCGTCTTCTCGCTACGTGGATCGCGTATTGTGTTGTTCACAAAACGAACGCCATGAAGTATCAATTGATGCAGGGATACACCACGCCATTGGAATGGACCGCGCTGAGTGTCCTTGTCCTCGACGACGCAGATGCTAGCCAAGCAGCACGGGAAGTCGGACAGTACATTCGCAAAGTCAACTCGAGCCACGGGAAACCGTTGTTTTCCCTGCAAGATCAAGCTGGGACCTTCGACTTCGCCGAAAAGTACGCGCAGTCTGACATAAACATCAAGACGCGATGGGAGAAAGAAGTTGCCGATGCGTCGCATAGGGCCGATGTCTGGTGGGACGAGGTACAAGCGAAAAAGAAGGAAGTTGCCAAATTACGTGCATGTCTGCCAGAGTATGAGCAAGCCGTGCAAGCGTCTCTGTCCGATGAGAAGAGAGCCAGAGATAAATACGACATCGAGCCGCGCGGGACCTTCAGAAACTACCTCCACAACGAATGGCAGCGAGCACGTACCCGGACAAGTAACGCCCGCGGGAGCCTTTCCAGCTTCGAAAAGCGTATAGAGAACGCCAAGAAGTCGCCCCCTTACGTCGTCAACCCGCTGCCGAGGGAATTTCCGCTTGCTAGCGTGCCGATGTTCTTCTTCGACATGCCTCCAGAGCTCGACGTTATGTCTCGGCTGGGCACCGATGCGCAAGAGTTACTCCATTCCAGCTTCCGGATGAACAAGCCTGGTGGTCCTACGTGGGTCGAACACTACAACGCGCATTCACAGGCTGGAAACGTGGCCCACCGCCACTTCCTGCATTACGCCGTGGGCCTGACCATCCCAACGTCCTATGGTTCCACGAACGTTGACTACATACACTCTTCGAATGATGGCATGTGGCATCCTTCGTCTTATGTGGATCAAGTGGGATTGGAATCGCAACTCAACGCGTGGTCACTGAACATCGAAGTTGCTCGGAAATTATACACTGAGAAGGTTCCAGAAGCATTTGGGTGCTTCCAGTGGATGGTCGACCACCCCGCTGTCACGAAGGAGACCACTCGCGGCAACGCTGTCTTCAGCGCCCTATCTGACCTGCCGAAAACCTTTCATGTGTCGAGTCCCATGAACAAGTTGGAATATCTGGCCCTTGCGTCTTCGCGGTCATTCCCACACCGGCAGTTCCGAACCCTTCTGTCGCCCCTTCAAGACGGGAAGCTAGTCGCGGCTCATCCGGCCGGTTACGGATATCGCCGTACGCATAGCGCTCTATCAACTTGGGACCTTTTGCGACGACGCAAAGCGAGTTGACAAGCTGGACTTGGAGTGGCACCTGGACATCAAAAACGACGGAGCACAATCTATGCGGGCTGTCCTTGCTGAGTGGGCTTCGCAGCTGCGAGAGAAGCCTCGCGATCATAAGTCCATCCCGCTATTGGGTCACATCGCCGCCCATATAGCTCAAGTCGATGAGGATTCCATGGCTCTTGTCCGAGACATTGCGTCCATTGCAATATCCTGGGCTGATGCTATTCGGCAGGAGTTGAAAAATTCAAACCTGACTCGATACAAGTGTTGCGGCTGAAGGCGAAGGCATGCCTGTTCGATGGCTACGGTGTCGCTTTGTATTCTCCCTTTACGATCATAACTGATCGCGATGCAGCTGTGCTCTGTAAGCTCACTGTACTGTTCAACTATGGTCTCGCATACGGCAAAGACGACCTCGAGATCACAAGCGATGAGGACGCAGGAAACAAGGGGCCTTTGGCCGGTAACGGTTCAGTCTCCGACCACGAATTGAAAGACGAGATCACCAAGCTGCAGGTGGTCGTTTCGCACGTCATGGGCTACCAGACTCGAGACATACTCAAAACACTCAAGCGCAATTCACAAGCCTTGACGGACGCAATGCGTGGAGTTGTCGAACACACTCCCTTGCATCTGGATTGGCGGCCGTACGTGTCCAACTCGGGGGAGGCTACGTTTTGCTTCGAAGCCACAGCAAACGATGAACATTTCTTCATCAACGTCCTGAGCGGCGCTGCCTTGTGGAACGGCTCCCCGCCGGGACGGCTGCCGCAGCAGATCCTCGGCTCCGCCATTTACCAGCGCACCTACGGAGACCGTGATTTCGAAGTTACGCTGAATCGCCGAGGAACATATCAAACCACCAGGAAGTTCGAAGACCGGTTCTATTATCAATTTTGCATTCGGCCCGACAACGGTCGCGTTGTGATTCGAGAGCTCGACGATACGGACCAAACTACTCGCGAACTTATCGAATTCGGGAAAGGTGCTACTCCGTGGTTTGAAGGCATCCCTCGCCGACTAAAGGAAATGCACAGTCACTGGATGTCCGCCGACGGCTCCTCCGTCGTCTTCCGTGACTTAGTTTTCAACAAGAGAAACATCGACTTCTTCATCCTCCGCGCCGGCGCTCAAAGTGCCTGCTTCCAAGTCCCGTTATCCGATCGGAACCTGCCGTTCGAGTCTTTACGTAGCCGTCGTCAAAGTTTCCCACGCTTCGTACATATTGCGGACGCTACTGCTTGCGATGTTACACGAGCGCTTGCGAAATTCGAGGACAAGCAGTACATTCATTGCCTGAAGATCGCGAGGGATGGACGTGAGCAGGTGATGTTTCACCTACCCCGCTTCAAGCTCATGTTTCGGAGCGAAGGGGATAATCTGACTAGCGTAGAGCATATGGGCTACAAACTGGCCGCCACACAGCAGCTCCCAGACACGTTACCGTTTTTCAGTCACTATTTGGTCTTGGAGCAAATCACCAATGATGATTTTGCTGCGGCGCCGGTCAAACTGCTTGTGCCCGACGGCGACGTTGTCATCAACGGGTGCGCTACTTCGGTTCTATTGCCATCGGACGCTAATGCGAAACTCGAGTACTTTGCATATGACAAACATCCCCGCTTGGATTGTTTCGTTGCCAAATCGATCGTTTCAAGGCTACACCTTGCGGCCATATTTGCGGCAACGGGGACCCGACTGCCGGATCGGCAGCTTTCTATGACGGCTTCCGAGAAAGCTATGGAACTTGTCAGGCAGAGCTGGGTTACTCGAGTTTTATCACCCGCCGAGCAGGCCAAGTTGAATCTCCTGCAGAAGTACGCTGCGCGGGAGCCTGGCCTGGCCATCCTCTGTCACAAGTTGGAATACGAATCTCGGCAGTTGGCTTTTCTTCACGACGGTGCTGCGCAAGACGTTACCGGGACGGGCTTGTACGCGGACTGGATCGCGGCCGCTGTCACCGAGTATCGAATGATGGGGGCGGATGGGGAGGAGGTCAACACTCTCCGACGATGCCTTACGGTGGAGGAAACTCGGGCGCATCTCGGCGGCCCACCTCGTCGCCGCTTTCCCCATCAGGTCGGCCGGATGCATGTGACCACGGAACTCCCACCTTGTCCATATGATCGTTCTGTCGGTCGTCAAATCGAAAGTGAATTGGAGGACAAGGTTTTCCTCAGAAACAAATCCGCCAACACAACATCATTTCCGCTCACACTCAATGACAATGCCATCAGACTCGAGGCCGAAATGATAAACGAGTTGAAGCAAAGTTTTGATCAGCACCACAGTGAGGCAGTCCCGACGTTGAAGTGTGAAGGTCACAAGTTGGAGCTGATGGTGGAGCGCTTGCATGCGGAGGTGACGAGCCACAGAAAGAAGCTGGAGATCCATCTTTTCGAATGTATCGAGGCGGTTCCTGCGGGCGTGGACCACCGCGTGCAACTACTAAAGGCAGCCAACCGCCTGCCTTTGGGGGTGTAGCCGACCTCTTGCGCGTCGCCTTTGATCGCACGATCCTACCGCAACTGAACCCTTATTTCACCGCTAAATGCCGCGACGAGCTCTGGGAAAGAGTGATCTGGTTCCTAGAGCTCTGCGAATTGGAGGATCGCCTCAGTCGCATTGCACTCACGCTTGGCAACGAGGCGCAGCTCGTTCTCGAATTGCAGCAAAAAAGGGAATGGAGCACGAAGGAGCATCCGAGATGGCTCGTGTTTGAGGTAGAAGGCCGCATTTCGATCAGGCCCATTCAGTATGTCGTTGCCCGGCATCAGATCGAAAACGCGGGTTTCATCACCCAGTTGAACATGGGCCTGGGAAAGACACGAGTCATCCTACCTCTCCTCATTCTGCATTACATCACCGAAGCAGAGGAAGCCTCGAGTCGCAAGAAGCCAGTTAAACCGCGCGTACATGTCCTCACGCCGCTTTATCGTGAGGCGATGGATTTCTTACATCGCAATCTCACCGCAAGCGTTTTGGGTGTGCGTATCGAAGAGCAACCTTTCGACCGGAGGGTGGAACTGACAGAATCTCGTGTGCAAGTGTTGCGCAAGTTTGCAGAGCGACCTCGCGGATGCGTGCTGGTATCTCCGGAACATAGGCTCTCATTGGAGTTGAAATGCCAAGAGTTGAGATTGCAAGGGACCTCCCACGAACACTTGGCGGCTTTCTTGTCGGAGGTTCGGTTCAAGGACATCTTTGACGAAAGCGACGCGTTGTTAAGCCATAAGTATCAGTTGATCTACGCTGTTGGGGACGCGGCCTCTCTCGAACGGTGGTATGAGAGAGCGATCGTCGCTCAAACGTTGCTGCGGATCGTGAATACCAGCAAGACTGCTACTGCGCGGTTATTTGAGCTTGGCGTGGCGGTTGCCGATGATAGCAGCCGTCTTTACGAGTGGAAAGGATTCCGTTTGTGCGAACGAGAAGCCATCGATATCTCCGTTTTGCGTCAATTTCGCCGGGCCATCGTTGAATCGATTCTCGATGACAAACATGAGGGCCTCGTAGGGATCTCCTTGTATGCAAAGAAAAGTACTGCTCATCGGGAAGCACTCATAGCCGCCATTATCAACTCGGATAGCAGTATCGACCCTCCCGAAGACATGGAGGAAGATGCGGAAAAGGCATGTCTGCATGCGCTACGTGGTCTGCTCGGATATGGACTGCTGGAATTCGCACTCGAGCGGCGCAATCGAGTTAACTACGGGATCGACCGTGTGCACGAGCGAGACAAAAGGCTTGCCGTTCCGTTCCGTGCCGCTGATGTTCCGTCAACGCGAAGCGAGTTCAGTCATCCAGATTTGGGCATTTTGACAACAGTTCTGGCGTACTACTACGATGGCATTAGTCGCGAGGCCGTCACGAGTGCCATCCAGGTGCTTCTGAGTCTGGGGGGCCCTGCGCAGATCGCGGAATACAAAAGATGGTTGGATCCGGTCTGGCCGGGCCTATCACCGGACGAGAGGAAGATGATTGACGACGTGGCCAAAATCGATCAGTCAAACGCAAATCAAATGGAACTAATGGTTCGCGTGTTCAGCCGTTCTATGGAATGTATCAATTTCTGGTTAAATAGCGTCATCTTGCAAGCGGATACACAACAGTACCCGAAGCGCATTGTCGCAACGTCGTGGGACCTGGCCAGCGCTGGGGATGCAAATGGATTCAGCGGAACGAAGGACAACTACCGTCTGCTGCCACTGCAAGTGGAGCAAAACGAGCCTGAGGTACTGAAATCAACTGATGGGCGTATGCTCGATTGCATCATCAACCACACTCTACGCTACGAGACACTTCGAGGAGAGGAAGCATTTTGGAAAACTCTTCTGAACTTTACTGTCGAGAGCAAACACAACGCGCTGATTGATACTGGGGCATATCCACGGGGGCATATCCAAGAATGCCCTGGACGAGGACTGGACGCTCGAAACATTGTACAAGAATCCCATCGAGCACGATTCGCTGGCTACCGTCGTACGTGAGCGAGCGAGGCCCTTGCTCAATGGATCGTACCCGTATGTCGACGACATTTGTGGCCGGTGTACGAAGTACGGATCGGAAACGCTGATTCGGGTCTCCGAGTGCGATGAGGAATGTGAAAGGGAGCTGCAGGTTGAGGAGGAAGCCGAAGAGGAGGTTGAACGGCAGATTTCTCCGCGAGAGCCGCGACTGGAGAAGGCCTGGGATTACGCATCAGCGGCCAACAAAGCTCAGACTGTGGATGACTTGCGAGGCGCGGTTCATATCGAACCTTTGACCCAAGTAATGGCATCTGCCCTTGTGCCGAAAGACGCTGCTCAAGGGATTTGGCACTCGCAAGCAGGAAAGCGGATTTATGCCACCGAAAACTTTTACACGACCGTGCAACCCATCGACGGAACTACCTCTGCGGACTACCTCCGACCAGTTGATTTGATCCTTCTTTTCCGATCCGGCGATGTTTTGTTACTGTCTGACATGGAAGCTGATGGCATTTTGCGACGATTTCTATTGCACACCACCATGAAGTTCGGAACGACTCTGGTGAATTTGTCGCAGTTGCGATATTACTGGGACACGCGTCGTAGCAAGTCCTCTATCTTCATCCCGCGTTTGATGGTTGGAGCACCCATAAGCCCGCCTTCAGACGAAAGTGTCTTGACGGTCCTACAAATCATCAATGGCGAACCGATGTTCAACACGGACGATCGCAAGAACATTCTATTCGACATGACCAAAGATAAACGCACCCGCGACACCCTGTACGTCATAGTGGACGCGCATAGGAACAAACACAACCTTCCATGCTCCGATCTCCAGCACATGTGCGGGTCCGAGCGATGGTTGTTCCGGGAGAGGAAAGTGATTTAGGGAGATGGAGGGAAGATCTCACATCGGCATTAGCACAAACCTTTAGTACGAGCGAAATGTGACCTTGGAGCCCCTGAGGAAATGAGTAATGTTCGGCGTAATATGTTTTCCTTCGGCGTGAATGATCGTTTTAGTAGATATAGCTATGTTCAGAGCTTTTGATTCTTAGTGCATCTTAATGTTCACCCACTATCGATATGCAATTACAGTATATTGCTATTCCGCGATGTGGTCTTTGACAAGCATCAAAACGGTCCCGCAGTCCACGAAACATCCTTTGTCTCGAATGCTAGCACTCGAGTGTTTGCTAATCCCTTGTCTCGAGTGATATCGGATCACCGTGTAGTCGATGTATCGGGCGGGATGCGAACACTAACGACCAGTTCTCCCCGCAGTTTGTCGGGCCGCTTCTTATTAGACTGATGTAGCATTTTGCAGATAAGAAGAAGGGCTAGATTGAGATGAACTCGAATCCGCAAACACCGAACTCGAAAGCGCTGGGTTTGATGCGCTTTGTTTCTGCCTCAATCTGATGCGTTACAGTATACATTTCCATTACAGCGGTATTGTCACATCATCACAGGGGCCACCTCAAATGCCGTCTCACGGGATATGTGACCGGCTGCCTGGTTCTCGTGTCCAGATTGGCTCGTATGAAATCAGTTATGCTAGCCTCCGTTGGTATATATAGGCACGGCGGCTCAACTATGATCATGTTTCCTTCCATATATTTCATATATACATCGAACGATTCGAGTAACTCAGGGACGTGGTCCTTCGAAGCATTAGACGAGTCAGACCGCCTGATACGCCGGATATGGTATCAGTCCAAAAAAAGATAGGTCAGCTAACCCGTAATGGAAACAGGAACAGTGGAACGCTATATGTACGACAGGCTCCGCGGTCTCTCCGATCTCCGCGATCCTTGAAAGTCTGCTGGGCCGAAGGCCCAAGTAAGAGACGAGCGTAAGGTATTTTACTGCTTCTTGGTGAAGGTCATCTTGAAGGTCTTGGTGAGCTTGGGAGACTCGAAGGTGAGAGTGCGGACCATGACCGTGTTGTTGTTCTCAAGAGTCCAGGTTCCGGTGTTCTATAATGCAGTATAAAGGTGAGATAGATGTCTTACATATGTCGAGTTCATTATGCTATGTGTGTACCCACCTTCCACTTGTACTTCTCGCTCACCGTGACCAAGTGAAAGTGACCGTCAGCATCCTGGGACGCAGTTTGCGTCAGGGAGCCGAAAGTGGAGCTCTCCTCGGGGTGAGAAGCACCATCGAGGGCCAGGACCTGCTTCTCGCCCTTGGGGTTGACGGTGGTGAGGACCTTGACGCCGTTGACCTCGGTAACGGAAATGTCGTAGGTGATGGTCATATTCAGGATGACCTTGCGGACCAACCAGGAGACACCCTGGGCAGAGAGGACGTCGGAGTAGTCATCCGTGCGGGAGGAGTCCAGCGTCCAGAAACCACTGTGAGTGAGAAGGAAGATGGGTTAGAGCTGTGGCTTAAGCCTGTGTTGTATCGCCGCTCGCCGCAATTCCCTCGCCCGCCAATCGACCAGGAAGACCCTGATACTGCTGTCGCCTTATCGCATACGTACGTGTAGTTCTCGAGAACGTTGTCTTGTGCGGAAAGCATGGTGCTGGTTTGTTGTTGATAGTAGTGGTGATGGAGGATGATGACTGCGTGCTGGACGGCGGAGGGTCGAGCACTCTTTATACTCCCGAGTCCCCAGTCCAGCCTAGGGCCCCTACCCCACACGCACATACCGCCGCTCGGCATAACCCCCTGTCCCGATACCCTCGGGTCTACAATGCATACTCCGTGCGCTGTGCGGCTTGCCCTCGTTGTTGTTGCTGCTCGCCCCTCGGCGTCAACCATTTTGAGCGCAAAAACCATAACTGGCATGCGCAAACGGCGTCACGCGCCCACTCGCAAACCATGGGCTCCGGCAATGACGGCGTCGCGCTGTCGCAATCGGCGGAGTTCATATAAGAGGCTTCCAATACTCACAAGCACAAGCGGAGGATGGAATCTTGCATAGCATCCGAGCCTTTGCAGCTGCCCGCTGCTCGGCTTGTATCTCCAGTTTGACGAGTTTGTTTTCCTGAAAAGCCCAGGTGCCGTTGACGCTTCCCACTGAGGAACAGAGAATTGGGCACGACAGGCAGAAGTAAGTTTGTGCCAACGGGACAGGGATATGTGAAGTATATAGTCGTGAACTTCCGTTGTCGCCACTCCTACCCTGCTCGTCTTGCTCCTGCGACGAAAGTGGTGAAAACAAGCCACTCCGACAGTGTTCCGATGCGTTGCATGACAAGAAAAATGTGTACTTGTCGATGAACAACCCGTATCATCCAAATTACAGAGCAAGAAAGGGTGGGTGGAGTTTTTTACTATGTAAACTGAGCCAGAAAAAGAACATCGGAGAAGAGGGGAAACGCTGGGCTTGAAGTGGGTAAAGCTGGCCAGCACAAATAACGAGAGCTGGGAGCATGGGCAGTAGACAGGTCCTAACACATTTCTCCGAGGACTCTGGCAATTTGATATCTCCAGCACGCGATGCTTTTGCGCCGGAGCAGTCTTGGAGCAGTCCGAATTTATAACACTAGAAAAATAGGGTCGTGATGTGATGAGAATGTGCCAGGAATACATGTGTATTCTACATATATGGTACCTGCAGTCAACCTAATGAAGCGATATGGTGAAACAAAAAGCAACAGATGAAATGTGAACTTCTCTACGCCGTCCCCGAGTAAAACGTCCAAACTATACTGAAGTGTGCTGGAATCGCCTTGAAAGGATTTGTTGATCGTGGTAACGGCCACTGATAACATGACGCCCACAGCCAAGAATCAAGTGCTGTGACCAAGGCTCTCGGTGTTGGATCCTTCGTGATTGTAGTCCCAGACGCTCCTGATAACGATACTCTGCCTCCAATCGCCATGGCAAGTGTTCTCGAATACCACGAAGTTCAGGATGCGAGACTGGCCCGGAATAACAAAGATCGAGTTATCGGAAAAGTGGCCAGTGATGCATGGCGGATGGTCAACTGTCAGACGGAATGTCAGTTGATAACGGATTGAGAATGATGTCTAAATTTGGAGCAAATCGCAAACCACGTCGCGTGCAAGACAATGTACCACATACCCCAGGCATAAGCGGCCGCGGCGCTGCTGGCCTCCACCACGATTCCGTTTGTAGTTCCGCGCTGGGGCCTAACTGTCAACTCCGGGTCTCTCAGATTCGCGGCGTTCAACTTGACCGGAGTGAAGACGTTTTCATGCTGTGGGCGGGTGATCGAAAGAGGGAACCGTCTGGTCAATTTGGAGTCTCGAACACAACGACGTGCTGGAGGTGCTGATATTAGGCGTTCCTGATATAAAGCAATGCTTAACTCACATTGTACTTGTTTCCACTCGCATCCGTTGCATTCAGTGTCAACTGCAACCAGACATCATTGGCGCTATAGCCAGCGGGCACGATTGTCGAAAGCCCGACGGCTCTCCCCAACAAGGTGTTGTTCAGTGATCGGGTGGTGAAATGGACAACGCTCGAGTTCACCGCCGCTCCATTCTGCCAAGTGCGCCAGATGAGGGAAGCCGTGCCCTTTACGGTCGAGCGGAGGTCTGTGCTCGTGTAGACGGACAAGTCGGCCGTACGGGTGCTTGATGAATGCGACGCGTGAGGAGACATGCGGACAGGTGCGCTTCTGCATCGATGACTTACTTGAACAACGGAACAATGATAACCGGCTGGTAGACACGGCGAAGATGGTACTGAAGGATTTTCCTGCGGCCGAGGGCCAGCGAGAAAGTTAAACGAGAAGAACTCCTTTCAAAAGCAGAAGATCATAAATCCCAACGCACCATCGGAAGCTGTACTCCACGCCACTCCAACTGTCGGCCTGCCAAATGTCGTTGAGCTGCCAAACAAGCGCTCCAAGATTGTTCTCAGGCCGCCCGGAGCCGAGACGGTATGACTCGATTTGCAACTGCATGAATTGAGCCTGAAGGTAGTAGTGAAAGAGCGCGGTGAGAACGAAAGACAACGCTGTAGGTTGGGTAGTAGCTGCAGACCTGCGTCAACTGCGTGGCATGGCACCACATGGAGAAGTTCGTGCGTTGGTCAACTCGGGAAGGAACCGGATAGTGCGTGATGACGCCTTGGGTCATCTGGTACATGCCGTTGGGCGAGTTGGGGTTTGGCCATGCTGCGGGCGGAAGACAAGATAGTATAGAGCGGTGAGAACGGCGCGAGGGATTCATCAACGAGGGCAATGGGCTGACTACTGACCTGTGCCGCCCGGAGGAGGCTTTCGATTGCGTGCAACGACCACCGAGCTATTGAACTGATAGTCACTGGGACTTGTCAGCACTTCATCCCACTATATGCATGACAAGAATAAGCGTTAGTGAGTGACAATAGATAGTGATAACTTCTTAAATCACACTAGAACATACGGTGTAGATAGATGGCATGGAATGAAACCCGAATTCATTGACAAATCGTGCAGCGGGGAAGCGCGTGATGTCCTCGAACGTCGCAATGCCGAAGTTCCAATTCTCCGCACTTCCATACAGTTCTCCGCGGGTCTTATTGTTGTACCGCGCGATCCAAGGGTCAGGGCCAGAAAGGTATCCTTGGGTGGTCGAAGAAAACAGGTACGTGATGGATCGGGTCGTAGACAAGATGACGCGCTGGAATAACTGCACGAAGGTATAATCCCATTCGTCGAGGAGATGCTTTCCGTAGGCGCCGCGGTACGTGGCGTTCAGCCCGAGGACAAACCATTCCATTTCGTTGTTCCCTACCCAGAGAGCAAGCGAGGGGTGGCGGTTGATGCGACGGACATTGTACTATCCATGCAAAGAGCCGATGAGGCGAATTTAGATCTCCTCCCCGCAGACAATGTACAATGGGTCAGAGCAGACCCGCACGCGTTAGAGCCACCTACCTCTATCTCCGGGATGACATTTGACAAAAACGCCGGATCCGCGGGCTGTAGGTGAGCATTTTAAGCAAGTGCCGTTTGGCGCTTTCTCATAACTGATCCGCTCGCTGCACTTACGTATGTCGAAATGGAGAACTGCAGCTCACTCCATAGCAGGAGGCCCATTTCGTCAGCGAGATCGTAGAACTCATCATCTTCGTAGACTCCGCCGGCCCAAACTCGAACCATCTATATGTATGCCGTCGGTCAGTGGAAGAGATATGGTCGGAAAGACACTGGAATCCACATGACTTACGTTCATATTGGCATCAACGGCACTTTGTAAAATCCCGCGTCTCCGCTCCTTTGTGATTCGTCGATAAAAGGCGTCCGCAGGCACCCAGTTTGCTCCTTTTGCGAAGAAGGTGACGCCATTGACTTCAAAGTGGAACTGCCATAAGGAAGAGTAAACATTTCAATATCATGAAACGAAACAAGGCCACTTGCAACCTCATAAACTTGTAACCTGGTCTCCCGGTTTATAGGGACCACCGAACGGGATGGTCAGCGCATCAGGGTAGCGCAGTAGATTGAGCACAATCGTTCGGAAGGCAGTTCGTCGAGTATAGTTCATCGGTGCCAGCCCACTCGTTGGCTGAGGATTGATGCTAATATGAAGGTCATAGAGGTTTTGCTTTCCTGCATGTACAGAAAGAAACAGTTGAGTCATTGTGCCGGAAGCGAAACAGGGTATCCCTACTTCTATCACTGCAACATGTCTCATATTCACCCATATGCACAGGCCACCACAGATGAGGCTTCGACTTATCGACCTCAAAGTGTGCAGTCACAAAGTTTCTGCCAGGCTTGATGCCGGCGACCCGAATAGGCGGAGAAGTAACTTGGAGCTGCGGAAACGAGAGCGTGACAGTCGCTCGGTCAAAGGTATCGACGGACAGAACCTCGGCCGAGACGTTGACCATCCAGTTGGCATTTTGATTCGGAGGAATGTTGTTGAGCTGATGAATCAATCGTGCGTGAGAGCCGGGACCGAGGTTTTCCTGGGTGCCCAATCCACAGGACGTACCTGTCCAACTCGGTAGATATCCACTAGTGTATTGAGCTCGTGAATTTGAGGACGTTTCTGATTCTCGGATGCGTTTTGACGCGAACCGAGCGCGAGGAGGAGGGCAGGTTTCCATATACCGCTAGGCGCAAAGGCCGGGCCCCAGTCTAATATAGACACATTTGATCAGCAACAGCCGCCTGGCGACACATCCTTGTCGCCTTCTCCGCGCTCGGCCCAAGTGCTCATTCATCATTTGGTAGCTCCTCCAAACTTCTTACCCCATCCAAAATCTGCCTGTTGTTTCCTGATGTACTCGCGATTGGAGAAGACGCTTTGGTTGGTGTAAGCATCCGGCGGGTACACTTCAGACCTCTCCCGAACTTCTTTGGCATAGAGGATGGGCGATTGGAATGCGACCGTTATATTTCTGTCCGTAGAGTTCGTTGGGGACTGCACAATGCTCGTCACCTATACACGCGGGGATTTGGTATTCATCAGGATGACGAGGCTGACGAAAATAACAAGTAATAGCGCCTACATCAAAAGCCCATTGACGAAACTGATTGGCAACAGCGGCGACGTGCTGGCCAAACAGAGAGATGTTGCAGGCTGTGTCGAGACCATCGAAGCGAAGGAAGATCTTCTTGGCTGATCGCAGATCGTCTGGATTCTGGATCTTTGCCGTATACGTCCAAGTGGGCTCGTACGCAATCCATCGCTGATAGAACTCTACACACGTCCATATTTTTCAAAAAATGAACGATCGACTGCCAACATATGAACATGATTCGTCGCTTACCATTGATTTCCACGTAAGGCTCTCCTATGATGCCAGCCTTCAGCAGGTCTAGATGCACTTGGCCAGGCACAGATGCCGGGATCTGAATAGACCCATTTGTGTTCTTTACAGTCCAGGCCAGAGTCGAGAGGTTGAAAGTCGTCCCTGCTGAACTGTTACCGGTGATGAAGTCGCCCAGCGGCGACTGGGGCCCAGCGAAAGCAGAAGCGGCCGCAGCCAAAAGGCCCGGGGCTATCAAATGAAGCAAGCGAACCATTTGTCTTTGAGTATAATATGAGGTTCAGATGCGCTGGAGTCAACGAACTCAAGTCGCCCTGCTTTTATAACGCCTGAAATACAGCAGGAGTACGGCGAAAGCACGTCAGTTTGGCCTGCGTGTATACTCGGGCGCCCCTGTGTGTTGCTTCACAACGTGCAATGCTGGCATAAGCACGTAGCCATGTACATACAGTATGGTACCAGCAGAAGTCGCCGGCCTGCCTGCACATCTGAAGAAGTACGGAATTGACGGCAAATGGTCGTTGACTTTTGGGTTGCACACGAGGCTTGGCGAACCCGTCGTACCCGGATATCTGGGCACCTACTGTACTGTATGTACGTGCTTGAGGCACACCCAACTTACAGTATAAGCCGGCATGCACCTCGAAAAAGGACGTAGTGCAGGACGCATTTGTGTCATGGCGCGTACGTCAATCGCGCACGGAGCTGACTGACACTGATCGCCAGCCCTCCGACGTACGATGACGAGGCCTATAGAAAAATAAGCCGGGTCACAAAGGTAGAATGGGTAGTCCATGAGGGCAGCATCAAAACTGTACTAGAGCCCTATCGTACTGCCATCACAGAGATGGTATTCCAGTGGCAGTCCGGTAGCGCAGGAGGACGCGCTGTCGAATTTCTCTCCCGCTGTCAATTGACGACATTGACCCCGGTTGATGGAGCTTGGTGTGTTGATGTTGCCAAGTTGCACGACACATCAGATTATGATATCAGATATGGCGCAAATCGGAAAATTTTCAAGACCGACGTGCAGGCAGATGACGCTGGAACTTTTACGCGGCGGCCCCATGCATACGGTTTTTTTTCGCGCATTGGAAAAGGGTTGGTGTTTCAAAGACCAACTTCGTGGACGCAATTGCTCTTAACCGAACAAATTCTCAAATTTTCTCATGTCGCGCTAGAAACCGCACAGAGCATATATCCAATTGACGGAGCACGATTGGAAATCAGGGTGTCGGGGTGTATACATGAAAGTAAGGAAGAGGAAGGCAATTAATAGTAAATATCTCCAGTTCCAACGAACCAATCAAAAAGACTTGTGTTCGCCTTCTTCAAGAAATACGACGGTCTTCTCGCAACTGCGACTACGATCATCCTGGCTCACATGGAGTCTGATCTCGGCGGATGTACTGTCTACGATAGTTATACGTTGACGATATTCGTTCCTGTCTCGGAATTGCCTGGCCATCTTCACCAAAATCTCGTTGAGAGGCGAGATCTGACTTAAGTTTTCTATCAAGAGTTCGCTGAATGCTCCGTTTCCTCTGCGCCCGTCGGACGCCTTGTCGCCAGCCCCACAGGCGAAGGCCACGATGGTGTCCGAAAATTCCATTGTCATGATGTTGACATTGTTGCTGCTACCCCGCGACGGCGTCCGGCAGCAGTCCAACGTAAACACGCTTGCCAGCGGCTTCTTTTCGCTGACTTGTTTCCCTAGCTCGCACGCATCAACCGTTCCGTCCTTCATGCAGAGGTAATTGGATGTGCCTTTGTGGCCACCATGGCCGCTGAAATGAACGAACGACAAGGTCGAGCCGTCGATCGATGCGAGGTATTCTTTCAGCTCTTTTTGGTACTCCTTGATTGTGCGATCTTTAAGGATTGTGCACTTGAAGTTCATCTTCTCCAGGACGGCAGTGATTTTGACCGCATCGTTGACCGGGTTGCGCAGATGGCCGTATATGGAATCCGAAATGCCGATAATCAGCGCAATCTTTTTGACCTTTCCAGAGGGGTGTGGAATCTGTGAGGTCTGCGGCCGGCACGTTTTCTTGTGTTCGACAAGGTCCTTGGCCTGCAGCATGGTGTTGCAGAGGCGGTGCCGTACTCTCCTATATGGACAATCGCGGAGATGGTTCGCGAATTCTTCGCTCTTGAGACGTTGATCGCAGCCATCCCCGTGATTCTGGCAGTGGTACTTCATCTCTGAGGCATTCTGAGTGTAGCTCGTGCTTGAAGTCGTGGATCCCGCCGGAGATTGAGATTTGCCGAACGAAGGTCCGCCCGAACAGTTATGGTTGTTGTCGGCAACGAGGCCACATTCGACGCAGATAGGGCCCGTCTTCATGGCCTTCTTGCATACTGACTCGTGCTTCGATGAACCCGTTTTCGAGTACATCTTGCCGCAATGGAGGCAGTTTCGATAGAGGTCACTGTAGCTCGTGCCGGAAGTCGAGGAGCTCGCCGGAGACTGAGATTTCGGGAACGTAGGTTGAACGCATTTGTGATTTTTGTCCGCAACAGCGTGACATTCGACGCAGAAAGGGCCCGTCTGCATGTTCTTCTCGCATTTCAACTTGTGATGCGGTAAATCGTTTTCTGGATAACTCTCGCCGCACTGGTTGCATTTTTTGTATGTGAGATTGTAGCTCGTGCTGGAAGTCGAGGGGTTTGCCGGAGATTGAGACTGGGTAGTCGTAGGTCGACGTGAACATTTGTGAAGCTTGCCTACTACATGGCCACATCCCGTGCAATGAGAGCCTGCTGAACCCGCACTGTAAGCAGACGCCGGCCGAGACGGAAAAGGTCGCTGCGAACACTTGTGGTTCTGGCCTGCAGCATCGCCACATCCGGCGCAAGTTCGCAATGACTGGGTAGCGTAAATAGGCATGGCTAAGGCTTGCCGGGTAGTAGCTTATGATCGACTTTGCTTCAACGTACAAACGGGTGGGCAAAAGAAGTTGCTGGCCTTTATATATCTTTGACGTTTCGAGGACCTCGACTGGGGAGGTCCAAAAAGCGCATTCTAGACCGCCTCTTCACGGTGCGCCGGCGGTGCTCAAAACTCTCCTACGTATTGTTCGCGGGCTACTGATAGCACTGCCAGTCTGTCTGCCGCCGGTATAAAAGCACCATTTTTGGGCGCACCGACGACTCGTTCTGAAAATGTTGCCCAAAATGGACGCGCTGTCGGATACTGTCAAATAAGCCTTTGCTAAGGCAAGATGGGCTTTGCTAAGATTTGCCCATCTTGGACGACGTATGCAAAGGACTCCGTTGCTGGAACGCCGAGAGTATGAGGCCAAACGGAGACACCCTCTTGATATACCAAGTCGGGCCAGTTTACCTGCAATACAAAGCGCAGGTACTACTGAGGCGCCCTATCAGGAAAGGGTGGTGAGGGGAATGCTTGGAGGTAAAGAATAGTGGCTACCTAACAGACTGTTCCATCCGGTAGTCGACACAGAAAAGCTCCACCAAACCTGCCTCTCCGCAAACCCTCGCCCGCCTTCACCTGTAGATAGATACTCGGGGATGGACGCTGCCTTCCTGCGACTTCTGGTGAGCAAGCCTCTACGCCACCTGTGCACCAACCACCTTGGCGCGCCGTTCGCGAAAAACTCTGTCATCAGTGAGGATGGTGCCCCATCATCGCCGACCGGCTTCGCAATCCCGAGGGTCACACCTTTCTTCCATCATTTGTGTGGACATTCACGAAGATACTTCCAGATTGCCTCCTCTCAAGGCTCTTGTGGCAGTCTTCCAGGCGGTATGGGCACAGATATACCACCTCCATGAAGTTCTCGCAGTTGGCCTGGCGTTCCGGTGTCTCGTCTGTGGGATACCGCTCGCGACAGAGGCTGCACGATCTGTATGTGTGCTGGAGGCCGAGGACGCCGCCCGAGGTGGAGAGTGGCCGAACGTGGATCCGTGCGGACATTCGTGAATCTTGGGTGCATCAACGTCGCATTCGGCGGGTAAACGGCCCGTCTTCGGAGGGGCCTGTTCGCATGATAACTCGTGATCCTGCAAATCCTTCGCTGGGGAGTCTTGCGGCAGTGGAAGCATTCCCATTCTCGGCGGGTGAAAGTGGGGCTCGTGATCGAAGTTGAGGATAGCGCCAGGGTGATGGGCATGACCGGGTTTCGTTGGCTTGCAGATGATGACTGCGAGCTCATGGTGAAGAAGAGATCGCGAATGTGGAGACTAGGTTTTCTGAAGCATATCGGCGTGGCCCAGAGGTGCAGGACGGAGCATAAAAGGCGGCTCACAGAAGACCACCTGCGATCCGGGAGGAGGCTAGGGGAGAGGAAGCTTCAGTTTTATGCAATGGTCGAACAGCCCGACACCGGGAAGTCACGAGGATTTGAATTTGCGGCTGGACATTAGTATTTGACATTTTGCAATTCGGGGACGGAGAGAGCGGCTGATTTGACTACAAGCATTCAGGACGGCTCGATCGGAAGCTAAGAGCATAAGAGGGAGGTAGATGCCAGATGCGTAGCGTCCGTGTGAGCATTGAACAGGTGCGTGACGTTGGGGGGATGTAAGCGAATCGCTTCAAATCCCTACTGGCGGGGGCACGTACTGTACATGTACAGAGCATGTGGACTTCCCCCCTATTATCTGGCGCTTGGGTTTTGGACACTATGCGTTGTTCGGTGGACGGGATCTTTCGAGATTTTCGCTTATTTAGCGTTCCATAATGAATGAACGTGATGCATGACCTGAACTCCAAAGCAGTGCTTCGAGTCTGTGAAAAGCTCCAGTGCGGTTCATCGCTGGAATGTATATATATAGGCGGGAGCGTGGTATTTGGCATTTCTGTGCAGATGAAGGAAGCGTGCTCCTTGGTGTCGGGCGACGCGCGAGTCGTGCAGGAAGTAACACAGCTTAGCAGCTTTTGGGCAAAGGTTGCAATCGCAACCAATACTCGATCCGCCCTCTCCATTCACAATGAGAGACAACCTCAAACTGCGCATCCGAGTCGTCAACCGCACCTCCTGCCCCCTAACCCACGGCGACATCCTCACCGCTCGCACAACCACCCCGCACCTCAATTTCGCTTTCCAATCCCACGTCGGTGCCCACGAGTCCCAGTCCCCCTTCTTCTTCGCATCCACCGTACGCGCCAGCGACCTCACCGCCATCCGATACTCCCTCGAACCTCTCAAAGCGGAGTTATGTGTTCAGTTCAAGGTGGACTTTGATGTGGATAGGGAGAGTGTGCTGGCTGCGCGGGTTTATGTGGGGAGGATGGACGGGGACGTTAGGGGCCCGGAGCATCTCGAGAGGATTGAGGAGGATATGGTGCGGCAGGGCCCGGCTTCTGCACACCCGAGGGCGGAGCTTAAGCTGGGACCGTTCACGTATACGGTGGAAGCGAGGATGAATCCGGAGGTTTGGCCGGTTCTGGATATTGTTGTGGAGTGTGATGTGGCGAGTGGACTGTCGACATCCCAAGCGGAAATATCGGCGCTAAGGTCAATCATTGACTCTGAGGAGTCAACGCTGAGGGATGATCCATCGTCAAGTGCTGGTGAGTCGGCTGCTGTTCAGGTGAATCGTTAGCTTGAGGAGACGGGGGACCCGTAAGGGGCCTAGACGCTCCCGAGAGAATGTGGTCATCGTACGGCCCGATGAATTCATGGAGGTATATAGCACTGGCAGTGGAGTAACTCAGTCTAGCCAAGGGATTTTAACCGTGGGATGGAGAGAGAGCTGGGAAGACATGAGAGCGAGCGATGGACAGGAGTCTACAATGGGTCGTTTTCCGTAGTACGTGAAATCCTCCGATGAGGCATCGGATGGGCTCTAACATCACGTCAACGCATCAAGGAGCAAGGCGTAAACGGAAAAGGATTGTTCATCAGTTCTAAGCAAGAAGCTTTCGAGTATTGCCAACGGCTCAAGAGAAACAAGCGAATGAGAAAGAAAATCCGGCCCAGATCAAATTCTCCGAATTGCTCGGCCTAAGCTCAGTGAGATATCAGCCCAACTCACGTCAAGCGTCCATGGCCATGTCCAGGTCCTACCGTAAGCCTAATTTCAGGTGTAGTTTCAGATGTTGCCTCAGAAACTACATCGAAGCAGTTCACCTTTCCGGAACACTCTGTCGATGGCTGCCCCGGCGCCAAGTTGGAAGAGCGAATACAGTCATTGCGACTGCCATAAGACCTGAGAGAAAGACGACCCATTGCCTCACATTCTCAGCTGATTGATAGGATGGAGCCTAGAGCATTGATGCGTGAGGCCGGTGGTATTTCTGAATACATCAGAATGTATAGGTCCCACTGGTAGCTATTAAATCTTGCACCTCGTTTAGATCAGGAATCTGTGCTCTTACGCTGACAGGACTTTTCCTTCGAAAGGATTTCTCCTTTTCCTTCTCCTCCTCCTATCTGGAACACAGGAATTGAATGATATGCGGACTTGAAGACTGCGGATATAAGGGTTCGGCTGAGCACCGGATTGAGCAGATTCCACTGTGTCCAGGCATCAAGACGTCGGGTGCACCATGGTCCATGCGGGATAAAACACTGTGACTTACCAGTGTCTGATATCCATCATCCGATTTTGAAATCGCCTCCAAGCCGACATGAACAGAAGAGTGTGCGGTTTTCCCACGCTCGCGACGTTAGCTTCCATCTCTCTACGTATACACTTAGACTATATAAACTCCATATACGCTCGCCCACCATGATGAAGGGTATCGCCTCTCCCGCCGTCCGTCTTGGTCTGGTAAGTACTCTCTCTCCCAGCACCCACTACGTCGCTATATCCGACGACTTCACCGACGCCTTCCGGCTTCTCCCGAAAATCGAGGTGATCGCCACTTCTGTGCCGACGACCCCGATGTCTTGATTGCCGGTGTTGCACAGACTGAGCTTATGGACGGAGCGGCTGCGAGAGGGAGCAGAATGGCTGGAGGCACTAGAAACTGAGCGAGGGCGGGCATTTCGATTCCCAGCTTTCATACTGATTGGGTCTTCACTGCCGATTTCTCTTAGGCACGGTCATTCGGAACCAGCACTCGTGCTTTGGCTGCCAAGCCTGGTATGTATATCCTTCGGGAGAGCAGCGCTGGGCTGTGATGTGCACTTTTTTGCGCCTGTTCTAAAGCTAACGAGTCACGCATCCAACCAGGCACCGCTGAGGTCTCCTCGATCCTCGAAAGCCGCATCCTTGGAAGTGAGGGTGCTGAGGGAAACATCCAGGAAACTGGTCGTGTGCTGTCTATTGGTGACGGTATTGCTCGTGTCTACGGTCTCCGCAATGTCCAAGCCGAGGAGATGGTGGAATTTTCTTCGGGCCTGAAGGTAAGCCCTGGGTTGCGATGGGGGACCCGGGCGGTAGCGAATGCGTTGGCGATGTTGGCGACGGGAGCCTCGGGCGGTCGCGAGTACCCCTGCGAGTGGAGGATTCCCGCGCCAAAGCGGGCCGTTTTCTTCCACTGTGAGGCGACCGCGAACGGTCGTTTTTATTGCACAATGCTTGTCGACCATCTGGCGCTCATGAATCTGTGTAACTAATCCGGGTCACCCTCACCCTCACCAGGGTCAAGCCTTGAACTTGGAAGCCGACAACGTCGGTGTCGTCGTTTTCGGTAACGACCGTCTCATCAAGGAGGGAGATATCGTAAAACGTACCGGCGCCATTGTCGATGTGCCCGTCGGTCGCGGTCTGCTTGGCCGTGTCGTTGATGCTCTCGGAAACCCCATCGATGGCAAGGTATGTATCAATGTCATCTCAGTGAGGGTTCTTCCCCACAGCAAATTCAGAGACCAACATATCTTTCCGCACCATAGGGCCCTCTTGTCGATGTGAAGCGTCAACGTGTGCAAGTCAAGGCCCCCGGTATCATTCCCCGTGAATCCGTCAAGCAGCCCATGCAAACGGGTATTAAGTGTATCGACTCCATGGTCCCTATCGGGCGTGGTCAGCGTGAGTTGATCATTGGAGACCGTCAAACTGGAAAGACCGCCGTTGCCCTCGACACTATCCTCAACCAGAAGAGGTGGAACTCGGGAAGCGACGAGGCCAAGAAGTTGTACTGTGTGTACGTTGCTGTTGGACAGAAGCGTTCCACTGTTGCGCAGTTCGTTCAGACTCTTGAGGAGAACGGTAAGCTTTTGGCCATTCCTCGGTTAGCACGCTTTGTGGACACAACCTCATTGTTTATCCCCACATCAGACGCTCTCAAATACTCCATCATTGTTGCCGCCACCGCTTCCGACGCTGCCCCCCTCCAGTTCTTGGCCCCCTACTCTGGAGCTGCCATGGGAGAGTACTTCCGTGACAACGGAATGCACTCCCTCATCATCTACGACGATTTGTCAAAGCAGGCCGTTGCCTACCGTCAAATGTCACTGCTGTTGCGTCGTCCTCCAGGTCGTGAGGCCTACCCGTAAGTAATCGAGGGTCTTTTCTAGGGTTGAAGGAAATGGACTTTCCAAGCATGTTAATCCACTTCACTTCTTTCCTACACAGTGGTGACGTTTTCTACCTCCACTCTCGTCTCCTCGAGCGTGCCGCCAAGATGAACAAAACTCAAGGAGGTGGTTCCATGACGGCGCTGCCCGTCATCGAGACACAAGGAGGAGATGTGTCTGCTTACATTCCCACGAACGTCATTTCCATCACTGATGGACAGATCTTCTTGGAAGCCGAATTGTTCTTCAAGGGTAAGCGGTTCGATGCGTTGATTCCGATGGTTGACTCCAATGGTTTCGCCGAGTCAGTGAAACTGACTATATTATTTCCGACCGAACCCCATAGGTGTCCGCCCAGCCATTAACGTCGGTCTGTCCGTGTCCCGTGTCGGTTCCGCCGCCCAAGTCAAGGCCATGAAACAAGTCGCCGGTTCCCTGAAACTCTTCCTCGCGCAATACCGTGAAGTCGCGGCGTTCGCCCAGTTCGGATCCGACCTCGACGCCTCAACCCAGTTCCTCCTGAACCGTGGTGCGCGCCTCACCGAGCTGCTGAAGCAAAAGCAGTACACCCCTCTGTCCGTGGAGCACATGGTCGTCATCATTTACGCGGGAGTCAACGGATTTCTCGACAAAATCCCCGTCGACAAGGTGACTGCGTTCGAGGCCGCCGTCATCCCATACGTGCAGGCCAATGCACCGCAAATCTTTGAGAACATCAAGAAGGAGAATGCGATTTCGCCGGAGACTGATGCGAAGATTAAGGAGACCCTGGGGGCTTTCGTCAAGGACTTTTAGATTGAATGAGGTTGCGGGGGAAACGAACAACGGCTCCCTCCATTTCATTAGTCGAACTTTAGAAAACAAAACCCTTTGATCACCCCCTACACACTTCCACTCCCCGCCTCTTGCTTCTTATGTACCATGATACCTGCAACAGACCCATTTTTCATCATAGTTGTGGGCGAAGCTTTAGCTTTCTGTTGTTCATGGGGGTCTGCTCGTGTTTCGGTCGGCGAGGTTCTCGGTTTTGTGAGACTGTGACCCTGGATCTGCGCGGAGAAACGCGCGCGACCATTTCTGACCTTTTTCTCGCTCGTGTTTCCTGAGCATTTTCGCACCGATCCTGCACGTCCTGAAGCAGAACCTCGTCCCGATGCACGCACACCATACGATACTCCTCCAGCGCCGTCTGCTGTCTAGAGCAGCAGACGGCGCACCTAAGCATGTCCTACGTCCCTGTTTCCAACTTCGTTCCGCATTGCCCACAATACCCACACTGCAAGCGCCAAGATCACTGTCGACGACGGCCGTCCCGAGGCGGCGTGAGATTGGGGAGGGGAGGGCTGACTCTGGACACAGTGGCGCTGCTGCTTTTGTTGCGATGCTTGCGGTCTTGTCGGCGGGATGTTTCCTCACCAAGGTCGTATCGGCTGACGAAGTGAAAGAGACGGAGGCGGTGGTCGGTGAGGAATTACAACCTTTCTAGCAGGGGAATGCGTTTGGGAGATGAAATCCGGAAACTCATACCTGTCGATTCATCAGAAGAACCAGTTACGAAGAAGCCCATCCCAACAACCCTCACCCTAACCCTCGGCGCAACCCCGCAACACTTCACCCTCCTCGGCCTAGGCGTCCGGCAAGTCACCTTCCTCAACGTCTCCGTCTACACCATCGGCTACTACATCTCTACACCCTCCATCGCCCGCCTGCGCTCCTCCCCGTCGTTCAAATCCTACACCCCCGCCACACTCTCCGACTTCACGGCCCCGCTCACACGAGATACCTCGACCCCACTCGCACTGCGCATCTCACCGGTGCGAAACACCGACGGCCCGCATCTGCGCAACGGGTTCATGCGCATCCTGACGCGTCAGCTGGCAGCCGAAGACGCGATGCTGACACCCGAAGAGAAGAAGGGTGTATTGGAAGCGATGGATGAGTTGCGGGCGGCATTTCCGGCGGGGAAGGTGGCGAAGGGGGAGGTGTTTGTGTTCGTCAAGACGGAGGGAGGGGAGTTGAGGATGGTGCATGAGGGGGTGGAGAAGACTGTTGTGAGGAATCGGTGGGTTGCTGAGCGGTTTTTTGAGGGGTATCTTTTGGATGGGAAAAAGGTTATATCGGAAAAGGTGTGTTTCCGGTGTAGTGCGGTTGGGATTGTGATGATCTCTAAGGGAAGAGGTGCACAAGCCAATCATACCCGTTCACCTTACTGACTACCTGTCCCAACCCTTCACCCTGCAGCTACGGAAAAGCATCGCAGAAGGCCTAGAGCACATCATCAAAGCTTAAAAGCCGCCTCACGCAAACTTTTGCAGCCAAAAAGCGCCATTCCGCCCGCGCTTTACCCATGTCCGCGCACAGCAAACCCCTCAAAGCTAACCTACATTGTGCGAGAGGCCACCGGGACACTATTGCGTGGTCGCGTAGGATAGACCGGGGAGCACATCTGTCACATTGCGCTTTTGCGAGCTGGTCTCCGGTCTCCGGTCTCCGATCGATGCGCGTGGGAATTGTCTTGTTGGAGAAAGGTGTTACCATGTGTACATACGACTATCGGATGCAGAATCAGATCCAGAGTGGAAAAGGAGGCTGCTTTAAATTGGGGGGTCTTCTTGCCCAACTCATAGGTTGTCCGTATGGCAAAAACTGCCCGTATGGCATCGACCGAGTTCCCAGGCGTCATTTCTGTGCTGTCACTTTCGCAACGTGGGAACCTCACCGCTCAACTCATCGTCATCATCGACGAAGGCAAGAGGACTCTCCTGTACGTACTGCTAGCATGCCGCCGCACGGGACCAGCGGAGTACCTCGTGAACGAAGGTATGCGAGTACCTGTAGTAATCGCCCACTCGACGGAAGAATCCGGATGGGATCATCCTTCTAGAAGCAATGGAAGTTGGAAGCTTCCATGGACGAACTCAGCCCCCCGCTGTTTGTTTACGTTAGCGTGCAGCGTGCCGCCCTTGTTAGCTGTACCTCCCACCCAGCCCGATAAGCTTGCGCACGATGCGTCGCCAGGGTCCTCCTTGCGCTCTCAATTCGCCGCTAGTCCTTTGTTTGCCCACCCGCACCAGCACCCGCACGGTCATCCGTCGTTCAACGGCATTGAATTACCTGCACAACCTAGTGCAATACGGTACACGAACAGCAACAAAAAGGCTTTGTTTTGAGTCTTATTCTTTCCCGGCTTCACCACTGGCCATTGGCATGTTCAAAGAATATCCCTTCCTCGCAAGCTTCGACATCTCGTTCGATGACAACGACGTACTATTTTTGGTGGAAACGACGCTGTAACGGGGGACGGGAGAATATGCGGGAGCTCCTGATGCTTCTGTGTGGTTGTTGACTCTACTGAGGGCGTTGCGAGGCTTCCAGAAGCCGACGGCCATGGCTATAAAACGGCGGTGGCGAGGAACGCATCCCCTCGACTAGCCCCACGACATCAGAAAGTCTTGCTAGGAAACATTCATCTACGCCTGTGTTCCTTATCCGACCGTTGTTAAAGAAACTGACAGAATCATGGCACCTGATTTCTCTGCCGACAACTTGGGGACGCTGTATGGGGACATCAATCAAGGATGGAATTCCGTCAAGGTCTGCATTTTTATCGCCCTCGGAGTCTGAACACCGACGCTTTCCAGCACAGGACTTACTGGTTTCTCATGATAGATCATCGCATGACTGGGATCCCTTACTGCTGGATGATCCTACCTCGCAGCAAGTTGTGGGACACTCTCTTGGTGGGGGTGCTCTTTGATGTACGTACTTCCCCCCGGATTGAGCGGAAAGCGAAAGCACCTGGCACGAATGGGAAGGCTCACCATTGCCTTTCGCATTTCCAGTGGTTGCATGTGCTCATGGTGTTCATCGTCTACACCATGGGCGTCGTCGACGACGCCACTAATGCCCAGCAGAAACCGGTGTGGGCGATCCAGGCTCTCATGGCGGCGTTTGTGCGCATCACGGAGATCGTGGTAGGTCCTTCAATCCATCTTCTAAAACACTCGCGGCTGGAGAGATGCAGTCGCACATGCCAACATCATGTTCCTCTGTCTTGGTTTAGTACAATGCGATTGTCGTGAAAAGCCTCCAGCGCACCCTGCCCTGGTGGCAGACGGCCATCTTTGTGCTCGCGTCCATCGCTATCATCTTTGGACGCACGTGGGACACCTTTGTCGTCTCGCAGACCAGCTTCTGGGTTTCCATCCGCACGGGCATGGCTATTGTGTCCATCGCTGGAGGTATGTACAACCCGCTCCAAGACGAAATCTCATCCCTCATTTGGTGGCGGACATTGATCAGATAAGCGTGCTAATCTTCCTCACCTCCCCCACAGTCGTCGCCTCGGGCCCAATCATCTTCATCTTCGCCCGCGAGATCTATCGCCTCACCAAATCCGACGCCTTCCTGCACAGCAAATCCAAAGGCACGCTCCTCCTCGAGCAAGCCGGCACGCGTCTCCTCTTTCTCAACCTCATCGACCTCGGGCTCGTCTTTATCTTCCTCATCCCTAACACGCCCGCCAACCCGTTCGTTCGCTGGTTCTTTGACAACTGGGATAACTCCCGCCTGGCGTATTATGCCGCGGATATGATGCTGTCGAAGACGAGTATTGCGGTTGCGAATGAACGGACCAGGCAGGAGAGCAGTATTAATAAGACGAGCAGGTCGGCGGCGACGCATTTGAAGTCGGCTAAGCCGGTGTTGAGTGTCAAGGGTACTACGGAGGATTCGGAGGATGTGTGATCGACAAGAGTAGGGGATTTTTGAACACTGTTAGGGCTAGAGCATATTCTTTGACAGCTTTTATACCTTGGTCACTTTTGATTTATGAAGATGCTTTTTACTACGATCGTCGTCCGTTATAGACTTGGTTTCTCCCAGACAACTTGAACACCCAGATGTCCGTCGGACGTTGATTCCGTCGTTTGCCCAGCCAAGGAGCAGGATTCGGAGGGTCGAAGTTCTATTTAGGAGGAGCACGTCAGGAGGATTAGGGTTACCGTCCATAATTAATTCGGCACTGGCCCGATATGGGGGGGGGGACATAATGATATGCTAAGGGCAGTGTCATCACTCCCATCGACGGCCGCTTTGCCCCGTGAAGGTTCCAACTTCCAGCGCAAGGCAAACCAAAGCACGCCAAGCAGAACGACGACCACCACCACCACATTGCATCAGCTGAATTTCCCCACGGAACTCTCATTCGCACGTCCTACACTCTCTTCAACTCAAAACGCTATCGTACTGGAATCAGCCTCACGCTTCGTCGGTCCTCGCTCAAGCAGCCCAGTTCTCTGTTTCCTGTAACATATTTGTGGAACAAGCAACAAACACCTTCCCCCCCCCCACCCCCCACCCAAACCGCTGTAAGCTTTCCCGCGAGAGAGTATTCAGGGTGCCTATTTGCAGTCACCCTCAGAAAACGCCATCGCTCAGTGCTTTCAACACTCTCATCAGCTGCTGCAGACCTAGTCCGGCGTACAAAAGGCGGCGGCCAGTGAAAACGGGGAAACCGAATTCCCCAAAACCACATTTCGACAGAGAACTGCTCCACCGGACCATCCCACATCGGGTCTTATTTTCAACAACAGTCTGTCTCGCAACACACCAGGGTCTCTCACCACCTCCCCTTACCCTTGCAAGGCATCACCCTTGGGGTTCCTCCCCTGTGACAAAGTTGCAAACAAAACCCGTACTCTTCCCAGTCAGAACCGTAATGGTCGCTGCGCTTGCAACTGCCTTCACAACATCACCATTACCATCAACAACAACAATAATACAGCAATATGTCGCTAGCGGTCAAAATGCCCCGCGCAAACTCAGCAGGCTTAGGAGGAGGCGGACACCACCACCAGATCCAACATGCCGCAGGAATTGCTCCAAGTTCCCCACGAACGATTCTCAAACGGGGTGAGCTGCCGCCACAGCCTTCGGTTACTCAGATAGCAGCAACCACCACGAATCAGGCTGGCCAGGCGAGGAACAGGAGCGTCAGCTCGGGAAAAGGTTAGTTTCAGCGTGCGCCGAGCGAAGCGAGACCCCTGTAATACCGAGCGTCAGCGAGGACGAACGCAGTCGCAATAAGTGGCCTCGGCGCGGCGAATGCTTTTGCGAGCGAACCCTTGAACGGCCAACCATCCGTCGCTTCGTTTCATTCACCGCCCCATCCCACCTTGTCTCTTGAGAGAAATCTAATCTGTGAATCCTCGCAATTCCCAGCACGCAACAACAACGGCGCATCTCGAAAGTCCAACAACAACAACCAAACTGCCCTAAATGTCGAACAAGTTCGAACTTCTGAATTGCAGAGGAAAGATTCGGGAGAATCTACTGGACGGGAGTCCTCTAGGCGAGGCCAAAGAGCTCAGCGCAACCACACCGACCCCAATATCAGCAGCAACAATATCAATGGTGCTACACCGGCGGCAAATGGAGTCGCCCCGAAACCATCAGACGCAAAGCCTGTGGGAGCATCATTCACGACCCCGACGAAAGCAAGCCGCAAGGAAACAACACAGCAGCAGGAAAAGTCCAGAACGGGAAAAGCGCAACCCAACCACAGCGAAGTCAAGACCGGAAAACCGCACAATAACAACGTTGGGATTCCCGGAGTTGACGCTGGACGAGCTGCTGAAAACGGAACAACGTCTGCCAGGAAGCGTCGGAACAATAACAATAGCGACAATTCAGCTTCGGTGCATCAAAGTAGCAACGGGAACGGGAACGGCAAACGCGTTGACAATCAACGTGAGAATGCCGCCCTGGCCGAGGAGTATCCGGTCATCTACCCGGTTTTTTTTCCGCAAACATCCCGCAGGTTTGTAAGCCTTGTTACAACTCCAAAAGCTGACGCGGCGTACTCATGCATGTGCTCCCATCATTGCCGATATCTTTGATTAGAGTTCCGCAGACGTCCACAACACCTTCGCAGAGGCAACGCCGGTTGAGCGCGCCCGATCTCCGTCTGCAACAAATGGCAAAGTCCCTCATTCCCTCAGACTCGACCACGCGAAACCCCGCAGAGAATCCACAAGGAGATGCTATCATAACTAGCCCCTCCAAGAACGACGCCCTGTACGCCGGAGCAACCTTCCAGAACTCGCCCGCGGCAAGCGCGCTGCCCATGCCAACCTTCTCGAACCGCAACAGCACAGGTCCGAAAACTCTCTTCCCGAATGCGGGCGCATTCATCCAACCGGACCATCATCATCACCACCACCACGACGCCTACATGGAATCGTCCTCTCTCCCAGGCCCGGGCATGCATCATCTCACTGAGCACCTCCCCCGCGGACCCACCCGCACCGTCTCCCACGAAGCGCTTGCGAACGTTGCGGGATCTCACCAGCGTAGTCACAACTTGAGCCATGGTGTCAACATGCACCACCCCCATCAGCACCAGCAGCAAGTTAAGGACCTCGAATTGTTTTCCATGGATGATGAGCAGCAGCGCGATACCGGAGAGCATATCTATAATGACGAGGAGCTGAGGCAGAAATCGCGCGATTTGTTGTCGCTGCTCACGCGGGCCGGTGTCAACGCAAATCAGGCGCACCGACACCCACACCATCAGCAGGATCACGCTTCTTCCGGTTTCCACATGAACCACCACGAAAACCACCCCTTCACCGCCTCTCACAGCCTGACCCACAACAACAACCGCAACTCAGTCTCCTCCGCGCCTTCCACACCCTTCATGTACGGAGGCGACGATTATACTCACCCCTCCACCTACGGCGGGCAAGCCGGCCAATCCTCCCCGCCCGGCCCCACACCGGCCTTACCCTCCGGAACTGCTACGCGACACCAGTCTTTGCCGCTACACGTTTCGGCGTTGGTGCCCCCGCATTCGGGTCCGGTGGGGGGTGACCATCACCACCAACAATATAGGCAGTTGGAACCGGTTAAGGACGAGCAGAGCGTGTTGGCGCGGATCAGTTATGATTTGAAGAGTATGCTGAATATTGGACGGCAGGGATGAGGGCGAGAGCGACATCACAACAACCGCACATTGCCGCTATGTCCTACACCCACACACCCCTCGCAATTTACGACGCGACGAGACAACCCGCCTTTGATTTATGTGTTTCCCAATAGGCGGGTGTCGCTCACCCTTTACCCCGACTGATTCGCTATTCTGTTACTGCGACCCACCATCACCACTATCCGCTTCCCATCCGCCTTTATGACCCCGACACCATTCGATACGATCTATTCCCCGGTCGTCTGTCACTATCGTAGCCCGCCCTTGCACCACTCCTCAACCTCCGACCTGCAACATCCCGTCTTACACCCGAAAATTCCACCGTCTCTTTCCCGCTCGCCTCCCTCCCCACATCCAAAGCATCTCTCTCTCCTCTCCCTTCCCTACCTCCCATCCCGTCCAGCCGCCGTCTCTCCCATCCCATCCCAGCTGTCTTGCCCCTATCACATGCCTTTCCCCATGCCCTACCCGCAAACATCCCTTCCTTCCTCCATCACGCACCCCCCTTCCCTTCCCCGCGTCATTTACCCATCTTTTACTCCCTCTCAAAAAATCAATCGAACTTCCGAACCAAAGAAGCTTATGATGTGTGGGCTATGAGGGGTAGACGCCGTTTGGGAGCCATATTCTGAGAGCGTGGTTGTACAGTGGTTTGTGTATGCGGGGTGGTCGGTCCCTACAAGTATCGTGTGAGTCGGATGCGTCACTGAATGCGAACAAACGCGCGCGGTTTGGGGGGCGAGTGGGCAACGGCTCAGAAGTCGGAGATGGGACTATAAGGACCCGCCACCGGCATTCGACACATCCACCAGCACATCTCCATTCCGCCTTATTCTCACCCACTGCAGCCAGTCTGGTAAGCCATCTACTACTAAGTACTGTCAGGGGCCCAGTGGGCCGTGTGGTCGTCTGCGAGAAGGAGCGGAGGGCGATGGGGGGAGGATGCCTTGATATGTGGGGTTAGGAGGTTGGGGGGAAGAGCGACTTGTTATGTGGGACTCCGGCTCGAGTGCTGAGTGGAGAGGGGTAGGGATGTTGGAGAAGGCGGTTGTCGGAGGATTGGGGTGAATTCTGGGCAAGAAGAGGGTTGATCTCTCGGTGTTCTCGGCCGTAGACGACCCTTTGGTCGTCTGCCAAAGTGCACAGGCCTCTGACTTCCACTTCTTTTACTAGCAAACCTATCACATCATGTCCAACGCCCAACCCGCCCCACCACCCCCCGGGCGCAACGTCTGGAACTTCTCGGCCGGCCCCGGCGTCATGCCCCTCCCCGTGCTCGAGCAAGCCGCGCGCGAGCTCCCTAACTGGAACAACAGCGGCATGTCCGTCATGGAGCTCTCCCACCGCTCGCCCGAGTTCGAGTCCATCCTCGCCGACGCCGAGCGTCAGTTCCGCCAACTGCTGGATATACCCCCCACCCACGCCGTGCTGTGGATGCAAGGGGGTGCTACCACTCAGTTTAGCAGTGTGGTGTACAATTTGTTCCCGGGGAAGGATACGGGGAAGGTGGGGGATTATATCGTCACGGGCGGGTGGAGCGAGAAAGCGATGCAGGAGGCGCAAAGGTTGGGTGTACCCGTCAACGCCGTCATCAACACCAAAAAGACAAACCATGACGGGAACGTCCCCCCCACCGCGGAATGGAACTTCACACCGGCCGAGAAAGCCGCCTACGTGTATTACTGCGACAATGAGACGGTGCACGGCGTCGAATTTCCCGTCCCCGAAGGCTGCGACGTCGCCCGCCCACCGGCCGGAATCGACCCCTCCGTCCCCGTCATCTGCGACATGTCCTCCAACATCCTCTCCCGCCGGATCGACGTGTCCAAATACGCCGTGATCTTCGCCGGCGCGCAGAAGAACATCGGGCCCGCAGGCGTCACCGTCGTCATCATCCGGCGCGACTTGATCGGCAACGCCCAGAATGTCAACCACACCCTCACCGTCCCCCTCATGCTTGACTTCAAGACCTACGCGGATAATAACTCCATGTACAACACGCCCCCGACCTACGCCATCTACATCTCCAACCTCGTCTTCCACTGGCTCCTCACCACCGTCGGCGGCCTCCCAGCCATGCAGCAACTCAACCACCAGAAATCAACCCTCCTGTACACCGCCATCGACGCCTCGGAAGGGTTTTACACGTGCCCGGTGAACCGCACATGGCGGAGCAGGATGAACGTGCCGTTCCGGGTCAATGATCCGGCGACGGGCAAGCCGAGCGAGGGGTTGGAGAAGGAGTTTGCGAAACGCGCGGAGGAGAGACGGATGGTGCAGTTGAAGGGACATCGGAGTGTCGGCGGGATGAGGGCGAGTCTGTATAACGCGATGAGCTTGGAGGGTGTGAGGGCGTTGGTGGCGTTTATGGAGGAGTTTAGGAAGGAGCATGCCAAGTAGAGTGGGAAAATAAGTGGGCCGGGAACGAGATTGAAATGGGTGCCGACATAGGGGCTAAGACACCTGGGATGAGCTGTAGATTTTAGATGCACCAGGGCCAATACATTCGGGTTTACCCACCCTTTCACGACCAGAGTTGTTCATGAGTCAAGTCAGGCTCTCAACCAAAACTAAACGAAGGAGGAGTCGCCTTCCCAACGCGTCGCGTTATGAGGGGAAGCCTCATACAGTAACTTCTTTGAAACCCCAACCTTCGAATCTCTATCCCGCATCGCATCGCAGCGGCCAACAAGTCCCTCCCAGGCGATGATGCTACCCCCGAGTTTCGCGCCATGGAGCGGGGGGGAGCATCCGCCTCCGGCCTATCCTTAGCCGGCCTCGTCCCATCTTTCCCCGTAAGATCGAGCATCTTCGAACCCGCGATGATGTACATACTGTATTGAGTGTGGAGTCGAGAGAAGTACTGTACTGCACAACGAGGACTTGGAATGGAAGTCCGGATACGCCCCGCCTCGAATTACTACGAAGTGGGCGGGTGCACGGCTCGGTGTTCGGCCCCGGGTTGCCCTGAGCAGGACGATTCTCCCGCATGCATCCACATGGGAGGGGTTTGTTCGTTATCCAAACACGTCCCCATTTGTCCCTGCCTACTGACCCACGAACATCGATCCGTCTACAGACATGGGCGCGGCAAATCTGCGCTCGCACCCCTGCACAAACACCGGAGGGGGATACCCCGGCCATCGTCCAGCCCCGGCACCGACTCCGCTTTCTTCGGCCGGAATGATACAACCCTTGACGTAGCGTGGGATTCCATCCAAATTCGCCTCTTCCGCCGCCGTGCGAAAAACTCTGCCGAAACTCCATCATCGCACACGTTAAGTGTCTCTAACCCCACGCCATATCATTCAAACAACAAAGGAAAAATCTATAGTGTGTAGACCCAAAACCGGTTGTGTGTGTGTGTGTGTGTATGTGCCTTCATACGCGCGCGATGGCGGATGTACAAATACGTCGTTTGTCGGGGGAGTGGGGGAACGTAGCAGAAGATACAAGAAAATGAACAAGAAAGTGGCAGCGTGCAAATGTAAGTAGCAACGGGGAGGTGGAATGAATAAATAGATGTGGGATGTGCCCTGTGTGGTGCGTGGTGCGTGCGTGGTGCGTGTGCGATGCGTGGTGGTGGGTTTGATGGTGTGTGTGTCATGGGTTCTCACAATGCGTTGATAAGTCCTTGATCGGTTCCGATCCGCTCATGACAGCAGCCCCATGTCTCAACCAGTCGCCGACATCAAAGTCGCCTGGCGATATGTGGGGTAGAAGCGCGTGGAGCATATTTCGATCGATGTCGGTGCACTGGGGCGAATTGAGAGTGTCACTTTTTGGGTGCTCAGAAGCCCTACGGAAGAAAGGGCGGGTTAGCGTCGGTCCGACATAAATGGAAAGGACCCTCTGGCCGAATCAAGGGATTCGACGGAAAAAGCTCTCAGGAAAGAGGTTGCAGGAACTCACCCTAAACAAATGTCCAAACGGATCCATCCCATCCGACTCCTCCTCCTCCACCTCCGGATACGTCTCAAAATGTCTCGTATCCCCCGGCCCCGCGACACTCGGCACAATCGGGCACGGCACCTGTTTCGCCAACAACGTCGCCCAATCCACGCCCCTAAACCACTTATGCTGCTTGACGTCATCGGCGCCGCCACGGAGGTTGCCTAACCGTTTCGTCCGATCGGGGGCGAGCAGTTTTTTGATGAGGTCTTTTGCGGCGGGGTCGAAGTAAGGCGGGAAGCTGAGGCGGCCGGTGAGGATTTTCTCGTAGATGCCGAAGGGGTTGTCGTCGAAGTACGGGGGATAGCCGGCGAGCATCTCGAAGATGAGGATGCCGAGGGCCCACCAGTCGACGGCTTTGCCGTGGCCTTTTGATTGGATTATTTCGGGGGCGAGGTATTCGGGTGTGCCGCATAATGTCCATGTCCTGTGAATAGGGGAAGTCCGCGTGAGCAGGTGGCACGAAGGGCCCCAGACAGAGGAAAATTCGGCATACCTGTCCTGGACCTCCTTGGCGAATCCGAAGTCTGTTATTTTGATGTCACCCCGATTATCCAGAAGCTAGTGTTGAGCAGAATCCGGTTAGCTCCGGATCCACGAGGCCGCCTTTCCGCGCCCTTGTACCAAAGCAAGCCCATCTCAATACCATACCAAATTCTCCGGCTTCAAATCGCGGTAAATGATATCCATACTGTGAAGGTACTCGATCGCCAGCACAATCTCGGCAGCGTAGAACCGTGTCATGTCATTGCTGAACCGTCCTGCCCGCCGCAGATGCGAAAACAGCTCTCCTCCAACGACGTATTCTAGGAGCATATACAGGTTCCGATCATCTTGAAATGTGCAGTCCCTGAAGAAAGAAAGGTATTCTAGTTAGCACCGAGCATTGTAGCCGTACTTCCTTCTCGTCCTCCGGCCCATCCAATTCCCAATCTCTGTCGCTCGCACAGCATCTCTCCGGTGCGAACAATCGAACTCTAGCCCTTCTTCATGCAGTGTGGCTTTCTTCCCTGCTCCCTGCTCACTGTCGTTCGCATTACTCGTTCCTCCGTCACTTCCGCTTCCCCTATTTACTCACTCCCACTTCTCCCACCTCACACTCATCCGTCATACTTACATCGTAACCAAAAACGGATGATCAATCCTTGACAAAATATTCTTCTCACTATTAATATGCTCTACCTGCTTCAACCTCACCACATCCTTCTTGCTCAACACCTTCATCGCATAAAAGCGGTCCGTGTCCCTATATCTCGTCAAATACACCCTCCCGAACGTCCCGGTGCCGAGGGTTTTGAGCATGACGAAATCGGAGAGGGCGAGACCGCGGGCATCGCCGCGGGTGATGGGTTGCGGGAGTTGTTGGGGGGTGTGTGGTTGGGTGTGCGGGGAGGAGTGGCCGGAGGGGGAGGGCGTGGAATGGGGGGAGTTGAGGTGGAGGTGGTTTAGCTGGCCTCCGATGTCGGACATTGCTGACATGGTTAGGGCGGCTGGGGGTGAGGGATAGGTGAATGTTAGCACCTGCGTTTGGGTCTCGGTGTAGTCTTTGCATGCATCGCCCCGAATTGCGTGAACGCATTCCGTGCGTATTCTTCCTTCCTTCGCAATTCGCAAAAGCCCAATAAGCTCAATATCGAAACCGGACATACCTGTTGACAAAGAAGACGCAGAAGTGCCTATCTTGCGTATTCCGACTACGGAGACAAGTTAAGAACCCTGGCTGCTGTGAAAAGCGCTATCCGTCCGCTTTCTTCGTCGAGCGGGAGTTGAAAAGGACCCTCGGCCAGCGGGGGTGAAATCGTAGTGGGGTCGAAGGAGGAAGGGAGTGCCGACGGACAAGGTCGGACCGGTTGGCGACAGCGAGAGCAGTTATGTGCAGCGGGTTGATGTAAGCTTGTTGGGAAGTGGGAGTTGGCCTTTCCTTCGCCTTTCCTTTTTTCGCGTGCGCGTTCAACGGCCCACAGCGAGACTCTCGCTTCAACCCCCAGGGAAAAGGCGGATCCGCCCGGTACTGCGAACAATACCACACACAAGGGTGGCGGGCGGGTGCAGTGCAGTGTCTCTTTGTCTATCTCGAAACGCACTTGTCCGGGCAAACGCTCGTCCCTCCCCCTTTTCCTCTCCTTTGCTTTACGCTCATCATCACTCCTCGTATACTGTATATATATAGTACTACCAAATGGACATGGAAAAAAGTTACAGGCTGTCCAACGGTGATGACTCCGCGCTCTTGTTGTGCGGTTTTCCCTACTCCCATGATTGGTGAAACGCCAGAAAGGAGCCTCGTTTGGTGTCGTCCACGCTCCGCCCACGTGACTTGTGCTCTCTGAGCTCCCAACTGCAAATCTCGCAGCAAGCCGTTGATGAAGCTTTGAAGAGAGAGAGAGCACGATTATTCGTCGTTACGGGTGCATGAACATGTATTTACAAACGGCCAAAGAAAAAGTAATCCTAACGCTTCAGGGAAAATGCGAAAGAGTGTCTCATACGCCGTGGGTTCGGTCTAAAAACTACATTTACAACAAAGCGTAGGCAATCATAGCTCCCGCAGCGGCAACAATGCCGGTACTGGCACTGGCAACCATGGCGCCTGACGTCTTGCCAGCGGCCGGCGCCGTCGTGGACGCGGGCGCGAGCGAGGCAGAGGAGGTAGTGTTGGTGGCACTGCCTGCGGCGACGGCTCCACAGTATGGGCCGAGCTTGTTGGACGCTGAGCAGAAGGCGAGGATCGGTGCGCACTAAGGGATAAAGAGGGAGTGTGAGCAATTGCGGACATCGAGATGGAACCGAGAAGGCGCAATATGAGACTCGCAAAATGCTTACATCCTTCATAGTCGGCATGTCCAAGCACAGCCTTCCAGCCTGCGTCAACGCCTTGCATTTCGCAACACCCGTCGCCGCATCAGCAGCCGGGCACGCATCCGCACCCTGGCAATCCTTCATATCCGGCATCGCCATGCAAAGCGCCGCAACAACACTCGTCGCATTCCTCGCGCTCAACAGGGTCGGAACGGGCGTTCCAGCAGGCTTAGGCGTGCACTGGGCTGCGGCCGCTCCGGCGGGGTCGGCGCAGAGGGAAGCGAGAAGGTTGTCGGGGTTGCAGACGCCCGTGGTCATGGCTTGGGTTGTGCATGAGGCAAACACGTCGCAAGCGGGCAGAGCGGAGAGGTTGGCGCAGGCGGCGGTGAGAGATGCCGTGGAGGTGGACTGGGCTTGCACGCCGGCAGCGGCGACGACGGCGAGAGTCAGGGCGACGAGGGATTGAGTGGAGAACATGTTGACGATAAGAGTTTTGGGGCTTAGAGGGGATTTGGTGTGCGGAGATTGTTGTGTTGTGTTGTGTTGGGAGGTGTTAAAAAAGGGTGGGTTGAGTTATGGAGGGAAGACGGCGCATAAATCGCTCACTGGTTCTTATACGACTCGGATTTCTTGTGTGGGGAAAGCGGGCCGTTCTGATTGTCCGCCCAGGAGGCAAGGGGGAACCAAACAATCGGCCGCCGGCTCGCACACCCAAACAAACAAACACGCTGCAAAACAAGGGATGACACACAGAACTCTAAGGATCCATCCACTCCTCACGTGCGCTTCACGTGACATGTGGCGCAGTCGCACTCCTCGGCTGTTGCCTATAAAAAGGCCCGCACTCCCGCATCCTGCTTCCATTTTCTTCAACCGCCCACGGAGTTTCGACTGAACAAATAAGGGATTCGCCTTTTACTAACCCCTTCTGAGCCGGAGCTTCACCCAAAGTGGGCTAAACCCTATTTTTTGTCAACCCTCCCACGTCCTTGAAAAAGGAATGGGAAACTTATAAAATAAAGGAAGAAAATATGAAAGTTGTAAATGGCGTTGTGCAGATGAGACCGTACCAATTTTTAGAGTAAGCTCCGTATGGGGCTAATCCCACAACGTGCCTGGACGATGAGCGACGGATGAGAATTCTATCGACGAAGGTAGCAGATGTCTTGTGAGGGATTGCCAATGCGTGACGATCTTCCCATCTCATGAGTGAATTGGCGAACGCCTGACGACGGGGCAGATCGTGGAACGGAAATGGTCGAACGAAGATGACATGCGAGCGAAGTGAGGGGATGAGGAGATTGGAGCTGTGGGGTGGTGCTGACTGTAGCCGGTCATGCGCGCAGCAACGATGAGGATGCCACGTTACTATGAGTTCTGGGATGGTGAGAAATGATGCGCCGGCATACGTGGCAAAGTCTTACGGGACCTGGTATAACTCGTTGTGCGAACGACAGCAATCAATTCCTCGGCTTGGCCAGGAGGAGAGCTTCCAGGTGAATCCCCCATCCCGGCTCGATTGAGGTGTCGCCCCGCACGGCGACATTCCGGACTGCATAAAGTACAGAAAGAGCCATTCCCGAACTCATAAGTTAGGTCGCAGGCCAGCCCCTACACGATCATGCACATCATCCTCACCGGGGCCAGCGGCAACGTCGGTTTCCCCATCCTCCGTCGCTGCCTCGTTACCCCATCCATCACCCGCGTCTCCATCCTCTCCCGGCGCCCATTCCCCCTCCCCACCGGCCCAGGCGTCGATGCAACAAAAGCCAACCTCATTCTCCACGACGATTTCGACCGCTACACGCCCGAATGTATCGCCACCCTCGCTGGCGCCCGCGCGTGCATCTTTGCGTTGGGCGTGAGTCAGAACGATGTCGGGAAGGAGGAGTATGTGCGGATCACGCATGATTACCCTCTTGCGGCGGCCAAGGCTTTTGCAAAGTTGAACGGGGAGAAGCCGTTTATTTTTACCTACATTTCTGGCGAGGGGGCGGACATGGACGAGCGGGCATGGACGCTGTTTGGGAACGTCAAAGGGCGCGCTGAGAAGGCGTTGTTGGCGTTGCCGGCTTCGGCGCCGGATCTTGCTGCGTTGCGGGTGTATAACGTCCGGCCGGGGATGGTGGTGGGGACACACAGGCCTATTTCTTTCGGCAAGAGGGTGGCTTTCAACGCGTTGGCGCCGATATTGAATCTGGCGTTACCGTCGATGGTGTCGCCGGCGGAGCAGCTTGCCAAATCGGTTGTGGATGTTGCGCTGGGGGATGGGGAGCCGCTTCCTGCTGGTGTGGGAATTGAGGCGGGTGGGAGGTTGGTGAGGAGCTCAGCTATTCGGTACCTTGGTCTGGAGGATTCGAAGTAGACTGATGTAAAGGACTTTTTGAACCAGAATCATGCAATGCATGGCCAGAAGGGGATTGCATATCAGGCCGAACTTCAAGTCGCAACTAGGAGATGAGAATTGACTTGATAGGACGCGGTGGATGGTTGTCGAGATGCCAGCACTGTCCCGTAACATACACAGGCAATTGCCCACCTCCATCATGGACGAGCAGATGGCCGCCCCTTTCGCGCATTCGCTTTCACCGTGCTAGGCAGCTCGCACTGTGTATTTCCAGTCTGCCGGGTAATAGGTAACAAAAGGCGTGAGAACAGCACAAACGGAAGCCCGAAGTGTCATTGCCGAACACGGTCAAAGGGTATATGTTGCAATACAGCAAAGGGTATATCTCGGAGTAAGAAATTTTATCAGTCCGGCTTCGTCTCATACGTCCGTTCCGCGGTCTTTCCTCAGCGATCGCCGCCACGACTTGATGCGTCGGAACATCTTTTTCAGATGACCGCCATGCTTGGCTTCTCTTGATGTGTAGCGTGTTTCGTCAAGTTCGTATTTCGACGGTGCGGCGCCGGGGTTGAGATTCGACTGATGAGGTGGGATTGAAATGTGTTCCGATCCGCTGTATGGGGCTCTGTTCGCGGCGTACCGCGAATCGAGAGGATCTTCCGTTGTCAGACGCCCTGCGACGGCGTTCGAGCTTTTCGTCCCGCCGTAAGCCGCTTTGTTCACTGCATATCGCATATCGGGTGTGCCGTCCTTCTTCAGAGGACCAGCGGCCGTTCTCCCTCTCGACTCCACGTCTCGTCCTGCTGCGACTCGCAGATCGGGCGAGTCATGTCCCCCCGCAAAGATCGCAACACCACTGCCATCCCTCCCGCCGCCCGCCTCCACCACCATCCCCGCCAGCATCCGTCTCCCCTCCCTTCCATCCCGCACAATCGCAATACCCGCCCTCCTCGCAACCTCCTCCGTCCTCACCGACACACCCGCCCCCTCCGCAACATACAGCACGCCCCTCGCCGCCCCAACAACCCTCATATCCCCCGCCAGCTTCTCTACCTCCGCAACCGGGATGGTGCCCGCATAATTCTTCGCATCAATCACCAATTTCGCTTTGCCCGTGCGGTTCTCGCGGACGACGATGTCGGGCCGGACGTGTTGGCGCACTGGAACGGTTTTCTGTGCTTCGGCGTGGAGGGTGGGTTGGAGGGCGGATTCGACGAGGTTCTCGACTTTGATTTCGAATTGGGTGTGTGGGTTGGTGGAATGAGTGCGCGCGGAGCTGCGTTGGGCTCTGAGGGATTCGCGGTTGCGGAGGTTGTAGGGCACTGGCATTGCGCGGATCCCGAAGGTGGTGATGCCGTTTGGGCGAGTGGAGATTCACCTTGCAATGTTCTTTATCGGTGCATTTCGAGAAGAGCTGAAAGACAGGAACAGAAAGCAATCCTCTGTCGAGCCGTCCCCAGTTGAAGCATGCTGCGACACCTCAAGAGTCAAGTAAGTCCTTGTCGCTTTTCGGTCTCTCGGCGGTCGAAACGCGAGTGGCCCGCCGCCAAGGCATCGTGTCCATCTTGGGTCGCCATCGACCGCCAAGTCTTACGAAGCACAGGCCGCGGCACAAAGTCGACTTTGAGACAAACCCTTCTCCCAACGATCCAAAGCATGCAAGAGGAGCGTAATGGACGTGCAAACCGTATCGCCGAAGAGCCTTCCCACTTCGCGTTCCAACATCACCACGTACATACACACTGTATGTACATAAGGTACTCATGAAAAAACGCAGCATCACACCCGCCAAAAACAAAACGCTTCTGCCAAGACTCCAAGAACATGCAAGAGGAGCGCTACCGGAGGCCAAAACTTATCGCGGAGTGGAGCCGATCCAACCTCACTCCGCCGTCCACATCACCACATCCACGCTCGAAAACGCGACATCACCGCATCACACCCCACAAAAACAAAACGCTTCTCCCACCGTGCAAGAGGAGCGTCTACGAATGGGCAAAACGCTAAAAAAAAAAACAATGGAGATTAGCGGGATTGAACCGCTGGCCTTCTGCATGCAAAGCAGACGATCTGCCACTGATCTAAATCCCCGAAAGTGCGAATTTGGAGCTTGGTTGTTAGTGATATTCTGTATGTCCATGATTGTAGCGTTATCCATGCCGTCCTACCTACAGTACTGTACTTCACGCGTCGCCACAGAGAGCGCGTATCTGACGTCTGGAGCGCGTCTGGAGCTAAGCTTGAACACCGTCGTCCGACGACAGCCGCTCCCGAAGTGGCACACCGGAGTATACCCAACTATTCATCAGCAGCGGTAGGTATCTTTCGCCAAGCCGTCATGCTCGCTTCCCGTCCACCATCGCTGCGTTGTGTTGTCGGCTGCTATCGCTGTCTGCCCTTCTGCACACCTATCTTTGATCTGTACAGTCCCGTTGACCGAGGTTTGGAAGATGGGTAAGTTCGGGGGTGCGGGTGTAGCACCACGAATTTTCGTCCGCCAGACATGGACCCTGAGACCCCGGTGCTAACAAGCTATTCGCCCCAAATCAACGACTGTATCTCTCCCGCTCGTGAACGAAATTCATTCGAAAGCGATCCGAGTGCGCCAAGTGTGAAGGGAAGGGTTGGGCATGTGGTCTATAGACAGATCAGCCCGTTGACGCAGCATAACCCACGCTAATGTCCTCAGGCAATTTACTTATTGGTCTCACTATGGACGGTTCTCCATGTCTTTGGTGCACATGGTCGAGGGCCGCCTCTGCGTACTCAAGGTAACTGGGGGAAGGTGTCCTCCTACCGTCCTGAACGTCCTGAGGATCTTGGCGGACAGACCCTTACTTACGTTCGCAAACCGCGTCTGAAACGCGTCGTAGCTACTAGCCCACGCAGACTTCCCAAAGGAGGATACGCGGCAGCAATAGAGAAGATCGATACAAGGCAAACCAGAAAGCGGGTCAGGTATAATCGAAGCAAGCATCAGGTATAATCGCAAAACCAGAGGGGCGAGAAGGGGTATCAAGTTCAGGCAGGTATCAACGGTCCGGAGCAACGGACACCACACGGACGCCAGGGGCCATCTCGTTCCCCGGCTTATCTGCAATCTCACGTCCACGTCCCGTAGCATGTCGTCACACCGATTAGGGTGCGGTTCGCCATATGCCCGGACAAGCGTACAGTTGACATCCGCCTTCGCCTGCCGAGCACCAGCACCACCAGGCCTAACGACCATGCCTGCGACTCCCGCCCCCAGCAAGCTCTCCACCAACGTTCCCAGCTGCATAATCTCCACAGCCTGCCTGTTGAACCGGCTCTGCACCATCCACCAGAGGGTGCGGTTCCCAGGGTATCGCCGTCTCACGCGGTCGAGAACGCCAACAGGGAGCAACTCATCCCATAGCTGGATGCACAGCAAGACGAGCAGCACGGGAAGAAGGACGACGAGGATGCGCACGACGGAGAGGGTGTATCCGTTGCATTTGACCCTCCCGTCGGGGACGCGTAGGCCCTTCTTGACGGTGGTGTAGTTCTGGTCGAGGTTGCCGAGGAACGCGGCCATGACCTGTGCTCTTGTAACGCGTTGCTGGAGATGCGCCATGTACGCGAAATGCGACTCGAGGGTCAGGCCGTCGGTGGACAGGGATCCTCGGTAGAAGCGCGAGTTGATTGCTTCTAGATCGGAGCCGAATATGTCAAACGCCAATTGTCGCATGAAGACAGCGGCTCGGAAGACGACTGCGAACTGTCTCCACAGTTGGTCGATCTGACGGACGCCCATCCCCCGCGCCGTTGCCGACTCGGTCCAGCCGTTGAGGAGGTCCGATGTGGAGCCTGTGATGCGGATTTCGCCAAATTCTTCGGTCCTTTCCACAACAGAAAAACCCGTGATGCATGTGATCGGTCTGAACACCACTTGAGAATAGTAGCCATAGTCGCCGTCGCCCGACCTTGTGAAGTTGTACAACGGGTCGTCATATGCCGTTGCCGTTTGCGCGAAACCAGGGGCCCATATATAGTGATAGAAGGACAGGTGGGGCCGGAACCCCGGTTCGGTGACGGTGCTCGTCCACTGACGCAGATCAGATGCATTGTCACTGGGCAGGAACTCGTTTGTTAAGATAGACACCCTGTCCTGATAAAACGTTGAGACGGGCACATTGAAGGTTGTTTCGGGTGCAATGTCGGGAGACAAAGGGGTATTATAGAACCCAAAGGTGACATTGTACATGGCGGAGGGAAAACCGCCCTGCGTGAAATTGTGCATCACGCTAATGGCCCTTGCATCCATGAACGTGCAGTTCATATCGTGCTCAATGCTCACCGTCCCCATTGACGTGGCGAGGTACTCATGAGCTTGATCGCTGAACCGCACACGGATCGTTTTCGCGAGGTTCGGGTTCGGGTGGCAGGGGACCGCCAACCATTCGGGACATCCATTGGTAATGGTGACGTTGACATCGTCGACCCAGTTTTGGGATGTGACGGCGGGGTTGTCCATGAACTCCCTGACTGCGCGTGACCATCTAGCGGAGTTGATGTTCGCAAAGCGGTAATCGGCTTCGGTGGCGTTGGCGCTGTCCCTGACGTCGTGCTCGGAGAGAACGCTCGTAGCGTTGATGGGACAAAGACCGAAATCCCACGTCGCCCATCCAATGACAGCTGATGCGACCAACAGTTTTGAGGCGATCATGGCTGTGCCACCGACGGCGATGAAAGCAGCGAGACCAGCATTCCCAGCCGTGCGGCGAACGAGAGACGCTGCAAACATGATGTTCTTCGAACCGGAGATGTTATTGACGAGCCAAGAGTATACAGGTAGCTGTTTGACTTTCAAAGAAGTAGGGTCCACCACTCCGAAAGCGCCTCGGTTGATCAAGCCGTTCATGGCAGCGCTCAAAATGGCAACGATGGCGAAGCCGAGAACGACGGTCAGGGCCGCGGTGACCCATGCGATGTGACTGGGCTCCGTCAATCGCACTAGCACGGCGTCGAGGAACCAGTGCAGGTGCATTTGTCGTTCAGTTCACCGTGAAGCAAGCAATCTTTGTTCGGAAAGGACGGGCGGGGTTGATGAAGGAAGGACTCTGCCAGACTCCCTTAGGCGGTCCCGCACTGCAAATATACTGCACGTGTAGGTCGGCATCTTGCGGCATGCTGCTTGTTTTGCGGGTAGGTGTCCTTCACGAATTGCGGGCCGTGGGGGGGGTTTGTTACGGGAGGACAACTGTCGGGAAGTTCAGCAGCCGCTTTTGTGCGCGCACTGGCGTTGGACTTCGACTGGGGGGGGAGTTCCCACGGTTCCCTCCATCAACCTTAACGAGGGTGGAACAGGTTCCAACTTCCAACTTCGTCTCACTATCGGTTGAACTCGTTTCGTCCGTCCGTCTGTCTGTAGTACTGTACAGTAGATATGGAGGGCCATGGGAGGCGGCGTTGCGATTCCCACAAGTGAGTGAGAGAGTCCCATCGTACGACCGACGCGTCTCTGCGCCGCTCACCCACTGCTCACCTCACTTGCCTTCAGAGGGAGAGGGAGAGACAGAGAGAGGGCAGTCAGCTGAACCTGCTACATAGACGAGCACAATACAGTATGTACAGTATATCTATGTGGTTCATGGATGAGGGCAGCCGCGGCCGCTGCGTAACAGCGTTTGCTTCCAAAGACGCACGCTGAAAAAGGTCTCCAGCCTGCTCCAACCCTCCTTCGTCGTCCTTCGTCTGGCACCACCTACGCACCACATTCCCACTCCCATTACGAGCCAACAGCAACGATGACCACCAGCTTCCTCAACGGCACCGCCGCCGGGCTCCACATCCCGCACCCTTACTTCCCCCAGTCCCTCCACCTGCCTCACTACACCTCCCCCACAATGACAATGGCCACCATCCTCACCTACTTCTTCAGCACCGTCGCCGTCATCCTCGGCATCTCCTATGCCCTCATTTCCTCCTCCCCCGGCAAAGGCACCTACGCCGCCACCGACAAGACCCGCACCCCGCGCTTCCTGTGGTTCGTCGTCTGCGGGTTCATTCATTTGTTTTTGGAGGGATACTTTGCATTCAACCACCGCACCATTGCCGGACAGGACTTTGTCCTTGCCGAGCTGTGGAAGGAGTATGCGTACAGTGACTCGAGGTACATGAGCGCCGACTCGTTTGTTGTTATCATGGAGAGCGTTACCGGGGTGAGTTTCTGTCTCTAAGAGACGTCCAATCGGGACGCGTTTTTTCTGGCCTCTACAATCGCCCTATTTTCTCACATTAATCCCTCCACAGTACATCTGGGGCCCCCTCTCCTTCCTCTCCGCCTACCTAATCTACAGCTCCTCCCCCGCCTCGCCCATCCTCGAGTTCCTCGTCTCCACCGGTCAACTCTACGGCGACGTCCTCTACTACGCAACGACGCTCTTCGAGGGCGCCCCGCACTGCTCCACCAGCCCCTTCCACTTCTGGTTCTACTTTGTCTTCCTGAACGCCTTTTGGATCGTCATTCCGCTTTCTATCATGGCGTTGAGCGCTAAGCGGGTCACGAATGCGGTGAGGCAGGTCGAGGGTGCCGGTGTTGCCGCGGGCAAGAGGAAAAAGGCTCTGTAGTAATGCGTTTTAACCTTAATCTTGTGAAGATGGGCGCGGGAAGGCCTATAGAAGCCGAAGCTTGTGTGTTCCTTTGCACTACACCTACCATCTACCGTTATGCTCGAGTAAAAATAAACTACGGGGCGTCGGCCCAAAATTCTCCGAGAGAAAAAAGCCGCATTTCATTAGTCGCCTTGTACCCAAATCTGCATTTTGCAGGCCTGACCTCCACGCCACATTTCTCTTGTGGAGACGCATCTATAACGCCCCCATAGCGCCCCTCAATTGCTCGTGGCTTCCGAAACCGTCCACAAAAAACCATTCCCTTAGTCTACAGTCCTCCAAACCCCACATCTCATCACATCCGATTTCATTCTCAGTCCCATCCATCGCACGGCATCACATCGCACAAGGCCACATCCCCTCTACATTTCCTCACATCACAGCCTCGCACTCGAAACCATGAGCAACCTAGACATCTCCGACCCGCAGATCGCGACCGCCCTTACCGACTTGCGTGCGGATGATGGCAAGCTTGATTGGTATGATTTGCGATCACGGATATGTGGGCGAGGATGCACGCGGCGGGCGCCTTTGGGTTTATGCTGGGGGAAAAGTGTCGTGCAATTGATGATCAATCTTTTATAACCGTTCCCTTTCCTACGCTTCCTCCATTTCTCCTTATTCAAATGTTTTTAGGATCATCTTGGGTACGTACATCACATCCTCCCACCGCCCATCCCACCGCCCTCCCATACCCCGGTTCCTCGCTAACTTCCATCCCACCTTACCCCCAATCCACGCACAGGCCTAGCCCCAAAACTCCCCAGCACGCCGCTCGACCACGAAACCGTCATCCTCCTCGCATCGGGGCAGGACGGGCTCCCCGAGTTCCAGCGCCAACTGGGTACCGCTAGCGTTAGCTATGGGTTTGTCAAGCATGAGAACCATGTTTTCTTTGTTGAGGTTGTGCCGGATAAGGTATGGGGACGTGGATATGGGGAGGCGATAGTGGTTCGTGTCCATAGATGAGCGGATACTGACTTGCTTTATTGTTTGATTTCATCTCGTTACATGTAACAGTTGGACCATACGGCTCGAGCGTCGGCTCACAAGCACGGCCGCCAGATCTCGTCGGTAGGTTCCCGTCCGGTCCCCTTCGCCTCCCCTTCTGCACCGCGCCAGCGTCCTTCCTCCCCGCGGCGAAACCTAACCGTACATTCCCCCCTCCTCTTCCCTCTCCCACCCCCCAAAACCAGACGCTGAAATCCTTCGACACAGAGCTCTCCATCTCCCACCCCTCCGAGCTCTCCGACCTCGCCTCCACCCCCGTGGCCCCCACGCACGCCAACAACAGCACGCCGTACGTCACCCCCACCCAGTCCAGCATCCCGCCCTCGCCCACGTCCCCCAGCCTCGCGTCCGCCTCCTCCGACGCCTCGCTCCTGCACCCGCCGTCGCACGCGGCGCGGTTGAACAAGATGTCGAATTCCGCTAATTCGCTGTTGAGTACGGCGGGCGACGCGGATCAGGGGGCCGTGGAGGAGATGGCGAGACGGGTGAAGGAGAATCTGGGGATTAGGGAGCGGTGGAATCAGGAGGTTGCGAAGGCGGTTCGGGTTGTCGAGGAGAGGAGGTATGTGATTTTGTATTTGTCGTTTACGGTGTGACGTGTGTGTTGTTTCGCGGGAAAAGATCTGGTAGCCCGCGCCCCGACAACTGTTGACGCTTTTGCTTCCCATCGATCCCCCCAATCCGCAGGGCGAAGGAGCAACAGTACCAGCGTGAACGCTCTCTCAAAAAGGAAAGCCAAAAGGAAGCGTTCCGAGTCGAATTCGAGCGATTGGAGGAGTCCCACGCCGACGTAAGTAAACAAAAAAGCCGCGTAGGGGATCATCTTCCCACCACCCAAATCCCCGTAATCGAAACGCCCCCAGTTCCTAACCCGTCCTTCCCCCATCGCGCCCAGGAACCCACCCTCGCCCTCTACGCCGACCTGATGCCCTCCACCAGCCCGTACTGGAACCGCCGGTACCTCGAGATCCACAACGAAAAGCTCTCCATCTTCCCGGAACTCTCCTCCCCGCAATCCCGTTACCCCTCCGCCCGTGCCAACCCCAAAAGCATCGCAACCATCTCTCTGCGCAACTCCACGACTCGGGACGCGACGGCGACCGATGAGTGCGCGTTGCCGAATACGTTGATTGTGAAGGACGGGACGAGCGGGGTGGAGCAGTGGGTGCATGTGCAGAGCGTGAGCGAGTTTTTGAGGCTGGCGGCGGCTGTGGAGAGGTTTGCGACGCCGGTGAAGGCGAGGGGTGGGCTTGCGGTTCGGGTTTAAAAACGCCGTCGTTCTTGCGGGGCCGGTAGACACGGGGGTCGAGACACATGCGGAATGGTTTTGGTAATTGGTTTAGGATTTTTGGATAGGGCAGGGGTAGATTTGAGCATTTTCTGTTTTTTTGGTAGTGCGCTTGTGTTTTTCGTCTAGTCCAGTTTAGTTGCGTAGACCCCTTCGGGCTTTTGAATGCATGCTTGTTTGGGAAGTACGAACGGAAGCTCGCAATGAAGCACAAGGGCTTTTTGCAATCGCTCGAAGCACGCGATGCCCACGATTCCTGTACAGGGCCACCACATCGTAGCCTCCTAACTTTCTCATAACGCACACGAAGCATCCCACCCTCAAATCGGAAAATCCAGCGACATCTTCGCAAGCAACGAAGGCGGTATGTTCTCCAGACTGGGCGGTGACGGCAAGCTCGGCATGATGATATCGGCATACGGTGCGCTACTGGAGTATCGGAATGTATCCTCCACCCACTTGGCAGTTCGCGTGTTGGTGGGATTTTGCGCAGATTTGGCGGGGAGAGGGTTGGGCTGGCTTTCCAAGGTGGGGGAAATGAGCTCCGGGCCCTCACTGTAGGTTCTCCTGTGGGTGATGGGTGTGGAGCCGAGTGGTGGGACAGGGTCGGCCGTAGAAGATGGCACGATTTCCGTTTCGTCGCTGCTGACGGACCGGTTATCTGTGTCGTCCATAGCCGTTTCTGCCAATGGTACGTCTCCGTTTGAAGTTTGGATTCTCTTCGGAGGCCGAACATCGTGTTCCGGCTCACTTTCAGAGTCGCATTGGGTTTCCGAAACGTATTGCACTTCCGACGGGGTTGGTGGGGAAGGACGACTTTGCCGCAACGGGTTGTCTTCAAGGTTTGCCGCCGACCCCTTGCGTACACCATCAAATCCACCGGAACTAGATCCAGACGGCCTCGCATCCACACGAACAAGAGTCTTGTCCTCGGTCTCGTCTCCTTCGGGCGCGAAAGCTCCAACACCGTCCACCCTCGGTCGAAAAAAGTCCACGACGGACAATTGCCTGCCCACCGACCGCGCACCACCCTCCCCATTCCCACTCCCGCTTCCCACCCTCAACCCATCCTCCATCATCCCAACACTCTCACCCCTGGGTAACCGCCCTCGAAGTGGAATCCGGACGTCGTCAACCAGAACGGTTTGTACGAGCCGACGTCGTTTGCGCGCGTTTATCCAGCCTGGTTTGGCGGCGTTGAGGAGTAGCGGAGGGCGTTTGCGGGTGGGTCGGGCAGGTGATGGCATTGGGCCTGCGTCGTGATGAGGTTCATGCTCTTTCTGCCGGGGGGAAATGATTGGGTCCGACATGCCCATTCTGTCGCTGCGTCGAGGCGTCGCTTGCCTCGCCTTTCGGACGCATTTTCGGACACGCGTCCAGATTTGTTTTCTCACTTTTCACATTTAGCAACGACGGAGCGGTTGGTTGGAGATAGTGTATTCCTGGCCTGAGGGCAGCTCTTGCTAGGACTTCTCACTATAAAGCCCCGGTCTGGTCTACGGGGAAATCGTTAGACCAAGGATTGACAGGACAAGCACGCCGGATTCCGACAGCGCGTGTGCTGTCGGTGAGTCCTGGATGCATGCGTAGAAACATGTTCTCCACACATTCACAAATGAGCATGATACGGCCTCCGAAATAGATTCCAGCCTCCACCTTTCTTGCAGCAATCTGCATTGGCAGATGGTCATGGCTTTTGCGACGCCTCGAGTCGACGTTCTTGGGAATTCGATTCTGGTTCGTCTTCCTGGCCTTCAAAAATCAACATTTGAGGAACTTCAATTGCGCATAACCCGTGCAAGTCCACTCCTGTTAACAGCTATGTCGCGGTCTAATTCCCCGGCTATCTGGCGGTCTTCATCCCAACAGGCTGCTGCCAGAAGGTAAACCTGATTCTGAAACCGAGGGTTTTAAGCATATTGGTGTAACTGATCTCAGGTCTTGATCATGACTACCCAACAGCACAGAGCAGCCCGAAACTGTAGCTGAGAACAACATCCGCTCCTCCGCCCTCCTTTCAGGGCTTGTTGCCGAGAGCGACTCTCTCGCCGACCAACTGGACCATCTCAGGGCTGATCTGAGCCAGAACGCAAAATCCTTGAAAGACGCGGCGGAGGCGATCAACTGCTCACCAAGACCTACGAGACGCTGCTGTCATCCCACAATGTGCTCACTAGCGTCATTTCCAGCGACCGCATTTCCTCCCTTCGCGACAGCGTGGAGCGCATCACCAAGCAGGGGGCTCCGCACGAAGAAACGATTGTGAAAGCCGAAGCAGAACTTGGCGAGCGTTACAAGCAATGGATCGAAAAGCGAGACTACACATCGATGTTGTCTACGCAAGCGATGAAGAAGGTCAAGTTTGACGCTGGGGGCAAGGTGTTCTCGATCAGTTTGGACACCCTCCTTGCCGCCAAGGGGAGCATGTTTGAGGCCTTATTCCGCGAACACTGGGGCCCGCAAGCGGGCGATGATGGGACAATCTTCATCGACAGAACGCCGGAGCCGTATGATTTCATCTTTGATTACCTGCGTGCCCGAGTGAGCGGCGAGGGGATTAACCTTCCAACCGATGAAATGGCCGTTGCGGCCTTGAAGAAGGAAGCTGAATTCTTGTGCTTCACCGACCTTATTGAAGACCTCAAAAAGAATCCCCCGCCGTATCTGTCCGGCAATGACAAGAGTTCTTCCATGGGAAGGAGAAGGCAGAAGATTCACTGTCCCACCTGCCACAACAATGAGTATTACCAACCCCTTGTGACCTGGAACGCCAAGAAGAGATTTTACCAGTGCTATTCATGCGGCGCGGGTTACATGATCACCCATCATTAGGCGCAAAATCCGGAACGTCCATACGCGATCCACCTGTCTGTACTCGGGTCTATGAAGTCTATGGGCGCGGGGGAAATACTTCCGGATCTCAGTCACAGAATAGTCATAGCTCTGTAGCAAATGTTTGGAAGGCCTGGTAGCTAGTTTCGACGCCTATGTATACAAATATCTCGGCGTCAATGTAAAGCAGGAGGTGATCCGGTGACCATGAAATTATTTGTCACATCACAGTTCATAACATATATAGCAGGTGCGATCCTCATTAAATATGGATCAAAAGAAAACTTTTCCTAAATACAGGAGTATGCCCTCATTGCAAGGCATTTTGCGTAATACCATAAATCATCTTGGAGAGCGTAAAGCTCCTCAGCTCAGCCTTCATCAGAGGACATCTTCGTATCCCCACTGATGAACCGTCATCAGTTCTGGAAACCAAATGTCATGGCTTGCGGGCGTCGTTCAACTGTCGGTGGCGTTCCAGGTCAAAGGGAGAGGTCGGAGAAGGCTTGCTTGACGCGTTTGTCATGGAAGGGCCGAGATGAAGTGCACAGCCACCGGAGGCGGAAATCGGACGTCTTTCGTCCATATCGCACTCTCTGTTTCCTCCACAACCCGCACAGCACAAAAGAACCCCATCAGTAACATGTCTCAGGACCGGCCGCTGCAGCAACACCAGGGCGAGGTGCTTGCCGCACTATCGCATCCGTCAAACAGACTCACCTCGATCGCCACAATCCCTGCCTTGTCTGACGACACCCTCGCCGCAATCATCAACAAGCACTACCAAGCGAATCCCACCACTGCACGGCCTTACATCCAATATGCCTCAACAAACTCCGCTGCCCCTTTCTCAAATACGCGGTTACGTCCCAGTCTCGATTGGGCTCACCGGCTGGGCATGTCAATGAGTGGGATTCATTTGCTGGAGAGGATTCAGCGTCTGCGCACAGTCACGGCACCACCACAGTCTACAGAGGAGTTGCAGTCCCCGAGGGGGTTGAAGCGGAAATTGGACGTCGGTCTACCCTCCTTTAATGGTGCCGCGGATAGCAGGAGGAGGAAAATGGTGGATGGGGGCGAGGCAGTTGCGCGAGACGCTGCCGAACACGAGGAGGAGGAGAATGATGAGAATGCGCCGCCTGACGCTGCCGGTAGGAGGATATTCTCTGATATTACCAATGCGAGTATTTTGGAGGGCAGCCGGCCAGTTGCCGTACAAGATGGGGATCCGAATGGACATGTAGCCATGGAGGCTATGGATGTTGTTGAGCCGACCACTGCTGTTACCGGAGAGATTGAAGTGGTGGAGAAGAGCGTGCTTGTCTCGGGAGTTGGGCAAGAGACGGACGTGGAGCATATGGAGGCTGTTCATGAAACTGTACCTCGGAACGCTATGGATGCGGTCGAACACTCGAGCCAGAAAGAAACGGATGCAGCAGCGACATCAGAACTTACTTCGCTGCCAACCCACCATGAGGGCGACCCTTCATTGTCCAGCCACCACGAAGTCGACGAGACAAGGATAGCGGTCGAATCCAGTGAAGCCCACCTCTCCACCATCGCACAAATCGCTTGTACTCTCCCCACTCAACAATCATCCGACCCACTCTCCCTCTTCTTCCACGCCCAACAACCCTCCTTCGCGTTCGACGACGACGAACCAGACGCCGCCGATACCTCCCTACACACGCTTACAGAGCCCGCATCAACATTAGCGGACGAGGATGACACGGACGACGACACTCTGCCACTGTCGCAGGCTGAGAGCGAGTTTTTGGAGGGGTCGCAGGATCTGTCGGGCGATGTTGATGATGACTTTTGGCCTCCTATGCGGCAAGAAGATGATGATGGCGAGGATAAGCGGGACGACGACGCGCAGCTGGGGACCCAGGGAGATGCGATGAATGCTGATGACCAGGTCCGCGAAAACCCTTTCGCCACAGCTTCCAAGAACGCGCCGGAATGGGAGTCTGAAACGATCAAACTACCCGAAGACGACCCAGCCAATGACAGCGACGCCACCCAGATGTATACGGAGACGCAAGACCACGGTTCGCACGACTTTGCCCGCGGCTTGTCGCATCTGGCCGCTGGCACGTCTATGCAGCTCACGCGGATGAGCTTGTTGCCGCCGTCGCCGGCAGTCGCTACAGATGCTACCACTTTTGAGGATATGCTGGATCGGGGTGGAGATGACGGTGCGGCGATGGGACGGGACGGTGAAAATGTCAGTGGAAAAGGCGACGTGGATACGAGCGCGATCAGGGATGGTGTCATAGGGCTGCAGTCGCAGGAGATGGAGCGAGAGGAGGGGATGGATCAGACGGGGTCTCTGGAGGCGACGGAGAAGGCGACGGGGCATGTGGAAGCGAAGCAAAGGGATGAGGAGAGGGAGGTGTCGCATCAGCAACCGGAAGCCGAGCCGCTGCATGTAGATAGGATGCCGCGTGGGCATCTCCAAGAAACGATCGTAGAAGAACCACATGTGGACGCACAACAGCAGCCGATGGAAGAGCCGATGCGCGAGCATGCGCAGGACGAGTCGATGCATGTGGATGAGAAAGTGCAGGAGCTACATGTACATGCTCAAGCACATCAGCCGCCTGGAGAGGAGCCGCGGGCGGACACACACCAGCTACCTGAGGAGATCTCGATCCACGAATCGGTGCAAGGGAAGGAACACGCGTCAGTTGAGCAATCCCATGAGCACGAACAAATGATGGCGGACGAGGGTGGAGATGTACGGAGCCAGCCACAACAGCAAGGGGAGGAGGAGCCGATGCGTATGGAAGAGCAGATGGAAGCGCAGGAGCCGATGCGTGAGGTGGAGCCAGAGCAGAAGGTGATGGAGGGTCAACAAGTACAGCAACCGCAGTTGCAGGAGGCGACACATGTAGCAGAGCAGTTGGGAGCGCATGGGCCCATGCGTGGAGAGGAGACACCGCAGAAAGCGGGGGGGCCGATATGTGCAGAAGAAGAAGGGCATAAGGTCGTGGAAGACGAAGATGTGCACAACAAGCCGGAAGACGACTTGCAGGAACCGATGCGCGTGGAGCAGCAGGAGCAGTCGAAAGGGGAGGGACAGAACAAACAGCCCTTGAACGAGCCGCAAGAACAAACGCATGAGCCTATGCACGAGGAACAGCATGAACGAGCGCAGGGGATGGAGATGGAGCTGGAGGCAGAGACGGACATGGACAAGGAAGAGAAGCCTCAGAACGAGCCACAGGAGCCATCGGAGGTGCCGATGCATGAGCAAGCCCACGAGGCGACGCCCCTGGACGAGCCACAACAGCTCCCGGTGCTTCTTCAACATCCCGAGCCAGAGCAAGATGAGCCAAAGCACATACCAACGAAAGAGCTGTCACAACAAGCGGAAGAGACCGTTCTCGGACAACCGCCTCACGACCCAGAGTCAAAGCCCGAGGCAAAATCGCCGCAAGACCCACAGCACCAATCCCCACCCCCCGCCGAATCACAAGACCCAAAACACGACCAACAATCCGAGACCACCACTAAATCAACACCATCCCTTCGATCGCCCAGCACCTCCATATCCCCGATATCCCCTGTTGGATTCACGTTTGGGCTGAATGTTGGGTTTGGGTTTGGGTTAGAGCCTAGGGCGCCGCCTCCTGAGTGATGGAGGGATTTGAGTCTGCGGGGCATGTAAGACGTCCGATGCTTCTGTGGAAGATTACGGGGCGTGCGGAGGGAGGTGGGAGGATGGATGGATGGAGAGTGGGCGGGTGGCATGGATTGACTTTGTTTCTGCACGGCGGTTGGGATGGTCGCATTGAATAGATACGACCGGGGATGGGTATTGCGTCGTCGTGTAGGTAGAGGGGCTGATGAGGCGGAAAGCGGGAGTAGCGGTCATTGTCGGCGTAGTCGTCGTCGTCGTCGTCGTCGTTGTCGCAGATGTTCAGTCTTCAGAATACTTTCCATTCAAGAGTACTCGGTGCCAAACCTAGCTGGCGCCAAGGGTAGGATATGCTAGGGGAACACAGTGCCTATGCTATGCCGTCATGTGCTACGGAACAGGTGTTTACACAGGTGGATCTTTTCTCTCTCCCCACGGGACTTCTCCGCTGTTCAAAATACGAAATAGTAGATAGGGGAGTGAGTTGGACGCGTTGTTTACGCGTTTCTGCTTACGTGATGACTCACTAGACTCAGAAGGGTTTCCTGTCCTTCCGTCCTTCCCTTCCGGATCCCATAAAAACGAACTCAACGAAATACATGCGACACAAGCACGAAGTATAGGATTCAGCGTACACCAACTTACAACCAGCATTCGTAATTCCACTCGACTCGGTAGCGCCCGCCATGGACATCACCGTCCTGAACCGGTACGTCAAAGAAAAACGCCTCAAACGTCACCCGCATAAAACCCTCCCGCTCTTCATCTGGAACTACACCGAGATAACGCAAGCCAAAAAACTATGGGACGATATAACCCTCGCATGCCGCGGTCTCATCACCGACACGAATGGTACCATCGTCGCCCGCTCTTTCCCTAAATTCTTCAACGAACCCGAACGGCCATATGAATCTACGCCGGAGTTTGCCGTGGAGAAGAAGGTCGATGGGAGCTTAGTGGTTTTGTTTTGTTATAAGGGGGAGTGGATCATGGCCTCCCGCGGCGCCTTCGACAGCCCGCAGGCGGGATTGGCCTCGCAGCTTCTCAACGAACGGTATCCGACGTTGGTCGACCACCTGGACGCGGACCTGGCGTACAGTTTCGAACTCGTGCACCCGGAAAACCGCATCATTGTCGACTATGGCTCCGACCGGAAACTAGTCTTCCTCGCTGCCTTCCATCGCGACGGCGTGGAGGTGGATCGGACATCACTCACGACGCTGATGCGGCGATCCGGTGTCGAACTTGTGCCATCAATCAATATCGACTCCTTCACCATTATAGCGGATCTACGGGCCCACAACACACTCAACGAAGAAGGCTACGTCGTGCGTTTCACTACTGGCCTGCGAATCAAGGTCAAATTCGCGCGATACCTCGATCTCGACCGCATCGCTCGCAAACTCACTCCACGACGGGTACTCGACCTCTACACCGCGGGTGTACCGACGTTCGAGGATCTCTGCGAGAAGGAACGTATCCCTGACGAGTTTATGTCGTGGGTGCGCGCCATCTGGGAGAATATAGACCGGAAGTATGCCGCGGACAGGGTAAAGGTGGAAGCGGAATACGAGGGCTTGGTGGGGACGACTAGGATTCCGAAACCGGAGTTTCAGGAGTTGATTAAGAAATTGGATTTCAGGAAACCGTTGAGTGCCATGTATGACGGGCAGGATCCGCGGAAGGCGCTTTTGAAGATGATCAACCCGAATAAGATGGTACCGGGCGCAGAGGAGGCGTACAACGGAGGCTCATGACGTAGGCGTAGGCGTAGGGGGCTATAGGGTTAGGCACTTTTCTTTTGTTTTTGGATGAAGTCAAGGACATGTTCCTCACGGCTCAAAAGGTCGGGGCTGTTGTGGAGAAGGAGTATAAGGGTGAATCTTTGACGATTACACTACAGGTAAGGATGTCGATGTTATTGACTGTGCTGCGGGGATCAATCTCATGATGGGCAATCCGACCTTCAGGATGGATCGATGGCCGGCCAAACGGTACCGCACTTCCATGTCCACATTATCCCACGAGTGAACGGTGATTAGGCCAATAACGATGATATCTACCCGGAAATTGATAAGAAAGAGAAAGAAATGAACGTGGGACTCAGTAAAGGAGCAAAGGACAAGAAGGGAGTGGATAATGACGAAAGGAAGCCGAGGACGCTGGAAGAGATGATGGTGGAAGCGACTGGACTTCGGGCTAAGTTCGAGCAATTTGAGAATGTGTGGAGTGCTTGAATGATAGAGAGTCTGGCGTACGATTCGGCACTGGTCAATCCTCGAGTTCCCGATTTGTTTGCCAACCTGGTGTAGACTCTCTAGAGTAGTCAGTCGTGAGCAGCTTCTCTGCTTGCAAGGGTACGCATTTATGGTTGATTTGTACTTTTTTTGAATGCATTTGGGGAAGTTTGGCAGGCTAGTGGGAGGGAGTGGGGACACAGAGAGGGGAGGGAGGGGACAGGGGGAGCGCAACGGCATTGGAAGGATCGGGAAAGTAGCGACGATACATAAGAGTTGCAAACTGGGGTGGGGACGGGATATGGTATGGGAGGGAGGGCATTGTTCGGCCCATGAACACTATTGTTGGAGGCTTCATGGAAGAGGTCGAGACAGGGACTGATGGTGGGAAACGAGGAAGTAAAGTGTCCTGAAGAGATGAAGCAAAGACTTCAGAACGTCGCGAAGGGTGCGGAGGACAAGCGCCGGAGGGTATGTGGTCTTGACGTGGGAGCACGCAGCAATTGCAAAGCGTAACGGAGCCGACGCGAGCGACAGGCGAGTCGGCTTAGAAGTCGAATCCTCCAGTGGGGACATTGACAGTGTTGGGGAACGAGAACTGCCCCGTCGCCTGGTCGATCTGCGGCGCCATGGCGGTATCGTCCTCATCCTCCTCCGAAAAGTACTTATCGATGATGGTGTACGCCTTCTTGTAGATCTCGGCGTTGTCGTGCAATTGGAGGTTGTAGATCTTGTCGACACCCATGGCTTCCTCGATGAAGTTCGCCATCACGTTTTGCCCGTGGGTTTGGACACGTTCCATGTCGCCGACCTTCAAAATGTTCTCCAACCCGTCCAAAGCCACCTGGGTGATTTTGTTGTCTTGCGATGCGAGGAGGTCGCAGAGGGGTTTGATGCAGCCTTGCGAGACAAGGTACCTAAGCAAAGGAGAAAAATGGCATAATGGTCAGTTGATGTAACTGGGATGAGACGCGAGATAAGACCAAGGGATGTGACGAGGAGTATACATACTTGATCTGTTCAGGCCTCTGGAGACCTCCGGATGTAGCATTGGAGATCGCCCAGCACGCCTCCTTCTTGGTCTTGAAGTCGCCAGTGTTCAGGATGTTGATCAACGGAGGGATCAGGTTGGCCTCAATGATAGCCTGGAATACAAAAATGGGTGAGCTAAAAAGGGTATGCGGCAAACCTAAAACAACGACCCATGTACCTGAATCTGAGCGGCATTTCCAGCAGTGACGTTGGAGATGGTCCAACAAGCCTCCTTCTTGATGCCATCCTTGGGACTGCTAAGGAGTCCCAAAAGAGCGGGCAAGGCCCCCGCGCTGATGACCACCTGAGTTTGAGTGTCGTCACCAGTGACGATGTTTCCAATGGAACGCAACGCCGGCGTCTGGACCGAGGGAGAGGGATGGTGAAGCAGCTCAACGAGACGGCGGCAAACACCCGTCTCAATGACCGTCTGAATCTTCTCGTTGGCTCCGTCGGACAGGTAAGAAATGGCCCAGCATGCGTCAGTGAGGACTTCTTCGTCGTTTGCGTGGATCAGCTTCGCGAGTATTGGGAGAGCGGGGGAGATCTGCGAAGGAAAATCGATGAGCTTAGAAAAATAAAAGATATCGATGAATACGCACCGTGGCCCAATCCGGCTGAGGCTGCTTTCCACGGCAGAAGTTGGAGAGTGTCCAGGTAGCATTGCGCAACATGGACAGTTTGTTGGTGGGCTCGTTCACGACGTGCAACAATGGGCGAAGAGCACCGGCGCGCAAGACGAAATCCCGGCATCCAGGGCTGTCGCCGGCAATGTTTCCAAGCGCCCAAACCGCCTAAAAGAGACGCAAGGATCAGAATGAGGTCTTGTCAGCGTCGTGGGAACACCACCGTCATACCTGCTCCCTGACATCCGGACTTTGCGAGCTCAAGAGCTCAACGAAGATAGGGACAGCGCCGGCCTCCATGACGACCTGAGTCTGGTGAGAAGCTCCGGACGCGATGTTGGTCAAAGCCCAGGCAGCTTCAAACTGTGACGGAGGAAATGAAGTTCAATATGAAGCTCTGCAACAAGGTTTATCCCTTGTCATACACGCACCTGCAACAACGGGTTGGGGGAGCGGAGGAACTCCACAAATTTGGGGATGACTCCAGCGTGAATGACTTCCTCGATGGGCGGGTTTTGTTCTGCAGAATGCTTCGTCAGACTAACATCTCAAATCACTGATATAGGAGGATCATACCTTTAGACAGAAGTTTCCTAAATCGTGCCGTGGCTGTGGCCTGAGCCTCCACATCGTTTGAGAAGACCCCCCTGATCATCTCGTCCATGTCCTGCGTATCCAAAATTGAACTCGGTTAGAACATCTCGTTCATACTCTATACGATCAGGATGCTCGCTATCGTTCGCCAAATATTCGGGTCGGTGTAGCTCGTCATGCTCCATCGCTCGTCGTCGCCCCACCCGGCACTTCCAGTTCCTTTGCTCCCTTAAACCCATACTACTCGTATTCCCCTCACTCGCGCTCGCTATTACCACACACTTCCTCAATTACACTCGTTCCGAATCCTTACCGGAGCAGAGCCACCAAAGCTCATCCCTTCATCCTCGGATTCCGAGAGGTCACTCGTAATGTTCAAGTTCCTACGCTTCGCGATATTCTCCTCCCGCTTCTGCTTGCGCAATTCGACAGCGACATCCTCCCTCCTGCGCCTGTGCTCTTCCGGGTTCAGAGCACCACGATTTTTGTACATCTGCTGCCTGTGCTCAGGAGCTTTCTTTGCTCTATCAGACATGGCTGCGGACGTTATATGTGGGTGTGTTTACCGGAGATCTAGAAGACTAGGGCATATTTAACATGAGGTTAAGCGGACGAGGAGCAACCAAAAGTGCATATTCTCAAAGCCGGTAGCTTCTGGTGCTCACAGCAAAAGGGCCGCCCTCCCAGGCTCTTCTGGGAATAGTGCCACCAAAACATTGGACAAACTCCCACGAACGGAAGTAGCTCCCCTCGGATATCTGTTTGAGGACGAAAACGGCACTTACGTATGTCTATGAAGACCTGCTAAACGACCAAGCGAATACTGCCGGTTATATGCTCCTGTGCTGTCGGGTTGCTGGATGTTTATGTGCTGTAGTAGGTTATGGCTTCCAGTTGGGAACTTCTAATGCACCGTCAAGCGGGTTGTGTCTTGTTGAAAAAGTTCCCCACGGGGAAGCGACCGGTGAGAATTGGGTGAGGCTACTGCGACACCCCCCTCCTCGCAGGCGGGTGGCTGTGCTGCCTCATTTGCTCCCTTCTTCGGTTTGACTTGGAAGTTTCTTCCCAGGCCTTGCTCTCACCTGCGCCCTCACTCGCAACCCCACCTACTTTTAGGATGAGGATGGCACTACCCGCCAAATGTCCAAAGTTTTCCTAGCTGACGCCATTACGGTACTGGGGTTGAACTTTACACCGGCTATGCGGCCGCGGGACCCGCCGGTTTTCTGAAATCCACAGTCTGAGATTGTTTTTCCGGTCGTCCCAAACCTTACCACCAAGTTTCGTGAGTACCACAGAGTCGTTCAGCATGTCTCAGTGAAACGCGGCCAGGCTAAAAAGTTTTTCTAGACAGCATCTTTCTAGTGATTTGTGGGTTGCTGCTGATTTCGCTCTAGGGCAGCCGTGGTCTGTTATGATCGGACGGGCGTCGGCAAATGTTGGACTCGATTTGGCTTTGGTGGAACCCCGACGGGATCTGTGCGCTGTTATGTAGTGCGGACCGTGGAGCCGCGAAAGGTTTCACACCCTTAGAACGCAAATAGTGGATGTTGCACAAACCAGGAATCAACCTTATAGTCGACTCCTGGTTTCTGCGACATCCACTATTTAGGGTTTTAGAGGACCTTCCGTCCTCTCGCTCGTCTCAGGTCCACGTTGGAGGTCAAGATGCGATATTGCCGGAACTCACACCAACATCCCACCGCATCGCCAGTGTCGTGTCGACGTATCCATGATTGGCATGCTTCTCCTCGACGGAGTAAATATGAGTTGAGATGCTGGAATTGAGGACGTCCATAGCGGCGCCACCTTCCAAAGTGTACCCGCAGCATCCAACGGCATGAGACATTTGAATAGCGAAAGGATATGCGATCAAAATCCATATTTTCTTTGAGAACCACCAAATACACGCACCTCGTTTCCTTTTAATATACACTCCGCCAGGACGTCGACATACCCCCTATATTCAATGGTCATCTACAACACTACTGGTGCTCCGCAGACTGGAGCATGTGCGTCTGTTATGCCCCTCCTGCTGACACTGTGTGCACCTCCGTTTTCGGGGCCTCTGCATCTCCATCAGCTCAACTGTGGCGTTCTCAGAGGAGCCTTCTTTCATCCGGTCAAAATATACATGCTCAAGATGAACACTCCCATCCAGCCCAACATCCATCACCCCAAACGAGTACCGAGCCTGCCGTCGCTTATCCGTCGGCGATCCCGGATTAAACATCCTTACTCCATCCACAATCCTATCGCTCGGTACATGCGAGTGGCCATACACGACAACATCAACCCGCTCATGTTCCAGTGCGTGAAACGCTCGCTGTTCGGTGGTGTGGGAAGATTTTCCTTCATGCCCGTGCACGAGTCCTATTTTGACCCCGGATACGGCGATCACTTTTGCGGCGGATCCGAAATGGTGACGGATTCTGGCGTCGTCGTTGTTTCCTGCTACTCCGATGATTTCGGTGTTGGGGAATAATTGTTGGAGCATTGTGTAAGATTCGTATGAGGCCCAGTCGCCTGCATGTAATATCATATCCACAGATTGGAAATGGGTGAGGAGAGTGGGTGGAATCTCTTTCGATCGTTTGGGAATGTGGGTGTCCGCCAAGATCCCTAGTCTAACCATGGCTGGATACTACACCAAGAATGGGAAGTGAAATTTTATCTGGCAAGCGATAAGGAAAAAACGCCCGCCGCTACGATTTGCGATGCGCGTCAATCGAGCGTGACGAGGCCAAAGGTGTCGACGAGACGATTGGAGACGGGGATCGGTCCTAGCGTCAAAGCAGAAGGGACGGCGAGAGGAAGAAAGGCCGAGATGCTGAGATGGGAGGGGTCTTTTGGGACGTCCGATTTCGCACCCGGTGGCTGTGCACTTCATGCATTACGAGCGCGCCCATCTCCGACCAGCCCTCTATATCTACGATCTATCCCCGCACTGGAATGCACTTTCGGAGACGACGACGCAAAGCAGCTTCACAAGTGTGAGACGATATCCCAGGGCACAAAAATCCATTCCATGTTGCGGAATTCCCAAAATCCTTCAGCTCCAGCCATGAATGCCAGCGATTCATGTCCCAGTCTGCGTTCATAGATTGCCCCAATCAAGAACATTCTACAACAACGCCATACTAACAACCACCCCAACCCCAACCGCCCACCCCCACCCCATCCCGACCCGACCCGCCATTGAAATCACACTACACCCCATCGCCTTATAAAAAACCCCACCAGTCTCCACCCCCCCAGCCCCAACACTCGTACTTCCCGCAAGCGTCCGACACGTCCCATCCGACACATACTCCGCACTAGCTAGAGCGCAGTTGGCGCACGCGTCGTCGACGCAGATGTAGGTTTGCACAGTGGTGCCGTTGCAGTTCATTGTGTACCAGGTGGTGGCGCTCAGGAGGGACTGCGGTTGGCATGAGTTGGGCGGGAGCGTGTGGACTTCTTTCCTGGTGCTGCAGGAGGAGTTGGTGTAGATTTCGATGCTGATGTCGGTTGCGTGGGTGAGGGAGAGGAGAGCGAGGACGGTGAGGAAGGTGACGAGCGGGGATTTCATTTTGGACTGACTGCGTAAGAATACGTTACCGTTAGCCGGGCGGATGCAAAGACATGGAAGTCTGACCGCACGAGAACTGCGGACGTACATACCTTGCACGCTGAATTTGAAAGTATGAGAGTTATTTCAACATCTTTCAACGGACAATAGATGCGAGAAAAAGTCCAGATTCTAATGTGTGGAGTGTGAATTTGAAGTGTTGAAGTGGAAGGGCCAGAGTAGGAGCTTGGCAGACAGAAGCGCGCTATGTTTGCGCCACAATGTTTAACGTCAACAAGATTATTTTCGGAAACTCGATGTGACTCGAGCGTTCAAGGAGGAGTGTTGCTCTCTTTCGGCGTGATGCTCGGCATTCGGGGGCCACAGACATGGTGATGAAGAGACCCCGTCAACACTGATCCCAAGAAAGCACGCCGGCGGACGCCCCGTGAAAAAAGCCTCATTGGCGAAAGATGGTTCGCGAGCCCCTACGAGATGCAGGAGCAAGCTGTGTGCCGACGTGCAGATGAAACAAAATTCAAAAAGAAAATAGAATATGGCCTGTCGTTTCATCCCAAAAGTCAGCGCTCGCTGAATACATGACCCCACCTCGGCTCGCATATGGATCCCTGTCTAAGTTCGAATGGCCCTCCGATACCCTATCCTAAGAAAAGAGCATCGTGGCGAGTATAGGATGAGACTTCCTCGTTTCTCCCTCTAATCTAGACTCAGTTTTCGTCGCTCTCAAGGGTCTTGTAGTCCTCAACTTTGAAAGATTCACCGAACACGACCAACCACTTGTACACGCGTTCGTAGACCTGAGGAGGGCGATGGATGAGTTCCAATTCACTGCCAGCCGAACAGGAGGCACACAAATGAAAGCATAGGAAAAATTCCACTTACCATGAATGTGATCGCTTGTCCGGGGGCGACACGCAAGACACGAGGTGTTAATCCCTTGTAGAACGCAGTGTAACCCTCGTTCTTAATGATCCCCGTCGTAACAGACATGAAGCGGGTCCAGCCCTTCTCCTTCGAAGGGTTCTTCTGAATCCTAGTCTTGATGGTATCTATGGGAGCGTTGAACAACGGTCCGCATGCTCCGGAAACGAAACCCATGATCAGATGTTGGTAGGCAGGGAGGGTGTCGCCGTATTGCGGTTGCTTTTCGTGCAGAACCTTGCGGAGGTATTGGTAGACGGTGAAGTTGGCGGCTTGGTTGGTGGCTAAAAGTAAGGGAAAAACGGTGAGTGATCCATTTCCATGCGGAGCGAACAGCGACGACGTTTACCTTGTCGCAGGGCGGTCAATCCGACACCCTTGTACAATGATGCAATACCCTCCTCTTGAATCATCACATACGCGCAGTGGGCAGCGTTCCTGTACTTTGGAATGTCCAGAGGATCGGTCATGGAGTGACGCTGAGCTTGCAAGCGAATCTTGATCACGTCCATGGGTGTCACCACCAACACAGCTTCCGTTGTTCCCGCAGCCAGACCAGCTAAATGAAAGCAATGATAGTACGCAGTGAGCAACCATTCCCCATATACATGGAGCACAGCCATGCGAGAACGCACCCATGAAGTTCCCGCCAGCGCTAACTTTTCCGGTAGTCTTGTCAGCCATCTTGGCCTTGAAGTACTCAAACGACGAGAATCGAATGGCCATTTTTGGAACGATTCCGGTCACAACGGCGCCAAGACCCTTGTAGAGCGACAAAACACCTTCTTTCCGCGCGATTTGGACACCAACACTGATGAAATTCTGGCTCTTCGGCTACGCGAGAGTAAAGTATAACGTTTAGCTCATTGTCATGAGACCTGATGATCCGAATCTGGGCCGCCCAAATCCTTCCTTCGCTTACCTGTGCAGCAGCGGCCTTCATGGCATCTCCAGCCGCCGTGGTCAAGGGCTTCCTTGCTCCTCGCTCTCCACGCAGCTGAAGACGAACTTTGATAGTGTCCAATGGATGGCATGATAATGCTTCGCAGCATCCCGCGATACCTCCAGCAACGAGGTGAATCGCGAGGTTCTTCTTTTGTGGCTTTGCGGCGTCTTTGGACATGGTTGATATTGGCAGTTTTGAAGTCGTGGGAATGCTTTGTGTGGAGGTCGGAATGGACGATGGCGGAAACGATGCAGAGGATTTTCACGCGTTCTGTACTATTTCGAAAGAAAAAGAGGAACGGGGAGGGAAGGTTAAGCTCAAATTCGAATTGGGCGTGTGTCGTCGTTCCGCATCGGGGGAAAATCGGTGCGAACTGGGAAAAGGCCGCAAAGCAAACGGCGACGGCGACGGCGGGGAGAATGGCGCAAACGGCGACGGCGACGCTTACCTTGCGGCTGTTCCTGTGAAGAATGCGACAACCCCGAGTATGTGCGCTAGTGCAAGATGCTTCGTAGTTGGAGGTCAATTTACTGTAATGTACAGGGCTGTGCTGAGGACTTTATACGCGTGCTCGCCAGTTGATATCAGCTCAGGCGGTGGGAATTGGGCTCAGTACAGTATATCTTGGGGAAGATGGCGGTAACTTGCAGCGCGAACAGGAAGCAGAGGACAGGTAACGATGACGGGCAAGCAAAGGGTTCAAGGCGAAAGGTTCTCAGGGAGGGCTGTCTTTTGGAAAGGACGTCTTTTGTATTCCACTCCGCTTTTGGGAGTCGTCCACAACGCTTTATGGATGACTCTTTGCATGATGCATGGCAGGGTGAGGCCGGGGGATGAGGGTGAGGTGAACGCGCGCGCGTGGGAAGCAAAGCAAGTCATGCCGTGTGAGATGCCATCTCTTGAAGCCGGAAGCCGCCCCCCTCATGCTGCAGGCGGTGTATCGCGGGCGCCGGGCAGGATGGGCTCCTTCGTCATCACCATTCAGTACATTTCCCTCGGCGGCCACCGCCCACATGTCAAATTCATCACTCCACTGGCGAATGAGTGGCGATCGGCGGATTTGCCTGGTCACTTGACGAAGGGGGCTCGCTCTCTCTCTCTCTCTCCGCTCGCTCTGGCGGCAAATCTGCAACAACTAAAGTTACCAAACAGGGTTCTGGCTGCGGTTGATGCCGGGTCGCCCTCCGAAAAACATGGATTCACATTCCTTTGGCAAAGCGGGTCCTTCCTGCGAGAAGGGAAGACGTTGGTGCAGCGATGAGACGCCAAAAGTCAAAAATTGGCGACGGTCACACTGAGAAGTGATTGGCGGCCATGAGCACGAGGGTTCGGGTGTGGCCGGGGCAGTCCGGGTTTCCCTCCGTTTCCTTCCGCTTTATACATCACGTGTCTTCACGTGCCATTTGTCGGTTCAAACTGCTTCGAGCTAATACGAAACGGATAGGAAACAATCGGATGGATATCTGGAAAGCGGCGACGAAGGATAACCTGCACTTTTGGACGTCGCTCTTGGACAAAACTGCAGCAGACGATTCGAAGGCGATGTCAGTTTGACCGGATTCAGCGATGGTTGCCTTCGATCTCACAATCTTCACATCCCTACGCCTTTTGATGACATCCAAAGTTCCACATATATAACAGGATCGCAAAAATCTTCGAAAACATCGCTACACAGCACCAGGACAGGTACGCAAAAAAACGACGGTGGGAGCGGATGGATCCGGCTGCCTGGAATATCCTGCGCTGTTTCTCCAGTGTAGCATTCCGGCACTAATCGCCCTATTATCGTCTGATATGCCAATCTAGCAAAAACAGCAAGAAATATCCAAAATCGATGCGAAAAGAGACATTATTGTTCCAAAAGAATAGCCAAGCTGTTCTTGGCAATATATATTGTAGTACAAAACGAAAACTAACAATCACAAATCAACTAGTTGAGCCCAAAATTTCCATGGCGCATCGCAGAATTCCGTTAATATCTTTCAAAGACGGTAAGTGTGCAAGGTTGACAACCTGATACTAGTAGAGCACTCAGACTAGTGCCCATGATATGCGTAGCCAGGGTATGGGGGTCCTCGCGGAGGGTATTGTTGCGGCGTCGCGCCATAAGGTGCAGGGTATGAATGGTTGTTGGCATAAGGGGAGCGTCCCATCTCCTGCTGTTGCTGTTGGGTGAGGGAAGATGACGCGAGCTGACCAGATTGCCCCTGCTGTGTCGCCTGCTGCACCGGCTGGATCGGGTGCCCCAGGTGCGGCTGCGGTGACTGCACCTGCGGCATAGTGGATTGCCCAGGTCCGCCAGGGTATGGGTACTGCTGCCCAGGATAATGACCCATGTACGGATAGTGCGTGCTGCCAGCAGAAGCTTGGTGGGGGCCTGGAGGAGGCAACGCAGCCGAATGACCGTAGGGAGTGTGTCCGTACGGATAATGCGAGTAAGCACCCGGAGCTTCACCGGGCCGTTGGGGAGCCCAGTTGGTGTATGGAAGGCTGCCGGGGCTTCCGTTGGTGTCAATGCCGGAACTAGGCACCGAGCCGGACATGCTCCCACGCCCGCCGGCGCCGCCCAACGAGAAGGTTCTATGGGGCGGCGGAGGCATGTGATGGCCGTAGGAGAGTCCCTCCTGGGGGAGGAAGCTGACGCTTCGCCTCGACACGCTGTGCAGACTTGGGGACCGCGACGACCGCGACTGGCCGTCAATGTGTGCGACGGAGCTATGCCTCGAGTCAGGAATGCTCATGTGACGCTGCGAGCGACCGGTGCTGGCCCCACTCGCGTTGGACGGTCGGCGATCGTCAGCTTCCTCAGAGTTGCTCCGCTTCTTGCCGCTCTTTCCCTTGTCTACATGGTTCTGCATCGCGAGGGCATTTGCGGTGGCAACGGCCTTCTTGCCAGGTTTGGTGGTCTTGCGGGGCGTGTATTTGTAGTCTGGGAAGGCCATGGTGTGCAATCGTTTGGCTTCCTCCGCCTTCACCTTGTATTCATCTTTGACGCTCTGCGGCTCTTCGGCCCACATCCTCCCAATGACTCGAGACACCTGCAGATTAACGAATGAAAGGATTGGGAAATTTATCGGCACCAACACTCTCGATGCAAGCTGGTGACAGCTACAAGTGCTACTCACCTCGTTGTTCGTAATGCCTTCATGCAGTCGAAGAACCTCGTCTTGCTTCTCAGTTCGATAGATGATGAACGAGTTTGGAGGCCTGGGAGCTTTCTTCGGCTTGGTCGTCGACTGCTTGTACACAGCCGGCTCAGACGAAGTGTTCGCATTCTCTCCCACCTAACGGAGTGAATGTCGGTTAGGTTGGCAAGCTCAGCCAGACGTAGCAATCCTGTATGGAGAGGATGATTCGACGCATACCTTTGTGAGCTTGTCATCCCCAGAGGCCACTCTGGTCGCCAGAGGCGGGAACATAGCGCCGACGTTGACGAGATTGACCAGCAACTCTGCATTCCTGGGCACATGAGCCGGAATGAGTAGCGGGTAGTACCCCGTCGGAACCTTGTACGTCTGTCCGGTCTCTTCCACATTAGCCTTGGAGGACACTCGCGACTGGCTCGCCAGCGTCGTATCCGACTGGGGCGCGGTACCGATTCCCAGACCTTGCAAAGGCGTAGGGGCGGGTATCATCGAGCCCCTGCGAGATGAACGGATCATGGCGGCATTGTCACGGCCGGAGGCCATGGAAAGCATGGAAAGCATGTCCGCCGTGATCGATGCGCGACGAGAGGTGGGAAGACTCGAGTCGCTGAGGGAGCGTGACATGTTCTGATTGAGAGCCGAGGCGCCCTCGAGGACAGGGTGCAGCTGTTCAGGAAAGATCTTGGAGGCCGAGCTTGCAGCTTCCATAGCATCTTCGAATGTCTGTGTGGGGGCCGAAACGGAAAAGAAAGGCATGACAAACGCGGTCAATATGGTGTCAATTTCAAACAGGTTTGTGCGCAGCCTCAGGGCACGCTGTCACATTTTCCAACCCCCACACCAAACAACTGTCAAGCACAACAACTTACATGGTCCCGCTCGTAATTGGCAGTCAAGATGCTGTCGCTGCCAGCCGTTGTCGCTTGAGGAGGCTTCTCAACGTCATAGAGATCATCCTTGCTTTGCAAGGTAGACAGCTGGCGATGGAGCTCGGCAGCGTTGACGGATCGGTCGAGCGGATCAACTTCCATGTCCTCATGGTCAACAACGATGGTGTCGTCCACGGGCGACTGGATGTCCATGCCACTGAGGGCACCAGCGGCGTCGGAGAACGGGCTCCCAACGACGCTGCCGCGCCTCTCGTCCCGCTGAACGGTGTCGAGGTCAGCGTGACTGCCATGGTGGCTGTTGCTGTTGCTCTTGGTCCAGCCGCCGACGGCCGCAGAGATGCGTGAGGGTAGCGAAGGCGGGCCAACCTTCTGCTTTTTGCGTTGATACATTTCTCAAAAGATGCGGGATGACTCTTCGAAAGAAGCTGGTTGGGTTCGAGGTCGAAGGGGCACGCGTGTGTACGCCGTGTTCAGCTAGGCGTTGTGGAGAGCGAGAGCGTTCTAGGCCTCGTTATTACCGCACGACGATGGTACGATAATACGAGGTCGATACGTAGTCCTTTGTACCGTGAGATTTGTGTATGTCGTTCAGACAAAGGACGGCGGGACCACGATGTTGCATGCAGATTTGATGTCAGAGCAGGTGAATGGGATTTGCGAGTGCTATGGACGCGTAAACAAAGTCCGTTGCGGGTTTTAAGGAATTTCAATCTCCAGGTGCGAGGGACTTGGGGACGGAGCCGAAGGTTTCGCAAGATCCCGCACTGAGGACGGCGGATCTGGTCAATGGGGCGTCTGTTTATGAATGGGGGTGTCTGCTATGTCGCCCGCTTCTCAGCTGCAAACCTTTATGCGTTCGATGTCGGTCGACCGACGAGCGTTTCCAGCTTCCTGTCCCTCACACGCAACCTCAATCGATTATGAAGAGCGATGGAGGATAATGGGGGTTGGTCGAGTGGTGTATTGCGTTAAAAGAGGCGAGATATGCGGGAAATGAGCCAAGGCTGCGCGCATTATTGTTCTCCGCGGGAGCAAACAACGTTGGCTTCACGGGTCGATACTTTGCAGCGCAAATATATTACGAATTGCTCCCGATCGTGGAGACCCTTCTTGGACAGCTGCAAGCTGCCAAAATCCAGATAGTCTGCATGCCCTGGATTGCAGCCAAGCGTCAGTGGATGCGCAGGCCCGTAAGCGCCAGAGCCGAGGGCGCGCTGAACGCGTAAGCCAAAAATAGGGGTGAACAACAAAGGGGACAACAGCCCGCCTCAACAAAAGGGGGGATCAGGAAGGGGGGAATGAAGAAGAATAGTGGAGGCCGTGTCAATGCGCAAAACCCGTTTAAGATTCCATTGCCGATAAACATCGCTCGGCCTGAATATGCTGAACAGCGGTATATGTGGTTGAATCGTACCCTTAGGTCCCGGCCGGCAATTCCTTTGTTCCCTATCCATCTACCTACCATGTGGCCCTGGAGGGTAAAGCTGTCCAAACATGCGACAGACCTAGATCGTGTTTAAGGTTCGATTGTTTGGTGGGTGATGAATCCCCTCACAATGGGGTCCAGATGGAAGTGAAAAGATTCTTTGGAATGGCGGGCCAGAGAACCACGCGTCAAAGGGGGATTCTGGAAGACACCCGTTTTCTGAGTAGAACCCCCTCAGCCTTCCAAATGGCCGTCACATAGGGAGACACGAAGAAGAACTGTCAAAGTTCTGTGGGTTCCAGCTGCGGGCGGAGTTTTCGTTTCCACAAATATCTCGCGGGCGGGCCATCGATCGCTTTTTGATTTCTGGGTTTGCGAGTTCCGGGGTTTAGGAGAGTCTAATCGGGCTACGTGTGAGGCCCCACCGCCCATGTGTCCGACCTAATCAAACGACTCTGGATCCACTCAGAGCGAAAAGTGTGTAGGGAAGTGACAGGATCCGGCCGAGAGTCCTTCTTGTTCTTGTTTTGGGCAGCGATAGCAGCCGCTTTCCGGGCGATTGTCCATATACTCCTCTGTTGTTGTGCTGCTGAATATGAATCCAGGGACGTGTTGATATATTGCACACCAACGATCTGTGCGATCGGAACCTGTGGGCGGGAGAGGAGCACACAGGTGTGGAAAGACAAATGAAGGACGTAGCGCAGTGACACCCAGAGAAGCTCTGTATCTAGTTTTCGACAGAAAAAGCAAACGTCGTCGGAGAGAACAGTATCGGATTGCAACAGTTCGTTGGAATGACAAACCATCGTTGAGGGGCTTGATCATGTGCAGGGCCGTGGAAAACCAACCCTTCTTCCTTCCGTGCGTCCCACCTCCAGTATCTCTCTCCACAGCTCCCATCATAGACTGAGAGACCAGAACGCCAGGACGTCCGATCGCAGAATGTTCAGAAAGTGAGGGAACTATGGGAGTGAGAGTCGGAGCGAAGGCGGGAACACACGTCTTCGAAGAAGGTCGGCGCGGCCAGCAACTTTTATATAAAGGGCTCATGATGAAGCCGCAACAACGTACGATTTGACATTTCCAATAACCGGAGCGATGGAGGGAGGCTGGGGCGGGTGGGTATATTCACACTGCTCTCGCCGTTCCGAGGGGGCCAGACTCCTCTCGGCTCCTTTTATATGCGCGCCGTCCGGGCGCCTTCGAAATCCGAGGCTTTTTCATCAGTTGTGCCATTTTTGGAAGACCTGGCTCGGAGTTCAAGCCACGCACCCCACGTCCACGCCCCACGGGCCACTGGTCACCAACATCGGCTGAAAGCTGCAAAAAAAATCTGATGGTGGCGATTAGGCTCCGCGCCGGTGCTCTCGTGCTCTCCATTCCTATATCGTAGATCATAAGCGATATCCAACGTTTGGAACGAGTTTACTACCTTACAACTCAAGTTTACATTAAGAGTTACATGGAATTGTGACCCCAGTTCCGGGTCCGGCAAAACCCGTTTTCGGCATCCTGTGATCAGTGAGGTCACGAAACGACCGCAGATGCCAAAAAAGCGGAGTTGTAGACGCAGCTTCCCAAAATCCGGCAACACCTCTTCAGTCACGGCAGTATCCCGATGTTCGGACAGAACATAGCTACAGTACATCACGAGTGTGGCCACTGCTTTCAGGTCAACGAACGTTTGCTACGAATGCATACATCAGGTTTGACTGTCAAAGATGCGGAAAGGACCTCGGCCTGGCATCGTCGTTCGCTACATGGCTAACCTAGTAAGCCGCATCTCGCGTATGTCGATGAGGCACTCGCCGAATTATACAGCATGTGCTGAATGGTCATGATTGGCGCTCTGATATCGCGTTGAATCGCTCACTGATCAAGCAGGGTGCTCACTGCTCAAAAGGTTGAACTTCCTTTCCGGGTACGATGTTAACCGTGGCATCGGCGCGTTTCCAGCTTCCAGGATTCGAAGCCAGAATCGCGACGAAAGACTACTATGGCAACTCCGAAATGCCAGGACGCCGTGTTTCTTCAGTCCCCAACAAAAGAGGAGAATGGAAGCCGCTGCCGCGTTCTGACATAAGCGCGACGCTTGCCTGTGTTCGATATCATGGAATGGAGATGGGAGACGAAATCGTGTGCTGATGGAAAAAGCTTTGTTTTACCGTGTGTGAGGCGGAGCGGCAGTCCGCGTTTGCACGGCCGCCTTGTCCGCCATCCGCCTCCGAATCCACGGCCGTCAAGCCGCCCTTAAATACGCCACCACGGCTGCTATCCCACAATCCCGCTCTGACCTTACGCCGATGCATCCATCAGATGTTCCAAATCCGGCTCCATGGCAAGAATATCACCCGAGCCACTTCCAGGCATCACATGGGTTGCATCGTCGGCGACAGTCTCTGCAACATCGACATCAACGAGTTTCTCATCCTCCACGAAGAAGTTTGTCCCCTGTAGTTCTGGAGGCAGGTAGGTTTGTTGTACGGGGCCCGCGTAATTCGGGTTGTACTTGTAACCCTACCAAGATGGTTCGCATAAGGACGAGAGTAGCGAAAGGAATCTGCCAGTGTGTCTCCTCACCTTTCCGTAGTCCAGTTCCTTCATGAGCTGCAGATGAGAAGCGCGACGTGAACCGATTAGAGAACGTGTGGAGGCATACACACTCTCTTTCGAGCCGTACCTTTGTCGGGGCATTCCGTATGTGTAAAGGCACTGGGTATGCTGTTGTCTTCTCGATTGTTTGTTTGACGCGCTGTTCCAATGGGTCGGTGAACGCCGTCAGACCTCGCTACGGCGTGGATCCGCTTGTCCTTACCTTAATGGCTTTGTAAACTTCCACGCTCTTGGGTGCTCGACTCATATACTGCAAAGAGCAGGCTAGGTGGTTGGTCCCGAAACGCACTTTTTCACCACCTCATCACCCGACGAGACGACATTATACCCCACATACCACACAGCAATGTGCCAAGATTGCATCACATTCCGGCATGCCAATCATCTGACACGACTGATACGTCGCTACCGCTAATGGTAGTGCGTTGCTATCCGCTAAACCGATATCCTCCGATGCGAAGCGAATGAGTCGTCGCGCCACATACAGCGGGTCTTCACCGGCGTAAATCATGCGGCCGAGCCAATAAAGTGCTGCGTTTTCGTCGGATCCGCGAAGACTCTGTGGGACGAATGGGCTCAGAAAGGGGTCGGTATATGGCAATTCAAAATCATTATGCGCAATACCTTGTGCAGCGCTGATATTATGTTGTAGTGTTCATCCTGCGACCGCGGGTGTATGGACTGTGAGGTTGACATGTTCCATCCAAGCTCTGACAGCGCATTGGCTTACCCCATTCCGATCGTACATCAGAGATGATTTCTGCAGTGCCTCCAAAATTGACTTTTCGGAAATCTCAACCTTCTGCGCCCCCCTGTCCTCCCCCTCCCCTCCCGGAATTCTTTCGCTCCGACCGAGTGTAGCTGAATTGACTGCCATCTCCAATGCATTGATCGCAGCCCTAGCATCCCCATCACATATTGTGGCCAGATGGGTCAGCACCTTGTCGGCGACCGACACCGAGCCGTCCGTGACCTTGAAGGACAAAGCGCGTCGTAAAACCTTAACAAGATCGTCAGTCTCAAGCTTTCCAAGTACAAACACTCGACATCGACTGAGGAGCGCGTTGTTGACTCGAAAGGACGGATTCTCCGTGGTTGCTGCAATGAGAGTGAACTCTCCCTTCTCGACGGGCGGAAGGAAGAAATCCTGTTGGGATTTGGTGAACCGGTGGATCTCTGATTTGCAAAACAACATGTCAGCCAACGGTATTTGTCGCTTGCGCACCAGCGTTTGAACTAACCGTCAAGGAAGATGACTGATTTCCGGCCAGTCAATAGCCTGTGATTCTTTGCCTCCTCTGCCGCCTTCCGAACATCAGCAACATTGTGAATTGTTGCGGAGAGCTCCCGAAAATGGGTATTCTGCGTCCTTGCTGAGGCATCGTGAATATCACGTCACGTCTGGCCGAGGAGTTCCGCGGTTTGCTTACCGATGATCCTAGCTATACCCGAAGAATGGCATTAGACTCGTTCCGTCTCGAGGGTCACCCGCTGAACGAAAATACTACCTAGCGTGGTCTTTCCAGATCCCGGAGGGCCCCATAGAATCAAGCTAGGCACTCGATTATTCTCTATTAACGATCGCAGCAATGTTCCCGGTCCAATCAGGTTTGTATGCCCTTGTACATCATCCAAACTAGCCGGGCGTGCCAGATCCGCTAATGGCACATGGGAGTTCTGCTTCTCTCGTCGAGTTCCCGGCTCGTTCACGCCGTTCGCCGTTGGCGTTGGAGGAAGCTCAGACGTTGGTCGGGACGGCAGTTTCTCAAGGATTGGAAAACTATCAGAGTCTCCTCGCTTGCGCTTAGGAGTCGGGGTAGACAAAGTAGAACGGTTTGTCGGGCGAGCGAGCGAGGTCTCTCCTCGTTGACCAAGCAATGTGGTTTGCAGTTTCCGTTGGGATGAGGGAGCAGAGCTGAACGAGTCCCGCCCATTATTTCCATTAGTATCTGTAAGACAGCCGGCGTCCAGGTGGTGGTTTATGGTGCTCTGAGGGATGTTCTTGTGGCACACCGGGCACTCTACGTCTGTCGACATTACGGCAACTTTGAACAAAAGGTCCCAAGCCTGAGTTTGCAACTTCAGAATTCATGGAGGGGAAAACGCGTGAGATGAGGCGGACGTCTGGACACTCTGGACATCCGGACATTTTCCCTTTTTTTTTGATCCATTTGGGACGCTGCCGTTCGATCTATACCGTCTACTGAAAGAGGGAGACGCCAAAGCAAGGTCTCAATTTGGGTGGACGATGTATGTGGTATATATGTATCGGTATAGACATCGCAAAAGGTAAATGATAAAGCAGACGACAAAAATGTGTGAAGACGGCTCTCTCGGTTGTCTACATAGCTCAGATGTGGCTCTCAACCAAGGCTTATGCTTTTGTTTTTTAAACGGCTTGGGTAGCTACTCTTTCCATTTCCAATCCATCACCAGTAAGCATCTCTCGCTTTCGCAACCAGCGCCTCCATCCGTACTTGTAAGCCTCCGCCGCGGCGATGTACACGAGGCAAGAAATGACGACGATTCCCCACTCCCAAGTAAGCCCCGAGTGCTTGAACACTGTAGTTGTTCCAGGAATGTAAAGCGTCGGAATGACGACAAGGAATCCGGAAACGCACGTGTACGCGAGCGCCTTGTTCGATGTGATCATCTGGCGGAAGCCGCCGCGGAAGATGGAATGATAGTGATGTCGGCACACGTACGCGTGGATCAGGATCAACCAGGTGAGAGTCAAGTAGCTGGTTCCTCGAGCGCGGTAGACGGTAGAGCATCCTTCGGCGAGTTCGGCGTTGTATGGATGGGCTTGGTTGCATTCGACACCGAGGTTTCCGTCTCCGAACCCATAGATGACCAAAAGAAATCCGCCCAAGTTCAGGATCTGATGCAAATGTTAGTTACCCTTACGTCCGTCCGTCACTTGCACATTTCTTATGAACAGCCTACTCACCCCCATGACGATCCCATAGAAAAAGATGTCGGCAAGAACGGTTTTGGTGAAGAGTGGCCCACCCCGGTACCGAGCGGAACGCATCTGATGAGGTTCCGGCTCTTCAATACCAAGTGCCATCGCAGGTGGAGAACTGGTGATCATGTTCAAGAACAAGATCTGCAGCGGGCTAAGCGGATAGACACTCTGACCAGCAGAGTCCTTGAATGCCAAACCGATGATCAGCGCAATCACCTCGGAAACGTTGGTAGTCATCAAGTGAAGAGCAAACTTCTGAATGTTAGCGAAGATGCGCCGGCCCTGAGCGATGGCACCGACGATCGTGGCAAAGTTGTCGTCAGTCAATACGATCGCGGCAGCCTGTTTGGCAACATCGCTGCCTCCGAGTCCCATCGCGATCCCAACTGGGGCACGCTTCAGGGAAGGCGAGTCGTTGACGCCGTCACCGGTCATGGCGGAAACCTTCTTCCGTCGAGCGAGGGCGTCTATCATCTTGACTTTGGTCTGAGGCGTGCAGCGCGCAATGACAAGCGGCAACTCTGCCATCTTATCGACCTGCGCGTCAGAGAGAGCGTCGAACTCGGTTCCGGTCCAAACCACCCGAGCGTCGCCAGTGCGCTGATCAAACGGTCCGTCCACATGCAAAGTCGTGTGACTTTCACTAGTTCCTTCGCGCGACAGGATCCCGACGCGGCGAGCGATGGCCGCGGCGGTTTGGGGGTGATCGCCGGTCAACATGCGCACGGTGATGTCTGCGCGGTGACAAGACGCCACGGCATGCGCTGTTTCTGCTCGCGGGGGATCGTTGATACCCACCAGCCCGATGAAGATCAAGTCGCACTCGACTTCCTCACGGGCGGTATTGGTGGGTATACCGTTCGCCGTGCTTCCGAACGGCTTGTAGGCGAGCGAGAGGACCCGCAGGCCTTCCGAGGCCATGGTCGAGATGTTGTCTTGGAGAGCTTCCATGTATTGTGCGGTGTTGATGTCGACGGCGTGGCCGAGTCGGCCATCCCATCTGCGCGTGCAGAGAGGCAAGACGCTTTCGAGACCACCTTTCGTAAAGACAATGGCTTGTTGTGTTGGGTGGTGAGTCAACAGAGCCGACATGCGCTTTAAAGACGAGTCAAACGGATACTCGCTCTCGACCGTCCAGTCGCCCCTCTGAGTCTCGTCGGCTTGCTCGCCGTGTGTCCTAGGATCGTCCTTGTCATCGCTGAGGGGCCCGCGGAGCAGTGCGGGGCCTCCTGCATGGAGCTTGTGCGCGAATACTTGCAGAGCGACTTCGGTAGGGTCGCCGGACCCCTTCCACACGGGCGCCTGGTTCTTTTCTGCTGCCTCAAAATCGCCTTGTTCTTCTTTGTGGATGCTTGCTGTGTTGCAAAGTGCAGCGCACTGCACGAGACGAGTGAACCCTTCGCTCATGTTCTCGAGTGTCATCTTGTTCGCCGGCCCTTCGACGGGGATGATATGACCTTCGGGATTGAAGCCAGAGCCAGACACTTCGAAGTATCCTTCGTCTGGAAGATACACCTTTGTGAGTACCATATTCCCCTGTGTAAGCGTGCCGGTTTTGTCGGAGCAAATGTCCGTAACGGAGCCGAGAGTCTCCAAGGCGGCCAGCTTTCGCACGATGGCCTTTTGCAAAGCCATACGCCTCACTCCCAGAGCCATCGTGAGTGTGACCACCGCCACTAAGCCTTCGGGTATCATGGCGATGCCGACCGACACGGCATACAATGCCGCTTCAGCAGAGAGCACGAAATCGTTGACAGCAAATACGATAATGGCCAAAACGATCGCCAGCGCAAGGAGGATCATCGCTAGAACATTCAAGCGTTTCTGCAAAGGCGTGGACGCGGAATCTTCGTCGGAAGACATCAGGCTTTTTGCAATCTTGCCCATCTGCGTGTTCATGCCCGTGGCGGTGACGACGGCCGTTGCGCGTCCTTTGGTAACGTTCGTTCCTAGGTAGCACATATTGGTCCGGTCAGCGAGCGGCTGTTCAGGGTTCGGGATGCGAGTATGCTTCTTCTCGACGGGCAGCGATTCGCCGGTCAACATCGCTTCATCCACTTCGAGTGTGAGCACTTCGATGAGCCGGGCGTCGGCCGGGATCGAGTCTCCTGCGGCAATGTGGATGATGTTGCCGGGAACCAAATCCTTTGCGGCGATGGCGTCGACGCCGCCGTTGCCGCGGACGACTTTTGCGGTCGGGGAGGCGGTTTGGCGGAGCGTCTCCATGGTTTTCTCGGCGTTGTATTCTTGGAAGAAGCCGATGGAGGTGTTGAGAATGATGACGACTAGGATGACGCCGGCCTCGACAAAGTCTTGGACCACGAAGGAGATGACCTGTGCGGGAAGGAATGAATTAGCGTCGGCAGATCGACAAAGCCATACATTACGTGCATTAATGGTAAAATTACCGCAGCCAACATCAGAACAAAGGTAAGAGCATTCAGCAACTGCCTAAGCAGCACCCTCCACGGAGACACACCTCCATCTCCAGACAGCAGATTAAAGCCGTACCGTTCAAGCCGCACCTCGACCTCCTTATGCGACAGGCCTTTGCTCCGGTCGGAGATGCCGAACTTGGAGAGAAGATCGTCGACACCGAGCGAGTGGTAGTCCTGCTCGCTGAGTCCAGTCGCCTCGTCGACGACATTGCTGGCGGCGGTTACGTTGTTTGCCGAAGTGTCGAGTTTCTGGCGTTTGATGAATTTCATCTCTGCGAGCGAGGGGGATTATTGCTTCCGATATGGGGGATATGCGAATGATATCCGTGTCCGCGGTTTCTCAATGATGTGACTTTGGAGGACAGGCAAGCAAGCAATGTCTAATGCAGCAGCATATGGTCGTTGTACGGCACCGACTGTGTACATGGAGACGGAAGAGCCGGTGCAAGGCTTCCAAGCTCCCCTTTTATACTCCTTCCATCATGCACCCTCCAGCAGCATTCCCTCAGTGGGGCGCAGGCCTTGGTGGGTGCATTCCTGTTCCCCCGCCGGAGGACGGTGACGGTGATACATCGAAAAAGCATATAACTCAAAAAGCTTAAACGAGAGGGACCGGGATCCGTCGGAAGTGGGGAGCACTGATTATCAATGAGGCTTTTGGTGAGTTATTGAGTACGCAACTTGCACGACAGACTGCTGTTTCGTCCAACTTTCGCCGTTGGGGGATCGACCAAAATAATTCAACGCGCGCAGCGCTGAATCTCTAATGGCCACAACTACGTCACAAACCTTAAAACCTTCGGGATTTCGTCTCCCGCCGGAACCCAAATGATCATTCCATAATCTTCCATAACCCAATGCCAACTTGGACTGAAGGAGCATCCGAGTCCCGACGTCCGTGCAATTGTCATCACCTCTTGCCTTAGGCGCTCTCCCGCATCATGCGCCTGAGAGCATGCCAATGCTAGTAGCGACGGGACTCTGTGCCGGCAAGAATGAACGGGCTGCATTCGGGCTAATGGCGTCTTCACAGAGTCTGCCGACTAATCTCCGGAAGGCATTTCCTCCAAGATTGGTTCGGCGATTGCTTATTGTCTCCTTTGTGCCATTGCGTATGAGGAAATCCGTGCATTTGATGTTAGCCGGATGCGCAGATAAGTTAGGATTGCGACGCTGATTCACAAATGAGGAGGTCATATGCCATGCGGCCGATGAGATACTAGCGCTTATCGGAGTAAATGCCGTTACATTCCATAAACCCGTACGTCACGTAAACTTTGATCAGCCATGTGATGCGTCGACTCTGGCCGGAATGAATCAGGACGGCTGTGCAGATCGATCGCTGGTCCACACACCCACTACATGTTGCGGAGTTTTTCAGGCGCCAATACAGAAATGTACTGTACATACAGTACGCAGCCAGGTTAACTTATACCCTCACGTCGTTCAGAGAAAAGTTCTGCGATGTTCCGTCTCAACACGGGAGTGTTCAGAACGTGTGCTCCAATGACGAACGCGTCGAGCATAACGAAGGCGCCAAGTATCAACAGGACGCTTCCCACAAGTGACGGACAGTACAAGAAGCTGCGAAGGGCGCCATTTATTCTCAAGAGCATTTGTGAATAATAGATTTCAGCGGGAAAGGTGTGAGCAACCTCGAACCCTCCGCATCGGCGCGAAGTCTGGACCTCATGGCCGTTCCATCACAAATGTTGCAACCCCTCCCTCGCGACCATCTAACTCCTCCCACCAGCCTCTGTGACAGTTTCAGACACGCTCATCGCCTTCTCCACTCATACTCACACGTCCAGTCCCTCATCCAATTGCGCATAATGCCCTCCTTCTCCAACCATAGTATTGACGAACGGCCATCGCGCTCCGACCACTGGTTTGCCTACTAGTAATGCTTCTTGGAGTGAAGTCGTGCCGAAGGTGCATAAGACCACGTAGACGCACTATTTAAGGGGGAGAAGTGATATCAGTGCTCCTTCCTTCCGGTTCTCTCGGAGCATTGTGATCACGTACCGCAGCCCCATTCCCCACAAAAAATACGGCAGCCCAAATCGGGATAACAACCCTCCACCTCCACTCCTCCCTCGCCGCAACATAGACGGCCGCAAAGACCATCCCAGCCACGTCTGCAACAAACACGGCCCCGCTCCATTTATTCCCCGCCATCCGTTCCCAACCTTTCGATGGTGACTGCCGTATCCAAGCGTTGAGGAGGGCGGTACCGACAATTGCGGCTCCTGCAGAGGCTAGACCGCGTAAGGCCAGAACCTGGGGTCGGTTAGGTGATAGAGCGGTGCCGGGGTTGAATGGGAGCAGATCTTTGAAATTAAGAGCTGCGTAGCCGAGCGGAATTGAGGGGCTGAGGACGAGCGAGGGGACGAGGAGCGCGATGCCGAATTGGGAGTGTGCCCAGATGTAGGTTCCTGCTAGTATCAGTCCGCTGCATTCGCCGGGGTAAGATGGAATTGGGAACATCCACGTTAGCTACCCGATTTGAGTTCCTCCCTCGACAAACAAAATGTTGGCGGGTACCCTACGCATAAGCATCCAGCAAAGCGGCCATGGGCCAGGGATTCCGCATGACATCGCTAAACGAGTCGGTGCTTCGGATGGCGCGGAACAGCGACAAGACATTCGCAAAGGCTGCTATGCCTAGCATTCCCACGACGGCGCGACGGAACCAAGTGTTTGAAGGGTGAGCGGTCCGTCGTAGGGTCGCTGAGATGGTGTCGAAGAGGCCCATTTGTAAGGAGGTTCTTGTTGCGGTAGCAGCGGAGGTGTCGTTCCGTGGAGGGACCAGCTTTGGCTGCTTTGGCGAGAATGACTTCGGACCCGGAACCTTTGGCCGGCGAGTTTCTGCTTTTGTGAGAGTTGCGCGCGTGCAAACAGCCTCGACTCGCTATGCTGGACACCTGCAACGCAACAATAGCGCCCAAAGGCAGGGGTCCGACCCCTGCGTGCTGCGGGGCAACTACACCGTCTCGGTCCGGCTGCTACTTGCTCCTTCATTAAACAGGCCGGCCAGTGAACTGGTATAAACGGCGTCCTAACGCTCTCCCATGGCGTCCCCAGCTCCCCCTTCCGACTGTGCCGGCTGTGATCCCACGTCTCGCCGCTCAAGATGCGTTCTTCCATTGCCAGCACACTGCTAGCCCTCTCCAGTGCGTTCGTCGTCGCTGCCCAGGGAAGTTCAAATTCACCGTCATCTGTCGCTGCGTCTGCTCCCACGAACGCGCCGCAAGCTCAAGATCAACCCAGTCCCAGGAGGACCCCGCCGGGATCTAAAGCCGATCCCATCCCAATCGACTTCGCACAGGGTGTTGCGAACTTTTCCCTTCCTGCTCTCTATGCGCAGTCTGCCGACTGCGTAGAGACCGTCGTCGGCGCATCTGTCAGCGGTGGGAACGATGATGCCGTCGTCACTTGGGTCGGCGGTGACGGAGGTCAGACCGCCCAGCGTGTCTATGTTGCTTACTCTGGATCCAGGGGCGGTATTATTGTCGCTCATCAAGGTGAGTAGTGTGAGCGATGGAAGATTTTGAGTGGCGGCCGCGAGCGGAGCAAGGCTAATGCGGTGTCTTGCGCCCGTGAAATGCGATGCACACGGCTACGGCGCGGATAACTGTGAGCGACACCGCACAATCGTTTCTGATAGGAGCGATGGCTTGATTTTCCACCTGGCTCCACATCCTTGTTGCGAGTTCAGCCAATCCACCATGCATCGCTTCGCATCAATCTGTGATGTACTGCTTTCCAACCTGATAGATTGCCCCTCTGTCATTTCAAAGGTACGAACAATACGGCGCCCGCATCAGCCGCGCTCCCCGGGAACTTTAACCTGACAGCGCCGGACCCTCGCCTGGGTGTAAACATCCCGGGAAGTGCCGTTTATGGAGGGTTCCAGGTTGCGTGGGCAGCCAACGCGGACGAGACGCTGGCTCAAGTGAAGGAGCTGCTCGTCAAGCACGCTAACGCCAGCATTCTGGTTACGGGTCACTCAATGGGTACGCACGGCACCCACCGCGAAAGCAGTCTACTCGCTGTCGCTCGCTATGCTATTCATCATGTCCAATTTATTAATACAAATCTCGCGGGTTGCAAAGGTGGGGCAATCGCCACTATCGATGCTCTCTTCCTTTCGAACGCATTGAAGAGGACCGTCAAAGCCATTGCTTTCGCTCCTCCAAGGGTAGGAAACGCCCCTTTTGCCGACTTCATCGATAAAGTCGTGCCGGACTTCCGATACATTGTGTGAGTAGCTCGCCAGCTAAAATCTGCGTCTGGCCTGTTCAGCAGCCTCTTCTCAATGTTTCTCACACTTTGCTTTCGTCAGCAATGGAGGAGATCCGACGACCCAGATCGTACCCGCGACCTACTACCGCCACCCGTCAGGCGAGGTCTGGATCAACCCCGCCAACTCCACGACGGCGGTCTTTTGCCCGGGCCAGGAGAATGTACACTGCCAAGCCTCTCTCCCGCAGCCATCGTAAGTCGCTCTTATCAAAGCAGTGTTTCCGAGTACATCGCAACTTATCCCTGTGTTTGTTCTTCTATCAGTTGGAACGAGGGCGACCATCTGGGTGAGTGTTCTTATCCCTGCTACTTCTACCATCCGTTCTGCGTCTGCTCACTCAATGCGATACATTAAGGAACCTTCTTCAAGGCGTACATGGGTGGCAACACGTATGCATTCTCCGGGGCCTGTCCTGCTCATCTCGTTGATACCGCCGCGACGGGCACTTCTGGGACTGGGGCTAATAATAGGCCATCCTCCGCAGGTCGGAGGGTTGCTCCTGACTTTTGGGTTTTCATGACTGCTGCTGCTGCTGCCGGCGTCCTGCTTGGTCTATGTGAGGGCTGCTAGATAGACTCGGCTTTAAGAGGAGTAGCTTCGCCATTTACGCTCGAATAGCAGAGCTCATATATCCTAGGACCGTGAGAAGAAGCCCCGCCCCGTCTCACACGTCCCTGGCTGCGGTCTATAGATATCCCGCTTGCAATCTATTGTGCAACTACTGTATATGATTGCTATCCGATCTAACTACATTTCTAAAGTGGGGGAGGGATGACGGGAGAATGAATATGGGGCGATTTGGCAGCGCTTCTCGTCGCAGCGAGATCCCAAATACATATGCCCGTCTCTGTGACGGACGACCCTATCTTTCCGAATATCGCTGTCTCGATGCTTGTATGCGGCCGAAGAGATTATCGGGTGGTGCGACCATCGAACATCGCTTGCCGTCCCACGCCGGCCTCAGCCGCACATGTGGTGACCGGAATACCCAAGGATGATTGGAAGTCGCCTGACAAGGGCAGACGAAGACAACACCGCCTTTTGCCAAGACGAAATTGAGAAAACCCGTTGTTGTCATCTTCTTCCCGCCTCAGATCCGAGAGCGTCGTTTCCTCTGCTGCAAGCAATATGTTCCGGCCCAGTTCCTCTTCTAGCTTTCTCATTGTGATCTTCCACAGTGACTGGATGCCATATGCCTCACATCCCCTTCAGATTCCCCAATCTCTCCGACGGTCTCATCCGACAGCTTCGCCCACCACTGGTTGTACCGCGCATAGAACCGCTCAAAGGCCGTGTTCATCGCTGGTGGGACGAGCGTTTGGCTGTCAGCATCTCTCCAATGGTTCAATTTGCATTGAACTTGTTGTTGGCAGGTCCTCTGAGTGTTGTTTCGACGGCACCTGAATGGATCGAGAAGGTAGCAGTAGAGGTGACTGGGTATTTTTGTTGTTGTTGTCATCACTGTGTTTTCCCTCCGGATCCTGGTAGTGCATTTCCATATCGGTCACGTCCAGATCTTTGGGGATATCGTGAACTTCGTCCGGAAAGAATAGATCCATCCAAGTTTCACTCTTCTCCACTGCCAGGGGTGGACAGAACCCCCATTCTCTGCCATGTCTTTGTTTCCTTTGCTTGAAGATGAGCAGCGCAAACTCTATCATTGCCTCACGCGTCGGAGAAGGTGATAGCAATGACAATGCTGGAAATGGCTCTGAGTACTTCAACTCTTCACTGAACCAATTCTTATGTTGATCGGTCAGGTCGGGGTGGAATGCAGGACTATACCCCAAGTGCCAATCGAAATTGCATGCACACGGAAGGTGTCATCGAACAGCTCACCGCCTCCCGCCCTCCAGCGGTAGATGGAGAATGCCTCGAGACTTCGCGTGAATAGCCAGAAGTGAGAATGCATCGATGAGATTGGTGATCGCCTGCAGGAAAGAAATAACGTCAGAGAGAGTACCAGTTCACGGTGGTCCGACCACAGAAAGAATGATACGGATTGTTGTGCAGGGCGAACCAATGTTTGTCGTGCGCGACGACATGCCTCCAGACGTGTCTACGACAGGACGATTGTGTCCTCTCGCAGCAGTTTTTCGGCCCATTGTGTTTCCAGAGAGCCTCGCGGCCGTCCTATCCTTTGCGATAACGGTTATCTCCATCCGGCCCAACCCCCGGTGTCAATATAACCATGCCGCATTTCCACATCGACTCCCCACTTCCGCATCCAAGAAACCCGAACCGGCAGGATCTACATCCTCAAAACTTCTCCCCAGTGAATGGTTCGACCGCGGTTCGACCGTGTCCTTGTTGTTCTTTTCTCCCGCCGCTCGGAAGTTCCGTCTGACGCACTCTGCAAGACGGTACTCCAAGAGCCAGGGGTCGGGAACTGCTGCTGATGATAATCTTCGAGCCCGCTGTAATCCGTTTCGCGTGGGGAGGCGGCGGGTCCAATGGTATTCACCCAAAGCGGAATGCTGGTTTCGCGCCAAGTGAGAGCAGTTGGATCTGGAGAGGGCTTGCGGAAGGTGCTGTGCAGCTCGTGGAGAGGTATGCTCTGAAGAGGGCTACGGAAGGTGCTGTGCAGCTTGTGGAGAGGTATGCTTCTCCGCAGTTGGTTGACATTGGCGACACGTCCTAAAAAGCAGTCCTCAAACTCCTGCCTCCGCTCGTTCCGTTTTCAGACAGCAAACACCCATCCGACAGCGGTTGCAATAGCAAACACCGCACCACCACGGACCACCCACTCTCCTCGTTGATACACTGCTGATATGTCGGCGGGTGCAGCCGTTGAGGTTCCCGCTCCCGGCGCTGAACCGTAAGTACTCATCACTTCCACCTTCTGTCGAAAAGCTCTCTCCGGCCAATTTCGGAAATGTCCCCAGAATACTCTAAAATGCCCTAATCGTAAAGCAAAAAGTCGTCGCCTGAAAGTGCAGCAGTCGCAGCCATCCTGCCCACCCTAACCAGCCAGAAAGACATCTTGAGCGCCAAGTTCAAACAATTCAAAACGGATATCACCGCCAATGCCGAAACGTTGAAGGAGCCCGCTCGAGGCGTGAAATTGACGAGCTACGAAGACCTCATGTCGTCTCACAGCGCACTCTCAAGCGTCATCATCCACGAAGGGATGGACGATATTGAGGAGACCATATCGGACCTCATTGAGCAAGGAAGGCTTCAATCCGAAGCTCTACAGGCAGCTGCCGACGCGCTGGCGGAACGAGAAAAGAAGTGGGTTGAAAAGCGAAGTCATACAATGATGGTCTCCACGCAAAACATAAAGAAGGTCAAGTTTGACGTCGGCGGCAGGATCTTCTCGATCAGTCTCGATGCTTTGCTAGCCTGCAAAGGTTTAATGTTCGAGTCGCTCTTCTCGGAAGGCTGGGGCCCGCAGGCTGGCTACGACGGCACCATATTCATCGACAGGGACCCGGCCGCATACGAATTCATATTCAACTACCTTCGCGCACAGGCAACAGGGACAAAGCTGCCCATTCCGCAGGACTCTCTCGCTCGTGAGGCCCTGAAGAAGGAGGCCGACTTCCTTTGCCTTGCCGATCTCACCGAAGCCTTGAAAACGCCTCCTCCCTCGAAAACGCCTCCTCGCTCGAACAAGCCTCCTTCCTTGCCTTTGGGGGCAAAGAGAACGGCATGTTGCCCGCAGTGTCATCATCCAAATGACTACTTTTACGGGATCGGAACTTGGAATCCTCATCTGAACTACTACATTTGCAACCAGTGCGACCTGAAATTCAACGTCATCCAGCACCAAATCGCAGAAAGAGTTCTGACCTGAGACGGGCATTGAATGGGGCAAAAGGTCTTTGAGGTCCGAGAAGTGAGGCGGGCCGCCTATTATTCATTTGTCGGCATGTGCTGTGTCTAATTGTAGTGTAGCGGCGTATCATCGTTCTATGTGGTTCCCAAAAAAATTCCACTGCTACGTTGCCATTCGAAAAGTGCCTGCGAGAGCGGTTCTACACATTCAAAATCGAGAAGGTTCCTGTTTCACGGATCAGATTTTAATAATGGCATGATGTCTCAAACATGGTCAGGAAGTGTCGCTTGCATGCAGGGCGCTTCGCTGGCGTGTTTGGGAACGCGCTGTCGAATTGGACCAAGTTATCCGTGCAAGTGACGGCATGACCCTGACACTGAGGAAGGCCCTACGCCCGAGAATAGGCCCATCTCTCATACCACATCCTACAGCAGTTCCGCCCGCAAATTCCAGGCTTTCTCTCTTCGTCAGGGACACTACCTAGACCCCGTCTCCCACCCGCAACTCCCAACCTCCCCACCCACACCGCCTCAAAATATGTCCCGCCCCCGCAAACAATCCCTCTCAACCCACTTCGCCATCCCCTCCTCCCTCCAAAAAGCCGTCGACCACATCGCCAAGCAATATCCCTCACCAAGCGGTGCCTCCATACCCATCGCGGAGAGTTCGACACACAGCCTTGCTGACGAGTACATGGACACGCCGTCGCCACGGGGGAGTCGTATGCGGCGACCGGGTGGTGCGCGGGGCGGCGAGGCGAGGGGGCGGGGGATGGAGGTCGCGAGGGAAGAAAGCGAGGACTCTGAACCCGAATCCGCACCCAAAGACGCAGCCGACGCGATCCCGACGAGCATCCGGAAAGACACCATGGGCCGTGTGATGACCCCCCCGCCGATCCCCGACCGCTCGCTCGCCTCCATCTGGTCCGCGCACATCACCGCCCTCGCGACGCCCAACATCCTCGCCTCGACGCGGCTCCCGCAGATCCGGTGGGAGAAACACGGGCTGCTGACGCTGCAACAGAAACGGATGCTTGCGGATTCGATCGCGAGACAGGAAAGGGAGTTGGGGGAGTGTGAGGTTGAGATCACGAAATTGGGCAGTGTGAGGAGTGAGATGGAGGTGGAGGTGAGGAAGTGGAGGGGGAAACGTAAGGGGTTGAATAAAGTGTTGAAGGAGCTGTTTGGGTTGTATGCGGAGTTGAATGCGCGGAGGACGGGGTACTATGAGCATGCTGTTGCGGGGACGGCGAGTGGGTTGCTGGGGCATGCCGCGGGGAGTCATGCGGTTTTGGGACATGGGGAGGGTGGTGGGGGGTTGAAGCGGTCGAGTATGCATTTGGGCGGACCTGCCGCTGGAATGCTTTCGGTGGGGGATCCACACGGCGGGTTCAAACGATCGGCCATGCATCTTGGTGCTGCCGGGAGCTCGCTTGCGCGCTCGGGAGGTGGAGAGCACGGCGGTTCGAAACGGGGTCTGAATGTTCCTGGTGGGGGGTTAGTCGGCACCGGGACGAAGAAGGTGTCGTCGTATGACCTGCACAGCAGCAACGAGGGGCCGTCGTCGCTGGGCGTTCCGACACCTGCCGGATTCAACGCGCAGAAATCGACGCAGAATCTGAAGGCGGGGATGCTCCATCCGGGGCTGCATGTACCCAGCGGCAACCCGGGCGCTATATGGCGGCCGAGTCGGATGAACGCGCCTGCCAGGCCGTCGAACTTGAGTCGGTTTTCGCCGGGGGATTGATCGGAAGGCTGCGATTCCATCTCAATGTATATACCCATGCACCCCGTGTTTTCTTCAACACGCAGCCTCGCTCGCACGCCATATGGGCGGAAATGTGGAACTCAAACACCGTTATGCCATTACCAACATCTAAACCGGTGCCGTGCACCATATTGTACTCCATCTCCAAGTAATAAATAGACAGCGGGATGCATAGATCTAGACCACGGACCCCTCATCCACGATGAACATTCCCTAAGCCTTAGCAGGATAACTCCTCGCCCCAAAAATACTGCTCCCCACCCGCACATTCGTCGACCCCTGCCGTATCGCCTGCTCGAAATCGTCCGACATGCCCATGCTCAGGTCGAGGTCGGTGTTGTGGGCGGTGTCGAGGGTGGTTTTCACTTTTGCGAGCAGCTGGGTGAGGGTGGGAGATTGTGCGGGGTTAGTGTACATGAACTCATCATGGGGGAGTGTGAGTGAGGAAGATAGAATCTTACGGTGAAATCAGGATTCTCAGCCCCCGGATCCGAGTCCCGCTCCGGGGACCCGATCGTCATCAAGCCTTGTAGTCTCAACTTGGGGCATTTTTCGGCGATGTGTTTGGCGAGTGGGAGGGCGTCGTCTGGTTGTACGCCGCTCTTTGCTTCAAAAAAAGATGAGCATGAGTACCCACACCCTGTGAGCGTGAGAAATGTTGAATCAAGCCCCTCACATTCTTCCCCACTAGTATTGATCTGCACAAAAACCCGTAAGGGTTTCTTTCCGTCCTCGTCGTCCCATGCTTTGTTGATTAGGTCGGCTTTTTTGGCACTATCTGAAAGATGTGAGCGAACAGAGAAACACATGAGACATGAAGAGACATGTTGAGGTGGACGCACCGATCGTCTCAACAGCGTACAGGTTGCGGATTGTGCATAGGGTTTTGCATTTGTTGGATTGGAGGGAGCCAATGAAGTGCCAGTTGATGTCGGTTGGGAGCTGCGTTGGGAAGTCCGATGGAGGTGTGAGTACGGTGTTGGGCGATGCTTCAGCAGTTCATCAAATGGCCCCTACTTCGGCAGCTTTATCGACAAGCTCCTGGATCTACAAGAAATCGCCCCTTCAGACCCCATCTCCCATAACAGCAACACGGAATGCGAAAAGAACCCTTACATACTACACAACAAGTCGTTAGCACCCCACGGAAGCCTCATCGCCCCTACCGCTCCCATCCGAACTCACATTCTCCCCAAAATGTCTCTGCCCAGCCTCATAAGCGCACATCAAATCGCTTGCCGGTTTCGTCTTGCTGACCGCGACCAGCGTCACTCCCTTCCCACTTCCACTCCCACTCCCACTCCCGCGCGCAGCGGTCGCGGCGGAGACTTTTTGGCGGATTTCGGAGAGGGAGGTTGTTATGTCGTGTTTGCGGGATTCGGGTGGGGTGGTGGTCATACTGCGGAATGGGGATTGGATTGTGGTGCGGAGATGGAAGGTGCGGGAGGATGTGATAAAGCGGAATATGGGCGGCTGGATGAGCGGGAGCTTGAGACCTGAGAGGGACATCTGCATCGGCAAGGGATTTACGTTATTTTCAGGCGATACAGAGTTGAATAGGCGGGACTGTGAGTGAGAAACCAAGCATGTGCGGAATTTCGGCCAAAAAGTGCGAATTGAAAGAACGCGGAGTTACGATGCCCGCACAATCTCTCGTAGGGACTTACCAAGAGTGGGAAGGTGAGCAGGTTTTGCGTTCGCCCTACTCTCCTCGGTTCAGCTTTATGGCTCTAGATCTAGTATGGGTACCAGCTGATGTCGAGCGGAGATTGAAACCTGGGTTGACACTTTCGAAACCCAACGCGATGGTTTCGCTTCGAAAGACCGTTCACTAAACCATGATCCGGTCTTCACTGCAATTAGAGGTCTGGCTATTCGGTAGTTATAAGGATTAAAGTCTCCCTAGATGGATAGAGATCCCAGGAAGGTGGTACTACGACACACTATGAGGGCTGGAAACAATAAAATCTACATTGCTGCTACAGAGTACGTGGGGGTGGTCTACAGCTCAAAGTCTTTCTCTACAGCGTTCTTCTACAGACGCAAAACACATCATCAGCACAAATCTACGAAAGTCCACAAATCGAGTCGGATAGTACGCCTTCCAGATGTCGCAACGGCAACTGCGATATACGCCTTCCTCAGACATCGCATCCACACAAACTCAGAACATCGACATGAGCGCAACTCCAGCAACCAACGAGACAATCGCCGCCGCCCCAACCGACACGGTCGCCGCATCGCTCTTCACCGCCGGGTACGGGTTCGCCGCGGAGATCGGCCCCGCGCTGACAACCTTGAACCCATTCGCCTGGTCCTGCACCACAAGCCCCCAGATCGTCAAGGATCCCGCGGGCTGATTCGGTGGTGGCAACCAATGGAACTTTGCCGGCAATTTCTTCGCATCGACGCTAGTAGTCGACAAGGTCGCGCCCTTGCCGTATTTCTCGCACCCGGCGTTATCCGCCGCGCCGAATTTCGTGTTGGCTGTAGGCGGAGTGGTCTGGGCTCCGTCGAGCAGAGTGTATTCGGAGCCGAAGTCGACCCATTTGCCCGTGTGGTTCTTTGAGTAGCGAGAGTCGGAGACGTAGAGCTGGAGGGAGGAGAATTGCATGCCGGCGCCGTCGAGGAGGATTTCGATGGGAGTGTTGGGGTCGAAGGGTGGGGTGCCTTCTTTGATGGTTAGCTGGTAGCCGAGGGCGGAATTCTGGTTGCCGTAGACTTTGACCTCGCTGACCTGTTTAGGATATCAAGGGGGAATTAGCAGCTGTGGAATTAGGAACACTTCAAGACAAGGTACAGTAGTTAGGGTGGCTTACGGCATTAGCGTCGTTCTCGCAGAAGGGGAAGGCGACCACCGAGCCAGCGGTGGCGGCGGCGACGGCGGCCAGGACGATAGGGAAACGCATTGTGGTGAGGTATCGAGGGGTATGTGGGGTGCGATGTTGAGTTGGGGGGCGACGAGCGAAGGTACTGTAGGAAACGCAGGTTGGTTGAGCATAGAGCCATACATAGCGGCCCAACCTCCACTTGTTGGACGTGCGAGAAGCCACAGGCAAAAATTTGGGTTTGGGACTGCGGCCAATGCCTCAGCAGTCGCGTGATCGAACTGGCACGCTGAGTAGTGTCGCTAATGCTGTCAACTCATTCTGAGGTTGCAGATAGATCGTCCAGGTAGGCTCGTGAGGATACCCAAAAATCCTGCTTTGTACTCAAATGCAAACTAGAAGTCCAAAAAAGCACTTGCGCTATGTTGAGTTCCGAAAATGCTCCCAAAAATTCCTGAAGTCCCTACCCCCTCAGCACAACCTTCTTCATCGCGATATAATCCCCTACATCCATCCCCGCCGCCTTCATACAAAGCCTACAACTACTATGCACCTGCTGAAAAGCGGCAACCCTCATAAACTCCTCCGCCTGCTCATGCGCCGGGTCCTTGTACGCGAAATATGCGTTGTAGGCCGTGTCGTTGGAAGCGAGGTAGAGGAGGTGGTCCGCGAGGGCGCGGATGGAGGGAAAGGACGAGGCGTCGATGTAGGAGCTGGGGTGCGGGGCGAAGCGGGGGATGGAGGAGGTGCCGAGGAACACAGGGACAGTGCCGGATTCGAGGGGTTGGTAGAATTTTTCGGTTACATCTGTGCAGAGATGAATGAGGGGTGTGGTTAAAGACACTTGCCACCCCCGAACGAGACAAGTGTACAACGGAAACTCACAATCCTCCGAATTCGAGTTCTCAAACGCCAGATTAAACTTATACCGCTTCAGCACGGCCGTCTTCTGGTCCCAGGGGTTGAGGTCGATCGCATAATCCGGTATATCCTACGCAGCCAAACCATCAAAACCCTACATCCACACCCCCACCCGCATCACCCCACCACCCACCTGATTATGCAAACACGCCCCAAAGCTATCCACTTTGATATACTTCATCAGCTCCTCCACGACCTCCTTGCGGTTATTCCGCGCCCCGCAGTTGGATATGAAGGCGGAGGCGAGCACGTCGGTGTGTTTGGGGATGGTGGTGTCGACGGGGCGGAGGACGTCGCAGATGCCGTAGTAGGGGATGGGGACGTCGGATGTGAGACGGTAGTCCATGGTTATGTCGTAGCCGACAGATTTGGCGTCTGGAAAGTGAAAAGTGAGAATGACAACATATGAGGGTGATGGACAATATGCAATGGATCAATTGGATGGACGACGCGACAGCAGTATCCGAGCGCTAGCGAGGGTCGGTGGGCGGAGCAGCTCGCTTCGCTCGCAAGGATTTGACGCTCGCCGGTGCTCGCTAAGAGCATCAGTGACGGGAGTATTGCGCCTTTGACGCAATGGGAACTCGCTTCGCTCGTGCGTTCGTCCTCGCTGATGCTCGGTATAACAGTGGATTCGCTCCGCTCGCGCAGCTCACCATTCAGAAACGGATAATTATCAGCACTCTCCATCGAAAGCAGCGCAAACTTCTGATGTTCGCAACTCCTCTTTGGCAACCCCTCCTTCGATGTCGGATAATTCGATAGTAAAATCTCATACAATCTGACATCCGCCCGATCAATGTACGTTTGATCGCTGGTATGCAGACAAGGAATGATGCAAGGTTGTTTCGGTTCCCATTCTGCTGGGGATGGGGGCCACCCGCTGCCTGCGCCGCCTACGACGAGGACGGGGTGTTCTGTTAGGTTGCGCTCCCAGGGTGGGGGTAGGCAATGGGCTTGGTGTTGGAGTTGAGGGGAGGTGGTGCTGTCGTCCTGCGCTGGTGCTGGAGGTGGCGGGCTGGGGATGAAGGGGTTGACGAGGCCTTCGAAGTTGCTTTGTAGTGGTACGATGGGCGGTGGTTGTATTGGTGGCGGTGGTGGTGCGTCGTTTTCAATAATTTTGTGCCTGTCGGTTGAACCTGGGCGAAATGAGAATGAGATGATTAAAACCAGCGCAGGTGAACGAGATGATTAAAACCGGCGCAGCCGTCATCAAGCATCGTCCATCCACCATCGACCATAATCCATCAACCATCGACCATCAATCATGAACGAGATGATTGAAACTCGCCCAGCGAGGTTGCCTTAAACAGAACCAGATCGCTCCCTTCGGTCGCAGCTCGCTTCGTTCGCAAAGATGTGATGCTCGCTGTCGCTCGCCGCACGCTGTTGCTCGCGAAGGCGTTCGCTTTGGTCGACCTATCGGTCTCCCAGACCGAACCAACCCTGCACCTCACTTCGCTCGTTACAGTTCAACACCCACGCTCGCTTCGCTAGCGGCTCGCATGGCCGCATTGCGCTGCGGCGCCGCTCGCGTTTGGGCTCGCTATCGCTCGGATCCCTACCCTGCTGCTGCTGCTGCACCAACACGTCTCTCTCCCTCTCCTCCAGCCCCAGCCGCAGCCCGACTGTCGCAGTTGCACCCACGCCAACCCCAAGCCCCTTCGAAACGAAGAGCACGCCTAGAATGACGCATGTGAAAAGACGCGTGCGGCCGCGTGCTGCGTGTAGTGAGGAAGCCATTGAACTTGGAAGCCGCGGCGTGGAGATAAGAGCAGTGGACGACGGAGTGGAAGGTAGGCCATTGTGAGAGCGGCGAGTCTATTGGAGACGGGGGGTCTGGATAGAGCGAAGTGTGGCGCACCCTTGGTTGGGGGGGCGTTCTATAAGTGTGGCGTGCAGGTTAAGAGGGTTTGTGTGCAAGCATGTGCAGGCCATGTTGGGATTCTTGGGCCGCCTGGAAAATGAAAGCTGGAAATGGATTGTGAATTTGAACGTGGGAGGCGCCGCGTCGGTGATCGATGGCGCAACGGCACACTCCCAACAAAGACGCTCCCAACAAAGAGGCTCCAAACTCATTCCCGAAAGCCCAACCACAAAAGGTACTGTATATATAGGTCACAGGTTCGCAGTCCTCAACGCTCTCTGGCCGTCTTCTCACTTGCATTCATCGTCTCTAGAGCTACATACAGTACTCCTCCCTCCCTCGTTCCTCAAGCCCACCAAAAGCAGCAACCATGACAGACTTTGGACCCCGCACCCACCCAAAGACCCTCGTCTTGTTCGACGTCGACGACACTATCACCCCCGCTCGGAAGGTATGATCCTGACGAAGATACTAGGGAGGGCAGCTGCTTTGGACAGGAGTCGCCCCTCATCCACACAGATCCTCAATCTGCGCACCGCATTTTCTCACGATCTTGAAATTTCACACGCCCCCAACAGAGCATCACCCCCGAAATGAAGCAACTCCTCAAGGATCTAAGGAAGGAGGTCGTCATTGGGTTTGTGGGGGGGAGCGATCTCTCTAAGCAACTCGAACAGCTCGGGCCTGACTGTAAGTTAGATGGCGACTACTAAAGTGGTGGCAAAGAAGTGGAGCCGCGAGCGAAGCGAGCGTTGGTGTTGTACTGCAACGAGCGAAGGGAGGTGGCGCGAGCGAAGCGACTGGGGTGGGTTCGGTCTGGGAGACGATAGATAGACCAGAGCGAACGCGTTCGCGAGCGTCAGATCTTTTAGCGAGCGAAGCGAGCTACGCTCCGCCCACCGCAACTCAACATCCTTGTCGCGAGCGGCGCGAGCAAGGTGTCGTTTGGTGATGGATTGAAGGGCCCAATCATCAATCGCTTCGCTCATTCAAACTCACTTCTGCTTTCCATCCTTCCAGGCATCAACGACTTTGACTTTTGCTTTTCGGAGAACGGTCTGACCGCATACCGTTTGGGCCAGAAGCTCGCGTCGCAGAGTTTCATCGGCTGGATCGGCGAGGAAAAGTACAAGAAGCTCAACAGCTTCATCTTGCACTACATCGCTGATCTCGACATTCCAAAGAAGCGGTGAGTTTGGGGATGGGGATTCGTAACATCCCGACCATGTTCAAAGCCACTCACTTTCTCCACCTACCTCTCTCTCTCCCCTCCTCTCACAGCGGAACCCACATCGAATTCCGCAACGGCATGATCAACGTCTCCCCCATCGGGCGCAACTGCAGCCACCCTGAGCGCGACGAATACGAAATCTACGACAAAGCTCACAACATCCGCCCCACCTTCGTCGAAGCCCTCAAAAAGGAATTCTCCGACCTCTCCCTCACCTACTCCATCGGCGGGCAAATCTCCTTCGACGTGTTCCCCACGGGCTGGGACAAGACCTACTGCCTGAACCACCTCAAAGGCGAGTCGTTTGACACGATCCACTTTTTCGGTGATAAGACGTTCAAGGGCGGGAATGATTATGAGATTTATTCCCATGAGAGGGTTACGGGACATGCGGTTGAGGGGCCGCATGATACGGCGAGGATCTTGAAGGACTTGTTTTTTAAGAAGTAGACACTCTTTTTTACTTTTTCTACGTAGACTTGGTGCAATACCACCGAATACCACTCAGACTGAGCGCCTGATCCCGCTATAAATGTTTAGCATTCTTGAAATACCTTACGCCTGATGTGATATCGTTACAGTATATCTCTACCTAACAACATCAAGGGGGGTATCCCAGATCTACGGCCAAAGGAGAGTCCTCATCTACCTGACCTCGATGCTAAGGATCCTGATATCCTCGTACGGCTTGTCGGTCTTGTCGGTCTTTGTCTGCTCGATGCGCTGTATGACATCCATACCGCCAGTCGCGCGGCCAAAGATGGTGTGTTTGTTATCCAGCCAGGGCTGTAAAGTAAGAAAGAGAAGAATAACAGAATCAATCACCACCCTTTTGCCAAACATGCACCCCCTCCCCCCCCCAAACATACCGTAGCAACAGTCGTAATAAAAAACTGACTCCCATTCGTATTCGGCCCCACATTCGCCATGCTAAACGTATACGGCCGATCATGTTTCACCGCCCTCGAGAACTCATCCTCGAAATCACTCCCCCACAGACTCTCCCCGCCGGTCCCATCCCCCAACGGATCCCCCGTCTGGATCATGAACCCTTTGATCACCCGATGGAAGATCACGTTCTCGTAGTACCCCTTTTTGGCCAGGCCGACGAAATTCTCGACCGCTTTCGGCGCGTATTCGGGGAAGAGACGGAGGTGGATGTCGCCGTGGGTGGTGTGGATGATGGCGGAGGAGCCGAGGGTTCGTGCGAGGTTGGTTTGGGATGCCGCGACGGTTTGTTCCTCGCGGGAGGGTTTCTCGTTGAAGATGTCTCGCCCCGTCGATGTGGCAGTCGAGTCGTCCGAGTCGGCGTCGCGGCGGGAGAAGCAGAAGAAGCGGTTACGTTTATATGCCGTGGCAAATAGCGTCGGGTCAGTGGACTCGGTTTCTTTCAGCGCCGGGTTATCCGAGGCGGCCATTTCGAGGGTCATCAGGCCCTTTTTGCGGGGCGCGCCTTGGTACAGCGCGAGGTTCATGAAGCGTTGTGTTTCGGCTTTTCCGATCAGACGGACGACTTTGTTGGTGGTGATGTTGACCACTTTTATTCCTAACAGCGTGGGGTAGATGACGAAATTGCCCGTTTCGTCAAAGATGGCGTTGACGGTTGCGGATTGGCCGCCTTTTATTTTCTCGATCTCGCGTTCAAGGGCGAGGCGGCGGCCGAATTCCATGTCGTCGAGGCGGTGGATGGCGGTCCCGGCTTGCTGCATCTCGGAGACGACGGTGAGCGACTCGTCGTATTTGCGGATCAGCTTGCCGGTGGTGAAGTTGAAAATGCGGATTTGGCGGTCGTCGAAGCCGAAGGTGACAAATTTGCGGAAGTCAGCGGAGAATGTGAGGCCGGTTGGTGTTGATTTGGCCTGGGTACGAACAAATGATCCTCATTTCAGTCATTTGTTCCCTCATCTCCCTCGCTCCACAAAAACAAACGCCTACGCCCGCACCTTCTTAAACTCGTAAAGATCCGTATCACTCTTAAATTCCCAAGCAACAGCCGGTTTCGTCGGCGCCCTAAATCCTTCCTCCAAATCCGGCGTCCAGTACTCCACCATGCCCCCGCTATCCACGCTGACCACCACGTCCGCGAACGCGTTGTAGCGCATGATATGTACGGTGCTCGAATGGATGCTGGTGATGACTTTCAGGGGGTCGTTGCTTCCCCGGCCGTCGTATAGGTATATTGATGAGGATTCGCGGTCGGAGCTGTGGGCGGTACATGTCGATGGTATGAGCTCCTCGAATCGCGGAAGTGGGAAACGCAGTCAATCTACGTACCATGCTAGAAGCGCCTGTGCCTGCCCCTTTTGGTACATCCAGCACACAGCGTTCGGCAAGTACTCTAGCTTGTTCATATTTATCATATCTGTCATCAATGCAACACATCCCAACCATCGTCAGCATATTTCGTATTCCCTCAGACCGAGCCCCCAACTCCCCCAAACCCCCACATCCTCTTCGAAACCCTACCAAAATTGACAACATCAAAGATCTTCAACCCCTTATCGACCGCGCACGTCGCCAACAGCGTCCCATCATGGCTAGTGTCGATCGCGACGATGGCGCCCAGGTGCGCCCGGAAATGTTTGACGAACTCTATTCCCTTCTCGGTCTTTTTCCAGAACTTGACGTGCCCGTCAATCGATGTTGTTATCAGGAAGTCCGTTCTGGTTCATCGTAAACGTGGTGAATACGGGATGAGAAATTGCCCCAGACGGAGGAACAGGGTGATTATTTTGAAGGCAAAAGCGGACTTACGACGTAACAGCAACGAAATTCACAACATCCCGGTGCATCAAACTCCGCTCATACATATCCGCCGACGGCAAGTTATCCAAAAACACCTTCTCATACTTCAGTTTCCGCACTTTCTTCCTTGGCGCCGTCGTCGCTGCTTCGTCGGAGGAGGGTGGTAATTCGGGCATGGGGCCGACATCGTCGTCTGAGTCGGATTCGTCTGCGTCCCCGTTGCCGTTTTGGGAAGGGGGGGCGTCGTCTAGCTTTGGCCGTTTGGAGTCGGTGGTGTGATCTTCTTCTTCGTCGTCGTCGCGGCGCCGGCGGGTTCCGGTGATCTCTGTGTCGCTCATTATGTTGAGGGTGCAGCAATGGGTGAGGGGAGGTGTGGAATGGGAAAATAGATGATGAGAAGGTCTTGTCCCTTCTGCGCTCTATGTATATATGTACAGTGTGCGAGGTAGGGAGCTGTGAAGGAGAAGGTCTAGAAGGTCTGGGTGTGAGGGCAAATCTGCAATTGGAGGACTTGAATTTTGAGGATGCGTTGGCCATAGAGTTCTGTGAGGGCTTCGCGCGGACTCATCCTCCCCTCTCCAGAACAGCTCAGCAGCTCAGCAGACATCACTTTACGGCCCTGCGTCCTCTAGCTCCTGCGTACCAAACGGGAAGATACTCAGGATACGTTTCCAGAAGGAAGTTACTGTACCTGGGCGACGCTCTCCGCCATTCACTTTCGCAACTCTTCACACCATGTCAGGCACCAATAGCACATCATCAACCGCCTCGCCAGCAACTTACACCCACGGCCATCACGCCTCAGTCCTCCGCTCTCACAGCTGGCGCAACGTCCAAAACTCCTGCGGCTACCTCATTCCGGAGCTCAAAAACGATTTCCGCGTGCTGGACGTCGGCTGCGGGCCCGGCACCATCACAGTTGATCTCGCGACCTACGTCCCACGCGGACACGTTACTGGGATCGAGCCGGAGGGCGCAAAGGATATCCTGGATCAAGCACGGGCTCATGCTGCTGAGCGTCGGGTGACTAACGTGGACTTTCAGGTAGCGGACGTTTTCAATCTGCCTTTCGCCGATGCCTCCTTCGATCTGGTGCACGCACACCAGGTCCTCCAGCATATCAGCGACCCCGTCAGTGCCCTGCGGGAGATGCGTCGCGTATGTAAACCGGGGGGTCTGGTCGCAGCGCGGGAGGTGGACATGGGCGCCACCCTATTCTACCCCGAAGTCCCCGGCATAAACTCCTGGCTCGATCTCTACCTCAGAGTCGCCCGCCACAACGGCGGCGAGCCTAACGCAGGACGACGGCTGCACGCGTGGGCGAGACTGGCCGGGTTCGACCCCGCCCGCATGAAGTTGGGCGCTGGGACGTGGTGCTATGCGACGAAGGAGGAGCGGGATTGGTGGTCGGGCTTGTGGGCGGAGCGGACGTTGAAGAGCACATTTGCGAAAACGGCGTTGGAGGGCGGGTGCTGTGATCAAGGGGCTTTGGAGGAGGCGGCTAAGGCTTGGCGGCGGTGGGGTGCCGAAGAGGACGGGTGGTGTACGCTTATTCATGGCGAAGTTATCTGCAGCGTGTGATAAGCGATGATGGTCGACAACAAACTTACTGTAGGTTCATGTATATAGAGAAACACCTGGAGCGTGTGAACAAGGGTCAAGGCTTACATTCGACCTGATCGGACGGCGGATGTTACGGTCTTGAGAGGCATCCCGCTCTGCCAACAATAGCGATGGCTATCTTACTAGACGCACAAGCTGTCTACCCGGAAGTTCTTGCATCAGTACCGCATCACTTTCCCGTGCCAGCGTCCTTCTAGCACGCTTGCACGGAAAAAGGAGCCGCCGATCTCTCCTCACGAAAACCCGCACATTTTTCAATAGGCCAACCTCCAGCCGTATCCCCTGGGAATCCGAGGTCGTAGCAGAGTCTGCTAACGCACTTGTTCCTCACATGTATGGAAATGTCCAGATTTGCCGTCAGCCCCTGGAGCCAAAGGCATATCAGGGGCGGTATCATTCTGTAGGCCGAGAGTTGGAGTGGATCGTCGACGGCAGAGAGCCCGCCGTCCAGATGAAAAGCTGAGCGAACCAACATGAGGACGCGTAACCCTAACTCCCAGCGCAGCGGTCGACTATATATATACCGGAAGGCGCCGGCGCAGCGAGCGACATGTGAAAGCCCACGTCACGGGGACTCCTCGCGTCCGGACTGTTTGCTCCACTGGTGACACTTTTCGCACGGGCGGTTTTGCCTCGGCTCCTCCCCCCGTCGTCTCAACGTCCCCCCATAAAGACCCGCCCATCACCGACTCCCTCTTGCCCTGATCAACCCCGCAGCTCCTCGTTTTTGGTCCCCGCAAATACCACACATAGCATAACCACGTATCGTTTTCCTCGGCAAACAGTAACCAAATTTCTCATCAATGTCTGACCTTCGTTTCGATAACCGCGTCGTCATCGTGACCGGCGCTGGAGGAGGTATGTGAAGATGCGTCGCACGCTCAGCTCAGCTTGCTCATCCAGTTATATTGACCGACCATCTCATCTTCCTCTCCTTGTAGGACTTGGAAAGGTGCAGTCTGCTCGCTGAGGTGAAACTCTCGCGATTTCGGGACTGACGATGCATTTTCCCACGCTTCGAATCTGTAGGCGTACGCCACATTCTTTGCTTCCCGAGGTGTGTTTCTCCATCCTTGGATAGCAATGCATGCCTTTTGATGTTCCCATCTTGCCTGCCGGATCTTTCCCATACCTATGAGGAATCCCGCGGTCCGCCAGATTGACTAAATCATCATTATAGGTGCTTCCGTCGTTGTGAACGATCTTGGATCGAGCAGAACCGGTGACGAGGGCGGCAACCACAAGGTATGGAAGCCACAAGGCAAAAAGCTGCAATTTTATCTCGTTCAACGAGCTGATTTACGTATTTGTACTTTCCTCACATTCAGGCCGCTGACATTGTCGTCGATGAGATCAAAAAGGCCGGAGGAAAGGCTGTTGCCAACTACGACTCCGTAGAGGACGGTGAGAAGATCGTCCAAACTGCACTGGATGCTTTTGGCCGCATTGATGTCGTTATCAACAACGCTGGGTATGATTTTGCGTGAACTGGCCTCTTCTCTTGTGCCACTGGGAACGATACCTGACTTCCTACATCTGTGTCAAACCCGCAGTATCTTGCGCGACAAGTCCTTCGCCCGTATGACCGATGCCGACTGGGACCTTGTCCAACGTGTGCACGTCAGGGGCTCATACAAGGTGGCGAAAGCCGCCTGGGAACACATGCAGAAGCAAGGCTACGGACGGTACGAAAGAGAGATTACCGTACATATTGGTTACATGGCATACGTCGCCCTTCCCGAAATTAAATCCCCCCACTTCTAGCATTATCAACACGGCATCCGCCGCCGGCATCTACGGAAACTTCGGTCAAGCCAACTACGCGGCTGGTGAGCTTTCTGTGTGCTTTTTCGCAATTGCTTCCGGACGGCCGCCTAACTATATCCCCTTTTTGCAGCGAAATTGGCTCTTTTTGGATTCTCAAACTCTTTGGCCCGCGAAGGCGCCAAGAAGAACATTCGTGTCAACACCATCGCACCTCTTGCCGCGTCTCGTATGACCGAGACGGTCCTCCCCCCGGACATGCTTGCCGCATTGAAGCCCGAATTTGTTGTTCCCCTCGTTGCGTACTTGACTCACGAGTCTACTGAGGAGACTGGTTCCATCTTCGAAGTTGGAGCTGGTTTCATCGCGAAGCTCCGATGGGAGAGGTCGCGCGGAGCAGTCTTCAAGGCCGATCAGACCTTCACCCCTGGGGCCGTCACTGCCAAGTGGGATCAGATCACGAAGTTCGACAAGCCTGCGTACCCCGAGTCTATCATGGACACGGACTGGGTCGGGCTTTTGGAGGAGGCCAAGTCCCTGCAGAACAACCCTACTGCAGGTGATTTACGTTTCGACGGAAAGGTCGCCATCGTCACGGGTGCTGGAAACGGGCTTGGAAGGGCACACGCCATTCTTCTCGCCAAGGTGAGCAGTCTATGTTTTCTTCGTAGTACGCGAAGTGGTTACTCAAGACGCATATTCCTTCACGATAGCTTGGGGCTTCCGTGGTTGTGAACGATCTCGGAACTGGGACCAAGGGCGAGGGCGGCGAGGCTTCCCCCGCAGACAAAGTTGTGGAGGAGATCAAGGCTTTCGGAGGGAAGGCGGTGTCGAATCACGACTCTGTGGAAGATGGCGACAAGGTGGTGCAGACCGCTCTCGACGCCTTCGGTCGCATCGACATTGTCGTGAACAATGCGGGTATTCTCCGCGACAAATCCTTTGCCAGGATGACCGACAACGACTGGGACTTGGTCCACCGTGTTCACCTCCGCGGAACCTACAAAGTCACCAAGGCTGCGTGGCCCCATATGCTCAAGCAAAAATACGGTCGTATCATCAACACCACCTCAGCTGTCGGTTTGTACGGAAACTTTGGCCAAGCCAACTACTCCGCCGCCAAGGCCGGTATCGTCGCTTTCTCCAACACCCTTGCCCTTGAGGGCCAGCGATCGAACATCGTCGTCAACACCATTGCTCCCAACGCGGGTACCCGTATGACCGCCACCGTCATGCCCGCCGAGATCGTCGAGATGTTGAAGCCCGATTACGTGGCTCCACTGGTCGGAAAGCTCGTCCACGAGTCCAACCAGGACACCGCTGGCGTCTACGAAGTCGGATCATGCTGGATCGCCAAGGTCCGATGGCAACGCACTGGGGGCGTCGGGTTCCCCGTCAACAAGCCTCTCCTCCCCGAACACATCGCGTCCCGGTGGTCTGACATCACCAACTTCGAGGACGGCCGCGCTACTTACCCCACTAGCACCCAAGACTCCTTCGCCGCCGTGCAGGCCAACTTTGACAACGTCAGTGGCGACGCCGCCAAGCCCGCAGAAGCCAAGAAGGAGACATCCGCGGCCGCCAAGCCCGCTGCCGCGCCTGCATCCTCAGGCAGCGACATCAACGTCCCCGGCTTCGTCTCCTCCAAAGTCTTCCAGCAAATCCAAGCCGGATGGAACGCCGCGCCCGACACCACCAAGGCCGCGCAGGTCAAGAAGGTCAAGTCCGTGTTTGCGTTCGACATCACCAACGCCGAGGGAAAGAAGCAGTCGTGGTACGTCGACCTGAAGAACGGGTCCGGCAGCGTCGGTGCGGGTGCCCCACCGTCCGGGAAGGCCGATATGACCGTCACCGTTGCCGATAAGGACTTTGTGGAGCTTGCTGCAGGGAAGTTGAAGCCGCAGAAGGCGTTCATGGCGGGGAAGATCAAGATTAAGGGCAACATGGCTCTTGCGACGTAAGTGTTCTGTTATGCTGTTCAGTACAGCTTTTGCTCGCGTGTACTCAACGACCTTCCTTTTCACATAGAAAACTGGAGGGCGTGCTGCAACTCGCGGCCCCGAAGTCCAAGCTTTGAGGCGTACCCTTTGCGTAGTTCTAGTGTACTAGGATTGACGATTTTCCCTGCATTTCATCCTCTGATTATAATGGGTCTATCCTCTTCTCTCTCCCTTTTTATGATAGCTTGATGTACGTAGATTCCTCAGTTCTGCGCGGCAAACATGGGTTTATATCAGAAGTTCAGAACTTTGATGTCGCATTGATACCATGTGATATGACCAGGAGAAGGTCTACCACACTGTTCCATTTTACCAACGCGTACCAGAATCTGTGGATCTGACAAGAAGTGTTGAAGGCAAGTCTCGCCGTGTTTCCCCCCTTTTCCACCCACATCTTCCCACGATGGTGTCCCACCACCCCGACATAAAAACCTCCGCCGCGGACTTCTGCTCCGCCTTCAAATCCTCCTGCGAATCCCTCACCACCACCCTTGATCTCACCCCCACGCCCGAGCAGCGCCAATCAGCCCTCGAGCAAATCAGCGAATTAAGCAAACGATTAACAGCAGCGACGGTGTTCCTGCCCGCGTATGATCAGCGGCAGTGCGCGGCGCTGTTGAAGGGCGTGCAGGCCAAAGCGGCGAGTGGGACGGCGCCAAGGGCGAAATTTACCTTCGGGGCGCGGAAGGGGAGGGTGGGTGGGGGCGTGGGGGTGAATACGGCGGGTGCTGTGGATGGGGCCGCGGCACAAACGGCGTCACGGGCGGGAAGCTCCGTAGTTGAGACGACATCCCCGAAAGACCCTGTAGCGTCGGCACCGGGACATGAGACGGATGTCACATCCCTCAAGTCTCTCGCCATCACCGGCAAGCAGGCCGAGTACATCCGGCCCGCCACTTCAACACAGGACGATGCAAAAGACTATAAACTCAGCAACCTCACCCACTGCGTCGTCTCGATCCTCGGCACCCCGATCGCGGCGCTGCACGCCACCCATCTCCAGCACTGTCTCGTGATAACAGGTCCCATCAGCGGATCGCTGTTTATTCAGGACTGCGTGGGGTGTGTGTTTGTTGTTGCGTGTCGGCAGGTGAGTTCCCATTCTGGCTGCACCATCCTAGGTGGGACATCCATTCACTCACGATTGCGATTTGGTATGGTCACTCGAAAACAGTTCCGAATGCACGCAACAACACGGACAGATATCTACCTCCATATCAACTCACACCCGATCATCGAAGACTGCTCTGGGCTGCGGTTCGCCACGTATCCCACCACCTTCGTCACCTCCCTCCCCTCCAACACCACCAATCCTACCGTACCGCTATCAAAACTCTACGCTCTCGCGCAGATCTCACCAGACCCCGCAACGAATCAATATCGGGAGGTGGAGGATTTCAAATGGCTGAAACGGGGCCATAGCCCGAATTGGCGATTGATGGCCGATGGGGAGGGGATCAAGGATGGCGTGGAGTGGGAGGCGTTGTTGACGCATCCGGGTGGGGCGCTGGATGTAGACGACGGCGTATTGGGGAAGTGGCTTCCTGCTCCCTCCAGTTGAACGGGCCTTTTTAGATCGCGGCACTTGGGGGTTCAGTGCGAATCGATGTGCGGATAGAAAGGCGTGCATTGAGCATGGATCTAGAGAACGCATCAAGTGGCTTTTGAGCTGCGACAGATATATATAGTGACGCCCTATATACAAGCTTCAGGCTATATGTGCTACCTAATATACTCCCTCTGCGGACCCCAATACCGTCGACCTACGGAACAGCGCCATATAGTTGCCGCGGATATGTTTCGCTCCAGAGCCATGGGGCTACGGCGGGGATAACCTATTGTGGGCCGAGAATCTGTGTCCTCTGCAAAGTGTCCTCGAGTTGTGAGTTCTAATATGTTCGAATCTAAAACCCCTCGACTTCAGCAACCTACCAGGAGCGTGATTTTCTCCCTCTGATCGGCCGGTAAGGCTTGCAGTTGGTCTGGCGTAAGGTTGAGGAGTTGTAGGAGGACTTGCTGGAAGTTGTACGAGGAGGCAAAGAAATGGTCAGCTATGAATGTTCTTCTCATGGGAAAGCAGTAGCGGGGAATTTACCTTTTGTTGTTCTTGTACCATATCTGCAATCACAAACGTGTCGAGGGTAGTCAGTTAGGCACCACGATCAAAGCATAACTCCCATGCCTTTCGAACGAGGTTCATGTCAACATACCAATCGGCCCCGCCCCACCCATCGGTTGCTGGTTCGGCAGTCCCAAGCCCGCAGGCAGCCCAGCGGGTATACCCAATGGTCTCCCAAACTGCTGTTGCGGTTGTTGCTGTGGTATTGGGGCCGCCGTCAGGCCCTGGATGAACGCCGCGGGGTTCATCATGGGTGGTATTGATGGTGGGATGCCCAGTTGTTGGGGAGGTGGCACGCCTTGCATTTGGGGGGTGATGGCTTGGGTTTGCAGGATGCGCTGTAAGAGGGTGGATGAGATGATCAGAGAGCATCAATCAAGGTCATGGATACTTGGTCGGCTGTTACCTGCATGATAGCGGGATCCACAACATTCATAACAAGCAGTGCCTGGAATAGCGCATATGAGAGTTGCGGGTTTTCCATGAGCAATGCCTGAACTTGGTCAGGGTTGCTTTGGACATGCAGCTGTGATATACAAGAGAACGTCAGCTTCATGTTCAGGGTGTCAGGGGCAGCTGTCGCGGCGTCCGGCCCACCAACCTTCATCTGCGCAAGAACCTCTAGCATCTGTTCCGGGGGATATGACGCCAGTATCTTATTGATCACATCCGTCGCTGGCGGCCCCGCGGCGACGGGCGCGGGCACCGGCGTGTTATGTGGGGGAGTGTTCATGTTTTGTTGACCATACATCTGCTGGGGAAGTTGCTGCTGCTGTGGCGGTGGCGGTTGTTGATGTTGTTGATATGATTGGGGTGCGGATTGCGGCCCTTGTCCAGGGCCTCCGTTTCCACCAGGTCCGGGATCCTCCTTATCGCTCTCGGCAAAGTCTATCCGCAACTGTCTCCCGTTAACATCGTAATTGTTGAGGTTTCGTACCGCACTCGCCGCCGTCTCCGCATCTGTAAATGGGTGTGTTTTCCACGCTCAGAAACTTTCCCAGTTCTCGACGTGGTTGCCGCTCCGCTCTCCATCTGGGCCGTAGTGGACTACACATACCTTGGAAGGTACAGAAGCCATATCCCTTCGGCTTCCCCGTATCCCTATCGAACACCAGCCGGAACGATACAACAGGCCCAACTTCCTTGAATATATCGATGAGTTGCGTTTCGGTCAAGTCGTCTGTTATGGCGAAGTTTCGTTCAATACACGGTCTCCAAGGAGCCTCATATTCCAGCCAATATCCGGACCCGCTCAATCTCGCCCGGTATAGGGAAGGCGGCTAAACTGCGGTGATACGCCAATGCTTTTGACAACTTACATGGGATGTTCCCGACTGTGAACAGAAGGCACAGGTAAGCGACAATTAGGCCAACTTTGCGAAGTAGACCACTCAAACTGGCAAGAAACAGAACACTTACCGAAGACGACACGGGTGGGCCTGCCTGACATATTGTAAAGGCCGTTCTTTGGGAGCAACTGCAGAAGAGTCTGTTGGCCGATGCCTGGCGGGTTGTGGTGGCAATTGCGAAGTTGCGGGAAAGAGCGAAAACGCGTCGGAGGGGAGTCGCAGAAGCCCCGAGAGGACTTTCACTCTCGCTCGGCAACCACTCCTGAAAACCTGCCTGAAAACCGGGCTCGAGCCACTACGACACATACGGTGGAAGAGGCTTCAGGAGCATAGGGAGCGAAGGACAAGCTAAACCATGCGCATAGCGATAGAGGGCTGCTGCCACGGCGAGCTCGACCGCATCTATGCCTCCTTGAAGTACCTGCAACGGACAGAAAACATCACCATAGATCTGCTCTTGATATGTGGTGACTTTCAGGTATGTGTTGGGGAAGGACGGCAAACAGGCACTGTGTGAGAAGGCGAGGGTGTATTCCCTTGTGACATAGTGCACCGCCGCTTGAACAGTTGGGGCTTTGCAGAAAGAGGGCAATTCTCATACGACCTTTTCTTCTCGTTTGCAGTCCATTCGAAACCAGGGTGATCTTGGCTCACTAGCATGCCCTGACCGATACCGGACGATAGGCAACTTCTCGGAGTACTATGCTGGAAAGAAGAAGGCACCAATACCCACCGTATTCATTGGCGGGAACCATGAAGCGTCCAATTATCTTTGGGAGCTGTGAGTAGACGGACCGGACGAGGGCTGGTGCTTCATTTAGAAGCGATGAGGACTGATGACGGGTCTTACTACACTCGCAGATACCACGGAGGTTGGGTGGCGGAGAACATCTACTACATGGGCTTTGCTGGGGTTGTCAATTTCGGCGGGCTGAGGATAGGAGGGTTGTCGGGAATCTACAAGAAGCATGACTATGATTCCGGTGAGCAGCGGCGGTCAGATTAAGACGCAGACTTTCAGTACGAGAGTTCTGACACAGCTTCGTTAGGGTACTACGAGACACAGCCTTTCAACGAGTCTCATTGTCGATCGGTGTATCATGTCCGCAAGTACAACGTCTATCGATTGGCGCAGGTGAGATACTAGACACCAGCGGGGCTTTCAGAGAAATGGCAACTGAATGATTGAGCAGATCAAACGACCGTTGGACATCATGCTGACACATGATTGGCCGCGTGGAATCGCTTTCCATGGCAACACCCGGGCGCTGCTGCAAGTGAAGCCGTTCTTGGCAGGGGAGGTGAGGCACCCTTGACATCTCCCAATCAGACATTTTCTAAACTAGTCTCATTTGACAGATCAATACAAACACATTGGGAAGCTATCCGAACGAGTTCCTGCTGAAGCGCTTGAAGCCCTCTTATTGGTTCAGCGCGCACCTGCACGTCAAGTTTGCCGCTGTTCACAAACACGATTCTGCCGTGGAGCTGCCACACGCTGCAGGCAGTGAGGCTGCAATGGGAGCTACAGCCGCTGGCCTTGGGTTGGAAAACCCGGATGAGATCGCAATTACCAGCGACATGGAGGAGGACGTGGACAAACCCGAGGCGCAGGCAGATCCTCCTGCTGCGGTGGGCACGGAGACCGCGGAGGGGAACGGCAGTGTTGGTGAAGGGAATGCCGAGGCAACGGGTGATGCCGCTGTTGAGGTGGCGACGGGCACCCCAATGGTTGAGGTCCCCGCTGAAGTCGAGTCGACCTCGCAGCCCACGGTACCTACTGCGAACCCCGTCGAGTCAGAAGCCAACAAAGCCACTCCCGACACATCCAAAGCGAGATACACAAAGTTCCTGGCTCTGGATAAATGCCTGCCCAGTCGCGATTTCTTGCAGGTGAGGTTACATGTTGTAGTTCAAGTTCCAAGAGGCATCATAGCTCATCTAATATACAAAACTCCGCAGATCATTGACATCCCAGAAGCCACCGGACCGTTGGAACTCACATATGACGAAGAATGGCTGGCCATAATGCGTGCCACACACGACCTCTTCAGTCTTTCAAGGGACCAGAAGAAAGTACCCGCGGATGACGAGATTGCCAAGTATGTTTCCCGTTCTTCTCACACATCGCACACCAAACCCGCTCACTCACACCTCCCGCTCCACAGCCGCATAGCCACCGAACTAGCCTGGGTCCAATCCAACATCTCGTCCAAGCCCAACGGCCTCCTCATCCCCCACAACTTTGTCCAAACCGCACCCGCACACAAAGGCAAACCAGACCCGCCCGGCAAAGCTCCCAAAGTCTCGCGCGTCCGTGGAGGCAACCCTTACATCAATCCGCAAACCGTCGCCCTGTGTGAGTTCCTCGGCGTGCAGAACTACATCAACCCCAATGGACTTGCACCGGGGACGTGGGATCCGGCACTGGGACCCCCGCCCCCGTCTCCTGGGAAGGGCCAGCAGCAGCATGACGCGCCGATCCGACGGGTGAAGTTGGACCTTCCCGATCCCGTGTCGACCGAAACCGAGACCCCTCCGGTGACAGATGAGACGCACGGTGAAGCATCGGTCGAGCATGATACCGCTACTCATACAGCTGCGGCTGAGGAAGAGGAAAACGCAGAGAGCGCCGAGCGTACCGACCGCGATCGAACGCGGACTACGACGGTGGAGGAGGCCCTGTTGGGCTTTTATGTGGATCATCAGGGTGACCGTGCGCATGCGGATGGGCAGGAAGGCGACCATGCTGATGCGGATGCGCAGGAGGGTGGAGATGATGGGCAGGAGCAGGCAGATGAAGCGCACGAGTGAACAAATTCAGTTTAATAGGCTTTGCTGTAGGGTGTTTCTCGTTTGTATATATGTAGTTTCTTCATGGGATCGCAGATGTATGCCCGAGGTAAACGATAGAATACTACTGCAGCTATATTGACGAGTAGGAGCCAATGGTGCGCAACACATATATTGTACGCATGAGGAAAAAAGACTTTGAACTACACGCCTCCTTATGACATTTCTTCCAAGATCCGCCAGCTCCTCCCTTCATTGCCTTTCACCTCCGTGGCAGCTCCTCGCCAGCACCATCTTCTCCCTCATCCTGACCCCCGTACAGTCTCAACTCCGACACCACCCCATTACTTCGTCGCCAGTCCTCAACCTCACTAATAGGCATCACAAACGCCAACCCACAGCGTATACACGCGGACACTACTGCGAGGGGATTATATCGCGACATTGGGCGGAGTACAGTAACCGGAATGTCTTCAAAAGTGCTCGGAAAGCTGGACACGGCCGCGGTTATAGGAAGGATGAACAAGGAGATAATTCCCAACGTCTAAGAGTTGACGGGAAAATATGGGAAGAGCGAGCTGACTAAGACGTTTTACGACAGACCTCCTGCGGGATCACCCGCGACAAAAGCAAAGTTGATGTCGGCTTCCGCGCTATAAGCTTGATCGCCGCATGTGGAGGGAGCGCATGGCATTCGTCTTCCATCATATTTGATCGCAAGGACGTTCGTTATACTTTTGGTTCTGAGAAACAGGAATGGCTGGGGCGTGTTGAACTTGGATCCGTCTTGCAGGGTCCTGTTGGAGTGTGCAAGCTGCTCTTTGTTACGTTCTACGGGTGCGAAGAAAGTGGGCAGAGGTGGACAAGTGTCGGACGCGTTGTTAGGGAACCGTGCCCTAACCCTAGCCCGAACCCTAACCCGAACCCGAACCCGAACCCTAACCCGAATCCTAACCCTAACCGTGCCCTCACGTGCCCATATATTAGTTGCATAACCCTACTCTTTGTGGTCGGACTTCGTCCTTGTGAACTACGTTTTCTAGAACTACACGTTGAATACATTTAAAGGCTAAGGTTTGCACACAACTGTCGTGTGACTAGCTGTAAACTTTCCGATGAAGTCATGATGCGATTATGATTATGAGGGGATGTGTAAAGAGAAGCATCGTCAGCAGCGGTGAATTTCCCCACTTCCCTTGACCACTTGCCGCAACCCATCGGGATCGCCCATTCCATAATGAGACTTGTTTGGTGTTCTGAAGGAAAGTTCAGAAACTCGTTGTTGGGACGGATTCCGCTTTCCGACTTGCCGAACCTTGAAGCTTACTCTTATTTCCAACGCAGGGCCCAGTTAGTGATTCTGACATCTACTTTCGCTCCTCGAACCCAATCTCGATGCCAGCGATGATCCATCACCGCATAGCTGCGTCAGTTCTGGGCGCCGAGCCCAAAAGTCCGCAAACAAAAGCAGCTGACAGTCACATGGGGGTATGTTGTTCTGCACGGTTCCCCTTCCCGCGCGTCATGCCGTGAATGCTTACCTCGCATACGCGCGAGTTTCTTTGCAATCCGCCTTGCACCAGAGCCAAGAATCAAGTGTCGACTGACACCCAAGGACCGAGCATTATGGGTTTTGGGTGCCTCCCATAGGAGGCGGCTGGGTATTTCCCGTCTTATAAAGAAGAAGGAATGTGGGGAAAGGGACGAAGAAAAACACTTTTTTTCATGTTTGTCAACGGACTTCTCTTTTGGTATACAAGATCCTGCACCCACCATCGTAGCCTTGGAACCGCCAAGGCAATAATAAGGTAGGGAGAAACGCCAAGCACGCGGCAGGGTGGGGTTGGTTGGGGGGCAATACTGTGGGATTATGGGCACGCGCAATGGCAGCGAGAGATCGTCACGGGGTCACATCTCGGCGTCAATTTGGAGAGGGGAGAAAAGGACTTTCGGACAAACGCATCTTCCCACGCCCTATCCGACAACCCAACACAACTCACCACAACCCCCCTTTGGGACAGCAAAGGCTGATAGCATCCCACCTCACAGCAGCTAACAGCCCCTCTTCCGCTGTGCAGGCTGGCTATCACTCAAGCTCTCGGCCGCCTCTGAGCGCTCTCTCTCGGCAAGCGAACGATAAATAACTGTTCGGTAAGTCAATGGGGTTGTGGACTTTCCCACCCTATGGTTCAGACGTTGGAGGCCGTCAACGGGTACGAGACTCCATATATCTCGCCTCGTCTCGGCATGTACGGGAGGTCGAGATCGGCCATGCTCAATGTCGGCGCGGTTTGGGCAATTCTCCCAGGCGACATCTTGGTGCATGTCACTTCGCTGACGTGGCAGTTGCACTCCGACGGTGATGACAACGCTCTGCGCACGAGACACGGGATAATCGACAGCGCGAATCTCGTCGGCGTCGGGGACTTCCCTGGTGGCACATCATCATATGGCATGAGAGGGATTTGTGGGACGGGACAAGACATCCCGCACACCTGCTCAAGGGGTGGTTCAGAACAGACAGCGAGCACTAAGGACTTGTTGTCGGAACCGCGGGCAAGGAGACGGCTGGGGAACTCGTGAACGTGATGGAGGGGGATGCGCATGGCCACTGCGGCCGTTGTGCTTGACATGAGTGCTGTGTCTAAACACAGGCTCTCCGGGCATCGCATGTCTTGGCAATCCTCATCGAACGTCAGAGTCTGTGGAGACCCCGCCAGTTGGTTATTCTGCCGCCAAAGTGTTCATCACACGACTGTTTAACGGGGACAATCAGACTATCTCTGAAAGCCGCGAGTGTCGGGCCCCCCACCCCATCACCAGCAGACATTGCACAAATCGAACTCAAATTCCCATCCCACCTCCTTCTCCTTTCCCACATTAGATATATACTTCCCTTCATATTTCGCAGATCTCACCGCATACCCTAACGTTCTCGCCACTACTGGTCGGGGGCTCCAACGACGCTCGATTCATCCGGTTGCATCATTCAAGAACGTTCTTCCGATCATACTCGCTCTGCCCGCTATACCCAGTCATCACATCGACGCTGATCAAGATTTCCGGGACGACGAAATCGTGCCGTCAAACGTGTTCCGTCGAGTTCGGCCCCATATAGGCTCGCAGGCCGTCGGCTCACCCTCTTGCTGAACCTCTGGACATTCCCACAAACATTTTTGGTACAGTCGCAAAGCTCAAACATATTCGCCTCATCCAACGTGCTTGCAAGACTTACACGCGAAACTCCATATCCTCCCCTTTCTCCTGTTCCAAGTTTATGAGCATCGTTAGGTCTAGTAGAACTTTCATTGCGCAGGAGAAGGCGCTGAGCTAATATCAGCCACTGCTGAAGAAGAAGTCCCGTCCGCGCGCCACCGACCGTTCCGACGACTGACCTGCTCGAACATCTTCTACTGTCCAAGGTACGTGTCATTGTTGGAATTGTTTCTCTTTATTGAGTTCCCGTCGTTGAACATGCACCAATCTTTCCCATTTCCAGTTTCGTCTCAAGTTACTACCTGTCATACCCTCGTACGGATAGTAGAGGAAACAAATTGTCCGGTGCTACCTAAATGCTGCCACGGATATTGGAGGTTGTACCACCGTCGTCGTTGACATCTCCCTTGCCCACATCAACCGGCGGCACGAGCGCAGATGGTAACACCGACACCGCCACCCCCAACAAACCTAGCTTTTTCGCAAATGAGGTGCTCATGAAACCATCGATGGGCGCCTCGTCGCTACTCACCGCCGATGCCGAGAAGAGGCTGTCTGTCCCGCTCGGGGTGAACATGTCCGGATCGACGCCTGTCGCTGGCCCACTGACTACATGTGCGCCCGGTGGCGTGCCGGTATCGGCTGCGACACATGCGGTGAGGCGAGCGGCGGGATCTCTTTCGCGGGCAACCATCATGGGCGCCAAAAGAATCGTTTCAGATACCGATGCGCATCTGGCCTCTGCAGCAGAAACGGCAATGAACTTCTTCCCTGGAGCTGCGTTGTCGCGACCATCACAGACTTCCACTCCAAAGACTCCCGCCAATGACAACACGTCAACATCTTCCGAAACGACCTCATCCCCGTCAATCGACCCATCACCTTACCCACCATCACATACAAGAAACACCACCCCACTCCCAGTGTCCATCTCCACAACCACCCTCTCATCCAAATCCAAACTCGGCTTCACCGGAATCGGCAGCGACTCTGGCATCATCAAGCGCACAAACGCCCGTTCCCGCGTCTCATTAGACGGCGAGTTCACCGTCTTCTGCGAGGATTACAGCGTACCCTTGTTCGACAACTCGGGCTATTTGCCCATGGACCGCGAATGCACTCGCACGGTATTTGCTAAAGGTGCCGAGGCGGCCAAAGGCGCCATTCTGCTCGTCCCCGGATTCGCGTCCAATCGTCAGATGTTCCATCTCGGCGGCGGGCTGGGTAAGTCCGGCCCTTCGTTTTCGGAGTTTCTGGCGCAGCGGGATTACGACGTGTTTTCGGTGGATTTGAGGGGCACGGCGGAGTCGCTGGCGCTGGGTGCGAAACGGCCGGCTAGCATGAAGGAATATGTGGAGGTGGACATCCCGAGCGCGTTGAGCACCATCAAGCGGATTGGGGGATATTCCAAGGTGTATTTGATTGGACATAGCATGGGTGGAGCACTATCGTGTGCTGTTGCCGGACTGTATCCGGATGATGTCGCGGGTGTCATTCACGTAAGTACTCGGACCTTAGTGCATGTGACACACATAATCTTCTGCTGACATCCTCTTTCTCCGCGACTTCCAGCTGGCGGGCTTGTATCACTACACGCTTCCTGGCCTAAGCGAAGCCATCGATCTGTACAAAGCCTTCTGTCCAGGACCCATCAAAGCCCTCGTCCGCGGCTCAACAGAGTTGGCGGTCCGCTCCGTCTCTGCCGTCGTATCGCCAATCGTACACGGAGTGTCGTATGTCATCGGAGGCAACGCTGCTGGCGACTATCGCACTCAGAGGCCGGCGCTGCCGCCACCGCCGCGGTTGAACGGACTCAGTCGTAAGTTTAAATGCCTCATTGGTTGCTTGTCCGTACCTTAACTGGCTATGGCTTATCGTTCACGTCATCTCCAGCAGCAACCCCCTTACCTCCGCCCAAACAGCCCGCCATCCTCGAGTACGCACGCCAGTTCCTCACGCATCTCAAACGCCAGCCCATCCCCGTTCGCTCCTGGATATCCTCCCTTATCTTTCTTCGGCGATTTGTACCCGGGCGCGTCGAAAAAGCCATCATGAACGCCGTCTACCCAAGTCCGTGGGTCCCCAACTCCGTCGAAGACCCATGGGGTCTCATGAAAGCCAGCGTGGAAAGCCCGAGCGTGGGGATCTACTTGAGCATCGCGCAGATGGCCATCCACCATGAATTCTACAACGATTGGGTGAGCAATAGCACCGATTTGAGGGCCGAGGCTGCGGAGGGTGAGATATTGGCGGGCGATCAGGCCGTGGGTAAAGATGGGGATGAGAGCTCGCAGTTGAAGTTGCCGCCGGCGCCGAGTACCACGCGGACCTCATCCACTGCGTCGACAACCTCGTGCTCCAGCACCGGCTCTCAGCCGAAAAGGAGAGCAAAGTCTGCAGATGCGTCTTCGTCCTCATCGTCGAACAGCGATTCCAAGCAGTCGGAAAGCGCAGCCCACATGAACGAGCTCACCCCCTACTTAGAAAAGTTTGAAAAGCTCGCTCACCTCCCGCTATTCTTCTGCTATGCGAACGCCGACGGTGTCATCCGGATGAAAGATTCCTTGATCGGCTACGAGCGCAGTGGAAGTCTTTGGAAAGAGGTCATCCGCTACGAAGACGGCGACGTGCTCAAGTCTGCTCCCGTCGGAGTCAGCGAGGTTGGTGGTGCAAAGGCACCGGGCGCGGCTCCCGCAGCGAAGAAGTTCTACACAGGCGCGGGTGACGAGCCTTTGACAGATAAACAGGACATTGGGAATACCGCGGAAGATACCCAGCGTCTTCGGGGGACGATCGTCGGGGGACTGAAAGAAAGCATGGAAGACGCTGTGCATGTGCTGCTTACTGGGGATGATCCGGTGGTGCATCGGTCGCCAAATGTGAGCGCCAACCCGACCCCGCTTGCTTCGCCGTCTGTAGAGCATATGGCAACGATTGACCCGATGCAGCAACATTCCGGCCAACCGAGTATGAAGCACCGCGGCGGGCATAGTCATTCGCATGCCCATGGGCACTCTCACAAGCTGTCGGCACATTCGTCATTGTCGCATCACAACACATCTGCTGGAAAGGCAGTGGGATCCATGCCGCAGCCAGCTAGCTACGCCGCTGTGGCATCGGCTGCCGACGCGCCGGAGGGCCATGCCGAAGCCGAACCGGCAGGACCTGCTACAAGTTTGCTACCGCCCGAGGAGCTGTGCGGTGCTTACAAAATGCGAGCCTCACCGTCCAACTTGTCCCTTGCTAGCACGAATAGCACGGGGTCGAATCAGGAGCGCACTAGGACGACCAGTGGGAGTAAAAAGGGCACGGTGCGCTTCTCCCCTCGAGTCGTCGAGCCATCCGCCGGAGCGCACATTTCATGGGCCGGCGCGCCGTTCCCCATAACGGGTTCGGCGATACCAACTTCCGATACCCATCCGCCACTACCCACCCCTACAAAGCCAAACGCCGACATCACCCCCAAAAACCCATCAGAAGCGCGATCACCACCACCAATCGACCTCGAACGTCCCCGCCCACCCCTCAAATCCTTCTCCTCAACATCGCTCTTCACCCTCCCTCTAAAACCAAGATCCCACCACCACCACCCCCGCCCCGCAATCCCATCCTCCTTCACCCGCGCCTCCTCCGAACTCTCCCACTCCCGTGCCGCCTCCGCAAATCCATCCTCTTCTAACCGCAAACCCGCCACCCCGCTCCCCTCCGGCCAATCCCCCCTCGCCACCTCCTCCTCGGAATTCCCCCCGCCCCCGTCAATGACTCCCACGGCCTCAGGCTCCGGAACAAAGCCCACCTTCCCGATGTCGTACTCGATCGACCCGGGCACGTCGTATGGACATATCGATATCCTTGGCGGCGTGCATGCTGAGCGTATGTGGGAACGCATCGGGGAGTGGCTGGATTTGACGAGTGGACGAGAGCGCGAGTGGAGGTTTTGGAGACGGTATAGCGCCAAGTAGATTCAATTGGAGGAGACAGACACCATCCGTCCGCGCAGAACGAACATTGGAGCAGCACGCATGCTTTACGATTTCAGCTTGGCGAACCCCCATCTGTTTTTTGTTGCAATACGTCTTTGCCCTTCGGATAGACAGCCACCCCAAATTTGTTCTTGCATCTATAAATGCCTTTCGGTTCTACATCTCCCCTTCTAGTTAGTACCCTCTGTGACATTTTTGGCTTTCTGTTCGTTGCCCCTCTGTGCTTTTTACTACCCTTACCCGAGTTCGAGCCCGCATTCCCATTCTTTCTGTTTTGTCGTAGCTTGATCTACCCTTTCAATGCTATGGTTGTCGAGAAACATTGGTGGATCGTATTGCAATGCGGATATTTTACTTATATGCATGGGTTGATGTTGATCTGATCTGATCTACGCAGCGAACCTCACAAGACTCTTGACAACCCCCTCGAACTGCTCGTGGAAGGCCGCGGAGAGAAAATAGAAGGGTGCATCTACGTCTGTGTTTGTTGCCTGCATTTGAAAATATAAAGATGAGAAGACCCCTCCCATAATCTTGAGATCCCCAAAAATCAAGACAACACTCACAGCCGAACACTCCATATAAGCCAACCCAAACCCCCTCGCCGCCTCCTCCCCCTGCTTCCGGCTCACAACGCGTCGCAACGTCTGGTCGGTCTTGGTTGCCACCACGACACCCGTGATCTCCCTATTCGTTGTTGTTGTGGGCGTTTTGCCGGATATGTGCTTGATGCGCTGTTGGGCGAGGTGGATCCATTTGGGGAGCGCTTTGAAGGAGTCAAGGGAAGTTACGTCGTAGACGAGGACGAAGGTTGTGGCGGATTCGATCTGCGGGAAGGGGGAGGGATGGTGGGATTCGAGGAAAGGGTAGGGAACGGATAGGTATACGGAGGGGTGGGTTGTGCACGTACATAGCGGGGCCACATTTCCTGAAAGGCATCATGCCCGCCGACATCGTGGATGAAGAGCTCCACGGAAACGTCCGTGTCAGGGATGTTGACGACTTTGACGCACACATCGCAGTGGATTGTCTGAGAAATTTTCGGGTGAGTATCCGATCGGGTGTCAACCAAGACAGCGATATCCTGTTTCTTTCGCTCCCTGTTTGAACACACCATGGCGTACGTCTTAGGATACTGCGACCCATCCGAGTGAAACATCTGCACGAGTGCGCTTTTCCCTGAGCCGGGGTTGCCTGGTTGCATTTGCATTTGGTAATGTCAGCAATATTCCGACGAGTGTGATTGATGTACATGGAAAGTCTTCACTCACTCACTCACCGAGAACGACGCATTTGGAGCGCAGGACGACTTTATTTGCTAATGTCATGATGGTGGTGGTTATGCGTTGCGTGAGGGTAAGCACCTCGATGCCAAGGTCTCTCTGGTCTCGACTTCGCGTGAATGACCGCATTACGACAGCGCGCTAGCTGCGGCATTTCGCGTTGCTCATTGAGAACGCGTTTCCACCACTGGCTTTTTTCAGGACATGGGATTTTTGAGGACATGGGCGAGCACTGGCATCCTTCAGTCTACCCCGCATCGCACACACGTACAGTATGGTGTTCGAGCAGCAATCTTGTACTCCGCCGGATGGATCGGGACCATACAAGCTGGAGTAGACCTCAAACCTCATCTTCACTGCGTCGGGATGTCCGATGCTCGCGTTCTTTGGAATGCGACGATGATCGAAGGATGGAGCTGGAATCGGTGTCTCGGAGGGTGCGCATATTTCCATATTACCTTCAGATTTGCTGCTCGAACAGAGCCTGCTTCTGATGCCGATTTTGTAAAATGTTTGGAAGAAGCCGGTTGTCCTGCAAATATGGCAACCTCCAGATCCAGTTCGAGCAGCTGGAGCATAAGAAGAGACAAGACTGCCCCATTAAGGGAGATTCGCGGATGTGGTTCTATGTCTATGTGTATATATATAGTGGGAGGAGTCGGGTGAAGGCCATCCAAGGGGAAAAGCATTGCCCGAGTCCCGCCACGTACATCAGACTTATTAAAGCCTGCGCAACGCAATGGAAACAAAAAGGACACCAAAAGATATCTTGAAAGACATAGCATTGGCCGCAGGTCTTATAGTCATTCTCCCCTATTTCCATCGTTCTATGCAGTCTGGCGATACCGACGTATCTAAGTATATATATATATATATGTTTGCTCTACTTTGAACAATTTCGATGCGTTCATGGAGCTTGTGAAACCGGATCTTCCAAGGATGATGGTGCGCCCGGGCTGGGAGTGGCTAGCAACGGGGAGTTCGGGCTGAAAGTAGGGTATCCAAAACCAGACCATGTACGGCCGGACAGGCAGACAGCTGACCTGTACGAATACGTGCACTGCAACTCATATGTAGAGCACAGCTGCCGCTATCGCTTGGCAATGAATCGCACTCTGATCTCTGCATAAGCTTCTTCCTGGTGATTATATCTAATCTATCTGGTGCCTATATATACGCTTTTTATCATCGTGATGAGTGGGAATGCATACGGATTTGACCGCAAAAGGATATGCTTCCTATTCACCCCGATACGAATGCTGATATGTCCTCCTTTTTTTGAGTTGTCCTTCCTGCCAGGCTGTAATCAGAATTGCCAAGTCCTCTGCTTTTTCCGAGCTACGGACATTGATGCCTCGACGTGCACACTTTGCCTTTCTGGAGTTTCAAAACCGAATAGGAGTGATCAAATACTCGAAGCCGTTGGGATGATGCTGAACTGTTCCTGGTGCATCTTCTTCGTCGTCGTCACTCCTTTCCTCTCCCTTCTTCGAAGATCCGCTCTCCGGTACGGTGTCGGGCTCCATCTCCCGTCTTTTTCTCACGTCGCCGTCCCAAATTTGTGTGCCCACACCACCGCGAAGTCTTTTTTGGTAGCAAATACAGATACTTGATGCCTACGCCGTTCCCAATGCCAATACAGCCCTCCAATTCCCTCATACGCTTCGCTATGCTAATAGACACGCCTCCATACACAATGAGTTTGGGTACCTTTGAAAGCTACGTAGGGTTGGGTTCATCCCCCCCGCCCCCCGGCCGTGCTCTCCGGCCGTGCTCTCTTCCAATATCGACTTGATGCAAGAAACTCAATCCATGTCGGGCGCACCGCAAGCTACGTAGGGTTGGGTTCATCCCCCCCGCCCCCCGTCCGTCCTCTCTTCCAATATCGACTTGATGCAAGAAAGTAAATCCATGTCGGGCGCACCGCAAGCTACGTAGGGTTGGGTTCATCCCCCCCTCCCCCCGTCGGTCCTGTCTTCCAATATCGACTTGATGCAAGAAAGTAAATCCATGTCGGGCGCACCGCAGGTTGCCTTCAACCAAGCAGAAAAGTGCCGCTGTTGAATCGACGTGAGGAGTCCAGCATTGGTCTTTAGGGCCTCGAAAAGCTCGGGAAGGACGTGCTTGACATACTCGGCAACGTAAGCCGGATGGGTTGAGCACAAGAAAAGATTCTGCCCGGCAGCCGGAAGATTGGTACCAGCAATATGGTGTCCGATGAACACACCAGGCGAGGCGATGAGAATAACAGGGCCGCCGGAGAAGCCAGGCAGTGTTGTACAATCGTGTGTCGCGATTCGCAAGCCCTGTTGAACGACCGCTCCTGGAGAAATATTCAATACATCTTCGTGAAACAAACGGCTCAGCTTGGTAACCCTGCCCACGACGGCCTTGATATACTGATCGACATCTTGGTGGCGTAATTCGTCTACAATATCTGCGGCGGCCGCCACTGCGTCCTCTTCTTTTGGAGCGCCAGGAAATCCAGCAGCGACCACATATCCATCGGCCGGCATGCCGGGAACCAAAACTTGGCCAACCGTTCGGTTACTCTTTAAAAACGTAAAGTCGTTCTGATACTTTAACCCGGAGCAATCCACCGGATCCTTGTCTTCAACACCTTCGGCTTGTGGCAAATTAACCGAGTCGTCCGCTGGGCGAATAGGAGTAGCCTTGAAGCCTGCCGAGATCGAATTGCTGTCCGACGTGTTATGGGTCGTGCGGAATTGCAGGCGAGCGGCCGATACATTCTCCATGGGCTGTATATTGTGTCTGGCGGTCTGCAACATGGTGGGTGCAACATAAAACGCCGTTCCATGGAAGGTTGGGGGGGTGGTGCCATCGTCGGTGGGTCCCAATACGCGAAGCATGACTGTCGTCGCTTGGAGCTGTGGACCGAGATCCTTAGGGCCCCTGATCATCAAGGTGGCGTACGGATTATCATAGTCGTTCAGTTCTGTCGCGGCATGGTGCAATTTCTTCAGGTGATTCTCGTTGTAGATGATTTTTTTCTTCTCCGGGTTATACTGGTAGGCAAATTTCCAGTCCAAAGGAAGGCTTTCCGAGCCCCGGAAGCGCAAGGCTGTTTCATGTTCCCAAAATTGGGCCAGGTGAAAACCTTCCCCTTCACGGTCGGGAGGAATGAGAATCGATGGGCGCTGTCTGGGGTCCGACATTGCTTTTTTCAATGTCGATTGCAGTAAAGGTGAAGTTTCCGATTGCGTGAGCGAGGTGAGAAGGAAAGAAAACACAACGAAACAAGCAAAACCGCGGTTTACCAGTGGCGCTATCTACCCGTGCCAAAGGTCTCGTATCATACTCGACCGTGTCCTTGGGGCGTCGTACCCAGACTTTGGGCCACTAAGTGCGTTGGACTGTCGTTTGCGTTGGACTGTCCGGCACTCTCTCCAGAGAGTGCCGCCGGAGCGCCCACGGCGCGACTGCGGGCGAGTATGATATACGAGACCTTGGCACGAGTACGCGCGACCTCGAGCGAGACCTGTCGGCTCTCTGGTCGGCTCTGCTCGGACGTGCGCGGAAACAATGGACATCGTTACGTGTTCCAGCCAAAATTCATCAACTCAAGACCAGACACCCCCTGGAATCCATGCCCCACAATTTACACGCGTGGCTGTGCAAGACGCCGGACGTGGCAGCTTTCCGCCCTCCCAAGTTCAGAAGTCAATCAAACAGACGACTGGACCTCACCGCATTCAACTGCAAGCAAGTCCTTAGCGTCTCTCTGCTGTTAGTCCAGCGGCCGCTAAGTGCTCAAAGGGAAGAGGGCTGAAATCACATTGCGTACAGTACTTGTGCACAGGCCGGTTGTGTTTCGCTGCTCTCATAGCCGGAAAGTGATCTCCGTTCGAAGCGCAGCAGCGGCAGCCGCAGAACCCTGCGAAAGCTGAAAACCCGTCGACGATTCAGTCCGCCGCGGCCTGAAGAATCGTTACCAGCCGGTGGAACTTTTTCGCCCGGACACAGGAAGAAACCTCATACGATAGAGACCTTCCGCTTTGCACCTTCCTTCGTGCTTGTGAAAGCTTTAGCGGTGTTCCAAGTGCAGCTCAACGAAAAGATGCCCTCAACAGAGAAGCGGCCAACTTGCCGCCCAACAGCAGCTCGCCAACCACGCCGATACCTTTCCTGGTTCAGTCTCCTTATCGTAGCAGCAGTGCTCACCCCAGTCACCGCATTCTACTTACCGGGTGTCGCGCCGAAAGACTACCGCGAGGGCGATGTAGTTGCGCTCGATGTCAACGTCTTGACCTCGAAAGTGAATCTGGAACCGTACGACTACTATTATGAGCAGTTCCATCACCCTCGTCCGCCGCATATCGAGGACAAGCGGGAGAGCTTGGGAAGCATCTTGTTTGGAGATCGGATGCACAACTCGCTATTTCAGGTACGGACATGCCTTACGTAGAGGGACCGCGTCGTTTCGCCAAACTGACGGTCGTTGGTCCCGATAGCTCAAGATGTTGAAGAGTGATACGAGTTGCAAGCAGCTTGGATCGGCTGTGGACATCGACGCGCTTGATGCTCAGTTCATCAATGCCCGCATAAAAGAACAGTATCAGCATAGCTGGTTCGTTGATGGATTACCTGCAGCAGAGAAGTGGACGCGGGAGCGGGACGAGGCTACGCCAGCGAGAAGAGGAAGTGTGGACGACGGCGACTTTCTGTACAAGATTGGATTTGCGATGGGATTATATGACACTGAGGAGGTGAGTCCCAACTGCTTACCGTTTACGATGTCACATTGGCGGCTTTGCATCTAATACGCCACTTCTCCGATTCTCAAGACCGAGCCAATACCGTACCTCAACAACCACTACGACATTGAGATTCAATATCATCAATCGACGACCAGCACCACCAAAGAAAAGCTCTATCGCGTCGTCGGCGTCATCGTGTCTCCTCGCAGCGTCCTTACCAAGCCAGAAGAACCAGAGGCGTGCCGCAACCCCGATGCCGCCCCGCTCGAACTCAGCACTCAGAACTCCAATAAGGTCCAGTTCACATATTTCGTTCAATGGGTCGAATCTTCCACGTCCTGGGGAACGCGATGGGATCACTACTTGAAGACCCAGGAACCCCAGATTCACTGGTTCAGCATCATCAACTCGGTCGTCATTGTATTGATGCTGACCGGAATGATTGCTATGATCCTCTTGCGTGCGCTGCATAAGGATATCGCCCGGTACAACACTTTTGGAGATGAGGATGGAGGCCAGGAGGACTTTGGGTGGAAACTTGTTCACGCTGATGTGTTCCGACCCCCGTCCCATCGGATGTTGTTGTCGGTGTTGCTTGGGAATGGTGCCCAGCTTGCTTGCATGGCTGGCGTTACGCTTGGTATGTCTTACTGGCCTGCTCGATTGATTTTTTGATTGGAAGTGAAGCAGTGCCGTCTGAAGCTTCATATCTTCAGTGTTCGCCGTCCTTGGGTTCCTGTCGATGTCGTCCCGCGGATCCCTCAGCACCGTCGCGCTCATCTTTTACATATGCTTTGCGTCCGTCGCTGGATACGTATCGGCGCGTACGTACAAGATGCTGCAAGGAGAGATGTGGAAGCGCAACGTATTCCTGACCGGTACTATGGTCCCTGGGTAGGTCCCTCTATCCCTTCCCGATCTCGTAACGTGTACGGTACATCTCCTGACGCATTCCCATATTCATGTACATTTAGTCTGGTCTTCGGCATCCTGGTATTCCTCAACTTTTTCCTGATCGGCGCACATTCCTCCGCCGCCGTCCCGTTCTCCACCATGCTGGCCATCATTGCCCTCTGGTTCCTGGTTTCCCTGCCCGCCTGTATGTTTGGAGCCTACTTTGGCTTCAAGGCCCCCGCGATCCAGAACCCGGTCAAGACCAACCAGATTCCGAGGCAGATTCCTCCTCAGGTATGTTGTCATACGTAACTTGAATCATGCCGCTTCGATGAAGGACCTAAGTTCGCGATCCCCTACAGCCCCTATACCTGAATAAATGGATCGCAGCCCTCATCGGCGGCATCCTCCCCTTCGGCGCCATCTTCATCGAACTGTGGTTCATCATGAACTCCATCTGGGAGGGCAGCGTCTACTACGTATTTGGGTTCCTCTTCCTCGTGTTTGTCATCTTGGTCGTCACGTGTTCTGAGGTTGCCATTCTGATGTGCTACTTCCATTTGTGCTCTGAGGTATGGGCTGTGGATATGCGTTCCGTTCGGGGGTGGGATCATTTCTGATTTCTCTTGCAGGACTACTACTGGCCATGGCGCGCATTCCTCACCTCCGGCGCGAGCGGGTTCTACGTTTTCATGTACAGCATCGTGTACTACTTCCGAAAACTAGGTACGTACTCGAACCCGACTTTCTCTCCCTACATCTCCTCATCATTATCTGACGAGACCACTCGAACACAATTTGCGCAGAACTGGACAACTTCTCGTCCAAGATCCTCTACTTCGGATGGTCTCTCGTCCTCTCGTCCCTTTTCTTCATCCTCACGGGCGCGGTCGGATTCTTTGCGACGTTGGTGTTTGTGAGGAAGATTTTCGCGGGGATCAAGGTTGATTAGACAACCCGGAACAATCTTAGCGCTCTTGGGATCGCGTGTGGAATGTGTTTTTTGGAATGGGCCCCACACTTTGCTCCTTGGACTTGGTGGTGGTTGTTTCTATGTTTCGATGTCCTTTTGTTTAATTGGATTCCGTACGTGTTGATGTGTATTGCTTTTCGCAACTTTTTTATACGTATATTTGTGGATGGTCCGAATTCTATGAACGATCGACCGTGCTTGCTATGGTGCCCCGATGTCGGTTTCTCGGATCGTGTTTGGGAAACTTTTTGGAACGGCGGGTGAAAGGGTCCGACGCGGTGTCAATTTTTCCAATCTCCAAGGTTGTGCCGTCAATCGGGTTTTCGGCTGCAGCTTTTCCGGTGGTTCACGACCTTTTCTCGACTGCTTTCCCCATTCCTTTTTCAACGACCTTCATCACAAAAGAAACTTGAACCTTCGTGTGAATCTCGACAAATGGACGCAGACATAAAGGTGCGGGGGCTATATTTTGACTGCGTGCAGAATGCATAACAATGAGATTTTCTGACCGCTGCATAAATGTGTCCCCAAAAGCGCTGGACAGGCCTCTCCTCCCACGGCCAACTCACCTACTACCCCGGCGAACGAGTCACCCTAACCCGCCAACAGCGTACCGCCTCCCCCTCCCGAAGCATCACCACCGGCGCCCCTCGGAACAGCTCACCAACTCGCCGCGCCCAAACCACCACAACAACTAAAACCCCAACAGCACACCTCCGCGTCCCCCTCCACGCCGAACGCTCTTTCATTGCCTCCGTCCTGGACAAGCTCTCCGCGTCTCAGAAAAAGCATGTGGACACGCTGTATCATGGGTACCTGAACCCGGCCGTGACGAATCGGATGTATAAGGAGGTGAAGGAGGCGCATGGGAAGGCGAGGACGGCGCCGGAGGGGTTGGGGAGGGCTGACGAGTGTGTTGGTGGTAGTGATGGTGGAATGCAAGGGTTGGAGAGCGTACCGGAAGGTGTGAGAGTGCACGCGGGAGGGTCCGTAGGCAAAAGGGGGGCAGATGTTGGGCGTGCGGAGGTGGGCGCGAAGGTACAGACTACGGGAGAGAAGCCACAAGCGCTTGTGCACCATACCACGGACCTGCACGATGTGCTGGAACAGTACGACGCTGTCAAGTTGCGGGATACGGTTTTCCCCCCGCTCGGAGGAAACGGGGCCGACGGCGCTCACCACCTGCAACCTCCGCCCTACCAACCCCGTTCCGATCACTCTGAGACCCCCTCCACCACAACCGCCCAGCCTACACTCCCATCTCTACCCTCTCCAACTTCCGCTCCCCGCACATCCAGCGACGCAGAGGGTAATCTGACGACCCACCAGCACTACATCGTGCCCAATGCGTCGCTGAACCTGACGAAACGGGAGGAATGGAAAGCGAGACGGGAGATCGATGCGACGTTGGAGCGCGTGCATTGGACGTCGACTACGAAGCGGTTTGCGAAAGTGGATCGGTTGCAGGAGCTTTATGCTTACTTGGAGAAGGTAAGCATTGGGTGCGCTGACTGGCTGGGGGGCACTGGGTCGATCGGAGTGTATGGCGGGGAGGAAACTGACCTGCTTCGCTGGTTTCGTGATGGAAGGAGTTGCAAGTGCTAGATGCACCCGCCGTTGGACCGGATTTCCGTCGACTGCAGGTGTACGGCGCAGTCTGGGAGAAGATTATCATCGAGTTCAGAGTGTACGGGCCTATTCTTGCCGAGATCAAGGTAATAACAAAGCAAATACGATCAACTCCAACTCAAAAAAGAACCACTATCAGTCAACTCTGGCTTATTTTCTTCATCGCCCGCCGGCTAACACAGAACGAGTACGACAAAACCATCGCCAGCTTCCACAATGACCAGCGCGAGCTCACCTTCCTCCGCACAAAAGTCCAGAAACTGCTCGCGCAGAACGAGAACAGGCTACTGGTCAAATTCGAGCGGAGAAAGACCAAGACCTTGGCTGCGAAATATGTGGCGCTGGAAGGTATGCTGCCGGTAACCGATGCCGAGATGGAACTCCCATGAACGTAGATTCTGGAAGTCATTGTTTGATCACCTCTCTTCCGATACATTGGGCCCAATGTAGTCGAGAATGCAAGGTACGACGAACATTGAGCCGCTCATACCCTTTCACTGCTCGCCTCAATTATCATCAATGTAGATTGAAAGACGAACTCCGTCGAAAACTGGCTCAGTACGCCGCATACCTCCCTCCCTCGATCTTGGAACAGAAGAAAAGGGAAGACACAAGTACGTCCGTCTCCCCATCTCCCTGCTGCCCTCCCGCATTTTTGATCTCACATCCCACATAGCCCTAGCGGAAGTCGGGCCGGACATCAAAACCTTCAAAGCCGGCGAGGATCCCATCACGGTATGGCATCACCTGATTTGCGTCATCATCATCTGGGCAACAAACGGGCAGTGCTGATGAGACTGGGTCCCTGTTCAGATGTATGAAAAGCAAGTAGAGGGCCTCAACTCGCAAATCGCACAACGAGACGACCAGCTGGTTGCGCTCAAGAAGGATATGGAGGAAAACACCGTGCCGAAGGCGGAGAACGATAAAGTCGAGACGGCGTTGAAGAAAACACAGGTATTGGTTTGACATCTTCATTTTGTCCCGGGATTTGACAGTATCGTGTTTCATATTGATGACAATGCCTACGGTACAGTCGTCGCTACAGGCACTTCAAGTCCAATCCGCCGAGCTGAAGCTGGAGCTGGCGCAACAGAACCACAAACTGGCAGATATGGCAGCTGCTCTGAAGGAGAAGCAGCATCAGTACGATGTTCTGAATAAGGAATACAGGTACGTTCGCAGTATTGATGCCCAGGTATACATTTGAAGTATGCCATCTAACGTGGTACAACGACAGCGAATTGTCCGAGGCGGTGGCCAGAAAATTCGATGCAGATATGCCATAGATCAACTGTCTCGGGTTCGAGAACAATCTGACGTGATGTAGCTACAGCAGAGCAGCGTATAGATTTGACAACATTAGATGCAGGCCACTTTCTCATTCTGCTCTGCAACCTATTTCCTCTCAGGGTGCTTATAAGCACACCAAACAATTATATGAACAATCTGCCGCATTCCGGATATCTTTACACTACGCTTTGAATGTATGCGCATCTTACACGGCGTCTGTCTAGACTCCAGATGGTAATGCAATCCTCGTCGCTCATACAACCGTCATTCAATCATCATCAAAAGACAAAAATCCACTCTCATCAGGCCCAAGCTCCAGATCCAGCTCAATGGACAACTCCATCGAACCCAGCTCTCTAATTCCCAGCCCATCCTCATCAGGATTCCCGTCTCCCCCCTCCTTCACCGACGCCGCATCCAATCGCTGATGCACTTGGGAATCATTCCCGTCCACTGTAGTCCACATCGGAACCCCAATCTCGGCCCCGCCGTGTGAGTCGAGATCATCAGACGCGATGGAAGAGTCTGGCGAGAAGATGACCGGCTGCGACAGCTTTGATGGCGTTTTGGGCTTGTACATCGCTGCTTTGAGGAGGAAACTGAGGGTCGAAGGCGGGATAGTAGGTGAAGAAGGCGTTGTAGATTGTGGCGGTGTTGTAGCTTGGGCAGCGGTTGCCGATAACGGCGTGGCAGCCTGCGGTGTTGATGATAAACTAGAGCGGACGGGCGGTGGTGTGGAAGGTATCGGAGAAAATGCAATCTTGGGTCGGATGGCTCTCGGTGGATCCTTTTCAGGAGTGCGAGGGATTTCGGCGCGTGGCGCAAACGCCGCTGTTCCCAGTGCGGAGATGGGGTCTTCGGAGCCGCCTGATAAGGCCTCGCGAGCATCGATGCACCTCGGTTCAGCCACTACAGTTACCGGATCGTTTGAAAAATCGGATCCTATGCTCGGTTCGAGAGCACCTGGGAAAACAATGTCATTGTTGACAAAGTCAACGATCTGCTCGCAGAGACGGTCGTATGCCAAGAGGGTGGATTTGCTAACAGGTTCGTTTCCTGCCTCCGGTAGGGTGTGCAACAGAGGTCGAGATGATTTCAGAGCCGAATGTGGAGCGAGTATCGAACCACCAGATACCGGTGGAACAGGTAGTGGAGTGGAGCGGTCTGGTAAAACCTCAGGGATAAGCGCGAATCGTTTGGGTCTTGCAGAGGCAGTAGGTGCGGTGTTTGAGATCTGGGTATCATTCCGAGTATAAGGCTTGCTCTTGCCCTCCGGGATCAGTGATTCGCCGTCGGCCGTGCGACTCCCATCAAATGGGGCACGAGACGTAAAGTTGATATCCGCCGTTGTCTGTGCTCTCTGCTGCCATTTCGATGGGACCAATGTCGGCCTACTTCCCAATGTTACGTGGGCATTCTTTCCAGCAGAGGTCCGCTGCATAGTATCCGTCGCCGATTCCGCCCTCGTGGCCTGCTTCACCATTGATGGGGCGGGGGGTGGCTTTACCGGGGCAGGCACTACCCGCCTTGTGATCGTAGCACCGGTTTTGCGTGATGAACCGGCAGCAATAAGCAGCCCGCTGCGGGCTTGTCCCGTTGCGCCCAACTCCGTCCTGTTCCTCGCTTCTCGCCGGCCTTCATTGGACGACACCACGCCCAGAACCCTCTCCCTCAACTGTCCCGCAGTTGTTGCGGCAGCTGCCTCCTCCGCCGGAGCCCGCTTTGCTGACATCTCGGTCACGACACTCCTTTGGAGGGCCTGCACTGCCTCCGGGGTTGTCGTGAGGGAGGACAGAGTTTTCCGGAATGTTGGCGGTGGCGGTGTGCGCACGCTTTGCCATTGTGCTTTGCGATCTAGGGGAAATGGTGATGTTGTCCCGTCGTAGGTTTGAGTGAACGATTTCGAGGTAGGTGATGATGGTTTCGTCGACGGCAGGCTATGCCGTTTGGCGTACTGCACCCGGTAGTTGGCACTCTCCTTCTCGACTTTCGCAGTGACATCTCTAAACTCGTGCTCCAGTTGCCGTTTCAACTCCTCTGCATCGTTCAGCAGGATGAACGCGTCGGACAACCCCTCCATCGAGTTGTGATCTATCGCATCCACGCCCTTCCTTTCGTCAAAATACGAGCGGAGAGCGGCCGCCAATTCCGCATGTGCCTCGCCCCACCTCTTCGCAACCTCGGTCAGATCGACCACGCCTTTAGGTGGCCCTGTCAAATGTCCGGGGCCACTCCGCGGGACGTTGCCCATCAACGTATGCGTTTTCATCCGCCCATTGACATACGCTCCGATGGTCTCCACATTTTCCTGATTGTCATGCATCCACTTCGCCATTCGTTTTCTATGCTGGCGGATGTTGGAGAGGCACTCGTCGCGATGCTTCAGCGCCTCGTTGATTGGGACTGCATCTCCAAAAAGCTTGATAAAGGAGTTATCCAATCGGGCTCGTTTTAGGCTTACTCCTTTCTGTTCGAAATGTGATATCAGTAAGTCAGCCCCAAAACAGTATCGAGGTCTTGTTGGCACCTTTCGCTGTTTCACTTCCTCATATTCACTTGTAAGTTTTGTGCCATACGATTCCCACCTCTTCTGCTGGTCTCCCCGCGCCGTACACTCTCTCAGGAATGTCTGGTGATTGCTGATTGACTGTGTCTGACGTAAAGTATTGATATCAGCATCCGGTTTTATCTTTCATGTCGATGTCTTCCAATATGCACCTTCAGTTCCTCGTTGTTCTTCAGCATGCATTCCCCTATCTTCTCCATGCCGTCCGCTACAGAGCATGCAAGAATTAATTGATATACCGTTGAGCCGGAACTTCACTACAGATTTTCACTGCCTTACCACCGACTTCCCGACTCAGTGCCACCCTCAATGCCAGACTGGAAAGCGCCCAAAGCGTCCGCTCAAATCTGCCAAAAGGATTTTCCAACAATCATCAATTTCCGCAACCCCCCTTATCCTCAAATTCTTCAGGGGTCAGAAGCGCTTCTCACCGTTCACCCCGGCATTCATCGAAATGCGATTTCCGAATCGTTACATCAGGCGGCAACTGACCCTCCTTCTTCATGGCTTCCAGCCACTTGATAACGATATTCCGAAAGTCGCGGGCCTGATTTCGGTCTGTTATCGGCCAACATTTGGCGAAACGCTGTTATGGTTCAATTTTCAGGACATGGATTATGTGGTACAGCGGACCGGTGTCCTTCCCCTCGACACCCCTAGCGTGAGGAGGCCCACTCATCGCGCCAACCTGCACCCGCGAAATAAACAATCTGAAGAAAGCACGCACCGAATCGGCTTCCTTCTCGTCCAGAACCCCAAACAGAAACCTGACGACGGCCTCCATGGCCTTTCCCCCAGCAGGCGAGTGGCTGTTGAACACATTTTTGTTGATGGACGCGTTGTCTGGTTTGAAGCCGAGGAGAAGGAGGTTGCCCCAGAAGATCGACCGCAAGTCGAGGGCCGACGCAACCGTACAGCGCTGAGTGTCCATATGTTTAGGGACTTTGTCGAGCTCTTTGGTGGTCGTGATGCGGTGGACCCTGCCGATGGGCCCTGGGCAGTTTGGGAACTCTTCTCTCCTCCCCCTCCGGCTGCAAATGGAGCGGCGGGACGGACGAAGGTTTCGGACACGCGACGCCGAACCCTTCGCATTTCGAGAAGTCCGAACGGACCGGGCATCCCTTACTTCATACTGATTTCACTTCGATCCACTTCGATTGCACAGGTGTTTATGGATTATCGGATCAGGCTCATTTACAGAAAGGGATAATGCAGACCGCATAGAGGAAGCATCGGTATATTCACAAAAAAGCGCATATCAACCAAAATAGAAGCTACATAGGCACATATACAACAGGGCTCAATAGCAAGTTGGGGGAGATCAAGACATCAAAAAGGAAGAGATATACAGGTAGTAGCACTGTCTCTGACGAGGAACATTCCAACAATGGTCAAAAAGGGGTATATACAACATGTACACATATACAAGGGGCATTTCGATATCTTCAGAAGACGCAACGCGGAGGTCCGTTGAGCTTTGCGAAAGGTGGCAAAGGCGGCAGATGATGTAGAGGCATACCTGACGCGGGATGCACGGCAGGTAGTGGTGGAAGCGGTGGTCGGGTTGGCATCGGGAATCGCAACTCAGACTTGACGGCTACGGGCGCTGGTTGCGACGATGTTGGAGGCGGCGGCGGCGCGACATCCACCGTGTCGGCGTGCATCTTGACAACCGCATCCGTAACCCATCCCAACCACGTAAAGTACTCCGCCTCGCCCACATGCGTCTCGAAATCGATCTGTCCCAAAAACTCCATCTCCATCACGTTCAGGTCCGCTACGGGTATACTCGCGACCTTCTCCCACGTCCGCGCCGAGAATGTGTTGTCCATGAGCAGCTTCATCGCGATGGCTAGCGCGGCGATGAAGATTCGGCATTCGGAGCCCGCTTCACCGCGCAAATCTGGCCGACGCTGTTTGAGGCGCGATACCAGGATGAGCGATGTGATGAGCACCGGGACGGGGAGCGCGGTGGTGGTGATGACGTGCTTGACGTAACAGGTGAAGGCGGTAGACGGTGGGTTTTGAGTGGTGCGGTTGTGCCAGGTGAAGTGCACAAAGAGGGTGATGAAGGCGTGGAGGAAGTTCCGTGCGATAGCATGGGATAAGATTACATGCCGGCGGTCGTTCAGCCGCGAGGATGGTGGAGATGTGGTTGATGGGAAGCGAGATGGATTGGAGAAGAACAATGCGTTGTCCGATGTTGGCAGCGAGACCGAAGACGATGCTGAAGCAGGGCCACGTGCCAGCGACTTGTCGAGCCTCGTCGCCGTCGTTGTCGTCGCTGCTCGGTCCCGAACTCGAGATTTGCTTGCTGCCGTTTCCGGAAACGCGATGGGCCAAGGACTTCTCCGAGGGCTTTTCCGCCTTGGTACTATCAGCGCTGGCGATGACGGCGGAGTAGGCTGCGGGAAGAGTTGACGCCCGACTGTCGTGTACTCTTGCGTCTTTACAGGCATCGTCGACGACCGTTCCGTATCACATTCGGCAAGGCTACTTCGCCGCGTTCGGTATCCTTTCAGATCACACGAGAAACCGGAGGATGAAGACGAGCTTGACGCCGAGGAGACCGATGATGACGACGACGAGATGGACACAATGCTACCTCGGAAAGAGACATTCCCTTGGCACCCGTCAGACGATGACGCAGGGGAAAGCAGCGTGGAGGTCATCTCGGGTGGAGTTGGTAGGCGATGTTGGCGGGAGCGCATCGCTTCGGAAAAGGGAGTCCACGCAAAGAAAGAGGGCGAGCACGGTCGGGATCGGCTAGATTTATGCTTCCGGTGTCTTGAAAGAGCCAGCGAAGCAAAACCCAAAGATGGAGACCCACTGTGGGGAGTTTGGGGTGGGTAAGCGCTATTGCTCAGTTTCGCGCGTGTAATCAACGATGTGGGTCGAGCAAACGGCGTTCGGAAATCAGGGTAGTGGGGGACGGAGAAGACTGAATGGAATGACTTTCTTTGTGGAGACGCTTTCGCGCAGAAACCTTGCTGCTGCCGCGAGAGAAGCAATATGTGCTTCCGACCTTTTTTTGTGGAGACCAGGATATGGTTGTGCCGCTGCGCCGTGACGGTATGGGTGAAGTCTTTTCCGGCCTCTGCGCAGTTTCCCAATATTCCTCGCTGTAAGATGTTGTAACTCAGAACGCTGACCCGCCGAGATCTACGATATCCAGAGCGAAGGATCTTCGTTGGTTCTGCACCTCCGACTACGCCCTTTCTTTATTATAGAGAAGCTTTCGGTAGTTGTCGCACCGCTGATTGTTAGCGCCCCCAACGTGATGTTGCTGCTGAAGAAGTAGAAGCCCACTGAACTGTCGCCGACGGCAGCGGCTACTCACAATGGCCAACGAGACTTGAAGAATTCGAAGATTGGAATGCTTGACGGACACGTTAGGTCGAAGCTTTTGGGGCGAGATGTATCAATGCAGCCTTGTCCGGCGAGACACGAGGTATGAAAAGCAATTCCTCCAGAGGTGGGGAAGAACCCAGCCACGCTTCCCACGAGTAAGGATGCCAGGATCTGCAGAAAAAGAGAAGGCACGGACGGAGGGGGCGGCCGGGGGGTGAGAAGTAAAAGGGGATCGACGTCGCTCAAAGTTGGGCAGAATTGGACAGGACAAAGATGCTGCTGCGAGTAGACAGACCGTCGGGGTTGAAAAGAAGGGCGAGAACGGGCTAGTCATCAGATAGCATGTCTCTCCCCTAAAAAGAGGAGGTGAATCGATATGGAAGGCGGAGGCTCAAAGGGGATCAGCCGTAGGAGCTGTGGAGAGGGAAGGGCATTTGCATAGTCACTCCTCTCCATTGACCGTTGACGTGGCGGACTTGTCGGAGACTCCAATCGCGCTGAGTCATCACCATCAGTCTTTGCCCTGCGCAGCACGCCCCTTCGTAAATGCCATATGAAGAGGGGAGGGGGAGATGAAGGGGCTGGGCTGCCTTGGAACTTGGAAGTGATGGCATATGCCGCGATCGGAGTGCAGCCACTTAGTCGGCCAAGGAGAAGGAATGGAAGGGTACAGTAGGCAAAGGATCTCTTCACTTCCAGCGCCTGGATTTCTCATCTCCAAAACGGTTCGCGACGCGTTGGGCCGAAACTGGGCACTAGGCGGCCGGTGATTCATGTCGTGATTGCTTCGCCTTGTTTGGGCCGCTTGGCGTGGGGCGGTTGGTTGGGTGAGACCTTGGACTGGCCATGAACGGATGCCTATTTTCCGTCACTTACCTTCATCAATCCACGCCAGCTGCATCGATTCTCGAACGTCAGTCCGCGAGCCATAGGCAAAACACCAATGGCATTTTGTGGGGGTGCCCGAGCGGTTCGATCTAGCGCCGGCGGGCGCCGAGGTGTGCAGGTTGTACGTTGGATATGTGGGGTATGGCGTTGGAACGTTGCTGAAACATGTATTGTACGGTACAGCGGCAGAGCAATGTCATTCGCGGTGATCATTATTACTTGTTCATGATTGAGATCCTCGGCGTCTGAATATTGGCGAAATGGGCGGTAAAACCCACGGTGTAGATCCGAGTGGCTTCACCCCTCGTGCGGAGGAAGTGACGCCAACTTGAATGAGATGAAGAAAGCCGCCACTACAACAGATGAATTGCTGATATACCGCTCAGCGTGTGGATACGTACAGTACTGTTCTTGCCGGATTTCTGGGCGGCCCTTTTCCAGCATCCATGTCTGTGGCTTGGATTGAAGCCGAAACGCGCTGAGTTGGCCGCGACTGACGTTGGCTGGCGCTCTCGCTTTCATCCGTATGTAAAACGCAGTTCCCATCCAGTGTCTCAAACAGCCGTTCAACAGAAAGGGTGCTTACCGTACTATATCGCCATCTGGTGGTTTTTCCTGGGAGCTGTGTGAGATTACATCCGTTTGGCGAGTCAGCACAGGCGATCAGAAGCAGATGAAAGGCCTCAAAAAGTTGAGACCCTTGCTCAGCCTCGACTGCTCGTGATGAAAATGGCGTCAACGCCGGCCAGCCAGCGGCTCCTCTTCGGCATGTCGGGGCTACAGATACTGTGGGTTTCAGCGCCATTTGTAAACGGACCCTTGCAGAACCCGTCCCTGATTCATTCCTGATCCATATGTTTATGATGGGCCCGGTATCATATCGCCGATGTCTTTGCCACAGGTTACGTAGACCAGCACACACCCCATCGCTGGCGGCCCAGGCTGCGAGTCAACGTGTTTAGCTTGAGTGTCGGTGGTGTGGGTAGCCTACATGAGCAATGATTGAGGGGACCCGAAGCGATCAATCACTAATCAATGCTAAATAAACGGCGAGCATTGATCAGGTAAATCAAGGATGAAGATGGAGATGATGATTGAGCAATGGGTTGCCACTGGGTGGCCTACGGCGGCGCCGCTGGTTCATAAATGTGGATGGAGCCTGTCAATCAGGGGCCCTCAATCAAACCGGTGCACAAATCACGTCGCGTCATAATGTCAAACTCGCCGAGGACTCACCAGCTTGACAGTGGTGCCGTCAAAACATGCAGAGGAGGGTCGTTTTCCCTTACATACGGATTTCCAAGTCTTTCAGGAAGATTGCCCGCAATCACTGAAATCACTCAGTAAGTGACAATTGGACACATCAGTCACGGAGCTCAGCAGCCATAAATATCAGAGCGATGCGCGGTGGGCCCATCGAAGAGAACCCGCATACAATCCGGTCCCACCCACGTTCATCCGGTGCGGCTCTAGCCACCGCCTTGGGGAGGAGAACGCTGGCTCTGGTGTTGAGGGCATGTGAATACGGCCTTACGCGGTGTTTGATGGGGCTGCGCCGGGAGGAGAGAGTGGAGGCATGGAGCGGGTGTGGTATTTGGGTGGGAGGTTTGGGTGGGGACGGCGGTTGAGGGTGGACATTGTGCACGACGATTCAACGGCGGGCCGGCAATGATCATGCGGGCACATGCACCTGCTTATTCCTGCGCACATCCATCCCCACCCGCCATACAAAGTAAGCGGAAGAGGGCCTCATTCTCATGCCTATGACACATCCCAATGCGAGGACCACAAGATTTGCAATGCGATGAAATGCGCTTCAGGATATAAAAATTCAAAGAAATGGGAATACAGCATGCCTTTTATGAGGTACGTTGACGGCAGGGGAATGAGAAAGCGTCAAGAGACACTTTTGCAATTGCGGAAGTTGGAGACTGTGGGATTCGGGTGAGTGATATCGGCCAGTGGGATGTGCCAGTGGGATGTCCGGCGGTTTGGTGACTTTCTATGATTTTTTGCCTACAGATTTCCCCGCTTCTTCACTCGTCATCGGCGCTCCGATCCCGATCGGCGCCAAAGAAGCGTTTAATGGGCGTCATAAGCGAGCTGCGAACAAGTCAACGTGTCCATCAGCCCACTCCCCAAACCCCACAACACATCCCCCCTCCCCCCTTCCCCCTCCGCACGTACCTAACCAAACTCTGCCGCATAACAATAGTCCTATGAATCGTAATCTTCGTCGGACTCGCGCCCGCCCCACCTTCCCCAGCCCCGGGAATCTCTCTAAACGCTTCCAAAATCGTTTGCCGATCGTCTTCGCTCAACTCCCTCGGTATCACCGCCGACCTTCTTCTTGTCCCCGCGGGGGAGAAGAGTGAGACCGGGTCGGTGGTGGTGCGCATGGGGAGGGTGATGTCGTAGGAGCCGCGTTTGCGTTTGAGGGCGGAGCGGGGGGACGTGAGGGACGTTGGGGAGAGGAGCGGGTGGCGTGTTTTGGGGGTGGGAGCGGAGGAGGGGCGGGGGGTTGTTGTTGCTGCTGTGTTGGTTGTGGGAAAGAGGCGGCGGTATGGGGCTGTTACGGGTGTTGGTTGGTGGGAGTTGATGTTGGTATTTGGGTTCGGGTCCAGGTTTGGGTTTGGGAGATGGTTGGCGTAGATGTGGGGATCTTGTTGGTCGTCGTCGAAAGCTGGAGTTGTTCCTGTACGGATGCGGGACGGTGTGGGGCCTTTTTGGGGTGACCACCGCCGCCGTATGGGGCGTGGTGGGGCGGAGGATGGGCCGGGTTGTGGATCCGGGGGTTGATGTTGATATTGATGGCGGGGTGGTGGGGCTGAGGATGGACCTGGTGCTGGCGCATTTGAGGGTTGAGGTGGATGACGGGCAGGTGTTGTTTCCCGCTCTTCTTCGGTGGGTAGTGGTGTGTCAAGGACTTTGTAGGAGGCGAGTTGACGGGGTTCGGTGAGGAATCCTCCTCGAGCGCTTGGTGAGCCGTTCGCGGTTGCGGGCGTCTTCCCATTGGGGGTATTCCTATCGAAAATACACTCGATCAGACTCCAATGCCGGACCCGCCTGTTTTACTCGTGTGGTTTTGAAACTCACCGTTCCGATGGCGCATGGGCTCCAATCTGACTCAAAGCTTCCACATCACTGACGGTGAGCGGTGGCGGCGTACAGAGCGTGAAGATGTACCGAAGCCCGCACTTCATTTTTTCGCCATTTGCCATGTACACCCATTTATCGCGGTCCTCCCATTCTACCCGTTCTGTCAAATATGAGATGAGCCACAAAGTAAGGAACAGGCAATGCTCAAGTGCCGTTCAGGCCGAGGCTTACCGTACTCCAATCTGTAGCCGTCTTCATCGCGGAGAAAGATGCCTCTGTCTTCGGTACGCTGCAAGATGTGTTCGATGGCAAACTTGGGGCGGCCGAATTGTGTCAGGATTGTTTCAAACCTCTCTTGGGATTGGACATCACACCAGTGCTGCTACTTACCCTGACACAGGCACTCTTACGAGGATCTACTGCCAATCGTTCTGCCAGTCCTCGGACAGCGGGGCGATCGCTACAACGAAGGAGTAAGCAGTCAGTTGCGCAAACAATTCAGCCAACACTCGCAGCACTGGTGACCCTTACTCCTCCAATCTCAAGACGACATCGATCAGTTTCCCGTCCAGCACAAGCCTTCTGTGCTGCGGAAACGTAAATGGAGCGATCGCAGGTGGAGTATGCTCCTCAACAACCCGCATCGGCGACCCATATGCCCTGAAATCATTCCTATTAGGTTGGCTAGGTGTGCCCGGCGGGACTGGGGCGGACTCTTGGGAAGTTGCACGCGCAAGCTTCGCGGCGGCGGCTCCTATCCGTGGTGGTGGGAATACGCCTGACGACGTCGTGGAGGATATTGCACTATTCTCGTATAATGGGGCGTCCCGGCCGTGCTTCTGACGGTAGTGATGCGCAAACTCTGTGACTGAGCTTGCCTCTATCTTGCAGTTCTTTACGCAACATGGTATCGTTTCCGTGTCTAATAAAAGCTCAAATCCGTCAATTTTCAACCATCATCAACAACACCGAATCATCATCCATCATTCACCATCCATCAATCATGTAAAAGAGCGACCGGTTGCTGTCGCTCACATTAAGACCTGCGATAAGCGGATATTGCGCCTTTGGCGCAATGTCGCTCCCTCCGCTCGCGAACCAAGGGCTCACCTCACGGCTCGCCTGCCCGAAGCATCCCAGCGCCTCGCCTCGCTCGTCGCAGCCCGCGTTCGCTCCGGCCTCCCTGGCAATCGCACGGACTCCCAGACCGAACAGAACCGTCGCTTCGCTCGGTCGCTCCGCTCGCGGTACTCACCAGGGTTCTCCTCATGCAGACATGTAATAAGGTCAGCCGCCGCCTTATGCACGCGCCTGCACTGCGAGCACGTCCGCTTGGGCAAGGGACAGAAACAAACATCGTCCAAGTGTTTCGTAAGCGAAGTCTTTGTAGGACATAGGAAAAGACATAGCGGGCAGACGTGGGCGCCTGTATGCCGTGGCTTTGGCATCGTCTATTCGTAGGGATGTCCGAAGGTTCCGAGAGTTCCGAGCCCGCAGCCGAGGACGATCGTCCGGCTTTCCTTCGCGTTTTCTCCACGATTGCACCCAACCACGCTCGTTATTATTCAGGCTGAGTCCTACTTTGCCAACGGGTATCTTCTTCCTTCGGCGCTTCCTGTCGAGTGACTAGCGATGCTTCGTTCCCAGGGTCCCGTGGGCAATGCAGCGTCGGAGTTGGGCACCGTGAACTATAGCGAAATCCAGAATCTCTACGCGAAGACCAGCGCAGTTGCTTCGTAGCAAGTATGTCTGCAGACTGCCGCCTCGCCTGGGTCAACCGTGTATGTATGAGCGCTTTCTCCTCCTATCAGCAATATGGCCCTCCTTCTGAGTTCTGAGCGTGGGAATAATGTTGAGTTCTGCGAGAGAGGGAGCTGACCTGATGAGCGTGTCGGACCTCGTTAAGCGCGTTTGAGGCGGGCCAGACTTGTGGGGGCTCCTCCTACAGCTTCCTGCGGCCGACAGACTGAGAGCCTTATCAGAGGGTGCCCACGGATACAGCCGTTCGGGATGTGAGCAGTCTCCACCGTGGTAGGTCAAAGGTGTCGTCAGGTTATCACCTCATATGTTCTTACATATGCTTCCTTCAGCAGACGAAGGCGATGCGATCCCGTCATCAATCACCCTGGGAATTTCCGACCCACCAGTTCGCCGGGTTCCCCCCACCGTGATCCCTCCCACACTGTCAGCGACCTGAACCGCGAAAGTCTCAAACTTGAGAGGACAACATGCTCTGAACACAGGTTGGGAACCCGTAGCAGAGGAGATGGATTACCCAAAAAGATGCGCCACATTTGACGCCGAACTCACCGGGCTACGAGAATGTATGCAATAATGTATTGTCCCCACCGACTAATCATGCGAACTCAAACGCAGGCGCCCAGCCATTAAGGAGGCAAATTACGCTGATAAGGAGCATGGTGCACTGGTGAAGCTGACGAAGCTGGGGATTCCCATCAGGACAGCCGTCCTCCCACATAATAAGCAGCAAATGAAGCCTGTCTAAAGGGCTCCAAAGTTTTCACAACGCACCGTATGCCCCAGTGTGCTCATGTATGAAAGAGGAGTTTGTCCATTACCATTACGCGCGGTACACCAAGCCCAGATCATAAAGACAACGGACATAAAAAATACACGATGTTACCAATGATCTCGCCGCCACCGGGATTGTATCGCCCCCCTCGTCCTCAACTCTGGGATCGTCGAACCATAAGCCGTACCCTGTCTCCTGGTGTTTGAGCGTGACAGGGATGGGGTTGTGGAACAAGATTTCTGTTCCGGAGTCCATCTTCGTGAGCCGGTGTGCTTTGAGACCATACTCTGTCAAGTAGCGATAAGGAGAAAGGACTGCTGGACTATGGCCGACTGGGAGTGCTGCATTGATACTGCTTGGACCTTCTCGACGGGGCCCATATCCGAATGGGCAGACGGACTAATATTACTTGCAATGTCAGTCACGTGATATAGCGTGTTTGACATTAAACGCCGGCCAGACTCCAATCCGTCCGACTTCCCCATACGCAGTCGTCTGAGAAGCATCTCCCCGTCTGACAACTGTACACGGACCCTCAAGGCTTCAGAGCTATCGTATTTGTACATAGCACTACCTACCTGTTAACGGATCACATACTTGCCCGTCATGGTGCGTACTTTGGCTGCGGTGCATGTTTTCCCTCGATCTTGCGTGGCGCGCGGACCGGAGTCTAACTTGCAGTCGTAATCTAGAGTTTAGCACCAGTGGAACTTTTCAAAGACAATGCGACGGAGGAGAGGGCTGAGAATGCTCGATTGGTGCGTATCTGTGGAGTGTGGACGAGGAAGCACGGTGTAGTATGTTAGCCCAGATTTACTTAAACTCCATAACCTTTCGCAGGCTTCCTTTGTCGGCGCAATAGCCGTGGGAGATCTCGTTAAAACGACGCTCGGCCCAAAAGGCATGGACAAGACGTTACAGTCTATGAGTACCGGAAACATTATTGTTACGAACGACGGCGCAACGATCCTGAAATCCATCGCGCTCGACAACGCCGCAGCAAAGGTCCTCGTCAACATCTCGAAAGTGCAGGACGACGAGGTCGGCGATGGAACCACATCTGTCTGCGTGTTGGCTGCCGAGCTCCTTCGTGAAGGGGAGAAGCTGGTTCACCAGCACATCCACCCCCAGACCATCATCGAGGGCTACCGGATCGCGTCTGCTGCCGCGTATAAAGCACTCGAGGCGTCCGCGAAGGACCACAGCACAAACCCTGTGGAGTTTAGGGAAGATTTGATGAACATTGCAAAGACTACACTGAGCTCGAAGGTGCTGTCTCAAGATAAGGAGTACTTTTCTAATTTGGCTGTCGATGCGGTGCTTCGATTGAAGGTGAGATTTAGGATGTTCCCACGCCCTGGATTTACTGCAGGAATCTAACTAACCATCTCTCTTTCACAGGGAAGCACCAACCTGGACAACATTCAAATCATCAAGAAGCCCGGAGGCAAGCTCACGGACTCGTACCTTTCTCCTGGTTTCATTCTCGACAAGAAGATCGGTGTCAACCAACCCAAAAGGATAGAAAACGCAAAGATCCTTGTCGCCAACACTCCCATGGACACCGACAAGGTGAAGATCTTTGGCGCCCGCGTTCGTGTCGATGCGACCGGCAAGCTCGCCGAGCTTGAGCGCGCTGAGAAGGACAAGATGAAGGAGAAGGTGGAAAAGATCAAGGCCCACGGTATCAACTGCTTCGTCAACCGCCAATTGATCTACAACTGGCCAGAACAGCTCTTTGCTGATGCCGGCATCATGGCCATCGAGCACGCGGACTTTGACGGAATCGAAAGGCTGGCTCTCGTGACCGGAGGCGAGATCACCTCTACCTTCGACCACCCGGAGCTTGTGAAGCTCGGCCAATGTGACGTGATTGAAGAGGTCATCATCGGCGAAGACCGTCTGATCAAGTTCTCCGGCGTCGCTGCCGGTGAAGCCTGCACGATCGTCCTGCGAGGTGCGACACACCAGCTTTTGGACGAAGCCGAACGGTCCCTCCACGACGCCCTTTGCGTGCTCTCCCAGACCGTCAAGGAGCCAAGAACGACGCTCGGTGGAGGTTGCGCCGAGATGCTCATGGCCAAGGCCGTCGAGGAGGTCGCCGTCACGACCCCCGGCAAGAAGGCGATTGCGTGCGAGGCGTTTGCAAAGGCGCTTCGTCAGCTTCCTACCATCTTGGCTGACAACGCGGGATACGACAGTGCTGAGCTTGTTGCTGAGCTGCGTGCGGCGCATCACAAGGGGCAGAGCAACTATGGATTGAGTACGTACCCCTCACTTTGTGTGATTCTTGACACCCCTGCCTCCCATTTGAGCGACTAATTGACTGCGTAATTCTAGACATGGACCTCGGCATTATCGGTGACGTGCGGGAGCTGGGCATCACAGAGTCCTTCAAGCTGAAGAAGCAAGTCTTGCTATCAGCGTCGGAAGCCGCGGAGCTGATTCTGCGCGTTGACGATATCATCCGCTGCGCACCTAGGTAAGAAGTCCTTCTCTTTCCTCGCTCTTGTATACCACCCCTCCTTGGGCCCACAGTGTCCTCACACCTCTTTTTTCCACAGGGCCCGTGAGAGGCAGTAGATGATGGATCTGAGTCGTCGCTGAGGGGTGCCCTGCAAGTTTGTACAGAATGATGAGGGAACTGGACCAACCAGGGGGGAGCGATACCGTATTTGTGTAGATAAAAGCAAACTGAGAAAAAAACCGTCGTCTGTAATTATAATTAAGAAAACCAGTGCCCTTGATTCTTCTGCTGTAGTTTCCTCGGAGAGGCGACATGGATTATTCGGTTGATAGATCGGGAGTGCAGTGCATTGATACGGTCACTTATATGCGGCCACCATTATTTACAAGATGGCAAGCCACCATCTGACGTTGATATGACATGACAGGACTAAACTAATTTGAGAAGGGATTAGCAGAAGAAGGCCCTTCTCCTATGGAACGATGATTCCGTGCCGCTGACATGCAGGATTGTGAGAGAAACATCCTCCTCTCTCGGCATTTCTCTCTGAACCCCCTGCCAGCTCGCAGTTTCAATGCACGTCCTCGACCCAATCCGTAAATTGGCTTGTGAGCATCCGGACTGGGACCGACTGTTCCGCGCGAGTCGTTGCGTAAACTGTGCGGTGGCGCGTTGCTTGCTGCTCTCCTCGATCACTTTTCACGTCGATTCATCTGGCTTCCCAAAGAGCCGTAGGTCCTTCGCACAATCGCTCTAGTCCAACCCCTTTCAAAATTCCAGCACCAATCCACGCATCTAATCCAAATCCGGCATCCTCAAAATCCTTCTCCCCTTATTCTTCGCATGCTCCACCAACCTCGGAAACACCTTGAACTCCTTCACCCTCTGCGGCACAATCTTCCCGGGCGTGCCCGTAACCCAATAATAAATGTCCCAATCATTCTCCTCCAGAAAGTCATCATACTCAATCAGCTCTTCCCGGGTTAGAGTCCCAAGGTGGTCGCGGGCAAAGGTGGAGAGAATCAGATCGGTTTCGAGGATCCCGCGCTTGCGGGATGCGTAGACCAGGCGCGCGCGTTTGGTTTCCGTGGGCTCCGAGGCGGGGCGAACGGGGCGGGGAATTTGGATGAGGGGGAGGTAGTCGGGTTGGGTGGGGTCGTCGGGGACGGGGGGTTTGCGGGACCAGTCGGGGAATTCGGGGGTGGAGGGGCCGGTGGTGGAGGCGAGGCGGGTGAGGGGGGTGATGTGGTGGGGGCGGAGAGCGGTGCGGGTTGTTCGGGCTAGGGCTTGGGTTATGGGGCGGTACATTATAGGCAAATATGTATCTCTCGATGTCGGTGAGTGCTTGTGCAGATGGGGACTCGGAACCTGATGGTGGGACAATACCGTCAGGCAAAGAGCAATGGGGGTGGAACTTCTCCCCGAAAAACACGCGGACCGCCACACGCAGACAGAGGGTTTTCGTCTAGTGCCTCTTCCCCTTCTTGCAGGGGCCTACAAAAAGCAGAACACTGTCCTCTGGATATCGCTCACTTACCACAGTGATTTGCGTTGGGAATCTCTGAACTGCCTGGAAGGCCTCCTTCGGAAAATCAAGGACGCCGGCAAGAGCGACACACGCGCCAGAACACATTTATTTGAAGGGCACGTGATCTTATATTTTTCGACATTCGCTGGCTTCAAACCGAGAAGCCTGCCGCAATCGCAAAAGCATCACAACCGCATTCAGCACACCTCACATAACAAACGACCTCATAATTCATGTCTGTTCCGCAAATAGAAGAATAACAGCAACTGGAGGAAAGAAGAGCAAGCAACGGACACATTCCGTCACAAGACGAAAGCATGCCGAACAGCGGGATACCCGGAAGCAAACCCAGCCCCCGCTGTTCAAACATTAGCCCTCCCGCATGATTATGAGATTCTTCTTCCGTCTAGTTGTTGTAAACTTCTATGAGCGCTTTGAGATGGCATCTTGTTGATGCGCTGCTCTTTGAATGGAGTCTTGATGCGTGCTTGGGTGGGGAGAAGGGAGGACGCTAGCAGCCATCCCCGGCCTTTTATAAGCGGGCGCGCAAGCATGAAGCGGATGCACAGTTTGGAGAGTTCGGTGGATGGGATCAAACACTGGATGGCATACCTCCGAGAACGAAGGCGTGAAATTCCACGATATGCACATGCTTCGGATCTTTGAAAAAGTTGAGATGGCAGCTGCCGATCGCGTCCCGTCCAGTTGCACCTATGGGATCTTGCGCGTATGAAGCCATGCGGTGTTGCGAAGTTGCACAAGCGTTGGACAGTGGCTTGTGGGTTGTGACATTACGTGCACGATACTGATTTCAATTAGAGGGTGGACACAGCTTTATGTCCATTGACTGTACACCGGTTGCCGTCGGTCTGAGGGAACAGGGTTTCGACGGCGGTTTCATATATCGAAGCATGTCAACTGGTTGAGCGCTACTGTACGCCTGAGCAGTTCTGAAGCCGGCATCCCCGGATCGTCCTCCCTGTTGGAAATTCTCCCCACATCCATCTCATCGACGAATACATTGACCCCCCAACCTTTCACATCGGAACCTTCATCTCCTACTTGAACCACCACCTCGACAGCCACAGCGATCTCCTCATCCCGCTCGTCAACACCCCGAATTCATCGCATCGTAGACGGACGGCCCACGTCCATCTCCACCCGCCAAGCGGCGCGCAAAGACGCCCGAAAGCGCGGGTCCGCGAGGAACATGCCCACAACGGGTGTGGGACTGACCTTGTTTCAACGAAACTGGAATCTGTTGATGCGATGGCTCGGCCGCGGCGATAAACAACGCCAAACCGAGCGGAACACAGTAACGTCCCACACCCGGCTCCAACCCCACCTCTTTGCAATCCTCCCCGACGAGAAGGAAAGGACTACGCAAATGAGGCAGCGCGCGGGTTGTGTGGATTACGCAGAGAGGGATTCAGGGGAAGATGCCGTTCTCGGTCGCGTCCAGGCGGTGTTTGGGAGTCTGGGGTTTGAGACCGAGAATCGCGGGGGAATTAGGTGTTTATGGGGTTCTATGTTTTGGAGTCGAATCCCGTTCGAAGAAGCGGAGGGGAGTTCAATGCGGAGTGCATTTCTGTGCTAGAATCCGGAAGGACTGGTACGTGATAGAGCTCCCTCGCCCGCCTGAGAGGAAAGCACTATTTTGAGGCGAACCTGGTATCGGTTGCATTTTCCACGCGAGCCGACCCGCATGTCGGAGCCCCCCATGCCGCCTGCTTTGCGCATATGTGGTAGTTGCTCAATGAAGGTGCATTTTGCACTGCTGATTCTCGCTGTGAAATGGGAAAGACTGGATCTGGAGTTGGGCGGGAGTTGGGCACTGCTTCTTTTGACAGCATCCTTGACTCATTACAATCGGGCCCAGGGAAGAAACCCGAGAGGCGGATGAACTTGAGACTATGATGCGGTTGTACTACCCCACAATCACGGGGTGCGCGGTGTGGGGACGGAGACTTCGCCGCAAGGTGCATCTCACCATCTTCACAGGGTGCGCGAACAAAAACCATATGGAATCGTCGACCATCTGAACGGATGCGAGAGAATGCCGCGCACCACTCCAGCGCGTTTCGAATGAATGCGGCCCGCTTTGTTTGGGAAGCGCGGGAGAGTACCATGTGGGAGTACGGCGCATGTGCCTCTCATCTCTTCTGGCTCCCCAATTGGACAAAGTCTAATCATTCAGCGAGGCCGTGGTGCCCATCCACATTAGGGGGGTCTAATCACGCGGGGCCAGAAAGCAACGGGCGTTGTCTAATCATGAGTGCCCTGATTATTGGGTGGGGCCCACGAGACCAGGAGACTCGAAGAGAAGAGCCAAAAAGGACGCCGGAATTTTCCCACGCTATCCTTCCGCAAGATTCCCAGTTGCGCTCCGCTTGCTGCTTAATCGTCCGACGAAGACATAGGCTACTGCATATCCTATCACTGAATACTAGAGGACTCTCAGGCGAAACTATCGCTCTCGTTGTAGCAGACAACCCTCACTCGTGCTCACCACTCCGATCATCAAAAGCAAACGACGCAATGGAGGCTCTTCTTTCCAACGTGTCCCGCTCTTGCCCATTCCTGGCCCGCACTCCCGTGTCGGCCTTGAGGAAGCTGTCCACTCTTTCGGTCACTTCCGGCAGTGCCACCGGCAAGCGTTCTAGCGCCTTGTTCGCCTCCGCCCAGCGATGCCCCGTCATGTCCAAGGCGTTGGCTGTTCAGTCCGTCAAGAACAAGGCTCCTACTCCGCCGGCCAACCACCACTCGGTGGGCAAGGGCGCTAAGTCCATGCACTCGTCTGCTATCTGCCCTTACGCTGCTGTTGTCGATGGTTTGTCCAGCGTGCCTGCTCGTACCGCTACTCCGGAATTCATCCCTACCAAATCGGCGGCTGCTCCTGCTCCCGCTCCCGCTGGCAGGTGCCCTGTCCCGCACCAGCAGCACGGAGAAGCTCCTCACGCCAACCATGCTGAGAGATTGGCGTCGTTGCCTGCTGCGCGCCCTGCTCAGTCTGCTCAGAAGAAATTCGATTACGAGTCTTTCTACCAGACTGAGCTCGAGAAAAAGCACAAGGATAAGAGTTACCGGTACTTTAACAACATCAACAGGTTGGCTCAGAAGTTTCCTACAGCACACACTGGAACTGGTGAACATGTCACTGTTTGGTGCTCAAACGATTACTTGGGAATGAGCAAGCATCCTGAAGTCATTGACGTTATGAAGTATGTTTCCATAATTGCAACGATCTCATTCTTGTCCAGTCTGCTTACCGAATTCTCTCTATTTCATCAGGGCGACACTTGACAAATATGGTGCTGGAGCGGGCGGAACCCGGAACATTGCCGGCAATGCCCAGCTTCACTTGAGCTTAGAGCACGAGCTTGCGGATCTTCACAAGAAATCGGGTGCTCTCGTGTTCTCCTCATGCTTTGTGGCAAACGATGCCACTCTCTCGACATTGGCCGGCAAAATGCCCGGGTGTGTCATCTTCTCCGACTCGTCAAACCACGCCTCCATGATTCAGGGTATCCGCAACTCGCGTGCCGCCAAAAAGATTTTCCGTCACAACGACGTGGCTCACCTGGAGTCTCTCCTCCAATCGGTGGACATCAACACGCCCAAAATCATCGCCTTTGAATCTGTCTACTCCATGTGCGGATCCATTGGCCCGATCAAGGAGATTGCTGCCCTGGCGAAAAAGTACAATGCCATCACCTTCTTGGATGAAGTTCACGCAGTTGGCATGTACGGCTCGCGCGGTGCTGGTGTTGCCGAGTATATTGATGCCATGGACGATATTGATATCATCACTGGAACGCTTGGCAAGGCTTATGGAGTTGTTGGAGGATATATCGGTACGTATATATCGCCGTCGCACACCCTAGTCTATTTCAATCGATGTCCTTACATTTCGTCCTTCTATTCCAGCCGGCTCCGCGCCCCTTGTCGATATGATCCGCAGCTACGCCCCCGGCTTCATCTTTACCACCTCCCTCCCCCCCGTCGTCGTCGCCGGCGCCCTCACCTCCATCCGCTATCTGAAACAATCCCGTGCCGAACGCACCGGCCAACAACTCAACACCCGCGCCCTCAAAGCCCGCCTCGGCCACCTCGGCATCCCAGTCGTCCCCAACCCTTCCCACATCGTCCCCGTCCTCGTCGGCGACGCCGAGACCGCTAAATCTATTTCGGATGAGTTACTCTACAAACACAAGATTTACGTGCAGAGTATCAATTACCCCACCGTGTCCGTCGGCGAGGAACGTTTGCGTATCACGCCCACACCCGGACATGGCCCCGAGCTCATGGATGTGCTTGTGGATGCGCTCGAGGGCATCTGGAAGGAACGTGGATTGAGGAAGGAGCAGGATTGGGAGGCCGTTGGTGGACGCGCTGGAGTGGGGATGGGATATGGCGTGGAGCAGTTGGTTGTGGAGAAGGATTTGAGGATCGATGAGCAGATGGCGGTGGCTGCTTCTGCTTAGGGACTGCAACGTCGTTCCCATGATCTACTCTTGCTTTTGTGTGTGTGCTTGCATCTTTTTTCCATCAGCAATACAAAATACAGGACACTCTGTCATGAGAGTCCTTTTCTATCCTTCATAGCTCTTTGCTTATCTGGCCATCGGAGATTCGAGGCACAACAGACTTTCTTTCACAACAACATTCTTCTCAAGATTGTTTACACAAAACCCGGGACTTCTTACATATACATCCAAAAAGCGTCCCGACTACGAAAGAAAAAACGTCCAAAGCGTGTCAAAAACATGAAAACGTCCAATGCCCCGCTGTCCGGCTTTCCTCACCCCTCACCCCTCACCCGCAATCCCCCGCAACGCCCCCACAGCCCTCACAAACCGTCCATACCGTTCCCCCAACTCCTGCCCGCCATCTCTCTCACCTCCCACCTCATCCCCCCTCCCATAAGCCTCATACGCAATCTCCAAAGCATCACTTTTCAGCATTGCGAGTTTTCGTAACTCACTCCCCTGTTCGGGCGTAAAGAGGTGTGCGTCGATGAGGGTGTCGAGGAGGACGAGGATGCAGGCCCAGTAGGTTGTTGGGTGGGAAGGGGTCGAGGGGAGGGGTTCGGAGGGGGTGGTAGGCGGGCGGAAGGGCAGGGGTGGCGGTGGGGTGTCGGGGAAGATGATGGATGCTGTTTTTGAGGGGTTGGGGATGGCGGAGAGACTTAGTTGGGAGAGGGTTGAGAAACCGCGTTTTGCGAGTTCGATGGTGGGTTCAGGTTCGTCGTCGGGTTTGGTTGTGCGGTTGATGGGTGATGTTGGGTCGGTGGTGGGGTTTTGGAGCATGTAGTGAAGGACGGTGACGATGAGAGGGATTTCGTCTGTTGTTATTGTTGTTGTCGGGGGGGCTTCGGTGGGACTCGTCGTTGTCGGGACCGGGGAAGCACGTCCCGTCTCAGGAGTTTGTGATCCCAGCACCCCCGCTGTTCCCATTTTCGGCGTCCTCGGCGTCGGACTCTCATCTCTGCCCCTCGAACTACTCCTCGCACGCGCACCATCAGCCTTCGTCGAATTACTCCTACTATGCGGCGCCCACGCCCTCCACTGCGGTTGTACAACAGGGAGAGGTGGTGTGACACCGTTGCTGTAGAGAAGTTGCGGGCGGTAGGGGCGTTTGATTGTTGTGCGGTGGGCGGTGGTGAGGGTGGCGAGGGTTTGGAGGGAGGTGGTTATGAGGGTTGATGGGAGGGTGGGCTGTGGTTTTGTTTTGTGAGGGGGTGGTGAAGAGGGGTTTGATGATGGGATAAGGACTTACCTGTCGGAGTGGTTTGAGGAGGTAGCTGATGGTTGCAAGGAGGCTTTTGTCGAAGAGCGCTAGGATGTCTTGTGGATTGCTTAGCGTTTGAATGGCGGCGACAAGGTCGTTGGGAATCAGTGGATCCTGCGATACGGGAGTTCAACCTAGCTAGCTTAAGGGCGGCGGTTTGAAAGACCCATACCTTCAAAGATGTGACCCAGTACAACAACAACTGGACTAACAGCACATCATCATTATGCTTCGTGATGACATCCCAATGTCCTGCATTCACCTCTGCCTGCATTTATTCCGTCAACCCCAATTCCGCTCCAGGTACTCCAAATTCACAGATGCTTAACATACCAGTAGGCTGATCAACGGCTCCGTAACGCTCGCAACACCTTCATACCCCGCAATCGCAGCCGCAATGCGAGCGCCGAACTCCTCTCTTTGCGCCGGATCTGCAGAGTCGGAAGGCGGTGTGGTCAAGCGATCTACGATTGTTTTCACAATCTGTGTTCAAGCACACCCGAAGCGGAGATTCGATCAGCTAGAAGATTCCATTTCATCTACATTGTTCTGGTGATGAGGCCTTACCTTGGGAACGAACCGCATGACGCGCTGCTGACTCCCATGGAAGTACCGTCGTTGGTTTTGCAGGACCATTTCCAGTGTCAGCAGGTCGACGGATGAGTACTCGGTCGGGCTTCGTGAGCATATTCCTGGGAAGTAGACTAGCCAAAGCAGGTTGGATGAAATGATGAGCACCCGTGAGGAGGACGATGGATACTAAACCGCAGTAAATTAGTTGTTTCTCACCTTTGAAGGGCTTGACGTACTCTTCGAACTGATGCACGAACAGGGCTTGTTTCCGTGTTTGCACGGACAGCGGTCTATCAATCTTCGATGAGGTGTCCTGATTTCCAGTCGAATCGCGCAATGACGTGGACGTACCTTTGGGTGCGGACCAGCTCTATCGCCTGAAGTGAGAAACATTTAGCATCGTGCCCATGGCCTAATACAGGATAAAACGACTTGACAAACGCACCGTGTTGCTATCCATGTTCTCTCCGTACACCAGGTAGCACGCAATCGCCAGCCCCGTTCGACCTGATTTCGCGCAGAAGTCGAAACAGAGAATCAAACGCTTTCCACCGACACCGAAAGTCCACGGATAACAAATTCGCACCTAGCCCAGCGTGACAGTGAACCGCAATCTGCCGAGACGTTGGAGATAGTGACTCAGCATATACTAAAAGGGAAGGGTTGGTGTTTGCTGGGATGGGTTCCACCACCTTTCCGGGCTCACCTTTTGTCCTTCTTCAAGAGCGTGCGCCATTACTTGGGCTATGCTTAGCATATGACTGAAGTCTGGGACGTTCTGGATGTAATGGGGTAGTAGAGCCTCTTAGTGGTTGGTCAAGTTTAGAGTGTAACGTGTGCGGATGACGGTACCATGTCTTGCCAGCCAAAGTTATAGTAGAAGACTGTTGGGAATCGAATCATTGGCACTTCAGCCTCTATTCCAGAGACAACTCTCGCAAATGATGAGATGTATGTACCTCCCGCATCCATCCATGCCTCGGGCAGATACGAAAACCCGCTCGCAACCTCAATCCCATCACCACACGACGCGTGTTCGCCAAACTCCTCCAGATTGAAGATGGAAGCTATCCCAAGCTCCTGAAACTTCTGCGTCAATGCGTACTCGGCTATCAAGCGCGAGGATGGTCGTTGCATTGCTAGGATACGGCCTGTGATCCTACGACGACGTTGGACGAAAACATGTCAAACGTCACCCTTCGGCAGCTATCTGAACGTACTGCATGCAAGGCGTACCAGTTAGAATACAGCCCATCCACGGCGTTGGTCTTTGTCTTCTCCGCCCAGGGTTTCCAGTTTTCCCACTTGCAGTCTTTGCCGCCGCAGAAGAAGCAGTGGATGGCACTCATCTTGAGTAACGAGGAAGGTGTCTTCTGTCGTCGCCCAATCTACACAGTTCCCCTCCTCGACTTATTTTCGCTTTCCGGCCTGTTTACAGCTGTCACAGTAGTCGATCGCCAAGGACACTACTCTTGCACGAACATAAAGCTTCGCACTGAAAAAGCCTACGACGAGACACCCTTTTTGGACAGTACTCGAGCACCGGGAATACCGAGAGCGTTCGGGACGGAAGCTATATGTAGGCGATGAACAGATGCAGTTCGCGGGCGATAACCTGTATGCGATTCCGGGTCCAAAGTCCGAACGATCTCAGTTCGGGAAGCCCTGGGGCAAAAGGCTCAAAGTGCCCGCCAGTCACGACGCGTGAGAACGCTGTCATATCGCTACCCTTACTTGCGCCAAACTATTATAGCTTCCATCCTTTGGGACAGGAGAACTTGAACCCTCCGAAAGAGCCGAATGCAGGAGAATTCACAGATCCATCGCAGACTGTCCTTGCAGCAGCAAGCTCCCTTGAAGTACCTTCACAATCTTTAGTTGGGAAACAGAGTGGCACCGCCCAAGTAACAGAGAACCTTGCGCTCCGGCAGGTTGTGTTTCGCTGCAAAATACACCACCTTGTAATAGCACTTCACTCGGATATTCATTTCGAGACATTCTGGCCGTCATGTATTGAATGGGAAGGCATTCACAGAGAAAAGTCACAGCGTTTATTTGCATAACGTCGTCGATCTACAGATGAGATATTTACGTATGTTTCTAAAAAGATTACATCTACTAGTAAATGTGCAGGGTATGTCTACTGTGTGATGAGGAACGAAGTCTAGTGATAGTCGCTCAACTAAATTAAGAGCCAATGATGATGTCCTTGACGGTCGCACCCCGTCCAACAACACCTCCGTCAGAGGTGAACTCAATGGAGAGGTAGACATTGCCGGAGAAGGGAATGGGCCAGGTGGCGGTGGCGGCGACGGTTCCAGAGGTCCTGTACAGCTCAACGGTGTTTCCGCTGGCGTCAGTCGCCGTGACGAAGAAGTAATCGTAGTCTTTCTCAGAGTCAACGTCGAACGTGGCGGACAACTTGGAGGAGGCGGGCAAGTTGACGAAGATCTTGAGGGCGGACTCGACATTGGACTTGTACTTGATTCCGTTTCCGAGCACCAGCTTTCCGTTCTTGTATTGCCAGGCATCAGCAGCGTTGTTGGTGGGGTTGTTGTACACATGGGTGTAAGCAGACTCATCCTTGCTGCCAAGAGTGTACTTCTGGCCGGCGGCGACCTTCAAGTACGCGGAGGTGTTGGGGATGACGGTGAACTCCCTGCGGGTAATAAGGACTCGCTGGTTCCCGTTGAAACCCTGGATGGTGAACAGGCTGCGGCCCAATGTGGCGACACCGTTGACGACCTCGAGAGTACCCTTGTGCTTCTGGTCAACCGGTGTCGGGTTGGTCTTGGTGACGACCTTGTTGTTAGCATCGCGGAGCTCGATTGTGTTAATCTTTTGGGAGGTGAAGGGGATGGTGAAAGTCTTGCCGACGGTCACCGTGGTGGCGTTGAGGGATGCCTGGAACAACAACCCGGCCTTCTTCTGCTCGTTGGAGTTGGTCTTGAAGTACTTGGCGATGCGATCGAATTGGCTGGAAACTCCCTTTGCATCGTCGGCAACGAAGTCCTGCACGGTGGGCCTGAGTTGATATGTCGACTTGATACCGGCGTCCTCGATAAGCTTGCCCTTGTTCGGGCCGGTACGGATGGTCTGGCGCCATGCAACACGGAAGTTTGAGACACCCAGGCGGGCTTTTCCGTTGCTGTCGAGTTCTTGGTATGGCAGAGGCTTGTAGATGCTGGGGGCCCACGCCTGGAGGTTGGCCTGGTGTTCGATCACGTTCGCTCCTCCCGCGCCAGTGGTAGCGTCTTCACCAAAGACGGTGAAGCCGTGGTCCTGCATGGAAGCAGAGAAAGTGTCGCAAGCAGAGTAACACTTTGCGTCGGTCAGCAGAGCGACGGGCCTGAGGTAAAGCTGGCCAATGGTGTTCATGGTGGACGCCTCGTTGAACTTGATGGTGTTAGTGTACTTGTTGCCCTTGGGAGTCGCGTTGTAAGCGGCAGCCCAATCCTCCTCGTTGGCAGGGCCGTTGAAGAGGGCACCGTTGTTGGGGTGGTTGATGGCACGGCCATAGCCGGTGTCAAAACCGTTAGGGGCGTTGACCCAGAACTGGGGCATGACGTCGGCGAAGCCAAGGGAACCGCCTCCGTTGGTGCGGAGATCGATAACGATGCTGTCGGTGTCGGCCAAGACATCGGTCAAAAGGCGCTTGACCTCGTTCAGAGCAGTGGTTTCTCCGTCAGAAGGCGCGCTGTCCGTGAAGGCCGAAAGACGAATGACTCCGAGGTTTGCTCCGTTGTTCCGGTAGATGGTGTAGGAGACGATGGAGGACGCGGTAGGAGCGTACGCAACGGCGGGAAGGTCGCTGGAGAAGAACTCAGTTCCCCAATCGTCGACGGAAGCGTCATCGGTCCGCGGCTTCTTAGGCTTTCCGTGGTACTTCTGCTCAGTCTTGCCCAACGCATTGTTTTTGGGATCAGCGGCACCGCCGGTGGGGGCATCAGCGAGGCAGTCCTTGCTCGCAACGGTGACCCAAGGGACAGTAATGTCGAAGGTGGAGGTAGAGTTGGAGCTCTGGAAGGTAAACACCTGGGCGTTCTTGGCGGGAACCTTGTAGGACCTTCCACGCTTGCTGGAGATCTGTTGCAGAGCACGCTGGTATCCGCCGTATTGGTTGGCACCTCCGGTGTCCGCCTTGACCGTGTCGAAGTATTCAGGCCATGTCTTTCCGTCAATCTTGGTGAGGAGGTCTCCGATCTTCACTTTGTCCTGAATGCCTGGCACACGGGCAAGGACATTTTTGTCGACAGTGTAAGACTTGACCGCGATCTTAGGTTTCTTCAAGTAGTCCTCCGACTCGACAAACGCAAACTGGAGGGGCTGGACGAAGTTGTAGCAGTTGTGAGGGCCTGTGCCAAATTCAGAGTATGTTGCGTAAGTTTCCGATGCCAAAAATGTTATAATAGACCAAAAACCTTAATTACCCGCCACGTAGTAGTTGGTGTGCAGGTCCCTCAAGGATTGGAAGAGGGCAACCATGCGGTATTGGAAGTCGCGGTTGCTGAGGCCAGGGGCGTCCTTGATGATTTTGTCGACTTTCTCGAGGGCATTCACACCATAGACGTCTTCCTTCTCGTACTGATGGACAAAAACCTTGAACATCTCCTTCACTTGGTTCGCCACCAGAAGCTTTTGCTCGGTGTTGTAGTTGGCGAATCCGATCTCGGGACGAGTGGCGCTGAGGAGGCCGTATCGGTTGCCCAGAGTTTGGGCAGACGCCGTGCCGGCGATGGCGAGGGCGAAGAAGGCGGACGTGAGCAGCATCTTTGTCCGAGGTAAGCAGAATTGAACGAGAATTAAGAGTCCAGCTCTGTTGATCTAGAGGACAGAAGGGGCATGGGGTCCCCACCTTTATACGGCTCCATTTGCACTGGCTTGGCACCTGCGAGGGCCATATGCCAGTGCCAAAGCTGAGGATTAGCCATGGCGTGTGAAGCCTCTGCAGGCTTTACGCTCTGTTGCTCGCATACTTTGTGATCATGGACCCCAACCGGTTGTTGCTCAACTGTGAGCCTTTCATTATCGGCGCTGATTCCAAAGCATTTTCCGCTCTCAAAATTGCCGTGTGGTCGCACAGGCGGAAGGTCGCATAGAGGCCCCTGGCCAAGAGCCTTCTGGTGCAACATCATCAGCGATATTCAGCTGAGCGCTGCAATGTGACTGGCGGTTCCGCCATAGCCGATACGAAAGCGCCGGGTGCCCCTCTAGTCCCGATGGGATATCAACCGGGTGATGTGTTGGGGGGCCGGTAACAAAGTCACGACATCAGCCTGTTTGTACATAGAGGCTATGTTCCGTAACTTCCGTTATAGGGTCCCCAGAGTCGGAGCAATTTCCGGTTGTACCAGATAGATCTAGATATACAACCACGGCGGTCTTTCGGACAGGTTGTCGGGCCGAAGAGCTGGCCACACAGGTGCCGCCGTGCCGGTGATCTTGATCCTTGTCACTTGAGCCTGCATTTTGCAGGAAAATGGGTTCAAATTTGCTTAATACGTCCACAACGCGAATCTTATCTGGACAGACTGGGGGGGCTGCCGGGAACAGCCCGGAAGACGCAATTGCTTGCTTCGTTATTTCTTGTGCGCTGTTCATGCGAGACTGCGACCGTGGATCTGCCCATTTCGGCCGTGGCGAGCGGCTCCATTGATATTGGTTGAGAGCCCCACCGAGGAAAATGACGGCAGGTGACGCGCTGTCGAACTCGGTCGCCACAGGCTGCGATTAAACATAACGATCATGCTGCCGGGTTTGCGATGATATGCAACGTACGGGGTGAACTTCATTTTCTTTTTGAACTTTCAAACTTTCAAACTTTCAAACTACACTATCTGAGGTATATGTGTTTCTGTGCTATCTATGTTCGCGGGCGAGGCGGGCGAACAGTTCCGTCTTGAGACGTAAACGACTACAGAGAAACGAGAAACATCGAGGTCAATATCCGTCCAAATACACGCAGCGAGCATCAATCCGCAACACACCTTTTTCTCATTGTCGTTAAGAGAATATTCGCCATGACCTCAGGAATGGTCGGAAGTCATGGGAGCCGTTGAGTGAAGTCCGGCGGCACAGGAAGGAAGGGATCAAAATGTTCAAGATGAAATCCAGCCAGATTCTGAGGGGGGAGGGCGGAGGACAATTGCCTTCCCCTGGGTCGGCACGGGTCCCCCGTCTCTCCGTCGGCGGTATCACACAAAACCGCCAAGCCGTCAGGTATCCCGGACCCGACTCTGCCGAACTCTCCCGATCAACGGCGTGAGCAAGGGGTTGAGTGGAATAATCTGCGATACGTGGTCGAAAAGAAAATCCAAAATTAAGAATTACGGAATACCCCGGGTAGTGCGAGAAACTAAAGTGGTGCTTTGAAAATGGAACGCACCTGTACGTGGGAAGGACAGGGCTTTCTTCAACTTGTTTATGACACGGCCGAATTTGATTGAGTGGCTCTTTTTCTGGTGGTGGGATGAGTGCTTCGGGAACAGGACGGCGGGGTCGTCGGAGGGCGCTGGCCGGATGGTCTCCAAGCCCGCATCCTGGGTTCCGCTGATTTTGCAGATGGAGGCGTCACGGTTGAAGGTGGGTGGGCGGGCGGACTGGGACTCGGCGGCGGTGCGAGCGCGGCGCTCTTGGTAGTCGGCGAGGGTATCGCGTTGAGGGATTGCGAAGGCAAGGTCGGCGGAGATGGGGAGGGGGCAAAAGCCGGGGGCGGGTGCCATGGTTTGCGGGACGGTGGACGCTTTGTGGGGGGCCGACGGGGGGATGCGGCTACCGAGGGACACCGTCCCCATCTCGGGTGGGCGGGCGGACTGGGACTCGGCGGCGATGCGAGCGCGGCGCTTTTGGTAGTCGGCGAGGGTATCGCGTTGAGGGATTGCGAAGGCAAGGTCGGCCGAGATGGGGAGGGTGCAGAAGCCGGGGGCGGGTGCCATGATTTGCGGGACGGTGGACGCTTTGTGGGAGGCCGACGGGGGGCTGCGGCTACCAGGGGACAGCGAGATGGGGACGCTGCTAGGGACGTCGGCAGGGCGATTTTCTATGGCAATGGCATCAGAAAGTCAGCGGACATCACGGGAAAGCAGCAAACATGATGAGTCCATACCTTCCGCCGCTACGGCGAGACCTAGGTAGTCATGTAGTTCCTCGACAATGTCGCTCACGGATTTTTTGCCAATAAGGCCGAGGCGCTGCTTCTCAAATCGCATCACTTTCTCAAGCACGAAGGTGCGTGGTGTGGTGGGTTTTGGCCGGTATCGTGCGAATTGGCGGACTTCGCACTGGTAGATAAGGTCGGAGACAGAATGCCTTGACTGGGTCATGTTCGAGATGCTGGATTGTGATAATGAAATGTTTGTGGTGCGTGCTGTAAAATAGTTCATGAGATTCACAGTCTGAAGGCATCCCCGCCTCGGCTTATGTACCCGAGGCGGCTGAGGCGGCTGAGCCAGTTTGCCAGAGACGTGCTTATCAAGTTTGACGGTTTTTCGACAGTGCGTTATTTTCGGTGAATTTGTAACAGTAACATTTAAGCTTCACTGGTTTAGACTTAGTAGAACGCATGACATACCCCCGAAGACGAACCTCATCCGCGCAGGTCTTCCATGCGAAGAAGCTCATGGCGCAAGTGTCTGATTGTAAAATGTGTGTCTCATTAGGTGGCTTCATTCACGTGGGTAGGAGGTGGGTGGATCGATGGAAACCAACCGTTCTTCTCGAAGCCGAGGTTATTCTGGGCGGATGGAGAAAGCCCGCCGTACCATCACGACGCCGAGCTTGGCTGTCGCTCGCAACGCCGAAGATCGATCAGCGGGATGGAGAGATCGTAGGCCAGGCTGTAGAGCATATGGGTGGTGTGCGGGGTGGGTGCGGGACGTGGTCGATGCGGGGTTGGTGGGTTGGACGTCTTGTTCGACTATGCGAGCGTGCATGTTCTTGTGATGCGGGAACGTGGTGATGGAACGGATGAGGAGCGGCAACCGGAAGGGGTGGATGGTCGGCGAAAGCAAAATGAACAGATACAGTGGATAGCATCAAGGGAGCCACAAACGGACATATAGTGACCCTGGGAGGGTAGGATTGAAGGTCGTTTACGCTAGTTGCAGAATCTCGCGATGGACTGGGTTGGAGTTGGGCGCCGGTGGTGAGGACTGAGTTGCCGCAGTTGCGAGATCTTTTGGTGGACTGAGATTGACTGGGATGGAGTTTGGCCACGTTGTGGAAGACCTCGTAGAATTCTGTGAGACAGTTGAAAGTGAGGGCCTTCCAGCGAAGGATGCCTTCTCACTGTTGTGGAACCAAGAATGAAACCTCCTGCATATGTGGAATCCGAGTTATCAGAGCAAAATGAAGAACCCCTCCAGATCCCCAATAATGTTTCTATGGGCGGGTGAAACCTCCCCAATAGTGTTTCTCGGGTGGAAGGTGCGGAGAAACCTGCAAAAGTGTCTCCCCAAGGGTCAAGCTTTCTCTGGAAGTGGCAGGCAGCAACCTTGGGCTGCCGAGATCGATAGGTACATGAGCAAGAGACCATGGTCCCAAAAACATGCAAGATATGTAACGGATATGTTCAGGTGATCAGATGTAATTGTGTATGCTACAAGCAAGTTCGCTTCAACGGCTTCCCACGCAACCCCGGGTCACACCGTTATGACATGGTTAGCTCAACGAGGTCAGGTGCCAGCTCAACGGGTACGGAAGTACTGAAAGGATTGGGAAGTTTAGATTCCATATGTCGTTGTGCTGAAACATATTGGACGCTTATGAAAACTTACCTCGAGGAGGACGTTCATGGCCTCAGTGTCGTCTCCGGCGTCCTTGACAACGACGCAAGAGCATCCGACAACCTTACGAGCGTTACCCTCACGGTCAATCTTGCAGAGACCAGCCCACTCTCCGAGCTTCTTGGCGTCGGAGACCTTGATCAAATTGATGTCGTGCTCAGCGCAGAGGGCCTCAACAAGCTTGATGTACTCCTTCTCCGTGCAGGTCTCGACGAGGACGCAAAGCTGGGCTTGACGCCTGATGAATGAGAATGATCGCTGGTTAGAAGGTTGTTCATCCAGACTCTCTCTTTACCGTCATTCCAAGATCATTCTTCCGTTCCGCCCCTCAGTGGTATGCATATCAATCACGGCTAAGCCATTCAGTCCCGTCTTGAAACATGTAGGATAGGTGCAAAATCATCCCCGAGGCGTCCCGTCGTCCATACAGCCAACTTTCCCAGCATTCCGTCTTTTTTGCGTCACTCCGAGTCCTCACCTGTCCAAAGCCTTGGCGGCTTCCCTGAGACCCCTGGCAAGACCGTCGTGGACGAGGGCCTTCTTCAAGACCTCCTGGAGGGCCTCCTCAACGGACATGGAGCCGCGGGGAGCAACTAGTACCAAAACCGCAATGAGTTGGCATGCTCGCGAAGTAGTTCTGTCTGCACCGGAAACTCACCCTCGTCAGCGGACACCTCAACGACAACATCTCCTTCTGTAGACATTTTTTCGACTGGTTATTGGGGATTGATTAATAAAGAGTCGACAGACGTCCTCACTATGGGAGAGAAAGGCGGCAACAGGTCAGATTCTGCGAAATTCCGTACCGCCCAGACAGAACCCGGGTGGTTCCTCGCAGTTGATCGTACTGCCCGCCTGATATTGCTGCTCTCAATCGGTCGGCCCGTTTCCTTCGCAAATTCGGTGTTGCCACGGCAAATGGTCACGGCCACCGAATGCCTCCCTCCACAATACATCCATCCATCCATGCTCGATCGGTTCCATTTCAGCACGTCGATCTATCCATCCATCCATCTATCCATCGGCGGTAACCCCTTCAACCGAATTCCCACCGTCGTGCAGTAGATCCATCGGGTCGTCGATGCAGCTATACTTACATGTGTCGTTATTGTAATGGTGAAGAAGAACAGAACGAGTGTTAGATCGTGCTCTTGACCCCTGCGGCAAGCGCGTCGCCCAGCGCTAACCCTAACTACGCAAGGCGCGCTGTCAATTTCATACGAAGTCGCTGTCAGAACTAGGATGTGGAAAGCCCGCTCGGTCCCAAAAGGATTTGCCCAGCATCGAAAATACTTCAGAGCAGCTGCGCCATATATCCTTATCTTCCGTCTAGCAAGGCTGTTCTTGTTCTGATATGTCTGAACAAATCGCCGACTATTTGACGCATTATCTCAGCTTGTGTGAGGAGAAAGATGTGTTCGTGGTGCCATCGCTACGACGGGTATGTAACGATTGCTAAGACATGTTTGTTGTTCAAATTCCTCATTACTTTCTGTCGGATAGATGCTGGAGAAGGCAACTGATGGAGGGTAAGAACAGCTCATGGATTCCAAGTCAAGTCAACCGTACTGACGTTGGTTCTGCACCGACCGTTCTACCTCTCCTCCTGATGAATCCTACGACATCATATTACGCACGATTTCAGACCAATCCCAGACGCATTCAAGCTAAACGGCAACCAACCAGATCTCTCCTACACCCGGCTGTCAGATAGCTACATCCCCGTCCTCCTCAAACCGCTAGCTCCATGCGGTGTCGCCCTACGCGAACTCGACCTGGGTTGCAATGAGATTGGGGATGAAGGAGCTAAGAGTATTGCAAGCTGGTTGAAGGTGGGTAACTATACTGCAGGAGTACGTTGTGGTGAGTCGGCACTAACTCCTTATGGATAGGAAGACGTGACGCTGGAATCGCTGAACCTGCGGTACAACAATATCGGTCCGCAAGGTGTCGGGGCGATCGCGCAGGCGTTACAGATCAATGAGGTTTTGCGGAGTTTGGACATGAGCGGGAATGGAGCGAGTGAGGAGGGTGGGATGGAGATGGCCAACATGCTGCAGGTGTGTACATGAAGAATGAAGTTCGCCTTATTACACGAATCCTCACACATCTTCCCCTCTCCCAGCTAAATACCAGCCTCGAAGCCCTCAACCTCGCCCGCACCTACCTCACCGCCACCGCCCTCATCGCCCTCAGCACGGTCCTGCACAACAACACCTCGCTCATCACCCTCAACATCAGTAACAACTACTCTGCACGGGGTACTACCTTCTCCTCGTCCGTGGCGGCGGATGTGATGCAGCACGTCACGAGGATGCTGGAGACTGGGAACTTCACGCTGAGGAACGTGGCGTGTGCGAAGATGAGGATTTGTGATGATGATGTGGTTAATGGGTGGAGTACGGCTGTGAAGGCGAATTTGAGGATTGCCGAGTTGGATTTGTCGAGGTTTGTTGTAAATCGAACTTTGTTGGATTCCAGCCACGAGATTGACGACGGGATGTCATCTACCTGCAGCAATAACATCACGCGAGATGGCGGAGTAGCATTGTTCCGAGCAATGCATAGCCATCCGGCGCTGGTCGTCGTCAAGCTGAGCTCATGCTCCATCAAAGACGAGGGAGCGGATGCCGTGGCCTCGATGTTGGAGAACAACTACGCATTACAAACGTAAAAGAACGATGAGCACAGCTCGGGACAACAATGTATTTGTCTACCACCTGCTCCTGATCTAACGCGGAACTCTACTGCAGCCTCTGGATCGACTACAACGGGATCACGGGCAAAGGCCTCCTAGCCATCGCAAAATCGCTACCCAGGAACCAATACCTGCGCCGGATAGCGGTGTGGGGAAACAAGTGGGATGTGCCTGCCTGCGAGGTAAGACAAGCCTCCCCCTGCTCTCACGTAGCGCTCGCTCTTCTCACACAACCTATGCTACGTAGGCATGGGCAGCACTGATAGGCGGTCCCCTAGTCGACGTAACCTACGACGACGATCTGCACGGGCGGATCGTCGAGCCCGGTGAAACCTTCCCGCAAGAAGGCCGGCGGATCATCAACGTGCAAGCGAAAGGATCAGCACAAGCCGCCGCGGAGAAGCATGGCAGTAACGGCGCTCTGAATCAGCATCAGTCGCCGGTGAAGACAGGGCAGGCTGCGCAGGTCAAGCAGCGTTTTGTGCAGAGAGATGTTGATGTTTCGTTTTATGCGGTTGAGGGGGTGGTGCATGTTGCGAGGAATGAGTCGGGGGCGACGTGAATGTGACAATATAGAAGTTCCGGGTATGGTCCTCAGATAGACGAAAGTATTGTACTTAATGGCGACGTGCATGAGGCTTTTCGCGCCAAAATGCGCCGACTCTGCTGCTGAAGTATGGCCCATTCTACCCTGCCCGTGATGTTGTAAATGGAACCCGATGATCCCCACCGTGTATGCGTGCGGAATCGGCAGATCGCGTACGTTCAATAAGCCCCACCCTCCAACATCGCCGTCCAATCATACCCCTTCCACTTCTCTAAAAACCACTTCATTCTCGGCGCATGGTCCTTCGGGTTGATCCACCTCGGGCGTCTCCACTTATCCGGCGACAAATCCAAAAAGCTCGCAATAACCTCCCTCCCAAACCACTCGTTCCAGTTCTCCTGGTCCTCGATGACGTGGCCCATCCCGCGGTTGGGGTCGAACCAGACGTGGAAGTAGGGGAGGTTCTTGACCATGGAGCGGCGGAAACCGTGTTTGGAGGTGTCGATGAGTTTGCGGTGCTGGGTCCATTCTTCGTCTGCTGCTAGGATTGCTTCCTATGGTGGCAATGTAAGCATTGGATAAGGGTTGGAATTACAATCGGAGGGCGAAGGAAGGGTCAGCGTACCTTGTAGTAAGCAGGGCAGTCCTCCCAGTTGCTGAGAGGCACCGGAATACATTCGATCACCGTGTGCTTATGCCATTTGAAGTTTATGACCTGCTCCATGAAGACAACGCCTTGCTTCTGCGCGGCAAACATTTGTAGCAGACACTTCTGGAAGTTCTATGACAAGATAGGTAAATGTAAGCATATAAGGAAAAATACGGCCCATTAGCGCACGAAGGAAACCGATGATACGAACCCGAATCTCATCCCAAGTCTCATCATCGCATTCCAACGTCGTGAGAACGTGATCGATAGGCACAATGAGACAATGACCCTGCACCATATCAACCACCTCCGGCAGCGCAAGATACGATTTGATGCCGAGCGCGACGATGGGCGCCTTCGGCTTTTCCCCTTCATGATAGCAATAAGGACATCTAGCCACCGCCTTCTCGTGTTTCTGGAAATCGCCGATCGCGATACTCCTCTTCTGCTGTTCGGTCGTCGTTTTCCGTTTGGCGAGATTATCGATGTTGTCGTCCATGTAGTCGAGGTTGTCCACGTACGTGGCGTCTTTGGCGATCCGATCCGCCATGTGGGCGTCGAAATCGTGGACTCCGGCCATCTTCTCCTGCAGAATGAGGTCCGTCAGACCTTGCTTGTCTTCCTCTGTGCCGTAGCGGAGGCGGTTGCCCTGCGCGTCGTGAGTTCCTTTATCCACTTTCACCCGTTTTCGCTGAGGACCTTGGCTCGTAGGCGTGGACGCGCCTGAGCCGATATCTTGCAATTGGCCTCTGCTATCGACTGCTGAAAGCACAACGTGGCTTGCGTTGTTATCTCGCCCTCCCTCGGCTCGTTTCTTCTGCAGTTCATATTCCGCTTCCAATTTCGCTGCATTGGGAAGTCCCATCAGCTTCGCTTTCAAAACTTTAGAGTTCAGGGCATTAAGCTCGTTCTTCGAAAGTATTGCCCCCTCCGCTTTGCCTCCAAAAGCGGAGCTGGTCCCCGCTTGTGCGGGTGGCTTTGCGGCTGGTATCGGCACGACCGCCGCTGGGATGACAGGAGTGCCGCGAGACTGGGACGCCCAGCTACTCTCTCGGGAAAGCTCCACCTTCGACCGTTTCGACGACGTATCGCTCCTGCTATCATCCGCCGGCCGCTTTCCGGATGCCCCATCGTGCGGCGGTCGCTGAAACGATGAACTAGATCTCACAGTAGGTCTGTACGGGATATCTCTCCCAAACTCATCCTTCTTCGAGCCGCCTGCTGATCGGCGGTCGTCCAGGAACGCTCGTTCCTCTTGCGCGTCGTGGAAATCCGCCAGGGAGCCATATCGCTCAAGCGCAACCTCCTCTAGTCCCCTGCTCTCTTCCGCAGCCGTCTCCAGGACACGCCGCAGTTTCATCATCCTCCAATTCGAGCCGCTGTCGCCAAACTCGTAGCGTCGTTTTGGAGCTTCTGCTTCGAAATGGTCACGAGTTAGCATGGGATTAGCTCTGTGATTTCGAACAAGTCGCACTCGCGTACCTTGTGCAGCCGTCTCCTTCCCTGTTGGCGGTATCCCATCTCCTCCGCTCGCGAAATATGGATTCAGCTCTCTCTCGGAGCGGATAGCCAACCGTCGCTTCTCCTCTTCTTCCCGCTCAACGTCCCTATCCTTCTTACGAGGAACGACCATCCCTCGTGTCCCAGAGAAGTCGAAGCCCTCGAACGGCGCTGCCATCCAGTCCTCGCGTACAGCGGCTGCTGGTGTTGGTGCTAGAGTTGCGATATCTATGTCCGTAGCTGGTGCCTGCTGCAAAGGTGTCGAAATGAGTTCACAACCTACATAACCCCCGGTGTGAAATGCGTCTTTCACTTACACTAGACGACCCGGGCGCTACTTTCTCCAGCCACTCATCCGCACTGCTCCCAGACTCCGAGCCAGATGGTGATCTAGACCTCTTGCCCTTCGTCTCCTTCCGGTGCTTCTTGTCCTTCTCGTCGCGACCATCCTTCTTCTTATGCTTCTTCTTGTGCCTGTCGCTTTTGTCCTTGCCCTTCCGGTCGTGGTCCTTATGCTTTCCCATAGTGCCGAGGCTCTCCTTTCCTGCTCCGAATTCAGACCCTTCTTGGAGAGCTCTGAAAAGGACCAATTCCCAATGAGCTCACGCGTGGGAGCCTTCCAATACTTCCTGCTCCGCAAACCACTTAGCTCCGCGCTCCAGCGCTCCAGGTAATTTCTTCACCCGGAGCAACGATGCCCGGAGACTCATCGCCCCCCGCAGAAAGGATGCCCCTCCTCTCACCCACCACCCAGGCCGCCCGGCCGCCTCGTACGCTCCCCCAGCTGCTCCGCGCCCGGAATGTCTCGTTCGCAGCGTCTCTGCTTTCCATGGTAGGGGTTCTCCATGGTTCGTTGCACTGTTGCTTGGTGGGCTTCTAGCTTACCGCTCTTTGGTGCTTTAGGTATGCGGAGGAACACTATATCTCTTCTCGGCTTACAGTACAACACGTAAGAGCCATATGTTTGTCGGGAATGTTACCAATTTTCGAGGCCTTGGCTAAAGGGCGGAGTTGCGATATCAGTGGGATACACGCAGACGCAGACAAACCTGATAGCAAGTAGCGGCGGGTAGGTGGGTGCCGTTTCAGGAAGAGCTGGCGACTGATCGTGTAACTGGTCATTCGGGAGGAGAAGCTCATGCGTTCATGCATATTCCCAGGCTCGGGATATATCTCTCAGCTCCGATCATGGGCGCTTTGACGGATAGATATGGACCGAGACGGACTGCGACGCTGTCTGCGTTTTGTCTGTTTTCGGGATATGGATGCATGGGTAAGTTGGGGAAACATGCCGTTCCGACACACACGCTGTTGGGGGAAGAAGCGGCTCACACTGTCCGTTTTTGATGCTAGCATTGGCGTATAGGGCGTCTCTGTCTGCGGCGTTGATGGCGATCTGTTACGCATCTGTGGGACTCGGGTCTGCGGCGGGCTATGTATGTACATACTGCGTCACTAAGCCGCTGTTCTGCCAAATATGCATGGGCTCACCACTCGTATCGGTTCATTCTAGAACGCAGCTTTAACAACAAACGTTCGCAACTTCGACCCACGCATGCACGGCCTAGTCGTCGGAACATCCGTTTCCCTCTTCGGCCTGTCAGCCTTCATCTTCTCCCAACTCAGCAAACTATTCTACTATCCGGTCGCTCAGCATTCAGAGGCCGTGGGATCCAGTAGCGGTCCGACAGCCATCGACACTTTTGGGTTCCTGCTTTTCCTGGCTCTCGCGACTGGCGGGGCAAACCTGGTCGCTTCGATGGGGTTGCAGGACGTGTCGAAAGAGCTTGGGAGGGCTGTAGTCGGGACGATAAGCCCTGGGTCTATGGGGAATAACTCGACAGAATCCAGCGTCCTCATCGGGGAAGAAGACAGGCAAAGCGACTCAGAGCCAGACGACGAAGGAGCAGCCGCAGCCGAGGTGACAACCGCACCCACCTCCCTCTTCCACCGCCCCGACGCCTGGATCCTCTGGCTCGCCTTCCTCAGCCTCAGCGGCACCGGCCTCATGTACATCAACAATATCGGCGCAATCATCCTCGCCCTCTCCCCGCCGCACACCACCACCACCCTCCTCCCCCGCGCCGTCGTAACCAACTCAATCGCATCAACCCAAGCCCACCACGTCTCCCTCATCTCCATCTTTAACTGTCTCGGCCGTATCACCACCGGCGTAGCATCCGACGCCGCATATTCCCGGTACGCTACCCCCCGGCTTGTCTTTTTGCTGGGTGCAGCGGGGGTCATGTTTGTCGCGCAGGTGGTCGTCACATTCCTACCGGAATCCATCACCTTGTCAACATCAACAGCTACGCTTATACCCCCAACACACCTCCTAACCCTCGCAACCACTCTGGTCGGCTTCTCCTACGGCTCCCTCTTTTCCACCGCCCCCGTGATCGTCTCCAAATGGTTCGGGGTAGCCGGGTTTGGAACCCATTGGGGTTGGTTCCAGTGGGGGCCGGCTGTCGGCGGGCAGGTGCTGAATATGGTTTTTGGGGTGGTTATGGATTCGAGGACGCCGAAATCTGCCGATCATGCTGATGGGACACACAATACATCGAAGCAGCACCCGCAGTGTACAGGAACCCACTGTTTCCGCCCGGCATTCATCCTCTCTGCCTCCCTCACGGCGTTTGCGATTGGGTGTTTGGTTGTGTTGTGCGTTAGGAAACCGTGGGCGGCGCAGGGGTATGATGCTGTGCCCGCGAGGAGGGGGAGGAGGGATGGGGGGAATGAGGTGGATGCTGGGGGAGTGGATAGGCGTAGTGGGGGGAGGATTAGGCGTATTGTTGGGGAGGAGGTTCCTGAGGGGTGAGGGCGAGTGAAGAAAGCTGGTGATCATGTCCATATCTTTGTGGATGTCCTTTGAGTTTTGATGAATGTGAATTATTTCTGACCCTTGAGCCCCGAGAAAGAAAACCCACAATATGAGACTGAAAAGACCGTGTATATTGATTACATTGCGGATGGGGTATGCAGAGAGAGGGAGAGGGAGATCTATGTACGAAGAAACCAGGATGATGGACTATGTAATACAGAAGAGATACGGCGGAATGTACTATATGGATGGATGCACTACGCTCGATGAGAGAGGGAGAGAGGAGGGGGTGGAGGAAGACACGCCGCGTTGAGAATGAGACCAAAAAGAGAGAAATAGATGAACAGCTGGCCCTTTCTCCACGCACACGACAAGCGGGTACGACGTGGGGGCGGCGAAAGCGAGGAGACCTCCTAAACGCCACCCCTCTCCCTCGCCTCCATCTTCTTCCTCCTCCTAACCGCCGCCGCCGTATCCTTCCTCCCACTCCCTCTCCCTTCCTCCCCCAAACTGGACACCGGACTCGCAATCGCCGAATCCACCATGAACTTCACATCCTCGTCCCCCTCCACATCAATAATCTCGTCCGGCGCCGGTGTCGGCAGTGTAGGGTGATTTCGGCCAATGCCTTGTGAGAGACAGGTGGTGCAGTACCAGGAACCCTTGGGGGGTGTTGTTAGGCCAACGCAGGCGTAGTGGAACCATTCGATGGCGCACTGATGGATGAGGTTAGTTGGGTCGTTGTGGTGAGAGGAGATCGGGAACGGAAAAGTTACTTACGCCCTGGTTATCACAAGCGACCATATCCCCATGCGAGACCTGCTGGCAGATACAATACACCTCCTCGTCTTCCGACGTTCCCGTCTTCATCCCCAATGTAGCCACCCCGACCGCGACCTCGGGTATGGTTTGTGGGACCTCCAGCGCGACGGACTCGGATTTTTGGCGGATACGGCGCCGGGAGGGCGTGACCCCGATGATGTGGGAGTCAGTTTCGCTCGTTGTGCGTTTGCGTTTCCGCGTGGATGTGGAGTGCGAGTGGCGCGCGGCTTCTTCTTCTTCGAATTGGTGCAGCGCTTTTTCGAGGCGGCTGTAGTGGGATGTGAACTATTACGAAAGAGGGAAAGTATGATCAGTGGTTGGTTCGACGGTTGGATGATTGGATGATTGACATCGCGACAAGGAGGTTGTGTGAGGGGAAGCATTGCGCCTTTGGCGCAATGTGGTGCTCGCTTCGCTCGCAAAAGATCTGACGCTCGCTGAAGCTCGCTAAATGCCGTGTTAGGAGCATTGCGCTTTGGCGCAAAAAACTCGCTTCGCTCCGTATTACAGCGGACTCGCTCCGCTCGCGCTCGCTATCGGTCGCAATTCGCTCTCGCTCCCCTACCTGATCCAACACTCTCTGACTCGCCTCCAACTTCCTATCCGCCTGCTCGACCGCCATCTTATAATCCTGCCGATACCCCACCAAGGCCCCTCTCGCATCCTTATCCGCGCCAATAATCACCGGCGCGCCCTCGGCCGACCCCGCCGTCCGTCGCTGCTTCATAATCGCGGAATAGGACCGTGAGTTATGCCGCATAGACTCGACCATGGAGTGGAATTTCACGTCGAGGTCTCGCAGGACGCTCATGTTGAAGGCGAGCTCTGAGGGGAGGTTTCCTATCGCTGCTGAGAGATCGGGATGTTAGATTGTGTGTCGGTGGTGGGATTATTGGATGGGGAAGTCCCATTTTCATACTCACATTCCAAGTATTCCGAAAGAAACTCATCGGGGCTTCGAGGATTTTCAGCCACGGCCGTCATTTTTCTCGATTATTGACCTTCTATATACAAGCTTTGCTAACGATAGACTCCAGGAGGGCCAGAGGTGGGGGGAAGCGACTTCCAATCGAGTAGATGTGATTTTTTAGTCGCTCGGAATAATCGGGAGGGCAGAAACTGTTAACGGGTGCCGGGATTTGAGCGTCGGCTGAGCGTGGGATATTTTTGGGGAGGTTGGAGAAGGGGGATAAAAACAGTGGCTGGCGTATTATGGGAGGGTAGGTATTAGTATGCTGTGTTTCTGGATTATTAATAATGTCTTTGTGTTTATGTGTCGACGAGAGCGAGCATACAGCAAGCGGGGGTGTCAAGTAGTTTTTTTTCCCAGTGGGAAAACTCGTTCTCTGAAACGGTGGGCGGTTATGGGGAGGGGGAAGGGGAGACGCCCGACTGGCAGGTTGTTTGCACGAGGCGTATTCGGTTGTTACGGACAAATGATGAGAAAAGAGACACGCGCTCCGTCGCCCGTGGTGGCTGTGCCCACTGCCCACTAAACAATCTGCCCGCCTTTTCATGATGCCGTCAATTACTAAGCAGATTGTGCCGTTTCCGACAGTACGGCTTTCGATTTCGACTCGGAGCAACTCAGCAGCGCCAGTCGTCATGCTGTCCGTTTTGGATAGCTGTGATGGCATCGCCGCGTCTGCAGTTTTGTATGGGAAGGAGGGGATCGCATTTTGGAGGCATGTCTGTGTCTTCATAATGCATATTCCAGCCATCGTCAAGTCTTTCTTTGCATTCGTCAGGGTTTGACTGGGGATGCATGCCACCGTTGTATCCATTTGACAGAGCATGCCGGTGAAGAATTGGGGATGGCACAGATTTTTTCCTCTTGTTGCACGTCAATGTCCCCCTGGGTTTGCCAAGATGCCGATGGGCATTCGGGAGGAATTCTACGATTGCCTGTGATGCATTCCACAGTAGTGTGGAGACGACGGGTTTACATGCATTCACATGGTGACTCTGCAGTCCAAGCAAATTGCCCTTCGAGAGGGCAGGCGCATGTCACGCACGGTGCCATATCGTTCCTGCATCCCTTTTGTGTACAGTACGGCATCCAAGAGATGGTCGGGTCATGCGCTAAGACTCATTACCACATGTGCAGGGCGGAGGAAAGCATTCACAAATGCCAATAATCCACAAATCCAACACAAGTGCAGATTATCTCCCAGTCAACCTTCCCAGGTCCGTTTGTCCGTCCTTTCAGGTCTCCAATATACAGTCGGCTGCCAAATATCTGGTTACGACGCCCCAAGGACGCATCATTCCGAACATGGCCACCGGCTCAAGTTCCAGACCCCCATGCAAACCCTCTCAGCACGACCGCTAGCCCATGGCAAGACTGACAATAGCCCATGACTTCTGGGATCCACAGGAAGCTCGGCGAACCCGTCGTAACCAGATATCTGGCAGCCTACTGTAGTTTCATCTTTCCCAACCATCGTTTTCGAGAGCCTGGCGCGCCTGCTCAAGTTGTATATATATGGTCTCGGAAAAGCGGAACCGCCCAAATGAGCGCTCGAAAACGCCCGAAAGATACCTATCATCACGGCGAGCGCTCGGTGCGTTCCGGCTTTTCACTGTCTTTCCAACACGACGTCGTGGCCACCTTTAATCATCGCTGCTAGGACGGCCTGCTAGGAAGGACACCCGCGGTATGAGTCGATCCTCACATTTGTTGTGCGAATGGCGATGTCGGCCTCTCTCGATACCACGCATGGTTGAAGTGCCAACCCTGCATCGCTCTTGCCTCGAAGGCCGTCCTCATCCACTATACCCCACCTCGATCGATGCCCTCATCGTCGGTGTGGTAGCGACGAATGATGTGCTGCATGCCGGACGGATATCATATCTGCCGCACGAAACAAAATGTAGGACTAACAGGCCCCAGCGTCCCCAAAAGAACACTGAAATCGCGTAAACCCTGCCCCGGAAAAACCACCGCCCGACAAACATGATAACCGATCCGCTTTCACATCTCGATCACCACGTTCGTAGAAACGGCAGCCTCCCGATGCAAGACCTGTAAGTTCGAAAACACCTTTGCGGGCTTTGCTGTTGCTCTGTTGTCTGGACCATCCGGCCACGGGGAGAACCACCTCGAGAGGTGGGTCTCGGACGCGGAAGGCAATTTGCAAAGCGTGGTGTGGAGACCTCTGGCTCAGCTGGAAGCTGTATGCGCCCCTCGCTGGAGAAGCTGTTGTTTTCGGACGGGTTCGTAATCGTCCAGGTGTCGAAGCAACTTTTTCCCACGCAATCTAGAGTGACAATCCTATCTCCCAGCCTGCAATCCAACGTCCAGCACTGGCGACGTACAGTAAAGACAGCAGGACATGCTCTATGCTTGTCTCTGGTGTATTTCTCGTGCGTCTGATGTCCAGATCGTCGTGTTGGGCTATTGTGTTGGGACGCATTGGAGTGAGATTTCCGAGACCTGGGAGATCAGATGGGAAAACCGAGGTTGAGTGGCGCAGCAGTCGCAAAGGTCAGCGCACGTCACGTGAATGCGTCCATGTTTATTTCTTCCGACATTTCCCGAAGCCCCACACGACCCCTCCGTTTGAGGGGGGCTTGGACATAAAGTTGTTGACACATGCAAAGGGGTTTGTGGAATCAGGGAATCGATGTCCGAACTACCGGTCTCGATTGTGCGTATTCATCAACCGGGGGTGGTACCTCGAAGATGTCTTCGCAGCGCTATCTCTGTCTCCGATAAGAATCACCGCCCCTCTTTAATCGCATTATCGCTGAGCTTCAAAACAAGAGACATTATTGGCAAAGCATGTGCAGGTGGAACCGTCACCGTACAATCGGCGTCTAAACATTTACGCAGGTTTCTGTTATGTGTGTTACCATTTGTGGGGGAGACGGCCCATCAGAGATCTTTGATCTCCTACTCCCGTTGCTTGTGTCTGTGGGGGTGGCGTGGGGGATCTCGTATGTTTTGCCCTCCATCTCATCAGGGCTGGCCCTTCATATGGCAAGTGCATAATGCAAGTGCTGATTCATGGCGTTTGTGGGCTGCTGCCAAACCCAGAAACGCGCCCAAACCTTCTCCAGAGTCTCGCCCTCCGCTTCGGTCCGTATCCCTGTTTCCTTATCCGGCCCGCAAAGTATATAAGCGCAACGGCCCCATTGCCGGAACCCGTCCTCAGCCCTTACTCCATACACCTGTGCACATTCCTTTTGGTTTGGTAGCGACTTTAGTACGAGGTTCGCAGTTCGCTCCTCTTTTCGAGTCTCGAGCATCGCGTCCCTCTCGGAGTTTCCCACCGTCTCGCAATCACCACCACAAATTCCCATCCTCAACTCGAATAACCCCACCCCACCATGTCCTCTCTCAACCTGACCGACGGCACGGCCGTCACGGTCGCCGGCACGGCGTTCCAAGACCCTTTAACAAACGCTGGGGCGACACCTTTCGTCGAGCACGGATACGCCTCAACGGGGTTCATCATTATCTGCACGGCCCTCGTCTTCTTCATGACACCCGGTCTCGGTCTCTTCTACGCTGGTCTGAGTCGCGTGAAGAACTCGCTTTCGTTGATTATGATTAGTATGCTGGCCATGTCGATCATTACTATCCAGGTAAGCCTCGAGGACCGCGTTCACCCTCCCGAGAAACCCTTTTCTGATCATCACCCTTTCTTCAATTAGTGGGTCCTGTTCGGATTCTCATTATCATTCTCGGAGACGGGAGGACGTTTCTGGGGTAACCTTGCTCACGGAGGCCTCAAGGGTCTCGGTGCGGACGCTCTTCCATTGACCGCGCCAACAATCCCCGGCATCTTGTTTGCTTTGTACCAAATGCAGTTCGCGACCATTACCGCTGCTCTGATTTTCGGATCCGTCGCTGAGCGTATTCGATTGCTGCCAGCTATGCTCTTCGTAAGTTGAACTCTCATGGGCTTATGCTTCACCTTCTAGCCGATCCTCATCTTTGTCCCTCCATTCACTTGCAGATCCTGTTGTGGTCGACATTCGTTTACAACCCCGTCGCATACTGGACATGGTCCGCTCGTGGATGGCTCAAGTCGCTCTCCTGCATTGACACGATCATGGACACCCCATGTGGTGTCGGCGCTCTTGACTTCGCCGGTGGAGGCCCGGTCCACATCGCTTCCGGTTTCGCCGGTCTTGCTTACTGCCTGATGGCCGGCAAGCGCAAGTTGAGCGACCACGAACCATTCAAGGCGCACAACATGACCAACGTCTTCCTCGGAGTCGGACTCCTGTGGTTCGGATGGTACGGATTCAATGCCGGAAGCGCCGTCGGTGCCACCCCTCGTGCGGCCATGGCTGGTCTCGTCACAACCCTCGCTGCCGCCTCTGGCTCCCTTTCGTGGATGGGGTGGGACTTCTTCCGCCACGGCAAGCTCTCCGGTCTCGGCTACTGCTCTGGCGCCGTCGCCGGTCTCGTCGGAATCACTCCCGCATCTGGATTCGTCGCACCATGGGCTGCCATCATCATCGGCGCCGCATCCGGTGTGTGCTGCAACATGGCCTGCCGTCTGAAAGACCACTTCGGTTTCGACGACTCCCTCGACGCATGGGGCGTCCACGGTATCGGAGGCATCGTCGGCGGTGTCCTGACCGGTTTCTTCGCCCAGCAATGGGTCGCTGCGCTTGACGGCGGCGTGATCGCCGGGGGCGCCGTCGACGGCAACTGGAAGCAGATTGGGTACCAGCTCGCTGGATGCGTTACCATCGCGGCATGGTCCTTCTTCCTCTCCCTCCTCATCTTGTTCATCCTGAACAAGATCCCCGGCCTCCACATCCGCCCCGGAGCCGACCACCACGAGCACGGAAACGACATGAGCGAGATGGGCGAGGTCGCGTACGAGATCATGATGGCCAAGGAAAACGCCACCGCACACTCTTCCATGCCTGCGGCCCCCGAGAGGACGTTGTCGAAGGCCAAGCTCGACACGCAGCCAACGGAGGCGACCATCTCTGTTCAATAAATGGACACTTCCCCGCCTCTCTCCTTTCCTCGTCATGAAGTAGCCTTATACCATTTTGTTGCCTTGGCACATACACATCACTTCTAAATAGCCGCGTTCGAGGAGAGGAAAGTCATAAAACATGTAGGGGACAGTTAGAAGGGGAGAGTAAGAGATCTTTAGAAGAGTCTCCCTCTCGAATGTTCTTCCCCCCTTTTTCTTTTTTGAAATTTTGTAGTGTGGAAAGCCTGCGTTTCCTTCTGTGTTTGAAAACATATTTTGCCAGTGTGCATTACCCAAAAGGATTCCTTCGTGCGTTGCGAAATCTGGCTTCCTCTGTTTGTGTCGATGTTAGTCTTGGCGAAAGAGATGGGGGAATCTCGGACGCTCAGGCTGTTGGCCGGGGAGATGGAGGCTTGGAAGGCAAAGATGGGCGCTGAATTTGTAGCTTATTGGCATTTGTGCATCAAATCTCATTCCGTCCTGCGATACAGAAACGATCCAGAACACTGGCCACGAACGTGACAAAGAGCCTGAAAAGAGCCCTTGTCGGAGAAAGCTCGTAATGGCTTCATATCAGATGTACAGTAGCAGCAGGACTTGCTCCGAGTTGAATTCGGGCATGCTCGTATTGGATTCACATGGTTTTTTGAGCGACGGGCACGACGGTGTTATTTGAGGTCATGGGCACGGCTACCGTATGTACGTCCCCGTAGTAGAACTTCAACCAGCCCAATTGCAGCATTGCGCAAGGAAGTTTCCGTTCAAAGAGTACATGAAGTGCATGCCGGTGGGGAAGGGGGCTGCCCTTCAGGAACGAGGGTCGACGCACAGAAGGAGACCTGGTCCTCATCCCGTCGTCACTTCTTTGCCAATCCCACCGGGATAATAAGGTTGCTCGAATTTTACGTACGTACCCGACACTTATTTTCGGACGGGCGCGATGGGGACAGATTTTCGGACATCCAGGAAAGAAATGGGACCATGTCCAACTACACATTCTTAGAGCATTCCCGAGCCTGGTTTACCTGTGCCATCCTGGGAAGATCGTAAGCGACTACATCGGCGATGAACGGTATATGCCATGGGCGAGGGAAGGTCATCAAGAGGTAGGTTCCGAGACAGTTGACGTGACTGTGCCGAGGAACGAAATGTGCGATGACATGGTGCCCTGACTGCGAACCGACGTGGAGGTGCAGTGGCGATGGGCGATAAGGAAGTGGTCGGTGGGGATCGAGACAGAAGAGGTGCTTCGTCGTTGTTGAGAGGTGTTTCATGGGGGACTTCTACAAGTTCCAGTGACACCTGTATACGACGACTGCGCCGAACAGCTTGAGCGATGCCTCTAAATAGGTGCGATGGCGAAGGGTGGGTCTCGAGCAGGCTCTCTGAGGAAAGGCGAGGTGGTCTGCGAGGTGGTCTGCGAGGTGGTCTGCGAGGAGAAACAGTAAGTACTGACTGGAACTAGAAACAGCTCCTATCCGAAGCAACCGAAAGATGGTCCTCGCCGAAGGTTGAAGAATCGATCGAAATACGTAGATAAGAAGAGAGCCCAAAAGTCAACATCGGCGAACAAAGATGCCTCGGCCTCTTATATGCAAGCACAGCAGCAGCAGCAGGAGCCCCATGCATTCTGTTGCGCGGATTTCTGAGTAAGGGCATATTGTATGTGCGACCTTCCTCGCGGTCTTGGGTCCAATCACATCCAACAAGGGCTCTCTCTTTCTTCAATAAGTCGCGCGAACGGCGGTGAGTCACCTCCTTCAAATTGCGATGGTCACGCGTTTCCCTATATGATTGGACGGCTAATAGGAGTTTGCTATGGGGCGATGGGGGGGGCTCTCTCCTAGGCCCGCCTTGGTCGCTCCCCTGCTAGCGCGTATATAAGAGACCCCACTTAGTCGCCCCAGTCTTGCAGTCTTCCCTCCTTCCACGCCCCATAGCAAACTTCATAGCACGCATCCATCCATCTACTATCTACTAGTAGCAACTTACTACTACCACCCTTACCCGTACCTTACTACCAACTACCTATCCCAACTATGCCCAAGGCAAAGACTGACAAGACCGCGACTCCCAAGAAGCCCGGTAAGTACCAGAGCTTCCGCAAGATGCTCGCCATCGTGCACATTCCCGCACAGCAATCCCCTATCTCAGTTCACTGGTCACCACTTGCTCATCGTCTCCTCCTTACCTATGCAGCTGGCAAGCGCGGTGCCTCGCCTTACAACTTGTTCATGAAGGTACGTTGACGCGTCTAACTACTTCGTCGTCGACTGCCTGCTCTCAAACACACATGCTCACATTTCCTCATCTTCCCCACCCGACTCTCAGACTGAGCTCGCCAAGGTGAAGCAAGAGAACCCCAACATCGCCCACAAGGAAGCCTTCAAGCTCGCGGCATGTAAGTATCATTGTCCCTCCTCGGCACCGCGACTCCTCTATCCCTCGAACACGATGCTCATTGTTTCCCTTTGTCTTCGTCACTCTCAGCCAACTGGAAGAACTCGCCCGCAAACCCCAACCGCGTCAAGTAAACTCACCCTACACCAATCCTTCACCGTCCGGCGCTACTCAATCATACCTTCACCCTCGCAATCATCACCGCCTTTTCGTAGCGTCCCGTCGTTCTCTTTCCGTTTTTGATCCCGTCGATAGCTGCAGGGGGCTGGTTTTTTTCTCTCTCGTTCTCGCTCTCTCACCTCCCCCCTGCTTTGGCGCGTGGCTTTCGCCGCGAATGAAAAGATCAATGGCTCTGTACATACATGTCTTCTGCGCGGAATACATCATTTTCAGAAAAATCATAACCTGTCGTGGCCTCATTTCTTATTGTGTGTCGTTGATCGCCGTCCTCTTGCAATACTGCCCGAACCATGCATCTGTTAGCGGTTGAGTTTGAGACGGTTACTTGCTTTGCATCGCCGCCTGAGAGAAACAGGTGCGAGCCAGCCATATGTCGTAAATTCCACCCTTCAGCGGACTCGGCGTGAGCGGACGACGTACCTGGACATTGTTGATCGAAGCTGCTTGGCATCGTTGCGTTCATCGCAAGTCAGTGAGAGGAAATGAGTGGTCTTGCAGTGCTCTGATAATATGCGAAGGAGCTGTTACCACACCCGAAACATCTGATGTAGTCTCCGTCAAAATTTGCAATTTGACCTGCATCATCGGAGTCTTGATAGCTGAAAATATAGCGTCAATCCACAAATCAGCTCTCGATTACTTATGGCTTTGTATCATGCATGATATTGGATATGTGAAAACGATTGTGTACTACAATATACCAATGTATATGCTGTCTCACTGATAACTGTGTGCCCCTCGCCCACAAAACGCATATCCCTTGCAAGCGATGCCATACAGCGACTCAAAACAATAATCTCCGCTACCCTCGTCGTATTTGCTCATCTCTCTGATCACCGTCAAGTGCCTGCGGCCAGTTACTGATCCAATGCTGTAAGAAAAGAAAAAATGTCAGGGACTCCGCCGGCGTTTCATCCGGAAACGACGGCGGTACAACCGCAAGTATCCTTCATCCAGAAAATGGAACACTGCCATATGCCTGGTCGTTCCTTCAGAAGATCCATAGTTTCCAATGTCCGTATGCATGAAGATCGAATCTCATCCAAAGGTTCCCTCGTATATTCATTCGGTCATCGTCGTTTGGTTGGGCTAAGGGGCCCCTACTTCACGGCTCAATTGGTGAAAGTGACCCAAATTGCATCCGATAGTTACCCCTTACTAAGAGGTCCCATCGTACGCCGACCTGAGTTGATGCCCACGGTATCGATGATGCTCATATGGACCTTCCTAACATCCGTTAATCTGAACGGCAGCAATAGCTGCACCCTCGTCTGAGTCCGCGGGGCAACTACGGGGCTCGATAGCTCATCGGAGTGGAAAGCACTTACAGATGCGTCTGGACGTGTCGGTCCCTGATGAGGTTGGTGTGATATTCTCGGAGTGAAGGCGCTTGGGTTGTGATGATTGATCTGCGTCAGGCTTCAAGTCCGACGTTCGAAGCCCCCATCGACGATCTAATTTTTTGCTAGGGTATCCGTGGCCGTGTTACGCCATCGACGGCGGTATGGAATAGGATCTGCACGGCGTTGTTGCGTCACAATGCTCGAGAAACGCAGACAACTCGTCATCCGTGTCACGGAGCGATGACGAGACCCGCTTCATTGGGATCATTGGCGGCAACTCATGGCTTCGACTGGGTAGCTGGGCTATCGTGCGCCCGGCTCAACGAGCCCGCCTTCACGCTCGCCCTTCGCTTGTCCATGTCTCCATTCATAACCCGACCCCCCTCACCTTGATCCGTGCATCGGTTGTCGAACTCGAAGTCACCGTGCCGGTGATGGGAATAAGGATGGCAGCACCTTCCATATGCCTCTTCATAACCATGTCCAAATCCCGCCCAGCTCAAGCATCAGTTTGTGCCTCATACCGTTGCGTTTCCGTATGCGTCGGATGATTCCGGGGCAACTTGATGCCAGACTCTTCTGTAATTTCTGCACTGTGTGGCCATCAGGGCACCTAGGAAGCCGGAAGTTGCCCAGATAAAAGTGGTCCGGCGCGAAAGCGAAAGGAGGTGCGTCGGCAGCCATGTCGTTGCAAGGGCGGGATGGACTGTCTCCGTTCGGTTCAGAAGGCAACGGAAGGTGGAGGACTGGTTTGTTGTGAAGGTTAGGAGTTTGCGAAGTGCTGGCCCATATTGGGGATATTTTTCGTCAATGGTAGCACAGTTGGCATCCAGTGCCTTCGTTCCGGGTTTGGCCGTCTGCCCCGTCGGGGCGATCGCAGGAGAGTAGTCGAGGGTGGAGGTCCTCGTTCTTCGTATCATTCCTCAGCGTGCATACATGCTTGGGCGTATACGCCTAGATATTTACCGCCGCACCCGGACCATGTGGGCCCTGATTATCGGAAGGCCTTTACGGTTGGCGCTTGAAGCACAGCCAAGCATAAGAGCGATAGTTGCGCTCAAAGCGCCTTCGGTATCCCAGGACTTCCTCCAGCCCACTCGCAGGACCATCGGGATGTCCGATCCAATCAAAACGAGTGCCCTCCGACAGGGGTATCCGGGTACTGTTTGGCCGTTTGTATATCTCATTCGCAACCTTCATCTTCAAAACCCACTTCAGTCGTTTCTTCTTTCGCCACTGCCAACTTTCACTGATGCGACGCGAAGGCCAGCGATATTCGGTTTTGTTACGTTTTCGTTCCACTTGGTCCAAGGCAGCAGCCTCACAGCCTCAATCCCCCGGCCAAGAAGTCCGTCTAGCTCCTCGATGCTTCATGACTGGCATCCGATATTCGTCACCTGGTACATCCTGCGCATTCAGTAGATGCGTTTCAGGGCAGGGCGGTCGAGCCGTGAAATTCTCCCACTGGACCATAAAACGAAGGGACGGGTGCCGGATGCGGAACTTGCGCGCCTCCTTTCGTGTTTGTGACACGATTGGAACACGAGCCGCCATTCTTGGATGTGAGGCCTTCGCAGCATCGGCGACCCAGCGCCACTAATCGGAAACGGACTCCATCGTCCGGCCTGGCAGTTCCGAATACCGCGTGTTGGAAAGAGAGTCCTTCGATGATATCTTCGTCGCTCGGACCAAGTGCCCTCGGATTCGAAATCGTCCGCCTTACATTGGGTCATTTTCGGCCTTCAGATAAGACGTCAACAAGTTTCACCGCCCGATATTGACAACCAAAATTTCAATTCAGCAGAGCACACGCATGGTCAAGTGATCGAGGACGTGGGAGGCTGCCGGACTTCCTTGCGACACTCTCCCACGTCCTCCATCACTGACGCCGAAGTGTGCAGAAAATGGCGACGTATGTCGCCCCAAAGGAAGCCAGATCCCCAGCAGCCAACAACCGTGTCGGTAACACGTAATGCCAGGTCCATTTCGCGCAGCGTAACCGCGTTTGATTCGCAACCTTCGCCTTCCCAACGGTGGCGACGATCAAAGATTCGATGCGAGTTCGGCCCCTTCCGGGACAAATGGGCCAAAATAAACGGTTGTTCGTACAGGAGACGACCTTCGCCCTTCGCAACATTTTGGTCTTTACTTCGCTGCCACGCCCGTGGGACCTCTCCCGCACCGTGGGACATCCATGTGAAGGGCACAAAGGATCCGCCAGGTATGCAAAGTGCGCAATCCAATTGCGATAGGAAACACTTGCTCCTAGGAACCGCCAGACTTCGCTCCATCTGGCGCAAGGAAGGCCGTATATACCAGCCGGTGGAGCAGATTGTCGACCGTGTTGGCCGACGGCAATGCCATCGCCTTTTTCCCGTTTCACGCTGTACTCCTTCGTCTCTCCTGAGCGCCAAACGGTCCCGTGCGCGAAGCGGTGACAGCATTCTCGGAAAATGGGGTGGGGAAATTGGGGTGGAGAACGTGCTCAGGTGTTCGGTCTCCAGCGTGCTTCGACTTTTCAAAGGGTTATCACCCTGTTCGAACGCCCGGCAGCTAGTAAGGTAGAGATTCGGTAGTAAGATGTAGTTATGAATGGATGCGTGTGTAATCTGGCTAATCACAAAACAGGAAGGGTATGCTTGATCACAGCGACGACCTCTCCAACGATGGCTGAATGAGGTTTGTCGATTGCATTAACAATTTCTTCCCACTCCTTGGCGTCCCGCTCCTCCAAGTTCGTGAGAAGCGTGTCCAAAAAGACTCTCGCCTCCTCAGGAAACACTTCCGCAAATCGATCAATTTCGCCGTATCGTGCGGCAAGGTCACTAGGAAGTGATATAAACTGGGCGGATCCTATCCGGAGGTCGATCAAGGTCATTCCGTTGGATGAATCTGCGCTCACACTGTCCGGTGCCAGCTACAGTCCGGTTCCTTTCGCTGGCTTTGACTTCGCGACCTTCGCCTTCTCAACGGTGGCGAAGATCAAGATTCGACGTCGGTGCTACGGCCGATCCCGTTCTCCCAAGCATCCCCAGCCATAACCCCCACCTACGGCCAGGTATTCGGCTTGGTCAACTGTATCATCAGCAACGCTTCCAAACTTTCTTCTGAAAGGTCGGCGTCGACCAGACGACCTTACCGGCCGCAGGCGCCGGAGCAGATGTAGCGTTATGGAGGCCCGTAGCGGAGAGGGACTGCGCCGAGGAGTTGAGAGCGGTGCCGCTCTCAAAGAGAGTTGAGGCCGAAGCCAGGAGTGCGTCCATCATGGTGATGCGGCCGAAGATGGGGGTTGGTGGTTGGCGGTTGGTGGTGGCTTCCCACATGGCATCCCACGAGACTTCCGGAGGTCGCTCCCGGACGACCTCAAGGTGGTCAATTCGGTCCTTGGGCGAGTCAAGTCTGTAGCATCTTCGCACCCTTCGTGATAGACGGCATGATGACCCTCAGAGCCTGTGGCGCTGGATCTCGATATCCAAATCGTCATCAGTTTCGGACATTCCCGTAGATGCTTTCCTTTTAGAATCCCGGCCGGTGTCAAATTCGCATTCTTCGAAGAGATGTTCCTCGACCTCTACTTCTTCGCGCTCGCGTTCGGAGGGAGTGACGGAGAGAGTCCAAAAGATCTGGTCGCTCTCGTTTTCGCTGCTTCCCTGCCGCTCGCTGATATATTCCACCCAGATTCTTCGCGTGCAGTTTCATCTCGTCCGCGTCCGCATCCCCACATCGCGCGCCGTGGACATGGTGGGATTTGCCATAAAGAGCGTCGAGACTTTTGCGGACGCACATGTCGCTCAGAAAACCGTGCTTCCATTCCACGTCGAACGAAGCGCTCAATGGTTGAAACCCATGCCTCTGTTGGCTGGAACGTTCATCTTGCCACCGTCTTGCACCCACCAACTTGGTTTCTCAACTCGAGGAGTGGCGCAGTTAATCCAACGCTCCGACTGCGCCACACCTGTTTTCCTATAAAGCCCTCCCTTCCTGCACACCCCGTCCGATTTCCCTCAGTTGATACCCCACCGTCAAAACTGTCCACTGACCAAGAGCAGCATGCCCCACTTCCTTCCCTTGAAAAAGGGCGAGTCTAGTGGGCCGCTATTCTCGGACACTGAGCTGGACCGAATCTCGGGAGGGAATACCGAACTTGAACCCCGGAACTGACGTTATTGCAAAATAGCTGAGGGAAGGGGGAATGAGGGGATCTTTTAAAGAATCGACGGTGCACTTAAGTCATCTATCGGTCCCGTGAGGTCTCTACATCTTGCGAAACGTTCGGGAATGTGCTTGTCGCCACGTGTATGGGCAGGCAAACGAGCTCGAGACTGCTTTAGAAAGCAGTCATTCCGATCGGGGGAAACTGGGGGGAAACCTCGAACGAACTCTTCAAAGTTCTGTCAGGCCTTCTGCCGAAGTCGCAAAGAAGGGAAGTTGCGGAGGAAGCCTTGTGAGGTCAGAAAACCCCATTGCTTGCTTCTACCAGACGGACAAAATGCTGGTCGATTGCCACGCCCACATCTACCCCCCAGAGTTCACAGACATCCCCACCATCCTCGCCAACGCAAAGTCATTCTCCATATCCGCAATAATCAACGTCCCCGAATCCCTCCCCACCGCCCACACAGTCCTCTCCCTCTCCCACCTCCACCCCCTCCTACACCCCTCTCTCGGCCTGCACCCCGTTCAACCCGCCACCGCCTCCACTCCCGCTCACTCCATCACCCTCGCCGACCTACCCCCCATCCTCAGCCTCATCCAATCCCACTCTTCTGAGTTGACGTCAATCGGAGAATGCGGCCTCGATTTCTCCCCGCATGTCTTGGCCCTCACACCCCACATCCCACCCTCCGACCTCAAACTAATCCAACAACGCGTCTTTGCAGCGCATATAACTGCATCCGTCGACTTGAACATCCCGCTGAACGTGCATTCGAGACAGGCGGGGCATTACGCGGTTGATATGGTGGTTGCATCGGGGGCGAGGGCGCTGTTCCATGCGTTTGATGGGAAGGCGGGGTATGCGATGCGGGCTGTGCGCGCGGGCAATTTGGTGAGTGTCGCGCCGAGTGTGGTGAGGAGTGAGGGGTTGAGTAAGCTGGTTAAGGTGAGCGACGAGTTGTGAGATACCCGTTCAGGTGCTGAAGGTGATGGGGCCACTGAGGGGATGGCCGTTTGAATCTGTGAACAGGCCGTCCCGATCGAAAGCTTGGTCCTGGAATCCGATTCACCGGCGTTGGCTGCTGTCCAGGGAGAGATGAACCAGCCGAGTGAGATTCGCGTCGCTTGTGAGGCTGTGGTATGTACCGTCCGTCCGCCCCCTCCCCTGTTTCTCTACATCGACCCCAAGTTCATCCATCCGCGGTGTACGATGCCTGATCTGAATGTTCTGGGATGTTTTTTCCTAGGCTCAGATCAAAGGCATGCGGTTTGAGGATGTGGAACGGATAACGACCGAGAATGCTTTGCGGTTTTTTCCGAACCTTAAGCTCGTGGAATGAATTACGGCTGTCATCGGTGCTTCTCATGTCCGAGTTCACCTCTCCTTCTGTCGTGTACCAGCAACCCACAGAACTGCACTCAATTTTTGGCAACAGCTCATATTGATCCAGTGAATGACGATGGGGCGCGGCGAGCGAAATGACGGAGGAAAAACACGAAAACAGAACGTACTGTACGCCGATGATGCGAAATGAATAAACGCCGATAGTATATCACGTTCCCTTCCTACACTACCAATCTAGCCTATTGTGTAAGATACTTGAAGAAGAAGGGCACCGGGATGGAGGGATGCTTTGTTTACGTGTAAAATGCGAGGGGCCGATTGTTGGGCGTCAGGATCCCTGAGCGTTCTAGGCGATGAAAGGAAACATCGCCTTCCGTCCCTTGGGATAACTGGGTCCGAAATCTTTACGGTAGCGGATATGTTTCTTGACCGCCCATTGGTACCTAAAAAAAATTCCCATCCCCTCAATAAAAATGGGGCAAACAATCATGTGATGACTCGGCCCCAAACTTACATCTGAGCAGCCCCGATGATAGCGAAAAAGTAAGCCGACACAGCGCCCGTGAGCACGGCGATGGCGGTCCAGCCGGCGACTTCGAAGAAGTAGTTGGGACAGGACACTTGGGTGAAGCCGTAGCCGAAGGGAATCTGGTCCGGTAAGAGAGGGGGGAGGGGTGTGAACGGGAGGGTGGTGGGAGGGAGGGGCTGGTGATGAAGATTGAAGTAATTACCTGGCGGATCTTGGAACCGGGTGGTCGGAGGTTTCGCAAGGTGACGTGGGTGATGTAGTTGGAGACTTCCGCCCACTACAAAACACCCAATTCTATCATCAGTACACCCTCACGGGAAACAAAATCTCAGACAGTCCCAAGTACTCACCACCCAGATCCCCACAACCGCCGCAACAGCCCAATCACTATTCACGCCAAACAAATACCCGCCCTCGTACCCCGGGCGATAGATGGGGTACGCGAGTGCAAGCCCGCCAAGGACCCAGTAGTGGAACGAGTTTTTGGGCAGGTTACGGATGGGCATGGTGTCGTTGGAGAAGCGGTGGACGAAGAGGGTTTCGTATTCGCGTTTGAGGAAGTGGAGGACGCATAGGATGAGGGTTATGCTGTGGGTGAGAGAAGGGTGTTAGGCATGTGGGTTTTGGGAGGACAACGGGATAAAGTGAAGGTTGGGGTACGAACGTTTGGATGCGCGTGTGCGGCGCCGCGGGCGTATGCGGGTAGAACACGGAGGGGAAGAAGTAGAACAGGGGGTGGATGAAGATGGGGCCGAAGTATTCGATGAGGAAGACAGTCGTCCAGCCGACTTGAGGGCCTGTACTCGTCCCGACAGATTATCGTCAGCTGCGATGATTCCCTCACTGACCTACAAACAAATAGGATTGACTTGCCCAAATCTTTGAAGACAATGGTAGCTGCGAAAGTGGGTCCGGGTCAGACTAACGTTTACGATTTCGGCAGCGAATTCATAGCGGGGAACACACCTCCAGGCTTGACATCATATTCCGACAATTTCTTTCCGGCTTCCAACGGCTTGTTGTCTGAGAGAATCATCCCAACTCGTGTCAGTCGGCCCTCTCTCATCTCTTCATCCGCCCGCTGCTATCCCTTCCCGCATCCAATAATTTGTGTCAACGCACCAATCGTCAGCCTTTGCCGCGTAGGGTACCATTTCGGGACTAACAAGGAGAGGAAATGGATATTAACAAAAAGGAACATCGGCATCCCTATCTTTTCGCACGCACAAGCCTTATGAACCGCCTTCCGCAGGTCGTCGACGGTAGCGTCCTGGACGTTAACGTTGAGGTCGAGATCTTCTTTGAGGACGCGGCCGGAGCGCGCTTTAAGGGTGACGGTGCTCATTGTTCGGAGAGAGTCGAACCTGGCGGCCGGAGAGAACCTATCCCTCTGTGTGTAGTGCGAGAGGCGGGGTTGTGAGTCCTTCCGGGGGGGTGTCTGCAGGCCGCCTCCTTATATACTCTTTTGAGAGTGACAGTTGAAGGGCGACGCGGCAACTCGGGTGAAAGGTGGGTGAAAGGCCGCTTTCGCAACGCTTCGCGGTGGAGGAGAAAACTCGTTACCTTAAGGGTGATCTTCACTCCTTGACAGCGTTTAGCCTCCGCACTGCGAACCTCAACGCTTTGCCAAATTGCCACGCCTTCCGCCCGGAGACCGTCCCCCCCGCCGTCAGTTCCAGAGTGGTGTCGGCAGGAAAAAAAAGGAGCGTCGTCGCATTTCCATATATCTGAGGCTACGTTGGCAACGACCACTTCACAACCATGCCTCCCAAGGGGAAACCCACCAAGAATGAAGTCAAGGCAAAGACAAAGTCTGCCGACGACAAGGTAGGGGCGAAAAGACGGCTGATTTTTCGTCATGACATCCGTTGTGAGGATCTAATGCCCCAACTTGCTTTACAAATGTAGACGTTCGGTCTAAAGAACAAGAACAAATCGACAAAAGTTGGGAAATATGTCCAGCAGGTCAAAGAGCAGGCGGCTACCATCGGGAATCCCAAGCTGAAGGTATTGTTTTTGCGTGAGGGCAAGTAGTTAAGGGCGACTGCATGACTTACGAATGGGGTTCTACAGAAAGAGGAAGAGGACCGAAAGGCCCAAATAGCAAACAAGAAAGCGGCGGAAGCGGCCAAGAAGGCAGAGTTGGCGGAGCTGTTCAAGGTCGTGCAGGTTCAGCAGAAGGTGCCTTTTGGTAAGTACCCTTTGGACGAGTGGCCCTGAATGGTGTCGTGGGGAGGGAAAACCTAACGTGAGAGTGTCCCTTCTTGCCAGGCGTCGACCCGAAAACGATTCTGTGTGCGTTCTTCAAGAATGGGACTTGTCAGAAGGGGTCAAAGTGCAAGTTCTCGCACGACATGAACATTGAGCGGAAGGCGACGAAAGCTGATCTGTACACCGATGCTCGAGACGAAGGTACGGTAGTGGGAGAGAGAGAGAGGAAGGGGTCGAACCTGCGAGTCCCCCCCAGCGCCTAACACCTGCGACCCCCCAGAAAAAGACCAAACCATGGAAACATGGGACCAAGCCAAGCTCGAAGACGCGGTCAACAAAAAGGGCGCGATCGACAACCGGAACAAGCCGACGGACATTGTGTGCAAGTACTTCCTGGAAGCGATCGACTCGCGGAAGTACGGCTGGTTCTGGGAATGTCCGAATGGCGGGAAGGATTGCAAGTACAGGCATGCGCTGCCGCCCGGTTTCGTGCTGAAGAAGAAGGAGACCACCGAGGAGCGGTTGGCCAGGGAGGAGATGGAGAAGGAGAACCAGATCAGTATCGAGGATTTCTTAGAAACAGAGGTATGTCATATAGACATCATGGCCCCCTCGAGTGTCAGTCCGGGTCGCTCACACTCCTCTCGCACCGCCCCCTTCAGCGCCATAAACTCGGCTCCAACACCACGCCCGTAACAGCCACCTCCTTCGCGGCGTGGAAAGCAGACCGCAAACAACGCGAAGCCGCGGAACAAGAATCCGAGTCCAAGCGCAAAAAGGAGGCGTACGACAAGTACAAGGCCGGCATGAAGACCGGGATGGCCTTCTCCGGAAAAGAGCTGTTCGACTTCAACCCCGACTGGGCCGTCGGCGACGAGGACGAGGATGCCATGGACGAGTATATCCGCGGGGAGAGCGATCATGAGGAGGAGAACGCGGCCGCTGCGAGCCCGAGCGCGGACGCGGACGCCGCCGTCGGGGTCGATGAGAACCTGTTTGAGGAGGAGATGGAGGGGCTGGAGGATGATGACGAGTAAGGAAATCATCGCCGTTCCGCGCGCGTGGGGCGGTTTCCCCGGGGGGTTGGTTGGGGGGTTGGGGGGGTTGGGATGCGTTTTCCAACGTGCGGACTTTTCCGTCCGGTGAAGTGATGGCAGCCGGAACGGGGAATGCGGAACGACTGTCCCACCCCTCCCCCCCGCCCCACTTGGGTCGGCCACGAAAAGAGGGACTCCGCTCTATGTATGTACTGTACTGTACACCCCAGCCTCTCCAAACCCCCTGTAGGTTGCGTCCCGAGGAATCGAATCCCCCCCCACCCCTCATGTATTTAGCACCCATCATTCATTATCATATCACTAGGTCTCACTAGCTCCCCTCTTGGATTGATTCTCTCTCTCTCCTTCTTCGGTCCGCGCGATGAACGAGGCTCGTATATTTCTTTTTGCTCAGACAAGAGAGGTTATGCATGGAAGGATAGTACACGAGGCGGGCAAAAAAGAAAAACCAGGAATATACTGAGGGGTGGGGGGCGGAGATGTCTCCACAAACGAAACGAGGCTTAACAAAAGTCGTTTGAACGAAACACGGAAACAAACGACAAAGAAAAGGAAGCGTGTGGGATGGATGGGGGGTCTCGGTTTTCTCAACCCCCCGCCCAAAAAAAAACGGGCCCCCCAACCAGTCTCGGCGGGGGTGTCATGATGGCGATTTACTGTCCCCTCCCTACAGAGCAACGACCCTGGCCTTGACGACCTTGTCGGCCATCGCGACGGCTTCGTCCCTCACCCACGCGGCATCACCTCCACTCTCGACCGCCTCGCTCAGATGCTCCTTCAGCACGTCAAACAGGTCCCTGTTCAGCTCCTCCATCGTCACCACCTTCGTCTCACCGTCCCCGGTGTCGTCCTTTCCGAACGCGAGCCCCACGGCGCTGTCTCGCCGTCTCAGGCGCCGGCCGCGGAGATGAGTCACCCGCTCCGCGAGGACGCTGCGCGCGTGGTAGATCTTCAGGGCGGCGGGGAGGTGCTGTTTGAGGTCCGAGGCGCGGGTGGAGTGGGAGGGGTGGTCGGAGAGGAATTCGTAGGATTTGGGGGATTTGAAGAGGAGGTGGGATTTATTGGTGGGGGGTGGGGTTGTAGGCGTTGTGGTGGTGGGGGAGGTGGAGGTGTCGATGCGGGAGAGGTGGGCCCAGAAGTCGATGGCGGCGCGGGGGTTGTAGCCTGTGCAGGGGGGGAGGGGAAGTGAGCATGTCGGGTTTTGGCGGTGGATGATAGTATAAGTGATATGGGGAGGGAATTTACCAGCAACACTCATGAGATACAATCCAATGACGTCGGCTTCCTTTTCGCACATGCGGGAATAGGGGAGCGACGTCAACACCTCCTTTGTGGCATCCAGGCCCCGTCCGGCGATGTCGCTAAAGATCGGTAGGTTGAGAGTCAGGGTATATAAGAGTGAATGGAAAAAGTCCCAGGCCAAATGGGCGAGGTGTTGGATTCTGAGGGAATTGGATGTGGGCATGTCGATGAGCATGGCAATGGAATCAAGAAAGGGGGAAATGAGAGAGAAACAAACGCACCCTAATTTCTCAGCTCCATGTCGACTCAAAACATGGGCAAACTCATGCGCAATCACAGCTGCGACCGCATCCTTATCTTCCGCGGCCCTCAGCAGCCCCGTGTACACAAAGATCTGTCCGGTCGGCACGACAAAGGCGTTCACGACATCGTCGCTTTGCAGGACGTGTAATTCCCAGTTGCGGCCCGGACCAGCTACGGCGGCGAGGTCGGAGACGATTTCGTGGACGAGGATGTAGTCCGGGTGGTTAGTGGGTAAGAGCAGGTGTCGGTTTTTAGTGACCATAGAGTCGCTGTGGGCGGCGGCGAGCTCGAGCTCTGTGGGCTCGTCGATAAACATGAGGCGCGATCGTTCAGTGAAAGGGTGCTGCTCATAAGCGGATCCAATCAGAGCGGCGGCGATGACTAGAGGAATCGAGGCTAGAGTCCACATTGTTCTTGGGTGTGATTTAAACCAATTCCACCTCCACAAAATGGGCAATACGGTGAGAACACCCCTAGTACTATGAAAGAACCAAGCCAATCCCGGTCCGGCGAGAAACGGCGCGGCAGCCTTCCTAGCGGCATGAAAGCGTCTCTTTTGCACCACACCAACTTGTGTTGTCGATTTTCGGTTATTGAGTTGAGTACCCACATTGACAGTAGTAGTGGTAGTAGTAGTAGTAGTAGTAGAAAACGGACAGGTATGTTTCGCAGTCAACTTGAGGTGTAAGGAAGCCGTCGCCGTTCGCAAACCGAGAGCAGCGGGAGGGGTGGGAACATGGGGACAATCTGCCAGAGGCGTCGGGCGGCGGTGGTGGTCGGATAAAGTAGCTGTGCTAAATAGACGTGACCTGAGACAGGCGACCCTCTGGGAAGTCGGTGTGGCGATGGTGCGGATCGGGGCCATAAGTCGCTTGTAGGCCGGGTCTTTGCACTTGAATTCCACCTGTGTTGCGCTGCAGGCGATCAAGCGGAATAGGATTTTGTCCTTGCACCCGTGCCTGTGAGGCAGCAGGGAGAACTGGAGCAGTGGGCGGGCCATGCTGAGGGTGGGGACGTTGGACAATGGGGGGTGTCGAGTGCGGTCCAGTAGCTAAGCTATTCACTCCTTCGTTCAGCAGGCCGCTTGAGCCTTGAGGAGTGACGTGGGGGGTCCCCCTTGTTACCGTTGTTTTTCGAGCGGCGAGCTGTGAGCAGCGGGAGGAGGTGGGTGGGTGGGTGGTTCGTTTTGGAGGAGGACGCTTGTTGTGGCGGCGTTGTGGGTGGGGGGTTGTTACAGTGATAAGGGGGACGTCGTTGTTGTTGCCTGGTTGTTGCCCGTTCGTTCCATTGATGAATCCCCCAAGTGAGGTGAGAGAGAGAGAGAGAGAGGCGGCGGCCGGGTGGCGCAGTCCATCCATTCCCCTCCCACAGTCAGCCAGCGTGTTCTCATGTCGTCTCGCTCCCCTTCTCTTTCCGTCTCTCCAACTCATTCTGGTGAGCTTACGTACAGCAGAGTAGTACATGCGGTCGTGAAACCCCTCCGGCCGCCCGCCCTCCTCCTGTGTCAGGATGGCCTTCCTTCGGATCTAAAGGCAACCAACCTTAGGAAAAGGGAGAACTGGAAAGGACTTATACCTTCTCAGCAGCAGTACCCACTCCCTCTTGGAGTATCCCCCCACAGCATATCTATTCTCACCACTCTCACCTCAATGGCTCACCCAGCAACACAACAGCAACAACCGCTTCGCAACCCAATCGCTCGCACCCTCGCCGCCGCTTCAACCGCTTTCCGCAACGGAACCGCCTCCCTCTCTCGATTCCCAAAACTAACTCTCGATACTTCAGCCGCAGAAGCTGAGAGAGACAAAGCCATCCGCAAATGGGACAGGGATATCAGCTCCGCAGGGAACTGTAGGAGGGCTATCGACTGGAATGACTTGCCAACGATCCACCACCCACAGGCAGACTCGAGAAGGGCATCAATGAACCGCAAAGAGGTCGCAGTCGCAGTCGCACCCGCGGCCGAGCCCGAGCCCGAGCGTAGCCTTAACTTACCCTTCGGCGAGTCGGAGGCGGAGGTGGTGGTGGAAAGTCCATTGGTATCACGCACTCCATCATCATCATCATCTTTGATAACAAAACTCCCCACCGAGCTAATCTGCGCAATCGCAATGAAATCCGGCTTCTTCACAGCCATCAACCTAATGCACACCTGCCGCACGCTGCGGACCATCCTCTCCGCCCCAGAAGCATGGGCGACCTACTACAACCCCGACATGTCGGATGAAATCATCGAAAACACACTCAGCGTCACGACCAAATTGACGCAGTTTGATCATCTGGTGTTTGGGACGTGGAGCGGGTTGCCTGGAACTCGGGGGGACGAGGGCCAGAGACGGGAGGGCGAGGACTTGTTCTTTGAACATAGAGCGTTCGACACCGATTTTGATTTCCTGGGCGGGATAAGCGCAAAGATGTCCAGGGGTGGGATGCTCAAGATGTACGTACCACCACCCTCACATTCCCCCCCCCCCCCCCCTTCACACTCTTATATCTCACCCACTCCCCTCCCCTCCCACCAACAGCCAATTCTTCGAACACCGCACAACCCTCCCCTGCTACCTAACCGACATCCAAACAAAACTCAACTCTGGCGAACTCGCCCCAACCCACCTGCCCACCACCCCCGGCATCCCCGACGAATTCTCCTCCACGCCTCCCTCCGCCGCGCCCCTCTTCCCCGCCGCTACCCTGGCCCCACCCACCGGCCTCCGCATCCCACACACCTGCCCCACCTGCACCTATTTCGACACGCAAACCATCCACAAATCAACCTCCCTCCTCGACCACAACATGTTCGCCGCCCCGACCCTCCTCGACGACGCCATCACCTGGGTGTACACGCACCTGGACAACAGACGCCGTGTCAAAGTGAAAGTCCACGCGTACCAGGGCCCGTTGGGGTACGTGAGCTGGAGGGACTTGCCGATGGTGCATTGTAATGAGGTGAGGGTCGCCGGGAGGGCGTTGCGCGGGTGGGCGTGGGAGTTTTGGAGGGACGTGGTGGAGCGGGTGTAGATGGCCGGCGGCGTATGTACATACAGTAGTCATGCTTACCTATTATGTGTTTCGAGACCGTTAGTTACTGTATATATATACCTGATTCACGCCCCTGTACAAATAATCTGGCATGCCCCGTCACATCGCATCGGATCTTTTGATAAGCAATCAGCACGAACAACAAAAGCGAAGACATGCACTTTCTAGTCTGCGAAAAGCGCCCCATAACGCACAACAAAAAAAGCGATTGTTATCCACAACGTTTGTTTTCTTTTTTCGAGGGGGACGCACGGATGTTGGGAGGGGGTGTTTGGTTGGGGGGGGTTCTACCTTCTACAGCCTACCACTAACCAGCCTACGACTATCAGGCCCCAACCAACTGGGGGGGGGGGGGGGGGGGGGGGGGGGGGCTGTTGTATTGTGAACCGCCGACAGGTTCAGCGACACATGGCCTCGTAATCGTCCGCGCGGCCCAAGTCGGTGTCCGCTTTGGGCAGCTGGGCCCATAGGAGGGCGCGGGTGCCTTAAAAAACATCTCATTAGACATTTAAGGGGCGGACAAGAGGGGCATGGGTCTTACCGCCGGTATCCAACCGATCCGCGTACGAGACCTCACTAAAAACGGGTGGAGATGTTCTTCAGCGGCATGCGAATTGAAACGGGGGCGAGAACGCTCCAAATAGGATGGGGGATGAGTCCCTGGGGTGTAACTCACGAGATGTGAAACATCCAGAAATGGCCGTTGTTGCAGGCTTCCATGCAGGGTTCGCATGCTGTTTGTGGGTCAGTCGTTCCCCAAAAAAAAAAAAGGGAAACAAAAACATGAGCGGGGGAATCCGGAAACGCAGAGGGAACATTCCTCACTTACGTTGCGTTACGTGGTATCCGATCACGTTTCCGCTGCCAACCAAAAAAAATAATCGGGCGAGTCAGAATAGATGGGGGGGAGGAGGGGATGTGGTTTACGCACCATCCCAAACAGGCGACGTCGCGGATCCGGCAGTAGCAGTTGCGCGTTTGGTAGTCGTTGTTGACGAGTTGGACGCCTGCGGGGGGGGGGGGGATGGAGAAAAGCGGGTGATGAAAACAGATGCATACGCTGGGAACGGTGACTGACTGGGGGCATTACCGTGCGGAGGGACGTCTGTGGAAAACAGCTCGATCTGTGGGTTTCCGGGGAAATGGGGGTGTCAGATCCAAACCAAACAACAAAAGCACTTGCAGAAACAACACTGGGGGGGCCCGCAAAAAAGGGAGGGGGGGATGATTTCAACGCACATTCATATCCGCCAGCAAGATCGCCTTCATCCCACGTCGACAGACGACAGCCTCGCAATGCCGACAGGTGAGCTCGCACACGATCTTGCTCCTGAACTGCGGGCGGATCGGTTCCGTCTCCACCTGCAGCAGCTGCTGCTGTTGTTCACGTTGCTGCGGCGGCGTCCGGCCCCACGTCGCGCGGGCCGGGCTGCCCGTCGCTCCAACCGTGTTCATGCTCGCGTTCGCGTTCCCCGCCTCCGCCTCGGCTCTCCCCAACCCCGGAGTGAACAGCGCCGCGGCATACGTCTGCGTGTGCTGCTGCTGCGTGCGCATCGCGCGCGGGTGGATCTGCGGCTGCACCGGCTGGTACCCCCCCTGTCCAAACACAAGCGGCCCGTTGGCACCCGTGCCCTGCGTCGCGACGTACACGTAGCTGCCGTACCCCCCCGCGGCGGCCGCCGGCGGACTGCCCCCGCTCCCTGGCGACGCGGCGGGGTAGAAGGGTGGATACGGCAAAGCGGAGGATTGCGGGGCGGCCGTCGTGGTGTAGTACAGGCGGGAGGACATGGCGGCGGTGGTGGGGTAGCTCGCGGGTGGATGGGCGGTGTCTGCTGGGCAACGATGATGCGGGAACGGTATATCAACACAACATGTAAAAAAAATACGGGGGTTGCAAACAACGGGAGTGGAGGAGGAATCGGGGTCTTATTTTCTGTTGTTGGTATGGCAAGTGTGTGCTTTCGGAAAGAAAACCCCCACACACACGCGGACGCCACTTTCGCAGGGACGTATGTATACCCAGCTTAAGGCCCCCGCATCCCCATCCCTCCAAAGCCCCATCCACCCCGCCCGCGAGGCCACTCACCCGCTCCATCCCCCGCTTCTCTCTGCAGCAGCCGTCTAGGCCGAGGAAGCGACATCTAGAACCCTTCACTGGCGACGGCGGAACTCAAAAGGTGTCTTCCCAAAACCGATTGGCGGTGGGAGATGAGATGTTGTAATCCCCTTGGGATGATTTACTCTTTCTAGGTTTACGCCAGCAAAAAGTGATTCAACTGTTTTTTTTTGAGTCAAGCTTGTTTTGGCAATGGAAGGGAATTGGGAGTACAGTACAGTACGTTTTCGGTTTTTTGGCCGCGTTCCTTTGGACCAAAGATAGCATCGCACTTGTCCGACTTTATGTGCGGCGGCGTTCTTCGAACTTTGGATAGGGTCTAGACATGGACCATACCGAGTGCACCATTCCCACCACTGAGAGAAAAACGCTCGTTTTCCTTTGCCGTGTCTAGCACATCTCTGCGTTGGAACAGACAGACAAAAACAAACTTCCGAGTGGACTGTAGATCGCCTGGTGTCAAACGAGGCGGACTTTTCGCGTTACGTAAAGCGAGAATGACGGGGGGTGGGTCTGACAGGACTGGGAGGCTGGAGGGGTCTTCGCATCATTATCCGTGTAGGGGTAACCATTTTCTGTAGTAGAGCAAATTCCCGGTCTGGCCATCCCGGCACGATCAGTGGAAATCGAAGGGGTCATGCAAGAACAACGGCCTCACATTTGAGCGCACATGTTGAATTCCTGTTCACAAGTAGCACCACTGGGCTCAAATCCCATCCCATCTATGACTCTATCGCCACCATCGCGCGCAACTTCTCCCCGCTTACCCGGGCAGCACGGTAGACTAGCCTACACCAACTCGTGCTATATAACGGGGAGGTACGGAATATCTGAATCTGTGTGCGGGGGGCGTATAGTGCACTCGCTATCGTGTGGGACAGCGAGTCCGGGGCGAGTGGTGGAAGGGTCCAGCGGATTTGTGTGATTCCGTGACCAGTCCAGGCAACACTGGCCGACTCGAGGGTTGCATAGCCACAAACGGGGCGGTGAAAAAACACTCCGGTGTTGCACGGCGCGGACGATGAGGATAACCCCGCTACCGTCCCATGCGGGGCCAGGTGCAAAACAAAGGGTCCAAAACCTCTCTCGCTTCCATCTACTCCCCACCAACCCCCCTCACACCCTTCATCTCCTCCCGTTCATGCACCCTCCTCTGCTCAACATATCTATAGAGATTGATGTGATCCAAATCATCCAACACCCCCGAGTGCACCGAGTCCGCATCAAGTTCAGCCATCAATGAGGAATGGACCGATTCCCACTCATCACTGTCATCCGCCGTTGTTATTGATGATTCGCGCGGCTGGGAGGCGAAGTAGGTGTCGACGACGGCTTGCAGGGATCCACTATCAGACATTGAGGAATTATCATTGGTGGTGAGAAGTGGTGCAGGACGCGGTCGTCGGTCGGCCGCAGAAGGCGATTCGCTCTGCGTCCGGGTCGGGACAAGCACACTACCCCTCGCACCGGCTTTCTTGAACGGGATCTGTCGCCGTGGTTTTGTCCCATCGTCGTCTTCACGGGCGCGTGAGGTCGAGCGGGTAGGGACGATTGTATCGTTTGGTGGGTTATCTTCTTCATCACCGTTGTTATTGTGATTATTTTGGCGGCCACGACCTCGATACCGCTCCGGAAGAGTTTGAGGGACGGAGGAGGCGGTCCGCGGGAAGAGGTCGGTGATGACCGCCGAGTCTTCGCGTTCCTCAGTGGGTGTTTCGTTGAGGATGGAGAAGTAGAAGGGGGAGGCGGCGTTGCGTGCCAAGACTGAATGAAGAAGAGAAGCGAGGAGTGATTCAGCTTCAGTTGAGAACGATACATTGCTCGCTCCGCTCGCCACAAGCATGCTGGGTAGCGTAAGTTCAGCTCGCTGAGGCTCGCTAAGAGCCGTGATTAGGGATATTCCGCCTTTTGCGCAATGTGGCTCGCTCTTGCTCGCGCTTCGCTGTCGTTCGCGGGGGTGTCCGCTCTGGTCGCCCTCGCTTACGCTCGGCCGCCAACACTCGATCGCTATCGTTACATACCTCTCGGGGTCATAAGACACTCCTCAGCAACATGAATAAGCAAATACTTCCTAGGCCCAACCCAATCACACCCCTGCCTCTTATTCACACAGTAACAATCCAACTCATCCACAACCTTCTTGACCTCCCTCTCGGGCCTCAACTCCGCCACCTCAATCACCTCACCACACCACGGACAACATCTGCTAGTCTTCAGCCACCTCCTCACACAAGTGGAGCAGACAAGGGATTCACAGCAGGGCAATCGGATGGGGGTGGCGAAGACCTCGAGACAGAGCTGGCATTTGAGGGAGGTGCCGAAGGGGGAGGGGTCGGTGTCGAAGGGGTGGAGGTAGGCGTAGGCTTGTTGGAAGACGCCGGCGGTGGCGGCGGCGTTGCGGGAAGCGGTGCGTGGGCGGATTTGGGCGGGGGGGTGTGGGGGCGGGGAACCGATGGCGGGGGGTTGTGGGATGGGGTTCGGGCGGGGTAATGCTGTGGGTCGATCTGGGATGGCGGTCGTGGGGGAGTGTGTCCGACTTGCTGGTGCTGAAGCGGGATGGCTAGGGGATATTGGAGTTGATGGTTGGGAGAGCGGTGGAGGATGAGCTACCTCTCGGAGAGGCGCTTTGCCCTTGCCGCTCCGATGTAGTGGCGCTCCATCGTCCTCCTGCAAGGCATAATGGTTGGAGTCTTTCCGAACGGGAATGTGCGGACGTGGAACGGATGAGCCAGCCATCTTTTTCTAACCCCAAAAGAGCTCTATGCTATATCTATTCTATCTATGGAGTGATGAGAGTGCTGAAGCCTCGGAGCGGTTCTCCTGCTGCAAGTCGAAGTCCGTTGTCAAGGTCAGCGTCCATCTGCGTCCGTCCACAACAAACGACAAGCGCACAAGGAACACCGACCGGCCGCCATGGACTCAGCGCTCACATTCGGCAGACGCGGGTCCGTCGCGAGGGCAATACACAACTCCGCCGACGCTTTTCCACAGCTCCTTTTCTGAGCATTCCTTTGGGGAATGGCAAAACCACACACACCCGACTGACCTGAGACTTTGTGGGATAATTAAAACAGGTATGAGGAGCAACACTAGCTGGTCTGTTGGACAAAGTAATTACTCACCGCGGACTTTTACCAAGCAGAACTCCTGAAAAGCGCTGACCCCCAAACTACGTGCTACTAGCAAACCTTTGGCGCCCCGCAAAAGTGGAAGAAGCCCTCCTACGATGTTGACAGAAAGGGTATGATGAAGGTGTCCTCCAAAGTTTAGAACCGGGAAGCCCATATTGACTTCGGGAAAGTGTTTTAGAGAGATGCCACAGACCCAGAACCAGTTGCTCCGTGCAGCGGCAAAGGACAGGGAAACCCATGCCCCTGCTTCTTTTGCTTCCGAGGGTTGCAGGGCTCATTTGATGTCTGATTCCATATATCGCAAAGCACATTGGTGCTGAATCTGCGAAAGGGGAAGGCTCGCACGTCAAATGCCGGTACCACATTGTTTATGTTCCGCAACAACCAAGAGCCAAACATACAGGCAGCGGCCGACAAGCTATTACCATATGGCAGGAGGTGCAGATCTACACCATGGCCAATGGTGGGGCCCCAACCTATCACAGCACCGGGAAAACAGGTGGAAAGCGGTCACGCACAACGAAGTTCTTTCAATTTACTGCTGAACCAGAGGGACTTGTCCTCGCTGAGTCGGTCATCCCCTTAGCCCAGCGGGCCTGCAATGCACACGGTCAGCTCAAGGTGAAGCTTGACAAATCCATTAAGTCCTAAATGCGCTGCTCAGTGTGCTGCAGAGTAGCGTTCCCGAATAGCTAGCTAGCTCCCTCCAACCACGCATTAACCATCCCTCCCTCCCACCGTAGCTTGACATAGCACTCGATAGCTCAAAAGAGATAAGGGAAAAGGGAGCTACGGCTACGACTTGTTATTTATACACTGTCACTCGAGAAGAAAAATAGAGAAGCTTACTAAGCAACCTCCTCCTCGTCCATACACGCTAGAGGACTACGTTCCTCGTCCCGAGTAGAAATGTATTTGTTGTCGTGAAGACGGCTGCACGGCTTTCTGGGCACTACTGTCAGAATCGCGAACCGCGTCTGCCGAATGTGAGCGCTGAGGCCATGGATCGCAAGACTCGCAAGAGGGCTCAACTCCGACACCAGCGGGCGACCCCCCAACAGGCGACGACAACCTGCCCACAGACATACCATTCCCGCCGATAGAGGTGCCCCGGAAGAAAAAAATGGTTGCGGTCTGTACTCCAACCAGACCCTTGGTGAACTCAGCCCGCATCTGCGAGGAGACGGCACATCTGAAGAGTTTGATACGACTTGTAATAAGGGGGATCCTTTTGTTACCGTTGATGGATTGGTAGGGAAGATTCCCATCTGGATTTGTTGTCAAATGTCAGCCTTGCTCGTACTCACACACCCTATCTTCAGTCCCGGTACTCCGAGTACCTACGGCAAGTTACCCGCCGAGCTCCGCCCCGCCGCCAACAGCGCCTTCCTCCCCGGTCACTTATGAGACGAATGGCTCTTCTGGCGCGGGGTCGACAATCTCTATCCTCTGAAGCACCAGACAGTCCACGGGCCTATCGGGGCGTTTCCACATACACTCGTCAAGGCCTATCGGAGGGTGTTATGGAGCAGGATCTGTCTTGTGGGCTTTGCAGGTGAGAGACACAAAAAGAACAACAACAAAGAAACAAGGAACGCTGAAGATGGGGACGAAGGGCGTGGTGGTGAAGTGGATGAAGGGAATGCTAATGGCGCTGATATGATGACGGGTGGTGGGGAGAGTAGCGAGGGGAACAGCGTGCAGAACGAAGCAGATGGAAGCCACGTTGACAACGCTATGGCGGCGCGCAGGGAGGGTAGTAACGGTGATGGCAATCAGAACGGGATGGATGAAACGATCAAGACCCCGACAATGCGGTGCATGGGGAGGGCAGCGGTGGTTACAATGGTAATGGTTTGGAGAAAAAGCAGATCAACAGCAAAAAAGCGGCGGCCGAGAAACCTAAGAAGCCGGCTGCGGCACTTAAGCTCCGCAGCACAGCTCCCGTCAACACCAGCACCTCCGATGGCGCATGTTGCGAATAAGAAGATGTATGTTGTGAATGGGAAGATGCGGGCGAAGGAGTAGGTGGGGAGGAGGGGTTGAGGGAGCAATGGGGGGGATGCTTAGAATGATGCACGCCGACACAGTCCACCCCCGACTGGAAAGCACCAAAAATCTCAAAACCAAAACAACAGCCAACGCAGAACAATATTACACCCACGCGCATTGGCTCGGAAGAGATATCAACCCCAACCCGAACAATATTCACCAATGGCTTTACACTAAAAGGAGCGGGGATTGCGACACAAAGGAGAAAGTAGGACGCAGTGTCCTCGTTTCTCCCATATTTACTCCCTCTTATGCTAGGTGGTTTCGAGTCCTCGTCGGCTACTTCCGCATAGCGTTTCTTGAATTTGTGTGGCTCTCGTCTATGCATACAGGTCAAATAAAAAGAAACGTCTGCGAAAGAGATGAACGGGAAGGGCGGTCGTGGGAGGCTTGCCATTGACAGTGGAATGACGGGAGGGGTTGAGGACAAGCCCACACCACGCGACCTTGGGACGACGAACCCCACAAACGGGCATGGCGAACGTGTTATCGACGAGCAAGCTCATATTGTTCCAGACACCGACAGGCATAACGCAAGCAACGGAGTGTGAAAAGAAGGTAGGGCCATCATCATGGAGCCATGGAGTCTGTGTGAGAGTTATGGAAAGGTCAAAATAAGCGAACACTCACTCGACCTGTTTTACTGTATGTCATTGCAGGCCATTCAAGTTCAAACACAGCACCGACTTCCTCGAAGCAGGACGAGTTGCACCGTTTCCTAATACCCGGAACCCTCAGAAAGTCTGGAAATGTCGGTAGACAGCAACCCACCGCATCCAATTCCGCCAGAGCGGCCGCATCCCGCTCACCCCGACGACCGCTCAGCCAGCAAACCAACGATAGAACCCGGAGCACCGAGGTCTCAACAACAACCACCCATCACAGCAACCCACCAACCATTCGAACCCTACTCCCTAAACCGCCGACCCTCCTTCCGTCCCAACTCCTCAAAACGCCCAAGCACGACCGCAGACACATTCCCACCGCCCGAATTGACCAGCGGCCCACTGTATTCTCGCCCGCCACCGCCAGGGGTGCGGCTGGTGATATTCCCACCAACCGGAGGAGGAGGCGGTGGTCTTCCCGGCCCATCGTCCGCAGGGCCAAGTTCATCGCATCCAAACCATCCATATACAGGGGCCCTTCAATCCGCACATCCCTACCACGGCCCCCGTAGCGGCGGGAATACCAACCGGCAATCAAACCGCCCCCCACCGCGCCAACAGAACAAAAACCGCCGCTGGTCCTCTAACCAAACACAACAACGCCGCCCGCCACAACAACAACAACAACCCTCCTTCAAAAACAGAGGCCAGACCTTCCACCGCCGCCACGACGAGTTCTCTCAGGTCTACGGCCGGCCCAAAAATAAACGGCTCCCACGGAATCGAAACAACAGTCATCACACCAATACGAATAAACGCAAAAAAGGGGATTATTACCGCCCCCCGCCGGTTATCGTCAACCTCTTCCGCCCCGACGACGTGGCTGTGGCTAGTAGCACCGAGAAGTCCATCCTCCCAACCCAATCCGAGAAACCAGGCCTCGACGCTTCGACACCCTGCACCCTCACCGACGTGGAAATCGATCTTCTGCTAGACGACGCGTTTGCGGATCTCGGGCTGGAGATTGGTGGCGGGGAGGGAGAAACCACAGACGCTGAACGCGACGCCGACGCCGACGAGGAGGAGGATGACGACGAGGGGGAAGGATGCACGACCCCACCTTTCGCGGAATGGGAGTACCCTGACGAGATATATGTCGCGGACCGGGTCAAGTTCCGGGAGATGGGCGGGACTAGCTTGGATCGGAGTTTTATTGGGTGTATGCCGCCGAAGGGGGTTTTGGAGGGGTTGGATGAGTTGCCTTGATGGGTTTATTCAAGGGCATTTTTGGTCTTTACACTGTGATTACGTATTGTTAGATACCCCCGTAGGCGTGATAGTGCTGTAAACACGACCTATACGATCGTCGGGTGTTGAATATACGATCCCCCTCGATCATAGCTTTCATAACACTCAGACAAACAGGAAGTTTGAAGCTTTGGAATAACTGCACTTCCTACAGTTGCATTACGAGTCCTGCGTGCTTCTTGGCATGAAATGGAAGGACACGATATTGAACTCTGCTGACGTGATGCAACTTTTGGAACGCGACAATCGGTCTGGGCTGAAGGGAAGATCAACTTGAGACGCCGGCACAGAAAGACGGGGGAATGCCCGCGGTGCACAGTTATCCATGAAGAGAAGCTTGCCGATATTCTGGAGCTTGTCGCCAGCGGCAAGCCGGAGAACCGTTGGCGTGACTAGTTTGAGCGATGGCAAGGATTGGGGAAGAGGCGTGTTGATTTGTCTGGCGGGAATGTTCTAGGGGTGCTGTTGCCATGGCTGATGAGCCCAGATCCGATAAGAACCGGCCGACTGGCGATTTCGGGCGGTACGGAGCGGGGTATATCCAAATGACCTTGGCCGACACGACCATCAGATTGCATCCGTGTCTTCTTCTTTCTCGATCAAGGACATGGTTGCACTCCCCTGGGATTAAGTCCCACCTACCACCGTCGACGGAAAGAAAGGCCGCTACGCGGGGGAATCGAACAGGACGTTTTGGAAAACGGATCGGTCGGCATGAGAACCACTGACGAAGAAGCTGATAGATGGACCTTCCCAGGAACATCATCGAGGCATTGTATTTGGAGCGCTTAGCACCCTGAGCAATTGCCCGAAGAAGGCTACGTTCCGTATGCGATTTTGGAGGTAGGAGGGGGGCCAACGCAAGGTCTCAAGTAAGCTGCATCGACGGTCCAATGTGAAGGAGGTTACGAGCTAAGGGGGCAGTAAATCGGGATCTTGAGATGGCTGCAAGGCGTCTGCCTGTGTGTCGTGCAACCACGTCGGGCCTGGGAACAGACACCGCGGGAGAAGAGGTGCCGGGACGCTTAGCGATAGGCGTAAACCTCCAGTTTCTTACGAGTATCTATCCTAAAGGGTTTTCCTGACTCGTTATCCTAACATTTTTTCTCTTTTGAAAGTTACGATGATATATCCTGCAGCATGCGGGTTTTTGAACCATGTTCCGCACACTGAACAAAAACGTGAAACGCGTTGATTGACCGGACATGATGACTCCGCTGTCAAATCGCGCACTCCGACATTCCATAATCGAAGGATTTTTTTCCCCGCATACGGCTCCAACCGCGCAAAAATCTTCATAAGGAAACCGCACTCGGGCAACAACAAAATCCTTCGCAACTGGTTGACATCGCAAGGCAGGACTCGGGATCCCGACTGCACCGGTCAAGTCTCTGCAGACTGGGGACCCTTTTCTTGAGAAGACAAGACGCACGACCCCGTACCTTGCAGAGGTGATGCTGGATGGGGCCGACGATCCATATGTTGTGGATGGACGATGGATCCTCGGGTTTATCCCCGTTTGGCAAGCTTCACTCTTCAGAGTTCTAACAGTCAAGGGTATAAGAGCATCAGAGCGCTAGCCGCCCGCCCGCCTGCTTTCTTCGTTCTTTAAGACTGGTGTTTTAATAAGCTGCTGGCCAGCTACACCTTCCCACACGATATAGTTGCAGACAAACACAACAATGCGCGCCGCACTCATCCTCCTCACCCTCCTCGGCGCCACAGTCGCGAACGCCGCGGCCGTCCCGCAGCGTTGTCATGCGCGTCTGCATTCGTCTACCGCGGTGAGCGTGCAGCCTACATCGACGACCGTTGTGGATGTCCCTGCGGTGACCACGACGACCGAGGCGGCTTCTACGGAGACCGAGAAGCCTGAGCGTACGAGCACGCGATCCGCAGGATCTACGGAGGCGCCTTCTGTGTCTACTGAGGTGCCTTCGGAGTCTACTGCCGTGCCGTCGGCATCCACCGCGGCGCCCTCTGAATCTACCGAGGTGCCTTCGACATCCACTGAGATCCCCTCCGAATCCACCGCAGCGCCGTCCGCATCCACCGCGGGGCCCTCTGAATCTACCGAGGTGCCTTCGACATCCACCGAGATCCCCTCCGAATCCACCGCAGCGCCATCCGCATCCACCGCGGCGCCCTCTGAATCTACCGAGGTGCCTTCGGCATCCACCGAGATCCCCTCCGAATCCACCGCAGCGCCATCCGCACCCAGTCCCACCGGGACCCCTCAAGTACCCCCTACCTCCTCAGTCGGAGAAGGATTCGCTTTCACCAACGGCCTCACAACCGGGGGCGCAACCGGCCCAACCACCCACGTCTCCGACCTCGCCTCCCTCACCGCCGCCCTGTCCTCCACCAGTCCCAAAACCATCATCCTAACCGGCCTCCTCGACCTCACCGCCATCCGTCAACTCCACATCAACTCGCACACCACCCTCCTCGGCTCCCCCACCATCCCGTCAGGCTTCACAGGCGGCGGACTAGCCATCACCAAAAACACCACAAACGTCATCGTGCGCAACCTCCACTTCACCAAACCCGTCGGTATCGACTCCATCCAGATCCAACAATCCTCCCACGTCTGGATCGACCACAACACCTTCTCCTCCGACCGCGACCACGGCAAAGACTTCTACGACGGGTTGCTGGACATCACCCACGCGGGGGACTACATCACCGTATCCTGGAACGCGTTCTCCGACCACTTCAAAGTCTCGCTGGTCGGTGCGTCCGACGACGATGGCGACGAGGACACCGGCCGTCTGCATGTGACGTACCACCACAACCATTTCCACTCCGTCGGCTCCCGCACCCCCTCCCTCCGATTCGGCACCGGCCATGTGTACAACAACCTGTTTGAGGATATGAGCTCCGGCGTGCACTCGCGTATGGGTGCCCGCGTCCTTGTCGAGAATAACATCTTCGCGAACGTCACCACGCCCGTGTTTACGACCGGGTCGAAGGTGGATGGGGAGGTGTTGGAAAGGGGCAATGAGTTTGGGGAAGGGAAGGTGGAGATTACGAAGGTTGCGGAGGGGATGACGGTGCCGTATGGGTATGTGATGGATGAGGTTGTGGATGTGAGGAGGAGGGTTTTGGAGGGGGTTGGGGCGGGGAAGTTGCAGTTTTAGAGGGGTCTGAGTGTAGGGTTTTTTTTTTTTCAATTTTCCGTATTTGTAGATAGACATTGTAGATTGCTTGCTAGATAGATAGATGGACATAACTCTCAATAACTCCAGAACATGCCCCGTTCAGCTTTCGCAGCCGTAACATGAAAATTTCAGAAAGTTCAAATATCAGAGGCCTTTCGACGGGAACAACGAAAATAGGTTATGCAGTTCTTACAGTAACCGCTGGCCCGATTCGATGGTTCATGGCGGTCTGCGTGACACACCTCAATTCCTGGCACTGACCTCCCACGATCCGCAGAAGCTTGCCTGTAGGACCGGGCAAGCTACATCATCGGGGTATGGTGTAGACCACGGCGCAGAAGAGAGCGGGCGGATCCTACCAGGGCGAAGGTGATTGCTCAATGACGTGCAAGAGCCTAAGCGTCGTGCCGCTGCGGGGAGCAAGTGGGGAGCCGCTGCGGGCGGAAGAGGCACCCGTTTTGGGCTCTGCTCCGCTTGCCCTCTTGGACAGTTCTCCAGATACATTGACTCAGTGATGCAAGTTGACATGTAGAATTGAGAGCAGCACAAAGAGTTCGGCGTTCGAATGTGTTCGGGATCTCCGCTTCAAGGAAAGGGTCGTTCTTGAAGGGCTAGAAGTGCCAGTGGGACAATAGAAACCCGTCGCGATCACGTGAGCGTGCTAATAGAAAGGGATCCATCAATCGGTGCTCCGCAAATCGCCTTTCCGTCCGGGAGACTTCCGTTCAGCCGATCCATCATCCATCGCTTCACAAATTTCTTGAAAAGACGCTGGAACAGAATCCGCCAAACCTGTGCAAGTACCGTACTACGAACCCCCCGAGTGGAACAGCGGGATCTGCCCATCCAAGAACTTGGGATGATATGGATATGATGAACATCATATCATGTTGATGGGTAGGCTCATCAGCGGGGTTGCCGGTCGGACTTTGGGAATGCGCGCGATCTACCGGCCCTCCTACTACTGCAAGGAATTTATGTTAATACTGTACAACGTCCGATGCTTTCCTCGTTTTTTTTCGCCTCCCTTCAAGAAACCTGTGCAACACGGTTGTCACTGCTGCCTCCCGCGTTACCGTATCTTCCGAATAGCCGTGATGTGATGGGGGATGCCAGTAGCGGGGTTCGTGTTCAGAACGTCTGGTGTGCTGCGATCTGGGTAGTTCTATGGATGTTGCCGACAACATAAAGCCCTTGTCGTCGCACTTCATCCCCCTTTCACCTCAGACGTCTGCCACCCACCCACCCACACCCATAATCCAACGGGACACATCCAAAACCATGACCTACCTAACCTCCCCCTTCACAACCGAGACCCCGCCACCCCTCACCCAGTTCTACGACCAACTTGTCGACTGGCGCACACCCGTTTTCACCGCCCTCATCTACGTCGTCACCGTCAAGCGGCTCGCAAAAGGAATCAAGGGCCCCCCGCCCTCGTCTACAAGCGACCACTGGACGAACCATGGCGCGTTCAAGGCGTTTGTCGTGCTGCATAATGCGCTGCTGGCGGTGTTTTCCGGTGTGACATTTGTGGGCATGGCGAGGGACTTTTATGCCAACTTGAGGGACAGGGATTTGGTTGATGCGGTGGGTGTGGGAATGGCAAATGGGGCGTTGATGGCGTCGAACGTGTTGCGTGCACGACAGGATACATGATTGAACGTTTTTGACTGACACGTTACGTATCTTTCTCCCGTAACAGCTCTGCGACCGCAACGAACAATTCTGGAACGCCTCCCTCTTCTACTGGGCCTTCCCCTTCTACCTCAGCAAGTACTACGAGATCGTCGACACCGCCATCCTGCTTATGAAAGGTACGTTCATCATATTTCCACCAGTGTTGCACGCGGGATGACAATTGACGGTTTTTTTTTTCCTTTTAGGACGCAAACCGTCGCTGTTGCAGACGTACCACCATGCCGGCGCAATCATCTCTATGTGGTTGTGGTACGTTCAGAGGGGAGCGATGGGGACAGTGGGGGGGCCTTCGCAATTAGGAGGTGGGATAGGGTTGACAAATCGCTGATCCGCATTTTCTTTCCCCAACAGCATTCGCGGCCGAACCACCGCGGTCTGGATCTTCGTACTCTTCAACGTAAGCCCCCGTTATGCTTTCCACTTCCCTTTCGTGCGTTCAAATGCACTAACCACCCATCATCTCCCTCTCCCCTGCGCAGTCCTTCATCCACACCCTAATGTACACCTACTACATCCTCACAACCCTCTCCATCCACCCGCCACGCTCCATCAAACAAACCCTCACCTCCATGCAAATCGGGCAATTCATCATCGGCCTCGCCATCTCCCTCTTCAACCCCACGTTGCAAGTTGCCGCGGCTTTGTTCCCGCAGAGTAGGAACGCACTGACGTGTTTGAAAGGGCCGGAGGTGGTGGGCAGGGAGACGGCGGGATATGAGGTTGCGGCGCATGTGTTGATGACGATGTACCTTGTGCCGTTGATGGCGCTGTTTAGGGGCTTCGCGAGGAGGACTTATGGGAAGACCAAGAAGGCGTAGGGTGGAAGCATTTTCTTTTACCTCCATGTTGCGATGGGCGAGATTGGCGAGATATACATCCGCTTGAAGCGGTGAGAAGGACTTTTGAGCATAGCGGTATAATAGGTAGTTTTTTCAGTAATGGGGCCCTTTTCACGTCATGTCAATATCATATCACTTTCACATGAGCATTTTCTTCACAACACGTCGCCCTTCATTATGCATACTTTCGTCCACAGCTATCCAATGGTTCCATCTCCGCCCCAAGGCAACGTGATATGGCTCCGGGCTCGAACCCCCAGTTGCGATGGTCAAAGAATCCGCGCCGTTCAGTCTGCAAACCGCTACATGCGAGTCCATCCGACGATCGTGCGAGAGGCGCGAGTATCACTGTTCTGCAACTTCCTTTCTCACAGCTCTCTGATGGATATGTTTCGCCATGAGTGCAGAACGTTCAACCGTATCCCACGGACAACCATCGAGGTCAGTCGAGAAAGTCTGGAAGGGATCGGATTCCGTAAGCTCAACGCGTAATGAAAAACGCGTCGGCTCCTATTTCACGCGTTCATCACGGTTGTTCAGCGGATGCCATGGGTACAGGCCTTTAGAGGTGCAGCCGAGTCCAACACCAAGCTCCTTCGTGCGGCCACAAGCCAGCTTGCATCGCAAAACTGGACCGGAGTCGGATAGAGTCTGTTTGCACGGATCTAGGATCCCTCGGAGCCCCGGACTCCCGGTAGTGCCGTCGGCCTTTTTCTTTTGAGCTTCTATTTTTTTTTGAGGGGGCTGTTCTATCCACAGTGTAGTATCGAATGAAACCTTTCAGTTTTGACAAGATGGCGATTTACGAATCCATACATGTAGATTCGTTCAATTGCTGGTAACACGATGCGTGCATATCATGTACCTCCCTGTTGGCCTCTTTTGGGCATTCCTGGGATGAACTTATCAAGCTGAGACGGTCCTCAAACCCCCAAAAAAAAAAGTCCACAGGAATCGGACATGGTCGGACGGATTCCGTAAGCGCAAGTCAAAACGCGTCGCTACGATTTCTTTTGCGTTCGAACTCCGACGCCTGGATCTGGACCGCGGAGGAAGTCCGAGCCCAACGCGATGCGAAGAGCGTCTAGGTTCTTGACCGTAGATGGAGCTCGTTGGGACGGAATAATGAAAGCCAAGCTCGTTGAGACCCCGAACTCGTTGGCGGTCAATATTTGATCTCCAGGTCAACGAGATTCTGACGTGCCTCCGGACCGTTGTCATTTCAACCGGTCATGCTCTTGCACTGATTACATAGCTGGTGGTGTACATGGATCTTGAGCGGCAGACGGGCTTGGGGTTGAAGGCTTGAAGCACCATCAGCGGTGTGCTTCTGCGAGGGCACATCGTTTTTGCTCGATATGCATGGTTTTGCTCAAATCTGCCTATGGAGCAGCGCTTTCGGCCGCGCTCCTCGCCAAAGCAAATATGTCAACACGATTTCATGTTGAGCCGCAGCCGTCGTCCGGGCAGGCGGTTTGCTTCTGTCCCATTGGCAGCATGCGGTTGAGGTTCCGAACACATCTGCCGTGTAGGTTGTGGGGCCAAGAACAGGGGAGCTGCAGGGATTCCTCTGCCGCCTGGGCTTGAACCGCGGCCAACTCTTTCGATCCGCCAGAACCCCCCACACCCATCGACGCTGGTGTAAGGATCACATATCTGCAGGTTCTGTCCTCGGACACGTTCGGACGGATTCCGTAAGCTCAACGCGTTAGGAAAAGTTTCCAACGCGCGTCGCTCCTCTTTTCACGCGTCAGCAATGCCCCGGACTCTGGACGTGCAGTAAGAGTCGAGACGCTCAAAATCCTGTGCGGAATCAATGCAGTTGACCACAGTTAAGATCCGATGTCGTTTTGTGTTTCCAATCACCCCCTGGTGAATGGAAGGCTCAACGCAGGTGCGAAAACTCGGTCGCGCTGCTGAACAAGCTGTCACCAGCAGACGGCTCCTACGCTTGAGCAGCTGATGGGTAGGTTGCTGCCATTCTCGTCTCCGACAAGCGGGGTTGGGTCGCCCTGCTCCAATAAGGCCCAAACACATCGATCGTAGTGGTGGGCGCCCCATCCGCATGCAATGGGATAGCGATCATGGGAATCTACGCAGCAGACTGGGCAAAAGACAAGACTGTGTACGGGTAGACGCCGACGGGGCATGATGCTATATGTGTGATTCCGCAACCCCCCTTTTGTCTGAATGGAATGAGTGCGTACGTTTTACAAATGGAGGATGTCATTGCCATGGTGCCATTCTCGCGACGGGGGTTCGAATGTGGGTTGCTGTCCGCGAGCCAGGGACGGTTCGGTAAGCCGAAGACATCCCGAGAGTCAGTACGCGTGAGCTTTGACGTTTGCCGACCCCCCTTCCCTAGACGAAAAGCTTACTCTCATGCTGGGGCGTGGTTGGATAAAACCCTCGCCGGTAATCACACCCTCCGCTGTACAGTAGACCCGCTGTGCTTACGGTGGGTTGATGGCGGAGTTGCGAGATATGGCGTGCTGGTGTATGTGCACAGACGACACTGGCTTCTCGTGCGATGCGCAGTAGGAAATGAAAATTCATGCCCCGTTCATCCACAGGCTGTCCGGCCGTAGCCGCCGATCGCAGGCTACACGTTCATTCAGGGAGGGGAAGTGTCGTTTGCACGCGGAAACATGTGTAAGCGTTCGGTGTTTTTGAGCAAAAAGACTCCGAATACACATGCATCTGACAGGTACCCTCACTGCGTTTTGCATGTCCGACTGGCATCGATGGGCCGGGTCCCTTTGCACACGCCCGAAGATGGACGAGACAATCGGAGACTCGACCACGGTCGGAGTAGATTCCATGGGTGGATGAGAGGGCTTTATGGCAGGAGCAGTAGTCGGGGACTCGGGGTACATACACTGCACAAGCATGACATTCTGGAACCCTGGCTGCGCTTCCGTGTTCCATGTCCAGACTCCTCGTCGCCCTTCGGCGCTCCGGGCGGTTCCCTCTGTCATGCATGAATCATGCTTGATGAGGCAGTTCGTTTTCACATGCCAGGGCCAAGACGAAGCAACTTGGACGACACCCGACTGATTGCCATCGCCGAGGCCCGAAACGTTTGTCGAACGCAAGACGACCCAAGGGTTTCAACTCGTTCGTGGAAAGATCTTTCTCGCTATCAGTTAGTTCGATCGATGGGAAAGTCGCGCGTTACTCACCTTACGTAATCTCGCCCCCCCTCCCCGACAGACGAGATTGATGGCGACCCCTTTGTGCTTCCCTCGGATCTTCTCCCTTTTTTCGGGGGCTCAGCTGCCTGAGCACAACGCACGAGCCCGAGGAACGGCAAGAAAACCTAATCTACGTTTACACTCGATCCGTGGGAGAGCCGTCCTCCGTCATAGCTGATCATTGACGGTGTGGGATACGAGACGGCGTACCGATGAATCGATAATGGGAGATAAAATGCGGGACATGCACGCCCTCACCGTCGTGATTGTCAGAGTCCAAAGGATATTTATGATCTGTGTAGGGATGAATATCGGCGGAGCATCTTATGCACACCTTCCGGCCTCTTCCCGCGCGACCGTTCTCCTTTTCCCTAACACCTTCCCCCCTCCCCTGTTTTGACGGAGCCGGAGCCCACACCTCAGACACCGATTGCGGTATTTGAATCAGATACGCATCTAACGTCTCGCCGTCTTTTTTTTTTTCGCTCTCGCCTCTCTTTTCCTCAACCCATGCGCGGTTTGGCAGCGCTTAGATCCGAGCAGATGAGCCGTGATTGCGGATGGGCTCTTGGGCTAAGGGTCCCCCCTTTGCACGTACGTACGCCATCGTGTCGTAAAACATCACCCTGATTGCGATGCATGGGAATACTTTTCGTGTAGGAAAGGAGGACCCGGCACGCCATTCCTTGGCTGGGCACTATGTTTTGCCGTAGGAATGCGCGATACGGGACTATGATCTGATAACACCGATGCATGCATGCCTCGGTATCTTGCTTGCTGGTGAAGCTTGATCTTGGTTTGTCACAACCATTCAAGCGAGGAAAAAAAAAGAGATTTGGAAGGACAGTATCTGTCAAATCTGTCAACCTTCTATCTTACATCCCTTCTAGAAAACGTGTCGTTCGCCACCCAAGACCCTGCTCTAAAGATGGGCACACTGATAAACATCTGGACCGGGCTGTATAAAGATGCATTGGCGGAGCGTGCCCACCCTCCCTCACCTTCAAGCAACAGCACCTTCGCCTATCATCGTTGGGCTTTGGCTTGCATACCCAGTTTGATATTTAAGAGTCGCCGTCAACCGTCAACGCCGCTTCTCAACGCACGCCTTTGACGTTCATCGCTCCGAGCTATCGAGCCAATGACCGACATCCTTCCGTCCTATACGGCCCGTGTTCCTTTCCTCGACGATGTGTCAGGCCCACCACCACCAACCTACGCATCCATCCCCAGCTCACCGCTGCTTCCGCGCGCCACACATCAGCCCGGCCCTTCGCCGCGTTCCACCCGTCGCGGATGTCTGTCTCTCCTTTCCCCTTCGCCATCCCGCTACTCCGCAGCGGTCGCGCCATCACCAACATTCTCGCCTGCATCGTCGCCAGGCCTCCCGCGTCATCCCTTCCAGCCCACGCCACAACGGCAACATACAACCGCCGGGCTCCCACCACCATCACCAGCGACGACGCCCACACAGGCGCCTCTGACATGCCGTCCACTCGTCGATCCGTACACGGGTTCATCGACACCATTACCACCATTCGTGGGCAAGTTCGAGATAGTATTAGAAAACACGACCGTTCGGATGCGCGGCGTCGAGGAGGCGGCCGCAGCGACGACGGATGACGGCATCGATGCAATCAAGCCCGCCGCGCGCAATCGAGGGAGCGCCGAAGTTGACCAACAGCTACAAGTCCTGACCGCCGAACCTGAAGACGAATGCTGTCCCAACGCCGACCCAGCCCACGGGTTCCAGCGCGGCCAAGGCTTCCTTCGCGGCACGGTACATATCGCCTTATCCGGCCACACCGAGTCCGACGTCCGCACCCTCAGCGCCATCTCCGTTCGCGTCCGCGGCGTCGAGCGAACGTATCCTTCCCACACGGAAGCGCGCGGCTGCACGGTCGTCCTCGACAGCCGCATCACCGTCTGGCGCGCCCCGAACGTCTCGACCACGGACCCCGACGCCGTGGCGGCTTTCACCGACCTCGTCCTGAACGGCAAAAAGGAGATCGGGTTCACCGTCACGGTCCCACCACACTGCCCGGCAAGTTTCGGCTCGCGCACGGGCTCGGTTGAATACTACGTCGACGCCACACTCTACCGCCGGGTCGCTTCCCCGCCACACTGCACCCTCAAAACGAGCTACGCGCACGCCCCCTCAGCGGTACTTGCCATCATCCGCCACCCATTCATCGTCTCCCGCGCACCAACCAAACTGGAGCTGGAACGCTACACTCGCCCCTTACGCCCCGTCCGCGGCGCCATCGGGGACGTAAAATGGGAATGGACGGGCCCAACAGTCGTCTGGCTCAATCAACCCTCCTGTGACACCCCCACCCCGACCACCCCCGGGATCCCACCTACATTCACTACCCACTTCCCCACATCCGACCCCCACATCACGCACCTCACGTACACCCTCCACGAACGCGCAACCTACTCCACCCTCAAAACCAGCTTCAACCCCTTCCGCAAGCCGCGGTGGACAGAGAAGAAACAGACGCATACGCGGGATACCCTCATCAACCTCGCCCCATCTCCTTCACCGTATGCGGATGAACCCGTGCCTGTGTTATCGGGCTACGCGGTGGGGATCCCGCTGGATCAGTGGGCGACGGCTATTGCGGATCGTGGGGGGAACAATGCTGGCGGGATGGTACAGCAGGATGTGAGGGGATCGATCATCGAGGTGTCGCATTATGTGTGTGTCAAGCTGTGGCGGTTTGCGACGCAGGGGGAGGCGAACCTTGTGGCGGAGGTGAATATTCCTGTGAAGATTGCTCCGAGTTATTGATTATGGTGCTTTTGTGCGCAAGTTTCTTGTTGAGGACATTGGCTGGGCCTCATTAGTGCTTTGCGCCCTCGCTTCTTTTTTGGATTTTCTCCTCGCCGTCGCAGACGACCTTTTTTTGGTTTCGTGGAAGGCCGTGCCTCATCCCACCTTCTTTCACAAGTTTTTGGGCAGTTTGTTTTTCTTGTACATATGGTTCGAGTCTAGGTAGAAGTCTGTGTGGTGTCTTTAATGAGAATGACTTTGAAAGTCTCGGAATCCAATGATGAATTGATACCCATATGCTCTTCGGCACTTTGTTCATTATGGGAACGAATGTACAAGAGGAAGGCGTATGTGTCCCGTTCCTCCGTTTTGGTACATCTTACACGGTAACATTCTGTACGTCCGTCGGGCGGTGGTGGTAAACCGTGATGTGTAATCACGCCGCGTTCGAAACTCCGTCCCCACGTCGCAAACTCCCCCTTCACCCCAAAACCGTAATACAATCCCACCCCCTCGCATCTCTCAGCCTCTAATTGAGACTCCCACGACACATCTTGGCGCCGCAGAAACACGGTATCTTATCATCCTCGTACTGGAACTTGTAGTCGTAAGTGATTTCCTCGCCCGGGTTGATGGCGCGGTGGGCGTAGATGATGATGCGTTTTTTGGAGGCGACTGTTATTATTTTTGCGCTGCAGTTTGGCTGTGATGCCAGAGAGAGACGGGAGGGTGTGTCAGTTAAGAGCCACGCAGAAGTTTGCGGTAGCCCCAAACCCCCAAGCGTACCTGACAATTATGGTTGATAAACCTCGCCATATTCCCCCTCTTAGTCGCATCCACAACATTCACCCCATCAATCCTGAACAGATAACTCGACCCCATCCCCTGCCGCTCATAAACCTTCTCCCTCAGATCCGCTACTTTATGCCGCACAATCTCCCCGACATACTCAATCACAAACTCGCCCGCGTCGATGGGCTCCATCGCGAAGAGACCCCAGTCGTGGATGGGCGATTTAGCGAATTTAAGGCGCCGGCGACGAGTTTTGAGTTGCGTGAATTTGGCGCTGTCTGTGAGGTTTTCGTGTGCTGTGAGGAGGGAGGGGCGGTGATGGATGCGGGTGGTCGCGGTGTTGCGGGTGGTTGTGGAGCGAGGGGTTGGTTTGGGAGTGGTGGACACGTGGGGACGGCCCGGGGTGGTGGGTGTTGCTGGCGCGTTATGCGGGCTTTTGTCGGTGTTGTTCGCGGCGGCGATACGTGCCCGCATCGCAGCGACTTTCTCCTCCTCTGTGAGGCGGTACACGCCTTCCGTGCGCGCCGCGCCTGTTTTATGCGGGGGTGTCGGGATCGCATGATCCTCTTCAAGGTCTGACAAACCCATCACCGGCGGCGGCTGCTTCCACGTCCGTACAGCCCTCGCATCCCTCTCCAAACCCCTCATCCGCTTCTCAATCCGGCTGCGTCTCCGCCCTTGCTGCTCCTCCCCAAGTAACGTCGTGAGATACCCCAACTCCTCCTGATCTAACCCTCGCATCGTATCCCACAACGCCGGGACCGAGAAATCGAGGCTTGCGTCACTCTCACATTCCCGGTCCTCGTCGTATTCACGAAACGCGTCCCATGTCAGCGGTTCGTGGAGGAGTTTCCGCATCTCGTCGTCTTCGGGTTCGCTGTCGAGGTCGATAGGGGCAGGAAGGGGCGGCAATACGGGGAGTACGGCAATGGGCTGCGTCACGCGTTTTGATACCCTCTTCCGTCTTCCGGTGCCAGCACCATCAGCCGCATCCACCCCGAGCGCCACATGCAGTAGCCCTTTCCCACCCTTCTTAGACTTCCGCCTCTCCCTTCTCGGCAAAAACTCCGCGCCAGACGCGTCAAGCGACCCATACCCGTCCACATCCGGGACGGACGTCGTGGCCGTATCCTCGTCGGGTTGCTGTTCCTCATCAACCAGAACTGCCGATACGCGCCTTCCACGCGGTTTAAGGGGCGGAAGCTTCCTCCCATTTATCTTCTCGCCTTCACACGTTTCACCGATCTCATTTACTCTACTAACCCTCCGTTTCTTCGCCACCCTCCTCCCGACCTCCTCCTCATCTTCATTGTCAAGCACCTTCTTGGGGGGCCCGCGTCTCCGCTTGCCTGGCCCCTCGGTGAATGCTTCACCCCCTGAGAGCATCATGTAGAGGGTGTCGAGGAGGCCGTGGCATTTTTCGGCGATGACGTCCGTGCAGAGGTGGGTTGCCATTGTTGATAGGGTGTTGGCGGTGGAGTGGATGGAGTGGGTGGGGGAGGTGGCTATGGGTGAGGGAGTTTTCGGCCGTGGAGGGCTTATGGGTGGTATGCTGAAGGCGGATACGGCGTCATCCTCGTTGTGCGGTACATGAGCATCCGCAGCCTCCGCGGGTGAAGACGTTCCCAGACCCGTGTCACGCTCACGCGAGGCGTTTCGCACCGTCGTCTTGGTCGGAGGAGGCGGGCTCGGCGATAGCCGGACGACCCTTACCGCGCTTCGGCTGCTGGCGCGGCTATCCGAGGTTTTGTCACGATGGCGCGAGGTCGAGCAAGAACGCAAGCTTCGACGACTATGACTGACGCGCGTTCGTGCCTCCTTGCCATTACTTTTATTTCGCGGCGCATCATACACGTTTTTCCTACTTCCTCCGTCCCAGCTCCTCTCCCTTGACCTACTATTACTACTCTCCTCACGAGCCAAAGGCACACGTCGTATCTCCAACGTCCGGCCCCGACTCTCGTCCCTCCTCTGCCTCCTCCCCTCCCTCCTTCGACTTCGACTCCGACTCCTACTAGAACTCCGACTTCGACTCCTCCTCCGCCTACTCCACCGACTGTTCCGTCTCCGTCTGCTCGTGCTGCGGTTCCTCACCCGACGCCGGGCGCGGCTACGACTCCTGCTCCTGCTCCTGCTCCTGCTCCTGCTCCTACTCCTGCTCCTGCTCCTACTCCGAGAGCGCGAACGCGAGACAGACGAATACGACACTTTCCTGCTCCGTTTGTTCTCGCGGGGTTCCCGCGGGTGAGTCCGCGGCGGTGGGTCGTTTGGTTTCTTGGCATCGGAAATATGAATTCGACTGTGAGTCTCGGCGGTGGTGGGTATATATGTAGACGGTATGGGTATATTCGCCGCTGGATCTGCAGACGCAGACTCCGTATTCGGATTCCGGAATGTAGATACATCAGACGATTTCCGATACCCGCTCGACGGCGGCGGGACAACCACGGGGGCGCGGAATGGTTGTGCAACCACCGCGTCACTGGATCGGGATGCGCCATTCACAGCTCTTTCCGAATCACCTAGCCGTCTCCCGTCCTGCGGTCGTCTGGCCGCGGCGTTTGGCGGGTGAAGGGTCGTGCCGTTTGTCCCATTCGGGCGGTAAGCACGGGTCGAAGTCTCATGTGGGCGGTATGAATCGCGTAGACCGGCTGCCGAGGGTTTGCGGGGGTATGTTGCGGCGTGATCTGCTGCCGTGTCTCCTTTATGCGCCGGTGGGAGCTGGAGATTTGGGAATCGCCATGGGACGGGTTTATCCATAGGTGGCGGAGGTGGATGTGATAGTGGCTCGGTTCTATGTGGGAAACTGCTCTCGTAGGTGCGATGGGCGCCATATGTTGTGGGAGGAGGAGGATCCGGCCGTTGGGTGCATTCATATTGCGGGGGTGGGGGGAGGTGGGGAGGTGATTTATGGGAGTGCAGATGATGATTTGAGGAATGCGGTGGCTGTGATGGTGATGGCTCAAATGCGTGATGCTCTGGCGATGCGGAAAGGATGCCATTCGTTGAGCCTGAACCACATCGCGTAGATGTGAGTTGCGGCACTGTACGGACCGATGCTTTCGGCGTTGCTGCGGCAGGATTCATGACTCCGTGTACGGCATCTTTCTGCACGGAACCTGAGGAAGAGGAATCGCGTCAATGATCAGGCTATGTTCTAAGCGTGCAATAAGTTGAACTTACCATCGGCATCAAGCCGCACATCAATAACATGCGCCGCGACCCGCTTGCCCGAAAGATCCCGTATCGCCCTCTGCGCCGCCAAGCACGCATCTGCTTCGCTACCAGCAAAGGTAACCGCCGCAAACCCCAGATGCACGCTCGAGTTTGGGAGACGTACAATGGACGCGTTTGCTATCGGCCCGCAATTCTGAAAGAAGCGGTTCAGGTCGTCGTTATTTGTTTTGGGTGGGAGGCCGGAAACGAAGACGGTGCGGGCTTTGGTTGGGGGAATCTTTCGTGGCTTTGGATTTGGTTGGGGCATGAGAGCTGCGGTCACTGACAACTGAACGGGCGCCTGCGCCGGCAGCGGTACCGGCTTCGGATCTGGTATGTCCTCGTCAAAGCCAAACTGAATGCCATCGTCAAGCGGCTGTGGTGGCGGCGGCGATGCTTGCACTTGTGAAGGAGGCTCCGGCGGGGCAGGGTATCTCACCCTGTGGAGCTTAGATGTCAACCGTTTCCGCCCACGCCCGATCTCAGCGTACATAGGAATATCAGCCCGCGGGTCGGCCGGCACTGCCGAAACGTCGCCAGATGCCACTTTTCCGTCCTTGCGGACGACACGCGCCTTCCGCATTCTGTTATTTTTGTCGGGGTCGAGACTCGGCTCGTACATAACCCGCCAGCCGTGAATGCACCCATCCTTTTCCGCGTTCCCAGTGACGGTTGGCAGCGCCGATGGCAACGACTGTTTTCCTTTGCTGCTGCCGCTGCCGTTGCATTGTTCTTGTGTCGGCTGGACCTCCTGCGAAGCTGGCGGAGAGCGTGTTTGCTGTGGAGACGGGCTATCTGAAGGTGTGAAGGCCAGCGACGCGAAGTTCCTATGCCCTTCCAGACTACTTTGTAATCCATTTGCTTCCACGCCCTCTTCAACTGAAGGTCTACTTGACGACCCTTCAGATGGCGGACTTCGGGTCAGAGCGACGGCAGGGACCGCCTTTGTTCCGACGTGTGCCGAGCTGGGCACGCGCGCAATTGTGTGAAGAACCGCTGACGTCGGCGACGGTCGCTTGTAATGGGCGGGAACGGACGCCGCCATTCTCGCATATGCGGCGGCGCTTCCGCTCTCTCTATCCTAGAGCCCGGTGAGGTATGTCCACGGTGGAATATCGGAAGCACCAAGAGCAAAACGTGTTGTAGCTGGGTTATTCGCGTATGGTCGTCGTCGCACGGCTATGGAGCAGCAAGGTGGGGATGGTTCACGGGGCGACTGTGGGACCAAGGAGGGCAAGTGCTATGGAGCGGTTACGACGACAGGCTGTGCATCTGTATGTAGCTCCGCTCTATGCTCAGGATGTGGCCGGCATGCAATTTGCTGTGGGGACAGTGGAATGCCAATTGGACATTGCGAAAAGGGCAAACGCGATGCAGGCCTGCAGGCAACTTTCCTTCCTGATACGACCCAGTTACGACTCCCATGGGCAACCAACGCTGGTTGGCATCTTTCCCCTCAGACACCCATGCAGCGACGTGAAGGGGCCACTAGCCCTGAGCTCCCGCTCAGCGCATTGCTCATACGCCTTGCAAAAGGCCCCTTCCTGTACTGCAGCCCCGCTCATTGTGAAGTTCAGGTTGGACGAACCGCTGATCTCGCTTCGACACAATCGCAGCCTCAAACACAAGCTTGGACCGCTGCCCACAATACATACCCAATGACGTCCTTGTCACCGTCTTCAACTTCCTCGGCGAAAGTAATCTATGGGCTGCCTCACTTGCCGCCCGTGGTCAGCCAACGCCGCAGTAGTCCAACGGATCCGAGCCAAGCAAACCTTCGACATGGTGTTTGGGCAGCTACATGCTCCACATGAGGGAAACCGAGGGAAAAGGGACGTTCTCGGCTTCGGCAATTCCAGATTGCTTTCTAGTACCCCCACCAGCTCAACAAAGCCCCATCCGCATGGACCTGGAAACCTGCATGAACAACAAAACACTTCGACATTGAAAAGAACAAAGGAACCGCGGTAAACAATCCATCACCCGAACCGATCTCTTCCGATCTGCGCCACCCATATATGTGTAGATCCATGCCCACCTCTCCGTCTACGCCTGCCCAGATGTGAGGGGCAATCCTAGTCTAACATCTATGCCTGGTCTATCTCCAATTTCTTCCACCGGGGGAAGCTTCACCTCCCTCGCTCAACCGAAGCGACTATTTCTCATTTCCACCGCACAGGACTAATGAGAAAGTTTGCCAGAAGCCCGCCGGTCAAAGCTTCACCTCCCTCGCTCAACCGAAGCGACTATTTCTCATTTCCACCGCACAGGACTAATGAGAAAGTTTGCCAGAAGCCCGCCGGTCAGAGCACCGTCCACATCCGATGAGTGATTGGGCCCAGATTCCCTATCCATCGCATCGCGTTCCCACAGCTGGAGGACTTTGGCGTTCACAACGTCAAACTCCACATGGCCGGGCGGAAACCTGGAGGCCAGCTGCATCGGGGTCGCGCCGCACACCCGCGGTATCTCGGGCTCTGTCGAGGCCCAATCCATCGCGTCAGCGTCCGCGAATGACCAGTTCTGCTCGACGATCTGCTGACCTAGGATATCCGTCAGCCTTTCATACGTGGCTGGATCGACTGTCGAGGACAGGGGCAGGTTATGTGCGGTCTTGATCTCGTCCGGCAGCAGCATGTCGTATCCGGGAGGTAGCGGGATCGGGCGCCGTCGCCATTCGCGATCGAGGGTCCCGTCCCCGGGTGTCTCGGTCTCGAAGGTGGTTTTCATATCCGATAGCCAGGCCGAGTCGTAAGGTTCCGGTTCACCGTTGGAATCGGAGTCGGAGTCGATGTCAGCATAGGTTTCTCCGGCCGGCAATGGGTCCATGAATTTGTAACCTCCCGGTTTTTCGAGGTAGTTGAATTCATCGAACTCGTCGTCGTAACACAGGGAAAGCGCCACTGTGGCGATGCGGAGGCCTAGTGATCTTAAGTTGGGCCAGCGAGCCTCATCGGGTCCCAAAGTTTTTAACAGCCTGCCGAGTCCCAAGTCCGTTCCCCAGTCACTCAGGGTTAGCTCCCACCCGTCTTGAGATGGCATACCCCTCAGAATGAGCTCGGAATCCGAGTGATCCGATATCTTATCCTCATAACGGGCAATACACTCGATTGACCGTTTGCAGTATGTGTCGTAATCCTCATCCTCGTAGGTTTCCAGGTGCGACGAGAAGACTTCAAGAAGGACAGTGACAGTGCCATGGTTTCCCTGAATGACTAGGGGGTGAGCACCGATTAACGAGAACGAAATCCCCACAATGCCTTACGATAAGGTAGAAGAAGTAGTGATTTTGGATCGACTGATCAAGCACATTGTCGAGGCCATTTATCTTGTGTTTTTTGCCTGGCCCGAATACCAGATAGTTTGTTTCGATTTGGGCCAAAGGGTCTCATGCAGCGTCCAACTCCGCTTCCAGTTCCGTGCGTGCGGCAGACGATTGAAGCACTCTTCTATATATTCCCCTGAGCATCATCGCATGTGCCTTGCTACGCTGGACTTGGAGCGTATCGTACAGATCCCCCCATACGTAGCAGGGAAGGATCGAGATGGCATTCCGTCGTGTGGTGAGGGCATCTAGCGCTTCCCTGACAGCAGGCGGCATCCGAGGCGCATGTTCGTGATACTTTGGGCGGAAGCCTTGGCCTTCCCAGACATCGGCGTCAAGTTGCTCTTCACTGAATGGTTCACTTTCAACGTCTAGATCTAAACGTGGAAACTTATATGGTTTGAAGTCAAAGTCAACGGCAAAGCGGATGAAGGCATTGGCCAAGATTTCTTTGAGATTTTTTTCGGTCATGCCGAGCCGAGCGCTCAGAGCTTCCAGATTTGACGCAGAGACCGACCCGTCATGGCCGTGCCAGTCGTAGACCATCTTGATTTGCTCATGGGGCAGCTGGGCATACACTCGACAGTACCCTTCCCAGACATCGGGATCCAACACATCTGCCGATGTGTAGCGGCCGAAGACACCGTCAATAGTCACATGCGCGAAACCGACAGCGTCGCTCCACACGACTATTGAATGCTGAAATTCGGTGACTATTGTCGCTCGTTCCCGGACGATATTGAAGTCGGTGTAGAGATGCGTGTAGAGCGGAGAGGGCTCCTTCGTTCGGGCAAGTAAAAACCCTTCCAAAATCGTGGAAGCTTCCTGGTGTGCTTCAAACTGTTCACGGGTGGTTGGACTGTAGTCCAAGCTCGCCACATGCTGCTGAAGATGTGAGAACAACGGAAGGTTCGGATTCCACGGGAGAAGCCTTTGACGGAGACTCTTACAGGTGCTGATAGGAGAAAGAAAAATTGCTGTCAGCAACGAGGAATTCCGCCTTACTATGGGATAAAGGGGAGATCTGCACCTGTACAAGCGAACCAGCGAAAGCAGCGGGAGATACTTCACCAGATGGTGGTGGAATATGTCGGGGGAAAGCAGGACAGCAAATGCCGGAGCCATGCGACGTCGCTCTTGGGAGGCCATGGATATGCTTCTGCTATACCAGTGTGCTGAGCCCTGGCGTCGGCTGTCTGAGTGTTTGGGAGCTGTCCAAAACGCAAGTCCCTTGCCCAGCCTTGCCTAGCTGTAAGGACGCCCTGAGCTTGCCGCCCTTGTCTAAACCTATCTATACGTTGGAGTTGCGTTGGAGTCTGGAACCTCGAAGTCGTGATGCCCAGATTCCTCGAAGTCGTAAGGGGTGTCCCCAAAACTGTAGTGGCCGACGACAACCCTGAGATCAAACGTGAACAATAACACTCCAGCCCCGTCCCAATGTCTCTCGCTAAACAACAAACAGGTAAGCGCCCACCCTCAGTACACAGCCTCACCGGAAACGACTCCCGGCCATTACGAGACGGCGACGACGCGAACGACGACGATGTGGAGGGCGAGGAATCTGAGTGAGTTTACCAGCATGAGCGGCAGCCGGAAGGGTGAACGGCATCGGGCTACGTTGAGTAATCGCTGCACTGACCGTGAAATTCACATCCTCCCGCTTTTCCCAGGGCCACAGAGGAAACCTCCGACGAGGACGGCGACACAACCCGCGTGGAGTTCTCGGAGTTGGGGGAGGAGGACCAGCGCAAGCTGGTAAGCACGAGAGGTGGAATTTTGCTTCCCCGTCAACGATTATCTTATTTCCTTTCTCGCGTGGGAAGCTTGAGTACGCATACGACGATATCCTCGCGGCAAGCTTAAACGGCGTGATTTGCGATGTGCGACGAGCGGAGGTGCTGAGACGGAGCCCGTGTCAGATCTGCTTTACCAAGTATGTATGACTGAAAGATCGTAGTTCATAACCGGTGCGCCATTAACCAGCACCTATCGTAGGCGATGTCACACCCACAGTGAGGATCAGAAGGCAACACCAATCTCTCCTCCCGCTCTTTCCCTTTAACACGTGCAATCTCCCTTTTAGATCCCCGTCCCGGCTTCGACATCCTCGGCCTCCCCCTCGGCGACAAAGAAACCGCCCAGCAGAAAGTCAAATGCGACAACTGCCAAGGATATTACCCAGCGCAGCGATTTGCGCCGCATTTGGAGAAATGTTTGGGGATTGGTGGAAGGGTTAACTCGAGATCGAGTAGTCGCATGTATGTTTGGAAGCGGAAGGCGCAATGCGGGCGGATGGGTCGTTGGTGGTTGGTGGTTGGGTGATGGCGGAGCGGTTGTTGACCAACTTCTCCCCACTCTCTCCCAGGCCTGGCAACGAGCGCGCCTCAGCGTCGCCCCACAACTTCACTTTTGACTCTGATAACGAGTCGTTGGCTAGTATCGGCGAGAAGCGAGGTACGTAACCTTATCGTCTTTTCCCCCCACTCGTCTGCTCACATCCTGGCATAGGCCGCCCAAGGGAATCCCCCCTCCGCCACAAAACGCTAAAAAAGAAACGTCATCTCCTGGACGAGATGCGCGCGTCAGTGCAGGCTAGCTTGGCGCTGGGATACAGCACGCCGGTGGATGTGACGGATTCGGGGCAGACTTCTGCTGACGAGGTTTAGACCCCGAGGGCAATCCTTGGTCATTTTGGGGGATCCGGGCAGAGTCGAGAGCTACATAGGTTGGTAAGGTTTACATTCCTATTAGATTTGCGCGACGGAAACATTGACTGACATAATATGCAACCAAGTATACCCGCATCAAAACCGTAATCCAGCTCGCGTTCATGTACAGACGGCAATACTCTTCACCAACAAAACCGAAACTTCAATCCTCACAGTACGCCAGGCATCACACCAATCACTCAACCCACCACCCATTCTTCTTATGCGTACTCTCAATCGAGTCCTCCGGATACCCCTCAAAAGTAAGATCGCCCTCCTGTGCCTCAACAGGCACCCAGTCCGGTTTGGACGCGAGGAAGATGTGTGTTGTTTTGAGCGCTTGCGGGAGCGGCGTGTCGATTGCGCTGGCGTAGGGCCAGATCTGTGGGGCGGGGGTTGGAGGGACGGGGTGTGAGGTGGGGACGAGGGAAGGGGAAGGGAAAGGGAAGGAAGGATGGTTATGCGTACCCATGTGGGCCAGCGGGCGTCGGCGGCCCAGAGAGCGGAGCCGCAGAAGGTGCAGAAGTGGCGGTGGTGCGAACTGGGCGGGGTGGGGGGAGACCATTGGCATGAGAGTAAGAAGTGGTGATGCAACCTGCATCACATGTTTTAAAATAGCGTGCTATACACCCACCTCAATTCAGAGGTCCCATCCTCTTTCTGCTTATTTGCCTGATAAGCTCTGTGGAAGCCCCATACTTGCATCAATTGCCTGAAACATCTTGACAGAACTCCACACTCAAGGCATACTTTATGTGCTGTTCACCCGTCACCTTCAGTGTTTCAGCCTGCCAATTGGAACGTCATTGGAAGCTGTCTTGGATACCACCGTCCGCAAAGCTGCTCGATTTGGGTCGTACCTGCGCCATGATATTAATGACATACCCGCCACCTCCGCCGGCTGTCTTGCGACATATGTGGCTACACGTCGACAACGTACCGACAAGACACCATCAGTTGTGACATTTTGCCGTACGTAACGACAGTACCCCGACCAGATAGCCCTCCAATTTCCCATTCCATCTCACATGCCAACGGAGGAAGAAGGACACGAAGAACAAGGACGCTTACCAGTAGCAACGCATGTACGGCACAGGCGTGTGCGATGTGCAGGTGAAGGACGCTTTGCCGCAATGGCAGGAGCCTTGCAGTTCCATAGCTTTTCGCGCGATGAGGGTGGACGTTGCGTTGAGAACGAGGTGACAGCAAGTGATGCGTATTTGGGAAAGGACGATGGAGTAAAGTCATGGACAATGGAGGTCTTGCCCGATCGGGTTAGGGTTATTCATAACTCCCCTCTTAACCTTAGAAGTGTTGTGGAACTCGTTACTTTATTCCCCTTCACACACACCACTCGTTTTATAGACATTCGATCGGAAGGTCTGCACACACACACAACCAGCTCTCTATCTGCAAAGAAGAAAAGGGGGGGTACGGTAACTATAAAAAGGAAGCTGTGGCTGAAACTGGTTGTTTATAACACTCCCTCTCAGACTGCAGATCGAATTCAGTCGCAGTCACAGTCGCCGTTGCAGTCGCTCTGCATTCTGATCCCATGGAACGTTCCGCTCTCAACTTCCGCGATCGCTTGAGGCCAGCTTGGAGTAGGGGCAGGTCTCGCGATTCACTCTTCACGTCACGATCGCTTGAGGCCAGCTTGGAGTAGGGGCAGGTCTCGCGGTTGGTTACGCCATCGACTTTACGCTATCAACTTCCGCCATCGCTTCGCCGTCGTAGTCGTGGATGCCTCGGTAAAAACCTCTCCCAGTCGTAAAAACCTCCGTGAGGAAAAAAAAAAAGATCCTGGGAGTAGGAAAAGAGCGCATCGTCGTATCAAGCAACATCGGCTGTTCGGCCAAATCCTAGAGCGTGAACAAACTTCCAGTGTTTGTTTTCATCTAGGGATTTGGTAAATATATCCGCAACGTTGTCGTGCGTATTGATCTGAGTGACGCTAATCACAGAAGAACCACCCCGCCAACCAACCTCTATGGACGCTGGAAGACGGGACGTTTACGACCCTGGATTGGTTTACGGGATGGTGGGACGCAGCTGTTGGGGTAGGAGTTGGGACATCATTACTGAGAGCCGGCGGGGCGACCGTTGACGCTTTCGAGGGATACCCATCCAATAGTATGGTCGGTGGAGCTCCGCTGCGTTCGAGCGCTACATCCGATCGCATCCCAACTTTCTTGTCGAGCTGATGTTGAGGCACCACCCGGGATAGCTTAGTTCATCTGCTATTCTTTCTTGCTATCATTGCGTTGGGCTGCTCACCTTTCTTCCCCCCTTCTTCCTTTCTTAGTTTAGTTCCTTTGCTGTTTTGTCTTTCCCTTCCCCTTTGCGCGACGTTGCGATGTACCACCACATGTTTTCCTCAATCACATTTCTTGCCTCTGAGTACGTGCTCAGTGCCCTGTTCGTGCGGACAACTTGCCCCTGAGTATGCGCTCAGAATCCCCTCTTGCCCCTGCGTGTGCGCTCAGAATTCGCCCCTCAGCGTGCGCTCAGAATTCGCCCCTGATCATGCGCTCGGAATTCGCCCCTGAGCATGCGCTCAGTATTGCCCATATGCGCTTGCGCCCGCTTGCACTGCCACCTTCTTACCTTCCATAGAGTCTCAGCCCAGACAGGACTACCGAAACGTTATCGACGCGCTCGCCAACCGGACGCCCGCTTGGGTCGTAAGGATAGTATCGGACGACAACTTTGGACTGCGGGGTTGCCCAATACAAATATCCTTCATTACCAAGACTGCGCGTCCGACTGCGTCCGATTCGGCTGTTGTGGACGGGGCGAGGTCGTAGATGTTCATTCAAATGAACGAGTCGACTGAGCCACGTGAGCGGTGTGCGCATTCACATATATATACTTCCTACGTACATAGTCGGAGTTGCCTTCTTTCCTTTCCCACGCTTATCATTCTTCGTTATCGCATTGCATTCTAAACCTCCCACCCACCCTACTGTATATGTACTGCGGACTGCGGGGTCGCTCAATACATATCCTTCATCCCCAAGACTGCGCGTCCCACTGCGTCCGATTCGGCTGTTGTGGACGGGGCGAGATGAATCCATTAAGGCTCACCATCGGGCTTCCAACCGCGAAACCTCTACCCACTCTATCTGCTCTAAACGCCCATCATGCTGGGTCGGGAAGCGTTCACAGGCCATGCTCGGGAGACACGCGCATGTAATCCATGTCATCGTCATCCTCGTCGTCGTCACCTTCCTCATCCTCTTCCTCTTCCGCCTCATCCGTCTCATCCTCCTCGTCGCCGAATGCTTCTATGGGGTTCCCCTCCGCTGGAAGCCGCACAAGCCGCTCTTCCACCATAGTGGCCATCTTCCCACGGTAATCAGCCCATAAATCTGCGAGGGAACCCCGAGGGCTGATATCGTTGGAGGTCATTGCGAACCACCGTATCCAGCGCAGGACCTCAGATAAGGTCTTATCGATACCGTACACGACCGTGAGCTCCGTATCAGACGAGTACACCCACCCATCTTCGTGATATTGACGGACGCCGAACATTGGCAGTTCTTTGTCCTTTTCGGCGTCCGTCAATATCACGAAGACAGAGCGGTCTTGGGTTAGGGTTAGGGTTAGGGTTAGGGTTAGGGTTAGGGTTAGGGTTAGGGTTAGGGTTAGGGTTAGGGTTAGGGTTAGGGTTAGGGTTAGGGTTAGGGTTAGGGTTAGGGTTAGGGTTAGGGTTAGGGTTAGGGTTAGGGTAGGGTTAGGGTTACAAGACCCCCTGGGTTGGGTTTTATTTTTGGGTTGCCTGGAACCCTAGGGACTTAGAAATTTTCGGGTTTTTTGGCTTTTGGGTGTGTTCTACAGTTCAAATTCTTGACTCTGAGGGGTGTGGTGGCGGGGGGTGTTGCGCACCTAGGCAAGTCAGGGGGGACTAGGTGTGCAAGGGCAAGTGATGGGTCATATGGGTGGTGGTGCGGGTACGGGGGGGGGGGCAGGGGTGCCAATAGGGGAGGGGGGGGGTTGATATAAAGGGGAAATATATGTTATATATACGATTATAGGACTTGTGCAAATTGGGATTTTTTTAGTGCCGATCTGGAGTTGGCGTCCTAATTAAAAGTTGGCCCCATATCATATTCTCTAATTGAAGTACTCTCGGATTGGCAATCCGTGCGGAAACGGCTTCAGAAACTTAGAAAAACGAAATTTTCACGCGACGGGGGGTAAAAAGTTGGAAAATGTGGTGATATCTCAACATCTGGCTGACTATCCAGTGGAGGGCACTTAATGAAAGTTGATTGTAGCCTATGGTTTGCATAGCTGATGTGGTAGCAAATCTTGTGTAACCTTGCTTTTGGCTGAAGAACAGGGCCCCTTTTCAATTCTCAAGTAGTGACCCCCAAGACCTCCTAACAAAAGACACGAGTATGTATGTGCAGGCAAAGGGGTTTGGCTGTGTTCTCCAGTAAGCATTTTGTGATTCCGCTGTGCATCGTAGACTGTTTGTAGGACCGTTGCGGAATGTCATTTACCAAAACTGTTAAACATTTTCCGTTTAAAGCAGTGTTCTACAGTTTGTCCATGCAGGTTAGAGCACGTGACCTGGGCTTGCTTGCAGGGTATGCAGAGTGAGAGGGTTGGGGTTAGAGATTTCCCAGATCACTTATTAAATTCAGCCAAACTGTCTCTGTCATGGAACATTTAAAATAGTGGAAAGCAGTATTGCATTTATTGATTTAGAGTACATTGGAAAAGCGCACATTCAGAAAAGGGTTTTGGTGTAAAGTTATCAACGACACTCAACAGTACTAAAGGACTTCCGCAAGCATGTCACGGACTTGGTTCTGTCCAAAAGTCGTACAGCACTCAGGGTACCTGGCGCAGCGGAGACGGAAACGATGCTGACCGCCAATGCTATGAAAAGCTGAGCCTCCACAGTTGGGACATTGAAGCTGATCACGATGCTGATGGAAGAGTTCACGGATATTGCCAATGGGAGCAGCATCAGGCACTTCCCCATCCCCATGACCCCACCAAGCACGAGCAGGATCAATGACGGGTGCAATGCCTTTGAACCATCCGGGATTGAAACCAAAAGAGTTGAGAACATCTCGGAAGCGCTGACAGTCTGTCACAGTAGTCTGTCTATTGCGATCACCTCTGAATAGAACTCTGGTGGCAGCGTCCATGATGCCATTGATGAGACTGTAGTACTCTTCCACCGGCACAAGCTTCAAGGAGTTTGCGCCCATGTGCTGGAAAATGGTCTCGATCTGGTCCAAATGGAGATTCAAAACCATCTGTTCCGCTGATTCCAACCTGGCGCACTGAACTCGCACTTCAACTCGCATGCCAGTAATGTGGGTTAGGGTTAGGGCTAGGTTAGGGTTAGGGTTAGGGTTAGGGTTAGGGTTAGGGTTAGGGTTAGGGTTAGGGTTAGGGTTAGGGTTAGGGTTAGGGTTAGGGTTAGGGTTAGGGTTAGGGTTAGGGTTAGGGTTAGGGTTAGGGTTACAAGACCCCCTGGGTTGGGTTTTATTATTGGGTTGCCTGGAACCCTAGGGACTTAGAAATTTTCGAGTTTTTTGGCTTTGGGCAGTGTTCTACAGTTCAGATTCGAGGTTCCAAGGGGTAGGGTGCCGGGGGTGGTGCGCACCTAGGCAAGCCGGGGGGGACTAGGTGTGCAAGGGCAAGTGATGGGTCATATGGGTGGTGGTGCGGGTACGGGGGGGGGGGGGGCAGGGGTGCCAATAGGGGGGGGGGGGGGTTGATATAAAGGGGACATATACGTTATATATACCTTATAGGACTTGTGCAAATTGGGATTTTTTTAGTGCCGATCCGGAGTTGGCGTCCTAATTAAAAGTTGGCCCCATATCATATTCTCTAATTGAAGTACTCTCGGATTGGCAATCCGTGCGGAAACGGCTTCAGAAACTTAGAAAAACGAAATTTTCACGCGACGGGGGGTAAAAAATTGGAAAATGTGGTGATATCTCAACATCTGGCTGAATATCCAGTGTTGGGCACTTAATGAAAGTTGATTGTAGCCTATGGTTTGCATAGCTGATGTGGTAGCAAATCTTGTTTAACCTCGCTTTTGGCTGAAGAAAAGGGCCCCTTTTCAATTCTCAAGTCGTGACCCCCAAGACCTCCTAACAAAAGACACGTGTACGTATGTGCAGGCAAAGGGGTTTGGCCGTGTTCTCCAGTAAACATTTTGTGAATTTCGCTGTGCATTGTAGACTGTTTGTAGGACCCTTGCGGTATGTTATTTCCCAAAACTGTTGAACATTTTCCAGCTAAAGCAGTGTTCTACAGTTTGTCCATGCAGGTGAGGGCACGTGACCTGGGCCTGCTTCCAGGGTACGCAGAGTGAGAGGGGTGGGGTTAGAGATTTCCCAGCGCACTTATTAAACTCAGCCAAATTGTCTCTGTCATGGAACATTTAAAAATGGTGGAAAGTAGTATTGCATTTATTGATTTAGAGTACATTGGAAAAGCGCACATTCAGAAAAGGGTTTGGTGTAAAGTTATCAACGACATTCAACAGTACTAAAGGACTTCCGCAAGCATGTCACGGACTTGGTTCTGTCCAAAAGTCGTACAGGCACTCAGGGTACCTGGCGCAGCGGAGACGGAAACGATGCTGACCGCCAATGCTATGAAAAGCTGAGCCTCCACAGTTGGGACATTGAAGCTGATCACGATGCTGATGGAAGAGTTCACGGATATTGCCAATGGGAGCAGCATCAGGCACTTCCCCATCCCCATGACCCCACCAAGCACGAGCAGGATCAATGACGGGTGCAATGCCTTTGAACCATCCGGGATTGAAACCAAAAGAGTTGAGAACATCTCGGAAGCGCTGACAGTCTGTCACAGTAGTCTGTCTATTGCGATCACCTCTGAATAGAACTCTGGTGGCAGCGTCCATGATGCCATTGATGAGACTGTAGTACTCTTCCACCGGCACAAGCTTCAAGGAGTTTGCGCCCATGTGCTGGAAAATGGTCTCGATCTGGTCCAAATGGAGATTCAAAACCATCTGTTCCGCTGATTCCAACCTGGCGCACTGAACTCGCACTTCAACTTGCATGCCAGTAATGTGGGTTAGGGTTAGGGTTAGGGCTAGGTTAGGGTTAGGGTTAGGGTTAGGGTTAGGGTTAGGGTTAGGGTTAGGGTTAGGGTTAGGGTTACAAGACCCCCTGGGTTGGGTTTTATTATTGGGTTGCCTGGAACCCTAGGGACTTAGGGTTAGGGTTAGGGTTAGGGTTAGGGTTAGGGTTAGGGTTAGGGTTAGGGTTAGGGTTAGGGTTAGGGTTAGGGTTAGGGTTAGGGTTACAAGACCCCCTGGGTTGGGTTTTATTATTGGGTTGCCTGGAACCCTAGGGACTTAGAAATTTTCGAGTTTTTTGGCTTTGGGCAGTGTTCTACAGTTCAGATTCGAGGTTCCAAGGGGTAGGGTGCCGGGGGTGGTGCGCACCTAGGCAAGCCGGGGGGGACTAGGTGTGCAAGGGCAAGTGATGGGTCATATGGGTGGTGGTGCGGGTACGGGGGGGGGGGGGGCAGGGGTGCCAATAGGGGGGGGGGGGGGTTGATATAAAGGGGACATATACGTTATATATACCTTATAGGACTTGTGCAAATTGGGATTTTTTTAGTGCCGATCCGGAGTTGGCGTCCTAATTAAAAGTTGGCCCCATATCATATTCTCTAATTGAAGTACTCTCGGATTGGCAATCCGTGCGGAAACGGCTTCAGAAACTTAGAAAAACGAAATTTTCACGCGACGGGGGGTAAAAAATTGGAAAATGTGGTGATATCTCAACATCTGGCTGAATATCCAGTGTTGGGCACTTAATGAAAGTTGATTGTAGCCTATGGTTTGCATAGCTGATGTGGTAGCAAATCTTGTTTAACCTCGCTTTTGGCTGAAGAAAAGGGCCCCTTTTCAATTCTCAAGTCGTGACCCCCAAGACCTCCTAACAAAAGACACGTGTACGTATGTGCAGGCAAAGGGGTTTGGCCGTGTTCTCCAGTAAACATTTTGTGAATTTCGCTGTGCATTGTAGACTGTTTGTAGGACCCTTGCGGTATGTTATTTCCCAAAACTGTTGAACATTTTCCAGCTAAAGCAGTGTTCTACAGTTTGTCCATGCAGGTGAGGGCACGTGACCTGGGCCTGCTTCCAGGGTACGCAGAGTGAGAGGGGTGGGGTTAGAGATTTCCCAGCGCACTTATTAAACTCAGCCAAATTGTCTCTGTCATGGAACATTTAAAAATGGTGGAAAGTAGTATTGCATTTATTGATTTAGAGTACATTGGAAAAGCGCACATTCAGAAAAGGGTTTTGGTGTAAAGTTATCAACGACATTCAACAGTACTAAAGGACTTCCGCAAGCATGTCACGGACTTGGTTCTGTCCAAAAGTCGTACGGCACTCAGGGTACCTGGCGCAGCGGAGACGGAAACGATGCTGACCGCCAATGCTATGAAAAGCTGAGCCTCCACAGTTGGGACATTGAAGCTGATCACGATGCTGATGGAAGAGTTCACGG